GGGGTTGAAAGACTGAGCAAAGAATGAATAGCAAATAATAGCTTGATGGTGAATGGGGCCCATTTTGGACACATGGATGTGGCTTGAAGTTTGGTCTCCCAGACTTTGGAATCATATGGTGTAACTGGGTGTTGTTGTCTATGCTCGAGGACAGTGTTGAGTCTTGTGCAAGGTGGTGAGACAGCCTGAGCAGACATGTTGTTTGTCGTGGGAGTGACTTGTGCAACTGCGAGAACATTGCCAGTCCACGCACAGGGGTTTGTTGGAGCTGCATGTGAGTAACTGTTTGTTGACTTGAGTGGCAAGTGCTGGATGTGCACTGTTCCAGAGTCGCTCATTGGAACATTCAATGAAGTTGTGTGAGTGTCTCTCCAGGCAGACCTTGCACACTGCTGAGGAGCAAGAGCTGTGCGCACCATCTTGACAACCCGAGTGTTCATTACACAATGCAGAGTGTCTCTTTGGAATCCCAGAGAGGCTGACCTCCTCCTGTTATGCGGTGACTCAAAATGTTTCAAATACCATGATCACTGGTGAGTGGATGTATCTCCTTGACCACTTCTAGAGCTCAAATCTTGACTCTAAAATATTGGAGCGGATGCGGATGCAAATGCCAATGCCAATGTCAATGCCAATGAAAAATTTGAATGCCATATAGAGAAAAATGCAAAATCACAAAATAACATAGGTATGGTGATATGGGAAAAGGGTCAGTGGTGACACAACACTAAGAAAAAACCTCCATGCACTGGATGATCATCTTGAGTTCTTGATGGTGCATGTCATAGAAAACACAATCAAATGTGCAAAGAAGAGCAGCCTCGTCTATGATAGATATATCCCAAGCTCCCTTGGCTAAGGGAATGACATTATGCCAGGCTTGACATTGTTCCTCTTGGTAAATGAGGATTACACACTATGTGATTGAGTTGGTCAAGTTCCAATATCTGTGTATCATTATGGCTCCCCAGAAGTGTGTGAGCATGGTGACACATTGGTTTGTCCAGTCATGCTTTTCAAGTGCGGGAATCATATGTGGAACAGCTTGAGCAAAGTCTACTACAGACAAGTTTTGGTCTGCAATGACACTGACAGATGGTTTGGTCCCTCTGGTGTTGACTCAAATTGCAGAACTGTCATCACTGGTGGTGGAAACCATACCTTCATCATCTCTGGTGTAATAAGAGGAATGTGCTTCTTGCAGACCTACATATGTTGGTCCAGTAGTATAACTCAACATACTGCCCTTTATTGATTTTGCAGAGAGCAAAGTCAGATACCAGTGCTGCATAGTCAGTGGTATCTGGGCGAGGACACACAGGGATTACTGAGTGTTTGCTGTGATTCTTCTTCTTCTTCTTCTTCTTGTCCACTTTGGTGGCTTTATCCTCGAGGCAAAGAGTGTGTTGTTGTCGCTCTGTTTCTTTCTCAGCTTGGTGCTGTTGTTTGGTTTAAAGTATCTCATCTTCTACAACTTGCTGTTGCCATTGGGTGCATAGAGCATTGTTGGTGGTGACCCACACCACACGAAGAGTTTCTGTCACCTGAACTTCGGTGTTGCTGGTGTGACTAAACTCATATGACTGATGCAATACAAATCTCTCATGAAATCTGGACAAACAAGTAAACTGGGATCAAAGTGAAGTCTGTTAATGATTGTGACCGGTAAGATTGAAATTGAACTGAGCTTGATGACTTGATTTCACAGATCAGAAGTTGTAGATAGAGTATTTCAAGCGATGAGTACTTGTGGAGATACAAGTGATGGAAGCAAAAAGAAAGATGGTGTGAGTTTCACTGTGCTTGGAACAGGCATAGACCCCATTTATATCAATTGCTCGTGCCTCACACTTAGCTAGAATACAATCCTTTATATATTTTTGGAGGCCAGATTACTAAGCATGGTTCATCACATGCATTGATAAGAATGTGCTTAAAAACCAGCCCATTTGGTGCATTGAGTTAGCTTACTTACTAAGTAGTTTACAAATACAGTGTGATCTTATAAAGCATAATAAATCAAAGGCATAAGTTATCTCATAGATTGGCTAGAATGTGCTTACAAACCAAGCTGTTTGGTGAGCTGAGTCATTCTAGTCACTAAGTAGATTATAAATACAGTTGCAAGTCTTACAAAGCATGACAAATCAATGACAAAACATGATGAGTCAAGCTGAATCCATACAGATCAGGTTATTTCCCAGTCATTGGCTCGGTTCGTATACTCCTGCGTTAGTCTTGGACTTGAGTAGTTCAATAACTTTCTGATGTATCCCAGGTGGGATTGGAATATTCTTGTATTCCCAAAGCATGTGTGGAACAGTGGGAATAATATATGGAGTGAAATATGATTCCTTGAGGGTTCCTCTGTGTCATATCCCGTACCTGAAGCTTCTCATCTGGTCTGGTCCATCCGGTTCCTCGGGTCCGTTCTAGAATTCATTTCCCCGAGTCTCCATTTGTATATGCTTCTTGCTGCCCCTATTTGCCCAGATCCTTCTGACAGTTAATGTCCGGGTTCATTCTGATCCTTCCATTAGTCTATTCATTTCCTTTTCATTTAACTTGTTCCCTTTGTTCCATTTAAATATCCAGCTCCATTCTCGATCGTCCGCAGTATGTTTTGTCCACTAGTACATTTTCCACATAGCCTTATGTTCCGGGGACTGCACTTTGGCCGGATACCCGTCAGATACACTACAGTATATAAACCCTTTGTAACCCGTAGTATTTCCTTAGTTTGAATATCATCTTAGACTCTGTTCATTCCTCGTGTCCTCTCAACTCTTAGGATTGTCATCCTAGTCCGACCCTCCGAGCCTCGGGATTCTATCCCTAAGGCTAAATCCCTCCACCTCTACCTTCAAGTAGTCCGTACCTTGTTAGCTTCTACCCGGACATAGTCTTGGGTAGTCTTACCTCTCTTGTCCGGCCCTAACCATACTGTCTCAGCTGACAATATCCATCCCCATGAATTAGGGGCACGTACTTGGGTAAAGGGCGCAGCGCACAAGCTGAAGCCAAGCCCCTCCGGTCCAACCTGTTGAACACAGTCTTAATACTCTGTTGGTTTCCTCAAAGGCTAGTTTTTCTTGGTTTAAGAGCATAACATGTTGAAAAAGCTTCTCCTCCTCATGCCAAAGGCATCCTTGTGAATTTATTTTTAGACTTTATAGTCTTTCTTGAGTTAAGTGATCACTAGGAACAAAATTGAGAGGATATGGAGTCAAACAAACTAAATTTCATAGAGGGTCGTGCGGAAAATGACTATCCACAAGAGCTTCCTGAGGAAAGGTACTAGACATGGGCTTCACTTTCTTGTCAACTCTTTTATACATAGTAAGCACGGGGTTTTCCTCAGGTAGACAAGTGGTTTTAGTTGTAATGATAAGATCAGACTTGCTGTCCGAGCCATCTTCGGTTTCTGATTTTGTGACTGCGTAAATTTCTTGATAACAAGAATTTTGTGAATCCTTAAGTCTTTCATAGTAATCTGCAATGGTCTCGTCCTCCAATACATCTTAGGGATAGACTAGACATTCAGGCATTGAGATTGTCTCAGTAACATCAGAGACACTAAGACTAAGGTTTTGTGTTGATTGGGCTTAGAAAATTTAGACAAGTTTTTGGACTGCAAAAAAATCAAATTACAGAACAAATAACTTGTATCTAAAGCTATCACTTCTTGACTATTTTCACCTATACTTTGTAGCTTATAAAGCAACAAAGCGAACATGGAAGCCTGCATTTGTGGGTTTTGTATAAGAACAAACAAACACAAACTCATGAGGCAAAGCATGAAAAGGGAAAATGAGACAATGATGGCAATATAAATACATAGCTTCAAAACAATGGAAACAAGGGTCCATGTTTTGTTGTTAATTGGTTTTTGATGTGAATGAGTAAGAGTCGATAAGCAAATAAACATAATGGAAGAAAATACAAGCTTGAGGCCAGAAAAATTGCCAAGCCAAAAAATGAGGCTCGAAAATCACTAGAATTCGAAATGAGTAATGAAAATGGTATAGAATTGAAAAAGTTTACCTTGTGAATACTAGAGAAAAAACTTCTTCAGCTTAGGGTGTTCATCCTCCTCATCTTCATCAATATCTGAGAGAACATACCCTTCAAACGTCTCGGACTGAAAGGGGGAAGTAGCCACAATGACAAGTCCAGTGCGCACGATTCTGAGAACGAGGTCTCGATCAAACGTGAATCAAAGGATATCACAAACAGTCCCAACATCGAGAAGACAGGACTCAGTAAGTGCACTAATAGTGTCTTCATCGGGGAAGGGCATGAGTAGAGTGTCAAGCATTTTCAAGGCCAACTCTGGTTTTCCATGGGCCTCGGCAATAGCTGCATATGAGTTAAAATTGTTTAGCCTCGCTCACTGAAAAGAACGGGTTAATGTCGTCATAGCGCCTGGCATAAGTAGAATTAGTGAGACCCCCTGAATATGAAAGGAGTTGTCACACTTGATGGTTCTGGTGCACATGGATGCTTCAGCAAGCATGCAAGTAGATAGGATAGTTTCCATGAGATGGATAAGGTGTCAAGTATGTGCACAATGATCAGTGAGCTCGTGGACACGTTCTTGTCATGTACATCCTGAACGAGGGCCACCGGTGGGGGGTTTGACTCCCCCAGAGATAACGGGGTGTCCTGGATAAGTACTGTCATGGAAGAGGTGCACATTCCAGTCGTTTGTGATAAGTTCATCCTGGCAAAAACAATAAGATTCAATGGTGTGAACCATGTTAGGCATATAAACAGAGTGATAGTTGTTGTACTTGGAGGGTTCAGTTAGTAGATAGCACTCAGCTTTGGACTTAGTCAGTCTGTTGAATGAAATAGTAGTTTTCCTGTCTGTGCGAGAAAGGCCGTGGTAAGGAATTGTACCACTAGTGGGCACATGCACTGGCTCAGAAGTGTTAAACATCACATTGGCACATCATTGTTGGTCTCAGTGGCTCTCGAGCCTTTCTCATCAGGCTCGGTCAGAGTAGAGCCATTTGACTCGAAAAAAAATGGGACAGCAAGATATCATTGGATTTTAATAAACTAAGGTGCGAGTTTGGTGGGGTGTGAGGGAATATGCTCGACAAAAAAGGTGTACTGGTGTGTCCATATGTTGGGGATTGTGGATCCATAGATGTGGAATGAACAAAGAATACATCCAGTCGTTCATACGAATCCGCGACATTTTCCTGCATAGATTCATTCTTGGTAGTAATAATAGGCTCATGATTGATAATGGGGGCTGCGTGGTTAAGGATGTTGGTGAGCATGTTGTAGTCATCAAGTGTTAGCGCACGCTCACCCTTTGGATCATTGAAACTTTCAATATGTTTATTGTTGAAGGCATGCAAGCTTGTACCTTCAAGATTCAGATCGAAAATGTGTGCTTGAGAGACATTGCACTTGTTATCATCGAGCGTCGTCATAGTGAGTGTCATGTGTGGTTGGTTGTCAATGTTGGGAATAGCGCTGTCGATAGATATTGAATCTTCCTGGCCATGATACACAATGGTGGCAGGTAGGGTGGCAATGGATGGGATCAGAGACTGGGGTGCTGACAAGTCAATACTGGTGTCAGTGTGAACAAGTGTAGGTAGATTAGTGTAGCTACCCATGGTCCCAGTCTCATTTTCAATGCCATTAAGTGTAGAACGGGTTTGTGCGATAATAGTGGGCAAGGTAGCAATGGTAGGAATAAGGCTCTGAGGCACTGATAAATCAACAATGGCATTAGTGTGAATGAACCTAGATAGATTAGAATAGTTACCCATAATTCCAGGCTCATTGTTGATACCGTCAAGCATGGAATGGGTTTGTGTGATAGCATTGTCGATAGAGTTAGAAATGGTTGGAGTTTCAACATTACCGTTAGAAATGATGGACAAGTTGAACAGTGGTCCCAGTGTAGGAGACGTTCTGGCTGCAGCCCTGTACAGCACCATTCCCCCTGGCTAGACAATGTCACACCTATCTTCCACAGATCAATGCGGACTATCCTACCCCGTTATGGACTGTCACACATGGATGCGGAATCTGCACATTCCTCGCATTGCCACGCATTCCCTGTTCATATCCTATCTGAGCCTGTCTGCCCCCACTGGTGCGTTTCCATCCTTATTTGTCATTCCTGACCGATTGCAAGTCCGTTACATACAAGTCTCCCATGTGCGAGGCTGCCTAGTGCTACTTACATACTACCCCCTTCCGACCTCGCTTGTAAATGCACTCACGTATATGGTTCCGGATCCTTACGGACCTCAATATATATACTTGTCTCAAGCTCGTATGGACTCTACTTTCCTACATTTCCCTCTCTGGTTGTGTGTTGTGGAGTCACTAGCATAGTCCTACCTTGTTTTCCGTGCTTGAGCAATCATCCTGTTGCCTTCTCATCCCGCATGAACACCCGCATCGTCAAAAACAGTTGACTATTGCTAGTCCTATTTGAGTTTACTCACAAGACAGTCCCCGCACGTCTTCGCAGATACCTGGTACCTAGCTCGTTTTACCTGTTTACCTGTTCTGATACCTGGTACCTTACCTGTCCCGCATACCTGGTACTCCCTAGATGTCCACTCGTTTACTCTGCATCCGCATACCTCGCATCTCCGTGCATTCCCGCATATGTGGTCACCTTATCGCAAGCCCATCTCTTCCACTACTTGTTCCCCTCGCTCTTATACTTGAGGAACTGCTCTCCAAGCTATCCCCTTGGGTTGACTACTATTCTCGCACCCAGCAGGATCGGTACACTATCACTATAGCGGACTTCTATGATTTCTCCCACACCAGCATTAGGCAAGAATGGTGTGATAGGATTAGTAGGGGAAGCTGTGATCCCAGCATCTTGTGGGATGCGAGCAGTAGGGAAACTGTGATCCCAGTGTCTTGCAAGTTGGGCGCAGTGATGGTAGGCAAGGTAGGAGTATTCAAAGCTCCAGCACGAGCCTCTTCAATGATAGGCCTGGTGGGATCAGTCAAAGTCCCAGCGCAAGCCTCTTCAATATTAGGCCTGGTGGGATCAATCAAAGTCCCACCCAGGGTGTCTATATTAGTATGCGTGAAGTCTGAGTAAAGGGTGGCAGAGAAAGAGGCAGAAAACTCCTGGTCCTCCCTCCTTCAATGCTACTATCTTCCAGCTTATGCTCCTCCCTAGTTAAGTCGCCCATAGATAGAGTACCATTAGAGACAACTTCCCTTGGAGATGGCTCAGACAGAAAGGCATCTAGCCCAGAGTCCTCAGAGTTAGCGCCAGAGTTGGGGTTACCAACAGGGATGTAGCCGGTTGCTGGCAGTACAACAGGGTTGTCAGGACTGACAAGTCCCATCCCACCATACAGGTGAATAGGACAGTGAGAGAGGAACAGACTCGGTAGAATCAATAAGGGACAATAAGGGGGATGGCTGGAATGAAAGAGTTAAGGCATCATTTAGAATTGTTATAGTGAACCAGGGTTCTGGAATAGGAAGTCGGCCAATTTGGCACGAGTTTGATTGAACATGTCATCCGGCATAATCCAAACTTGCGTAGGTGTGCTGTGATGACTAATGTTTGTGGTAATGATGGATGATGGATGCCTCACAGTGTTTTTCCCAGGCACAAGGCTGATTGGCATTGGGCGCAAAGTCATTTCTGGTCCGTTTTTTTTATAGAGCCTTGAATTTCATTTATTCTTAATTGATCTGAGTAAGTCAGAGGGTTACTTACAAATTTAATTTCTGACACATCAAATGCTCGGCTTGGAGCACATTTTCAATTTTCTGAGTAATGTTCTCAGAATCTCCCGCAGATGGATTACTTAATTTAATTTCATCCAAATCCGGTGAATCTTCATTGATTTCATAGAACATGCTAGATTCTCGCAAGTTTCCAATCCATGTAGCTGGTTCAAAATCCCAATTTGGGTCATTCCCATCAGGTGTACACAATAAATCATACCTGACTTCCAAATCAAGTGGATCTTTAAATAGCAACCATGTGCTGTCTTTCCTCTCATCAATAGACACATAATTACCACGCTGCCATGGTCGGCCTAATAATAAAATGAATGGCACATGATCTCCAACAAATAAATTCACCTGTGTACTAACACCTCCACAGTTTAGTGGCACATTTTGTACAAGTCCGCTGGACCCGCCAGCCTAGCTCTCTGGAGTGATGGATGGAATGGATGAAACCCGTCCTTATGTACATGTGTATGTATGTGTGTGCTCTAAGACCCCAGAACCGCAAAACCCCTGACACTTGCTGCTGTCTCTATGCCTTGGTCTGACCTTGCCTCATGCTCCTAAGCTGTGGACAGAGCTCCCTGCTCCATTTGCCCCTTCCCCAGAAGGCGTCACTCCAGGGGCGCATCTTGAATCTACTTGTCTTCATCTGTATGCCCTTCACTGTCTGAATCCACTGCATCCTCTAGCTCTTCCTGAATGGTCGCCCATGTTTCGTCGACTTCTGTTTCCTCACTCCTGTCTCCGTCTTGTATTGCACTTTGTAGTGTGGCTAATGCGGTACCATTGCGTGGGATAAAACGACGAAGGTGTCTTGCATGGAATAGTCCATTGATGGGAAATCCTTCTAATGAGGTGAGAGTATATAAGTTGCTGATTCTAGAAACGACTCGCCTGGGTGCTGACCACTTAGGTACTAATTTCCTTGCGCTTGACATCGTCACGTCCATAGCGCTTGTGTATACCTGGACCAATTGTCCTGCCTCGAATACAACTTCCCCGCGTGTGATTGCAACACCTTTTTGTTGAATTTGTTCTTCCTCTTGATCGCGTGTGCTGCTGCATGATCCGCACATAATGCAGTGACATATTCCCTTACTTATAGGACAGCCCATGTTGACATTTCTCCATAACAGTTGGGCCAACCCACCATGGGCCCACATTGCTATGTACCCCTTGATTATGGGATGGGCCCACATGTAAGATTATCACCATATATACCGGGTGGGCCAGGCAGTAGACAATACCCGAGGCTCAGGGGTGGGCCTACACTATACACCTTGTGGAACTCAATAATATCATAGAGAGTAGTGTTATGGTATATAGGCTATGAATGCTAGACGTTACCCGAGGGTGAGGGGTGGGCCCAGTATGTAGTTACCGACACCGCACCATTTGCAATAGGATGTCGGGAAATGGCATCGGGAAATACACATCGGCATTAGCACCGCCCGGAATGCTTTCCATGTTTTAATGACAAGGCATGGACCAGCAGGAGAATTTGCCAGGCACTCGGTGTGCCAACACCCATCACATCCTGCCGATAATTTACCAATTTCATGACTGAGATACCATTGTATCGCTTGTTACCCCTCGAACTTGTGCACCGAGACATATTGATGAATATGAGAGGTAAAATTAGCCCGGGATTGTGTGTCCCGGTCAGGGAATACTCCAGGCACCCAGGGCGCCGGCACCGCTGACATTCCACCAGAATTTAAAGATTTTATGGTCAAGATACCATTTTCTTGCTTTTTACCGCTGTAACTCGGGCACCGGGAAATATTGATAGTAACATTGGCCGGGGATCATGTGGACCGGCGGGGGAATATGTCAGGCACTCAGGGCACCGACTCTGCCAACATTCCACTGTACTTCAAAGATTTCATGGTCAAAATGACATTTTCTTGGTTTTTACCCCTCCAACTTGTGCACCGAGCAATATTGATGAATATGAGAGGTAACATTAGCCCGGGATTGTGTGACCCGGTCAGGGAATACTCCAGGCTGTACCCAAGGTGGCGGCACCACTGACATTCCACTGGAATTTAAAGATTTGATGGTCAAGATACCATTTTCTTGCTTGTTACAGCTGTAACTCAGGCACCGGGAAATATTGATGAAGGTGGAAGGTAACATTGGCCGGGAATCATATGGACCGGCGGGGGCATATGTCAGGCACCCAGGGAGCCGACACTGCCGACATTCTGCCACATTTTACAAATTTCATGGTCAAGATACCATTGTTCTTGCCTTTTACCCCTCTAACTCGTGCACCGAGAGATATTGATAAATACGAGAGGTAACATTGGACTAGCATGATATAGACTGGTGGGGAACTATGTCAGGCACTTGGGGCACCGACTCTGCCGACATTCCACCGGACTTTAAAGATTTCATGGTCAAGATACCATTTTTTTGGGTTTTACCCCTCTAACGTGTGCACTGAGGAATATTGATGAATATGAGAGGTAACATTAGACTAGCATGATGTAGACCGGCAGGGGAGTATGCCAGGCACTTGGGGCGCCGACTCTGCTGATGTTCCACCGGAATTTAAAGATTTCATGGTCAAAGTACCATTTTTTTTGGGTTTTTACCCCCTAACATGTGCACCGAGGAATATTGATGAATATGAAAGGTAACATTGGCCGGGTATCATGTGGACCGGCGGAGGCATATGTCAGGCACCCATGGCGCCGACTCTGCTGATGTTCCACCAGAATTTAAAGATTTCATGTTCAAAGTACCATTTATTTGGTTTTTACCCCCCTACAGCCTGCACCGAGGAATATTGATGAATATGAAAGGTAACATTGGCCAGGGATGATGTGGACCGGTGGGGAAATATGTCAGGCACCCATGGCGCCGACTCTGCTGATGTTCCACCGGAATTTATAGATGTCATGGTCAAAGTACCATGTATTATGTTTTTACCCCCCTAACACATACACCAAGGAATATTGATGAATATGAGAGGTAATCTTGGCCGGGGATGATGTGGACCGGCGGAGGCATATGTCAGGCACCCATGGCGCCGACTCTGCTGATGTTCCACCAGAATCTAAAGATTTCATGTTCAAAGTACTATTTTTTTGTTTTTTACCCCCTAACACGTGCACTGAGGAATATTGATGAATATGAAAGGTAACATTGGCCAGGGATGATGTGGACCGGCGGGGGAATATGTCAGGCACCCAGGGCGCCGACTCTGCCGATGTTCCACCGGAATTTAAAGATTTCATGTTCAAAGTACCATTTTTTTTTGGTTTTTACCCCCCTAACACATGCACCGAGGAGTATTGATGAATATGAAAGATAACCTTGCCCGGGAATCATGTGGACCGGCGGGGGCATATGTTAGGCACCCAGGGCGCCGACTCTGCCGACATTCCACCGGCATTTAAAGATTTCATGGTCAAGATACCATCTTTTGGGGTTTTACCCCTCTAATGTGTGCACCGAGGAATATTGATGAATATGAGAGGTAACATTAGACTAGCATGATGTAGACCGGCAGGGGAGTATGCCAGGCACTTGGGGCGCCGACTCTGCCGATGTTCCACTGGAATTTAAAGAATTCATGGTCAAAGTACCATTTTTTTGGTTTTTACCCCCCTCACACGTGCACCGAGACATATTGATGAAAGTGAAAAGTAACATTGGTCCAAGATCATGTGGACTGGTGGATACAATAGTCTACATTTCATAGTCTTAACTCAATAGTCTGTTACAATAGACTGACACAATAGTCTACCACTTAAAGTCTTCACTCAATAGCCTAATACAATGGTTTGTAAACTTGATAGTCTTCACATGAGAGTCTAATGCATACCCTTAACTCAATAGCCTTGACTGTTGACTTGATAGTGTTAACTCAATAGCTTTAACTCTACTGTCTTAACTCGATAGTCTTAACTCGATAGCCTTCACTATTAACTTGATAGCTTTAACTCAATAGTCTTAACTCAATAGTCTTAACTCAATAGTCCTAACTCAATAGCCTTCACTGTTAACTTGATAGTGTTAACTCGATAGCCTTAACTCAATAGTCTTAACTTGATAGCCTTAACTGTTAACTCAATAGCTTTAACTCAATAGTCTTAACTCGATAGCCTTAACTGTTAACTCGATAACTTTAACTCAATAGTCTTAACTCAATTGCCTTAACTCAATAGTCTTAACTTTATAGCCTAGTACAACAGTGTCAACTGCGAGAGAATAGTATCTTGACCGTGAAATGTGTAAAATGTAGCACAATGTCAGTGGTGTCGGTGCCCTGGGTGCCTGCCATATTCCCTGACTGGGACACATAATCCCAGTCCCCGGCCAATGTTACCTTCAACCTTCATCAATATTTCCCGGTGCCCAGGTTACAGGGTTAAAAAGCAAGCAAATGGTATCTTGACCATGAAATCTTTAAATTCTGGCAGAATGTCGGCAGTGTTGGTGCCCTGAGGGCCTGACACATTCCCCCGCCGCTCAACATGATCCCTGGCCAATGTTATTTTCCACCTTCATCAATATTTCCCGGTGCCCGAGTTACAGTGGTAAAAAGCAAGACTATAATGTGGCACAATGTCGGTGGTGTCGGTGCCCCGAGTGCCTGATATCTTCTCCCACTGGTCTCCCCGGGCTAAGGATCCCCTCGCCGAAGCTAATGGGCCGCATTCCAAATGCCCATTTACCGCTGACCCCATTTCCTGGTGTACTGCTGCCGATGTTTATTGACCCAGCCGATGTGACTAGACTGTTGTAGACCATTGCCGGCAATCATTCCTGATATCTATATGTGCATCCTGTTTCCAGAATACTATCACCGATGTAGGAGACGCCCCGTAAGGGAATATGTCACTGCATTATGTGCCGTACGGCACCATTTCCCCTTACTGGACGAAGTCATGCCTGCCTTCCACAGGCCGTTGCGGACCATCACACAAGGTTGTGGATTCCGCGCACCCTATCCATCGCATCGCATCGCAACGCACCATCCGTCCATGTCTTGTCTGCATCCATCCGTCCTCACTGGTGCGTTCTCATTCTTAGTTAGTCATTCCTAACCGTTCGCAGGGCCAGTTACATATCAGTTCCCATACACGAGGCTGCGTACCATTACTTACATGTAGCTCCTTCCGACTTCGCTTCCATATGCGCCCGCTTATACGGTTCCGGTTTCTTACAGACTCTGTTATATACTACGTCGCAGACTCGTACGGACCTCACTTTCCTACATTCCCTCTCTGGTTGTGTGTTGCGGAGTCACTAGCATAGTCTTACCTTGTCTTTCCTTGCTTGAGCAATCATCTGTTTGCCTTCTCATCTCACGCGAACACTCGCATCATCATCGACAGTTGGCTATTGCTAGATCCAGTTGAGTTCACTTGCAAGACAGTCCCGTCGCGTCCTGCATATACCTGGTACCTTACCCGTTTTACCTGTTTTCCTGTCCTGATACCTGGTACCTTCCCCGTCTCGCATACCTGGTACTCCCTAGACTTCGCATCCGCATACTCCGCATCCCTGCGCATCCTCGCACCTCTACGCATTCTCCCGCCAGCAGCCGTTCCATCTCCAGCGCATCACTTCCCTACTCACTGTTCCCCTCGCTCATACTTGAGGAACTGCTCTCAGAGCTATCCCCTTGGGTCGACTACTATTCTCGCACCCAGCAGGATCGGTACGCTATCACTATAGTGGACTTCTACGATTTCTCCCACACCGACCTTCCACCTTCATCAATATTTCCCAGTGCACGAGTTAGAGCGGTAAAAAGCGAGAAAATAGTATCTTGACCATGAAATCTTTACAATGTGGCAGAATGTTGGTGGTGTCGGCGCCCTGAGTGCCTGGCATATTCCCTGACCGGGACACACAATATTGGGCTAATGTTATCTCTCATATTCATCAATATTCCTCGGTGCACACATTAGAGGGGTAAAAAGCAAAAAAAAATGGTATTTTGTCCATGTCTTCTTTAGAGTCTGGCGGAATGTTGGCAGAGTCAGCGCCCCAAGTGCCTGACATATTCCCCCACTGGTCTACATCATGCTAGCCCAATGTTACCTCTCATATTCATCAGTGTCCCTCGGTGCATGAGTTAGAGGGGGGAAAAGCAAGAAAATGGTATCTTTAAATTCCGGCGGAATGTCGGCAGAGTCGGCGCCCTGGGTGCCTGACATATGCCCCCACCGGTCCTCATGATCCCCGGCCAATATTACCTCTCATATTCATCAATATTCCTCGGTGCACGTGTTAGGGGGGGTAAAAACCAGAAAAATGGTATCTTGACCATGAAATCTTTAAATTCCAGCAAAATATTGGCGGTGTCGGCGCCCCGAGTGCCTGACATACTCCCCCGCCGGTCTACATCATGCTAGCCTAATGTTACCTCTCATATTCATTGGTGTTCCTTGGTGCATGAGTTAGAGGGGGGAAAAGCAAGAAAATAATATCTTGACCATGAAATCTTTAAAGTCCGGTGGAATGTCAGCGGTGCCGGCGCCCTGGGTGCCTGACATATGCCCCTGCCGGTCCACATGATCCCCTGCCAATGTTACCTCTCACATTCATCTATATTTCCCGGTGCCCGAGTTACAGCGGTAACAAGCAAGAAAATGGTATCTTGACCATGAAATCTTTAAAGTCTGGTGGAATGTCGGCAGAGTCGGCGCCCAGAGTGCCTGGCATACTCCCCCGCCGGTCTACATCATGCTAGTCCAATGTTACCTCTCATATTCATCAATATTCCTCGGTGCACAAGTTAGAGGGGTAAAAACCAAAAAAATGTTATTTTGACCATGAAATCTTTAAAGTCCAGCAAAACATCGGCGGTGTCAGCGCCCCGAGTGCCTGACATACTCCCCCGCCAGTCAACATGATCCCCGGCCAATGTTACCTTCCACCTTCATCTATATTTCCCGGTGCCCGAGTTACAGCGGTAACAAGCAAGAAAATGGTATCTTGACCATGAAATCTTTAAAGTCTGGTGGAATGTCGGCAGAGTTGGTGCCCTGAGTGCCTGACATAGTTCCCCACCGGTCTATATCATGCTATTCCAATATTACCTCTCATATTCATCAATATCTCTCAGTGCATGAGTTAGAGGGGTAAAAGGCAAAAAAATGGTATCTTGACCATGAATCTGTAAAATGCGGCAGAATGTCGGCGGTGTCGGCTCCCTGGGTGCCTGACATATGCCCCTGCCGGTCCACATGATCCCCGGCCAATGTTACCTTCCACCTTCATCAATATTTCCCGGTGCCCGAGTTACAGCGGTAACAAGCCAGACAACAGTATCTTGACCATAAAATCTTTCAATTCCGGTGGAATGTCAGCGGTGCTGGCGCCCTGGGTGCCTGGAATATTCCCTTACCAGGACACACAATCCCGGGCTAATGTTACCACCCATATTCATCAATATTGCTCGGTGCATGTATTAGAGGGGTAAAAAGCAAAACAAAATGGTATTTTGACCACAAAATATTTAAAGTCCGGCGGAATGTCGGCAATGTCATTGCCCTGAGTGTGTGACATATTCTCCGATTGGTCTATATGATCCCTGGGCTGCATTCCAAATGCCCATTTATTGCCGACCCCATTTCCCGGTGTACTGGCGCCAATACTTATTGACCCGGCCGATGCAAATAGACCGTTGTAGACCATCACTAGCAATCATTCCCCATATTCATATGCACATCCTATTTCCCAGAATACAATCACCGATGCTAATGGACAATTGCCGGACATCATACCTGATATCCATTCGCCGATGCTGTTTTCCAGGATCCCATTGCCGAAGCTAATGGGCCGCATTCCAAATGCCCATTTGCCGCCAACCCCATTTCCCGGCCTCCTGCCGCCAACCCAATTTCCCGGCCTACTGCTGCTGATACTTATGGACCATGGGCCCACCCGAAAGTGGTCAGGACTCAATATTGTAGGCCCACCCCTCAACACACATACATTAATTCCGATACCCATGGGCCCACTCCGGAGCATCGAGCCCATTCTACTGTGGGCCCAGCCCTAACAGCCGGGGACAATGCATCCGTGGGCCCACCTATAAGCATCGGATGACAATCTAATGTGGGCCCATGGTGGGCTGGCCCAACACCTATGGAGAAATGTCAACTTGGGCTGGCCGAGTCTATAGGGTCAAGTCACTGAAGGGGCTCCCATTTTGGGCATACACGGTAAGCAGTTTGTTGATGATTGCCAACAGATATTTTGCACTGCTGAAATGCATTAGTGCAAACAAAATGATTTCAAAACAAGGTCTTACAGTTCTCCGCTTCAGATCATATCACACACCAGAAGCACAAAACGATGTTGGCACGAAGCAATGAAAATCCCTGACTCTTCAAATATGGCGAACATCCTCTTATGTGTTTCTGGTCCGGTGTTTCTCCACCAATTCACACACGAGAACGCTCCTGGAAGATTTGTGTCTGTGGACTCATCCTGCCAGTCATCATCACTCTTTGAGTCCATCTAAAAGATAATGTTAGAACATAGTTGTATGAATAGCAGACACTTACTTGTCAGGATTTTACTTTATCCTTAAACTTGTCAATGGTGGTGGTGTGAATCCAATAATCCGAACGGGCATTGCGAGAATCAGATTGGGTGGTTGTCCCATAAATGGTTGAGTCCCATCGCTTGAAGCTATTATTACTGTTGATGGATACTAGCCATTCAAAATCAAGTGCAGGCTCATCGTCAAGCTTATAACAGCATGCAGGGCATAAGTTTAGCAGACACCAGTTGATGGTATCCTGTTTGAGTGCGCCCCACAGACACTGCTTCACACAATGAACGATTTCTAGCAAAGTGTCATAGGCTGCGGAGAATTGTGTTCTTAGGTACAGTCAATATGGAACCTATGAATTCAACTTAAATAAGCAAACCTTGATGTAAGTGAACTACATACATCATGAAGGTAACACAAAGTTTTGCATTGTGATTGGATACTAAACCGAGGACACGTTCAATGTGATTGATGGTAGGTAGCAAGTGTACGAAGTGATATCGCAACAGAAGGATACATTGGGGCACACCCAATGTATCCATAGTAGATAAGAGTTTCATTGGGGTAATGGTGTGACAGTAATGGTTGAAGATGTGTGTGCCTTCTTGCTGCAAAGAAGGAATAAGCATCAAGATATAAAGCACTGTTTCAAACTTACTGAAATTATCAATTAGTTTAATGTCATTAATTGAAAATGATGCATTAACACCTGACATGTTCTGATCTGACATATCTGGCATATCATCCCCAGAATCTCGACAGCGATAGTCTAAGTAGACGTCAACTAGGCGATCCATCTGAAGGTTCCAATGAGTTGTTTGAGTTTCTGTCCATTCTCCCCGAGATCGTGGGTCAATGTGATGACTACATGGGTGTTAACATCGGAAGAGTCGCTCATATTTGTGAACACATACTGTCCAGTGAGATCTGCCAGTTGGTGAGTGAGCCCTTCAAAGGCCTCATGCTCCCCACCTGCATGACTGAGGTCAAAAGCCTCTTCACCTGGAGGTGCTGTATGTGTGAATGCCTCCACTTCCACTCCAAAATCTGCCATCATATTCTCAATGGTGCTTCGGTCCTCTGCCGATGTAGAGAGCGATATCTCTACAGGCTCATACTCCCCCATTTGTACATCGACCTCATCCCTATCCCCACATATGCGCAGTCCTATAGAGACGTGTGCTACACGCGCGACATATCAGTGACCTTCCACACCCTTCTGCAGCCCGGCACTATGTTTGGCATACCCTCCCATGTCCTGTCCTGTCTGTCCGGTACCGTTGGTGCGTACTCTCACTGTCATCTCCGTCTCTGACCACATCCAGGGTCTTTTACATAGTGTTACATACTTGTCCGCTACCTATACGCTTCCGCGCAGCCTATCCACTTCCCTTATGTTTCATTACCCTGAGAGCGTGCGTAGCGACATACATATCTAGAAGGCTCAGAGGATTTCGGACTTACTTACTTTTCCCTTACTTGGACTCTCTATCTGTTTTCCGCTTAGTTGCGCATAGAGCGCTAATATCATCACTGCATTTGTCTATCATCTTCCTAGTCTTGAGAAGACTTGTCTTTCAGTTAAAGGAGAGTTCCTATTATCTTCCACCGACATTCCTCTACTCCATGCATACCGCACACATTCTGACTCTTCCGCACAACTCGTGTGTTCCGTGCACTCATCGCATCGGCCCTGCGCGTTCATCCGGCTTGAGCCTTTCTCTTGATCCCTCTCATCATTTAGAGAGATTGTCTCAGTAGCATCCCTTAAGGGACGATTCTACTAAGCTCACCTCTCGAGGTAGATATCCTTGTGACTCCCCAGAGTTCGCATCTCTATTTCCTCACCCACACCGACATCTCTGGTGTGGTATTAGCTTTGTATTGACGAAGAACACAGATGTACCTTGTAGAGCATCCTGTTGGCTTGAATCTGCCTGTGCCATGCACTGGCATTGTTTGCCAGCCATCACAATTTTCAAATAGCGGTGGCGCCCTCTAAATTTGTGTAATATGACAGATTTGGAGAGCCCTTTGACCCTCCCAATGCCTGAGGTGCGAGGCATTGGCTGGGTTGGGGTGGTGGTGCAACAAGATGGAGGGTGAGGGTACAAGGGAAGGTGTTGGCACAAGGGAGGCAGCAAGAGGGATGATGAGGAGGGGAACACCAGGGACAATGAGGAGGGGAACACCAGCAATGATGAGGAGAAATGGAACACCAAGGACAATGAACATGACAATGGGCATGATGAGGAGGAGAGATGGGAAGCATGGGAAGCTGTTTGATTCGAATTAGGAAGCATAGCAGGCATTGTGGAAGGTGCCAGATTAAAATAGACAGATGACGCAATTAATGCCAGGTGGGATACCTGCTGAATAGGTCCGTGTGCCCACCCCTACCATAGTGAGGTAGGTACAGTATTTATTGAAGGTATTTGGGAGAAGCTGGGGCACTATTTAATGCTGGTGTTGAGATTTAACGGATCCAAGCCTAATTAAAGTTGGCAAGGCACATAACTACCAAGTATAATAAGGCTTATTAATGGGGCATCCCAGGTGGAATTCTCTGATGTGACCCCAACAAAGGGGAATTAGGGTACTGCACAGGTAAACCCGCTGGTATAGGCAGTCATACCTGTCATGTGGGTGCAAATTTTCCTGCGGGTATCAACATACATAATGGACCCGGGGTATACCCGCGGGTCACAACAAAAAAACACACACAAAATAATGAATAGCATGAAAGATAATGAAAATAAATGTGATGCTATTCTACCTGGATAATTCTGTCCCAACCCTCATCCATTGCTTCCTCTTCACCAATGACATCTGGGAGCTTAGAAATGTGAATGATAACCTCAGATTCGACCAGGCCCAACTCGCTCCATAAACCGACACAAATCAGTGCGCGAGTTGACTGCACCCATAAACAATTTCTGACATGTGACAGGATGAGACGCCCGCGACTGAAGAGGCATTCAACATCTACAGATGTTGCTATAGGCAATGTGAGCATACAACATATTAAAAAAACACGCTACATACCAGGGATGGTTAGATGGTCAATGGCCATGCGTGACAGCCGGGGGAATGATTTCCGATGTTCGTGCCACCAACTGATAGGGTTGGTGACATGTTCCACGCCCATACTAAGGTAACAGTTGAGTTCAGAGCCCAAATTAGTAGGTTTGGGGGCTGCGAGTGCTGGGAGGTTGTCAAAAATGTTGTTGCTCTAAGATTTAGTCAGTATGAACACCAAGTAAAAAGCAAATAGAAAAATACCATCCATATATCACCATTTGACTCCAAGATGTCCTCCTCACACCCCAGGTCAGTGTTACGATAACATACTTCGGACCGGTGTAGAGAGCGATATCTCTACAGGCTTGTATCCCCCTATTTCCACATTGACCTCATCACTATCCATAGGTAGGCGCAGCCCTATAGACGCACACCCAGTATACGCGACCACCTGCGCTTTCGCGCACTTCACGCGCGAGTCGCGCGCATAGATACCTACTGGCGCCCTACTCGGATTACCCTCACATGTCATGTCCTGTCTGTCCGGCTCCGCTGGTGCGTGTTCTCACTGTTATATCTGTCGCTGACCACATCCAGGGTCCTTTACATACCAACTTATCACATATCCGCTTACCTATGCGCTTCCACGCAGCCTATCCGATTCCTTTACGGTTCCACACCCTGAGAGCGTGCATAGTGACCTACATATCTAGAGGACTTAGAGGATTTTCGGACTTACTTACCTTCTGTTACTTGGACTTACTATCTGTTTTGCTGTCGAGTCGCGCATAGAACACTAATATCATCACCGCCCCTGTTTATCATCTCCCTTGTCTTCTAAAGTCTCGCCTATCAGTTCTGAGAAGGATCCATATTGATTTCAGTCGCTGAATATATATCTCGCGCACATCGCGCACTTTCTGACTCTTCCGTATATCCCGCGCGCCCATCACATCGGCTTTGCACATCTTCGCGCGCCTTCGCATATCTTCAGCATCAGCTACTCTCTTGATCCCTCTCATTATTAGAGAGATTGTCTCAGTAGAATCCCCCAAGGGACAAATCTACTAGCTCGCCTCTCTCGCCTCTCGAGGTAGATATCCTTGTGACTCCCCGGAGTTCGCATCTCTATTTCCCTCACCCACACCGGACCCCCCTATCCTTTCTCACCTTGTACTGCCTTATGACGTCCTCATCATCTTCTTGTATAGCATCCTTGATCGCCGCCTTATCTTGTATCTCTTATCTTGTACCCTGCACCCTTACCATTGCCTCGGTAGTCTTGCCCTGAAGTGACCTTTACCTATAAGTAGTCGATCAGCTTGTCCTGTATTCTCTAACTTGAATCTACTCAGTATTCTGATAGACCTTCCTCTGAGCAGGATCGCTCTCGTATTACTTCTTCACTTAAAGACTCTTCATCTTAAGTGTCTGATACTCAATTGATACCATTAGCCTTGTCTATACTTGACGACCCTTGTCACCAAGTACTGACACCAAACGACGATACACGAACCTTTGCATTATCTTCGTCTCTGTTAAGACTTAGTACGAAGCTCCTACCTGAGTCTACACTTTTAGCGTAACAGTCATCGGCTGATGAGTATGAGCGTTCGAACTCTTCACGCACAAGTTGCTCCGCAGTTTTGATCCAGCTGTCTTCCCAATGTGCTGCCTTAAAGTATGATAACTTATGTTGGGGTTGTAACACTAGTATAACGAATCATGATGTTAGAAAAAAAACCTGTGAATATTGAACAGAACTTACCCATTGAGATTCAATATGTGCGAGACCTGTCGGTAAGCTGATAGTACTGGTTGAGTGTATTTGTCGCCAGCTTAACTGCCAAATGAATTGAGGGCAGATATTTCTTGTTTTCCAAATAGGAGGTGAGCATCTTATCAATGTGATCCATGGCTGGGATCACCGTCACAAGGTTGGGTGTTGCACGCGAGAAGTAAAGTGAAGTGTGGTGTCCTTTAGAATCTAACAAGTGCAAAAAATGTCACATGAGCATGTGTGGTGTCTGGAAATGCACAAACCTTAAGTACATCCCGCAATTGCTGTAGTATTACCCACTCAGTGTCCTCCAACTCATACTTTCGTAAACCTAAGTCCCGCCGTTGCATAACAGCATCTATGGCCTCTCAATGTGCAAGCACGTAGTCCAACATATTGAACATCAAATTCCATTGTGTGGCCACATCCCATTGTGGGAGAAATCATAGAAGTCCGCTATAGTGATAGTGTACCAATCCTGCTGGGTGCGAGAATAGTAATCGACCCAAGGGATAGCTCTGAGAGCAGTTCCTCAAGTATGAGCGAGGGGAACAGTGAGGAGGGAAGTGATGTGCTGAAGACAGAACAGCTGCGTGCGGGAGGATGCGTAGGGATGCAGAGTATGCGGATGCGAAGTCTAGGGAGTACCGGGTATGCGGGACAGGTAAGGTACCAGGTATATGCGAAGACATGTAGGGACTGTCTTCCAGGTGAACTCAACTGGGACTAGCAATAGTCAACTGTCGATGACAATGCGAGCATTCGCGCGGGATGAGAAGGCAAACAAGTGATTGCTCAAGCAAGGAAAGACAATGTAGGACTAATGCTAGTGACTCCGCAACACACGTCCAGAGAGGGAATGTAGGAAAGTACAGTCCGTACGAGCTTGCAATCAGTATATATAGTGGATCGTATGGAACCGGAACCATGTAGGCGAACACATCTACAAGCGAGGTCGTGAGGAGATAGTATGTAAGTAACACTATGTGGCCTCATGTACTGAAGACCCATATGTAACAATCCTGCGAATGGTCAGGAACGACTAATGAAAATGGAACATGCACCAGTGGGGGCAGACAGACTCGGATAGGATACGGAGGGGCGATGCGCGGTCCTGTGATGCGTAGTCCGGGATGCGCATGTTCCACAACTACGAGTGACGGTCCACAACAGGTTAGGGTAGTCTGTAACGATAGACGTGACCTTGTCTAGTTAATGGAAGTGGTGCTGTATGGGGCTGCAGCCAGAATGTCTCCTACACTGTGGCATAAGGGTTTGGGCTTGCGACAAATCCTTGAGGATACCCTGCCATGTGGGAAGGACAATAGTAGTTGAATGGATGATCTTGAATGCAAGCTTGTGCGGCTGGGGCATAAGTTGAGGTCAATGGTGAGTTCTCTTTTGTTGCATGCACTTACTTTGACCAGCACTAATTTGACTGGTCGAATTTATTTGTTCAGTGCGATCTGTTCTTGCTCATCCAACAACTCAACCTCATCAATAAATCCATCATTGTTATCTACCTCATCTGTTGCCCCTGCATCCTCTTCCATCTCTGCACTAAGTTCTTCCAGCTCCATGTCAGTACTATGCGCCAATGCTTGGTCGGCTTCTTGTTTCTTCATGTCAAATTCATGGATCAAAGATTTCACCACCAGATTTACAGTGTGGAGGAAACACCTGGTATGAGTGGTTGGCCCACCAAACTCCAGCACCTTGCCGCTCAGTTCACAAATCATGGCATCATCATTGGACGCATTATCACAAGTCACGCTCAGGATCTGTGCACCATGGATTTAGTTGCATGTAGGTTTGTTATTTTTTTGAATCATTACCTTTTCTGATATGCCAAATTCTTCTAGCATTTTGGCAAATGTCTCCACAAGCTCTTCACCGGTGTGGGACTATGAACCTCTTAGCACACATACAGATACTACATAGGTAAGTTTTTACCTTCCTGACTTCCACAACATCCAATGGTATGCTTAGTGGCTCTCCCTCGTGCTCAAAGTGGGCCAAAAATGTGACCAATGCACAATGGTTGGGTGACAACCAACTGTCAGTAGTAAAATTTATTTTACCATCATATTCCTGGTATGTATTGATTATTTGTTTGTTTATTAATGAAAATCACTTACCTGTAGCATTGTAGCAACACGCTGTCGAGTCTGCATGAAGACTTGTCAAACATCATGTGAAACAGTGGATGGTGAAGGTATGTACTATTCAGGTCTCTCTGTTTTCATCAGCGACTGAAATGTGCGGTCCTTGACAATATCAAATGGACACAGGCTCTCGGATACCCAGTGCACAAGTTCAGCCCTGAAGCCAGATGTTTTGTCAGATTCCCAAGGCTTTGATGAGACTGTCTTCATACCTTGTTTCTACATGTGTATGTTGACAGTGTTACAGTAACATGGCCTATGACCATTGTCATAACAGACAGTGGGGGTAAGTAACTTTCCCTTTGCCATTGCATTCAAATGATGTGGTGATTGATCTGTTTCGCAGGAAACTACCGATGATCTTCTGGTGCACCTCATTGGCATTCTTGGCCTAATCAGCAGCTTTCAACACTTCATCGCCCCAGCACAAACAAAACATGCTTCCACATGTTACCAGTCAAGTGGGCATCACCCTTGTCAAGGTACCATCACACTTTGGTCTTGCACCTCTTGGCTTGGCACTTGAAATCATGAGCATGACAGCCATCAATTTCAATAATCTGGGGGTGTTGCATCAAAAAACGTGTAGACTGGTGAGTTCCAGTCATTCATTAGATGTTCTGTTTTGTACTGAATTAATGTGATATTCATATCAAGGTTGTTGCACGTACTGAGCTCATCTTCTGCTGTCTCATCTGCTTCATCTTCAGCATCCTCTGATACTGTGCTACTGGCCTCAGTTTTGTCACCATCATCTTCATTCAACAAATTCTCTTCCTCCTCAGTGCACACAACAGCACATCAACTCAGAACTGAGTCTGGATGTGGAGAGGCTGTGACAGGCCTATTTTTGTCAACTGGCTCGTCTTCGTCTGTAGATCCTGCACTATTGGTGGGAGTGTTACCAGACAGTAGGTTTTTTTGCCTTCTTGGGGTGCATGTTCGCACTATCTCCACTGCCATCATTTTTCCGCTTTGACGAAGTTCTTATTGTCTTCTCTTCTAGAGCTGCTTTAGCCTTCCCGTCATTTTGAAAACTCGTTTGGCTGGGCCTGCAAAGCTGAGCTGCATGATGGGCAGTACTAGTAGGTGAAGGTTTGCAAATGTGTAGGATTACTATCTATAAAGTATGGCCCGATGGTGCTGGGAATGGTCCTCACTAGCTTGTGTGGATTTCATGGATTTCATGTATTTCACTAATGCCACATGTTTTGTGGTTAGCTCACTTATCGCTTAGTCCTCTGAATTTGGAAACTCATGTGGTTTTCTCACGCGGTTTTTTCAAGCACCGACTCAGTTCCACTTCTTTGTTCATATCTGGGCAGCACCCCTGTGTTTTGCACAACTGTGGTTTATGTAGCCTATGTGTATATGCATGAAAGTAATCATTGAAAATTCAAATGTGAAGGTAGTAATGGAGAATCAAATTTTCTGGGACCCGTGGTCCAGAAGGAACACTGATAAGAATGAGTGCCAGTGGCCAAACATGGAAGTTGGTTTTATATACATGACAAAAAATATTTATTGAAATTAAAACAAATGAGCATGAGGTGAGATGAGGATGGGAGGGAGGACAGGAGAACGGGAGATCAGGAGAGCAAGAGATCGGGAGAATGGGAGAATGAGAGAACAGAAGAGTGAGAGAATGGGAGAATGGGAGAGCAAGAGATCAGGAGAACGGGAAAACTGTAAAGCAAGAGAATGGGAGAGCAAGAGAACTGTAGAGCAAGAGATCAGGAGAGCAGGAGAGCAGGAGAGCAAGAGAACTGTAGAGCAAGAAAACAGGAGAACTGGAAAATGGGAGGACAGGAGAGATGGAAAACAGGAGATGGGAGACAAGAGACAGGAGAATAGGGGGGACAGGAGAACAGGAGAACAGGGGACAGGAGAATATGTGACGGGAGACGGTGTGCTGACAACTTCTCCACAGGCTGTAGAGAATATGTTGGGTCTTACTGGCCTAGGCTAGTTTGACCCTAAAGGGTCTCTGCTCTAGGCTCAGTGCTCAAGGAGAGAGAAACAGCAAGAAAACAAAACAAAAAGACAGGGGACTTTCAGACCAATACTGGTACTAGGTCAAAACTTCATTCAATTATGTCAGCAGTAAGAGTACCAACATAAAGTAAGTAAAACATCAATTGTGAGGCCAGGGAAAGAAAGTTCTGCACAATGGGATAACAGAACAACAGGAGAACAGGAGAATGGGAGAATGGGAGAATGGGGGGACAAGGAAATACAAGACAGGAGGATGGGAGGACAGGGGGGCAGCAAAATGCAAGATGGGAGACAGGAGAACAGGCGATTGCAAGAATGGGGGGGCAGGAAAATGCAAGATGGGAGAACAACAGCACAAAATGTGAGACTGACCCCTCAGCCAGCAGGATTTGTGCAATGTATGATAATTTTTATTAATCATAAAAGTATACAAAAAATATGATTTATTTTAAAATCTGCTATGATTGTTAAGGAGTTGAGGTACCGCAGGCACCTCCCAAAGGAGCGCGAAGCGCTCCGCTGCCTTCCTGTGCCGAAGGCACAACAGGTGTGGGCCAGTAGTCATTAGAGATTGACAGTTCACCAACTACACAGTTGCTTCTTTAGGTAGTCGAAATACATTGTTCGCATGGCACCCATTTTTATCGAAACCTGTGGCAGGGGTACGAGTAGGGGTACGGGTACCATGACCCCAGACCCGTACCCCGGAGGTACCCGTACCCGTGACCCGCGCAGGTTACCCATACCCGCGCAGTACCTAAGAAGAATGGAAGAGACCACAGCCCAAGTGTATCAAACAGCCGGAGCCATATGGTTTTTAGAGTCATGATTCAAAGCACTGCTAGTATGCATCCTTCGCAGAGCTGCGAATGCAATTCGCATGAGTCAGTGTGACCCTCTCAAGCACGAACTGCTCCTAAACTTATACATCAGTAATTACTCGAGGTTATACTTCAACATCTTGTCATCACTAGATCTTGCCTCAGCTTGAATATCACCATCAAAAAACTTTCCCGAAGGCACCGCTTTCATTAGGAATCCAATTCCAAGGTGCGAAAAACTCCTCCACGGTCGAGGATTCACAATGCTGGCATCGATCGCGTTTCGGCAATCAGGCCTTTATGCCCATCAATCCGAGCCTTCATAAGCTCCATCCTTGCTCTCATCTCCCCCATCTCGTCCTTTAAATCGGCGTTTTCCTCTCTCAACCTGGCGTTGGTTGCGGCGAGCTCAGACTTCTCAGCCATAAATGCTGCTATCTCAGCTTCGGGAAGGCGTCGGGAGGCATCACACTTCTTCTGAAGTAGAGAAAGACGAGCCTCTAGTGCCTGGTTTTGTCGTCGATGGCTCCTACAACAATATTATGTTCAAGATACATACTAAGCAAATGGAACTCATACCGAGCATCCTCGCTCATTTGCTCGCATGTCTTTTGATAGCTCCCCAAATGCAGCTCCGCCTGCTTGAATTGTGTTCTTAGTTGCTGGAGCTCTTCAGCCCGATCATTGAATTTCTGGAAGTCTGCGTCCCTACAAACAAATCAGCGAACATCAATGCGGAAACCAGCGTGAAGAAGTCGAACCAGAGACGTTGCATGCGAATGTGCTGCTCAATCTGTCGCTCATAGTCCCTTAGACGGTCGACCTTGTGCTGAGTTTCCTTCCTCTGAGTCTGGAGCTCAAACACTTGCTTTGCCGCATCCGCGAGCAGTTGTCCTTGAGCAGCAAAAAGAGCCTGAGTGAAATTAGTATACGATCGTGGTGACAAATGAAGTTCTACCTGAGCTTCTTTCTCCGCCGTCCGTAGCGAAGCGGCTTCAGAGACCCATGCCTTCTTCTCCTCTCGAAACTCTTTCAGCTTGTTCTGCAGTTCAGTATTCCAATCAGCATATTTGTTTTTTGCGGACGATGATTGCTCCCTGTGCTCCCTCAACTGGCGATCTAACCGCTGAACCTCGGCTCTGTAGTGGCGTAGTTTGTTGAACTATTCCTTGATGATCAGCATGCTGAATATTCCGTAAACAAAACACACACCAGTCCCTGCTGCTCAACTTCTGCATTTTTGGACAAGATCCGATCTTGGTAGAGGCGTCCAATGTGCTTCACGTTCTCCCGCGAAAGCCAAAGTTCAAAGTTTAGTTCATTGCGCAGAAGTAGAACTTCACGCTGAAGACCAGAAATTGCCTGTGCAACGTGAGATGGAAGTTGTTCATTGTAAGTATTTGGCTCTGACGGCATATCGAACAAGCGCTTTGTCGGAGAATTGTTCCCTGTAGGGAACAACAGGGATGACCAGGCGGCAGTTGGGGCATCGATCTCCACGTCCAGGTTGGATTTGAGCGCAACGGATGCCGTGATCATGCTCTCCAACGAGACGCGGGTCTTTGTAGCTGGCAGTTCTGCATAGCCAGGGTGAGGCGTTGGTGCCGTTGAAGTGTCTCCGTCAAATATAGTAGTTAACCCGAGGACTGGTGGTTCAGCAGTAGCCGACGCGATGTCAACAGAGAACTGCTTGCTGCCTAGAGCTGTGTTGCGCACGTCAAGCATCGTGCACTCGCTCGCTATGCGAGAGACACTGTAATTCGCCCACGTATCGGGTTCTGTCAGCTCCTTGGTCCAATCTCCCCATATGACTCTTGAATTTACGATCCTTCCTCGTAAAAGCGACTGCAAGCTGCATTCAGTTATAAGAATCAAAATAAATGTACATTTCGCACCTCTGATTTACTTCTTATGTTGTCTTCATCGAGTGCATCTTCCCAACTAATAGAGTAGGGCGATTCATAGCCCCTATCGTTAATGTATGCTGAGGGGCCGCGTAGGAAGCGGAGCAAGTTACACGGGAACAAATAGTAGAGGCAGGAAAAATAAATCCCAGGTGGTGGGGCAGAAGATGCGGCATTAAACGTGAGCTCAAGCCTTTCCCAGCCAAGCTCAGGTCGCAAGGGCAGATTAGAGGATGCAGTGGATTCGTTTTGCGCTGATTCTTGCGCATCGCAATTCGCAGAATTTTCATCTGTATCTTCAGCCCCCTCCTCAAATGCTGGTTTAGGAACTGATCTCTCCTTCCAGCATATAATTCTTGCAAGAATTGCAAGAAGACGAGGGAGCATCATCTTCAGCTCCTGGCATGCTTTAACAGCAAAGATAGGGAGAAGCTTGACTATGACAGTCAAACCAATGGTGCACACCGTCGAAGAATTGTCCAGCAGCAGCGAGTTGAGGAGGCTATCTAATAAAGGGTGGTCGGCGAATGCTGCTGCGAGGGACTGGAACGGGGGTTCTGAAGTGTATCGATTGAGCAGGATCAACAGTTGTAGGCGCGATGACGGCGTCGCAAAGGAGTAGTTTATTGCGGACATAAAATCCTAAGCATGTTCTTCAGCACGTCTGGATGAGACAAACTGCATCTGTCGAATACCTGAGGCCGACGCAATCCAGACTTCACGAGGACATCTTCTAGATTGAACTTCCACAGCGATCTTTTCTCCCTCTGTTCCTGGTCGAGTTCGGCCCACTCCAATAGGTCATCGCCAGATCCTTCATTGTACGCGTCCAAAACATAAAGGTCAAGGAGGCGACGTCGAAACTCGCCCACCTTCTCGGGATACCTTTCGTCTGTTCTATCTGCTGCAGAGATTATCAATTCCTTGGCATGGTTGACAGCTGGAGTGGAGAGCCGCGGCTCTCGCAAGGCAGGACGAAGAACGAGGTCGAACCATGTTGAGATGACCGAAATTGATGTTAACAAGGGCCGCAAGCGGTATAGGATGGACAATAGCACTTCAGTATGCTGGAGAGAATTGTGGGTGATTGTATCGCTGTGGAATGATTGGAGTTCCTCTTCCAGTCGGAAGAGTAAAACATCTGGCTCTTTAGACACAGCACATTCACGGATAAATTCGTCTACAGCCTGGAGAGCATGTTCTAGTCGCGCATCGTCGGGAGCTTCTTCTAATATTATGCGGACCTGGTGGGACAGAGCTGTTATCGACATAAGCAAAGTAATAACCTCTGCCAGTGACTGAGAGGGTTCCACTAGCTTTACATAAACGTGACACCTCACAAGCGCTAGTCGCTCATTTGACTTGACTTTAAATTGTCAAAATTTACATGCCTAGTTGATCATGATACTAATACAAGCTGCAATTGTACGCCGACGTTTCCAATCAAATGTTTGCACGATCTTACTTCTGAATTCGAGTTTCCTCTGACTTGAACGTTATACCTGTACCACTCGCTTCCCATTGATCCGCTTTGTTATCCTTCTGATAAGGCGGCAAATAGCCTTCACGAAGCTTCTTCTTTGCTGATGACGAGATCTTAGAGCGCTCATCCCGGAGACGGACGGCCTCGTCGCTGGTTTGGTTATCGCCAGTGAAAGACATCATAAGATGAGGAGGTCCAAGTGGCAGTTCAGGAAACTCGTCGAAAGCCCACGTATGAATGGTCTTTCCATAAGTCTGATGCAAATGCAGCATAACTGGCTGCTCCGCTGTGTCGTTCATGACACCTACAAAACGATTAGGACGGCCGCAACATAAACACTCCACGCTACTCACTGGGAACAAAGCCTTTCGTCTAACAGAAAGGATTATTCAAATGATTCTCCTGTACACCGCCAAAGCTTACCTCGAGGCAAAGAATCCCGCTTTCCACCTAGCAAAGGCGTGAATGATTGAAAAGGAGGAATACTAGCTGAATGACAGACCTCGTACTTGTGTGAGTGCCAATACCTCTTCTCTTCTTCTGGAAGCGACTTGAAAATCTGCACAACAGTTAGTAAAGAGCAAATTGTTGCCTGAATGGCCAGGCACCTGTTCAGACACAATATACTCGATGCCGATCAACCTAGCATCAGGTGCGTCGGAGTCGTAGATTACGCACTGATGAATGGTAAACAAAATGGATCGTCAGACTTATTCAAAATCCCCACCTGATGAAAATCCTTTGAGCGGTGGCTGCAAAAATGGTGAGACTCTACATGACGCGTATGGTCTTGTCTGAGATGTGTTCAGTAGGAAGAACTACGACGTGCAAATGATATGCGTACGCATATGTATGGAATGCGCTAAGATGTTGTTGAATGTTGTTGATAGGGGTGAAGGTCGCCATTGCCGCCTCAACCACCTCGGGAACTTTGACAAGCTTGATTTCTGTACTCATAGCGAAAAGCTGAGAAATAAGGAGTTAAGTGCGAATGGCTTGTCACTTATAACTCGTTGGGAGTCTCTGGGCATGACGTCGTGGTTGCGTCATGAAATCGTTGAGAAAGTGGACGAGGGGAACGAGGAGGACGTTGATTACATCGAAATCACCATTGTTTCGAGTAACATTTGTCACAAATTCGTACGATGATTCCTTGGCTCTCACATGAGAAGCCGAAACAGTTATAATATGGCAAAGTTGATGTCTCAAGAGTCAAGGTGATACGAGTGCACGAGTGCGGGAGGTTGCCTTTTCGGCAAATGCCGAATTCACAAGTCGAAGCTGCTTGCTCGCTGTTGACAACAACGAGTACACATTCATCCAAAAAATCCTCATAAAACCAAAGGTGAGCGTCATTTATGACATTGAAAGCCTCGGAACAACATTGCTCTGAGGAATCGAGAATCTTTGGATGGATTGACAATGATCATTTTGGATGTACTCGAACACATCACTGACGCGTCCTTTAGATGTCCGCCACCATTGAGGAACTCCCTTCGGACCACTCTGACCACGAGGAGGACCCCACCTCCCAGGCTGCTCTCGACAAAATTCAGTCTCGTTCAGAGCGAAAGGCCCGGAAGGCTCTTCTTGGTTTGGGTTTGAAGAAGGTCCCCAGCATCACCCGCGTGACCCTCCGCAGGCCCAAGAACGTGTTGTTCGTCCTCTCTTCCCCCGATGTCTACAAGTCGCAAAACAGCGACTGCTACATCGTGTTTGGTGAAGCGAAGGTAGGCAGGACGGATGAATATTTAGCTTTTGATGTTGATATCTCGTTCTTATAGATTGAGGACATGAACTCGCAAGCTCAGATGTCTACGGCTCAGCAACTTGCTTCTGCCGGCGGTGCAGGTGCAGGGGTCATGAACCTTGAAAACTCTGGTGCGGGCGGTGAGGGTGATGATGATGACGACATCCCAGATCTCGAGGCACCAGAAGACGACGGACCAGTTGATGAGACGAATGTCGATCCTAAAGACATCGAATTGGTCATGGCACAAGTCAACTGCTCAAGGGCTAAGGCCGTCAGAGTATTGAAAGAGAGCGGAGGAGATCTGATCAATGCCAGTGAGTCGACTTTGTTACGCCTTTACCCTTCTGGCTTAACATCTTGGATAGTTATGGCAGCGAGCGAATAATCTTCTATCTTGCTCAGTGCTCTGGTTTCTCGTCACTGTATCATATCATTGCTTTGCTCATGCAAGTTATTCGCATCGGGCGCATTCTATTGATGATGAGACGTTCGTATCTCAATGGCATCGAAATTCAAGATACCCAGCGCCGTAACTCGACATAATAATTTGACCGTTCCCATCCTTCTTGGATAATCTCAACGCCTCTGCATCCCTTAGTATTTGCGCTCTCCTGCGGTCCAACCATAAGCCCAAGCTCTTCAGCCGCTTGAATAGTAAGCTGTTTGAGTTCGCATTTCGCAAACATATGATAGTATCTGTTGTATACGGGAGTCTCCGCCGCTATCATTGCAACAGCTGCGTCTTCCTTCGATGTAGCTGAAGAGGGGGTGTCGCCTTTGAATTTCCCTTTCGCGGTGTGCTGGTGCTGAGACATCATCCAGGGCACGAATACATCTTCGCCAGTTGTAGGGTGATTATCCGATCCGTTGGTGCCACTAGCTGGGATCGACCGTTTGGATAGCTCATCCTGCTCAATAGCCCACACATAGATCATCATACGTCCATGAATGGGAGAGACAGCCTGTAAAAGATGCTACAGATCATGCCGAGTTAGTTATGGGCCCTCCGTTTGAAAAGAAAGGAAGTCCTCACCTGAACAGCCAGCTTTCGACGGTCGTGCGATGCCAGGTGATGGATCGTAGCTATAGATATGGCGTAATCCTGTCAAACGGCGGTCAAGAAGAGTCGTCTTACAATGAATAACAGCCATTATTGCTCACGAATACACCTGATCTCCAACAGCTCCCAAGGACATCACCCCAAACAACCTCCCGAGTGACCAGAACACCAGGCTCGCTGCCGGCGTGCTGGGCGATCTGAAGCAAGTTGCGACTCCGATCAAGGCCGATTGTTAGTATACTGCCGGGGCGATGTGCAGGCAGAGGAAGATATTTCCCGTTCCCTGTTCCCGAGTCCAGGCCAATCCAACCACTTGGGAGGTCAGAAAGAAATTTGGCTATGATGGGCCAAGGCTAAAAGACGCGATTAACATGTCGTGGTCACTTATTTTTCGATACGGCGTCCGCACCTTGTATCGAGTGGATGAAAAGTGAGAGGCAATCTGGTCATACACAGCGTGAACGTGTTGGTCTTCATGTGCTTGGGGATCGTCGGTAATCGTGACGCTTTTTACAGGTTTCATTTCATCGATGGATTATCGATTATCGTCGTGGTATGGGTACGACATGGATATCGGGAAAGTACTGAGTGCAGCATTCACTTTCAATTGCTTCCTCATCAACACGAACCCAACACCTCTTCATAACGTTAGATGAATCCCATTTCCTCATCTACTAGCTTAGAGAATTTACTCCCGTCGAAGGGAGGAAATGGAATTATATCGCGAGGTTCGAATGATGCGATTGTCGATGCGAGGTCTCTGGTAGTCAAGTTCATTAGACGACCTGGTTTTAATAAACGGGCCTACTGAATCGATGTTGCCTTTAGGTGACCCAGGATCTGAAGGGCAGAGGCTAACTCTTCTTGGTGGTTGTCCAAGAGGGTTGGATTGGGCACGACGATAAGAGGCTTTCCCAACCTTAAGACATCCAGAATCGTTCCCGATCCTTCCACAGAGTTTAGGTTACAGCCCGTTTGAGGAGAGGAAACGACTCACCAGCATGGCTGATGATGAGGTCCGCTTGCTCGCACTCAGCCTGAATGGAAGGCTTGAACTTCCACGTCTCTATATCCACACCGTGCCTCTGTATAGTACAACTCTCCTCGTTGAACCGTTCTGATTCGATGACGGAATTACCGCGTTGAAGAATGAGCTGGCCGTATCCCAAGTCACGAAGTGTGCTGAGGACAGGTTCTGATAAAGCCGCATCTACAAGAGCATCGAACCTGGTTGAACCCACCGTCACGAATACGAGCATGAGATGGTTCTCGAGGGAGGCCCTCAAGGGTGTAGTCTCCCTAGCTGCAGGAAAACGTTTCCGTTTCCTTCGACAGCTGGTTATTAGCGAATGTTGGTCTTGACTGAATTTAGCTCAGATGATGACTCGAAAAAAATTGTTCCTTCTATCCAGACTGTGATCACCACAGTCAACCGCGCTCTGCGATGGGGTATACGCTTTGTGTGCTAGGTAAGTGGAAGCCTGTGTATCGTTTTATATACGCTTCATGAACAGTTTGCTAGGATGTGGGACTATGGGGATCGCAATCATCTCTGGGGTCATCACTAGTTTACAGTCCAGGCTTAACACACTTGAGATCCCCAAGTGGGAGTCGCATACGCCTGGTACATGCACTCCCACAACTGACTCCCCGGATCCTTCACTCCCCTCCGATTTCACCGCTACCGTGACAAGGCTAGAGAGCGCGCAAAAGCTCCAACATACGTTTGGACTCTTGGGAGGTCTTGGTACTTCCGTGCAAGTTATTGCTGGCGAGAACCTTGCGGCTGTTCAACAAGCAGATGTTGTGATCTTATGGTATTTATATCAGCCCCGGATATTTCGTTTTCCTGAATGATCTTTAGCTGCAAACCTCATCAGGCCTATGCTATTCTCTCACAGAATGGAATACGGGAAGCTCTGGACGGCAAATTGCTTATCAGCATTCTTGCTGGTGTGACTATACCCCAGCTGACTGGATGGGTCCCCCCGACAACCAGGGTTGTCCGTGCAATGCCCAACACTCCATGCAGGGTGCGTGTCTTTCTGGTGTTTTTCATCTGTGAACAATCTCTGATGACGCACATAGATTCGAGAAGGTATGACTGTAGTCACCAATCTACCACAATCCGAGGACGCCGAGCTCGATCGGTCTATCATCCTGAACATATTCTCGTCTATTGGACGCTGTCGTTTTCTCGAGGAAAAACATTTCGATGCATGCACTGCGCTCTCTGGGTCTGGTCCCGCCTTTGCATGTATTTTCTTGGAGGCTATGGCAGACGGTGGTGTCATGATGGGCCTACCGAGGGCAGAGGCCCTCGAATTAGCTGCACAAAGTGAGCTTGCTCGTCACACAACATATTTCAGCTTATCGTTTTTAGCTTTGCAAGGCGCGGCACGAATGGTTCTCCAAGCAGGAGCTCATCCAGCTCAAATCAAAGATTCTGTCACAAGTTAGTAACTCCTTACTCAAAGTTGCTGATTGTGCTCATAGATATTTTGCTTGCTCACAGCTCCCGGCGGATGTACGATAGCGGGCCTCTTGGCTATGGAGGATGGTAAAGTCCGCTCAACCATCGCTCGTGCAATTCAGGTCGCGACTGAGCGCGCTAGCGAACTTGGCCAGCCCGTGAACAAGAAAATTTAAAATTGTAATATTCAACATTGGTCTCGTCAATCACTAAACAAGATAGCGTCCATTGTTGTACTTTAGGCATGTATCCCAATCAAGCCTTCGAGATCTCCATTTGATGTAGAGGATCGACGACTGCGAGGGTGACTGGGCACACTGGCTCAGTCATTGTTTACCTATTGCTCCTGTAAAATGAGGACGGTCGTGTGAGTTAGCGACGCCGCCCAGAGTGTCGAGGAGCAAGAATCCACCGATACATCTTAATCACACTGCATCAAACGAAATATATTTATTCATCTTCTGTGGTTATGTGATCAGCATGCAGTCCTTGTAGTCACCACTGCTACTCACCTTATCCTTCTAGGACCCGGATCAGCTAGGCGACGGATGGAGATTTCAGTACGAGAGGATATGTCCTGCGTGTGAACCTCACTGCTCTCTGAGCCTTAAGCTCGGCCACGAAGGCAAGCAAGCGGGGCAAAAAATAGCACAGGATGCATTTTATATGGCTCATAAGAATGAGCGCCCCTCCGTATGAAAGCAGAGAGACGCTAAAGTGACAGAGCTGTGATTTGCACACATCATCGATTATGCAAAGGCGAGGAATAAATGTGATTGCAATCGTAGAATACAGTGGTATCTTGTAGGTCAAGGTCAGTATCATGTTGCCAATAACATTGAAAAGGTGCTTACGATGCAATATACTACCGGTCTGGATTGGCGAAATGAGCATAAGTACCGCGCGTCGCAGATAGAAGAATGAGGACTCACAAAACTCGTGAGTATCGTCTGAGCGTTTGACGGTTTGCTGTTGAAGAAAGAAAAAGTGTGAGAATTTTATACACACTCGCGAGACCAAACAAGGCACAAACAACTTACTTTCCACGCCTCTTCGAAATCGACAGGCAGTATGACATATCTGTTCTTCCGTACAGCTGTTGGACAAAGATCGTTTACTAGGAGGGCAGAACCGCCAGAAAATTTGGCTGACCTTGAAGACCAGCTGCCTGTGCAATGGAAGATATTTCTGCGGAAGATAACCGGTCTGGTCTCGACACATCTGGATGATATTGTTCAGTAAAGCGGTAATATTAGTAACGGGAAAGTCCGCATACAATCCTCGAGGTCTACATCTGGACCAAGATTCATTTTGCTAGTCACAGCCTGGAATATGAGACGCTTCTCGCGCCTCGATGGTAGAGGGAATTCAATCTTCCTGTCGAGCCGACCAGGACGAAGCAAAGCAGGATCAAGCGTGTCTGCGCGGTTCGTGGCCATAATGACCTGTCACAGTGGCAAAGGATCAAAAAAAAACAGGAATCCAACTGGGAAGTGTTTATTTACCTTGACGTTGCTTCCTTGGTCGAAACCATCCATCTGATTGAGAAGCTCCAGCAGAATACGCTGCACTTCTCTGTCCGCTCCTGTTTGAGCGTCGAACCGCTTGGTTGCAATGGCATCTATCTCATCGATGAAGATGATGGCAGGGGCATTTTCCCTGGCAAGTCGGAAGACGTCACGGACCATACGAGGGCCTTCTCCCAGATATTTCTGCACGAATTCACTGCCAACTACGCGAATGAAAGACGCAGTTGTGTGATGTGCGACTGCTTTCACAAGCATAGTCTTGCCCGTACCTGTACATTGTCGTTAGAACGCCAGCTAGCCGGGCTTGGAGGCAACGCACCAGGTGGCCCATAAAGCAAGACACCGCGAGGCGGGTCTATACCAATCTTTTTATAAAGGTCGAAATGCGTGAGAGGGAGCTCGACCGCTTCACGTATTTCCTGCTTCTGCAAGTCCATTCCACCAATATCTTGATAAGAAACATCAGGCTTTTCCTCCTTTCCGAGCATAGCTATTGAAGAGTCGGCTTCTGGGGGAAGGATGTCTACAAGGGCATTTGAATGCCGGTGAAGGGCAACAGACGACGAGGGCTTAAGCAGCTCTCGGTCTAATGTGGACAAGATGCGCACGACGTAATTTGAGCCGGTGGTCGAACCCACGATACCAGTGTGCTGGTCGATTGCCTCGAGGAATTGCCCGATGACAAGTGGGACGGATTTGATGCGCTTCACCTCCTCCTGGGCACGAATGAGCTCACGTTTGAGATTCGCTTGCTCGTCCTTTATATAGCTTTCTTGGATGTCGAACAGCTCTAGATGACGCGCGAGCTTCTTGTACTTGGTATACAAATCGTCCTCCTGTAATTCTTTATGGAGAGCGGCCTTCTCAGTCACGACAGACTCGAATGTTGGCTCCTGATATGAAGCCATGAGACCAGACATCCTTCACGATCACTAAAACACGTACCTCTCTCTGAATTTCCATTCCTACGTCCTCCATAATGTCAAGTAAGTGTTTTGGCGTATGGTCCAGATGCAAGTCTTGAATGAAGCTGACGCGTTGGTGGTCGTGGCAAATACTTTCCTTTCTGATCATCTACATAACTTTCAAGTCAGTCTTCTTGGTGTTTAGCTTTCTGACCATGGCACACGTCGTTCAGCCTCTGGATCAGCCTTCGAACTACAAGGACTCTCAGAGCAGAATAGAACGAGTGAAACAGAATGACCTCCTCTCCAAATCCACAACATTATACGTGAGGTTTTTACCTCGATATGCCTCAGCATAACTCACTGTCAAATCATAGATTGGTAATTTAAGTTTCTATACCACAGAAGAGCAGATATACGAGTTGTTCACTAAATGCGCCAGCCCGGAGGACGGTGGAGGTATCAAGCGAATTATCATGGGCCTTGACCGAAACACACGGTTTGTCTAGTCGTAGTTATATGCAGTCGACCAGAAACTGACGCTAGGACCTGATAGCACACCATGCGGGTTCTGCTTCGTGGAGTACTACACTCATGCAGAAGCTCTTGCTAGTATGAAGTATGTGAGCGGCACCAAACTGGACGAGCGTATCATTCGGTGTGACCTGGACCTGGGCTATAAGGAGGGCAGGCAATTTGGAAGGGGGAAGAGCGGTGGTCAGGTGCGAGACGAGCACCGCCAGGATTATGATCCAGGACGAGGTGGATGGGGGGCACAAGCACAGAGGCTTGAGGCTGAGCGGCGAAGAGAAGTGGAGGAACGGTACGCGGACGCACAAGAAGGACCTGGTGCTGTTGCCGGTGGAGGCGGTGACTGGAAAGAAACTGAAACGGTGGTTCCTTCTCGGAAGCGCGGACGATCACCAGACGATGAAGGAGACAACGTTCGTATGGTATGTGCATCCCCATTTCAGGTACTTCAATCGTTGACATATGTGCAGGGTCATCATCGTTCACGTGCAGATGACATGGAAGTTGAACGAATGTGAACGTACCAGTATGGCTATTACGGTTTGATTTCTTTGCACTCTTACTCTTTGCACGAGACAGACATCAAAATGTGAAATTATACAATACTAATTTATGAGATGCATGAGCCGACCAATTAGCAAAAAGTCAGTCAGTATACGACACGAGCGCGTAGTTGGTATCTCTTTCCCCATTGCTCTGGCTCGTAATATGACATGTGTAGTTGCCGTACAAGACGGTGAGCTTCAGCAGTCGACGTGGGCCGAACCAAGTATCGGGAATATAAGGAGAACGTGTTGGTTGGCCTGTGAATAAAATCATGCCTCAGTCGCGGTTTGCAGTCATAAGACCAAACGTACAATTCGACCTTCACGGCCGCACTTTTACCATCCATATTGTCCAGCCGAAAATCCCGCAAGTAATTTTCAACAGCTTCTCCGGATATCTTTCCTGGAAGGCCCCAGACAACGACATGCTTCATACGAGAGAGAATCCCGCCATGAGGACCATTGCCAGCGAAAACCTTGCGTTGCGTTTCGGTCTTGTACAACCGTCCATGGCTGAATCGTGGGGGAGGGGCTGACACGGCGCGTATCGGCAGACTTCCCACAGATGCCTTGTCGAGTGCTTGCAGGTTCTTGTGCAAGTTGTCTGTATGAGCGAGGGTGAGGTATGCGCGTCCTGTAGGGAGGAAGCGGTGATAGTCGATGGCAACTAGCGAAATGCAATGAACTGCATTGTACACGTCGTATTTTATAGTTAACAAGACTCACCATCCGTTACACCTAGAAGTTGGTTGCGAATGCATAGTCTGCGCAAGTCAGTGAGGAGAGCTGAACGCGGTAGCTCTCGCAACTGTATATGTGTTCTGCCCTCTGATAAAAATTACACGTGGATAAAGCAAAAGACTGGGTATCTGAACGTACCATCCACTAGTCGTGGAAGAAAACTCATGCGGCGAATTGCTGTCGTGAACATCGCAGAACAACAAACGCGATCAAGTGGAAGGGACGAGAAATATTGAGTTTGTGAAAGACACCACGTGATCACATGCTTTGAACAGTGACCACATTGATGTCAAGCAGACACGACGGAAGAAGGCGTGAGCGCAGCTGGGAAAGAGATGATAGGGATCGTGAACGGGGCAAGGATCGCCATTCACGGGGCGGCAGAGCTGGAGGTCAAAGGGATGGCGGTCGTAAGCGAGACAGTAGGTCCCGTAGTCCAAGGAGGGGTACGTCGAAAGTGTTCTACGGCGCCACATAAACAACTTATCCTACATATTCAGACAGGCGAGATCATGACAGGGACCACAGAGATCGAGACTTTACCAGCTCGCGAAGAGAAGACTACGACCGAGATGGCCGCCGAGACGACAGACGGCCTGACAGGCGTGATGAAAGACGCGAGCCTCCCCCCACTCGAGACAAGGAGCCAAGAGACAAGGACTCGAAAAATCGACGTGACCACAGACAACAAGTTGGCAGGCATGATGCAGAGAGGCTTCCAGAAAAGCCTACTCAAGCTAGAACTCCACCACCTCCAGGTTAGACTCACTCACTGCTCTGTCGTGCAGTTCTCATTCTTGTCATCATTTTCAGCCCCGTCTGCTGATGCAGGTCCCTCCTCTTCTCAAAGGAGACCGAACCTTGACCCAGATGCCCTATCTGAAGAAGGGGAGGCCATGGATGCCACCAACGCTGATGAAGAGGGTATGATGGCTGCAATGGGGCTCAAAGGTTTTGGTACGACGAAGGTATGTTAATCTTTTAACTGGCTGCGATTTATAATTCACTTCATTCTCAGGGCAAGCACGTCGAGGGCAATCAAGAAGGCTTCGTCGATATCAAGAAGATAAGGACATGGCGTCAGTACATGAATCGGTAAGCGGTGAGCTCGTAATCTCAAGTTTTGTCATTCATACCTTCTTCTAGTCGCGGAGGATTCAACAGGCCGCTGGATAAAGTCAAGTGAGTAGCTTAGCTGAAGCTCGCCGCAAGATAAGTTGCATTTCCTCCAAATTTCCTCGCTTGTGAGACAGCTTTCACTTCGATGCAGTATGCCCCATAGACATTGCTTCATCTGTCCTGGTGTTTTGGAAATATATGTGAAGTCCAGATTTTTGTGAACTTAGTACATGAGAAAAATCTAATCGGTCAACAATTGGTGATGATGGTACAAACGTCAACGGCATACTCAACAAGACGTATCCAGAAGTATGTGAAAAAGAAGAAACATGTTGACAGAGAAACATTGACATGAACTTCGAGGGTTTGGATACTCCCTCTGAGGACATGAACTAGAACCCGTGCAGCTTGATGGTGTTCTTCGGAATGCCCTCCTCCGTGAGGAACTTGACAATCTTAAGCCTCTGATCACCCTGAAGCTGGATCACTTGACCCATTTCCTCGTCGTCAACGAGGGTGCCGTTGCAAGCAAACTCCTGTAAGAAATTATTAATGCCCGCATATTGGAGGAATACATTTACTCACCTTCTTGAAAGCCTTCAAGAGTTTTTTGGGATCATACTCTGCAGACATCTGAATTAGATGACGACTAACTGGCAAAATGCCCTCAACCTCACCCTTGGGTAATCCCTGCAACGTGGTCAAAGTCTTCCTCCCGTTCCTCTGCTGAATACGGATGTGAAGGTAATTCTGCTGGGATCCAACGTCTTGGTTGCCTCCGAGAGGATCGCCCTCGTCAGCAAAAGGATCTGAAAAGCGCCTAGTCAGCCAACAACATCAAGAAAATTTAATTAAGCAAACTCACCGAAAGAGTTCAGGTTCTGCACGTTCATGCGATGGGAAGAAATATATAGACTTGTGAACTGAGTGGGGATGTATTTAGACAAGATGGACGTTAGAGAGAGAATGTGCTCGATACTTTGGTTGCAGGTTCCGGAATTGATAATCAGTGATTAGTCATCATCTGAACACTCTTTCCTAAGCCCACCGGAAGCCCGTCTGCTATCAATATTAATGATGGTCGAAGGGACCAAACGCAAAAAACCTCCGACTTTTGGTCATCTTCCTGTCAATAGAGGTGGGCTTTTACAGGTTTCATCTCATGGTCATACTCAGATTATATTTTCAGCCAAAAAGCTCAAGCAGGCATGGGTTGAGAACACGAAGATAAAGTCTCAATGGAAAGCCCAGAAAAAGCGGGAAGGTCTTCTTCAACGGAAAGCTGAAGCACCTTCCAACGGCGACTCGCCTGCACATGAGGAAAAACCTGATGTCGTTGACTCAGAAGAATCCGGTTCCTCACACTCCAAGGATCAAGATATAGATTCTGGCACTCATCCTGAGCGCAAGCAGCGCGTAGCCACAAATAGCTCAGCTGGTAGCGGGATTTCACTTCGAGAACTTGGTAAACAAGCTTATTCTCGCAATTCCCTTCATACGTACAAGGCGAATCCTAAAAGACATGATACAAAACCTTCTCGCGGTGCCAATCCGCAGAGAGGGAGCACCATGGGAAGGCGCGGTGCTTCCTCAGGAGATCGAGGCCGCGAAAAGGGGCAACCCAATATGAAGTATCGGATGACGGCCATGCTCGAGAAAATCAAGCGCGATTTCACTTGAAAAAGATAGATTCACCCCGTTTATCGTGGTGCGTACCTTGACGCCAATTATTTGCCACAGCTCTTACTCTTTCCTTGCCAGTTCAGATGCAGACACCGTCAACCTATATTTTCCTTGTCCCCCGCTCCGTCTGCCATTCTTTGATCACTGCTCTCCATATCATGTTGTCTCGCTCCTCTTACGAACCTTGCCTCCAGGCTATCCAAGAAAGGTTTTGAGCCCACCGTGGTGACAGCTGTAAGAGCTGTTGGATGATTACTGAAGTGCCCTGGGCTTGGGTCGTCCAATTCGTCTACTAGGCCAAGTGCTTTGGGTGGCATCCCTTCCAAAGGTTCGACATGCCCCATAGATTCCATGGCACTTAGTGTTAGTGGTGACGGAGGAGGACTTTGTGACTTTGAGCGTCGTGCATCTTCGTGATGAAAAAATATGGGAGAGAAGAGTGGAGTAGTCGGTGTTGATAGGAAGCCAGCTGTCATGGATAATGAAGATCTCGTTGGGCCGTCTTGGCTGGATTCAGATTCCGTGGGGAAAGCGTTCCACGAGGACGTAACGAGCAATGATTTCTCTACCGCTCGAAGATACTTTCCGAGAGCTTTGTAATGCTGTTTTGGCCGTACACAAAGCTCACAGACGCGTTGGATTGTGAAAGGAGGATCGCTACACCCGGATCTAATATTAGAGATTGTCAATGACCGCAGATGTGTGCGTACTCATCAAATTCATGCAGTTGGCTGAAAATGAAGCTTTTGATCACGTCTGCTTCTTGTTGGTTCATGTACGCTTTTGGTACCTCGTTGTGGTTGTGTTCATTCTGTTCGCGAAGAGGGAACGGTGGTAACTTCAAGTTACCAGCTTTCAGGAGGTCCTCGGACAGCGATTGAAACTCCAATGCATTGTGAGGCGGCGGATCTGCTAGAAAGAGGGCGATATTCTATGTATCGCAGTCAGCTTCGAAGAGATTGCTTGATATCAAACGAGCTTTATCACCTGATCCACCTTGTATTTGATCATGTCGCGTAGCAGATCCCATTCTGTCCTGAAAAAGTAGACATGATGAGTCGTAAACGCGTGAATTGGTTAGCTAGATCATCGAGCGCACCTGGGCTCTACTACGTCAGAGTCGGCGATTTGCTCCAAAACTGAATCATAATCTAGGAGGGGGTGGTAAATTTAGGATCGCCCCGGTGGGTAAAACGTGGATAACTCGTTTACCTGGGCTCCAACGGAAGTGTTGTGATATGTCGTAAGCGCTCTCTGTCATGGACATCATGTTCGCAGTTGATGGCAGTGCTAGTGTTTTGGACAGCCGCAACTGCGGTGCTGTGAAACGCTCTGTACACTTCTGTGTGCGTCTACTGTAGGACTTCTGTAGTGCTTCCGGATTTTCCGCAGTCATATGCTGTAACCTCGAGTTGTGCCCAAGTTGTGCCTATATTGGAGAAACCGTGGTTAAAACGTTTTTCTCGCCAATTGGAAGCCGAGTTATTGTCACACAGCCGCGGCTTGGATGTCTTACAGTAGTACGATAAGTATAAGTTGCTTGCTCGCTGCTCCCATGTACGCCTGTTGTCCTCTAGCTTAATACCACCACCGACGAGCAATCGTTCGACAAGCAAAAATGGCCTCCATCAAATTATGGAAAAACCCAAATTATGATAGGACCACCAAACGAACTGACAAAAAGAGGCGGATGGAGTTAATCAAGTCCTACGCCCCAGATTGGTCTGTCCGAATCAACTTCATATTACTTTCCATGCTCAATATTGTGTCCCGTTTCTGCACAGGACCATCACAATTCTTTTGGCGTGCGGTCTCCCGCTCGTACATGAGGTTGTATTATTGACACCTTTCCTCCAGGATTGTTTTCTTCGCGCTTGACGGTGTTCATGGCTTTCGACGAGAATTTTCGGTGCATGATGAAACGTGAGATCCTATATCTTTCCACAAAAGACTGTTGCTCATTTGTTCAATGCAGCATACTTTTCCCGTGAGTGGGGACATAGCTTTGACCTCCCTTGGGCGCACTGACCCTCGTTGTTTCAGGTTTGCAGTCCAGGAACGTGTTCCGGTGAGCTTCACTACGGGTCTTAAAAGTACATCGTAATCTCAGTTCGCGTCAGAACATTGCCCTATACTTCATCGCGATTGTGGCGCCTCTCGTCATTCAATTGGCGGTGAATTTACTCACTGTTCGCTCATTCTGGGATTACCACTGCAGCGCACTCGGGCGTAAGTCATTTTAACTTCGGACTTCTTGGCAAAGCTCACCGAAATGCAGTCATTCTGGGGCTTGCCATCACAGGGGCTGTTACTCAGTTCACGAAGATCACTGTTGGTCGTCCCCGTCCAGGTTAGTGGGCAACTTTTCCTATCATCCTATCATTTACGCGGGGTTGTAGATCTGCTTTCACGATGCATGCCGATTTTAGGCGCCTCAGACCCCACTTTTGGACTCTCATCAGATGCGATATGCACAAATACCAACACAGCTATCATGATCGATGGTTGGAGGAGCTTCCCCAGTGGTCACTCCAGCTGTGAGTCATCATGCCAATATACATATAGTCAGATTGTGAGATGTTTCCAGTGTCCCATGCCGGGCTTGGCTTCCTCTCGTATTACTTGGCCGGAAAGATGCACCTGTTCGATACGAGGGGCCACGCTGTAAGTGTACGAATGTCTTCCACCACGGGCGATGCACTAAAAATAATTTTCTCAGCACAAAGCCTGGATCTCCGTCACTCCTATCTTTGGAGCCATTCTGGTGGCTATTTCCCGCACCATGGACTATCGACGTTAGTTGGTGTCTCAGTATTTATTGTGTTCGACCTCATCTATTTCTTCACAGACCACTGGCACGATGTCGTAGCTGGAGCCATCCTCGGACTGGCTATTTCGTATTTCGCATATCGCCAGTACTTTCCTTCGCTATCATCGCCGATGTCTCATAAGCCGCATCCCCCAAGAGTACGACGTGAAGAGGGGGAGCTGCCTACTATCAACCCTGCAACTGAACACGACCTTTCTTATACAGATGGCATGGATGGAGAAGAAGTGGAGTTGGTTGGTGGCGATGTGCGCAAGCCTGACCCAGCTCTCACCGGGAGACAAGGCGAGTATGGTGTCAACATTGGCGAACCCCGCCTTTGAGTATTTTTCGCCTTTGGACCTCTGTTAACTTTTTCGTTATTCTTTACTGGACTATTTCTGTAGCCATAATGACTCGTATTAATTGCGTATATGACATTTGAAAAGAATCGTTCACATATTATTACTAGACCAAATTTGAGTTCAGACCTGCGCTCAAGTTTTGTTATCAATCTATCGACTCGAGAAGCGTCGAGTCACATCAACCCCAAGCAGACCGCCTTGCAACCGTTTCATCTTCCACCTCAACGTACAAAATACCTTGACGCACAATAATCACTCTTCCAAGGAAGTCTTCATACCATGGAATCGAGAGCCATTAACTTTGGCGCAGGTCCATCTGCCCTGCCCGCTTCCGTGCTTGAGGAAGCTACCAAAGGCCTCCTGAATTTCAACGGAACTGGCATCGGTATTGCTGAGATTTCGCATCGCTCCAAAGAATTCACGACGTATCTACAAAGCGTCGAACAAAACATCAGAAAGCTTCTCGACGTCCAGCCCACACACTCCATCTTGTTCACTCAGGGGGGTGGATCCACGCAATTCTCGGCCGTCGTACTGAACATGCTGGCACGACACCGTCTCCTCCACCCTCAGTTGAAAGACGAAGACCGAGTACTGGATTATGTCGTCACAGGGTCTTGGAGCAAAAAGGCAGCCGAGGAGGCTAGGCGCATGGGAGGGAGCACCGTTAAGATTGCAGCCGATTCTCGCAAATACTCTAAAGATCAGAAATCCTTCGACAATATCCCAACTGCAGATGCATATTCATTCTCAAATGACCCAGCTCTCATTTACTACTGCGCCAATGAGACCGTTGACGGCGTGGAGTTCTCGGCCGAGGAAACCTCACCGGCCTCCTTTCCCTACCAGCTTCTCCCAAAAAATGCACTTCTCCCTCTTGTCGGGGATTATTCTTCCTCCTTCATGTCAAGGCCAATTCCCCATCTCTCAGATCACGCTATCATATATGCTGGCGCGCAGAAAAACATCGGCCCCGCCGGTCTCACCATCTTAATCGTCAGAAATGATTGTATCGTCGACGTTGACGCCGCTGCGAAGCTCGGGGCAACTCCAGTCCCAATATGTCTTTCGTACAAAACGCTCGCAGATAATAACAGCCTGTACAACACCCCCCCGGTACTCTCCATCTACATTACCGGCCTCGTTCTTGAGTACATGCTCCAGCTAGGAGGGTTGGACTATTATGCTGGCCTCACAAACCGTAAATCGAAGAAGCTCTATGACGTGCTGAAGGATGGTCAAACCAAAGGCATATTTGAAGGTAAAGTGAAAGAATCCTCTGGCAGCCAGATGAATGTCGTCTTCGACGTCGTTGGCGAAGGGTTGTTGGCCAAATTCATTGCTGGCGCAGAGGAGCGAGGCATGAAGGGACTCAAAGGCCATCGGTGAGTGCCTGACTTTGAGCGTCATTTAAGACCACGTTTTCATTGTGTTTTCTGTGCAGTTCCGTAGGAGGTATGGATCATTATCATCTCCATGTATAATTTCGTTACTGACGTTTCATCTGTCAGGCGTCCGAGTGTCCATATATAACGCCGTGACAGAAGAAGAGACGGACCAACTCATCTCATACATGGAACAGTTCGCAGGACGGCACAAAGTTAACGAAGAGTGAACGGAGCATCAGCAGGAAAATCATGGGTAAATTGACGATTCGGACCAGAGGTTAACGTGCAGCTATCCATTTGTATTACCCAGCAACCAGACAATACGCCAGGCCTCAACTGCATGGATGTTTTCGTGATAATATGATTTTGAAATCTGATTCAGCACAAACAGAATTTACGGAGGCAGGTTAACGGTGTCCGATGTCCGATGTTTACCTCTGTGTTCATTGCTGTGCTCATGTGATCATTGGAAAGCCCCTATTTTCACCGTTGTCTCCTTCGCCCGCTCACCTCACCAATATGGATACTAGCGAACTCTTTGATGATAGGAAGTCCGATGTTAATGCACCTCCATCGTACGACGCAGTCCCCACCTCCGCACTATCAACAGACTACCTCCAATGCAGACCACCATCTATATTTTCCAGGCAACGGATCAAGCAGACACGTACCACTGTTCTATCTCTCATCCGTGACATGGTTTCTGCTCCGGATTTTACCCCTTCATCTGTCGTCCCAATTGTCGACGCCTGCGCTGCTTCTCTCCCAGCTGCAGAGTTCACTAACCTCCTCCAAACATCCAATATCGAGGGCCACACAGCGTTATATTGGGCAATCGTGAATAATCGACGAGAAGCCCTTGTGGCGTTTTTTAGATTCATTCCCAAATATACGTCTACTTCCTATTCCGACTTGCGTCTCGCATGTATGGCAACTAGCGACCATGCATTGTTTATGAATCTGAAATTGTACGCCGTTGCTAATAGTAAGTGCTGGCAATTCCCTCCTTAGTGAGCACTAACCATGGTGCACCAATCAGACAGGGACGAGCCTTTGAAGAGATCTTTAGGTTGTCCGCCAGATGAGATCGAGGTGCATGGAGGTAATAGCCAGAACCAATTCACTGTCGATATGCAGATCAGGATGTTTCAGAAACGCCTGCGTATTGCACAGAAAATGGTTGTAGAATTTGTTGCGAAAGGTATTTAATTCAACTTGTTCCTCACACACATATCATAACGTGCCAATCTCCGCAGGACGCATATGGTTCTTGCTCTTTGATATGGGGCATGAGGCGAAGTGGCACATCAAACTGTGTCTTTGTCAACATAGCTTGCCGGCACGTCCAAATGCTGTACTTCTTATCCAGGCCCAGAATGGGCAACATGAGGTCCTGAAGATAGGGTTCCCATTGGAGGCGGATAAGTCGCTTGCACCTGAGGAGTAAGTCCCGAGTCATTCGAAGGCGAAGACATACTGATAGTTTCTTGCTCCCTCGTTTACTTCTCAAAGATACATCACCTTTTATATCAGGACTTGCACGTCCATCGATGCTACGCTAGGCGATTGGCTGATGTACAAGTAAGTGTTCTCTCGGTGCACTGTCTTACAGATTGAGAAATTTTGTGTTCTTTCTCTTGCGATGGCTTGAACTGACTCTGTTGTTTTAGCGATACCATATACACGGACTCCGATGGCACCCTCCATGCAAAGCTGGAGGTGACATTACCATAGTCCTGACAGATTACTAGTAGTATGTATGGCTGACAGTGAGAATAGGAGGACGAGGCTAAGTTAATGTGGAGGTTTGGTCGGGATGGCAAGATCAACGGGGAGATGCAGTCGTGTTTACAGTGGGTGGTGGCGGTTGTGTCCGGGTTCGTCCCGCCTGCTGTTGGAAGGCTAAGCGAGTGTATGAAGTTCAACGTGGTGTTTAGAATCAGCAGCAGCAGCTCGAGATTATGCATTGGTGTTGTGTCCGTCTGATGGGCTGAGTGGTGCTTGACTAGACGTCGTGGGCCATAGGTATATTTTCGTTCATTGGAATCGATGGATTATTGCAATATCGAGAGCATGAGATCACTCCTTTCGGCTATTAAGCACGGAGGTGCCAGTGCCGCCCGGGTGCAATCACTTTATGTCGGATACCCAACCAGCTCACCACACTAAACACTTGCCTGTCCTTGCGTACCCGTTTAATAACGCTGTATTCCATCTTGTCCAGCGAGATGACGGTACGAGCAACGGAACGGCCCTGTGGCTTGGTGCCCAAGTCCTTTCCATCTACCTTTCTGCCGAATTCAAGGGCAAATCCAGGAAGACCATTGCAACTGGAACAGATAATAATTCATCAGTTCTGTGCGATACAGCACGCACCAAGGCCGTAGAATTAGGCAGCGGTATTGGACTCATGGCGTGCGTCTGATTGTCTATGGATGAGCGCGAAGAAGATCGCTCACCATCATCAACCCATGCTCTGTCGCATATTCTCATATGACATGTGCTTCATGAATTCTAGTCTGGCGCTCGCGTCTCTGGGATATGATGTCCTTGCTACCGATACCATGCACGTATGCGCGTCTGTTCTGCGTGCCAACATAAATGCCAATGCGCATCTCGTTCCTAAGCGTGTCTATGTGCGCGAGCTGGACTGGGGTGTCAACCCTACAGGATGGATATGGGACGATCCTGTATCGGTCACATCACCAGCACCTGTTCCGAGAAGGGACGATGATGGCCGCGATTTCCTCGCCCCGCCCTTCGATCTAATTGTGTCGAGCGATACGATCTATGATACGGCACTTGTTGCTCCTCTATTCGAGACAATTCATGCCCTTTCTGCCCTTTCATATGGTCCCGCTCACTCCCCGCCATCGTCACTTTCCGGTACTGAAGTGTCTCCTGCACTCCCTTCCATATCCCCTGGAACTCCAACCTGCAAGCCTCCTGTCATCTACCTTGCCGTTGAGAGGCGCGACCCCACGCTCATCACAGCCGCATTAAGGCGTGCTGGTGAGGAGTGGGGACTTTTGTTCCAGCGCGTCCCAGAGAAGAGGCTCAGGCGCGCAGGTGTAGGTGTAGGATGGGACGCTGGGGAGTGGGAAGGTGTGGAGGTGTGGCGTGGAAGGTGGGATGGGGTCACCGGGGCTGTCAAGTAAAGTCATCTTGCGTGCTAGATGAAAAATATAATATAGACGCAGAAACCTCAGGCGTTGGAATTGGTTGTCATCCAGATGATGCCACTTCTGTAGTACCTTTGGTATTAAAGGCTCTCTTACTCAGTTAAAATGAAGACGAGCAGATGCTAGATGAGATTAAGTCTAGTATGTGAACATCATCCAGCAGAGGTGGGTTAGGATATGAGTATCGGCCTTGTTCGTAAGATCAAACGGAGTCGTGAATATGAAGAGGATCTTCAGCTAGATCAGCAATCAGGTGATGGGCATCGTAAAGTCATGATTGGTCTGTGGTTAGTATGCCCACAGCGTATCAGAGGTTGTACGCGATTTTGTGGTATTGTCCTACGTGAGAGGCGATGTTGTTATTTGCGTAGAGATGGAGAATGAGAGTAACCTGACGTACATGGTATGAAAAGAGGCGTATGACTGCTCTCAGCCTCTTCCTCCCGACGCGTTGAAACAAGGGTGAGGTTACGATCAAATCCGTGGTTTGACTGAGAATGCAGGGTTGAGTCGATTTTATCCCTTTACGCAGAGTGGCCAACATGAAAGTCCGAGAGGGTGGAAACAGAATGCGAGGAATAGTGAAATGAAACAGAATCGAAATGTCGTTGGTGCTGGCAGAACAAAGAGCATAAGAGAGAAAAGAAATCTATGCACGTACCAGATCTCTCCATGTTTCTTCCTCGTCATTCTCAGTTTGCAGCTGGTATATCTGCGCGAAGCCTTTGAACCTACAGAAAAAATTGCAAGAATCAGCACCAAGTATATTAATGCGACTTCACATAGGTACGCTAAAAGAGCAAGAGAGATAAAATAATGGGATATCACGCACGTCAGCTCGCCTTCCTCGGTGACGTCCAAAAACTCTCTGAGCTCCTCTTTGGTCTCTTCGCTAAACGGTGCGCCATTCGTGTCTTGAGCCCAAGCGTCAAGCCCTGCGGCGTCAAGAATTGCATCACCAGGAGGCGTGAGGAGAGTCGTAGAGTCGTGCTTTGGGGGGCGCGCTGGACATGGCGTACAATACTTGGCGAAAATATGACGAAGACAGCGTTCGAGCTGCACAAGCCATGTATATCGATAAACACCGTCATGCAATGTCAAAATGCGGGTGTAATTTATAAACGCACCTTGTCAGAAATTGCGCCGTCAGCGTCAAGCAACTGGGCATCAAGCTGGGCGTTTCGCCTGCCCTGCTTGGACGATGGCTCAGGCGTTTCCGGGCGAGGGGACTGCATACGCAAATCAAGATCGTTAGGCGCCATCCTCGTGCACGCTGTCCGCTGATCGAGCTAGAGCTCGATTGTTGATTGATACTTAGATCAAAGCCAAATCAAAGCACCGAAATAGATGAGCGCGTGCTCATCGTGCCGCACGTGCCCCGACAAAGGACTCCATCGCCCAATGCGGAACCCTAACACTTCTTTTCAAACGAACGCACCGGGTCGTTGGGTCTGACATCTAGGAACAAGTAGTTTGAGATGGCAGCACGAGCAGAACCACTTTCAATAGAGTCCTTGCTGCAGAAACAGAAGGAAGAGCGTGAGGCTGCTGCAAAGGTAAGTCCGCGGTTGTTACAAACAAGAGATGCTGATTTGATTCTTGTACAGCCTAAATTCCTCTCAAAAGAAGAGCGTGCAAAGATAGCTATTGCGAAGCGTGCTGCAGAGCTCAAGGAGCAACGAGAACGCGATGAGAAGTCACGAGTGGACCGCGATGGTCTAGAACGTGAGGCTGAGGAAGTGAGGCAGCGCGAGCAAGAAAGGGAACGTACCGCTAAGTATAGCAATGCTCATGGTCGACGTATGATTTCTTCTCACTTCGAGCAACCCGTATTGACTATCTGCTAACAGATGACGACAGAGAGTCAAGATATGGACACCCTGAAAAGGATACTCGACATGGTCACGGACACGGACATGGGCGGAGAAATCGAGGAGGTGGACCACCTCCAGACGACCGTCGTGCGCAGCCCCCACCACCGAAACATATACCAAATGCTCCAACAGGTCCAAGGGCCGACCGTCTCAAAAATTCAAACACGCCTTCTGGTCCTGTCTCCTCCAGTGCATCCCCTGCGCCTACTAGCAATGCTTATAGCACCAGTAATGCGAACAATACCATTCTTTCCGAGCCCAGTACATCCTACGTACCTCCCATGACGGAGAGCGACCTCAGTGCTGTACGTGATCGCTATCTTGGTGTGAACACCAAGAAGCGCAAGATCCGCAAGATGAATGACCGGAAATTCGTCTTTGACTGGAATGTAGAGGAAGACACGTTTTCGAGTGATTCTCCTGTTGCTGTTGGTGCGAACCGTCAGGGTGCACAGGTGATGTTTGGTCGTGGCCACGTCGGTGGATTTGACGACGGTGGCGGCGAGAGGATAGGTCGAGGGGCTGCAACTGCAAACTTGGCTGACGCAATGGAGAGAAGGAAGGCAGCGAAGACCGGTCTTGATGAGAGGCATTGGTCGGAGAAGCCGTTGGAAGAGATGAGGGAGCGTGACTGGCGGATATTTAGGGAGGACTTTAGCATCGCTGCCCGAGGTATGTCTGCCTATTCGTAGGTGTTGGTCGCGGGCTCTGACGATAATTTTAAGGTGGTTCGATACCTCACCCCCTGCGTTCATGGACAGAGTCACAGATCCCACAGAAGATATTGAGTGTCATCGAGCAAATTGGTTACAAAGAGCCCTCTGCCATTCAACGACAAGCAATTCCCATTGGGTTGCAGAACCGCGACATCATTGGCATTGCAGAAACAGGTACATCATTGCCCTGTCTATCCTCCTCTAAACTAACGTCGCGACAGGTTCCGGGAAAACAGCCGCCTTCGTTATCCCTATGCTCACCTTCATCTCCAACATGCCACTTTTCACAGATGAGAACCGCCACCTCGGTCCCTATGCACTCATCCTCGCCCCTACGCGTGAGCTTGCCCAGCAGATTGAGGCTGAGGCACGCAAGTTTGCATCTCCACTGGGCTTCACTTGTGTATCCATAGTCGGTGGTGTACGTCATCCCACTGCTCTAAAGTCTCGGAGTTTGTACTCATTATCATATATGTTTAGCGCGCCGTTGAAGAACAACAATTCAACCTCCGTGAAGGAGCTGAGATTATTATTGCTACGCCTGGACGTCTGAAGGATGTTCTGGAGCGACATGTACTCGTACTCTCTCAATGTCGTTACATCGTCATGGACGAAGCAGACCGCATGGTGCACCTCGGTTTTGAAACGGACTTATTGTTTATCCTTGACAAGCTCCCGAGTGAGACGATGGCAGGCGAGGATCCTGGAGCAATGGACGTTGACGGCGAGGAAGTAAAGAAGGGTCGCACTCGGGTAACGACCCTATTTAGTGCGACCATGCCTCCTGCTGTCGAACGACTTGCGAGGAAATATCTCAAGAGACCTGCTACCATCACTATCGGTGAAGCTGGCCGTGCGGTCGATACTGTCGATCAGAGAGTCGAATTTGTCAACGGAGATGAGAAGAAGAAGTTCGTTCTTTCATGCATGTTCTTCGTGGCACAATACTGATTGCGCACATGTACAGGCAAGTGATGCTGGAAATTCTCAACAGTAGCCAGTATCCGTCACCAATTATTGTCTTTGTCAACCAAAAGAAGACAGCGGACATGGTTGCAAAAGATCTCTCGCGTGCCGGGGTATGTTGCTGTCATTTTGAAAGTCGGTCGCTGACATGCCTACTTTAATTTAGTGGTCCGCGGCAACGCTGCACTCTGGAAAAACACAAGAGCAGCGCGAGGCTTCGCTCCAGTCATTACGTTCCGGCGACGCCGACATCCTCGTTGCCACGGATCTTGCTGGACGTGGTATTGATGTCCAGGATGTTAGTCTTGTCATCAACTACCAGATGGCAGGCACTATCGAGGCATACGTGCATCGTATCGGTATTTGATCTCCCTTATCTAGGTTTTAAGTGATTTAACAGAGGTGCAGGTCGTACGGGTCGTGCGGGCAAACAGGGTACGGCGATCACCTTCTTGACAAATGATGACGACGAAGTCATGTACGTATTTATCCCAATTTTTTGGTCGTGTTCTTCCTGCATTTGCTGGATCTTCTCTCGGGGAGTAAACCGATGACCGCCTGGCCAAGAATTTCTTTTACTTCTCTGAGCTCGGAACACGGCTGATTATTTGCTTCTGTAGGTACGATCTCAAACAAGGTACGACCTTTTTTCCATTCTCATACGCTTTTGCTTCCGCTGCCACGACGCTGCCTTGGTATTCTGGTTCTATCGTTATCAGTCGTGTGGCTGGCTGTCTCCGATATGTTCCTTTTTCTTCTCGGCCATTTTTTTTTTACCAACTGCTATCATGCTTGATATGTTTATCGATGTCGCCACTTGGTCGATCATCCGGCAGTGGTAGGTGATTCATGGCTCCCGACACGGGCGGGTCCCCGGGATCCCGTGTTATCCGTCCGCTCGCTGAAACCCCATTGGTGTCCTTGCCAGTGACTACCGTCGCTCTCCCTTCCGCTACACTTCTCAGGCGCTGTTTTCCCGGGTTCTAGTATCTATTTGCATTTTAATTCTCCCTTCGCCTTTTTTTGTTTTTGTTTTCTGCGATTTCCAGGCCTTTTTCTTGTTAGACTCGACCGGTTTATCTTGTGTCATTTATCAGGTGGCGTCGTGCGTGTGCTTCTTCATCGGGCCTATTTCTGCTGTCTTGCTCGGTCAAAGCTAGTTCCGTTTATATTTGCATTCCTATTTTCTCCTGACCAACGTTCGTGTTTACTAACTGCCCTCTCACACAGAAATATCCAAGAGCCCCGTGTCCAAGGTCTCGCCAGAACTTGCCAAACACGAATCAGCACAACATAAAGTTTCACGAGAGATGAAGAGGAAGCGTGATGCTGATGATATTGGCTGAGACTAACCTGTATAGCAATGTCGCCGCTGATCCGGGACCAAGCTTTAAAGTGTATACTAACGAATTAATGCACTGGAGTTTTGCGGTATCAGACGATGATTAATATCAGTACTGCCAATGAGGCGAAGCCGGTTTGTAAGATGATCGTTTCAGAAATGAGTTGGGTCTAACTATATTCTAATTCTAATGGCGTGGCGGTGATGAACTACATTGTGCTACTCTAGTCGAATGCACATGCAGTGATACTTTGCATGTGCGCCGACAAGGTTTTTCCGGGGAAATGGTCGTCCGCTCCGACGCAAACTCATACTTGTTACCACGGGGACAGGATTGGGCTGGACAGGGGTAACTGCCGAGAATGACATATCCGTACTCCACGCTTTATATTGGACGAGTTTGCAAATAAGCATACTAGATATACGCCGTACTATAGACACCGCGGTCATTCACAGGATGACGTCCGCAGTCGACGTTGAAGTCTTGGGAGTAAATATCATCCATAATGGATGACTTTCCGTAGGCTCGAAATATGTTTATTAGAATATTATATCATAAATTTGACTACATTAGGAAGGTGTGCCGCGATGCCGCTGTTCATTTGAGCTCAATTTGCAAAAGTATTTTCTTTGCCCCCCGTTTTCAAACCTTAATCTGTAAGGGGGGGTACCCCCCCCTCTGCAGACTTGAATATCCGTCTTCTTCCGTTTTAGGCCACTACGCCAGTGATATTCGCTGACATAATCATTGAGCCTTACTCAACGTGCGGTCAAAAGGTGCGTCGTCAACATTTGTTGACACCTCTTTCTCCCTCGTCTTTTTACATAAGCTCTAGTATACCAAATCCTCCATACGAAATTAAGACCTGACAACGCCGCCTCCGCCGGTGCATCCAATCTCACCCAATCTGTCCCAGCGCCTACCTCCAACCAATCCTCAAGGTCTCACCGGCACCCTCCGTCAACGAAGAGTTACTTACCATCACTGTATTTAGGCCGTCGTCATCAAAAAGTTCTGCCTCGTCTTCATTGAGAAGCAGGTACTGGATTGCAAGATTGCCCATCAAGGACTGGACTAAATCTAATGACTGAGCCTACGGGGGATTATTGTTGCATAGACTAAATTTTCGTCACTATTGCAAATGTATTTTAGACTCCGAAATATTATATTCTGGATTATTTTGCCTACGGAAAGTCATCCAATGTTCACCCACGATGCAATTATCCAAGGCTGTCTTGGTGAGTCCAAGGAAGACTTGGAGGTGGATTGCCAAGCGCCCCAGCAAGTCCATTTTGAGCACGCCTCGGATGAGAACGAATGGGAGCCCGGTAGTGGAATTGCCTATTTTAGTTTGCTGCCGCATGCCGCCCGAGCTTGTCGATCGTGTTTTTGGTTTGCTGACGCGCTGCGTATCAGTCTTACCGAAGGAAGCGGGGAGTACAGTAATGTGTTGCGGGGAGTTGCGTTGAGCCTCTTCAGATGCTATGCGATTCGCTGCGGCACAGACGTTTGAGTTAAACCATCATTGATTCGTAGATGAGTGATCCACTAGGCAATTGAGTTTGTCGTGGCCTTCGGTCATGAATGGAGTATGCCGAGCATAGTATAAAAATGTGAACGGAGATCTATTCGAGGCTACTCTGGACGTGAGATGTTGATGTCAAGATGTAGTAAGAATGACGACGAGTCACTTGGCCCAGGTTAATGTCGACACGCGAGCTCGGGGTATCGAGGTATCAATGAGGCTTCGAGCCGGATCATGAGCGCTCAGACGGGTAGCTTGGCACCGCGTCTAGAAGCCTGAGCCTGGGATTACTTGGTTAACGTTGAAGCCAAGTGACCTAAAAGAGACTGAAACTTGGATGAGGTACTGGAAGTCTGAAACTTTGACCATTGATGGAGGTAGCGGAGTCAATGTGAGATGAATTACGTTGAGAGAACTGCGGAAATGCGAGTGGGGTCTAGTGGAGGTTGGAAGCGATGCCAAGGGTTGATGCATCTTGATGGGGCAGTTATTCGGTTGTGGAATTGCTTGTGGTAGCGTAGAACTAACGTTGGTAGTGCACTTGGCGTACTGGGGAGGCGATTAATTAGTAAGCAAACAATGATATCTTATGCCGAAGTGCATGCCGATCGGACCGTAGATCGGTGGAATATCCACCAACCTGTGACTTTCTGACGCGATAGTTTTAGTCTTCAACTCTTCAATTACCTACTTCTCATTTCAACCATCATTCCACTCCCCCTCCTCCTCATCGTCGTCGTCGTCCTCCACGATGCTCTCTGCAGTTCCAATGCAGCAAATTACAATTCCACACGATGACCCTTCTCCACCTAGTAGTCCAGATTGCGACAGCGACAATCAACCTAGTCATATATCTCTCCTCACTGTCCCAGAAACCGGCCACAATGGTCGTCTTGCGACCCCAAAGCCTCAGGTCAGCTCAAATCCCTGTGTTTTAACTCCACTAACTCCATTTTTCCCGTTTTCAGCCTCCCGAGACCACAACCCAGTCTCGTTTCCGCTTTCCCCGAAAGACCTCTTCCTATGCACTTAAGCAACAACCTCCGGGCACACCTTCACCAGCCAAACATGGGCCACTTCATGATCTCAAACGATTTCTTAACCACCATATACCGCATCCTCATCCTCCCTCCGCTTCTTCCAGCGCTTCACCCTCGTCCAACGCTTCATCATCCCATACTCCACCAGAACTACAAATTCAGCCCGCAGATCAGCGAAGAGGTGATGACTTTGACACAAATACCGTAGTCCACGCAGTTCCCATAATATCCACCCACAAGTCATCTCCATTTAGCTTCATACACAAGGCCCGCAACCGCGACAAGGACAAATCATCCCCTCAAAAACCTTCCCCTCCCTCCACTTCTCTATCATCCAAACGTCCGTCACCAAGTCCTCCAGGCACTCCTACCGCCGTTCCGATTATCTCTCTGTCCGAAGCTACTCACGCCCATCTCTCAAAAAAGTATGGCAAGTGGGGCCGCGTTCTCGGCACCGGCGCAGGTGGTACAGTTCGCCTTATTCGCGCACGAACTAAAGCAGGAGGTGCTGTCTATGCTGTCAAGCAATTCCGCCCAAGACGTTCCGGCGAATCCGAGCGTGAGTATGAGAACAAAGTCAGGGCTGAATTCTGCGTCGGTGCCTGTCTAAAGCACATAAATGTCATCGAAACAGTTGATATCGTCTGCGATCATGGTCATTACTATGAGGTCAGCTTATCACACATTCACAACAACCTCCCCCTCACCCCCAATAGGTCATGGAGTATGCTCCCTACGACCTCTTCAGTGTCGTCATGTCTGGCCGCATGCTACGTCCAGAAATATTCTGCGTCTTCCGCCAGATCTGCAACGGCGTCGCATACCTTCACTCTCTAGGCCTAGCACATAGAGATCTAAAGCTCGATAACTGCGTCATGACACAGGGCGACGTTGTCAAACTCATCGATTTCGGAACCGCCGTCGTCTTTGCCTATCCTGGAACCGGCACATCCAACGGCTCCCTACCGGCAGCAGTCACAGGATATGTCAGTGGCGCACTCAATGCCACTTCCCCTGCACAACTTCCACACCCCAATGATCCACCATCCGGCCCGCACTCCCATGCAAGATTGATACATGCCACGGGTATAGTTGGGAGCGATCCGTACCTAGCGCCCGAAGTCCTAGGAGGTGGCTCGTATGATCCTAGAAAAACCGATGTATGGAGCGTGGGCGTCATATTTGTGAGTCGTCGTTCCTCTGCTTGGTTATATGGTTTTGTATTTGGTTGAGGGCGAAATGCTGTTGGAGGGATGGATCAACCGCGGTATTTTTTACATGCGTCGCGTTTCGGGCCAAACCCGAGGATAGTCGCTCGGACGTTACCATGAACCCTGTCTAGGCCGCTCTATCCATCTGGGGCGACAGTTGCGCCACATGAAGTGTATCTCTTACGCAGAAGCTAACGGAATTCAAACAGGTTTGCATGGTCCTCCGCCGCTTCCCATGGGCAGTCCCTGACCGCGAACGCGATAACTCATTCAAAGCATTTATCGAAGCCGAAGCTTCTTGCCCTCTGCCGCGCCCTAAATCCAAGCGTAAACACAAGCGTTCAAATGGCGCAAAACCTGTGTCCTCAGAACCCCCCACCGTCCCACCAAGCCCGGCCATAAGCGCCCCAGCAAGTCCTGACTCCATTCAAGGGAGCACATCCCTGGATGTCCCGAGTATCCATGCCGACGGGTTCAAACCTCTTGACGACAACAAGTCTGTCCTGTCGAATGCATCGGTATACACCGCTACGGCGAGCACGCTCACGTTGTCGTCACCGGCTGGTAGTGATGCTGGCAGCGAGCACTCACCGCGCCGGCGTGCGATTGAGCTAGGATTGCCTAGTCCTGGCGCAAGGACGGCGACGCTACCTGCGATGTCACCGAATATGCAGAGTGCAGTCGTGCCTGAGGGCGGGGAAGCTGATAAGAGCGTGTTGGTGTTTGCGCGCCCTGGAGTTTCAACAGAGAGTTTGCCTGTGCTGAGGGCAGAGAGCCCGGAGGAGATGAAGGATGTGATCATCAATGGGAATGGGCTGGGGAAGACCCCTAAGGAGCGAGATTTCGCGCGGGAGTCGCTAACGCCCACGGTCCTGGGGACGAAGGTCAATGGTGTACAAGCAAACGGTATACAAGCGCCGTCAATACCTGAGTCTTCCGCGCCTGCTACCGCATCATCTACTGCCCAACCGCCCTCGCCAAAGCGCACGACAGCATTACCCGGAAGACGCACTCGTTCGTCGTCGACGTCATCGCCAAATTCGATCTTCAGGCTCCTACCTCGTGAAACGCGGCCTGCGCTACGGCGGATGCTGTGCGTGGACCCTAAGATCCGCACAACTATGGGTGAGATACTGTGGGGACAGCGAGACGTAGGCGGGATCATTGCGCTAGCAGAGGGGGATGAATGTGGATGCGAAGATGGGGAGTGCGAATCCGAGACAGAAGAACAGGACGAGGATCAGGAGGAAGATGGTGCGGATGATGATGAGGATGGGGACGAGTGGGTGCGGAGTATTGAGACGTGCACGGAGAGCGGTGGGCCGAAGCATGTGCATGTGAGGATCCAGAGCGAGGAGAAGAGTCTCAAGAAGAGATTTTTTTGAGTTGAGAGGCGGGTGAGCATTAGCCTCGAGGGAGTCACGCTGGTCTGGTTGTGCGTATGCATGGAGCTGTTATGCAGCAGCTGTGTTTACCTCGCTGATCGACGCCGCCCTGATACAATTCACATGTTTCCTCCACCCTCTTTCATCTTGGCGGCATAATCATCATCCGCCTTCACCCTGATCATCCTCTGCCTTCACACCGATCATCATCAATCTTCACCTCGGTTGTCGCCTCACTCGTTCGTGTACCATATCCGCAGCTTCACAATCCTCGTGTCTTGGTTCTAGCGGCACTCTTGCATCCATTTCACGCTCCAGAACCACGGCGTGCGCCACTATCATTGACTCGCTTACCGTGTAATATTCCATCTGATTCCTCCCTTCCCTCGGTCACCCATCACTTCGACCCCAAAGCCTCCCCAATCATGGCCACCCACCCATCCTCAAAGATCTTCCCATCCATCTCGATCCATATGCACCTCATCTTCCCTCGCATGTATATACAGCACAACACCTAGCACGCATACGCACGGTTCGGTACATACAGCGGACACTAAAAAATCATTCACAACGTTCATTCCCATTCTATTTCATTCTCGCCCGTCCCCTCGCTCCTTTTTATGGTATCCCCCGCGGCGACATGATACGACCCTACGACGATCTGGTATCTTATTCTGCTACACCCTAGTCTCTTCGCTATCTTTTTTTATCTGGTCGTCGTTTCATTCTCCTGCGTCTTGATTAAATCTCTTCCTCCTTCTTAACTTCGTTGCTTTACGCCTATAAAGCGTGCTTGTGCCTTTTGCTTGATAGAACGGAAGGTCAATAATACAATAACGATTATCAATTACATGGTGTGGGAAAGATGCGTGTAGTATGTATTCGAAGATAGAGGGTACCATGTAGACGCGCTAAATTACCTCGTGAATTATAATAAATTTGCTCTGAATCTGCGGTCGGGGGAGTACCCCTGAACTTTATGGGACTTTGCAAGGAGGTCGAGAAGGTAAATCGGGACGGGGACGCCGAGGGTGTGTGGTAATGTCACCATGTATAGAACTCGGTGTTGGCCCATCTAGGGTCTGCGCCAGGGAGGGATGGGCGCCCTTGTTATCTCTCTCGTGTGCTGGGACATTGTTTTTCACAGCCGAGAGACGGGTCGTTCGTACTGCGCATCCACTAGGTGACCACGAGGTCCTGAGATGTGAAAGACACAAGGATCGAAAAGCACCTGCAGGAGCACCCCGCTATTGCGTCGGAGGGAAGCGGGCTGTTACATGCCAAGAGATTGGTGGGAACAAGTGAGGGAGAACTCGCTGAGGGAGTTAAGAGAGACGCGTGTGAGGGAAGCGCGTGTGAGGACGGCCCTATAGGTGTTTGAGGGAAGCGGGCTGTCGTCCCCGAGTGTGAGCAAGGTACGATGACGTCGTGAAGGAAGTGAACAATAAGAAGCGGGTATTCACGAAGGGCGCGGTCTGAATTGGCCTCGAGGGCCTTGTGACAATAAATAGAAGAAATGTGCTAATATTTGTTGGTCCGTGTGGGCACCGACGGGTGCAAAACGTGACGTTGCTAGAGGCTGGAGGATACAGCAAGACTATTTGGTGCAGAAGTCGCAGCCATATGCATTATTGAAGTATTTTCCGCCGTCGCTCAGGATATGTCTCTGCCGGCGGGAGTTGCGGAGGATTTGCGATAAGCTATTTCGGTGTTCCTTCCGTTTCGTATTGATAGAGCCGGACGTGTTGTGTTCTTCTTGCAGTGTCAGGAGGGTCGCGCATGAAAGTTGTCATCACTATCCTGCAGGTGAGAGTGAAGGATCACACGACCCAGACTGTGCTCTGACAGGGTACCACCTGATCCAGGCGCATTCAACACGGAATGGAGGAAGGTTAGGTTATTACTTAAAGATATATCAGATCTGCCAGTAACCTTCAAGTTCCCTCAGTTGTTGATGGGCTCGTGCTGAAGGGTCGAACAATACCGTGGCGGAAATGGAAAGCATCACGAAAACCGCATGCTGAAACATGCTCGCGATGCATATGGCACAACCATCAACGTTTCAGCGGAAAATAATAATAATAAAGAGGTCGAGATTGGAAATTAGGCGCACCGCCGTCAAAAAGCGCACATGCTATTGATGGATTGAATGAACTCAAAGTGGCCGCCACCTGCCAATAATTAGACCTAATAAACAAACGCCGCTGGATTGCGAAGGGTCTAGGAGCACGAGTAAAAAATAATCAGGGGAAAAATTGCATAAGATCGCACCTGATGAAGACGCAATTAAATTCTTTTTATTCCTGCGTCCCCACAGAGGGCGCAAACTCAACTTGCGGGGGTTATGCAGAGAACGCGCGATCCGACTTTTGGAGACAGCGGCGATAAGCGCCTCGATTATCGATCAAATCGAAGGAAGCTTCGATAGCATGCCTGAGTGCCGCGAAGATTGAGGCTTGGTAGGCAGCAGAAAAGCAGAGGATGACGAAGCTGGTGCAGACGACCCAAGCGATTTGATTGGTGCGATTCAACGTGGGTTTTCCCTGAATTTTTGGGGTTGGGAAATAATGCGATGGTATGGCAGAGATCCGTGGAAGCTGCGTTGAAATTGACATTCGCTGTATCATTCAGGACTCTCATTATTCCGAAATATCCTTAAGATGCCAGGGCAGCGGCTTGTAATGGACACCGGCAAGTCCGGTGACGGTTGTAGTAGATCTGTCCGGATGAGTATCGACAAACGCTCAGTCGTCCCTGATGACGTTGTAGTCATCAAAGCGACAAGACTTGTGTGTGAAGATAGAGTTCAGAGATTGGGAGATTGGATCGGCTTCAGATACGACATACATTAAACTGTGAATAAGGTCCGAGGTGACTTCAAATGGAACATACCTAACAGTATTTGAGTTGTCATTACTGACTGTGGATCGCTAATGAGTCTCTAGCATGTTGTGTTAGGACATGAGGCTTAGGGGGGGTATCATGTTAGCTGGCCATAACATGCAAATTAGAGTTGGGCGAGATGCAAGGAGAAGATGGCCAAGTTGTGATAATTGGAACTTCAGCCGGTATAAGCATTCTTAGGTAGTCCACGGGCTCTCTAAGTAGAGAAAAATCACGAAAAAATCACATCTCGAGCCTAGTGCAGAAGCCAAATTAACCAGCTGTTTGAACCAATAGTAAGATGCCTGCCCACCTCAGAGCTCGTCTTTCCTTTCACGCGACTTTTCCGATTCTTCCCCCTGACCCTCCCTAACCTCATCGTGGTCTTGCTCCTTCTCGTCCTTCGGTTCATTCAACTGGTAACCAGCTTTTCGAAGGGATTCTACTATATGAGCGTAGTTATCCACATTCCTTTCCTGTAAATCAGGCTCTCCGAGGTCATCCAATGGAATCTCTTCCAGAATCTCGATTATAATCTCGCCGTTTTGGCCGCGCCCAAGCACGACTTGAGAGTTTTCGCCCGACAAGGATTGAAGTTCCGGACTGTTTATCAACGCTTCTACCGTACGTTTCAATATCCCATCCAATGGGTCTTCGCTTTGACCCGCGCCAGGACCCAGGGAACTCTTAGCCGCGGGGGGTGGTACGGCGAAACGCGTGTCACGGTTCAGATACGAAGGTAGGTCGAAGTCGAGCGGTATTCGACGGTCGTCAGGCATTCGTTGTTCGAGATGGGTGGCTTGAGGAGTAGAGTCCAGCGAAGGGTTGATAATTTGCCGACAACGGATAAATGTCTGCTCCGGCAATTCCATCCGCGATTTGAACCCGGGTTCTCCACAGAGACGTGGAGTTTGTACGATTAGTACGTAGGAACAAGTCTTTGCTTCGCGTACGAGAAGAATTGAGTCTGCCATTGTCATCGAGCAATGGAACTGTACTAATAATTTGAGCTCGATGGAGGTAAAAATTGGAAAAAAAATATTACCTGGACTTCAACTTCGCGAGGTTTTCCCGTTTTATCACAGAATGTGCCATCGCCCCATCGTTGTACAAGATAACGAGAACCTGGACCATGAGCAACTTCAAGGTTTCCAACCTGAGCGTGGCGATCTGTGACGGCTACGTCCGCTCCTGGTTCTTGTGCGGAGGGGGCACGTCCCAAAGTAAACGCTTCCCACTATGCAACACACTTTAGAAAGTATTAATCAAATAATATTACGCATACTTCTGGGTCCTCAGTGGGTTCGTAAGCTCCTGGATACGTGTGAGTGAATCATACACCGGCAAATGGGAAACATCTTACCTGCTGGGCGAGGTTGCGTGTGAGCGAGTTCCTTGAACTGTCTGATCTCTTGATTGTGGCAGTATGAATAAGTGAACCACGTTTGCCGATGCTATAAGGAAAGAATTCAGTGATATGTCAGAAGTTAGAAAATTGTCGCACATAAAGACATTTTCCGGATAAAGGTTCAAGAAGTGACCAGCCATTGCGGAGGACTGCATCCTGGTCGATATTTTCCTGTGCTTTTATTGGAGTATCACGGGTTGGAGGAATCAGGCAAATGAACTCGTTGTCTGGCCCCATTTTCATATGATTTAACATATATCCAGAATTATCTGGTATCGGAGAGTGTGCTAGATCCAAAAACGAGCTTGAATAAATCGAGTAGAATTAGACACGAGCTCGGGACGTACATATCTGCGAGGCGTCATTTGACATTTCCAGCTCAGAGCTACCTATTTCCTTGTATACCGCATTGGAAAACCACGCCGACTGATCCCACAGCTCATCTAAAAATTCACTTTCTCCGCCTCGTAGTCCTTGGGTAAGCCAATGCTGAGCTGTTTCATTATGGACTGGAAGATTATTGAGAAATGATACTCTGTGCTTTGGAAAAGCGTATAGATCTTCTGGTCCTGAATAAAGGAGCCTTGCATGAGCTAAGTGGAGACCATGAAACAGAATGAAAGCAAGAGGATGCATGGGGTTGAGGTAGGGTGATGTTTAGCTCTCTCCTCAACGTACCATGTAGCGTGGGAAATATCTAATTATATCGGTTACTCCGCGGCCCGCCATTGATGGAATATTGTTCAGATTTTATTTATTTAGACATGAATTTGACCCCTGAGTGGCGGTTTGAACCGCGAATCGCCGATCGGCGGCCTGATTGAATATATTCCGTGCTTTTAAACTAGATTGTCTTTTTAGATATGTATGCATATGTATGTACATATTCACTAACATAATGGCATGTAAGTAACATGTGGTTGCCTTAGAACTGAACTGGAATAAACCACGTTGTATAAACAAGTATAAACAGCGGCATGGTCTTGCGACAACCGCATCGCTGTCAGGACGGTGGCAATCTCCCTGAGAGTGTCTTTCATTCCTCTCTGTAATAATGAATTTCTCTAATCTTCAGTCGTCCATTTACGTACGTATATGTCCCCCGAATATCAGGGGCAAATGCACAGAAGATGCTGATCGATATAATAAATATAACCCACTTTTGGTCCAGATTCCACGCGAGGGAAACAACAATACATGCTCACTATATTCGGTAGGGGGAATATTCGATAAAACAAGGGCACACACCCTTTCCCCGTCTTTCGTTCTTTCACCTCGACGCGGACGTTCTTTCCTGCATATTACAGTCGTTCCCTGCTCTGATCTCTCCACCCCGTGTCCAGACATCCAAGATGTCTGCCTCACCCCAGCAAGAGGAAGTGCGCGATAAATCTCAGGAGGATTTCGAAGATGAACAGCAAGTCGAAGAGACTGAGGGTGAGTTACCCGCTGCTTTATCGTTGTTAGTTAGAAGCAGCTTAGCTTGTCAAATACATCTCATTCCCGTCATGTCCAGGCGCAGCAGAGGCTAGCGATGCTCCTGCCACAGTCAAAAGGGGACGTGGCCGTCCTAAGGGAAGCAAGAACAAGAAGTCAGGGGGAACCTCCATCACCGCAGCAACAGCAGACGCTGGTGCTAAGAGGAAACGCGGCCGGCCTCCGAAGGTACATATCTCGTTCCTGCTTTTTCTCTATGCGCTTACACCGCACTAGGAGAAGAAGGAGGATGCTGCTGCTGATGGTGAACCGCTTGCCAAACGCAGGCGCGGTCGCCCGCCTAAGGCAAAAGCAGAGCCAGCACTTGACGCAGTCTCAGAGGCGGCACCTGACGCAGCTGGAGAATCAAGTACAAAGAAAAAGCGCGGTCGGCCACCGAAGAAGACCTGAGACACTAGCTTTCTCCGTTTCCGTCTCTTTGCTTTGTGTAATTTTCTCCGCTCTCGTTCGTATCCGCACGTGCCAGATTTATCGCTTTCCTCCGCTCTCTTTTATGACTTGACATGATTAGTACCAATTTCTTGCTTCTATGATTTACTTGGGCCCACAATATCTAGACTATATAATGTCACTTTAACTGGAGGTCATGTAATCTCTGTCACAGATCACTGTACACACGTCCAAACTTATTTTTGTCTGCATGTGAACGCATAGGATTTCGGGTCGACTCGAAAGCTGGTGGACGAATCGGGTCAGAGGAGCACGCGCTCCCAACCATCTTTTGGCGAATTAATTCCATGGTCGGAATGCCCAAATTAATCACCGCTCAAATGCTCTGCGCTCGAGACCGCAGAAAATTCTAGATTTAAAATCAGAGCTTCGGGCCAATTTATATATTTCACCGTAGGTGGCACGAGGTTCAATAATATTTTCAACAGTCAGGACATCATCTTTGATTTCGCAACCAACGTAAGGCCCTCAACGTAAGGTAGAAGCTCGTAGCACACATGCCAACGGTCCCGAGTCTTGCTATAGTGGTGAGAATGATGGCCTGTCGGGCGGCTTTCCTTCTAGCTGTAGCATAGCTGATATCGGGACGGAATGTAACCATGGTGTATAGAGGCAGCCAGCCGCGAGGATTGGGAGTCGGAAAGGCAACGCGAGACAATAATTCACCCAGAGACGAAAGGGACGTTTGGAGACGAGAGGTCAGTGAGAACAAAAGTTGGTCGAGCGCTTTTTTGATGAGGTAGGCAGGCGTTGTTACGGAGTGGCGCATTTCAATGCTGACGTACGGCCAAATCAATAAGACAACCAACAACGCATCACAAGTCACTCCACTTACTAATTGTCCATCGCAAGTTCGCATATGGCAACGACATCTTCGTGCCTGCTTGCAGAGTAACGAGAAAGTGCTCTGGATAGCCTCTGGTCTGTGGAATCAGATTCAGGGTCTCCCGAATTGGGCATAGTTCTGCCAGGGACAACGCATTCTTCTTGCAGCAGCGTGAGCAACACCCGAACATCTTCAAGACCGCAGTTAAGCCCTTGTCCGTAAAAGGGAACCATCGAGTGGGCAGCGTCACCGAGAATTACACACCGATCTTTGTAATGATAAGGCGTCAACTACCCCACCAATGGCAGCAATTAGCTCTCAATTTGTGTTCGTGCGAAATGCGAAGGGAGGTACCTTCGTAGTAATCAGGGGGCTACGGGGGTTTTGCTCAAAATCTTTCAGCAATTTGTCTTCGCCAAGTAGTGACAGTGCATCCGGAAAATGATTCTGGAACCACAATAGGGTGTCTTCGCGAGTGATCAAACGATCAAACTCGACGGTGGGGGCGAAGAGGGTGCAAGTGAATGTCTTATCCTGAAATTGAATCTGGTCAGGTGGGAAGCACATAGAAGCTGCGTGCGTGATTACTTTGTTTGGCAGAGCGATGAGCATGAAGGAGTGGCGAGGCCATATGTGGAGGTGATTCGGATCAAGGAGGAAGGCAGGTTTGCCGTGCTCGTCGTGTCCTGCCGGCATTTTAAGTTCAATATACTCATGAGGAATATATTCTTGCTGAAAATTCATTCTATGCAGAAGCATTAATATCAGCGCACTAGTATCATATCTTGAGAGCGGAAACTTGTCTACCAACCTCACGACCCTCATCAACTGTCTCCTTATGATGGAATAACTCCCATCTGCACCAATACACAGGTCGAAGTTGACTCGGACATCTGTTCCCGAATCGCCGTCCCGAAGGCACAGGACTCTCTGGTCGAAATCAGCTGAGAGAACCTTGTGCTTGAAGGTCAACCGGATGTTCGGCACTGCCGAGGCCTCCTCCAGAAGCTCTTCGTTCAAAAGAGCGCGATCTATGGAATTGATGCACTATGAAAATGAGCAAACACGGAACAATGTTGATTTACTTGGCAAAGAGCCGTGGCAAAATATAGGGACCGTGCGATTGAGGAGTGAAACAAACATACCTGACCGTTCCTGTCATACAGTTGACTTTGTAAATTTCCATGCCTGTCGTGAATCATTCGCCCACGCATGGGGATGACCGTCTGCAGAAACCTCTCAGCTGCAGAGGGATCAACAGCTCGTAGAGCGGCGATGCCACGTGATGAAATGGCGAGGTTGATAGATCGCTGTTGAGCAGCTGCTTTCGAAGATGATAGCCGTAAATCTGGAAAAAGAATCAAGACATTGCGTGACGAGAACGTTGACATTGTCCCCTCTTTACCTGGCCTCGCTTCATAGATTTCGACCTCCCATTTCATCTTGGCGAAGGCAATTGCCGCAAGACATCCTACTGGACCTGCACCGACAATAACCACTTTACGGGTAGCACCGAGGGGAGGAATGTTGTCGCTCATGGTTGACTATGGACGAGTTGCTTTGAGGACCATGTGGTATAGCCTAAGCTAAAGGGCTGACCTTCACATTCCTAGTCATCCAAAAATGGAAGTAATGAAATTTATGTAAGATCTCAGATCAGACCCCTTAGCCGACCCTGATCTGATTTATTTATTTTATTTTATTTTATTTTGTATATAGTTCAATGTGCCGATCCAACTCATCGAGTCACGTTTTGTTCAGTACTTGCAGCTCTGAGAGATGCCTTCACAGTACAATGACCTTGACACTATGCTCTCTGGGGAGTTTCTCATCCCATCAAATAGGGATATTGGAGCTAAGATACCAGAAGAAAATGGTGAAGCGGACTAACGTTACGTAACAGCTCAGATTGCTGAAAGGTTTGTATCATGCAGCTGATCAGAGATGCACTTATCTTTGCGGGAACTCTCTTGGTCCATTAAACAAACGGTCCAAGGCTCTTCTGGAGGAGGAGTTACATGTTTGGGGGACACGGTACGTTCCGCGAATCCCTGAGGTTACAAACTGTCCCTTATATCATGGCTTGCGTACAAAAACAATTATTAGAGTCGTCAAAGGACACTTCTCGCACCCTTATGGCCGCGAGTGGGTGAACATTGCCGATACAGTCACCCCTTTACTGGCTGAATTGGTGGGTAAGTAACTATTAACTGTCACGCTATTCAGAGGATCGAGAAGACCTGATGTCGTGCCTTGATGTAGGTGCCTCAGAGAAGGAGGTGGCGTGCATGGGCACTCTGACTGCGAACCTGCATCTGATGATGGCCGCATTTTACAAACCTACTGCTCAACGTTTCAAGATTCTATGTGAAGACAGGGCATTTCCCTCGGATCAGGTTAATGGTTGGCATTTTACTCATTCCTCTTGTTTCTTACATGCGGCATAGTACGCATTTGCTTCCCAGGCTCGTCTGCACGGGTATGACCCGAACGAGGCAATAATCGAAATGCGTCCTCGCGAAGGCGAGTTTACACTACGAGAGTCCGACATCCTGGACTTGATCGCGAAAGAAGGTCCCTCGATTTCTCTTGTGATCTTCAGTGGCGTGCAGTATTACACTGGTCAATGGTTTCCCATGAAGGCTATCACCACTGCAGCCAAGGCACAGGTAAATATTGTCCATCTTCTTCCATCATTACGTACATTTTTCATCACCCCTCATGACGTGAAAAGACAGGCGAAGATCCGCTACTTCAATTACCCCACACGTCACCCTGCTAAACATGTGTTGACCACTTTGTTCGTTCTTTAAAGGGCTGTGTTTGCGGCTGGGACCTCGCTCATGCTATCGGAAATGTTCCCATGGCACTCCACGACTGGGATGTCGACTTCGCTGTATGGTGCTCATACAAATATCTCAATTCAGGCCCCGGCGGAGTTGGCGGCCTTTTCCTGCACAATAAATGGGATAACAGCTTACTACCACAGTGCGTAAATGTCTTTACTGCACACCACTTCTTTTGGGAATTCTAATCGACATTAAATCCAGGTATTCGGGCTGGTGGGGACACGATCCAGCCACCAGATTTGACATGCCTCCTCGGTTTTCAGCTATCCCTGGCGCGCAAGGATTTCAGCAATCCAATGCCTCGGTCTTGCCAACGGTATCGCTTCTAGGTTCCCTGCAGATCTTCAAGGAAGTTGGTATGATGGGTCCCCTACGCAAGCGATCGCTTCAATTGACTTCCGAACTCGAGTCGAGGCTCCTCAAGTCAAGATTTTATATCCCCATCAACGAGGTTTCGGCACAATGCCTATCACAGGGTGACACTGCCCAACAGGGCCAACCTGGGTTCACCATCATCACACCTCGTGATCCCGAGTCTCGGGGTTCACAGTTATCGCTTCTATTTTTGCCACCCAATTCAGATGTGATGCAAAAGGTTTTTAATGCATTGTCTGCAAAGGGCATTGTCGGGGACGAGCGAAAGCCCGACGTGATTCGCTTAACACCCGCACCCTTGTATAACACACTAGGTGATTGCGAGAGAGTTGCTTCTTGCCTCGAGGACGCATTCGAATGTTTGACAAAAGCAACTGTATCATAGACGTATTTTGTACGATACGATTATCAAGTAGAAAGAGGCACTTTATCTAAAATGAATTGTCCAACAAGTCTTACAAATGCTGCGCCTTTCAGTATGACATTGTGCTCTTCTATGAGTTCTCCAAAGTTCTTCGTAACATGAGGGATAGTGTGAAGTAAATGCTGATACATTGCTTCGCTCTGGGCTTCATCGACTAAAGTGTCGCCTTTGGAATGTACAATTAACCATTGCAAGTGATGGTACTCCACCCTCGGGTTCATCTTCGTGACTGAATTTTCTCCGTAGGTACTCCGCCGACCAAATGCAGCCTCGACGAACCAAGCCCTATAAGTGGGGAAACTTGAGAGAAGGAGATCGATGTCATATATTCCCTCTGAAGTGATCATGGCTTTTATGCTTTTAAGAAGCTCGGCTGAGGGGCGCAAATGGTCCTCGCCTTGGGTAGGCTCGAGGAAGATCGATGACAACATATGAGCACCACAGCTATGCCCCATCAAACACAATCTGTTTGGGTCATAGACACTGGTGCCACCCGGGCCTCCCCAAGTGATAACGAATTCGAGAAATCGCAAGATATCTTTCGCGTGATTGGGATGAAGGAATGCATTCTCTTCCGTCGTGTCGCGAGGGGACAGGCGGTAATTTGGGACCGCCACTACGTATCCAGTGAAACTCGCAAGTCCACGAGCCAGTTCAACATGATCGAGCTTATCTTCGCTGCAAAGGAGTAAGGAATGGGATCCTCCGGGGAGGGGCAACTCACCCTCTCCATGCACCTCCATGTATGAAACAAACTAGAGGGGGTGTAATGTGAGATTGTTCATCCGAGGTGTTCAGTAACCTGTTTTGTTTCGGGATATAGATGTCGAAGTTATGGAAGTTGTTGGGTGGTTCAGACTGGATATAAGATATGTCTGTATATTCCTCCAGAGGTTCCATTACAGCTGGATATCAGTGAGTGTAATGCACATATGTGATTAATAGACTAAGCTACTTACGAATTAACGTTTTGCCCTAGTCTCCCGTAGTCAGACCTTGATGACGGTTGTGGTCGTGGCCCTTGACAATGCCAGATACCGGTTGCCGCCATATGGAGTTCAAGCCAAGCGGTGGGATTAACTAGTCCAACATAGCCACTGGTCTGGGCTCAAAATTCTGAGTGACGTCACGACACCACAATTCCGCTTGACGTCACTGAGCGCAGTGTAGTCTATATAACGGCCCGTCACGAACTAGTCGATTCATACAACCCCCTTCAAACGTTATAATGGCATTCACGGCGTCCGACATTTGCAAGGTGCTTACTTCCCCTATTCTCTCCGCACAACACAACCTGATGGGTCCACGAACATTTAGATAATGTAAGTCGCGAGCATTGACTCATTGCAGAGCTTACTGACCATTCAGTTTTGCTATCATTCTTCCTCCTGTAGGCGTCTTCTTGGAACGAGGGTGTGGAGCCGATCTTGCAAGTTGTTTCTTTTAGCATGCGAATTCACCTGGCTGACTAGCGTCGTGATAGCTCATTAATTGCCTACTAACTCTCCTTGGTAAGCACATCCCATAATATTGCGAATAATCTGGCTATATCTCCTTTATATTACAGGATGTGAGTACCTTTCAAATAATTCATTGCGTTCGCTGCTAACTTGTTTTTGCTTTAGATCTGTGAGATATTTGTCTTACTCATTTGTCGATTGTCTTCTCTGACCATTTTCCGGTTCTTAGTCCAGGAATTATTCACGGTATGTCACATAATGCTCTTTACCTGTTGCTACCCTACTTATTGCTTCATCTGTAGCACTCTACATTATTCTGAAGTACTGAGTAATGAGGCCAGACCATGCTCCCACAGGCGAGTTGCCCATCCACTGCCCATTTTTTGTCCATCTTACAGACATTATCCCTGCTTTCATCTCAGAGTTGAGCCTTTAATGGGCCATCAATGAACCATGGTATATCCAGGATAGGATCACATATGTTTCCTGACATCGTCATATTCACGTTTAAATATGTAAAATGCACACCTTTCACAAATTCACGTCATGCACAATTCAATATGTACATACCCTGCGGCTCGCTTTATATAAGTCGCGGAATTGCCTCGTGATTGGGTCATTGTTTTGATAAGAATGATGAGTTTGTGTACGCTACCAAGTGAACGCCCAGAAAATTTATCTGACAGGTGAAACAGCAATTCAACATAGCTTTGTTTCAATCTCTCCTATTGGGACACTTGAATCAGTCCGTTGACATTATCAGTAGCCACTGAAATCAAGTTGTCAGTCGACCCTTGACGCGATCTCGCAATAGATTTTGATCCCTTCCGTCATCGCTACAAGAAGACAGGAAGTGTTCTATTCACTGTCATTCTCGTCAGTACTACCCTCGTCGTCCTCTTCGTTCGAGCTCGCCTCGGATGAAGCCTCTTCCGAAGAATTTGCACCTGCCGAAGGTAGCCCCTTTGTGACTGGAGTTTTGACAGCAGGAATCTCTTCCTTCGATTCGCTGTCCTCGTCCGACTCTTCCTCCGATTCTTCATCACTATCCTGCTCATCGAACTGTTTTATCATGTGGGCTCCAGTAACCCAGCATTTCTTGTAGTTGTCTTGCAGAGACGTAGGCTTAACACCCTGACCTTGAGACTTGGGATTTTCATGCCATGCGCGGATATCATTCTCGTCAACTGTGTCGTCCTGGTAGAGTGCGGCAAGAATCTGACCAAACAGGGGCAAGCGATCCGATGAAGCGCAATATTCCTGTGGTAGACGACTCAGAACGGCTCTCTCATCATCACAAGACACTTACTTGAAGGATCTCGACAGTCTCCACCGGATCAACCCCTCCAATCTTGTCAATCAGCCCTCCCCATCGAGCAATCATACTAGCAATCTCCTGTCGCTGCGGAACGCCTCCGCCCGCCATGATTTTGATACGGCTTACGATGGCTGCGATTACGGCTTCCCGCACTAGGCGAAGAGACACGTTACTTGCCATACGCAGCGTCTTCAGTTCCACAGCGGCGTTGTCGACAGAATGACCTTCAGCAAATGCACGATCGAGCGACTGCTTGACTTCCTGCTGAAATTCTGATATCAGTGCCGAGTCTGCCTGTGCAACCAGATTCGAAGGCGTGCTGAGGGGAAGTGAAGTGGTCGAGGAGGCGGGGTTGGAGCCGTCGAAGCGCTCGTCATCATCATCAGAATCCGACTCAGACTCAGACTCTGACGAAGTGACAGAGCCAGGGTCTGAGAGAACGAGATCTGATGCGTCGTCGCCTGTGAAACATAGCATACAGTCAAGCACATGATGTGATTTGATGAACAAGACCTGCCTATTCGCATCAAGCGCTGGTTATCAGGGTGTTCCAGCTCATCGATGTCTTCGTCCTCGTCAACAATTGGCAGTGGCCAGATTATCGCATTAGTGCCAGGACCAAGTTTTGCAAGAGCTTCGGGATCTTGGTCTTGAGAGAAATGATCAGTCGGGAATTCGAGTGGACATTGATTGTACCCACTTGCTTCTACGTCCTCTAGCTCTGAGTCGACCTCATCTTCGTCATCACCGTCTTCGCCTTCATCATCCTCTTGTTCTTCTTCATCATCTTGTTCTTCTGCAACCTCTTGTTCTTCGTCTTCCTCATCACCATCCTGCCGCCGCTTGGACAATCTTGAAAATGGCGCAAGTCTCGCATGCGGACCAACGACGACGCCATCAGCAATCAAACACCCGCGTTCCACACGAGTGTGCTCCTTGATTTGGACGCCCGACCCGATTATACTGTGCTCAACGACACAATTCGGTCCGACAATTGCGCCATCGAAGAGATAAGAGTTGCGGACTACACTGCCCGCACCAACAATGCACCGCTGGCCAAGAACAGATGCTGTGACCTGAGCATTATCAGCTATCTGCGATTTCGAGCCAATCAGCGTGTTGTTTCCAATCTTGCACGTCCTGAAGTCTCCGCTAGTGGGTAAATGACTAGGCAATTTGGAAACGTTCTTACCGAGAGAGTATCACGGAATTATCCTTGGCGATGTATTTGTTTCCTCGCAGGTGCTCATACGAGTGGCCACCAGGGTGGTTGTCATCCGGCACCAAAGGGAATGTCCATCTTGAAAGAATGTCTTTGCTGATTTCTATTAATTACGATGTATCGTTAGAGAAGTTTAGGACACTTACCTGATGGAGTCATAACTCCGAGTATCCCTAACACGAGCAGCATAACCCTCTTTAGCGATGTAGCAATAGATACTTTTCATTAGTAGGTCAGACGTAAGGACGCCGTGAACGAAGTCCCTTCGTACATCCCCGTAGTCGAAGTTGTCTTGGAACAATGACGGCACCTGCGCAGAAGAAGTAAATCAATTAAAGTGAATGAGGCAAAAACTATGTTAAACGCACCTCTACAGAACATATGTCTATAGAACAATCAATCAAGTCATTTCGGATCTCCACCTCAGGGTGTTCATTCAGAATTTCGCGTGGAATGCTTGCGTATTTCTTCGGCGGGTACCCAGTCACCGCCTCATAGTGCAGGCATTTTGATGTCTCTGGATCTATGACAAACACCGCAGAATCACCTTTCGAACTATGGAGAAATGAGGCTAGTGGTGATTCAGTTCAGAACTTTGACATACCGCGTCCGATGGTTCACGCCACTCTGTTTGACTACCATCGTCATTATGGCGTCCTTGTCCGTTTTCCTCCGCTCCTTGTGCTCGCGTACAACATCACCAATATGTATGTTGCTCACGAGGTCACCAGTGACAAGGACGAAATCTGAAGTGATGATGCCATGCGTGTAGATGTCGCGCATGGCATCACCAGGCGTGAACGTCTCTTTCGCGGTCACAATTGGAACGATCTTGAGGCCTGCGCCGGGCTTCGACCACTTCGAATTCCTGGATCGCAGTTAACTACCATCACCAGGAGAATGGCAGTTCAGAGACTCACTTTATCGCAGTTTTGACCAGTTCCGCATGAGATCGACATATTACGAAGATCTCTTGCACACCTGCTAGAGCAAGGCTTTCGAACGTCCAGTCTAACAATGGAGCATTACATATCGGCAGCAAGCACTGATTGAGAATGATATCGGTATGACTTCGTCGTGCAGCAGGAACTGAACTCACTCGAGGTTTATGCGTGGTTAGCGGCTTAAATCGTTTGTTAAAACTGTCTGCTAGAATGACAGCTTGAAGGACCTCTTCCTCATCTGCGATCAATTTCTCCTTGCCAGCAGAGGAAGCCGTGTTCGGGGACATTTCAAGGAGAGGTGAAGAGTTGTCCAATTTGTTGATGTATCAATATTACCATAATTCAAGTCGAGTCACACCTTAACTCGCCCAAAGGGTGCTTGAGCTCAAGGAATTTCTTGATGTTCATGCAACCCTCCAACATCATTACAAGAGAGAACTTTAATGACATGGATAACTGATCCGACCATAGCAAAGTAAGGGTATCAATGATCAAGATCGACATTAGGTAGTGGAAACACGGATCGGAATGTAGTCATGATGAGTAGGTCGTGAAAAGAAGCAAAGACCGGATCCAACGAGTATGGTAGCAGAAGAGGGTAAAGACATGAGGGGAGCGAATGAAGGGATCCTGATAGTGGCCAAAATCAAGTGCAGCGAGAAAGGCTGCTCAACATACCAAAGGAATAAAGAAGAGCTGATGAATATGCGCTCGTGTCGTTCATGATATTACCAACAGCCTCGAATCAACCGCTTATGCGACAGCCGAGATCACAGGGGTGGCAACAGCGGCGGGCTCGGCGACAATGGTCTCCTCAGCGACAGGTGCAGCAACTTCAGCGGGAGCAGCCTCCGAACTGGCAGGGTTCTCGAGGGGAGCAACCGGAGCAGGCTCATCGATCATGGGTGGGTGCTCGTCCACCTTGGCAGGAGTCGAGAGCTCTGCCTTCGGCTTGGCTCTGAAGAGGTCACTAACGCGCGCAGACAAGCGGCGTCCAACCTTGGCAGCCTTGTTTTCCTTCTCCTTCTTCTCCTCCTGTAGAGAAATATTAGGGCAAACATCACCTTAAATCATCATACATACCTTCTCCTCCTTCGGAGCCTCAGCTGGAGTCTCAGGGGCGGGCTCAGATGCAGGCTCTGCAGCGGGAGCCTCGGCAGCGGCAGTCTCACTAAGACTCGTTAGTCAAGGAAGCATCCAATGACAACACACGTACGTTTCCTTTACTGGTTCAGCTGCAACCTCCTCAGCCTTGGGAGGCTCAGCGACAACAGGTGTCTCCTCAACCACTGCCTCAGCGGCAGGCGCCTCTTCCTTGGCAGGCTCCTCAGCGGCGGGAACGGGAGCGGCCTAAACAATCATCAAGCACAACGTTCCTGAGCTGAAATTAAACACTAACCTCCTCCTTCAATTCCTCCTTTTTCTTTTCCTTCTTGGGACTCTTAGGAGCCTTGACTTTCTTCTCGACCTTGCTCTTGCCTTCCTTGAAGGGGGCAAGAAGCTTGGCAAGAAGGCCAGGGCTCTTTGGGCGCTCCTCCTTCTTTACCTCCTACAGGAGGTTTAGTCACAAGATGAATCGCAGAGTCGGACACATACAGTCTTGACCTCCTCCTTAGCGGGTTCAGCGGGAGCCTCAGGAGCAGCTTCGGCGACGGGAGCAGACTCCTGAAAAAAACACGTCAACCAACGAAACAAAGGTGACCGCATAAACGGCTCACCTCGGCCGTGACTTCCTCCTTTGGTGCTTCCTGTGTTTAAGGTTAGAGGCGCGTGGAGTGACAAAGGAGAATTTTTAAAATTTACAGTAGCGGGAGCTGCCTCTTCAGCAGCAGGGGTCTCAGGTACAGGGTCGACGGCGGGGGTGTCGACAACCTTGACTTCCTCAGCGGGGACGGGAACAGCAGCGGTGGCCTCAGTAGACATTATAGCAAAAAATGCGAATGTGAGCTGTCAACAAAAGGCAAGGAGTCAGATGGACGAGACGCATAATAAAAGTGAAGAAGGCGACGAACATGAAAAGACAATAAATTGACAAGAGAGAGAAGGGCGTGCTACGCAACGCTGGGCCCAAAGGCTAGAAGAGAGAAGGAGTAAGAGAGAGGAAGAGATACGGTTTGTGTCAAATTCGGGCTCTACTTATCCGTATTTGGCTCCGCTTTACGCGCCAAACAAAGCAGGTAACCTAATTTTTGAAGGTTCTTCCTATTAGCTTGATTACCTCTTTCGGCTATGTTATCTCCCACGGCGCCTAGGAGGCCTCAGTACCATTTATTTGAACTATCCAAGTAGAAATTAGCATGGGCACTGGGTGGGTGGTTGGTCTGTAATGGTCCGTGCGGTGGGCGTAGGGATGCCAAAGACGAGACCAACCCAAAGAAGGATGTTCTCAGGTGTACAAAGGAAGGTTCCAGTGCTTACGGATCACGTCACTTGTCGCTACGCTAGCGAAATCACAAGACTAGTACAATCGATCACATCCGCTCGCCACCGAGCGCGATTTTGACTCCTGTTTGAGAAACTTCAACTCAATCATTCCCAGCATCCCGCGGCACACCATCCCAGCCAATGCCCACTCATTGTTACGACCACCGTGGCGTGCACAAATCCACATCCTTGAGAAAGAAAAGGTGTGGTCATGACGACTTGTGCACTTTCTCGTCATTGCGGATGCAGTCCAACTGGGCGAAGGTTACTCTGGGACTCGACCACAATCCTTTCGTCCGTAGGATATTGGCGTGCTTTTTTCGATCGTGACCTTGATATCGCCATCGATATTTCTCCCCTGCTACTCATGATCTCCTTATCTGTGCTAATTGCCAATAGTCTATGGGCGTCTGGTCGCAGATTAGTCCTCCTTGAAGCCCCTTTCATGCGAAGGCTACATGTACGTGCATACTATTCACTCTACAAGTAATTAATACTGAGTTCTAACGGCAGAGAAAGCGTAATCCTCATACCTCAGCTTGGTTGCACCATTGGTGTCCTGCAACTGATCGAAACCCGCGACAAGCAAAAATACAAATTCAGGGGATAAAGTTTCATTTTCATAAGTTTTATGAGAGTTCTTGGCGGCAATTGACACAGTTATTTTGCTTGTCCACGTATCCTGCCTGCGCTATCGCTGCTGGTATTAGTATCGGGTACCGTGAAATGGGACAACGGCGTATGCTTTCCTATGCTTCTCCTTCTTTCTATTTATATATCGATAAGCGGGGGGGTTTGCTTGACCGTTTCAGCTAGCGTTTGTCACAATTCCAAGGCACGCGGGAGCTCACCGGCGCTCACCTCCCGACACTTTGCATCTAGGGCAATGCAAAGAAATACTCGCAAAGTATCGACTTACACTAACTTTTATCTCAGCAGGAACCTACGGCCTTGTGTTCGAGCAAATGCATGGTGGCTGCATCACAGAATTTGCTATAAATAATGGCCAGGCTAGAATCACTTTCACCAAGGCTTACATCACTGATGGTGACCAAATCAAAGAAACTTACGCGGTCCAACTGGACCGCAGTTCTTCAGGGTTTCTATCAGTTCAGCAGCCATACTTCCCGGTCATATCATGCCCACTAGTACGAACGACGGGAAGTTGATGTAAGTTGGCATGACTCGTGTTGATGTGCATTCACTGGTTTGAATCATATCTAGATCTATGTTCATTTCGACATTTCGGCCGTGTGTACTTTCAAGGGGGTATTCACATCATATCGCTCATCATTCCAGCCATAACAAAAGTGTGCGATGCGACCCAATACCAGTGTCACGGCACAAATGTCGAACAGAGTTCGTTATACGTCAGTGCATGGCCACGATGACTTGATACATCCCAAGGACAAGGACTACCAGGGTGATGCCCTGGACCCTGGTAAGTATAAGTGTGCATCCACTTCCTTTTGACAATAACAGATCTGCGCTCAGACTCCACGAAGGGAACGACTATTGTTTGCCGCATTGGAATCTCGAACTGCAGTTCTCTCCACCTGCGGACCAAGAAATCAACATTTCTACCTCGTGTCGCGGAAGGATTCGCACGTTAATTATCGCGGATCATGGTCACGGCCTCTCAAAGACCCTGTGCTCGTCAGACAAGCATCCCAGACTTTCTGATTCACGGTGCATCTGCGCCCAAACACCACAAGGACTACTTACAATTTCATTTTCGAAGCCCCAGACGTAGGAGTTTACGCCCATTTGGTGAGGGGCGTCCAAAGTACACCCGGTCACAGTTGTATCTAGGAACTACCGCTGCAATGTCTTGGAGGTCTTGTGTCGAACACCAGCTGATCTCCACATCACGTCCAGGTCCCCATGACTTCCACGACTTCGCACTACAAGTGGCGACTACCTAGCAACCTCCCGCGCCCTCTCGCACCCTCTCGCACATGACCACGACCACGCAGCACTAGCTGGAGGTTGTATTCAGGAAGTCGCTTAGGTTTCCTTGCAAGGCGTTTTTAAAAACTTCTTCATGAATGTCTTATCGTGCACAAATGATATCTGAGTGATATATTATGGGTCCTACCGTAACGGCAGGCCGTGTAGGGCTTTTGGAATGAAAATCAACAGGCAGGACGCGGAACGGCTGACGTATATCACGCGGCTGCTTTCACCACCTTGCCCGCAATATCTGACTGCCGTCTGCGAGGTACGCGCAAACCCTTGGCCTTCAACTGTATACGTTTTCCCTCTGAGAAAATACTTGAACAAGCAATATAACACAATAAGATCGATGGACAAACCTTGAATGAACGCCTTGTCCTCCTCTGAATCAAACCCGACATCTTCTTGCTGTTCATCTACATCCTTCACATCGGCCAGTTCGTCTTCCTGCGTACCAGCTTTGACCTTGGCCCGTTTTTCCACCTTGAACTTTGCAACATAGAACCCATCCATGTTGTGCACGTGGGGGTAAAACCTCCGCGTCAGCTTCACGCTCGGGTGGAAAGTTTTTCCGCGATACTTCGTAAAACCATCCCTGCCAAAGCCAAGACCAGTGTCCACAAGTTTCACGTTCGGGCGCTTTCGCAGCGCATAATCGACAACAGCCTCGTTCTCATCAACGGTGACGGAACACGTGGAGTAGACCAGAAATCCCCCCGTTTTGGAATCAGGAGAGACACTGTCAATGGCGCAGAGGATAAGCTGCTTCTGGAGGTGCGAGAGGAGGTGGAAATCGCGTTCAGACTATAAGGGTATATCAGTAAATGGGGGAGCTTTGATAAGAAGTTAGAAACCTCACCTTGTTGACTTTCACACTTGAGTCCTTGCTGATAACACCAGTGCCGCTACATGGCGCATCCAGAAGGACTCTGTCAAACCCGCCCATTACCTTGGGAAACTCCCGACCATCGTACGAACAGACGACAACGTTTTTGCACCCTAGACGATGTACATTCGCTGTCAGACTCTTCGTCCGTGCTTTGTTCGCATCATTGGCGAAAACGATGCCAGTATTTTTTAGGAGTGCAGCGATGTGCGTGGTCTTGCCTCCAGGGGCGGATGCCATATCAAGTACACGCTCGTTCGGTTGAGGAGATAATGCAATGACGGGAAGGAATGATGAAGCTGCCTGAAGCATATAGTGGCCAGAGAGATACTCGGGTGTCGCACCTATCATATAACTTTAGTTCCGCACAGCTCGGGACCAAAGAATTATACAAACCTATTGGTACGCTGCTTTCGAAGACTTGAAGACCAACATTGGTCCATTTGCCTATCGGCTCGAGGTTGACACCACGGTTGATAAGGGATTGCGCAAGGTCTCGTCTTCGTGTTTTGAGCGTATTTGTTCTAATAGTCACTGGTCTTGATACCTCATTTGCTTCGAAGAACTCGATGGCCTGCGGAAGGGATAAGCACGAGACAGTAAAGAGAAATAGAGCACACACCTCAGAAACAGGGAAAAGCTGGAAAAACTTCTCGGCAAGGAAATCATTATACCCGTAATAACTAGCGATGTCAGAGACGAGCTGCTCTACATATTCTGATCGTAGCCTGTATATGTCATTGAGAATGCAGACAGAATTGAAAGCGGCTGGTTGAAAAACGTACCGGCCTTTCGCGCCCAATTTGCTGAAATTGCCCAAGATACGGACGCATTCTCGCATCCTCCGCTGAACGACATGGACGTCAGCAACATGGTTCTTCTCCTCTGCTCTCTCTTCAGCCGTAGGTAAATGAAATGCCTCTGCATCTTCGCCCTCTCCTTCCATGTCGATATCCTCGTCACTGCCCTCGAAGGTGGCATTCTGCATCTCCGCAATATCAAGCTCTGCCTCACGAGCAGCCTTCTCATCGAGGGCACGGGAGCGGGATTCTATGTTCTTGGCAGTAATTGGCCCGTCCTCGTTGTCGTCCTCATCATCAGAGTCTTCTGAATCATCTGAGGCTGTTGGAATAATTTTGGTTGGACGTTCAGCCTGCTTAGATTTCCGGCCTTTTTTGGGGAGCAGTTCAATTTCTTCGTCATCGTCTGAGCCAAGATCCAGTTCTTGCGGGATCCCTCGTAAAAGGTCGTCGCTATAGGACGGAAAACTTCAGTCAGGAATGTAGTTGGACGTGGAACTCACTCCTCATCGATATCCAAGTCATCCGGATTATTCACGAACTCATCAACATCTTCTAAATCGCTAGCGTCTTCCCACCCATCACTTTCCCCTTCCTCCGAGAGCGGTTTACTTGTTTCTTTGGTAGGTGTAGGCTTAGATATAACCTTTGATATCTTCTCTGAATCCTTCGCCCGCTTCTCTCGGGCTGGAGGTTTGTCTGCTTTAGCTTTTTTCGTAGGACGGCTGTTGGTAGTTGGTTCAGGCTCTTGATCTACATTTGCCTTGCGTTTTCCGAGCCTTTTTGTCGAAGGGCGAGTTTCATCTGGATTGGGAAGCGGAGCTGGAGGCTTCTGTTTGTACTTTGCTCGACGTCCTCCCATGACAGGCTAGCTGATAATGATACGGTCGACCGCGCGGAGAGATAGCAGAAAACAAGTACTACAAGACCGAGACAAATTGCGAGCTATTTTTCCTCTTGCCTGATTTGGATGATACCCCCCTCTACGAATCTACTAACGTCGCTTCAACCGACACGCAACCCCAATGCAAGTCCAGCAATGAAAGACGCCCTTGGTTGAAAGTCTGCTGTTAAAAAGTCCACCACCCATCTCCACAGTGACGAAATAGTTGGTGGCCTCTTGTTGCCCAACTCGTCCTTCGTATACAACAAGTTCTCGAATCGAGAAGCCATGAGGCCCCAATCAACACGGACGAGTGACAACGACCCAAGGTACTGTTGAGCCGATGAATCTGCGTTGCCGGCCAAGAACACATGTGACGTACTTGAAGGAGAACGAATACACCACCCAAGCAGAATGCGACCATTTTTGCACCTTTCTTGACGAACACACCCGCGCAGATGCCAGCTGCTGTACCAAATGTCAATTCATAGAGATTGACGGCGGACTCGGGGGGCGGGGCCTGAGGAAGCGGAGCGGGTGCGGGAGCTTGGGTGCCTCAAGATCAACTTGTTTTCAGCCAGGCTCAGCTACGATAATTCATAAATACCTTTGCTGTCACAATGAATGGTTGGCGCGGTGCACGTTGCTATGCCAAGCGTGATCCCTGCAATCCCTGTAGCTGTCAGCAAGCTGGGCAGGAGGTGCCAGTGCCCTCTTCGTGTAACGCCCAGTCGATTCAAGACCCATGTCTGAGGCACATGGGCGCGTGCGGGAAGTAAACGTTGTCGACAAATGACAGATAGTGAGCGAGGGTGGAAGAATTGAATAGTGCTCAAACTCGAACGAGCAGTGATTGGGCTGAACCCAAGTAATGGCCGGACAAGCGAGAACGACATGAGCAACAAGTACTAGAAATTGTTCGTTATGCTTGAGCTGAAGTATTATGTACGAGAGGAGAGTCCACAAGTAAGGATCAACCAAGTACTACAGGTAAGTAATGTGACGTCATCCTCATAAGGAAAGTTAGTACAGATGAGTACGTTGTGAGTATGGACCTCAAGTCCAGACAGCGCTAAACGCTATAACCAGGTCATATAGGCAGACCATAAAATGCCAATCGTGCTTTTAGATAACTGTATGTGAAAGTCCAGGTCCAAGATCATCATCATTCTCGTCCAGCAGCACTAAGCACGAGTCTCCTCCAGTCGTTCAGATTGACATTAGAATTCGTAGAATCAGTGCGAACATGTTGCAATCCAGGTCGAACTGGCGTGGGCAGTTGAACAGGATCTCGCACTACGTCCCGAGGAAAATCTGATAACTTGTCTTTAGAATCTCTTCTGGGGACATCAGAATGGTGAAACTCGAATGTGGTTGGATTTGATCCTGCGGAGAATCGCGGTGTAGGAAGGGCAGTCAGTGGGGGGGACAAAAAACCATCGCTTGGAGTGTCGTAATCACCTGCTGCAGATAGATCCTCCGCATGATCATGGACGCTGGCCATCATCGAATGTACAGACAGGTGAGGGGCGCGCGACATCGACGATGATGCAAGTAGATTGCTCTGCTGATCAGTTGCATTGGGGACTGGTGTGGTGTTGGCACGACCAGTTATAGTGCTTTGGGAATACACTGATGCCGAACTTCCGGTGATCACACTCATGGTTCGATGAGGTACCTCGGCGAGTGGTTCGGAAACCGTGGGGAATTCATAAGTCGATCCGTAGAAGCTGCTGGCCACTGAATCACGATTGCCATCTACAGCCTCGCCGACGAAGCGGTTGGGCAAAGAGGACGACTGAATTGAATTCTGGTGACGTAGGTATTGTCCCGGAGATGATGGGCCGTATGCGTTCAGACTTCTATCGGCGTCGTCTGGAGCACGGATGGTTTTCGCAATACTAGACGGAGAAGATGCGTCAGAGTAGACTGAAGTGACTCTCGGCGGTTCCAGTTCAATGCGTTCATCACCCGTTGCTTGTTGTGCCATTTGCAACGAGGACAATGACGAGGCATTGCTACGGAGTCTGCGAGCAGCAGGCATTTCGGGGGGAAACGGGAGCTCCGACGCAGAGTGATCAGGAGACATCCCCTCTTGGTTTTTCAAGAGCCACGCGTGAGACGCAGACGACGCATGAGATTTGCGCAGATCGTCATTGACCTCCGCAATATTAGGCCGATTCTCCAGATCATCAGCTTGAGTTGAGCTGGGTGTACGAGGGACAAAAGCCATGACGGGGAGGCAGATGGCATAAATAAGCACTATTATCACCATCAATCATCATGTATAAAAGGATGAAGTAAATGAGCACCTACTCAGTGCGGAGATAGCATAAGTTCCTATGAGGACCACCATTGTCATAATATGGCAATTCGCAGTCGAACCTTGGTTCAGTCAGCCTAGGAATCACTCACACGGTCAAACGAACTAACCGAATGCGCTGCAGGGAAATTTGGGGCTGAGAATCATGAAGACTACGGCACCGGCTGAAAAAAGCAACGTGAGTTCCATGACCACGCTCACAGCACAGTCAAACACAAACCAGCGTAAAGACCCAAAAGTACGATGGCTCGTGCAGCATCGGGCCAAAATTGATATTGTACGACAATCCTGGGCACCGTAAGCACGCTGCGGATATGGACGGAGTGATGATGCTTACATGAGATACAACAAAATCGAACCAACGAAATCAAGAGCAAGGAGACCGAAGAGAAATCCGCCTGCAAGGACAGTATCGGTAACAGGTAATTGCAAGGCATAGTGATGCTACTTACGCTGGCCGGAATTGTAGCTTGAAAAGTTGTTGGCGATATACACGGCAATGATGACGGACCATGCTAAGGAAAGAATTGCGGCAAGAGCTTCGAACAACGTGAGTTGGAATCAGACATCAGACATATGAAACTCACCGAGAACAATGCGACGAAAACTCCTGAATCTGGTCCACAGAGTGCTTGGAGCCATTAAAAGGGGGTCCTGACGTAGTCAGTGAAGTCGAAGGGCGAAGAAGTCGAATGTAATATAGGAAGAAAGAAAAGAAATACTAAAACGTGGCCACGATTACTCAAATTCGCCGCAGTCAGTACCAGACGGACACAGGGATGGGACCAGCCTTGATGTGTCGTTTCACGGCCAAATGGTCTTATTTAATACCGCAGCAGCGTGTTCCTGAGACGGGGCGTGTTAAATTTAGTCACCTATGTGGTAGGCAGTGCCAGTCTTGAGTTTTCAGCGCATCCTGCCAGTGACACGGTCGTAGAGACACTGCCCCGTGAATCAGCACTCTCACATATATCCCGAGAATGAAAGGGATTTGTTGAGTAAGTGCAAGAATCGAATTGTACGACTGGCATACGCCGTAGGCCGTAGCCAGCTGCCATATAGTTGCTAGGTCGTAGTCTTGTCGTAGTCCTCATGTTTCTAAATTTACAGGCAGTGCACGTGCTAGCGATGTAGGGACGAACTTCCGTAAGCGGCAAAGGTAGAAAACAGACCAGCGGCACAAGTAATTGACAGCAAGCTGCAACCATCATGTCGGGTTCAGGAGAACAACAGCCTCTTCTCGCATATCCCTACGATGAGGACATAATTACGCCCACTGAGCGGCCCAAAAGCACTGTCGGTGTTTGGCGCGAAAACATTTCATGCATTCTAGAGTCCCGGCGCTTTCACACATTCGTTATTGCTTTGGTGAGTAGCCGGTTTTACATATTTCCACTACATTTTGACATGCAGTGCTGCCTGTAGATTGTGATCGATGCTGCATGTGTCCTCGCTGACCTCGGATTCACCGTTTTGTCCGATGGATGCGCCCCCCCAGATGAGGGCCCTGCATGGCTCGAAGTTCTGGCGACTATATCGCTTGCCATAACCACGCTCTTTCTTATTGAAATACCAGTTACCCTCTGGGCTTTTGGAGTTCGCTTCTACACCCCATTCTCAGGTGTTCCTCATGCGGCTTTACATTTGTTTGATGTCGCGATCATCGTCACGACTTTCGTACTCGAATTCGTCCTCAAGGGACGCCAACGTGAGTTGGCTGGACTGCTGATTATTCTTCGTCTATGGCGACTAGTAAAGCTCGTTGGAGGTAATTCTATGTTACACCTCATTTTCTCGTCTTGTCTCATGAGCTTTCCAACAGGCATTGCCGTGGGAGCTGCGGAAATAGAAGAAGAAACAGCAAAGGAACTCGAAGAGACAAAGAGGCAGCTTGAGGGCACCACAACCGCACTTGCGAAGGCTCGTGAGGAGAATCGCAAGCTGCGCGGCCGGGTAGCCTGGTTGGAGACAGGCGGATCCGAGGGAACCGAGTTCTGAGCCGGACGGATTTCTTGGACACTCGGCATCAACTATTCCTGTCACCCCTATCCCTGAAAGTCAAGAACTAAGTATTCTGAACTCAAAATACTACAACTGTATTACGATCGTGGATATATTTAATACAACCGTGGCGATACCCAAGTCCAGATGAAAGCTGAATATGCTAAGGGATACAAATTGGATATGTTGATGAAGCAAGAAGAAAGTTGAGGAAGAAAGGTAAAGTGCAAGGATGTCAATCAAAAACTAGCTCTAAGGGGTCATGAGAGTTCAGCGTGGAGATCAGTAATATTGGCCGCATCCGCGGGTATCCACTCAGATAATCGCGGGCGTGGGATGGGCAGATCAGGATCTACAATCCTCTTCGGAAATATGGTAGGCGTTCGTGGCGTCAAGGTTGACCAGGATGTATTTTTATCCAACTGCAAATCCGTGCAAGTCTCAGCACACTTGAAGTCTTTTGGACCTGATACCTCTCTAGCACGGGCTTTTGGAGGCGGCGAGAGCACTTTTGGAGAGCGGCTGGACGGCGATATACGCTGTGTCGAAAAAGGCTGGTCCACACCACGTCGGGTCTGGAGTTCAAGCTGCTTCGCCCACGCAGGCCGAGTGGAATTGATGGACGGGCAATTGCGGGAAAATAGAATGGGCTTCGAGGGCTCGATCACGCGTCCTTCGACTCTGGAAAGCTTTTCCCAAGTTTCTGAGATGTATTTCGAGATATTACAAGAGCTGCCGCTTTCAGCCCAGGTGGTCGATGAGTTTTCCGACAATGGCCGTGAGGGAAAAGAAACGGCCATCGAATCATCGAGATTGAACCAGGGAACCGCTGTCACAGGCATTTTCCATAGGGCAGGCATGAAAAGAACATGAGTTGCTGCCATTACGCATATCGTAACACAATACGCAAGCACTATTGTTAGCATCATTAGTGCCAGCCAAGAGCCACGAATGACGATGACATACTGATGAACGTAGCTAACCAGCTGATCGGCACAAGCAGTGCTGCAGAAGCGCAGATAGTCCACGTGGCTGAAAGGACAGAGAAAGTCAGCTACGCAACAAACCACCTATCAACCACGCTTACATTGTGACTGACATAACGTTGGGGGACTAGCGGTTGTGGCATAAATGCTGGCAGCTTCAAATTTCAATGATGGGGTTCAGTGTCATAGATCAAAGATGTGACATATAGCAATATCTTACCTAGCTGAAGGATGCCCATCAGTACTGTCCACCCACACTCAAATCTGACATGGGAAGGCCTCGCTTTGGGACATATAACCTCCGCTGAATATGCTCTAATGAGGAAAGTCAGGGGGTCACTGATGTAGGGTCGACAACAAAATACCTACAGCGTGGCAAGAGCGAATATAAAGGCAGAGTTCACAATAAGGAATGCCGCTGCACCAGGCACTGCAACGTGTTAGTCAATGATTATGACCAGCACACTGACCAAACATACCTGGCATCCCAGAAGATGTAGAGGATACAATATTCCACCCTGCAAATATAGTTGCAAGCAAATTGAAATATAGGATGAGGGCTGCCATCAATTGTTATATGGTTGCACTGAGATATTGAGTGACATCGTGTGCTTACTGAAAAATATGGCTCGAATGATGATGAAGGGATTCTGCATTTCGTCGGCTTCAATGGCGTTGTTGGTCGTGAAAGAAAGAGTGACGGTAGGGAAAGTCGTGGACCAGCTGTGGAAAGGTGAAAGAGGAAGCCGAGCGGGGATTAATAAAACCTATGAGTTAGAACACTGTTCGGTCCACCAGAGACAAAGAAGAACGGTCCACTGTGCAGAAGAGTCCATTAAATATCGACCATTGTTCAACGTGGCAATCGCAAGCTGCTGGGAGATCTCAAGGAGAAAAGAACAATAAGAGTGGCATGCAACAATAAGTCCATTGTCCAGATAAGGAAGTTACAGTAACGTAAGTCTGTCTCCTCAAGGACGTAGCGGCCCTGCTGCAGTCTCTATAGCAAGTCTTATTAGCGACTCCGTATAATCGCGTAGTTGAGGGATTGGTGTAAGATCGTTGAGAACATATTGCAATGAGCGCAAGAAGCCAACGCGGACGTCGGACACCAAACACGATACCGCACTACTCGTGATCAACATCGAAAATGCTTTCTAACCAAACGATGAGTCTAGACGGACCTCCGAGTCGTCGGACAATGACCATGGATAGTTCAATAGGTTATGAAGCCTCGTGCAAAGTCGTCGCTGCTAGGTTATACTGCACATTTTTGCGGTATTTCGTCGCCAAATCTGCTGCAATCTTCACAGAAGCATTGGCACGAAGTATTTCCTGCAAATGTAATTTGCCTCTTGATGACCCTGGACATCCATATTGCGATGACACGCACCTCCACACAGTGGTTCAGCTCGAGGATCATCTCCGTGCACGCTGACTGTAAGTTGCGATATGAACATGGCTGATTGGCACCACACATGTATTATAGATGGACTCACAGCGTTCTTGAGAATACGCTCTAGCAAAACAGCCTGTCGTTCGGCATGAGGATTCTCCATGGTTGACTGCAAATTTACTGGTATGTTGTTGTAATATGATGACAGACACCACCAAAAGCGATGCACACTAAATTCAGTTTCCCCTCTGGGCACAACTTTTAAAAACAACAAACAACTATCGATCTGGTATCACATACATATACTCTACTTCCTAACTCGACTTCAGAGTTCACGGTGCCGTCTTATTAATACATAGGACGAGCCAAATAAGGAGCAGAGTGCTGTGTCTCGTCAGCTGATGGCGGACGCACGCGAGGACCAGAAGGCCGTCGAGTGCGGGGATGTGATAATGAATCAGTGGGAAGATTACCAGGGAGTTCCGACGGAACTTGAGCGCTTCCTCTCGGAAACTCGAAAGCGCTCGGTGGTGGTTTCCTCTTTGCCTTAACGGGTTGCTCCATTACATTTGCTCGCGGCCAGTCAAACGGTGATGAAGATGGGGGCGATGGAGATGGAGATGAGAGCGATGCTCGCGTCTGCTGTGCCGGTGTTGATGATTTGACCGAGTTCGAATAGGCTATGGACGTATCAAGTCGAGGTGTCGGTGGAGCACCCGTCTCCGGCGGAATCAAACCACGAATTCTTTGCGAATAGACGAGAGCGGGGGAAGGATATGATACAGTGGGAGCAGGTATAGCTTCAGGTAGGGACAAGGCGGAATCCACAGTCGTCTGTTGCGGCACATATGGGCGATAATGTTCAATCTCGTACTCAGAATCAAGTCCAGCACGATGGCCATAGATCGGATACGGAGCCGGGCGAAGCGATCGAGGTTTATGCGCTTCCGAAGTTCCGCGAACTTTAAAACGAGGAGTGGTCGGCGAGTTTTGAGCACTAGGCAGGCATTGGCGAGTGGTTTCAATGCGGAGATAGCGAACATTGTGATGCCATACGCCTGGATCGATACGTTGTGTCGTAATGGCTGTTACGACTAGAAGAAGCAGATAAAGAAGCACTATAGTACAATGAGTTAATCGGCAAGGTTAGATGAAATAATCTAGAATACTTACATATGATAGTACAAATCCAAGTAAAAGCTAGAAGAACATGGGTCGACGAACAGGCATTGCCATTCGCTAGAGCGGCTAGATACGCACAATCAGCACATTGATCAGCAAAAAGGATAATGAAATCAACCTTGGGCGATGCATTGGGCCTGCGGTGCAATTGCGGTCACGGCGGCCGCACCAGCTGAGGCCAAAAAAAAAATTAGACATTTTATCTTGATACGAATTGAGGGGCGCACCTAATTGCATGAGCCAGATGAGAGCTACCCATACGCACTCGAACCACACCCGCCCAGAGAGTGGATCTGTACAGAGTAAGTCGGCGAAAATGCTGCAGAAAATGTCAGTATTCTGGGAAGGACAGTCACAAGGTACTTGCATTGGAAAGATGAAAGCCAGGCAGAAGGCGCCTAGGAATATGAGATAGGCATCGACTTGCACTGAGGATGGAGCTTAGAGCGAGGTCATAACCAATATGAATGACTTACAAGTCTGACCTCCGTTAGCTTGGACGAGGCTGTGATTCCATACAGCGATACTGCATATAATGGCATTACAGACAACGAAAAGACCTATCGGGCGAAAGATGTGACAAAACGCCCACAGGTGAGAAAACGAGGCATACCGAACAGAATATAACGAGCGAAGAGCAGAGTAGACCTCATTTTCGATATCGACAGAATTTTAGAAGTACATATACGTATTAAAAGGGCCTGAGAGATCAAACCGCTCGGCGGAAGATGAAACGAGCAAGGGGAAGGGAGCTTAGCCACAAGAATCCAGTTCTGTGTAAGAATGGCCGTCTCGCGTTAACTTTGGTCCCATGCTTATGCACCCGAATTACAAAGTCCGCGGCACCGCCGCCCAAACATTCACAAATATCATGCATGGTCTATGAAAAATGCGTTTTGACTTTTATGACAGATGAGGTTTAGAATACAGATGAGTGATTGAGTAATGACAAGGTAAATGAAGTCAGACAGATGGGAGTCCAGAAACAAAGTTAATATACACCGTGACTTCGAGGAAAGCATGTCAAGAGCGAGAGTGTGATCCAGCCGAACATTCGACCGGCGGCCATTAGGACACGGCTGGTGACTTCTTGATTATTCTTCTAAGAGCACAACAAGGGCGGTGGGCGGGAAAAGGTCAAGAAACTATCCGAGTGGGAGGGGAATATTGTCCGGCCTTGCTGAAGGTCTGTCATACTAGGAATATAAGATCGAACTTCTGCAGAGGAATCCCGCTGCAGATGATCTATCATGTCAAAGATTCGCCGGGGCACTACGGACGTGTCGCGCAAAACGTTTTCTAATGCAGAGTGAGCGTTGCAGTGCAAGGTTAAAATCAGAAACATACCAAGTATTGAGCCACTTAAACGGGCAACGCCAATGCGAACACCCACTATGCTATCATTGCTTAACCGCTCGAGAGTGTGCCACCTTGCATCATCCACTAAGATTGATAGCCCACCTGCTGAGGATGCTAAAGCCTGCTGACATGCGACAAACCTGCAGAACAATGTAAAAGGCTGAATGAAGTAGAGGATACACCTACGTCATTCGTCTTCGAAAAATTGGAGAGTTAGCTAGCGAAAGTATATCTTCGTGAATCATGTTGACAGTAGGTCTCCAGACATCTTGCGAGGCTATTCGACAGATCTTCAGAGACGGACAAAGTCCTTGTTAATCAGAACAACGGTGTTGTCAAGCCCCCACGCACCACAGAAATAGCAGTCTCCCTGACGGCGCCAAAATCGTCCTCGAGCGCTTTTTTTAAAAGTGCACGTATGTTGTCAGGTCGTTCAGGTCCGCCAGTGAGGTCAGCGATAATCTTGATGACACCTTCACGCGCTCTCCAATTGCGCAACCAGCCTTCCTCCCATACATTGAGCAGACCTGTGATCACCTCCTCCCTCGCCTTTCCCTCGCCCAAAGCCTCTACGAAGAGAGGGACAGCCTCAATTGCTTTTAATTTAATCTCGTTATCATCTTCAGATCGCATTGCATCCCACCACAAGTTCATCATATCTCGTTGGGCATTGTCTGGTCCGATGATCTTTGCCAGGTCACCCAGACTTGCAGCTAATGTCCGCCGGATCTTAGGCGAGCGGTCCCGCGCGAGCGTGAGGTATAGTCCCCGTAGCTCTCCCCATCGCGCTCGGCCAAGGGTAAGTGCTACTGCGGGAAAGTTGAATGCACACGCAAGCGGACGAGCTGGGTCATCATCAAGTAACTGCACCAGGGCATTCGCTGCACAAAAAAGAAAGTATTCATTAATTACCACACATGGTGAATGAATGACCGCTGCGTACCTGACAGTTGCTGTAACGGCGATTGTCGATAACGTTCTCGAACTAGAAAGTTACTATCCATGCCGAGGAACAAACGTAGTAGATCATCGGGCGGTCCGCCGTCAACACCATGGAAGGTGTAGACAACTTCCCCTAGAGCCTCCAGGACCCCAGTGCGGACTGGAGCAGAATCGTCTCGTGACAGAGGAAGAATGGTAGAGACGGCGACTGATCGCCTTAAGCCTGGCGGCAAACGTGACAAAAGTGCTGGAAGAGCAAAAAGGGAGGAGTGCCTCACGTGCCATGCGGGATCGACACGTAGAGATTCAAACAACGGAAGCTACAGGGACCACTAGTAAGAACTTGTAAGTTTTTTGAGTGCAGCGTACTCACAAGCGAGCCAAGGATAAGCTCATCGGGAACGACTTTTGCAAGAGCACCCAACGCGAAGGACGCCTCTCTTCTGACCCAGTGGACGGGATCTTTCCCGACTCGCTCAACTTCTCTTACGAAAGCATGTTGAGTCTCGGCCCTCAATGATCCTGCATGGGAAAAAGCTATGATTATCACGATGAAGTTGGTATCATACGCACCCCCAGCAACTACGGCAGCAATGAGACTCATGCTTGATAGTCGTCCAACAGCGGCTTGTTCCCCAGGGTCCATGTCTTGTGCCTCATCCAGTCCGTCCATATCTGAATGTGCAGAATCAGAATAGGTCGTAATGCCAGGCATCGAGTCGCGCTCCCAGGATCCCTCGGTAGTTTCCATTGGGCTGTGCTGATTGGCATCCTCCAGATGAAGAGATAATATAGTCGTGGGTGATGTGTCCATTCCAATAACTTCGGCTTCATGATATGGCGGGGGAACACCGACTGGTGGACTAGGGAGGTTGGCACCGGGCGGTGGGATGACCGCTGTCACAGGAATGCGTATGGTTGAAGACAATGGTGTTTGCGTGCTTGGAAAATAAGGATTGACAGAACCGTTGCTTGGTATAGGATGATCTGGTTGAGGAATCTCTAGCGCTGGCGTATACCATACTTCGTCCGCGTCATTTTCATCTTCACCTGATTCAAGGCGTCCCATTCCTATCACAAGTTGCTGAATAACCTCTTCTTCGAACAGGATCCTTTCGTGTCCTCCGAATAATCCGTAAGATAGGTCATCGGGGTTCTTGTCTCCGAGATCATCGGCCCTATGTGTTCTTGCGAGTAATTCAACAATGGCAAGTCTCGCGGAGCCGCTGACAACGCCGTTTGAGCTGAGGAGAAGTGTTGCTAAAATAGGAGTGAAAGCCTGGACTGAGATTAACGTGACCTGATCGTCAGACTGAATGTGAGGAGGAAAATCGGCATTAGACGGGCCACTCGGCTCCTCGACCAAGCGACAATGCTAGATATGCAACGAGTTCAATGTCACATGGTCAAAAGTGATGATGAGGTAAAACAGACCGTTAAAAACCACCACATGATGGAAACAAGCTCCGCTGATAGAGCCTCTTTCACTGCCTCGTCTAGAAATATCATTAAAGCCGGGGAAGCGCGGAAGCGGGGGAGAAACCCACCTTCATCGACAGACAAACTGGGGAGGAGAGGTAATACATACTCGACAGCCTCTATAGGCGAAACCTGCGCTAGGAAGGCTGGTAGAGCATGTGAAATAAATACCCTGTGGGGCACTGAGCTGATTTGAAGTGGTACTATTACACAAGGCCCACCTGTGATGCGCGGATCTACTACGAGAAAAAAGGTATATTTTTTCAAGGGTACTTAAACCCTCGTCATCGAGGGTGAAATCTAATGCAAAGTCAGGGGAGGAAAGGGCCTCGGGCGGTGGTATTGTTTCGATTTCAACAGATGCTATGGAAGGAAGATTGATGAGTGGGGGTGATGGCGGCCTGGAAGTTACAAAGATAGGAAGCGGGGGAGGATCTGGTGGTGGATCTTCGCCTTGGGGAGAGGTGACAGGTGTGGAAGGAGCGGTATGGAAGGAAAGCGTGGGCGATAGCGGAGGGGAGTCAAGAGGATTCTCACCCGGAGAAGGTGAAATAATAAGTGGAAGTGCGAAGGCGCCCAGCACCTGTGGATGAGTTAGATGTATAGCAGAAAGAGAAAACGTTGTCCTTGCAGGTGCCGATGGACGTTGATGAGGCTCCGGGATGGGTTCGTCTGAAGGAGGGTTGCTGTGTTGAATATCGACGAGAGACACTACATTACCCATGTTGGTGTAAGGTACATTGAGGATATAGAAAAAGAGATGGGGACGGACTTTGGAAGAGGCGTTGCTATAAGGCCCTTTGGAGAAGGACCGCGGGGAATGAAGTGAGGGGGACACGAGGACAAGGGGCTGACCAGTAAAAGAGCGAATTAAGAAATGACGCAAGGCCACAATGCAGCAAGTGAATCTGGTTAGTTTAGCACGCAAGTTCATTATAAAATAATACAAACGCATTACTGAATAAAGTATAGCTAGCTGCAGATGAGATTACACCTTGAACGGTGAAATTTTCAATTAAGCAGCAGCAGCAGCAGCAGCAACGGCAGCGGGAGCCTGAGCCTAATGAGTTTGCCCGTTGGTTTGAGAAGGTAGGTACCGGGACAGGAGGCGAAGAAAGGAAAAAGGTTATGATGAGAGAACCCGAAAAAGAACAAGGAAGGACATGACCGGGACAAGATTCAACTTGTAATTGACACCGCGGAAAATGTTTATCATGATGTCATTCCCTTTAAGGCACAAAATGACGTCATAATACATTCCCCCGTATTCGACTCCCTTCCTTCCTCACGCTCTCCGAATTCCGCCACGCCTATAACGCACCCAACGTCTAGGTCCCCGCTATCCGCAGTCGTCAACTACGCGCACAAGGGTACAGCGCTATCCAATTCTCTCATATATACGCTACGGCGTCAATTCACATCACACCCGGTAAACCCGTCGTATTTATGATCGAGGTTAGGGTATCATCATTTAAAACTTCGAATCTGGGCCGCCTTGGCGCAGTGATTGAGTTCGGAGCATGGTAAACAGGTAAACAGGACGCACCTTTCATGACACCGAGGGGAGTCACTCACAACAACCGAGGGCAGTCAATCTAAATATCGGTCAGACTCGTCGTATGAAAGGGTTTGGATGCCGTGTGCAGTGACGCAATCATGAACTTGAAGAGTTTATTATAGACTTGCCCTCCTGTGTGTACCGTGTTGATTAGCTCCGAGGTAAGTGATGACACATTCTGCGGCAAGTGCAACACAGTAAAGTGCATAGGGCAACCTAGGGCAACATGCATGAAGATCGCGCAATCGACGGTCCGCTAGCGGCTAAACCGGTTGTTGAAGCAGTGGTAACCAAAATATTGTCTCAAATCTAGATCATATCTGACCTGTCGCTTAATTCATCATGCGGTCAGAGAGGTGCCAACGGAAGGCCACTGAACTTATCGTTATCGACTCCCCGTGAAACCAGCTACCCACACAAATCTTTCGAATCGCCCATTGCTTGCTGCGATCGTCCATTCGGGTAGGAAATCGGATAAGGATTCAACGGGCCACGACTCTTCATCATGTCGAACAAATACATATGTGAAAGAAGATAACTCCAAAAGATTCCTAGGCAAAAAGTCCGAAATAATCCCCGTCCAGCCGAGTGATGCAAACATACATGTCTCGTTGTCAAAGTAAGTGAAAATTCTATTACAAACCATGTTACAAGCAGTACAACCCACAACAGATCGAGCGTCCTATAGCTGGTGGAGAAGGTGACTGGAGGTATCACTAGTGTGGGAAGGGATGATTGGATGGAACGCAATAGATAGAAGATCCAAAGTAAAATAAAATAGTGGGACGTGGGACATGCTGATAATGCAGAGGCCAGTAAATCAGAAATCAGAACCGTCGGCACCTAGAGAGGGGGGTACCATCATGCAGTAGCCATCTTCGATGCTACAGTCCGTTCGCTCTCTAGCTTCGCCTTGTTACGCTCGAACGCTTGCTGCCGGCAATCCTCCAGGTTATTGCAATTGTGATGTTCAGGCAGGCGATGCTGAAAGGGTGGCAAATATTAAATGGCACGACGTAATGAATGGACCATCTACTCACAGCTCCACAGAAGTCTGCCCTGCAATGTGGGCACTGGCCTACTATGCGAAGAGCTGCAGAATTGCAAGGAGTCTCAGACTGGAATTGACAACGCTTCTTGGCAGGCATGATGGTGGCGAGTGAGTGAAAACCTGCGAATGATATCGGCTATGAGTTCCAGATCAAATTAAAAAGGGGGGAGACGTACTGTGAAGGGTGGAGGGATAGTCGAATACGCAACGGTGGTGGTGGCAGGAGGGGAAAGGGAGCTGGAGGTGTGTCGATCTTATAAGGCGCACAGCTTCGACGACGCGTCAGCCATGTAACTGCTAAGCCCACCAAAAATAGCCGCCAGCACGTGGCATAAAGGTAAGGGCAAGTATACTGCGGGAGTCCGAATCGGCGACTTCACTCAAGCGATCCAGTACATAACAACACGAAAGGAGCTTGCTGCGAGCCACCAGTAGTAGCAAGAGAGTGAAGGAACCCAAGTATTCTCGTGCTCAGCCGCATCAGACGGTTCATCAAACCGTGGCAAGCGGATGTCACGGGTGTTTCAAGTAAGCGTTAAACTGACTCAGAACTTGGCAAGGAACCACATGTTTGCTTCACGTTCTTGCTTCACGTTCTTGCAGGCATGGCACTCTACCCTACGCATGCGTTATGGCCACGGGGCAGCTGACTGTCATCGTCATCAAAAAATTGACAGTCAATGAAGTGTCCATTTGTTCGAGGAGATTGAGTTTCCCCTAGATCTCGGAGCGCTCGCACAACTGCTATCACATGAGATCCCTCGGAAGCGGTTATACGACTGGTAGTAGCCCGTCTCAAGAACATCTGATTATTGACGCAAATGCAGTAAACACCCTTTCGGAGATAGATGCGAATCCAATGCGAGGAATATTAACTACATACCAGATTATCGAGATGCATGCCTACGCTCATATTACCAGTCGAATACACCTTGGCACTGGCATGAGAATACGTTAACGTTGGAATGCCCATAATATCTTCACGAGAAATTGACAACTGCCAAACGATGTCGGCCGCCGTGCCACTGGAGTCCCAGTGACTTCGTTGAATTTGATCGAGTAGAGCCTATGCACGGTGTTAGTCGGGAGCCAATCGGGCTGGTGGAAGAGAACACTAACCAGAACATTAAAACATTAGACATGCCCCATGATGTGCTTTCAACAGTGGCCGCCTCTGAGATGACAAGCTGTGCTCCGAGGCCGATTCTTCTCCTGCTGGACTCTGTGGGAGTTTTGGGAAGGTGAAATTTGCAAGCTTGAGCTGGGCGTGGTGCAACTCGTGGAACTGAACGAAGGCGTATGGGCAAAAAGTTATTCGGATACCGGGAGTCGAACCCGGGGCCGCTGTGTGAAAGACAGCAATGTTAACCGTTACACCATATCCGATGTGTCAAGTCATCCACCGTTGCACCAATGACCTAGCCTCGTGACGGCGCGGGGACACGCCAAGGAACAAGTCGCCCACAGCTGTGAGAGGAACGACGTCGAGTCTCGACTTTCGGCTATAAAAAGGTCTGCCTAGGGGAGATTGTCCTTCTCTGACTCACCGTCGACACACGATGACCGAGCAACCCACAAAACAAAAGCTATGGGGCGGGAGGTTTACGGGCACAACGGATCCTCTGTACGCATATGACTCACAATGTAGCACTGATATTCTGATGGTCTTGAAGGATGCACGCGTTTAATCAGTCACTCAAGTATGATCAAAGGATGCATGCTGCCGATATTCGTGGATCTATTGCCTATGCAAAAGCTCTCCGACGCGTTGGTCTTCTTACGGAGGAAGAGGAGGTCAAAATGACCCAAGGCTTAGATGCTGTCGGTCGAGAATGGGCAACTGGTCAAGTACGTAACTCGTTCACGACTGTTTATCCAATAACCATTCATTTGTGTCACAGTTTCAGCCTGCCCCTGATGATGAGGACATTCACACTGCAAACGAACGCAGACTAAGCGAGCTGATTGGCCCACTCGGCGGAAAACTTCATACTGGTCGGTCTCGCAATGATCAAGTGGCTACCGACATGCGCCTTTGGCTTCTCGGTGAAGTGGATGATATTCAATCCAGTCTCAAAGGTCTCGTGCGCATCATGGTAGAGCGTGCAGACAAGGAAAGAGATATTCTCCTCCCTGGATATACCCATCTCCAAGTAGGTACACACTTCTCATAAAAGTGGGCCGCTCACGGCGAGGCAGCGAGGACAACCCATTCGGTGGTCACACTTCCTGTTGTCGCACGCTTTTTCGTTCCGCAACGATCTTGAGCGACTTCAGCAACTTATCCCCCGTATTTCCGTGCTTCCGCTCGGAAGTGGTGCCCTGGCTGGCAACCCATTCTTGATCGATCGCGAATTTCTTGCTAAAGAGCTGGGGTTCGCTTCACTTGCTGAAAACAGCATGTGGGGTGTCGGTGATCGCGACTTTATTGTCGAATTTTTGATGTGGTCAAGTCTTACCATGACTCACATGAGCCGTCTGGCTGAGGATTTGATCATATATTCCACTGCCGAGTTTGGCTTTGTCACTCTCAGCGATGCATACAGGTATGGTTTTGCACGGACAGCAGTCTGAGGCGCGGTCTCACCTTTCCTTTAGCACCGGCTCGAGCATGATGCCCCAGAAGAAGAACCCAGACTCTCTTGAATTATTGCGAGGAAAGTCTGGGCGCATCTTTGGTGATGTACGTCATGTGGTAGTGTGGTGCCATTAATTTCCACGAGCGCAAACCTTTTTCTAGATGGCAGGATTCATGATGACGCTGAAGGGTTTACCGTCGACATACAATAAGGATCTTCAGGAAGACAAAGAACCACTATTTGACACTGTCGACAACATCTCTGCATCTCTCAAGATCGCAGAAGGTGTCATAGCGACCATGGAGGTTTGTCTGATTTCGTTGTTCCTATGGCACTCAATGACATGGTGGCCAAAATAGGTTCATGGCGAAAAGATGCAACAAGCACTGACTATGGATGTCCTCGCTACCGACCTTGCTGATTATCTCGTCCGGAAAGGGGTTCGTTTTCTTTGGCTCACCGTTATAGGTTGTTGACGACTGCGTAGGTACCCTTCCGTGAGACGCACCACGTTTCTGGCCGCGCCGTCGCTTTGGCCGAGGCTAGAAAATGCCAGTTGAATGGATTGTCTGTTGAGGACTACAAAAGTCTGCACGAAAAGTTCTCTGACGATGTGGTCGAGGTCTTTGACTTCGAAGCCAGCGTTGAGAGAAGGTCGTCTATTGGAGGACCAAGCCGCAAGACGCTGGACAGGCAAATCGCGGTCTTGCGAGCGGCGCTCAGCCAAAAATAGTAGTGATACTACTTACTTCGAAATGTGTTTGGTCACCGTGCGATCACCGTGGCTTCAATAAATAATGTACATGATACTTCAATGCTTCATACAAAAGTCCTTGCAACTCATAGGCCCTGATAAGACAAATGGCGACGTTGAACCTGTGCTCTAGGGGAGCGCCAAGTATCCCTAGTACTGCAATTGCGGCCCTTTTAGACTATTGGTATATATGTTTGCTGCGATTTGTGGCTGTACTCCCTTGGTCGCGCTTCGTTCCAACCACTCATCTTTCCTCCAGTAAGCAGTAGTCGGGACACTGCAGTCTAACGCGTCCATCTACGCACACATATATATTATACGCAGCTCGAAATTCACCTCATCTTTAGTTTTCCAACACTCCTCCGTGTTCTTTCAACACTTCTTGACGACATACAATGGATAGGTTAGCGGCAATGAGAGTGCGTTTGTCCCTTTTTCAAATAAAGAATGGGTAGTTGATGCTTTTTGCATTACAGTCCCAGCAACAGGGCGGGTGAGTTCGCCTGTCACTCCAAACCCACGACGGGTCATTCTAACTTCACGACAGTAATTCATACGGCTCTGGTTACCAAAGACAACAAAATCCATATGCCAGGCAAGACGACCATGGGTACGAGATGGCTGACGTGAGGGACAGCTCAACAAACCTGAATGCAGGAGGCGACAGTATGTCAGATTTTTATTCCGAGGTAGGCGCTTCTCCTTATAGCGGGGGCCCGCCAAATTAAATGTGTCCGCAAACTAGATTTCATCAATTCAAGACACCATCAAGACTTTCAACGCCAACGTTTCTCGCATTGACGAGTTGCACTCTCGTTCACTGAACAACACAGATGATGCCGCGATGCAACGCAATGCCTCTCAGCTACAAGAGCTCGTGGAGGATACCAGCGCCCTGAGTGCAACACTCAAGCGTCGTGTAAAGGACTTGGAGAGGCAGGGAGGCAGTGGGCGTGACGGCCAGATTCGCAAACAACAAGTGTGCCGCTCTTTACAGTGTCAGAGGTGTGAACTAAATTAGCTCCTAGACTGCTCTCGTCAAGTCCAAGTTCATTGATGCCATCCAGTCCTACCAGACTGTTGAGCAGCAGTACCGCCAAAAGTACAAGCAGCGAATGGAGAGACAGTTCAAGATTGGTGGGATGAATGCATCATTTCTTGTCCATCACTCATGGTCATCCCACAGTTAACCCGGACGCTACCCCTGAAGAAGTTCGGGCCGTCGTGAACGACGAAAACGGGGGGCAAATATTCAGCCAAGCTGTAGGTGTCTTGATTTATTCCTTCAAACAGAATCTCATCCATATACTAGTTGATGAACTCCAACCGATACGGTGAATCAAGGGCAGCATACCGGGAAGTACAAGAGCGACACCAAGATATTAAGCGTATCGAGCAAACCATTTCAGAGCTTGCTCAGCTCTTCAACGATGTGCGTTTCAGAATGCTTAGCCAAGTTAGCTGTTGATGTTCACCTTCAAATTTTTTCAGATGAGCATGTTGGTAGAACAGCAAGACGAAACTATCAACACGATTCAAGCATCAGCAGAAGTGGTCGAGAAAGACACGGAAGCCGGGTAAATGTTTCCCTTGAAATAGTCACGCAGTTCTAAACATTTCTGCAGCCTCCAGCATACAGGAAAAGCTGTCAACTCTGCTCGCTCAGCCCGCAAAAAGCGATGGATTTGCTTCTTCCTCGTACTCCTCATCATCATAATCATTGCCATTATCGTGGTGGTGGTCGTCAAGGGCAATAAATAGTACCAAGTAAACGTCTGTTTGTGATTCATCTGCGCCTTGTTATCTCATGCTTATTCCACCACCTTACTTAATAACCTAACTGGTTGCTCACGCTCTTTTTTTTACTACATCTATCTCTTCTATCAGTTTATTGGACATTGGGTTCACCCTGTGGTTTTTATTATAACAGTTTTGACATAGACATTTTGAAAGGCAGACCATTAGCTCTACTGACCCCTAGACATAAGTGGGGCCTCAGGTCTTATTATCACGAATGCGACACGCAAAAGTCCAACACGCTATCTTGACGGGACTGGTTCTCCTTCACTCAGGGAAGGCTAGCTATGAGGTCTTGTCACATACCATAATAGCAAACTAGTGACACGTTGGACAACTTGGACGTTGTGGACACATGCCAAAAGACCTGCACAATATCTATATTGCCAACACATACATTAACGCGGACTACACTTGGTCTCTCCAACTGCGCCAGAGGTATCCAGTGACACCGCACGCAGCGAATGCAATCGCAGTATACCACGAAAAGGTCGTACTCCAGCACTCGATGCCTTTACAAACCGCGCCGTCACTTGAGTGGCTGGCGGCATTGAAGGCATAAAAGTATGAGAATGCCGGCGTTCCGAGGAAAGGAGCGTATGTGAGAATGCCGAAGTTGCGCCCGAGGTTTTCTATACCCCACGCAGACGACACCAGACTCGGTCTACAGAACAAGGTCAACCGGAAGATATCAGAAAAAAGGAACTAACAGAACATACAAAATTGTGAAAGTTGAACCGTAAGCGACCCCGGCGCCGATACTAATGACGTGATGAGAGCGATAATCAGGTTCAAGGCGCTGTCACTGACCTAAGAGCCCACAAGTCTACTTGCGACCTGACGCCGAGTACCATCCACGAATAGGTTAATGCAAGCACCAGTATCGAGAAGAAGAGAAATGCCACACGGCTGACGTGGCGTTTGCGTGGAATACTTTGGGCATCGGATGGTGGGTGTGATGCAATGGGAGACACAAAGTCTGCCAAAGGTCCGACAACCAGACGAGAGAGCGTGTTGGCAACAGAGAGGAAGCGGACTTGCGTTGCAGTTGCTACATCAGTAGATGGATCCATGATTGCGCTTGAAGTTTGTGATGCAAGAGAAAGGACAATTGTGCCAATGTTGGATATGACCATTTCGCTCTTGCCAAGTTCCAAAATCAGATCTATTCAGTGATATGAGAGGGTAAACTCACAGAACCTAGGATTACGAACAAGACGAACGCCAGAGCCCAGAAATAATGGTCTTTGGCAAGGTCAACTGCCGAACCACCCTTGACGGGTGAAGCAGCAACGATGCGAGTCTCGACTTCAGCAGCACCATTACGCTTTCCCTGGAGAAGAGCTGTTTGTTCGTCGACGTGAACCGACCCTTCTGGATCCTCCAAGACAGCACTTGGAGGATCTTCGGGGAGAGGTATAATATGGAGAGTGAAAGCACCGAATAAATGAACGGCTCCGCAAAAAAGGGCAAGGAACCGTAAGAAGCGGGTGACATCAAGACCTTCGTCGGGATGCGAGAAGAACCTTGAGGCCAATATTGATATGAACATCGGCGATAAACCAAACAAGGTGATGCTCGTTCCAGATGCTATGCCGATAAAACCGGGAAAGTTCTTACAGGCAGCAAATAAGGAAGAGAAATATCTAGACCATGATAAGTAACAGGTACCCCAAGAAACCGGGCAACTAACGAGAAGGCAGTTCCGAGTCCCGCGATAAAGAAGTAGACGGTGAGATGATGGAATGAAGATGCAGAAGGTAGAACAATATCATCTGGTGTGTTAGCAATTTCGTTCGCAAATAATCCAAAGCCTGTGAAGAATAGGCAACTAGCGAAGATGGAACAGGCCCAAGGACCATATTTGTCGACGACCTTGCCTATCATAGCTGCAAAGGGATATTGGCCCATCATGCCGCTGGAAAGGCGATCAGCCATCATTGTTGTGTGCTGAAAGATGCTTACGCCAAGGCTATGGTGGTCAGTTGAGGTTGAGTCAACTTCAAGTGATCGACCAAAGCAGGTGACATGAGGGAAAAGGTGAAAACACCTCCACCACAAAGCCTATAATGAGATAAATTAGTTTTGAGAATGGACACGCGAAGGTATGACAGACGCATTGGCAGCAATGGACACGCAAGCGAGAGCGAGCCGAGCGCGACGCAGGTGGGTAGGTTGAGACTGAGACTGTGTCATGGCATATACTTATAGGTGTATGGTGTTCCGTTGCATGAAATGTGTTTGTTTGAAGACAAGCAGATGCCAGTGAATGGTGGTACTCCAAGAGTGCCTAGTTTAGCAGCTGGAGTTGGTGTGGGGAAAACAGCCTTTCGGGAGATCCCATGCTGTACGCATCAGCCTACTGCTTGACCTTAAGCTTCATCGATGGCGTCCAGCTAGTACTAGATGTATATATAGGTTCTAGTTAAGCTAGCATCCTCGAGCTCGAGGTACTACCGTACGTGATGTACACGATGTGCAAATAAGGAACAACATGTGAACAAAAGAAAGTACAAGCGTTGAATGAACTTCCTTACGACCCTGCTTCCAAAGTTCCACACCTTTTTGTTCACTGTTTTTCTTATATTCTCCAATGCAAGAATTACCTACTCCCGTGCTTTCTACCTCGAGTCGCCTCTGGAGGTGCTCTCGACTGTCCTTTCATCCGTCTCAACATCTGTACTTGACATCCACAACTCCTTTCACTTCTCATCCTGCATTATTTCATCGGCTACAACAAGCATTGTATCGAACATGGAATCTTTTCCTGTATTTTTCAAGGTTCGCGCTGTAACTTTCAGTGCGTGCTACTTCATTCGATCACTCCGTGAATGTCTGATCACCAGTTTGACTAGCCTGTATCATACTCATTAGCTTTCTATGGATTGTACTTCTCTCAGTCCAGGTTTACGCCCGTTGGGATATATCTGATCTCTGCAGTCGTGAGCTATTCAATCACAGTCATCCCGTTCAATTGTGTGCTCATATGAGATCCTCGTTAATCAGGATCGTTAACGGCTGTCTTCCTCTTGACCAATGTAATAACAATCCTAATTTTACCTTTCCTGTGCGTCAATTTTGATATTGACCACACTGGTGTGCTTGACAAATATTCCATTGCAGGTTGCTACTGGACTTCCGAGTGTGGCTAGATGCCGCTCGAATACTATTACTTGCAATTGCTCAAATAGGTGAGGTTTTTGTAACCGGTCGTGTGACATCCCTCACAATGTGTTTCCAGCATCTGCTGTCGCATTCACTTACTGGAATCCTCAAATACAATGTCCAAATCAAAGTACGTCTGGTAAAGCTGCACCCAGATGTACACTGTTCTAAATTTGACTTCAGCTGCCGATCAGCAAGGTGTCTGCAAGTTGATCAATATCTACACCCTCATGGGCTGTTGGATAATTCCTGCCATACGTCAGTTGCGAACATATTTTTCATCGACACAGCCGCTTACAGCCCAAGCAGTGGTTCTATATTCCAGCTACTTTGCTGCTATGATTTACCGCCAGTCGAGGATACCCGTGGTGGTTGAGTCACGCGAAAAAGTCTTAACGGATACAGGGTCACCTATCGTGGTAGACCCAGAAATGGCGCTTGCCTCGCCCCACCTTCCTGCTCTCAATATTCGGGCTTCGATATCACCCCGTTGCACTTTGTCATCTGACTCCTTGCCATTCTCACGTCCGGAGGCAAATTTTGCATCTCCACTCACGATCACTGCCTTGCCGCGCCGTGCCTCTCGTGATCCGCATTCGGTTGTCTTGCAACCAGAAGTATCAGATAAACGGAATTCGCAGTCTCAACGACACGTGTCTCTCGCACCGTCATTTGCTGACTCCGTTGTACAGATTGACAGTACCAATCGCAAGTCAGGACGATTGTCAAAACCTCTACCACCCTGGTGTATATAACTATCATTATTATAGTCCACTTAGATTCAACGTCCTAATGTACCAATCTATTGAATAAAATTGCAAAGCCCTATGGCGCTAAGTTGACAAGCACTATTTAAAGATCCAATTGCACTGGCAGTGCAAAGTGCGAATGACCACTGTCACCAACGTTAACGTTTACATAAAACTGAGAGTATCAGACGCACTGCCAGTGGTACTAGACTACCGTCCCACTCAAACTTTGATGACCACCGACCTGTAGCTTCACTCGACAATACTCTTTCGAGTGACTCCGTCGCAAAGACACTCCGGGACTACGAACATGACGAGCTGGGACCCAACTGCGACTAAAGTATAGTCATCTCTCCGTCCTTACCACACATCTGCAATAACGTGTCCTTGTAATTTACATCTGCAGGTCTTACTACGATCGACATCGCAGCGTCTTGGACAAATTCAAGAGAGAATAGACTCTCAAGGGCAAATCACCCGACGCGACATTGCAACATTATTGCAACAAAATAATACTGCTCTTGCACGCGCCAAGGCACAGAATCTGATACAAGATGATGCGATGGGCGACTTATTGGAAGTGGTGGAAATGCACGTTAGCATGGTCATTGAGCATCTTGGCGAGTTGGAAGAAGGGTGAGTTGCCAAGCCTTTTACGAAAGCTTGGGTTACATCTGATCATGGTGACCATTCATCAGGCGTTCACCGAGCCCCATCCTTACAGAGGCTGCAGCCTCCATCATAGCTGCAGCTTCCAGTGTTAATATTAAAGGTGAGGGTGAAAAGTTGGTCGCATGTGATCTTACTCACAGAATCAAAAAAGAACTCGACGTCGTTCGGGATATGTTATTTCAGCGCATGCATCATCATTTCTTTAGCTCATCTAATAGCCTTGAAAAATACGTTCCTTTACGTGCAAGTGTTTTCTTTATTTTCTGCACCCCCTTTACTGACACTTATTAGGTCATGCAATTATTACACCCTCCAACACCTTCTGCGTCCAAGATGAATGACTGCCTGACCAATGTATCAAATGTGTATCGTGTAAATTGGACTGCAGACCCTCCCAGGCAGGATATGTGCGTGTTCTTCTAGCTCTTTGTGAAACGAGCTCAATGTCCGAGTTAGCCTGGATGACATCTCCGAAATTTTGGATTCGCAAGGTTCGCCTATTGTTGATCTACCTCGTCTGCGGAGGCTATGTTCGCAAGGTAAGAAGTTACAAATCGTCATGGTATGATATCCAATGCGAATCGTCAGGATTACCCGATGAACCTCCATGGCTTAGGCCTAGGATATGGAAGTACGTGAAAGCCGGCGTGGCTCATCTCTGACTGACACAACTTGCAATGTAGGCTTTTACTGGGAACAGTTCCGGTTTTGAAGTCAACATGGCCAAAAGAAAATCGGAAACTACGAGACAGTTATTATGTACGTGCTGCTCATGTCTCAGGACGCGCGCTGATACATTGACTAGGATCTCGTTCGCCGTCTGTTGTCACCATTTTCAGACATGCCAGCACCAACGAAGCCGCTGAGCAGCATAGATACGACGCTAATGAAAATATCCGAATCCCTATTTCGTCTTCCCTTTGGACTCTTCGACACGCTTGAGAGTGGCCCGAACTGTTCAACTATGTCTCCATTAGATGAAAATGCTGATGAAACTGAAAGGATTGGGTGTGCTCATCTTCTTGATGCACGACTGCTGGTCCTTCGCGGACAAATTTCCGCATCGAAACCCACAGGTATTCCCGAAATTCGGCTAGAGCCCGACGCTGGCGCGCCCGAGCTCTCACCATTACCGAGCTCGACTTCCATTGCATCCCGCAGACCAGGGGCACCCACCACACTATTACATGCTGGGCCGTTCGGTGGTCCCAGCGCCCATCCACAACACATTTCAGCCCTCCTCCGTCTACTATATCTGCATTCATGTATAAATCCCGCGAACCAATCTCCAGACATTCCTTCCTTGCTTGTACCGTTGTATGCTGTTCTTGTCAGGGAGGTGGAACCAGAAGATTTAGCCCACGCTGAAGCAGACACATTCTGGTTATTTGAAGCTCTTGTTGGGGAGTTTTCCGAACTGGCAGACCAGGAGGGTGGCAAAGTTTGGATGAAGAAATTCAGCGATCGATTGGCACAAGCCGACGGAGACCTTGCTTCGAGTTTGGTATGTGTTCTTCCCAATGAATCATAGACTCGCCCCGACTCTCGATATAACAGCACGCCAAAGGCTTGGATCCTGTGCTTCCACATTACTCCTAGTAAGACGCGCTCTCTGATGTGATGTTTCATACCTGACACAAGCTCACAGTCGCTGGCTTGCACCTCTCTTGTCGCAAACCCTTCCTCTTACCTCACTCCTACCTGTATGGGATGTGCTCTTCTCGTACCCAATGAGAACTCGAGACGAGAACCATAAACTGGACGCCCTCGTTGATATCTGCACAAGTCTTCTGATCCGTGCGCGCGCGCCGCTCTTTCGGTCGGTCAATAATTCGTTTTGAACTGACAATTGTATATTGAATTTTTTTAAGACTCGCAAAGCCTGGAGGTAAGTCTCCGGGACTGTGGGCTGAAGAGCATGCTACCATCCGTCCTTCTTCTCCGCTTCGACCATGGGAGCTCAGCGATGCTTTTCTCGAGGGCATCACTCTATTGCAATCTTATCCGATTGATGCAGCTGGCGGTATCGATCGAGTCTTGCAAACTGCAAACGATTTGGCCCAGAGGCGCATCGAGGAGAATAGAGTTTTGAAGTCGGATAATGTTACACTCGGTGCTCGGATCAAAGCTACCATGTGGAAGGGGTTTACAAACCAAGTCGCTGATGCTGATGGTGTGGAAGAGGAGGAGGATGAGGAGGACGAAGAATCGAGCTCTGATGAAGAGGACTCCCACGAAGATGGCAATGAGACGGAAACACCGGCTGCTCCAACTCTGACCTCCCGTCTTGCGAATTCGGTGTGGAGAGGGATTACCAACCAAAGCTCTATGGACAATTCACCATCTCCACCGTCACCAACTTCCCCGCTACAATCACAGTCACCGACACCGCCGCCCCCTCAGAGTCCTCCAGAGCAAATCGCCTCGAATTTACCACTTACCCCACCGCCTTCAAGTATTTGGGGTTATGCTGGAAAACTCAAAGATTCGGACACTGTTGCGGCTTTCACGAAAGTTAGCACGAATTGGCGCGCAAGAGCGATGGATGCATGGGGCAGTCGACGCGGAAGCTTGACGCCGAACGAAGGTGTATCGTCACCAACGATCGCGAAATCTGAGTTACCACCCCCTGTCCCAGACAAGTGGTCACCACAGAACGATGGTGCTAGCAATTCTAGATATGGGGATAGAGGGGGCTCGCTTCCTAGTAGCAGTCGAGGGACTTCTTTTGAAGAACCCCCTCGCCCCGCATTCTTTCGATCGCCACGAGACAGCTTTTTGCCATTACCGCGCAGAGGAACTTATACCACCCCTCCGAGCCCAGAAGTCCAGCCTCAGCAGGAAGATAACTTCATGCATAAGGCGCAGGCCTCTCTGGCGTCTTTGGCTGCTCTAAACTCACTTACAACAGCCTCGCGTACAGTAGCCTCGCGTCCAGCAACCCCGCCACACCCTCCCAGGGGTGCACCACGTCCTCTTCTACTCAATTCAAGCTCCTTGATCACCGCGAAACCTCCGTTGTCCGCACACTCAGACGGCGGGATGCCAGTTAAACGACATGGTGATTGGGTAGACGTCACGCGCAGCAAAGGACACGGACTGCGCACGGATTCGGTGTCTTCGGTTTCATCGATGTCGCCTTCCGATGCCCTCGGCAGACCATACTCGAAGCCAAGCATAGGCTCCAGATCTGACATCGAATCCGATGGCAGAAGTCGAAAAGTGGCGTTGAACCGCAAGTCGATATCACCAATGGCACCCGCGTCCCGTGCACTGCGAGGTCCTTGTGCAACTTCTCCTTTAGGCGTGGCTGATGCAACGACGCGCGATCCATTAATTAGAACCTATGCCAGGTCTGCTGCTGAAGACAGTTCATCTGACAGGGGCTGGCGTAGCTATCCCCCCGCTGATTCACCCACAACGGTGTCATCTCCCCCTATTCCTCCAACACCTATCACCGCGGTTCATGTCGAGACAGGGAAGGTGCGGGTGAATGGTGAAAGCCGGGAGAGCTCCTTTAGCGAAGATAGCATTCCCCTGAGGCCACCCACACCAAGCAAGGCTTTACTACGAAAAAAGACACCACCACCTCTACGAGAAGATACGGACAATTCTGACACGCTGGCCAGGACACCCTCCAGGAATCCTCATGTGCGCTCAAAGCGTCACCTTCCAAAACTACCCAGCCTGCGAACTCGGGACAGCAACCTTCGGCCTGTTTCTGCGGCTGAGCACAAGAACGTCAGCCCCAATACGCTTGCCCCTCCTGAGTGGCTCGAGGATCAAGAGATGGCCATGACACCTCGTGCTCCTGAATTCGGTTCCAACGACCCTGCGTCAGCGTCCACGATTTTTGCGTCGCATTCTCCACGTCCTAGGCGGAAGACGTCTGGGGATACGTTGGGGCGTTCGCGAAAAACATCAGGGGAATCGGTTGTCCGGCTTAGTAGATATTCCTTCGCTGAAGCGCGGGAAACTAGAGATAGCGCTGCAGAAGAAGGGGACGACGAAGGCTACGATGACATTCTGAGTGCATATGAGAGTGAGGAAGGCAGTAAGGAGTAGATATCCTCATGGCTGTTCCTGCTAGCGGTGTACCAGCTAATGCGATAGACTATGAGAAATAGACCCAGAACGCTGCGTGATGGAAAGAATTGTTTTTGATCGACAAAATAGAGGGTATATTAAATGCGGGTATGCATATAGTCCGTGTGGTTGTAGAACATGAGTTCTTGCACTCCTTGATAGACTTCCAGGAGGACAGGAAAGTGTGGCAAAATATTCTGAATCAAGGCAAAATCAGATTGGGAAAGGGAACGATAGCATGCAATGAGCTGACCTCAAATGCGACATCTATAGTAATCTTGTCCGTGCTGGACCCGTGCACAGCAGCCAGATAATAGCGGACGTTCCATCTTCTTAAACCTTCATTTATGATGAAGTCTTCTAATCGAGATGCGTGAATAAACCGCCTAGACACGAAGAACGGCTTTAGCGAAGGGTATCCCCGATGCGTCTCGAGCTGTATACCATAGGCTGGGAAAACTAGCACAGATTCTGTTTCATAAATGAGGAAATGCACAGACACAACTTTTGGAATATACCATGAAGAACTTGTGCACAACGACAGTACGCGGTGAACCCAACTACCAAGATTGTGAATGCACACAACATGGTGCTGCCGCGAAACTACAAAGTTTAGACTGTCAGCGGAGCTGAGCGACTTCAAGTAGGATACTGACCCTTGACCATATGAATGAAAAGACCACGGGCAGACAAAGGTCAATCCACCCCCATGATGTTGCACCGCGAACAACATTCCCGCTCCCATCCCGAGCAAGTCGCCAGTTCTCAACACGATACTCCCGGAAACTGGACCATTGTATAACAGAAAACTCGGGATGACAGTCGGGTAAAGGTCTAGTCCGTTGCATTCATCGAGTTCGTTGAAGAGTGTCAGCAAATTCGAAAAATATGTGCGCGGAATCTTGTGAAGTGCCGCATATGACAAACCCGAACAAACAAAAGCTTAGAAGAATACAAAAAAGAACTGCCCCAGTGAGGCTCGAACTCACGACCTTCCGATGCCAATGAATAACAGTCGGACGCTGTAACCAACTCAGCCATGGGGCATGTCTTGTCGACGACCCCTCGTCATATATGGCAAATGCCGTACCTAGTCTCCAAAGGCCTCCATCAAGTCTCGCTCGCCTGAAGCTCTGAAGACTGACATGCCAAAGAAATCGAAAGCATCGAACGTTACTGTCCAACCACCACTCAAATCTGCAGTGCCAGCTCTTACATTTCCAGATATCTCGCAGAAAGAAGGTCTCGAATGTCGCGTGCTGCAGGAAGACCAGATCATCCTTATTGATGTTCGTTTCATTCCTGCAAGGCAAGCCTTCGCACATTCTGAATTGACAGACAGGAGTTTCTCTCTGTTGAAGAATGTAAATCCTTTGTGAAGTTTATCAACAATGTTCCTTTGGAGTTAACACCTCCCAAGAAGAAGGGGGAGGCTGAGAGGGTCAATTGCAAGTGCTCACATCATTGTGTATGTGTGTGGCAGTCCAGTGCTCACCCGTAACTCTAGTTCGTTTTTCTGTGACCTCTGTTCCATTTGCTCAGAAGTTACATTCCCTCCTATTGCCTCATCTCCCATCTTTTCCTCCTCCTATGTCAGCTAGGCGGCGCCCTCCCCTTGGCGAAAAGCGCCAGCCTCGCTCGTGCAACTCAAATATTCGCATGTACAAATACACGCCATCCCAGTACTTTGGTCCTCACTATGACGATTCCGTCCGTGACCCAGATACGGGAGCAAAATCTGAATGGACGGTGCTTGTTTACCTAACTGGAATCGAGGATGGAGTTGAAGGCGGCGAGGTACTAATCGGCGACTGTAATTGCAAATTTCAATACTAATTGTGCGCAAGACACTATTCTACAAGGACGAGCGGGGGAAACCACGCGAAACCATTGTAGCACCTCTAACGCGTGGAACTGTTCTCCTCCATCGGTTGGTGATCCCCGAATTTATTTCCTGACCGCAGACTAACCCTGTCTGACTAGCCACGGAAACGAATGCCTACTTCACGAGGGTTCGCTGGTCCGCAATGGCACCAAGTACATTCTCCGCTCAGATCTCATGTTCATGTGACGACCACTACCATTGCCTATGATATTTCTTCTACTTGCGAACTCTTCAGCCCACTTCGTCGTCTTTAGATCAAACTTTAGATTTTACATACCATCGACCTTGCCACCACCTTGGTGTCTTAGGAAATGTATGTGAGTCTATATGCCCAAATATAAATCTTTCCTCTATGATGCTTGGATATATTGAAATTCCATTACCTTGTCCCAGGGAACCGCTGTGCTGACAAACAGAGGCCACAAAGTTCGCCTTTTAAACGAGATGGTTTTCTGCAAGTACCAAAGACAGGAAAAACTATCGCCCCCTTTTTGAATGTCTCTTTCTTGGGACACCGGCCTCCACGACGTCATCATCACGATCTCTTTCGTCCCTTCCAACGCCATCCTCGCGTTTGCGTTTCTTTCCACCTCCACCTGCTTTAGCTTCTTCTTTGAGCTCATTGATGGCCAACCGGGCAGCCTCGTCCACACGTTCTTTCAGCAGCATTACTTCTTCCTTGTCTGTGGGCCAAAGTTCCATTTTCTTGTCTATGACCTTTTCTATTCGCTGGACGAGCTCCACATCGTATTGCGTCACCATTGTGATCGATTTCCCAGATCGACCTGCTCGCGCAGTGCGTCCTACGCGGTGAATATAGTCCTTGGAATGAGTTGGAATATCAAAGTTGATGACAATGTCAACGGAAGGTAGATCGAGACCACTATAAGCAGGGCGACATCAATTAGTACATCGATATATCCATAAATAAGGAACAAACCGGCTAGCCACGTCTGTGGCCACGAGCAACTTGCGGCTTCCGCTCTTAAACTTACCCAGAGCGCCCAAGCGTTGGCTTTGGCTCAGCTGACCGTGCAATGGAACAGCAGGAAAACCAAGCGATCGCAACATGATTGACAATCTAGGATAAAGTAATGGGATAAATAAGACGAGAATGACAGAATAACTGCAATGTACCACCCACCGTTGGGCATCATGCACCGTCCGGGTGAAGATCATGATGGAATTCGATGCAAGATGATTGGCAAGATATATGAGATGCACGTCTTTGTGAACCAAGGGGACGAGTAGATAATATTGCAGCAAGGTGGACACGGTTTGGTATCTACACAGATAATCTCAGTACAGCTGAGGATAGCGACAATTTGCCCATACTTTGAAGAGACTTCGACCCGCATAGGGTTTATCAAACTGGCTCGCTGTAGCTTCGCAACTTTGGTGGTCATCGTAGCGGAGAACAGATATGTTGTACGCTCCTTGGGTATGACTTTGAGAATCTGGTCTATTTCAGGGCCAAAATCCATGTCGAGAAGACGGTCTGCTTCGTCCATAACCTATACGACTGTAAGGGCTAGGGGCACAAGGGCCGGAGAAAACGCACTAAGAATTTTAAGCTTCTTAGGCTGAACCCCTTCGTGTTCTGAAGATGATCGTTCAAACGACCGGGGGTTGCCACTATGATATGAGGCCGCTTAGCAAGTCCAACAGCCTGTTGCATCCTATCCATTCCTCCGACAAGGACCAAGGACCGTACCCCCATGGCGGAGCCCAGACTCTCGAACTGCTGTGCTATCTGGTATGCAAGTTCGCGGGTCGGTGCAAGAATGCACGCAAACAATCCTTTTGGCTCATCCCAAAGTTTTTGTAAGATGGGAAGAGCAAATGCTGCAGTTTTTCCTGATCCTGTTTCTGCCACGCCGATAATATCTCGACCCTCTAATGCGTGAGGGAGTGCTCGTTGCTGAATCTCGGTAGGTTTCGTGAAGTTGATCTTATCTAGGGCTTCCAGCAAAGGATCTATGAGGCCCAGTTCCTTGAAGGTTTCTGGTGATGTGGTTGACGTGCTGGCTTCTTCTGGGGAGGGCATGTTGTCCAGCCGTGGTCAAAAGTGTAGTGGTCCAAAGCAAAGGTTTTGCTAAAATGTTTTTCTCACGTCCGAGTCGACCTTGTATGAGCTTAGTCCCGGCGACCTTGTCCCGACAGTATACTACTTTCTTCGCTGCGTCCACTGGATACCATCTATCCGGCACATTCGAATGTCTAATCAGAATGTCTTAGTGACATACTCTGCACCAGTGTCGTTTCTGGCCTCAGAGAGCTGGAAGCAAGTGCTGGCAGCCTTACAATCTCAGCTACCGCTGCGGAGCATTCACTGGAAATCAGCCTTCCGACCGAATCTTAAAACCATTCAGGAACTTGAACTTACTCTTGTTCCTTTGGATTCTCTACGCGACGAACACACGTCACAAGTACCAGTCACTCTGCTAGAAAAGCCCCTGCTCAACCTTTACGTTGTAACGTGCGAGGTAAACATGGTGAACAGGTGGTAGCGGTAACCTGACGAGGTATTAGGATAACGACTTGTACAGAACAAATGTGAAGAAACAAATCAAAGACTGGCATTCTGCGATATCGCAGCGGAAGCATCAAGAATGGATCATTGTGCATGTCGTTCGTTCCGATATCAAGACAACGGACCGCAAATTTTTCAACATGAAGAGCTCCGTCCTTGATAAAATAAAGGCAGATTTCAATATTGACAAGCGAGACCGGTGCGACTGCCCACCTATTGCATCTCTGCTCAAGCTTACATTCATCAGATGCGTACAATTGTCTTGGACAGCGGGAGACCACAGTCCTGTCATATGGGCTGATCTCATGAACAAGATCAAGGACGGGTTACTAGCTGCTCTAGATTCATCTGTTTCTCAACGCGAGGAAGAGGTCAGACGCTCTGAGAGTCAGAGGCAAATGCCTGGTTGGAATTTCTGCACGTTTTTCCTATTGAAGGCATGTCTCGTACATGATATTTTTGAACATATTTTAGCTGAGATTTCCGACTTGTAGGAAAGCCTTGCGAGCTCCTTCGAAGGAGTGAAACTTTTCGAAGATGCCCTGCACCAGTACAATGAACTGGAAGTATCCTTCATCCAAGTTCTAAGGGAGAAGAACATGTCCTGGTTTGGTAGTCTCATCCAGCCTGTGGACAAGGACGACTCGGTGCCTCTACTCTCAGTTACGAAGAAACACTATCGTGACCTCATCCTTGCCAACTCTATCTCGGTATTTGATTTCCGGATATACTTGCTTGCTCGCCAGTGCGCTCTGCTAAATAAGATGCGTCGCCCGTTCGAGATTTGCCAGAAGGTCACTACCTTTTTGGGCACGTTTAGTAGACGATTGCGAGAGGTAGAGGTCAGGGGTCGCATCACACTGTTTTGTATTGTAGAAACTCATGCCCTCTATAGGCCAGATTACCAGAATACTTTATTGAGTCATGGATATTCTCTTCTGCTCTCAGCGTTGTCAATCAATGTGATACGTGGGCTCCTCCGACCGAACTAGATGGCATTCAGCTCGCGCGATTCAGTGCGAGTAAAGGTGAACTTCTTGAACTAGCCAAAACTCAGGTCAGAGATTATCGTTAAGACTCTTGCCATATCCTGATTTTTCTCAGCTTGACATTATTGGCGTCAAAGTAGGTCATTTGCCCAAAAAACCGCCCTTTGCCACCACATATATAGAAGAAACACCTGCCACGCGTCCACAACAAACCAGTAGACGTTCATCGACGCAGCGGATAAGCAATCACGAGATCATGCTAGCTATTGGGGACGAGGAGGCTTTTTATGATTTGTATTGTGCAACTTCAAATCGTGCCATCGACATGTACGTGAAGGCTGGCCGTCGCAAATTCGCGCTAAAGCTGCATGGCTTCCTTGCCGCTCTGGACATGTAAGCATAGTGTTCGACATATGATCCACCTTCTTATTGCAGGACAGTCATCGAGGACGCCTAGCGAATGCTCTGGCGATTTTTACATCATTACCTGCTCACTATGCACCTCATATGTGGACATCTCTGGAGTCCTTCGTACTCTCCCGTGCAATCGATATACATGCGGAGCTGGAGAAACCTCAAGACCGAGAGTGGATACATATCCTGCTTGCATATCTCAGGACATACACAAATGACATTAGCAAAGAGCTAGCATCAGAAGAGGAGGGGGAGAAGTCTGTTACGCAGCTTATTACAGCACTTCACGCTGCTGCGAAGAGTTTGGACTCAGGTGTGCTGGTTAAACGCACTGGCAATTTGATCATCACCAATAATTGGCAAATTGCAGATTTGATTCACACAGACCATACTATCATGGCAGTTCAAGTATCCGGCGATGCTACCTGTAGTGACGATGAAGACTTAGCCTTGGTTGATGCCACCATTTCAAACCACCTACCATGCGTGCGTGTTCGCGTGTTTAGACATCCTTTCCAGAGCTGATTTGGTTTCAAGGATATTTTCGTTGATGAAATCAGCATAACGTTGCGCGGTCGAGATTCTGAACGTCTGAAGTTCACCGCAAAGGTGGATAAACTTCCCCCTGGCCAATCGACTGTAACCCTATCTTGCCCAGTACGTCTGACTATCTCAACGGTCTGCCGTGAACTGAACTGCGCGTCATTTACAAGTCATCTTCGTGGGGTCTATATACTCTTGAGAGCAGTGAAGTAGTGATGGCGCGTGTCCGCTTTCAATGGCAACATACGGGTACTGCGATCACTACTTTGAAGAAGAATCATACTTCATTGGTTCGCGTATCGCGCAGTTTGCGCGCTTTAGATGTGCAAATACGTCAACCCCAGCAAAGTAAGCGGTGTAGTCTTCTTGTCTGTACTAATTCTAACTTGTGGATTCAAGCCGAGCTTGGAGCGACATCACGCCTCTTACTTATCATTTCCACTGGCCAAAACGATATCTCGAGGGCAACTATTAAGCCAACTCCACCTTCCGGGGTGCAATTTAACTATTCCGCAGCACGCTTAGAGGCCGAAGGTCAGTGTTTTCGATCCCTTTTGATATGCTTTTGAACCTGGACAAGGTACGGGGACTCTTGAGGGCTCTGACAACGCTATCGTCCTTCTGGATGCTCCTGTCGACACAGACGTTGTAATTTCGCTTCCACATTCTGATGCTTCGAGATATCACACAATGGTAGGCATCTTTTCCAGAAAGAAGGACTCTTATTCACTGCTGCACTAAAGAAAATCGGATTAAGTGTGACATATAACACGCAATCCTCGCCGGGTGTAATCCGCACCCTGCAAACCTCGAGAGTTGTCACGGTCTCACTACCCATAGCAGTTAACGTAGAAGACTTTTTCCGCGGCAAAAGGTTTGACTATTATATCACCTTTCACTACATTCTAAAGCCATTTTAGATTGTTTTCGAAGTTTACTATCTCGACCACTTCCCACCAGCATGTTCGAATATCATCGACGGAGCTGCAAGGTCCACGAAGTCTTGATGGGGTGAAGATCTCAGGCTGTCGTCCAAACCGTCCTGTTGTAGTAAGATTTTATTTTATTTTTTTGCTGTTTGCTGAGGATACTATATTTCCATGCAGAACGTCACGCCAGAGCATGCCGTGAACTTCCTGTTCTCTATAGAGTCTTCGAATGGACCTGGTGCGTTGCTATTCAGTTTTATTGTCGAGTGCTAAGAGAAACACAGTTCTGGAGCCACTAAATCTCGTCATCAAATACCGAGTCCTACGTGACGGTAAGGATTCTCTCTATCCATCATCGCCCTGACTGCAGCAAGATATCTAGAGGTGGAGGCGTTGATTCGACAAACGGTGGAAGCCGTTTTGTTGAGTATGTCAGTCGAGAAGCTCCAGTACTCCTCACTACGACGCAGTCTCATTGACAATCTGGTCGCGCATCTGGAAAGCGACGCTGAATGGGTAGAAACGTACAGGGCTACTGGTGAAATCATCTTGCCTCGTTCGTTTGAAGATGGCAGTGATTTCCAGGAACCTATTCGGGAGGTTCGTTAGCCGACTTCCGGGTCTGTTACTTTTGCTCATCGCGCGTTATCTTTAGGCATTGGCGCAATGTCGCCCAGAGACTGCATCATCCTGCCCTTGGAGAGAGATCAAGATACCAGTTGACGTGCCGAGGATGAATGTTGGTGTTTGCCAGTGACCCCTAATGCACACCCAGATTGATTGGCCTGTCTGTAACAGATTGTGACCGCAGCACAAATCACTGTTCAACCCTCTTCGCTCCCCAGTGGTATAAAGTCAGATCAACTACCACCAATTTATGCGGGCCAACCAATCCAAGCGACCCTCATCTTCAAGACCTCTTTTCATTGGGCTGAGAAGGAGGGAAAACAGCGCTGCTACACGATGCGATACGATGTTGAAGAGCGTGTCAAGGATTGGCTTTTGTGTGGACGAAAGCGTGGAGATTTCGTCGCAACGGTAAGCCCCACTTGTGTTAGCTCACTCTCACAGTCGATCTAAACGATTTCTAGGACGGTGGTTCATTCGCCGTTCCCTTGACATTGATAGCTCTTCACCACGGTGAAATTTCCTTACCCAAGGTTAACGTCCGACCACTACCAATATCAATGCAAGCCTCAATGGGATCTACGGTGCCAAGCGCTGATGCTTGTCAGGTCCACGGTGCTGAGAAGGTTTTGATTCTGCCCAGAGGTGGCAGAAGTACGTATATTGTAGGTATGGGAAGCGACAACGAATGAATGTACCACTATTACTGTAGGGATAATTATTTTTGGGAAGATTGACTGGAGTGGCCACTGGAACGTCTCGAAAACATCTTCCCTTCCGGGTATCCAAACCAAATCCCAAGTAGCATCAAGGAATTTGCTGCGAGGAGAAGGCCAGATGAAAGTGGTGTGGATGGATAAACATTCCAGGCATATTCGACGACGCCTATGAGTGCCATTCTTTGTAGAAATTAGAAAGAAAGTATACATCCATGCACGAAGAGACTCACTGCATGATAAAAGGAAACGTCGTTCTTTGAGTAAGGAGAGGCAATTGCTGCGAATACCACGAGTAGAATTGGTAGTGCAGTGATCGTGCAAAAATGATGCCGATGAGATTGGATGTCATAAGCACAGTAGCAACATCTAGTGCACAAGTCAGCAGACAAAGATTGGAGGAACCCCTAGAATGACTCACAGTCAGGATCTACAGGCGCTAAACCAGCAGGCCGACCGGGTCGCCGGATGCCTCTCTGCAGAATCCTAGCTACCCCACCATCGCCACGACACCATCGGAATAATCCAAAGGCAATCAACACCGTAACGTGACCCAAAAGTAAGCCTTTCGCCCATGCGGGACTCAAAAATACACGTTCATTAACAAAACGCCAATTTACGGTCCACTTATAAAGGAAAACGCGTGACAAATCAAATGCATTCTGCAGGTAGGACTTTGCATTCGCAATGAGGAAAGAGCGCGCAAGAAGAGTCTGAGTGCACGCCAAGACGAGCATGTGACGGATGGTCGCAAAGAGGCCGTGTCGTTTGAAGAGAATGACTAGTAGACCGGGCAGATACAATATGGCCGACATTTTTACGGATAGAGCGAGGCTATATATAAAGTTGAGGACGTTCAACGTTGGTGAAGAAAATATAGTGCTCACCTGAATAACAAGATGCCCACGTCATCCCAAGCGCTCTGGAATGCGAGAATCGCTGCTTGCACAAAGATTAATGACCAGCAGTCATTAAATAGGCGGAGAACGAAGACAGAGTGCAGCCTTTTGCTGAGCGGTAGCAGCAGAACTGTCCAATTTGGAACCTTTGCTTTCTTATATATCATGCATACGAGGGCGATGGATAGTATGTATAGGCCGCCGTAAATTTGTTGGGCCTGTGCAACATTGCGGCCAGCGTCTGTGATGAAATGAAGAAGGCGATGAATGTGAACATGTCCAGCCGGATAGCTAGTAGTTTCGTCATCTCATTGTAAGGGCTGTATACTGTTGTTCACTTACACTAAAGGACCGGTCGGTCCTGTGATATTAACATAGTTGCGCTCTCCTTTGAGGTAAAGGTCAATGTGGACCATGTACGTTTCCCAATCGATTTCCGTATCTGCCTGATACGTTGGTCATGGCATTATGCGAGGTAGTGAAACGGGCTAACAGGGAACGAACCGAATTATGAGTTGAGTGAGGATGGCATCTCCGAGAACAACGAGAGATGCAGTAATCCAGAAATATTGCTGGTCGAATAAAAGCAATCGGACGTACTTGAAGACAGAACTCTGCATGAACGGAAGATGAAACAGGAGGGAGTGTTTAGTAAAGTACGCTAAGCGCGAGGGATGGGTGTCACGTGTGTGTATTTGTGCAAAATAAGTGCAAAAGTGAACTGCCCCAGTGAGGCTCGAACTCACGACCTTCCGATGCCATTGAATAACAGTCGGACGCTGTAACCAACTCAGCCATGGGGCACACGAAATTGACAAGGACCTAGAGTATCATAATGACTTGGGACTGGCAGTGATACAAAAGTGAAATCCGAGCAAGCACTCAAGGCAGCAGCGAGCTCGAACGAAGTATTCTCACGAATTGAAGCAAAAAAGCGTCACCTGAGCGATTCGAACACTCGCGGGCAAAGCCCAACCGCTTAGCTGTTTATAGCAGGCGATCCCGTTAACCACTCCGGCAAAGTGACTTGTTTGAAGACGAAGATCAGGATAACTATATTGTCATAACTTGATTTACGCCGCGACCTTTTCCGAGTTGATTCCAATAGTGAGTTTCGCCATAGGTTGCTCCCGGCCGTATCTAGGAACTTGAATGTATGATGAATCCAGTATTCTTGCTGTCATCCACGGTGAGGTAGGACGTGGCGCACACGAGTCGCTCAGGAGTATGAGAAGCGAACGTGTTTCCGAGGGCGAATGATTCTGCGAATAGACTCGTGACTGCCTTGGTGGTTCTTCACATTGGCGCCAACACTAGTCATCCGAAAAAGACAGGAGTGAGCTCCGAGAGAGTCGAAGTTGATCTATCGTTGATGAACACGAGGCTGAGGATGAATGTGGTAGGTTGCACCCGTGTTTGAGTTTCGCGTGATCTCGTTTGGCGTGTATGTAAAGGGTTGGGTTGTTTGTGCCATGAAAGGCTATTAGTACCATGAGTCTGACATGAGGGCTACAGTCGTGATCCTACCGACAACAGCTATCGTACAGCATTCACTTCTGCTGTAAACCAGACTGCTTGTAATCACTTCTTTTCACTTTCACTGCCTCAGTGACAACCAGTTCTGCTCTCCTCGCCTATCATCTTTGAAACATCCAGTCTGGCCCCACGGCCATGAAAGCCTTTCTTAACAGGTTCAATAGAGGCCTGTCATCAAAGGACAGGGACAGGGACAGGGACAAGGACAAGGAAAAAGAGAGAGAAAAAGATCGTGACAATGCCTCAGTACTCACCAAGGACCGCAGTGACAACTCCTCTACCAACTCTCACTCACCACCCAGTCGAGAAAAGCGTGAGCTAGTACAGCTTCCACCGCTCCCAGGGTGGCCTCCTCCCCGTATACAATCAGAGAACAGGCTCTCTATTGAGCCTGTTAGTAGACCAGCAACCGACGCCAGTAGTAGACATGTCACTTCTCCCAGCTTAATTCAACGTTCCAATAGTGCAGGTACAGTCAATACCAGTGCAGGAACCCCTACTTCAATTTCATCGCATAAACCACTTCCCGACATCTGTGCTCGCCCTTTACCTCCCATCGAGGAACCCCTTGACGACGACAGTGGCGTCGGCCTTACCGTTTCCCCGCCTCCACACGACCCGGACCCTGCCACTACTCGCCGCAGGGCAAATGGTAGTACCACCACTACCGGATCATCAAACGACGTACAGAAAAAAGTGGCCTTCCTTTCCCCCCCTCCGACTCCCTCGCCTCTCAATACCCAACTCCCGGACACATCGGTACTAAGCCCCTCTCAAATCGTCCAAGCGCCCTCAGGCGCTCCCCTCAAAACCACCGTGTCGCGTTTTCAGGCAACACATGGCAAGGACACGCGTGGCTCCATCTCCACAGCCGCCTCAACATCACGCACAGACCTCGCTACAAAGTCCATTACCACTACCACCATCTCCCCTCCAACGACGTCCACTACAGTAGCCTCTGCTCCATCAACCAATACTGCAAAAGCTACCAGTACACGCACAGCAGTCTCCCCTTACCCAGGCTCAATGCGTTCCGCCACGCCCTATTCTCAAATGTCCAATGCCAGCAGCCGCATTCTCGCTGTCACCTCATGGAGCGAGGCTGCAGAAGAAGACCTCGTCAGCAACCTTGGTCCCCGAGAACGTACTCGCCAAGAAGTCCTCTGGGAGATCGTAGCTTCTGAAGAGCGGTGCGCTGCGCCTCCCCACACACTGATCCACTGATATTGATGCGATCGTTGCATTTGTTACAGATACGTAAATGACCTCACAAAAATGAAAGAATCCTTCATCGAGCCCCTTCTCCACCCTTATGCCACGCCCCCTCCTGTCAGCCCTATACCGACTCCATTCAACGAGTACGATGACTACAGGGTCGATACACCACAAGAATCGATCGACGTCTTGCCCATCGCTGCGCGCTTCATGAGTCCTCTTGGCTTCCGTGCTGATGGAGCCTCCAAGCCCGCAGATGGAGCTTCTAAGCCCGCAGATGGTCGCAGCCTTGCTACCACGACTCCTCAAATTGATGACGAAAGTGATGAGGATGCCGAGGACACATTAGGCGAGGGGCTGCAGACCAATCGCTCCAATTCGAACAATACTCGCTCTCCTTATCATGGGGGAGGCAGTGGTGGCAGAGGGGCAACCAAAATACGCGATATCGTCCCCTTCCCTTCACGTTCTCACGCATCCCTTCCTGCACCTCAGCGTAAGCTTGCTACCTCGTCCTCGCAATCACTGGGAGACAAGGATAGGGAGCGGGAGCGCAAAGACAGTGCCAAGACCACTCCTCCACAAGGCACTCGGGTACTGCGCAAGTTCAAGCGCTCGATAACGCAGGCCAATAGTCCCCTCCAGAGTGCCGTTCCTGCTCACCTCCTTCCCGAGGATCTACGCATATGCCTCGAAGTCATCGAAGGTGGTGTGCTTGATGGGCACGTCAAGCTCAGCGAAGGCCTGTTGAAGCGGTACGAGGAGCAGTACCCTCTTGTCCGGTCCCTAGCGGATGTATTTGTCTCAAGTGTGAGTATTGCAGTTCTTCCTCGACGCAATATGCTTATGCTACTGTTAGTCTCATATCTTCCAAGGCTACGCAACATACGTCTTGCATCTCGAGCGTGCTCTGGAGCAGGTAGATAACGCTTTGAGCACCGCAAGTGCTGCCAAGAAGCCCAAGAACCAAGATGCTGCTGAATGGCTCAAGGTTTGCAAGTCCCTGCAGCGGTTAGAAGAGCTTGCGGCCGATAAAGGCGAAACCGGGCTTGCTATCACCCTCTCGAAGCCCTTCCAACGCCTCCTCAAGTACCCTCTACTCTTCCAAAATCTGCTCTTCCACACAGATCCGAGTACGTTCGAGTACGAAAGTACTCTGCAGATGGTTGCAGAAGTCGAGACGATCGTGCGCAGCATCGAGGATGAGAAGATCCAGAAAGAGGACCGTGACAAAACGCGTGATGTGTTTGCGCGCATTGAGGGGCTTGACAAGGTGAAGCAGCTTGCGATCCCGAAGCCATCAAGGTTGCTGCTGGAGGAGCGGCAGATTTTTGGGTCTGCTCATGGCTCAGGTTCGTCAAAAGGCCCAGGATCGAGCCCGCCGCCAGTTGTCAATGCCAAGGGCGTAAAGGGCAAGACGTCATTCCGCCGGCTGAGTGATGTGCTGGGCACGGGCTCAGGCATAGGAGGCAAGAAAGACCTCTGGCTTGTGGTATTCAATGATGTTGTCCTACGGTGCCAGCGCACGGGGACGACATCACTACCTTTGGTTTCGGGGTCGAACTCGAGGGCGACTTCATTGCCAGAGATGCAGGGGAAGTCAAAGTATGCTTCGACGGGGCGGAGAAATTCGCATACGAAGCCGAGGAACATGTACAAGTTTCTCAAGGTAAAGCACCTCGATCACACTGTTCGACTTGTTCTCACTCTGGCATAGATCGAGACTTGGGCGATAGGAGACGTCGTCCAGCCCAAGGAAGGGGTTGTCTCCATGGAAGAGTATGTGTTTTGTGTTCCTGTCACTAATATCTGCTGAGCGCTTTGCAGTGTTGTGCGCTCCAAAGCCGAAGCACGGTCTCAGCCCAAGATCGTCCCTCTCCCTGACGATGAGGAAGATGGTGAGGGAGAGTCGGACGACTCGGACAAGAAGAGCAAAATGAGCTTTTCATACTGGGGTGCAGACAAGATCACCCTCCAGAAACCAGTCCTCAAGCCCAAGCAACACGGCGTCGTTGGTTCAACACGTCGTGTATCTCCAGGCGGCACGTCCTCCTATAGCCGGGAGTCCTCTGCAAACGCTAAGTTCGGGACTCGTCTAGCTTCAGGCGACCATGCCTCTCATTCCACACGCCCCATGAGCCGGCGAACGCAAACAACACCCAGCACGCGTACACGTGTGAACGCTTCAGAAGACAGTCATTCCACCAAGGCAACCGTCACACGACCCGCCTGGGACATGAGCACACGCGGCAATCCTCACGCCCCTGGCATGAAGCGGTCACGCCAGATCTCGCAAACGAGTGGAGCTGTCCGCGCGACCTCTACCACCACCAAGCCGCAAGTCTCGCCTGCTGCATCAGAAGACTCAGGGGTGGGCTTGTACCGCCAAATAGTGGCCCAGGATCCATCATTGGTCACATAGTCCGAATTCTTGTCATCATCAATCAAGCCTGGTTTTCCGCTAGCTTTCCTCGTCCATCTTCACTACAATCATTCACGGCGCCCATCATCGCATTTTGCACTCTCTTATTTTATCACTTCCTTACCTCCTCTCGCAGCCAGCCGACACACACATTCGTTCATCATTCACCTCGCTCTTGCGCCTCTGCTCTCTTCATCCTGCTATGTCAGAGTCGGTACCCAATTATTTGACGATACCTTATCACTCTCGTTGTTCTTTCTCTCATGCTCTTTCAATTTTTTATCACATTCTCTATTTGGAACACAAACATCGAACAATTGACAAGTCATCCAATCATCCCTGATTTCATCTAAAGTACTTGAGATATGCTCCCCTATGCTTTCAGGGTCTAGAGCCACTACGATGCAGTCACCACCCTATATACATAGTTTTAATCGCGCACCCTTTCGTGCTTCCCCGCTATCGACGATTGTATGACACCATTTTGATCGATTTAGTCTGTTTCGTATGCCGCGTTATGAATGCTGACGCTACGCCCGCTTGGGTCCGAGGAGCATCCCCAATCGCCTCGTGGTATCCAGCTGGTTCGATAGAAATCAGAATCATTCCCATAAAGAGGGGTAACCTAATCTTACCGCACTGCAGTCTTCGCTGCGGCCTCAGAGGGGAAAAGGCCTGAGGAACATGAGGACATGAACTTTTGAGGCAATTTATTTCCAAAAAAAAACCGCTCACCGTCAAATAGTTCACGAATATAATAGGCTTCTTTCGTATCTGGGGTATCGACTGGCCAGCGCTCTGCGCGCTTGGAGAAATCTTTATCAGAAACAAACGCGGCAGCGTTATCCTTGATGCTGTGATCGAAGTATCAGCCCGGTGTCTCGGTACCGATGGAAGAACGTGTATACTAACCCGTCTATCCAAGAATAACCAACGCCGTCTGAGAATTGCTCCTTTTGACGCCATAAAATAGACTTTGGGAGATAAGCCTAAAGTTTGTGACACGGTGAGCAGGGAAAGTTTGAAAATCATTGAGATCGACCGACCGTCCCGTCCGGCGCACAGTCAAATGCTTTCCGAAGAATATACTGTGCGAAAAATGATGAGGCATTTATGTCCAGAGATACTGAGCGGGCCAGCTAACCTTTTCCATTACCGGACAACCATCTTCATCAACCACTTGGTTTTTATCCTTGTTAAACATCTTTTCCTTCGCGTCGATGTTCATGGCGACTTCCAAAAAGGCCTTGTCGAGGAAGGGTACACGAGCTTCCAAGCCCCAAGCCATTGTCGACCTACGCACAGACCCGTCAGTGATCCGAGGAAAAGTGTGACCCTCAAAACTAACTTGTTGGCGCGCAGGCAGTCAGCAGTGTGAAGATTCTTGACGCGCCGAACACATTCCTGATGGAAAGAGTTACTGTCTGGAGCAGCATGGAAGTATAGATAGCCTGAACAGTGCGTTAATAAAGCTCGCATCGACCACTTGAACAAACACTACCTCCAAGTATTTCATCGCTACCCTCTCCACTGAGCACCATTTTAACACCCATCGCCTTGATTTTCCGGCTGAGGAGGTACATTGGTGTGCTTGCACGAACGGTTGTCACGTCATAGGTCTCAAGGTGATAAATGACGTCCGGGATGGCGTCCAGGCCCTCCTGGACTGTGAAAACATATTCGTGGTGCACGGTGCCCAGGAAGTGTGCTGCCTTCCTGGCAGCAAGCAGATCAGGCGAGTTCTCCAGTCCGATTGAGAATGAATGTAATTGTGGCCAAGAAGCCAGCATAGCTACGGCGATCTTCAGTGTGAAAAACAAGGAGCGAAATTCGATACGCCTACCCTGCTGTGTTAGATCATCTAACCTTGGTGTCGGAGGGCCACTGGTAGATTCAGCAAGCTTGCGCTTCCGAGCCTCGTACTGAGCTCGGGAAACTTTTTCTGTCTCCCTTGCAGCTATAGAAGCGATCAAACTACTGTCCAGTCCACCGCTAAGCAGAACACCATAAGGCACCTCAGACATAAGCCGCTTGCGCACTGCAGCTTCCAAGGTTTCCCGGAGAAGGGTATAATCTGCAGGTGTGGTTGGGAGTACAGGGTTTGTTTCTGCGTCTCCGTCCCACCAGGTTGGTTTGAAATAGCGCGTCGTGGACTGGTCACGGCTGTCGTAGACATGACCAGGGGGGAAGGAAATAACCGTGTCGCATTCGTCGACGAGAGCTTTCAACTCCGACGAAAAATATGTTGCACCAGGATGCTTCGAGCTCCATCCTTGGTACAATGTTGTGATCCCAATGGGGTCGCGAGAGGCAATTACTCTAGTAGGAGTCACGGACTCGTCCAGAAGTACGAATGAAAACATGCCATCGAGCATGTTGCAAAGATCCTTGTCATGTTTTTTGTACTGCAGGTCATCAGTAATTGCTACAAGCGTACGCATAGAGAACCGTACCAGAGGAATAATGACCTCGCAATCAGAGTGTGTCTTGAACTTGGCAGTTGAACTGAGGGTCGCCCGAAGTGCTAGATGGTTGTAGATTTCACCATTGACGGCGAGTATGATCTGACCATCCTCGCTGACGAGAGGTTGGGCACCGGTGTCTTAAGCCACAACGAGTCAAGAACAAGAATAGAATAGATGATCAGCCACGCACCAACACCAACAATGGCAAGGCGTTCGTGAAGAAGTATAGCTTCCTTTCCGACAAAACACCCGGACCAGTCAGGTCCACGATGGCGAAGACGTTTTGAGAGAGCCAAAAATCGAGAGCGCTCGACTCCTGGGTTTTCTATACCATGAACTGCAAGTATACCACACATTTTGGACAAGGCAACGAGAAAACACAGGCCTCGATCATCTCTGTCTTATAAGTTACATACATTTTGGCACTTTCTAATGACTCGACCAGATAAGATAATCACAATTCGGAAATTTGATGCTTAGGTAATAATACATTCTCATCATCAACACTCAGGCTGCTGGACAGCCTGGACAGGCCTGCGACTCATTCACTAAAATCTTGTGCGCCTCCTGCTGCCATCGCCTCAACAACTGAGATATAATCCGCACCGAGACGGGCATCAAGTTTAAGCAAAAATCTTACTTTCACAAGGCCACGGATATCCTCTGTTTAGGCAGAAGAGTGTCAGCACGAGGGAATCAGGATCGGAGATGTTAGCACGCCGACTTCACTTGGCAGCTTTAACCTGTTATTCAACATCGGTCTCGACCCTGATAGCCCTCTTCATCGACCGTACGGAGTACCAAATCATTTTCGACAAGTACATCTATGTCGCGAAGACACTTTCATGTTCCCAGGTAATCGACACCCTGGGACGTCCTCATTCCAACCGAGTTTCAGTCAAACACCATTGTCGGGCGTTCCGTCAGTCAACATTTCAAAATTTTGACGCATTCATCAATTAACAAAGCGGCAACCCTTTCATTGGAGACAATCAGCCAACATCCAAGGAAGGAGCATACCTCATCCTTTCTGATGGGGCCTGGCCTGCGGACTCGGAACCACTGCAGAACATTAGTTCGATTTTGCTAAGCATCTTCAATCGGGCATCGAGAATGATATATACCTAATCACTGGGTGCCAGAAGAGGGGACTTGCAGCATACGATGCAAAGAATTTAATGGAAACGAACGATCGAGGTCCTACCACGGGGTATGACGGTGGTCGGCAAAATCAAACAGTATTCATTGAATTTCATTCTGGGTCCCATCACCATGGGATGGAAACTTGCCAAAAGAAGCGGCCCGCTCCGAACCTTTTGCAGTCTTAATATCAATGTGTCTCCCTTGACCGATACTAGGCTCAGCAACCTTCTGAGTCTTCTGCGCAAAGAGAAAGAGTCTGTCAGGTGGTAATGGAGTATACCACATAGTTCAACCGACGCCGTAGAAAACAGAAGAGCATCATGATGGTAAGACTTCAAAATATGATCATGTTTGCACTAGAGTTACCATTCAATATTCAACGTTCAACGTTCAACCCTAAGGTGGGGGAAACAGTTGGAATAACATCCCATTGGGTTCACCAACGGATTCTACTATATAATATATACAAGAACCTGGGGTCCTTGCATTTAGTACGTAATACCTTTTCCTCAACAATTTGTTCACAGCGGCAACCGAACATCGATACTCTGGGCACCAACGTTAACCTCGAGTTTACCGTCATCCTGAGGCAGGACCTGAGCGCTACTAGTAGCGCTCATCCGCTATAATTAGTTAAAATCTTGCATTCTGCGGCATAATTTGGATTAACCATGGTTTTCTCTTGGTCCAGTGAGTTATGAACGAAAAAAATTCTCAGCTTGCAACCGTGACGCTTGTGTATTCCCCAGCTCCTCTTCGCCAGAACGGTCATACCAGCTTGCCTCTAATCCCAAACGAAATATATCTTGCTATTATTGAGTGCATAGCGCCAACCAACGAGCCGCTAAGCAAGCAAAACATTCGAACCTTCTCAGCCCTCGCACTCGTGTGCCGTTTTTTCTGCTCCGTCGCGTTGCCGCGCGTATTCGAGCGTGTCGCATTTTCGGGGAACTCTTCGGGGAACTCATCTACCATCAACAGGGCGGAGGCTTCGCGCAAGACGAATTGGGCCAGGCAAATCGTGGCAAATGCTGAGCCATCCAAGTCCATCGCATTATACGTCAAGGAATGCACCTTCAATTCTTGGAGTACCAACAAGGATCATCAGTGGGTCCTTTTCCCATTTGCAACGCTGTATTGCCAGGCAATGGCGCGCATGTCGAACATTCGGAAAGTGGTGATCATTGGCTCGTTTGTGAAGAAAGAGCATTGGGACGCGATGGCAGAATTGAAGCAGCTCGACGACCTCAAGTTCTCTCATTGCTCCTTCATAGAAGATCCACCCGATAAAGAACTGACTGTTCGCACTGTCACGCTCTTGGATCTAGGAGACTCTCCAATTCCCTTTACCCGGGCCCTTCGGCCAATCGCCACTACTGTTCTGCGCTCCCTCGAGATAAACGAAGTGGAGGTAGTCCAAAAGCTCGTAGCCTTTCGTCAGCTTGCCATTGACAATTTGATTGTCGACCGCCAAATTTTCGACATTGAAGAGCTACTTCATGTATTTCGGCTTCTTCCTGACCTCGAGAGCATATCCTGTACTCTCAGAAGAAAGGAGATGGTCTCGCCGCTCATCGCTACGCTTTCGCTGAAAAAGCTCTTCACTCGCTTGCGTTCTTTCACTATAGTGGGATCTGGTTGCTACTGGCTGGAACGGCATGACATGGCGAAGGTTCGTTTTATCTCACGTGTACTGCTACCTCTCTCATTCATCTTCGTGACAGCTGTTATCCGCTCTCTGTGATGGACCCGGCACCCTTCCTAGCCTGGAGGAGCTCCATATCCACATCGCTACAGGTGGTGCGACGGGAGAAACTTTCTTTGCTATCTCCGACCTCTTGAACGGGACAATAATCCCAGCATTCCCGAATTTGAGGTACATCTATGCTGGTCATGGCACTTACCTACACTTGGAAGAGGGCAACTGGGAAGTGCACTACTCGCAAGCAATCAAAAAAAGGTTGGAACACGAACACAATAAGAAACTCCAAGCCCATAAAGAAAATATGGCGTAGGGTTTTGCGTCCCCCCCTCGTAATGCTCTCGAGTCTTTATTTGTTACAAGCAATCCGCTCGCCTGCGGACGACGGTCTCATTACTTGCGATTGCGGTAATCATGCGAGCATTAATATTGACATCATCGGGCGGCACAGTTCCACCACCGAAAGTGAGAATGGAGACAGTAAGATCGCCGCAACAACCGTCCTCTGTCTCAGGACACCATGACGAAGGAAGTTGAACTGAGAAGGATCACAACGCACCAGGGGGGCACGATTGGAGCCCCAAGCCTGAGTGGAGTACACGCATGAGTCAGAGTGGAAAATCAAAGGGGCTCGAGTGGAGCGCGCACATGGCGACGATCGAATAATATCTACTGATCTGAGCTCTACCTATAAGTTATGCTGAAACTTGACGTCCTGTTTTTAACACCCAGCTAAATACGAAGGTATAGATGGTATAAGGATGATATAGCCCTCTAAGCATGGAGCGCGTTCATGAGACGGAAACAGCTCCAAGCAAGGAAGGACACGAATGTATAAATGCCAACGCGGATATTAAATGGGTTCTCCGTCAGGAAAGGGTATGGGACTGGATATCCAAGTGTTTCAGTGAAACGCAGCCAAAGGAAGGATGCATGTACTCACATGTATGGTTATAACTAGCGCAATATTCTACCCAGCAGGCATACCATGTCCCGCAGGCGAGGACGACGAGAGGTGCACCGATTTGAACTTGCTTTTTGGTATATTTCTTCTCGAAGAAAATAAAGTCTGCAAGGAGGGTGAAGACAGGAACGAGATGTAGAGAGACATCTATGTCGAGAGGAATCCGCATCAATGCAGGGGGAGCCGACGAAGAAGAGGGCCCAGATAGTCCCGGCAGTTCGCGCTGTAGAATCAACGATGGGAAAAACAACAAGAGTGACCAGTACACCGCAGATATCACAAATGTGAGCTGGAAAGGATTCGTCAATGAACGTGATCATCAGAGAGGGAAAACGAGTTACAGGGAGAGCTATCATTAGGGAAGCACGCTTGGCTGCGCGAAGGGCTGGAGAATGCGTCATAAATCCAAGTGGAGAACTACTTGACTGTCGCTCTTACCGGCGAATGAAGGCAGCAAGTCGCAGCCAAGGCTTAGCACCATGGTGAACCAAGCGGCGGCCAGCCTTGCCATGAACTTGAATCAGCTTGGGAGGTCCAGGGTTCGGGCAGCAGCCGCAGCACTCACCCTTGTATAGTCAGAAACTGGAAGTGCCCTCCTTTCTGCGTTCGGATCCAGGCATCCACGGGGAGTGTTTTGAGGCTAAGAAAGCCATAAGCCATCACACCCGCAGCCGCTCCATGCAAAAACAACGCTTCGGGGCGAGGCATGATGTTGATGAGAGGATAAGAATCTGCTTGTGCAAGTCAAAGGAAGAGCAGGCTAGCCGCTCGTGGTGTCTGAATGATCCAAGTTAACTATGTAATGAAGCTCTGCCAAGTAGTCGAGACTCAGGCCCATCGTATGATATATGATAGTGCACCCGACAAGTCTTCGTATCAAACCGCTCTTCATTTCCTCATCCACAAAAGAGGACCTTTACTACGAACAATATATTTTTTTGAAAAAATTGCTACAAGGCCAATATAAAAGTACACATTCACGATTTGGTGGTCCGAGTATCGAAAAGTCATCTAACCCCAGAGGTATGCCTGATGGGCATACCTATCACCCCTGACTTCGGCAGCGTTAATAACACCATTGATTTCTGCAAGGTCTTCCGTGGATAACTCGACTTCTCCTCCAGCACAATTTTCGAGAGTCCGCTTGGCATGCCTGCAAAAATGTTAGTACCCATAACACCCCACAATCACAGACCATGTCTGGACAGGAACTCACGAGGAACCTGGCAAGGGGATGACATGCTTGCCAAGCGATGAAACCCAAGCGATGCAGAGTTGGGCAGAGGTTACGTTCTTGCTCCTCGCAATTGCAGCCAATGCATCCACGACGGCAAAATTGTGTTTAAAGTTCTGCACCTTGGTTAGGCAATGATCAAGCAAATGTGGGGCAACTTACATCCTCCTGGAAACGAGGCAAGGAGCGGCGGAAATCTCCCTCTAACAAACAAATTCGGTAAGCATAACAGTCAAATGGTGCAAAACGATGGCATTACCCGGAATATCCTCAGGTCTCTTGATTTGACCGGTCAAAAACCCACGACCAAGCGGGCTAACGGATGATCGTACGTCAGGTCAGAACAGGCGTGTACTAGCATGAAACGTACGAGTACGCGATAACAGCAACACCCAACTCTTGGGCAGTCGCAATGACTGACAGAAAATATAAGTTACTAAAACGAAACACTATTTGTGATTGTCATACCTTTCTTAGCCTCCACATCGTATTCCCATGGGCTGACTTCAATCTCGACAGCAGCAATGGGGTGTACCTAGAACATATTGAGTGAATGTCCCGAGAGTCATACTGTCCACGCACAGTATTACCACGCCGCAGAGAGTCCGCGCTGCATTCAGACATGCCGATATGGTCTAGTTTACCCTCGTTCTTGAGCTCAACAAGGGTCCGGATCGATTCTTCCAAAGAAACGTTGGGGTCTACGCGTGCGCTCTGAAACAGATCAAGGCGCTTGGTGCCACGAAGTTTCTCGTTGATGAGCTCAACACTTCGTCTCAAGTTGGCAGGCCTGATGGTCAACATAGCATCTCATTATAATGATGTGTGACTTCAACTTACGAGCCGTCGGGTAGTGGCGCTAGGCCAGGCTTTAGTCCTCCCTAAAAGGTAAAAGGTCAGTCACGAGGAGGTAGAAGCAGGGATAGACCGAACCTTGACGGACAAGAAGGTTTTGTCTACGTAATCGGGATACTTTTCGAAGAACCGAGCGATCATCTCGAGGTTCGTGGTTGTTAAGTTGTGCCCGTAAAATTCCCCTGTAGCTGGAGTTAGCACATATGTATATGTTGGGGATTTCGACCAACCTCCGTTGAGGAACATCTTCGTGCCTGGAGGAAGGGCGTCCACTCCAGCCTTGATTGCTTCGAAACACTGTTCATCTGGGACTGGGTCGGGGGTCCATCTACATGATTAATGTGAAGGTGATCCAAGGATGTTGAAATAAAGGAAAACATACGTCATCTTCATCAATCCATGCTGGGAAGGCAAAGTCAGGAAAGATTAGGATGTAGAGTAACATACATACAGCTATTTTGCCAACTGTGATATGAGATGCAGTACCCCCGAGCGATGTAGTGGCTTGAATAGACATTCTGAATAAATCTTAGGATAAGGTCTGAGGTGAATCGGAGGCAGCTCTTTATAATTGTCTAGGGAGAGCGCCGAGAGGGTACGCAGCGTCCGCCGTCTGCGGCAGAAGTGATGATGGTTGCATGGTTTGGGAGAGGGGGGAACCACGTGGCGAACGTTTGTCAGAATTTGATGACATGATCACAGGATCTTACAATTGGAAATGACTCATTGCAAAGTGTGGGACTAGCCCGCTTCGTCAGCCAGGCTGATCAACGATCCATCATCCATCGATACCATCAGACCAGATACCATCAGATCAGAACACACTGCTCTCTCTCTACCTCTATCCATGGATTGCGCTCGCAGCTCAATTCTTTGCCTTCTTTCTGTAGGTGTGGGCCTGGCATACCAAATTGTGTCAAGCCAGTTCTCAGATTAGGCCCTTGCTCATCACCTCAGGCCCACCAGGCATAGCAGCCAGCAAATAAAAGGCATGATACATTTCATGATCTCCAACCAAATCCAGGTCTACCAGGGCGGTACACATGTCAAACCGAGGACGAAAATCATGTCAAGATAACATATTCCTTGGTTTGTGCTTGACAGCTCTGTTGCATGTCATTGGACACGCTCCAGGCTATCCAGCCCAAATCAATATTTACTGTCCAGGAAGTATCACCCGCACTTGTTTGCTTCTGCAGCTGTAAATATTTACATATATGAAAAAAAAAAAAAAACAAGGAATGCAATTACACCGTCCCATTGGCATTATGCACGAAGCAGCATATGTAGTATGTATGATATTTGTCCGTCCACGAGCCCACTTCACTCCTTCTTAGCCTGCGCTTCACGCGCATGCGCACGCTCTGCAAGGTCCACCCCTACAAGGATCTTCGAAGCCTTCCAGAGCTGTACGAGATTGATAATGTTCTTCCCTACACAAACGAATGCGCTGGGGATCGCGACGAGCTCGGGCCAGGTGAGGTTCTCGAGCCATGGGATGTAGACGCCGAGCCCGATAGGCGTGTGCACCGATTTCATAAGGTAGAGAGACACGAAGAAGAGCTCGTTGCCTGCGCACATGAAGAACAGGGTACGCTATTTTGCGCACGCGATCAATCTGGGCTGCGGTACCGTGCGAACGTAGGAAGACTCACGGAATCGTTGTAGTAGTACCATAGGATACGACTAACTTCGCTTGTCACAAGCTTGTGGCTCCGCGAACCAGTGACGAGTGAGCTGAGTGAGATTTGGTGAGGACTGCACAGGCAAGAACTCTAACAGAGAACGCACCTGTACATGTGCATGTAATGACTTGCGAAATCAAGCGCGATAAGGAACTGGAACATCATGGCGAAATTCGGGTATACAGACGATAGATAGCAGAGCAGGCACGACGTCGTACACCTGGAAGTGCGCATCATAAGTTAAAGTTGAACGAGTGTGGGCAAGGGATGACGCACCGGTCCGTGACCATGTCCAACACTGCACCGAATTTCGACGTCTGTCCTAGGGCGCGTGCGGCCTGACCATCCACAGCGTCCAATAAACATGAGATCACGTATGCAAGAGTGCAGTATTTGGGGTGATAGCTCATAAAGTGGAGCGAAAGCCCAGCAAGGATGATACGCGTGTACCCTACGCCAAAGCATCCGAATTAGCACATAGCAAAATCAACGCAACAGAACTTGTCACACCAATGAGATTTGGGATGAAAAGGAAGACATTTTCAGAGTATGTCTGAGCTGTGGCAAGGTCAACTGCGACCTTTGCGTCGACGACGTCGATTGAACCACGCCGGCGCATCTTGCGGGAAGGATTTGCTGAACCGTTTTTCGTCATTGCAGGCGTACGCTGCGGTGGGGAGTGGAAGGAGTCAATGAAGGAGGACGTCCTGAAAGGCAGGTTCTGCTAATTTTGCGGTCCTGAACTTCTGACGGCAAAATGCACGTGACGTAATATTGCTTTCGTCATTCCCTGTACTAGAGTCTAGCAAGCTACTACTAATTGTTGGTAAAACCAAGTACCAGTCCGTATTAAATAACTTAGTTATCTAATATCACTCAAGCAAGTCATGGAGGTAGCGTGGCTCATCGCAAAAGAAAGTAAGGGGTATACGACTCAGTCATGTCCGTCTTCAATCACCGTGATCTCCCCCATAGCTCCTTCAACCAGTAGACGAACTCGACTTGATTGGATGTTGGCTGAAATACACACCCACACCGATACCAACAGCTGCGAGGATGATAATGATGGTGAGCCAGAAGCAGATCCAGCGTTTTCGTCGGGCAGAACGAGCGTGTTTTACCGCGACCTCGGTGTGCTTTTGTCTAAAACGGAGTTAGTGGCCGTGCGCTCAGGTAAGCATAGGAGCTGCTCACCCTCCCTCGGTGTCATGTGCGACACCTGCAGCTTGCGTCTCGATAGCATTAATTTTCTCTTCTTGCTCTCCTAGAAGGGTGGCCATCTAAAATAAGAGCGTTCTTAGCAAATACATCGTACAGGTAAGTGTTGCACCTACATCATTGAATAACTGAGCCAGCTCTCCGAGGGTCTGCTCAATCCGCCGAATGTCTTGGTGTCTTTCCTGGACTTCCCGATATGCAGCCCTTGAATCACCGTATCGGTTCGATGAAGTGAGCTGCGCAGCAGGGGTGAACACCATACGGCTTTTCCAAGTGAATAGAGGCTCACCGCTTGCGCAAATATTTGAGTTCCTCCGCCCTGATCATCATTCACCACGGCAGCAACCTCATCGGGCGTAGCATCGGGTTTCACTAAATATTTGAATTAAAATGTGAAGATCAAGAATGCGGGCTGTGAATACCTATTTTAAACTGTCGCTCCACGCGCTGACGGTACTGCTGGCGATACTGGCGCTCAACATCCTGGTACCGCTGCAAGGTGGCCATAAATTTTGTCCGAACGACATCAATCTGATAGCTATGTCAACGACTGCGTGGCACAAATGGGAAGGGCGACATACTCTGTTCTTCCGAATTTGAGCATCCGGACCTGGACCGGCGGGTTTCTCGAGGGCACGGATGCGGTTGGCGAGATTATTGCTGAGCTGCCTAGTCTCGTCTGTAAGGCGTTCGAGCTGGGCTGCGTTTGCTTGTGTCGTTGCATCATCAAGGGCGTTCAAGGAACGTGAGTGGAATTCAGCGACGCGAGTGACATTGTCATCGAAGTCTTGGATGGAATCTTGGATGGCGGTGGCCTAGATTGAAATGGGGGTTGGCACGGAAAGATATGTGTAAATAGATAGGCGCACCTCCGCATAGAAAGCGGACGAAGGGTCGGTTCCTGTGCCATTACCAGTGCCGTTCGCAGGAGTTGAAGGGTGGTCTTGCATCTCATAGGCCCCCTGTCCTGGATCGCCCTGCCGTTGCGCCTGAGCATGTGTGCGTCAGTATGATTTTAGCATGACAAGGAATATGAATACTCTGAGAGCAGCTAGTCTGTCTCGACCCATTTTTGTGATGAAGTCAGAGATACGCCAGTATGGTTGATGTGGAAAGGTGCACGGTGGACTTTGCCGCAGTGAGGTCCCCCCTTACGTGAGAGTTGCTTGGCAAGGACACGTTGTAAGGTCGTTGTTGGACTCGACAGACGACGATGAGAAGAGTAGTACTATCCAGTAGTCAAGGACCAATAAAATAGAATCGAGATGAAATCTATGATAATGTGAGTGACCAAGAAGGGAAATTGTGCATTGTCTGAACAATTGTGCAAGCTTGACATTGCACCAGCATGCGAACACCACCTGCTTTCATTCAAAGGTCGCGCTCACTGCTCAAAGCAACGACAACGACGCGCAAGAGCATCGACCATCGTCATCTAGCTATCCGGCTTGAACGTGTTTCACGAAAAGACGGAACACCGCCGGCACCGCGTGTGTACAAGCGTCTTGCTTCGTCTACTTTACCGGCCAGCACAAGTTCAGATACACCGGAACCGTCTGCTGATGGTCCTGTACCTCCAGAGGAGCCTGAAAAGCCATCAAAACGGACGCGAGTATCTCCCACTGCTTCGAGCTCTCCGTCCACTCCGCCCGAGGACTGTATACAGCTTCCTCATGACTTGGACATCCTTTGGGTTCCAGAAGACGGTCCAGCAGAGACTGATTTCTTGAACAATATTAATCTACCTCCTCCAGAGCTCTTTGATGAAGCACTGACTAATCTACACATCACCCTTCATCCCCAGACCCAGCATAGAGCAGCCTATTCTTCTTCTTCAGGTCCTCCATTAGAGCCCACCCTTGCCCTTTATTGTCCAATAGAGGGTGGTGACTATATCATTGATGCCACTGTAAAAGAGCTTGCTCACAGGACAGGCGCTGAAGTCCTTGTCATCGATGCAGTCCAGCTTGCTGCCGGTGAATGCGGCCATTTTGGCAAAGGTATGCATCTATTCTGAAGTGAACATCCGTATTTCTAATGACGCACCCCATCAGCTGCAAATGCCCTACAACTCCCCCGCAATCCCCTCCATTTCCAACCCCCACCTGCCTCGACCTCCCAATTTCCCGCCCGTCCTGTTTCATTCGAGGAAGACGACGACATGGACATGATGTCTCCAATCGCCATCCCTTCTCAAATGACCCTTCACCTTCTCGCACCCACTTCAACACGTGGGCGCACCTCTGTCCTTACTGCCTCCCGCAGCAATCCCACTCCGAATCGTATTAAAACTTTCTTCGATGACCTCGTCAATATGCCTTCTCCAAATAACGCTGGGACTGCTGGTACTAACATCACCCGTCGCCCACGTATCATCTACGTTCGCGACTTTCCTGTCCTCGCGTCTGCCTCTGCGACCTGGTACCCACATCTACTTTCTGCCGTCCGCCAGCGCCGCATCGGCCCTATCGCCCGCCCGTCGTCCCCAGTGAGTAGCCCAACAACAATCATCTTTGGCATCACCCCGCCCATCGCGTCCACCCATGCGTCTGCGTCCTCCGCAGGCCCGAGTCAGTATGGCCTCGTCAACGTAGTAGGGCGCCGAAAGCCGCCACACTCTGCAGCCCCTACGCCTCCCCGCTCAGGTGCCGCTGACTGGGGCGAAGACGACGCTGCTGAGCGTGCCCGCGAGAAACGCCTCAAGGACCGGCTACGGCGTTGGGAGAAAGACGGGGATGCCGCTCTACTCGAGAACCTCCCTGCGCTCTTCACCCGGCCTGAGGCTCCCGAGGGGGAACAAGGACCTCGGGGCGTCGTTGTCATCGGAGGATCGCCCATGCCGCCAATGCTTGAGTCTATGATCGCACAGCGTGGTATGACGAACGGGAGCAGCGCATCGGAGAGCGAAGTAACGACACCTTTCTTCCGCGCGTCGGTTCTCGTGCCTGGGGTGCGTTCGCAGGTGGAGGAACGCCTTTGCCGCACGAGCCGTCGACGGGAAATCAATGAACTCGCGATGCGCATGGGTGTTGGCGCGGTCGGAGGTGTCCTTGAACGTGCGGAGGCGGTAGAGGCGAAAGGTGAGGGCGAATGCCAGGAAGGAAGCAAGGAGGACATGTGGGAAGACTGGAGCAATCACTTCGAGGCGTGGACGAGCGTGCGGCAGATCGCAGATCGGGCGGTGGGGAGCGTTGTATCTTCCTCTGAACTTCCTCAGGATAAGAAGCTAGGGCTCGAGCCAACGCCTGTGCCGTGGCCCACTGTGCACCATGCCTGGGCAGCTCAGCGCTCAGCACATAAACTGCGCAAATCATTCATGCGCGACTCTGCGGTGAAGACAGTGAAGCAGAAGGATGCAGAAGAAGAGCACGAGGCGGAGGGCGAGGAAACGGAGGGGGAGAAAGTGGATGAGGTTGTGGAGCGTGTCAGGCAGGACCCATATCTAGAACAGCATGAACAGAGACTGTTATCTTGCATCGTGGATCCTAGTGAGTGGCTTTAGTTTTCACATCTATGCCATTTATTCATCATGATTACCCAGCTTCGTTATCAACAACTTTCAGCCAAGTTCACCTTCCAGAACGTACCGTCGACGCTGTCCGCACGATTGTCTCCCTGCCTCTACTCCACCCAGCTGCGTTCCAGCAAGGCATTCTGAAGGAACACGGCATGACCGGATGTCTCCTCTTCGGGCCCCCAGGAACAGGCAAAACGCTCGTCGTCCGTGCCCTCGCAAAAGAAGCTGGCTGTCGGATGCTGATCATTTCACCCTCGGACGTCATGGACATGGTGTGTTTCTCCCCATTCCATATCTCGCAACTCACTAACGCCTTGCCTTAGTACGTCGGCGAAGGAGAAAAGCTCGTCAAAGCTGTTTTCTCGCTCGCTCGCCGTCTCTCGCCCTGTGTCGTATTCCTGGACGAAATGGACGCGCTCTTTGGGGCACGGATGTCTGGGCGCGAGAGCGGTGGAGCATTTGCACATCGTGGGGTCATCACTGAGTTCATGCAGGAGATGGATGGGTTGAAGTCATCGAGAGAGGATAGGGTCATCGTGATTGGTGCGACGAATAGGCCGTTTGATTTGGATGATGCGGTGTTGAGGAGGGTACCGAGGCGGTTGTTAGTCGATCTGCCTGGGGAGAAGGAGCGCGAAGGCAAGTTTTGATCTTTTGATCTGCTCTGTTCTGTTTCATCTGATACAATTGATCTTTATCCAGAGATACTGAAGATTTTACTTCGTGACGAGACGTTGGCGCCTGAAATTGATCTCAGGGGACTTGCAACGAAGACAGAGAGCTTCTCTGGATCAGACCTCAAACGTGAGAACAGCGGTGACGGAGCTCGAGTGTCTCAATCTGACGCCCTTTCTTAGATCTTTGTGTCTCTGCTGCCCTGGATGCCGTCAAAGAGAATGTCGAGGTTCCGTGGAAGCCTGAAGTTCACACATCCTCATCGGCTAGCGAGCTGATCACTCCTCCTGAGGTGGCTTCGCTGGACACTGCTTCTGCCTCACAGACACCAGCAACAGAGACCCAAGTAGACGCCCAGGAATCGTCGCTCGAAGAACCAGTAGTCGAACCAGCACCCCATGTCCGCGTCCTTTATATTCGCCATTTCACCAAGGCACTCAAGGAAATCACGCCTTCTTCATCCGAGTCTCTCGGTACCTTAGCAGACCTTCGGAAATGGAATGAGGAGTTCGGTGAGGGCCGAAAAGACAAGAAGCGTCAGGTGTGGGGGAAGGGCAGGTTCGGATTCATCAACAAGACCGTGCCAACACAAGAAGACGGGCGGGTGACGACGAACAGTGCACCACACCCATCAATAGAGCGATAGCACGCTGCAATACAATACTGTGTAGTAGGCTAGAGTACAATAGATAATACTCGTGAAATCATCGAGTGCGCGTCGAGCGGCGGCGCCCGTTTCCTTGTGTCTGCTGTGGGCCTTCGTCGTCATCGTCGTCGTCGTCTTCATCCTGGTCCATATCCATATCTGCAGGTGCCTTTTTCTGTTTGCCCTTGCCCTTACCTTTTCGCTGCGACTGCGTTTGAGTCTGTGATGGCTGCGAAGGCTCTACTTCCATCTCTTCTTCATCATCGTCTTCCTCATCACTGCCATCCTCAGTACTTTTCCTCCGTACACGCTGTCCCTCGTCTTGGCCGTCCTTGATGGCGTCCTCGCCGACAGGGGTCATATTCTTGAGGTCCTGTGGCCAATCTTGCGAACAAGCTGGACACTTGGCATTCCGACTGCGGTACTTCCTGCAACAATGGTAGTGCAAACGTGCCTTGCAATTGGGCGTGCTGCAGGCGACGCCACGGGTAACGATCTGATGTGCTTGACTCAGAAGCTGATGATGATTCGAGTAGCTTTTGGGCTCACCTCGTAACATATGACGCATTCAAGACATTCTTCGGGATATGAGCTTTTGAGGTACGGAAGAAGCTCCAGCAATGTGCGAGTTGAGAGAGAATAGCGGCCCCGTCTATGAAGGGGTCAGTCTTCGTGCACATCAGAGATTTGGATGTATCTTGCCTGCTCTTTAACAACCACCCCTTGGCGACAAAACTGCCGAGCACAATTTCGGCTTGCGCTTTCGTCATGTTGGTCTTCAGAGAGTTGACTTCGCGTAGAGCGACCAACGATGATACAGAGTATGCCTCATGCGGGGCGAGCATGATTTGCTCTACCTGCAAAAGGACATGGTAGGTAATGTGACACAAGGAATTTCGTATAACTCACAACTGCTTTAAAGTAGGCAATTTCGACCGGTGCATAGTCTGTAGCCATTTGTGCGATTTCATCGTCCTTGCTGTTCACCTGTCGTATCGTGAGGACAGCTAGGACCACCGGTGAGCAGAATCACGGACCATAGCATACATCTCCCGGCCAGTTTGCTCATCTGTCAGATGCCGAAACTCAAGATCCAGGCAATTGAGAGAATTATTGATACTGATCACAAAGCGATCCCACTCCTCTCTGGAATCAGAAAAACGAATGTCCAAGGTCGGGTTTGCAGCTGCAGAAGGGCCAAATGTCTACATTGAGCGAAAGGAGGTGAGAAGGCTGTACGTACTTTTAACAGCATCAATACATTTTTCCCAGAGAACCTGAGCGTGTTTGAAGGAAAGAATGCTGCGTGAAAATATACCTTGGAGAAAGAGACGCTGGACGTCGTTTGAGGACACCATCGTGGTCAAGGTAAGACGCGTAAAACACGCGTCAATTAAGTCGCGTCGCGTCGGTGGCTTCCGGAAACTCAGCTCATCCACAAATACGGCATGAAAAAATCGTTTGCAGGGCGCGCACTATCAGGGTCAAGTAAGTAGTCTTTCCTAATACTATATGCCTATAGTGTAGTGTCCGTGCTTTATCATAATGTGCTCAAACAAGGAGTAGTAAAAAAGTCACCACCCAACATCACAACTTTGGAACTCGAAGGGTTTTGCTGACCATAGCGGCTGCCCATAACCCAAAAATAACACTGACAGGGTGAATGTCCCCCCGACCACCTGGTGTTCCCCACAACGTAATGAGACCTCCTGGTATCCCCTGTTTGCCCTCAACCCAACCTCGTCGAGCCCAGTATGACAGAATCGCAACGAGTCCGAGAGACGAAGGGATAGGAAGGCCCTCGAAGTACCTGGACTTGCCTGTTGCATCCTTGGGAATCAACGCAACAGTTGCGTTAAAGCGGGCAAGACGAGCGAGACCACAACATATGAAACCAGTCAAACATACGGTGTCAAGGTATGTCCGAAGGCCCACAGCAAAAGCAACCACGGCTGGTGCAACACCGAATGATACCTACCGTACAATCAAGTTAGGAGAATGAGCGACAGTGATTGAGAAATTGCATACCAGATCTGCAAGACTATCGAGTTCTTGGCCGAGCATACTTGATGATTTTCTCCACCTCGCAACTTTACCGTCCATGAAGTCGAACATTAATCCGGCCAGTGGGAGTGCAAGTGCCCACATCAAGTAATCGTCGTCATTCGTCAATAGGTACTGTGCGGATGAAAATATCGAGAAAGAGCCGCAGACACCATTCATAATGGTAACAAGATCAGCTAGACGGAAGTTTCTGTGAAAGCGACGTTCTTAGCATGGCGAGAACTGAGGAAGAACAAGAGGATCCGAACCTGACTAGGGAGAAATGGCCATCAGTATCGTTATATTGTTGCAGAGAACTATCGTGCTCGTTGTTGCCAACTCGACTGGCTTTGCTTCTGCCCATGCTGTCTTAAGGGTGGTGGATGGGCAGACGACCAAGAGACAGTCAAGCTAACTTCGGGGTCCTTCTATTAATATTATAGTTCAAGGACACCAAACACTGTATATAACCACAACTCCATAAATACAACACAGACGTTATTCTACTCTACAACCATTGCATCCCCTTTCTCAATTTCTATACTCTTTGCAGCATATTGATTAGGATGCGTGACACTTTCTCCTCCTCCGATCCCATCCCCTTTTTTGACTCCTCCTGTTGCATGAGTGATCTCAAAAACTCGCGTACAGGCAACATGATAGTGCCCTTCCTTCACAGTGCGCATGACCTCCACTAGATCCGCCGATGTGAGTCCTTGTGACGAATAAGTTGCTAATAAACTCGTTTGCAAGTTGTCTGGCGCAAAGTGCCGATATGGACATCCATGGCAATCAGAAGGACCGGGCTTGTCTGTCAAGAGAATCTGCTGACAGCTGCACGGGATGTGAGTTTCCATCAAACACCGGAGCTGATACCACGTGTGCATACCTCTTCGCCGGATAGTTGGCACGCTTCCCTTCCAGTCCAAATGAATGTCTGATATTGTACTTGTACTCTTTGTTGAACTTGTCGTCTGTGACGTTACTGAAAGCCTTCCTCCAAAATGCAATTGCTTCGTCTATCGACAAACCAAGAACCTGACAAGCAAGTTTTGTCAACGAAACCTCCTGTTAGTGAGCAATAAATGACCAACCTTGAGAAACAGGCCATATTGCAGCCGGCCAAAATGTTTCAGGTGACGGTCCCGCATGAGGCATTCGTGTAAGTTCCGCATGCACAAGGGGAAGTGTCGTTTAGCAAGATCATCCACCATGTCTGCTCTGATCTCGTCGCCCGTGGCTGGACCAGAGTACTCCGAAGCCACCCCTGCGACAAACCCGCGAGACATATGGTTGAGGATTTCAGTTAGGCGAGTGTCACCGTCCATGCGCATTATTGATCGAGCGGTCGACTATTAGGAAATCAGAAAGGTCATGGCAGTCGGCAAAATGCTAACTGACATCGAGCGCATTTTCAAGGCTCGCCTCAAATGCTCGCAAAACGATACTGAGCTGTTCCTTACTGGGAACGTACGCCCAGCCATCTTTTACCAGGACACGTCGCTTATTGACGAGATCCGGCACTTGAGTCCATCTCACCTGATGAAGAGAATGGATAAAGGGAAGGACGGGTGGACCGAGTGACGTACCTTGTAAAGCTTCTCCGTTGGGATCACTTTCACAGACGTTGCCGGAACTCCTTCCTCTGGCTGCTGTACACCTGCCACTCCTAGCGCCTTCAGTTCACTGGCATATTGCTGTTTCTCCTCGGAGTTGACCTAGCAGTACCGTTAGTGCGAGGAATGTGTTTTATCATGCACTTACCTCAGTCCACTGAAAGTCTCGGGATTTCAGGAAGAGCTCTCGCTCTTTTGTATCATCACTCTCATATCTCACTCGAAAGAGAGCTGTCTCCGCTTTCACGAACCTCCTCCTCAAATCCTCCCTAAAAATCGGTTACCAGATGGGAGGTCGATGATGAGAATGTGACGCACGATCGACAGAAAGCAAGTCTGAGTACGAAGTGACCCAGGTGGTCATTTCTCCTTTCAGTCTGCGTATCTATAGTTGAGGCACTGCTGCTGTTGAGAGGAAGGTATTCCTTGCACTGCCGCGTGGTCACATTCTTCAACTCCTCCCAAGATCTGTTACGTGCAAAAGACGATTCGATCTCTGCAAGAACGCGAAGGCGATCCAGAGCGTATCTTTCAAAGTCCTCTAAAGTGACTTCATACCACGGGGACTTGTCATAACTTGAAATGGATTGAGGTCACCTCCTGAAAGTCAGCAAGAAACATACGTACAAGTTGAGACGGAAAGGCCACTCTTTCTCGACTGATTTCGACGGGTCAAATCTCGTTGGGTCGAATTTCCTCCTTTCAGAATTATTGTACATTGCGAGAAAAACGATGGGTGAGTCCAAGGTGAGTCAGTAGATGCAATGGAGGGAACGCGTCGAGACACGAGGTGTCACAAACGCGTACATTGTTCGTCACACTGCAAATGTCACGGCAACCACGGTCGAATGAATTCATGTCTCAGGAGTCAGATTACAACGCGGATAGCATCAACACAAGCATAACAAATCTTATAGCTGTTATAGGACCATAAACTATATAACATAATACGAAGACGATACTAAGATACTTCAAACATAGATCGACAACCATCATATCATTCGTCAGCGGGGTCCGGGAGTCGAAGAACGGCCTGTCTTGCGCCGAACCAGCCGCGCGCCTTTCTGCCTGCCTGTAGCCCCAGGGTAAGGGTCAGGTGGGTCTTCCGCAACGTCAAAGGTCACTCCTGGCCGAGGTCGGCTTTTCTTCCGCCTCTTCTGCTCTGCCTCTTCTCTATCCCTCCATTGGCTGGTTGCCACCATAGGATCGCGGAAAGGTGGCGGCGCCACAGGCGGAAGGGGCTGAACTTGGCTGAGGGCAGAATGAGCAGGAGACCCGATCACAGTGTTCGTCTGTGTGAATTATGATTAGACTCGACATCAGACAACATGAAAATCATGCTTACTGCAGTGTTTCCATCACATACGTCAAGAGATGCTCCAGACATGGTGCGATTTCTTTTGCTAGTCAGGAAACTGAACGGAGAGAACACATTGGACGAAGGCGGCTTGCGATCACGATGAGGGTGCGCAGATGGAAAGGTAACCTCAGGGCCCCTGGCCTTGGCTTTTGGCGCCTTCGGTTGAGCAGACGCTGATGTGGGCGGAAGAGCTGTAGTTTGCACCATATGGGAAGGAAGTGCGGAAGCCATAGCCGTAACCTTCGAGTCCTTAGCCGAAGAGGCCGACTTGGAGTGCTGGATGGGTGGTGCCACGATCGCCGGAGCCTTATGCTGCTCCATAGACAGCTTTGGAGATGGAGCGACAGGACTCTCAAGAGGTTTAGAAGTGCCTGACCCTGACATGGTCCTGAACAACCCTCCAAGGAAACCACCTGACTTCTTCTTCGACTCCTTCGACTCTGTTGATACCTGCCTCTGCCTCATTGGGGGCGCAGTCACTTGGGTGGCAGTGAAACTCGCCTTCGGTGTCTGCGGTGTTTTAGGCATGGACGGTGCAATCGAAGAAGGCGTCATCAGCATCTCGGACTCGTGGGAGAATGTGCGATTCATGGCTGGGGGGAGATAAGCACGAGAAGGAGCAGGGGTAGATGGATGTCCTGAAACTGCAACACGGGCAGCCCACGAAGGTTCGGCCGTCTTGGAGGGGCGAGACGAAACGTTTACTTGCGATGAACTGGGGAAAGGCTGTGTTGATGTATTGCTGGAGTTGAACAAAGGCTGAGAAGCTTTACGAGGAGAAGGAGGGCGTGGGTTGGCGGTAGATGCGGGCATAGATTGCGGGGTGGGTAATGATACAGTTCGATGGTGGGGTATAGATTGTGTCGATTGCGAGGGTTTGGGTTGCTGGTTGGTGCTCGCTGAGGTAGCTTGACGATGAGATGCAGGGTATAATGGGTTCATGGCTGACGCATAACGAGAAGCAGAAGAAATCAAACCACGATAGCGAGTAGAATCACTGGTATTAGGAGGGTCCTGCACTTGGCTTTTCGCGGTCGGAGTGCTGGCAACCGCACGGGCGCTGGGACCTTGAGGAATAGTCACGGGGGGTACAGTGGGACGAGAGGAGTGGGGTTTCGCGTGAGCCTCTGCATTATGAGGATGAGATGCGACAGCGGATGCAGCAACTGCAGCGTATTGTCTACCTTTGGATGTGGCATCGAGAGGAGCACTCTGAGTAGTATTCAGCGGCTGAACAGCCGGTCGAGTGGTCTGCGCCGCGGCAGTTGAAGCGCTAACAAGAGGTCGAGAGGAATGGTATTTTGTGTGGGTCTCCGCAGTCGGCAAATTCTGAGGGTGAGGGGCGGTCACAGTCACAGTAGGAGGCGCAGCGTATTGTTTCGCTTTGGATGCAGCATCCAAAGAAGCACTCTGAGTAACATTCGATGGCTGATAAACTTGTCGAGCAGCTTGCGCTGCAGCGATTGATGCGTTGGAATATGTAGGTGGTTTCGCACTTGGCTGCGCATCTGTCGACCGTTGGTGGCCTCGAGGCTGTCCGCTGGATGAAATCGTCCGATGAACCGGATCTTGATGCGATTGAGCAAAAGTAGACTGGGTTGGTGGAGCGGAGAACGGAACACGGGAAGATGTAGGAGTAAACGCATGATGTTGAGTCGATGATGCAGGAGGAACATGAGATGGAGTTGACGCTACGGCAGTGGGGGTAGGCTGCACAGTGAGGGTAGGTTTCACAGTGGAGGTAGGCTGCACGCTGGGAGTAGGCTGCACAGTGGGGGTAGGTTGCACACTGGGAGTAGGCTGCACAGCGGGAACAAGGAAATCCTTCGGCTTCGATGGCGGTGATGCTTTCACATGAGCATTCAAGTCCGGCGACACTTTGACAACAGGAACACTCGAGGAAGGCATAGGAGCCCCAGAACCCTGAGTCGGAGCATGTGTCTGCGGATACGTCTGTGAAGGACTCGGTGTCCACTTATTCCCGAACTGGAACAGTGGAGACTCAGGAACTTCCTCAATGGTGACTTTGGGCCGTGTCAACCGAGGAGCCACATAGGTCGGTGGATGTAACCCCGCAGGTGCTCCCTGGCTCGGCTGTGAACCTGATACGCCCTGATTAACTCCACTAGTAGAGGCCGTGCCCACGGATGGTAATGCTGGTGCAGCAAGAGAAGGCTCGCGAGAGATAGCGGGTGCAGGAGCAGCAGGCTTTTGGTATGCGGAGCTTGCGGTTGCAGGCGTAGCATTCATTCCCTCACCCGTCCAAGGCTTGCTCTTGTAGGAATCAGCATGTCCATTGGGCAATGGAGGCTGAGCAGAAGGGGCAGAGGCTGCCGTAGCCGACGCATGGGTGACAGATGGAGCTGGAGCGGGCTGCAATGGAACGGCAGAACTCATGGGCGTGGGGTTGGTTCCAGCAGGACCACTGGGCGTCAGCCTGACGGGGAAAATGTCCTCAGGGATGTCGATCCCTGGTATTCTTGGTGGCGGAACCGGCAGAGGCGGGGGAGAGAACTGCCCACCAGAAGCAACTTGACCATAGGATGAGGGAGATGGAGCTGGCGACATCACATACTGGGATGGGAACTCAGGAGTCTGCTGGTGTGACACAATAGAAGCAAGAGGATGAGTATGAACCGTCTGAGGCTGCACGTGCGGGGGATGGTCACGGCTACCAGATGTTGTCCTCGAGACCTGCGAAGGCGCTGGGTAAGATGGTGCGGGGAGACTGCCGTATGGTGACGCTGGAGTCTGCTGGTGCGACGCTATAGAGCCAACCGGATGGACCGTCTGCGCCTGCCCATACGGGGGATGTTCACGGCTACCAGACGTTGTCCTCGAGACCTGCGAAGGCAGCACCACAGATTGGGATGGACGCACAGGAGTCTGCTGCTGTGATGCAATAGAGGCAATAGGCTGGCTATGAACTATCTGTGGCTGTGGCTGCGCTTGTGGAGGATGTTCACGGCTGCCGGACGTTGTCCTTGAGATCTGCGAAGGCGCTGGGTACGATGGCACAGGGAGACTGCCGTATGGCGACGTTGGAGCCTGCGGTACTAGAGACTGGGACGGAAGCGCAGGAGTCTGCTGGTGCGACGCGGCAGAGCCAACAGGATGAGTACGGGTCGTTGGCGTCTGCGGTTGTGCAAGATGGTCGCGGCTGCCCGATATCGTCCTCGAGACACGCAATGGCGAGGATGGCGCAGGGAGATTGCCATGGGATGACGGAGATGGAGCTTGCTGCACCACAGGCTGGGGTCCCGGAGTCTGCTGGTATGACGCACTGGAGGCAATAGGGTGAGTGTGGGTTGCCTGCGGTTGCACCTGTGTGGGATGGTCACGGCTGCCAGACGTAGTCCTCGACACCCGCGAAGGCGCTGAGTAAGATGGTGTGAGGAAACTGGAGTTGTGCTGATGCTTATGGGGCAAATCCTGTTGCACGGACAATGGCGTAGCTCCTATTACAGCAATCTGTGGAGGCGCAGGGAAAGGGTGATATTTCGGCTGCTCCGGCGTGGTTGCCTATTCTAAGTGTGAGCGAAGCCTGCGAAGATATTGTGCATCAACATACCTCTTTGACCTTCGATATGTGGGGCGAACTATCTGGAGAGCGTCGAGGCGTCCCATACACGTCCTTTGGTGTGCCATAAGGCGACGACCGCTGCGATGAATTTGGGGTTGGAGCTGAACGTAGATTTGGAGAAGGTGTCGTGTAGTGGTTCTCTTGAGAAAGAACTTCTCGCAGCTGTGGATGAGCTACCGCGGGCGGATCAACCTGATGATGCGGGCCATTACGAGCCGAATACTTCTCCTCCCTAGTCACATAACTGTCCTTGAGCGGTTGGGCTGTTTGCACGACCCAGGATGATTTGACCGTACTCCCATTAGAAATCTGAGCGGTCGTCATACGAGGAGCAACGAGGGGTTCTGGACGATCAAGTGCAGTGCGTGATGCAGGCTCACTGGTGTTTGGGGCACGACGGGAAGGTTGTGATGCCATCGTCATCGTCTGTGAGCTATTCGTTGATGTCAAGTGGGAAGGAGGCGTGGATGGTGATCTTTGGGTTGCTGTCGCGTTACTACCATGGGTTCCAGGGACGAGGTGAGTCTGTGAGCTCATAGGGGTTGGATATGCAGAAGGGAGAGATCCGTAAGCCGACGCAATCTTAGGTGGACTCGAGTTCGTCTTGTGAGCAAGTGATGGGGCCACATGCGGTTGACTGGAAGTACCAGTTGTTGCAGGTCTAATCGACTCATTCTGATGGTCTGCAAAAGAAGTTGAACGTTGAGGTCTGGGGCCAGTGACGGCTGGAGGATTGGAAAATGACGTCTTGTGTGGGCGCTGTTGGGAGGGCTGGTGTTCCACTGCCGTACTGATCTGTGGGTATCGCGAATTACTCGGAAGTACCGTGATGTCTTCAGGTCGATGATGACGGCCATGCGAGAAATCAATTGTTGCAGGATCTGTACGAGATCGCTCCAGTTGGGGCTGCTCCGGTCGGCTACGGGGGACTTCAGAGGATTGTGATCTACCATGAGACGGTTTCACCGCGGAAGCGAGGGATGCATGAGGATATCCTGCACCATGCACTTCGTCTTTATGTAAAGGGGGTTGAGACTTGTAAAGTACATCGTGAGCCTGACGATCGGCAGGGCCCTCTCCTGCCACAAGAACAGGTATGGTACCCACATGTCCTCGTGATTCGTGTGGCAAAGGTGAAGAGTTGAAGCCTGGCGTAATCAGGGGTATGTCCACGGTGTGGACTGACGCAGGCTTCAGGGGCTGCCGCGAGTCATAATATGCGCCCTGCGTCGAGGAATACTTGGCCTGTGTGATTATCACAATCAGCTCCGTTATTCAGACGTCAGTCCTGTCGAACACACCTCCGATTTGAGCTTGGCGTCCTCACACGGACCCAGAGGGGCGTCTTGACCCTGTCTCTCCCTTACGGCACTAGTTGGATACCCATCACTTCTCTGTACGGGGCCTCCCGAGTGATTTCTCTCCATGCGGTGCTAAAAAAAAAGGGTCAAGGGAATGAAGCAAGGTCGCTTGGGTGACTTACCTTGAGAGAAGCTCGCTCGGTGTCACTGCCTGATTGAGCTCCTTGCGCAGCTGAGGACGCCTGTCGCTCATGATGTGACTTAGAAGGTTTATGAGGAAGATAGACAGGCATTACACGAGGCGCGGGCGGTGGATTACTCCCAACGCCTGCAGTATTACTCTGAGCCACAGCCTCTGGCTGGGGACCTGTAGACTGCGTGTAAACAGCAGAAGTTTGGTTGTGGGAAGGGTCAGCATGAGGTCGGCGGGCCTTTAACGCAGTATCAACGCCATGTCCCATATAAAATCAATTCGACGTACTGTTGTGGATGATATTCCTTCTTCTGTACGATGTCGCCTGTGACCGCTGACGGACTCGCGAATGGAGGGCTGATATGCTTCCCTGGCAGAGATGGAAACCTTGGAGGCGTTGTCTGAATACATGAGACCTTCAGAATCTGACTCCATCCTTTTCTCGCGTCTGTGCCTGGATGGTTCCCTCTGCCTGTCGTTGTCAGCTGCCTTTTCCTTCTCCCGTTGTCTTTCGGATCTGTGTCTTTCACGATGCTTTTCGAGTTCAGCGCTAGCCCTTTCTCTGTCCCGTTCTTTCTCCATTTCTCGATATCTATCACGTTCCTTGTCACGATCTTTCGATCGTTTAGAGTAGATATCGTGAGCAGATGAAGGATAGTTAGTGGAGGACGTGGTCGGGTTCGCGGTAGTCTGTGGTTGGGCAGCACGTGAAGAATAAGTTTGCCTGGAAGACCTTCCAGCGTCTTCAGCGCTAGATACCTGCTCATATGAAGATTTTGGTGTTGGAGCAGGTCGTCGATGGGATCTGGAGTCAAGGGTTTCTGGTTGTGCTCGTCGTGAAGAAGCTGTTAGAGGTGCATGATAACCCTTGGTGTTGGATTGTTGTAGGGGTGCAGGGGTCTGGTAAGGGGTGGCAGAATTATAGGGTGTAGATGGGTACTGGGCAGAAGAAGAACGAATTCTACTGGTTGATGATGATGGCCCAGGAGCAGGTGGAGCGGAAGAGTATTGGGGATCCTGTCTATGAGCACGAGACTTGGATTCATTAGATGAGCGATGACGGCGTTGGTCGTAGTCGCGGTCAGCAGGCTTCTCTGGAACCCAAAGTTTGAATCGATCGTCGTGAAGACGGTCTTCTCGTCTTCGAGTAGTCATTCAGCAGAACGGGGTAGGTGAACCAGTTCTTGAAAATGGAAGGAAAGGAAGAGCAAGAAAGAGAAATCTGACAGATGGGTCGCCCCGTCGACATGAGGCAAATGCACGAAAGGAACTTTGAACTTCCTTTGCTTAGTAGTACTTACGTTCTCGAGGACGCTTGAGCGCTTGTAACGACATTGGTGGGAACAAAACATTGTAATTGGTGATTAGAGTTACCATAGTCAGATCATTGTGATCCAGTACTGGCAACAATCATCATAATGAACCAACATGAGCGCCGCAGTAACTGTCCAGTAGAAACACACATTCTAGGGCATGGCTCTCCGATTCCGTGATACGATAAGCATAGCCCATCAGACTTGCATCAGACATGCGTCAACCATGCTTTCTCAATGTATACAACGAGGGTCAAGGGCAGTCTATATGGCGGCCGATAAGATTTCATTGCAAGCAAATGTAAATATATATACAGAGTATATGTCCGCCATGACACTGAGCGATGGGTGTCACCAGGAAAAACACCATCGATAGAATAGCCATAGCATCGTCAGGGAGTTTTGGAGGATTGCTCCTTTCCTCCGAGCCTCAAAACGAGACAGGGAAGAGTCCAAAGTCCGTCGACCTGCTTTTACACGATTTTGACTCATTACCGACAGTGAACAGCGGAAAGGCTGGTGGTGACACTGAGGTCAACCCTGTCGAGACAATTTAAGGATCGTGTGATCACACAGAGTAGAAGGTTGAACATAAAATAGGCAGTGAACATCGTTGGTGGAAAAAAAAGAGAACTGAACCTTGAAGGGGGGGTCGATATTTTATATGGGCAGCGGTTTGCTTACGAGAGCGATTGTCCATGACCGATTCCCACCGACCTTCGTCACCTCACTCACTGTCACTTGGGAGCGCCATATTGATTATCCTCTCTTCCTGGTCTTGTAGGATAAATTTCAATACGCTCCAGGCCTTCATCCCCTGAACTGCTTACTTGCAGAGTTTCATGGTATGTCTCCAATACACCATAACAGTTCAAACTCCACACTCACATTCTAGCCATACAAGAGTGATACCATGGATCTTATGGATGAAAAAGTAAATGGCGGTCCTTCCATGGAGATCATTGATGAGGTCGTCTCTGTCCGCGATCGTAAGCTCTTTCCTTCACATCCACTCACCACCTTATATCATCACATGTTTCAGACGAAGCTTTTGCATCGAAGCATATGCCAGACTTAGGCCATGATGTCAAAGATTTCCAAGTTTACACTTGGCGCATCAACAATTGGAAGAAATTGGAAAAGAGACTCACAAGTCCTGACTTTGAATGCGGTACTCACAAATGGCAAGTCTATCAGAGGGCCCTCTTCTCTTCACCCTCACAGACTTCATTCTTTCCAGGCGCATACTATTATTCCCCTTCGGAAATTCTAATGCACCCCCTAATGACACCGTATCCGTGTACCTTGATTACGCTGATCCAAAGAAGTCCCCAGAGGGATGGCACGCATGTGCTCAGTTCGCCCTCGTGATTTCCAATCCCCACGACCCTACCATCTTTACCGTCAGCCGTAAGTTGTATCATTTCATTTCACTTCCTCCACAATAACGCTATTCCATAGATGCTCACCATCGCTTTATCGCCGAGGAATGCGACTGGGGTTTCACCCGCTTCAGTGAACTCCGCAAACTCTTCAATGTTCAAGAAGGACATTCCCGCCCAACTATCGAGGATGAGTCTGCCGATGTTACTGTCTATGTTCGCGTACTCGACGATCCTACTGGCGTCTTGTGGCACAACTTTGTAAAGTGCGTACTCACCCTGCTGATCTCAGGCGTTCTTATTCATTTCGTCCAGCTATGATTCAAAGAAGGAGACTGGCTACGTTGGTTTGAAGAATCAGGGCGCGACGTGTTACATGAACTCCCTTCTCCAATCCCTTTACTGCACGCGTTATTTCCGAAAGGTGTGTGTGGCGTTAACGATCATTATTAAGCTAACTCGACTTCTAGGCGGTGTACCAAATACCAACCGAAGATGAGCACCCCACAGAAAGTGTACCCCTCGCTTTGCAACGCGTGTTCTATCATCTTCAGACATCTGATCAGCCTGTTGGTATGTATCATATTCATTCCCTTCATGAACGTTTCCGTGAACGTTTCCAAAACTCTATTTTTTCAGGAACTACGGAATTGACGAAATCGTTTGGGTGGAAGTCCTTTGACTCTGATCAGCAACATGACGTTCAAGAGTTTAACCGTGTACTCCAAGACAAATTGGAGACCAAGATGAAGGTAACAACATTTCAGATCACATACCCCTGTAGTTCTCATCTCGTCTAGGGTACGAAAGCCGAAGGTGCAATCTCCAAGCTCTTTGTTGGAAAGATGAAGAGTTACATCAAATGCGTGAACGTTGATTATGAATCGTCCGTATTTGAGGACTTCAACGGTAATCTAGATTTTGTCATATCTAGTACCATCTAACGCGTGATTTAGACATTTCTCTCAACGTCAAGGGAATGAAAAACTTGCACGAGTCATTCAAGGATTATGTCGCTGTTGAGATGATGGAGGGTGAGAACAAGTATCAAGCTGAAGGATTTGGTCTCCAAGATGCAAAGAAGGGAATACTCTTCCAATCATTCCCTCCTGTGCTCCATCTGCAACTGAAGCGTTTCGAGTATGATATCCAGCGTGACGCGATGGCAAAGGTTCGTGGCACAAGACTTGCTGTGATTCTCATTGATTAATCTCCTGTAGATCAACGATCGTCATGAATTCCCATTTGAAATCGACCTCTCGGAGTTCCTAGATGAGGACGCCGATCGTTCGCAGTCATGGAATTATAAGTTGCATGGCGTGTTGGTACATTCTGGGGATCGATATGGCGGACATTACTTTGCACTCATCAAACCCGATCGGGAGACGAGATGGCTGAAATTTGATGATGACAAAGTCACCCCGGTCACAGATCGCGAGGTGTTGGAGGAGAACTATGGCGGCGAACCTCTGAATGGCATCACTCCTCCACTGCAGCGCAACCAAGTACGAGCGATGAAAAGGTTCACCAATGCGTATATGTTGGTCTATATCCGCGAGTCGGCTACCGAGGACATCCTATCGACTTGGAAAGACGAGGACACCCCGGCACATCTTAGTGAGTCAATTTATAGTGTAATAACACGTGTTGCTGACTATAATCATAGAGCGTCGACTTGAGGACGAGAGACTGCAGATTGAGGCTAAGAAACGGGAACGCGAGGAGCAGCATCTTTTCCTCACGGCGAAGGTTCGTGATGGGCTCGCGTCATTCACCTGTCCTCCTGCTCACGTCATCTTAGGTCATCACTGATGATACATTTGCTCATCACGAAGGATTTGATCTTGCCACGTTTGACGAAAAGAACTGGCCGCCGTCGGAGCTACCGAGCTTCCGTGTTTTGAAGCAAGAAACATACAACACCTTCAAATCACGTGTAGCGAGCCACTTCAACCTTCCGGAGAACAAAATACGCCTCTGGGTTCTGGTCAACCGTCAAAACAAGACTGTCCGCCCTGATACTCATATTCCTGAGAATGAACCAACACTGAGTACGCCCTCTTCCTTTCACAATAATAGAATTCTAACGTGTGCTGTAGCTGTCGAGGTGATTCGCAATAATATGGCAGCAAGGCAGAATGATCTTCGCTTGTATCTTGATATAATACCCGATCCAAGCAAGGTATGTCATCGTTCTCTGCTGCAGGAAGTTCGTTGACACATGTTGCAGCCTGAGCCACCAGCGGGATCTATCATGATTTTCCTGAAGCACTTTGACATGGCGAAACAGACTCTGTACGGTATCGGTAAGGTGTATATGTCGAGGAACAGCAAAGTTCAAGATTTGCACCCCCTGGTTAACGAGCGAATGCGGTGGGCACCGGGGACTCCTTTGAGACTCTTTGAGGTGCGCTAGCAGAATTACCGTCAGGCTCAGTTCTTACTCTTCACTGGTTGCAGGAAATTAAGCCTGGCATGATCGAGCTGATGAAGCAGAAGCTCACTTTTGCTCAGAGTGAGATTCAAGATGGTGATGTCATTTGTTTCCAGGTCGAACACTCCGAGAAGGAGTGAGTATTCAAGCCTTACTCCCAATAATCTATACTCAATTATTGTCCAGGATCCACGACCTCGATGCTCAGGGTCTGTACTCGAACCCGATACAGTTTTACGACTTCCTGCAGAACCGCGTCATGATCATCTTCCGACCAAAGTTCGAGGAGCCAGACCATGATCATCCAGAGTTCAGTCTAATCCTCAGCAAGAAGCACAACTATGACATGGTTGGTGTTCTTGCGACATCCTATTGGCTTGTGTAGCTGATGACTTGCTCAGATGTCGCAGAAGGCTGGCGAGTTCTTGAGACATGATCCGATCAAGCTTCGATTCACAACAACTCACGCCACGAACGGATCACCGAAATCGGTCCTCAAGCGATCTTTAAACCAGAGTATTCAGGAAATCATGGTACCGAGTTATATCAATCCAACGACGACCGTCATTCTGTACGAGAAGCTGGATGTAAGCATCGTGGAGCTGGAGACAAAGCGAAGCCTCAAAATAATGTGGACGGGCATTCATAATAAAGAAGAGGCTTCATACCCCTTCCTGCTGCCGAAGACGAGCTCAGTCCATGATCTTGCTGATCACCTGGCAAAGCAAGTGACGCTCAGCCCTGGAGGGACTGCCAAGATTCGTGTCTTTGAGGTGTCAAAAGATGGCAAATTCCAGAAGGAGTTTACAGGTTCTGAAATGATTGGTAACATCCCTGAACCTGTCGAGCTGTATGCGGAGGTATGCTGTCACTGGTTGTACTCCTATCTGCGATTTAATCGTTAAACAGGAAATACCTCGGGACGAACTCGAAGCGGACGAAACTGGTAAGACTATCAGTGTCTTCCATTTCAACAGGGAAGTTACACGGACACATGGTGTACCTTTCCGATTCGTTGTCAAATCTGTGAGTTCTTTTTCATTTGACCATGGCTTTATTTTGACGAGTGATTCAAGGGTGAAAAGTTCGCGGACACAAAGAAGCGCCTGCAAGCACGAATAGGTGCATCAGACAAAGACTTTGCGAAGTATCGGTTTGCCCTTATTCAAGTGGCTACTTTCAAGCAGCCATCATACATCGAGGATGGTGAGCGCTTAAAGTTGTTGTGCCAGATTGCTGTTTTCTGACGACGTTACAGAGGACACCATATACGATCACAAATTCGCGCCCGAAGACGTCCTTGGACTGGATCACATAGACAGGTCAGGCAAGGCAAGAACAGCAGGAGAGAAGGCCATCGTCATCAGAGGCTGATTTGAAATGATGTGTACGGTTTGGACTCGGATTGTGTTCTGCGCGTCTCTTTATCTTAAGCACATTGTACTTTTTGTCTCAATTTACGCAGTCTCGACAATTGAACTCCGGCAAAACATGTGCAGATTGCATGAAACGGACAAGGTATGTGCGTATGCAAGGGATCACTTCCGTTTCTTGCTCTTCTTCTTGGACTGTTTGACGTGGTCTAAGTCGCTTGAGACAGTGATTTGAAAGTGATACTTACGGATTTTGAAGGAGATGGGGTATCGCGGCCCTCGCCATCGCTCGACGCCACGCTCTCTGCCTTCGTACTACTAGTGCGGGGTGGCATGAGACCATTCGGGGGCTTGACAGGAGTTCCAGGAGCAGAACCTTGGGCACCTCCAGCTGCAGCTGCTGCGAGAGCAGCAGCATGAGCGGGGTGGCCAGGTGGCGGTGGTCCGGGCATAAGAACTGGCTGGGGTAGAGGAAGGTCGATCTTGGCTCCTACTTTGCCATACTTTTGTTCTAAAGGGATGAAGTTTGGCATGTTGTTCGAATATTAAACACGAAGAAAGCACCTTTTATTTCTCTAGATGCTGGGGTCTCTTCATAGACGGTGCGCATCTTCTCATTCGCAATCATCTCGCCAGCGGACTGGAATATGATGCCTCCCCATCCCTCTACAAAGGTATTGGCTTCTGCGACGACCTCCATGATTTCTGCTTCCAGCTCTTTCTCTGCTTGCAAGAGACTGTTCCAGAGGTCATCACCGATTGACCCTTTCTGTAGGAGATTTTGTAAAGCAGGCTTGTCTTCCCGCAGTTTAACCACGCGAGTGACGTCTGTCATTGCACGACGAACAAGAGCGGCTTTGAGAAGGGCTTCATGAGCTGGAGGGTCGCTCTTCTGCAACAAGGAAACGTAGACATCGCGCTCTGGATGCGAAGAAAAGTATGGTTCATATAGCTTGCCTGTTAGTATAACACGTCAGTAAGTATGCGTACGACGATGAAACTACTTTTGGTCTTACCTGCGGTGCGTTTTCTATAGAAATGACTGAAGAGCAATAAACTTGAAATGACTATTCCGACGTATAAAACTGGGACCAGGACTGAAGCCATGATGGCAGCTGGAGACGACGTGTACTTGACGAGCTTGAAATTATAAGCTGCTGTGCCAAGCCCTGACCTCAGTACGTAGGCTTGCCACGCGGAAGCTTTGGCCGTATTTGTATACATGCCGGCGGCAGTACCGGCGGTCCGGCATTGCCAAACTAGGCAACGCTGCTCGGGCGCTTGGCCGGTTTCTTGAGGTACCGAACTTCACATGCATGTGAGCTTGATGAGTGAGCTGGCGTCTTATGTACTTTCGCTTGGTCTCAATACTTATAAATCGCATCCTCTGCTTATTACTTCCAGCTATCTCACCACTTAGACTTTCACTATGATCGGTCGTTCCTCTTTGCTGGCAAAGTCGGTTGCGAGAAATATCTCCACCAATGGCTTTAGGCGTTTGGCTTCTACCAAGGTACTTAACTCCGCCTGCGCTATTTGATGACGTCTTTGCTCAGACCAATTTTTGCAAGTCTCTCAAAGAAACACTTCAAGAAGTCATCCCGGCGAAGCAAGAACAACTTAAGAAACTGGTCAGTCACGTTGCCTCAAATACTATAATGACCTAACATTAGTCGCCTTCCTGTAATAGAAAGCCGAGCACAGTCAAGCTGTAGTGGGGGAGGTCAAAGTCAGTCTTGAACAGCGTGTGACCGCCGTAAATCTTATGCACGCGTCACATAGGTGGAGAATATCCTGGGTGGCATGCGTGGTCTCAAAGCCATGCTCTGGGAAGCCTCAGTCCTAGACCCGAATGAGGTTTGCGAACATACCCCCGAACTACCGGTCACCCAACGCTAAAGCATTATTCAGGGCATCCGTTTCCACGGGATGACTATCCCAGATTGCCAAAAGGTGCTTCCCCCAGCACCTGGTGGCAAGGAGATGACAGCTGAGAGCATGCTCTGGCTTCTTCTGACTGGCAAAGTCCCCTCCCCGGAGCAAAGCCGTCAATTGTCTGCTGAGCTTGCAGAGAAGGGAGAACTCCCGCAATTCGTCACGCAACTTATTGACTCGTATGTCCCTGCTACGGCGTCGATCGTCTCTTTGTTTAATTTCGTTATTCAGCCTGCCAAAGACCCTCCACCCAATGACTCAGTTGGGCATGGGTGTTGCAGCTTTGAACCACGACTCTGAGTTCCAAGCAGCATATGAGCGTGGAATTAAGAAGCCGGATTATTGGACGTACACTCTCGAAGACTGCTTGAACCTCATCGCGAAACTACCTGCTTTGGCGGCCCGTATTTACCGCAATGTTTACCACCCCGAGAGGTCGTTAGAATCTGTGGACAAGAACTTGGATCTTGTTGGTTAGTATCTGGGCTAGTATCATTTGCAACAGCAAGCTTAGTGTGCGCACAGGTAACTACTCGAACATGCTCGGGTTTGGTCAGAACGAGCACTTGACGGAGTATCTCCGTTTGTATATCGCTTTGCACGGTGACCATGAAGGTGGCAATGCTTCGGCTCACACTGCTCGTGAGTACTCCTCTGCGTCCATACTGTGTCCATTTTTTATGGGAGTCACTAGACCTCGTTGGATCAACGCTCTCTGACCCGTATATCTCCTACTCCGCCGCTCTCTTTGCACTCGCTGGACCTCTTCACGGGTACGTTTCCAGTCATTTCGCTTGTAATTCATAGTTTCCGAACGCGTCTTCAGTCTAGCGAACCAGGAAGTGCTGAGATGGCAGATGGCCATGCAGAAGGAGATTGGTGACAACATAACTCATGATAACATCAAGGACTACCTCTGGAAGACGCTGAAGAGCGGCCAAGTTGTTCCCGGGTTCGGCATATGTGATCAATCTGATGGGACATACCCTAACCTAATATTTAGATATGGGCATGGGGTCCTGCGTAACCCTGATCCTCGATTCGTTGCTCTCCAGGAATTCTGCAAGACTCGCCCAGAGCTGCAAGCAAGCCCCATTATCCAGCTCGTGCAACAGGTCGGAATTCCTCTTCATCTCCCACATTATACTTATCTATCTATCCACATAGACGGCCGAGATTGCCCCTGATGTTCTCAAGGAGCACGGAAAGGTGTGTGTGCTCGTGTACAACTCAAGTAATCTTCTGACGTTATTCTTAAAGACGAAAAACCCTTACCCGAATGTTGATGCAACTTCAGGCAAGTCCTTCCATGCATGGTATAGTCTTGGGTCCTAAGAATTCACATGAAAGGCTGCGTGTTGTACCATTACGGTCTGACTGAGTTCAAGTACTACACCGTTATCTTCGGTGTTTCGAGGGGTAAGCTACCGCCCGCCAACTGTTTTCATATTGCTCATGTGTCGTCTAGCTTTGGGAGCTCTGACCCAATTAGTCTGGGCACGAGGTCAGTTTTGATGATACTTTCTAAACATTGTAGGGTTCTGATGATGTGGTGAATATAGCGTTGGGACTACCTCTCGAGCGGCCTAAATGTGCGTATCTGATGAAAATAGCACAAGTGATAGGGCTAATTGATGCTTTCACTCAGCGTACTCAATGGACGCCCTTCAGAAGCTCATCAAAAATTAGATGGAAATTGCCAGAGAAGCTGATGTTATGGGTATAGCATGCCTGATTGTGGGTGGACAGTGAGGGCACTTGGCATTATGTTATTGGAACCACATTTATATCCCGCAAAATATGGAAACACAATAGAAACGCAACGTATCGGTATCGTACACCTGAGAGATTCAAAAGAGGGTGACAATATCATCAAGAAGGTCAAACTAGGTCGATCACTAAAAGACGAAAGGCACGATAATCCAGAGTCAGCGAGCATGTGAAACCTATGAAGGTGTCCAGTACCAGAAATGTCAGGGAGAGGGTAAAGGGGGTAAAGTAGACTGTCTCATGATAAGCTGTCCAGGTATACAAGAGTATCAGAAACGTCTTGGCATTGCCTGCTGTTGTTGTCCAGGGGGTATTTGCTGAGGATGTGGCTGTTGTGGCGGTGGCGCACGGCCAGGGAGCATACCAGGTGGAGGGCCACCAGGGGGACCCGGCATGCGGTGCTGTTGTGGTGGAGGATGACGTCCGGGACCAAACCCTGGAGGATAACCGCCTTGACCAGGACCAGGCGGCATGGACCCTGGAGGGGGTCCTTGTCCAGGTGCGAATCCTCTTGGAGGGGGGAACCCTTGTGGGGGGCGACCACCCGGCCCAGGACCTGGCCCTCCTTGGGCATGGGGAGGGGGTGGACCGCGGGGTGGATGCTGCTGCGATGGGCCAGGCCGTGGCTGGCCTTGAGAAGGTGCAGAGGCTGGACCAGGGTCATGGAGCGCAACAGGCGCCGGTCGACCACCAGGGCCAGGCGTGCCATTGGGCATAGGACCGGGCGCACCGTTTGGCATGGGACCAGGTGCAGCAGGAGTAGGGGGATTCTTCTCGGCCGCCTTCATGATCTCATCGCTGTTTCATGTTAGCGTGGGATAGAAACGTGATAAGATCACAGATGACATACTCGAGAAGGTTCAGGGCTGCGCAGAGAACCACCCATTCGACACAGTCCTCGTTTCCCTCTCCCAAGGTCTGCCACACAGCCTTTTCCTCGGGTGTTTTGCCTGTGATACTAATTCTAGTTCCACCACCGTTTGGACCTGGTGGGTTCTTCTGTATCTTTCCGAATTCAATGCGCTTGGGGGGTATATTATGACCAGCATAAGCGAAGTAGAACATGCTCCAGAAAGCAGCATTAGGATTGGGTTTGGAGATTTGGAAGAGGGGTAGATCGGGGGAGTCTGGGGATGGTAGGGAGAGCTTGTAGATAGGTGATATCACACCTGTGTTTGCAATCGACCATTTGAGATTACGGGATGCTTCACAGCGAACCAAGCGGGCAGCGGAAGAAGAGGAATGACCAGGGTCGGATGCAGTAGATTTTCCAGGAATCTGACGTGGGGGGAAAAGCTTGGCGACACAAAGGTCACCTTGGGGGGAAGGAGTCAAAAGGTAATTCTCGGAATTCTAATAACGACATGGGAAATTAGATTAGAAGGGGTCAAGATAATTAGCGAGAACATACAAAGTTGGTGTGGAGGTAAGAGTAGAGAATGTTAGATGGTTGACCTGTAATGAAAGATGATCAAGACTGTGATTTGCTGTGAAACGGATTGCTTGCCATGAGGAGTTACTATGAGAGTGGGGAGATGATTTGGGATCGGCGGGTGTGTAGGAGAGGTATATACGGCGTAAATGGCTAAATCATTGAACTTCATCAGCGAAAGGCATGAAAGAGGATGAAAACGTACCAGCCATATTGAAAAATAGGTATATAGGAGGAGGGTACTACTAGTAAGAAGGCAAGGTTGCTGAGAGCAGCACGGTCGTTACCTTGCCCCCCGTGACTTCCATAAAAGGAACATGTTTCAAAACAACTCGACTTTCCTCAGTTTATTCTTTTTTTAATTCAGTACGGGTAATTGATAGTTGCACTGTAAAATACGTATGTGGGATGTAGGCTGATGTAGGTAACCAACAGTTTTGTATTTTTGTCGTAGTGATATATGTTTAAAAAGTGTGACCTGTAACGGAAAGTGTGATGTTGAAGTCACGTAGAGGCTCTTCATCGATCCCGTCAGTGGCAGTCGCAGTACTTGTTCAGTCTCAACAGCAACAACTTTAACCTGGACAACGATATAGTGTATTGCAGACTTCTGTTCTGCTATCACTTGTAATTATGAAGGGACTCAAGAAATCTTTTGTTAGTTTATCGATATATCACTTACCCGGTATCTAACCTTTTCGCGCACAGCTCAACAGGAAGAGTTCTCAAGATTCTTCATCATCCAAGTCTAAAGATCCAAAATCAACAACTCCCTTGGCAGCAGCCCCTCCACCGCCCCCACCAAACACCGGCAAGCCACTTCCTCAGCCTGCTTCAGGTGGTCTTCCAGGCGCATCAGTTAACAACTCTAGTAATCACTCTCTATCTTCACAAGGAGCCTCATCATCTGGTCGTCCCGCTTCTTCTACATCCATCACTCCCTCTGCACCTGATCGCAGGTACACTTCCACAGGGAACCCATCACCCATTCCCCCCATCGTTGTCGTTAGCTCAGACCCCACTTCTGACCTAGCACCCCGCTCAGGTCCATATAGTTCTCCAGAGCGCAGCACCATTGGATTAGATGGTAGTTCCACTCCTCCACGCGCCAACACCCTGAACCGCTTACGTTCTGGTCCACGCGATACAATCCCAATCGTCGGCAAGCCTCCACGCAAACAGCGCAGCAGCCGCTTCGTTGTCACTGAAAAGGTCGACATTGAAAAATTGCCCCCTTTCTCAGGTAATTACGCGTTCCCAACAGACCTGTATCGCGTCACATATTGACCACTGTATATAGACACTCCCCTCACAGAGCGTTCTATCTTATTTATCAAGAAGCTTAATCAATGCCGCGTATTATTTGACTTCAATGACGCGAGCGCGGAGCTTAAAGGTAAACAAATCAAGGCACAGACCTTGCACGAAATGCTCGAGTATATCACAACTCAGAGGAACGTCATCACTGAAAACATATACCCCGAGGTTGTCAACATGGTTCGTGTTTCTCCCGCGTCACTCAACATCTTCCACTCACCTCTTAGAGTAGTTTGCTGTCAACCTCTTCCGATCGATACCCCCGCCTGTCAACCCCACCGGTGATGCTTTTGACCCCGAGGAAGACGAGCCTGTCTTGGAACTCGCCTGGCCTCATCTTCAGATTGTCTACGAATTTTTCCTTCGGTTTGTCGAGAGCCCAGATTTCAACACCAATCTCGCCAAACGATACATTGATCAACCCTTCGTACTAAATCTCCTCGAGCTCTTTGACTCTGAAGACCCTCGCGAGCGCGACTTTCTCAAGACTACGCTACACCGCATTTACGGTAAATTCCTTAACCTTCGGGCCTTCATCCGCCGGTCGATAAACAACGTCTTTTATCATTTCATATATGAAACGGAGAGACATAATGGGATCGCGGAGCTGCTTGAAATATTGGGTTCAATCATCAACGGCTTTGCTCTACCTCTTAAAGACGAGCACAAGACGTTCTTAACGCGGGTGCTCCTCCCTCTACATAAAGTCAAGAGTCTTTCCCTTTATCACCCGCAGCTTGCGTACTGTGTCGTGCAGTTCCTGGAGAAGGATCCAACCCTGGCGGAGGAGGTCATGCTCGGACTACTCAAATACTGGCCCAAGGTCAACTCTCCAAAAGAGGTCATGTTCCTGAACGAAGTCGAGGAAGTACTTGATGTCACCGATCCCTTGGAGTTCCAGAAGATCCAGGTCCCACTGTTCCAGCAACTTGCGCGATGCATCAACAGCCAGCACTTCCAGGTTGCTGAGCGAGCTTTGTTATACTGGAACAACGAATACGTAGTCAATCTCATGAGCGATAATCTAGCTGTTCTCCTGCCAATCGTCTTTCCCGCGTTATATACGAATTCCAAGAGCCACTGGAACCGGTGCGTCTGCCGCCTCCAACATTAGACAGCTACTCACGTTTCATCAGGACTATTCACGGGATGGTGTATAATGCACTGAAGTTGTTCATGGAGATCAACCCGGAGCTGTTTGACGAAACGATGCAACAGTACAAGCAACGGAAGATCGAGTAAGTTTATACTGACATTTCATATTGGTTTGATATGAACACAAGATGACCACAGAGAGCAACAACATGCTATTGAACGATATGAGCAATGGCAAAAAGTCCGCGAGATGGCAATACATAATGCCGGCGGGAAGTTGCCTCCAGGATTTCAAGAGGTTGAACGTTTACCCCCACCGCCGCCGTCGCCTAGTGATGATTCGGATATCCTGGACTTATCGATGGAGCTGAATGCAGTGTCGCTTGATGGCGATATTCCTGGTGACCTTGACGAATCAGGTATCGAACGAGTGCCCATGGCTGACCCTGGGTTGGATGTGAGTGGTGTCTCGACTATCTAGAATCTTGGTGCACCTGTTTACCACGTGGTTTCAGCGTGAGTTTCCTCAAGTCGGAGGTGATCATTCGCCTGTATCTCAGAGTCCTCATGTACGACGAAAGAGCGTGCTTCCTGGTGTGCCTTTTCTTTACATCACTCCGCAGTTTAAGCTTATGCCTCGTGTTCAGTGGATCCATCTGTAATTCGCGACCTGCAAGCCCATCGGAGCTTGGATGATACTCTTGGAATCGGGGGGCATCATACAAATGGGGCATAACAACCGACCGCGTATTTTCTTTCGATGTTTTCTCGTATGATCATGACTGCGAATTGACAAGATACTATCTGAGGCAGACCCACACGACTGACGACATTTTCAATCCGCCTTGTTTCTGCGCTACCTCCTGTGTTATATTTCTCGATTGACATCGTGGTTTATCTTACTTCTTACACAGTGTGTCATTTTATGTTCTGATGAGCAAGCCTGGAGCGTTTACAGCATTACGTTTATATGTCCAAAATTCTTTTACCACTACCGTACGATACATATCCTCTAGAAGTAAATTTTGGACATTATCGTGACCAACATACCAGCTGGGTTCGGATGTGCACATGTGTGGAAGTTAGGGCGGTGGGGGCCACAGCCCTAAACGATAAAGGATTTTCATTGGCCAAGATCGCGGTGCGTTGTGGTTATGTAATCGATCTACGTCAGGAAAGAACCCTCTAGAATGCTGAAGGAACGTCCTGGAATGACGAAGAATATCATCCATATAAAAGATGTCAGTTCGAGCAAGCCATCTTTCTTCACTGTTATCTTTTTCCTCAGTTTCATATAGGTGAGCTCGCAAAGAGTAGACTTTCTCTAAACACATCTTCATATCATTCAAGACTCTCTCAAAATGTCGCCAGCCAAAGCTATTGGTATCGACTTGGGCACCACCTACTCGTAAGGTTTTAGTCTCATCTGTAGATCATCATGCTCAATGTTAATTCATCTAGCTGTGTCGGTGTCTGGCAAAATGATCGTGTTGAGATCATCGCCAACGACCAGGGTAACCGTACCACCCCCTCCTATGTCTCGTTTTCCGACAACGAACGGTTGATTGGTGATGCTGCCAAGAACCAGGTCGCCATGAACCCCCACAACACGTACGTTTCGACTTTGACTTTTCGTTTTTCTCGCGCTGACGCGTCTTCGCAGCGTTTTCGACGCTAAGCGTCTCATCGGTCGTAAATTCGAAGACGCTGAAGTCCAGTCGGACATTAAGCACTTCCCTTTCATCGTTTTCAACAAGGGTGGCAAACCCTACATTCGAGTGGAGTACAAGGGAGAGCAGAAGGAGTTTTCTCCCGAAGAAATCTCGTCCATGGTCCTCCTTAAGATGAAGGAGACCGCTGAGTCCTACTTGGGCTACAACGTCAACGACGCTGTTGTCACCGTTCCCGCATACTTCAACGACTCTCAGAGACAAGCCACCAAAGACGCAGGTACCATCTCGGGAATGAACGTTCTCCGTATCATCAACGAGCCTACTGCTGCTGCCATCGCCTACGGTCTCGACAAGAAAGTTATCGGCGAGCGCAACGTCCTCATTTTCGATCTTGGAGGAGGAACCTTTGATGTTTCCCTCTTGACCATTGAGGAGGGTATCTTCGAGGTGAAGGCCACTGCTGGTGACACTCACTTGGGTGGTGAGGATTTCGACAACCGTCTCGTCAACCACTTCGCGCAAGAATTCAAGCGCAAGCACAAGAAGGGTAAGTCTAGTCTACTTGCTTGTTAATCTAGGTGCTAATTACATCGATGTAGATCTCTCCTCCAACCCTCGTGCACTCCGTCGTCTAAGGACTGCTTGCGAGCGTGCCAAGCGTACCTTGTCGTCGGCAACCCAGACTTCCATCGAGATTGACTCTCTCTTTGAGGGCATCGACTTCTACACTTCCCTCACTCGTGCCCGTTTCGAGGAGCTGTGCGCGGACCTGTTCCGCAGCACGCTCGAGCCCGTCGAGAAGGTCCTCCGGGACTCCAAGATCGACAAGGCGAACGTTCACGAAATCGTCCTCGTCGGCGGTTCCACGCGTATCCCACGTATTGTCAAGCTTGTTTCTGACTTCTTCAACGGCAAGGAGCCCAACAAGAGCATCAACCCTGATGAGGCCGTCGCATACGGCGCTGCCGTTCAGGCTGCCATCCTTTCTGGCGACACCTCCGAGAAGACCCAGGATCTCCTGCTCCTCGATGTCTCTCCTCTATCGCTCGGTATTGAGACCGCCGGTGGTGTCATGACCGCTCTCATCAAGCGCAACACCACCGTCCCCACCAAGAAGTCGGAGACCTTCTCGACATACTCGGACAACCAGCCTGGTGTTTTGATTCAGGTGTACGAGGGTGAGCGTGCACGCACGAAGGACAACAACCTGCTCGGCAAATTTGAGCTGTCTGGTATTCCTCCCGCACCCCGTGGTGTTCCTCAAATTGAGGTCACCTTCGACATTGACGCCAACGGTATCTTGAACGTGTCCGCATCTGACAAAACAACCGGCAAGTCAAATCGCATCACAATCACCAACGACAAGGGCCGTTTGTCAGCAGAGGAGATCGAACGCATGGTTAACGAGGCCGAGAAATACAAGGGTACGTTTCTAATCTTTATGATGTTTTGCATACATAAACTGACTTGCTTATCCTACAGCTGAGGATGAGGCTGCTGCTGCTCGCATTCAGTCGAAGAACGGTCTTGAATCATACGCTTACAACCTCCGCAACTCCATCACCGACGAGAAACTTGCTGACAAGTTCGAACCCGCCGACAAGGCGAAGCTAGAGAGCTCCGTGAACGAGACTATCTCGTGGTTGGATGCATCGCAGGAAGCATCGAAGGAGGAATATGAGCTCAAGCAGAAGGAGCTGGAAGCTATCGCCAACCCTATCATGCAGAAACTGTATGGTGCTGCAGGTGGTGCTCCTGGTGGTTTCCCCGGTGGTGCTCCTGGCGGTGCACCAGGCGGTTTCCCTGGCGCTGGCGAGGACGGTCCTTCTGTTGAGGAGGTTGACTAAAGCATTCGTCTGTTGTCTGTTGTCCAGGGGGTTTGTTGCGCATTTTACGTCATATTTCATCGCATTGCACAGTACGAGTGTCATGAACCAGTAATGTCCTTACAAGTTGTATGTTACATTATCGCATTTCCTAGAATGAATTTCTCTTCCATCTCTGCCTAGACACCTTGAGCAGTGAAACCGTTCTATAAGTCACGTTGACGAGTATATATGAGGTATTTGTGTCCTGATTCAATATGTCACCTTTATTCTTGTGTGCGTAAAGGCTACGTCAAGCTGCTGTAGCCTCTTCGTCTGGAACGTTGAGCGTTCGCCATGGCACAACCACGCTCAAGAACAAGACCTCCTCAACACATGACAAGGTGCGTTATATCGAAACGTCAGGAAAAATCAGCGCAAGACTAGTCTTAGGAATATCTACGACCAGCTCTTTCATCACGGGTCGAGTCTTTCTAAGCTAAGAGATGCGATCGCAGCAGGCCGCCTCCTCCAGTCTTCAGATGGTGGTATCGGTGTACCAGGCAGAAGTCTAGCGTGGAAGGCAAGGCGAACCAAGTGAATCGGACTGCGTTACGCTCATACCGACTTCCTCTAGCTGTTCCTCTTGAAGAATGTGCCGCTGGAGCCTGCGCCTCACGAAATACCAGTACCGCCGCTCGAGGCTTTACGCACCCATCGAAGGCAATACTCTGAGCTGCTGCTGGAGAAGATGCGGGCACCAGATGGATCTTACGATGAGACTTTCGTCGTACCAGGACTTACCATTCCTCGGAGGAACACCAAGCGGCCGACGGACTTGGAGACGAACAACCCTCTCAGTTTGCATGATGAGGTAGGAGGCGCATTGCATATGCTCCAGCATCTATTGATGGTGTGCATTGAAGAACCCTTGGAGAGAATGGTTTGCAGCTGTAGATCTCAGGAAGACTATCCAGCAAGACGTCGAGCGGACGTGAGTGCCCTTCCCAAAGATTCACAGTTTATGGTATACATTTTTCCTGCAGTTTCCCTGACATAGGCTACTTTCGTGACGACGACGTACAACAACAGCTCACCAATATCCTGTTCTTGTATGCTGTCATGCATCCCGATATCGAATACCGGCAGGGCATGCACGAGCTGCTAGCGCCCATGTACTATGCTGTAGGTATGTGATCCAACCGCTGTTATATCTTCCACGTGTCCATAGTCTGCGTCTCGTCTGCTTGGTCCGCTCATGTGTCTGCTTTCAAAGCTAAAGAATAAACATCTTTGGCTATAGATTATGACTCTACTGCCGATGACGCTACATCACCGTCGGATGAGTCCGTCTTTCGGGAGATTTGCTCGCGGGAGTGGATTGCAGCTGATTCGTGGGCACTTTTCTGCGCCATCATGAATGACATCTCCAAGTGGTACGAGTGGCGCGAACCGTCCCCCACAGAAACGTCCTCCGCCCGTGGTCAAGTGAATTTTAAGCCATACGTATCACCTATTATCGTGGCCTGCAACAACGTTCAACATAGTCTCCTAAAGTCTGTCGATCCCATTCTTCACGGCGCGTTGCAGAGCTCGGGTATCGAGCCGCAGATCTATGGCTTGTGTGTAGTTTCATGTCTTCTCAGCCGTCTCAGGCTGATTTGATCGATCATATTGTCAGACGATGGCTTCGCCTGTTGTTCACGCGTGAACTTTCGATGGACGACGCGATGATTATATGGGATGGGCTGTTCGCGAGCCCAATCCCAATTTCTGAGCTCGCCCAGTGGATATGCGTGGCTATGCTTATACGGATACGAACCAAACGTGAGTCTCAATACCCTCCTGAGTTGTACGCGGATATTAATCGTCTGTAGTGATTCCATCGGACTATAGCATGCAACTCACATACCTATTGCGATACCCTCCGTCTCAGGCGGAAGATGGAGCCCCGCATCACGCAATCCTACTACTTCGACAAGCGTCGTCTTTGGAAATGTCCCGTACACCGTCCGCGGGCGCGATTGTGATGACTGAAAACCGCAACCTTCTGAATATTCCCCTGGAAGTACCGGATCCACCCGTCCAAATGAGGCGGAGGGCACGACCTCCAGGCCATCAGATCTCATCAGATTTTCAGGGAACACCCACTGGCCAAACAGAGCATATGCGTCAATCGTCTTCATCCCAGATGGGGCTACCAGAACTAATTGCTCGAGGGCTCATGGATCGCGGGGAGAGCCTCGGGATTAACAAAACTGTGATGAATGCGGTATCCGAGCTCAGGGTAAGCTAAGATAACGTCGATCGTTTCCTTCTTCTGATTTGTGGCATTGTAGCGCAACCTTCCCGAATTGGCTGCATCTCTGGTTCGCACACCGTCCATATCAGCGCCGTATGCAGCATATCCCTTGCTCGACGAACAGATAACAGATGGCAGGCACGTTTCGGATACCGAAAGCCGCATAGCAGCGGAACGTGCTGCAACAGAGCTGAGCGCGCAGAATTCACGTCTTGGTGAATCAATTACTTGGATACTGGGCGTTCTGCAGTCCAAGGTATCATCGGAAGCCAAAGATGAGGATACTGAGAGGGCGTCGGTCCAGCAAAAGGAAGCTCTCGAGTCACTAGCTTATGTGAGGGACATCCTAGGCGGGGAGGTTAAGGAGATTGACGAGCGCCGGTTATGGGGGGCAGAAGAATACAATAAGCGTTTGGAAGGTCAGAGCAAGCAAGAGGCCAGGGAAGCGTCTGCCTTTCAATCCAGACAACGTTCTATGACGACCCCCCACGCCCTCAGTGCTACAAACGAGCACCCACCACCACCATTACAACGGGAAGTTCGACAATTTTCTCCAAACACGTCCGGGACTCCTGTGTTTCTTCGGCCAACAACATCTGCTCCGTTACACTCTTCTTCAATGGCCTCCAGAGCGATTCCTATGGCATCGGCAACTCATAATCGCTCTCAGTCATCGACTGGGGCGCTCCCCGTCAAGGCAATTACAATGCAACGGACACCCCTTCGCTTATCATCTAACAATCCTTTCCAACGCACGCCTGACACAGGCGGGATCCCGCCTGCGGCAAGCGATCAAACTCCGAAGATCCGAAGTGAAGTACAGCAGCACGATCCGCTGGGAGTTCTCAAGTAGATTGTTGCCTGTGGTGGTTGAGTAGAATCTTCAGGAGATAGTGATCGTTCTAATAGATATCTGTACCTGTGGGGCTTATAGGTTAATGCACTTTAGATTATGGTAGAAGATTATTGCGGAGGTTGTACGGGATTTGATAGGGTGACCAATGGTGGGAAGGCCGTGAACCGACCGGCGCGTGATTTCCCATTGCGAGGCCTCCGGGTGTGTCAACAACTTTCCCGTAGCTCATCGGGGTCTCTCGTTTATATTTTTCTTCCTCGCCGTCGACGACGACAGCATCCATGTTCAGGAAGTCGGTGTCCAAGGCAGTGCCCTCTCGGGCTCTGCTTCATCCTCAACGCGCTTTTTCCACATCACTCCCCGTCAGGAGAGTCGTTGCATCTAATCCAGTCAAGGCAGAGGAGGTCAAGGTATGATATCTCCCAGCTCCCATGTCTTTTTTTCACTCTATTCTAACGGTTTTTAAGTCCTGGTCTTCAGGCAAATACCCTCTCATCGAGCACGAGTACGATGCTATTGTCGTGTGAGTAGCGTTCCGGAACAATAGTAATTTATCAGAGCTGAGTTTGACATTTAAGTGGTGCTGGTGGTGCAGGCCTTCGCGCTGCCTTTGGTCTTGCAGAAGCTGGCTTCAACACGGCTTGCATCACCAAGTTATTCCCAACACGGAGTCACACTGTCGCGGCACAGGTATGTTGGCCACATTCAACAGTATCTGACACGCTCATATCGTTTTCAAGGGTGGTATCAATGCTGCTCTCGGTGTAAGTGCACCTTGAGGAGTTTATGCTCTTTTCACTGATGAGTCACCTGTAGAACATGACAGAAGACGACTGGAGATGGCATATGTACGACACGGTTCGTGTCCTTTAATATGTCACGCTCCCGAGTCGTTTAGTTGAGCTGAATTCCCACAGGTAAAAGGCTCTGACTGGCTTGGTGACCAGGATGCAATTCATTATATGTGTCGCGAGGCTCCCAGATCTGTTATTGAGGTTGGGGTAGATCTTACGTATTTGTTTCTGGGGCTTATCACCTTTTCTAGCTTGAACATTATGGCGTTCCATTCTCCCGTACCAAGGATGGAAAGATTTACCAACGTGCCTTTGGTGGTCAGTCTTTGAAGTATGGCAAAGGTGGTCAAGCATATCGTTGTGCAGCGGCTGCCGATCGTACCGGTCACGCTCTCCTCCACACCCTTTACGGCCAGTCGCTCCGACACAACACGAATTTCTTCATCGAATACTTTGCTCTGGACTTGATTATGCAGGATGGCGAGTGTGTTGGAGTCATTGCACTCAACATGGAGGACGGTACACTCCACCGCTTTAGGGCTCATAAAACGGTTCTCGCAACCGGCGGTTATGGTCGTGCCTATTTCAGCTGCACGAGTGCGCACACCTGTTCGGGTGATGGTAATGCAATGGTTGCTCGTGCTGGCCTTCCCCTACAGGATCTGGAATTCGTTCAGTTCCACCCAACTGGTATCTATGGCGCTGGCTGCCTTATCACTGAGGGTGATTGTCTTTCTGTCACGTATCCGCCTTGTGGCTGACTGTGTCTTAGGTTCTCGTGGTGAGGGAGGCTACCTCCTGAACTCTGAGGGTGAACGTTTCATGGAACGTTATGCACCCACTGCCAAGGATCTTGCTTCCCGTGATGTCGTATCTCGTTCGATGACGATTGAAATCCGCGAAGGTCGTGGTGTTGGACCTGAGAAAGATCACCTATACCTTCAGCTCAGCCATTTACCCCCTGAAGTTCTCCACGAGAGGTTGCCCGGTATCTCCGAGACTGCTGCTATTTTCTCCGGAGTCGATGTCACTAAGGAGCCTATCCCAGTGCTACCTACTGTCCATTACAACAGTCAGTCTCTCTACTATGTTGTCTTCTTCACTGTAGCTGACCTCCCGATAGTGGGTGGTATTCCCACCAGATACACTGGCGAGGTGCTGACTGTTGACGAGGTGAGCTTGCGCTAGTTGTACTCGTCGAACTCCGCTCATAATTCGTGGTTAGAATGGCAAGGACAAGATTGTCCCCGGTTTGTATGCAGCTGGTGAGGCTGCGTGCGTGTCCGTTCATGGCGCGAACCGTCTTGGTGCAAATTCCCTCCTGGATCTGGTCGTCTTCGGTCGCGCGTGTGCTCATCATATCGCGGAGACCTTGACTCCCGGAAAGTCTCACAAGGCTATCCCTGAGGAAGCTGGCCTCGAGAGCGTGGAGTTCTTGGACCAGATCAGAAATGCAGATGGTGCAAAGCCTACTGCCGACATAAGGCTAGAGATGCAGAAGGCCATGCAAACCGATGCCGCTGTCTTCCGGTGCGTTCCACTAACTTCACGCGAACAAAACGGATGCTGACGATCCTCACAGCACACAACAGACTCTCGACGAAGGTGTTGAGAAGATCCATCAGATATACAAATCGTTTGACAATGTTGGCATCAAGGATAGGAGCATGATCTGGAACTCGTACGGCTTTGTGTTTATATGATACTGATTCCTCGCTGACGCCATTATATTAGTGATCTCGTTGAGACTCTTGAACTACGCAACCTTCTACAGTGCGCAGTTCAAACTATCACGGCCGCTGCTGCTCGTAAGGAGTCCCGAGGTGCTCACGCTCGCGAGGACTACCCTGAGGTTAGTATTTGAAAACGTCTTTCAGTGAAATTGTCTAAACTGTCTGTAGCGTGACGACGATCACTGGATGAAGCACACCCTTTCATTGCAGAAAGATGTCAACTCGCCCGAAGTCACTCTCAAGTACCGCGGTGTCATTGACAAGACTCTCGATGAAAATGAGTGCAAGGCAGTCCCGCCATTCAAGCGCACATACTGAGCAGGTTGTTAGATAGATTAAATCTTTTTAACGGGTGAAATTACGGTCTACTGTACGCACGAAAAAGAAATCTATGTATTTTGACAAAAATGGCAAAAATATTTGAGAAATGCACATATCATAAATTTAATGTTCCCATGGTTGTTGTTTGACCACCATGTCAAGCAGAGCAGGTGGCCTGTATGGCGGCATCCAATTCTCCACTGGCGCAACCTTCAGCCTTTCTTCGTCATCTACATCCGCTCCGCCTGCAGCACCAACACCTGCATTCAAAGCAGAGAAAGTCGAAACTCCTGCAGCTCTAGAGGCTGTTTCAGCACCAGCATCAAGTAATACAAGCAACGATGGAATCAAGGCAGAGGATGGAAGTATTGGAGGAACAGAATCTGGGTCTATAGGAAAGCTTTCAGCCGGTATCTCCCCCTCCTCTGCACATCGAGTCTAGAAGCAAAATATTGACCGTCGCAATCATCATGCTATTCCCTCGAACTCGCACAGGGTGGTCCGCTGCGCTTGCGTTTGCCCCCGTTCGTCGTGCGCCAGCAAAACCCAAGCCCGCTTTAACCCGCCTTCCCATGGGTGCCAAGGCCCTACCCACTCCTGCAATGGCTACAATTTCCGCTGCCACGCAAGCTTCGGGCCTTTCCGCAACAGCCGTCGTCTTCGCTCCGCCAGAATTGGTAACTACGGATCAACAAGAAGAAGTCAAGGACGACGCCGCCCAGAAGGACTCCGCATGGCGCAAAAAGGAAGGCTGGGGCAAGAAAGTCAAACCTCCATCCATGATACTCGATGAAGATATCAACGGCTTTAAGGCCCAGCACAAACGCAGGGCCGGCGGAGGGGGCGGTGGAAGGAAGGGGAGGAAGGCATGTTGTCTTTTCCCCAATCTGGTGTCTTCGTTGATCTTTTATATGCAGAATAAGAATGCCCCAGCTGTGGCGGTATGGGATCCGTTGGAACCTTACGACACCCTCAAGCCAAATGACTACAACGAATATAAAATATGGAAGCAACGTGACCGCGTCGAGCGGGCGTCCGAACGTGCGGCTGAAAGGAAGCGTGCTCGCGAGGCTCTCGACAGAGGAAGTGATCACACAGGTAGCGACAGTGAAGGCGAACCTCCCAAAAAGAGTGGTGTGCAAACTAACTCTGGATATGTGGCGGGGCTTAACTTCCGGTTTCAGGGAGATTTGACAACGGGTCTTTTGATAAGTGGTCTCGTGCGGATGACGAACGTCCTCGTGGACTCGGCGCCTCCAACACTCCCGCAATTCAAATGGATCGCAATATGTCAGGGGAAGAGGCCTTTCAGCGACGGCTTGCAATGTCTGCTGGTGCTGCTGTTCGAGTACCGTCACCGACCCCTGCCCCTGTTAACCATAACCTGTCCGGTGAGGACGCCTATCAGCGCCGCCTTGCCATCTCTTCGGGAGGTAACCGTCCGCCCACGTTCTCTGCATCCGCTTCGCCTCTCCGTCAACCGTCACCGGCCGCCGATGATGAGGGCAGCATCCCCGGACTGTCATCCAATATTCAGCCGTCTATTCCTCAAAACCGTGAGGAAACAGGGGAAGAAGCATATCTACGTCGCCAAGCAATGTCATCTAAGCTGCGTCCTACAGCTTTGCCTTTTGAGCCATCAGGCCAGCCACCTGCTCCTGTAACACAGCCGCCGCAACTAGTAACGCCTGTGCCTCCACCACGTTCTCCCCCTCCATTGGCATACAACCCCTTCGCACCGCCGGCGAATATTCCGCCGCCGCCACCTCCCCCAACATCTCAAATACCAACCACGTTTGAAGACAGGGTCAAGGCCGCTGCAAGTATCGCAGCACGCCTTAGTGCGCTTGCCGCGACTGCAGGTGGGTCGGGCCCAGCATCAAGTTTACCTGGTCCACCACCGCAAGATGACGCTCAAACACGGTATGCTCGAGTACATCCACCGTCGGGTATGTCTGACAGTTACATCAGTCCTGATCCGCAGGGTTTTGCAGCTCGTTTTATGGCTAAGTTGGGGCACAAGGAAGGTCAAGGTCTGGGTGCCGACGGGAGCGGCATTGTAAATGCCCTCACAGTCGAGCAAGTCGCTGCACAAGGCAAAGGCAAGAAGAAGGGTCAAAATCAACCGCAGGGCCAAGCCAAAGCCAAACCAGCTATGGGTTCAAAGATGGGTCGAATCATCAATGACAATGAGGACGCGAAGGGTCGTGAAGACCGTTTAAGGTTTGGAGAGTCCAGTCGTGTGGTAGTGCTAACCAATATGGTTGGACCGGAAGATGTGGACGATGGCGATCTGAGAGATGAAATTGGTCAGTGCCAGGCATCCCGTTTATCAAATTTTGACTGAAGTCCTTCAGGTGAGGAGTGTTCGAAAAATGGAACCGTCGAGCGAGTTATTGTACATCTGACCAACCCCCCGCCGGCGGAGCCAGAGGAATCTGTCCGCATATTCGTATTGTTTGCGGGCCCCTCTGGTGCGTGGAAGACCGTGAGGGAGTTGGATGGCAGGTATTTTGGAGGGAGGGCTGTGCGGGCAAGATATTTTTCGGAAGCTGCTTTCTCCCGGCATGATTTGGATGTTCCAATCGCGTGATTTAGTTGCATTTGTATGGTTGGTCGATTTTGGTTTATTTAAAAGATTCGAAGGTGCCCTGATGATAACACTGATAAGTATCCTGTACCACCGGAATCATGGCGGATGTGCTCTTGTCGATTTCCACTTGAGTCCATATGTTACTGCAACTGGTCCAACACGTTTCATTCTATTTTATCTTTCTAGATACAAACTCACCTCACTGGGCATGCGAAAGAGCCCAGAACTAATGAGACGAATGTGACGGAGATCAAGTATACGTGTGCAAGTGGAAGGTTTTCTTGGAGGAATTTTGATTTCTCTTACAAGAATCGCAACTCGCTAGCATCCGCAGAAAGCAAATCCACGCGCTCTATGGTTGCCAAACACCGTTTCTTTATTCTTTCGTTACTGTAGCATCAGCGACGAATGAAACTCATGTTTTCCGACGACTGGGTCCGCCACACGACCATAACGAACGACAAAGGACGAGTCATGTACAAAGTGACCACTCCATTCAAGTCGTTATGGTCACCGCGTACTTCAACTGTTTGGAAGGCGATGCGAAATAATGCATGCTTGCCCACAGGTTGTAAGGACGACGACGCGCTCGAACGACGCATGGAGGATAGCGGCTTTTTTCGCCTAGGCGAAATTGAATGGCATTGCATGACAGCTTCGCGCTTGCGATGGTTCGGGGGTGCAGGAGGAAGTGGGTTCAGTGTGGGCGAGGTTGAGGCAAACAAGGCCGTTCCCGCACGGGGCATCTTCAAAAGGTGCAAAAGATGGTCTCGACTCTTCAAATAAGACATAGACTCACCCATCACGTCCATAGGAAACGCTTCTTCACGGCTCCTGACGGAGACACCTATCACTGGAACCTGGGGATGATGAAAAGCACGGTATGATAGTCCATTCATCGCAGGATATCACTGATGGCCTCTTTCAGCTCTTTCGCAGTAACCTTGATCGTTCCCAGACACCTGTCGCGCAGTATTATCGACGAACCAACTTTTTCTTTCCGATCGATAACCCGAAAAAGGGTTATTTGGAGGTAACTCTCCCTCCTTCACGCGACATCATCTGCAAGACGAATTGGGACGTCCTCAGTTGGTCTGAAGGATGGTCTGATTGTCGCATGGAAAATGAGGCATTGTATGAAACACACGGCCTAACTCGAGAGTCAGCAGTAGATGCCAGTATGCTTGATTTGATAGTCTTCACCTACATATACGCTGAAAAGCTCAGGAAGGACGGGGAACACTGGATTGAGAGGAAGGACCTAGCGATGTGGTGGAAAAGTGGTTGATCAACTAAGCCGTTGCGACATGCATTGGAATTCTGTAACATTAGAAGGGTAGATTCAACTCTAGCAAGTTTCTTGTCTAAATTGGAATGCATACAATGAACTTGAATGGTTGGCGTGTTAGTAAACTACCACTCGGCAGGGGATCCTTCAAAATACTTCCGCCGCGCATCACGGCTTAGTATATGGACTGCAAATCTGCCTGCATCAATCATAGCCCACCCATTGAGCATTCTCCGCTTAGAATTTGGCGGAAGGGGCAATGGTGGGTCCACAGACAACAGCTAAACATAATTTTCAGTTACTACGGGGTAAGGGGGCTGAACAGACACACATTCTTTCGCACTTGACGTACGACAGCTTCTATCGATCCTCGGTTTTCGGTGCCTTCTTTCACCTTGAAGAACAGTGGTTAGCAAGAAAGACATAGGACACCAGTAGGGTACGCACTTGAGCAGTAATGACCCAGTCCCATATACCTCCAGGCACTTCAACCAGACCTTCACCAGAGTAAGTGCGACCGCGTTTCCGGCGGCCCTTGGGTATTGTTCGAGGTAATGGAGGACCAGGAAGAGCGGCAACAGGTCGTTCGACACTTAAAGTCGACGGCTCGAGAAAAGGGGATTTACTGAGCTGCAAAAATAGTTGCCTGATCGCGTCGGGGATATTTGCGGGAAGCTCGTGAGTTTTTGGAGCAAGATGTGGAGGAGTATTCCTAGTTATTGATTGCACTGGACCTTCAGTATCAATAAACCATGGTGTGGAAGGAGGTGTTGTCCCGGTGGTGACGCTCCTGGAAATGAATCCAAGACGTGATCGGCCTGCAACTGCACGGCGGATGCACTGAAGAGTTTGCATGCGGGAAAGATTGTGACCTGAGAAGTAACCAGCAAGGAGTTTACGGTAACCTCCGCTAATGGTAGAGCACAAACCAGCACTGATATGTTTTTACCGCGTTCTAGGAACCAGAAGAATTCGAAGGAGGTCTCCGGGTGTTGGGCACTGTGCGAGTTCAGTCGGACTTTGCCGAGTTAAAACAGGAAAACAGGGGCTGACACGACAACTAGAGCTGACCCCGCTTATCACAATCATGTCCACTACTGTAACTGTACAATGCCTCACACCAGAAAACGTTCCTTTCGTCCATGTAATTCTCGTTCACTCCATTCGACCCTATGGCGTCGTTGACCTCGTCACTTTCGGGTGACAGCACCATTAATATTAATATCTCCATCGATGTTGCAGTCCGACAACATATATAGCAGAAGATCTTAATCGCGTCTCGCAGTCAGCTCAAAGAAAACGTTACCATGATCTCTTTTATGAGAAGCAGCACATTACAACAACCCTTTGGAAGAATTGCCGACAAGTTGGTTGCTTGCTGCCACAGCGAGTCAAAAATATTATGCTTCGAAAATGAGAAGGTATGAACTTAGTACAGTTAACTTTGCAATCCCCCAGAAAGCCCCAGAATGAGTGATATGGGAAGCTACCTAAGAAAGTCCTGGGCCAGTTGAAGACTGCGCCATCCAATTCATCTGATCTTCATTCCCGTTGACAGTTCTCTGCGCCCTCTTGTGTTAGTGGTTAACATGGAATCGGAACTAGAATGAAACTGGGCTGCATTGTTGTCAGGTTTTGCAGTCTGCAGTTCACATTGGCCTGGTATGCATCTCCACACTTGTTCAGTGTGAGGCCGACAAGTGCCATTGTTCTTCATTCTCCTCGGTTCTCCCTTCCATGAACCCTGTTTTCACATCCTCGCAACCGTTGTTCTCCCATGATGGTTTGGACGAAATCCAAACCCTTGTGTCTGTACCCATCGTCTGTGGTTGCGAATTCTGCGAAACCAGTATTTGAGTCGTCAGTCTCTGCGGGTGCGCGTACTCCTCGTTCTAATCGTACTTCAGGGCCAGCGGTAACGCATTAATGCCTGGCCACATTCAACACCTTCAGCAAGACCATCTATTCAGTTTCTCATTACAGGAACCTGCATTATCCACCAATCGGAGAATACACGTGGAATTGCCATAGTGGTAAGTAAGTCGAATGGTACCAAAGAACAGCATATACAATCAGTTGACGGACCAGCCATTAGCTGTTCCTCGATGCAACTTGACCGTATCTTTGAGCGTACTGAAAAGTTATACCATGACAGAAGCGAGCGTTCGCTTTAGAAGCGAGTTTCTCATTCCCCACCCTCTTTTTGATTTGAGCAAGTGACACCTGCGACTTCTTCTGTGTTCAACCCCTTCAGATATCTTATCGTTAGCTGCATCTCTCGGAACTTTCCTTGATAGACTTGGTGCAGACGAGACGGTTCTTGTTCGATGACTCCGCCTGTAGGGTCGCAGGTAACGATTGATAAATTTGCGAATATGATCATGGCCAGCATATAGTGCTCGAGTTCAGTAGCCCCTATCGACCCCCCCTCACACGACCAAAGTCCCGCGATCTGATTGGCTGACATACCGCGGGACTTGTCTTCTACAATTCTACTTACCCTACAATTCAAGTCAATCCAGATGTTTAAGCGTTAGAATAAAATTCGCAACAATGGTAATTGTCGGAATTCACATTTGACAGACACGCTAAGTTACTGATCAAATCCGGTGACCGGTGGCGGGAAGTCATCAATGGAGAAGGGCATATGAAGGGACAGGTACCTTGTAGTGAAGCAGACTGAAGGTGTCAAACCGGTGTCGAATGCTGTCAACCAATCAGGACAAAAACAACAAGTACACGCACCTGTATAGAATTTGAAACTATCTGTTGTCAATGTCCCGGATCATCTTGTGATTGTGGAGTTTGTGGGGTGACGGTGGCGCATGAATGCTATGACCATGTCAGAATTTGCGAAGGACCACCGCCAGGATGAAAACCTGCTAATATCGATGATAGTGGCAGAAGCTTGATGGTGCTTTCAATATGTCCGCAACAGTACAGGGTGATGGGGGCCCTATAGACTCCCGCATCAGCACTCCACTATCTCCCACAGCCGATCCAATCTACTCCAGAAATAATCCTCTCGCTGGCTAAACTAACGGCCTCCGCCTCCGTGAGGCTGAGTGAGATTGATTGTACGTCTGCATCATTCATTCTCATCATCAGAGGATGCTAGTACATAATATCAGCAGAACGACCAAGTGATAGGGGATATCAATTCACCGCCTACTACTGTCATCATCGTCAGGTCTATTCTGGGGAATTGATCAATCGACCATGCAGGTGGAGTCTTCAAAGTTCAAACAACAACCGTCTAGAATCTGGATCTACCGCCCTGTTTAGCGTATTCAGCCCACGGCTTATCAAGAGAAGTTGCAAGAGAAGCAGCTAATGATGGAAGCTCTTGTAGAGGTGAATCACTTACTTGATAACTAGAGAAGATATCGAATATATTGACAAGATAAGTTGACGCGGTGGTGTAGTGTTAGTGGAAGAGAATACTAATCATTTTATATAAATTCTCAAAAGTTAAGACTGTTGATCTGCAACAACCATGACATCGGGACTTTTAGGCCTTGAAAGCATGGCAGCTCGTCGCCCGGATCTGTAAACAAGACCGTGTTAAAGTTTGCGAGCAGACATGATGAGTTTAAGAACCCATTTGCAAAGCCTGGCGCAGGCAGGCTGCGAGACTCGCAGTGAAACTAATAGGGCCTGAAGACTAAGTGTTTTCATATCTGATTACAGATGTGACGGTGTCTGGAGGGGGGAACATACCAGGGAACAGTGAGCGCTAGTGAGTACTGATAGAGCGTCCAGGAAAACCCAATTCAGATGCCAATATTGCCTTGTGACATTGCTTCCGGCCCCTTGATCGGACCCACTTACCAAATATGGTGTCTTCCCGTCCCAGATCAAAGTGTACCCCGTGACCGTCCACAACTCAGAACGGTCCTCAAATTGTCACTGTCAATCCAATACGGCTTTCAAGTGTTGCTAGACCTGCAACAAGCGCGCAGTGATGGGTGTACGAGCTGGTGTTGTCGTCTGCATAACCTCCTTTTTGCTCGGTCAGTTTATGTTTTCACGACTTCCTCGGCGTCGACGTGTCATGCTAACACCCGCTTTCAGGTTCACTCTTCACTCATTGGATCGCAGACTCCCTGACTTTGTGGAAGTCACCAGTAACTGACGAGCATTTATGGACCGCAGCTCTTTACTACTCGATACTGACCAAAGGTCCCGTACAAATCCTCTATGTGCTCTTCGGCATCATTATACTTGGCGGAACGACCATCTTTTGGAGTTTCAATGATTTGGAAGCGGGCAACTTAATGTTTGACGGAGGGAGCATATGTATGTGCTCTTCTCAAGTTCTCATCACACCCCCATTGCTTATTTCACTCTCCAGTCCTCTATGGCGTTGCGGTCATCATGTACGCTTACTCCGTCATCCCCAGTCAGTCGATTCATAAAACTATTAGTCGCGATACTAAGGAAATCCATCACAGATCTCATGGACAAGTTCACAGCAATTCCACCTCACTATGTGAAGGACGCGTTTCCGCGTTCACTAAAAATACCTACTCTTGACCTCGCGTCAAACCACCTCGTTTGCAGCGTAGCGCTGACAGGTGTCCTGATTCTTCAGGCTGGTCGGTGGTGGGCTGAACTAGCTGATAGTGACGATGAGGAAGGCTACCTTTCCGAAAAAGTTGAAGACAGTGACGTCGGAGAGGAGACAAAGTCATCAACCCCCCTTGCAACAATTTCACCATGAAAGCCACCCTTCCGCCCATTATTTCCATGCAGAGTTGCTTCCCAGTTACTCGCACCTCTAGCACTCGTGCGTGCTTGAGTTCTCAATCCACTGTTGGATAGTCATGGCACTATTTAATACCCTTCACGATCATCACAAAACGCATATCTTGGTTCCTGGGTCGTCACTCCTCGTGCGGCAAACATGCTTCCATTGCGCAGTGCGCGAGTCCTATTTACCAGTCATTAGTTATTGTATCATATAAACGCGATGACCGCAATGAATGACGACGATCAATTGGTGACCGAAGCATCAGTACTGAGTTCTTATGATACGAGTGGATAATGGGTTTTACTCTAGTCTATGTGTTAAATGTCTGAATAAGCCTCATTCCTGGACAATGTCCTCCTTTCTTGGTCTCGAGTCCTTGATTTCTTTTCCCTGACCAATTAAAGTTTGGGCTTCATCATCAATCTCAATACCTAGCCTCATGATCAGATCGCGTCCTTAACAGATGACAAAGGTTGCTCACCAAGCCCTTCTTCCTTTACAAGACCAAGTACGTGCTCCAGCTCTACAAAGCCGTCTTTGTCGACGTCCAGCTTCTGAATCACTGCTTGTCCGACTACGTCGTCGGGCTTGTGCTTGATCACAGCGAGTGCCTTCTCCAGGTCTTTCACAGGTATGCGTCCTTGTGGATCTGCAGAGAACATTTGCAAGGAGTTACCAACACGTGAATCGTATTCTTGCAACTGAGTGTCGACTTTTGTGAGCATTGTCCGGATACGTTTTGTCAGTGCCCCTGACGGTGACTTGGGATCCTAGGTTGAATGATTAGTATGGAAATGGCAACAAAATTCAAAGGGTTACCTCTTCCGCCTGAAGGTTCTCTTCCATCAGGGCACGAAGCTCATCACGTTCCTTCAGGACACTAGACTGTGCCGATAAAATTGACAAGGCTTCGCCAAGCTCCTTCAGCTGTTCGGTGGTCATGCGAGCGTTCTCCTCTTCGAACCGTTCCGGATGAAGCTGCACAAAACAAATTAAAACATGGAGGCTAGTATAACATGTCAAAGTCACCTCAGTGTCAGGCAGAAGAGACTGCGCAGTGCGTGCTTCTGACTCGTCAGCCTCACGCTTGGCACGGCGCGCATCTTCTTCCTTTTGCTCTTGCTCCTCTTCATCTTCGATGAGCTCCTCTTGTTGTTGTAGAACTTCAAGCTTCTGTTTGTAGCTAGCGCTGTCAGAGTCGACCTCTAGTTCAGCCTCATTTAGCTGAGAGTGGTTGATGTCAGTTATGGAGAGGAGAGTGAAAGACAGTACGAACCAAGTTATCTGGCAATCCGCTAAGGACACTTTCAAGGCTCTTAATTATAGTTGTTTTGCCATCTTCATCTTCACCAGGCTTGCGGTCGAAATGAAAGGCTCGTCCGAGAATCAACAGAACACCAGAAACACGATTATGAAGATGCAGCTGAATCCACGTAGTCAACTCGTCCCGAAGTCGTGCAGGAGAAACACCAGTGGTACGGATACCACGAGATTGACATGCAGCTTGCAACTCCGAGGTTGACAACTCCTCGACACCTTCAGAGTAAATGGCTTGATCATCTCGACGAAGGTTCATAAGACGGGAGCGAATAGCACCCCGTAGGAAATTGTCCGTGCCGAATGCATTGATCCCCATGTACCGACACATTGAAACGAGTTGCGGCCGAGACAGGTTATCAAGAGTTAGGTCATCGTCGAAGAGTTTAGCGACATTGATAATATCCGTTGCAGAGGGCGACTCTCCGGTGGAACGAACCCTCCTGAAAAACTCTTCGAACGCGTCTGAGCCTACAATGTGGGCATTTGCCTTCAAGCCTGACTCTCGCAACGTTTCCTGAAGAAACTTTGCCATTTCGAGTCTCACTCGAAGGAGCTTTCGCTGTTTCTCTTCCTACTTGTCCATTAGCCATGCGAAAGAAAGAAATATGCTACAATCCCTTACAGCAGCAAATTTGTCTTCAAAAGTAGAGGGAAGCATACTGGGGAATAACTTCAAAGCGACAGGAAGTAAGAGCTCCATGAACGGCACAATAATGAAAACAGCGAAGGGAACGAGCCGAAGCAAGTCCTGGGTCGTACGCTTGAGCTAGATATCAATCATCATAAACGTGGCCGTCAGCAGTGTCAGAGATAATATGCTCGCCTGTCGCCGTTCTCTTCGGGTCAAGCTCTCTCCATGGAGAATCTTCCACTGCAGTCTGGCGGAGATCCTGACTTCTGAAACAAGCAGCTTCGAGCCATGCCAATAATGCGCAGCTTCGTGCTTCACCTTCTTCCACGCCCGAGTCATGAGCGGTGCGTCAGAGGCAGGATCCCTGGGTGCAGGGGGTGCGGCCTTTGATTCATGAATGGAAGAATCACGGGTGACAATTTTGCTCGTAGCATCACGGCTTGCAGGAGTAGATGAAGAACTTGATGTGCTCTGGGCGCGGTGCGAGATAAGAGCATAAGTAGCGGAGTGCGGCAACACAAGGTGGGTACGTGGTCCCAGAGAGAAGTAACGAGTGGTTCGTGCTTCGACGAGTTGACGACTATAACACCGTACAAAAGCAGCTTGCTGAGAGCGTGGTAGCCATACCGACATGGACGTTAAGAGCAAAGTTGGAAAGTTCTAGTTGAATTATTGGTCGACCATAAAATTCGCGGAATGACACTAACGTATGTCGTTCGGCCGCGGCAAATTGTGCAGGAAGCATTCTTTGTCCTTGTTTGTAGTAGGAATCTAAATCTTGATCATGGACATCTATGACCCCTCCAGTGCAGCTTATAAGAAGGCTAGGCGACAGTTCTTGAAGACGACGAAAAATAGAAGTAGAGACTTAGATGCAGAATGGACCCCATTCCGAGCAGCGGAGAAAAGATATAAAGCACGTTTCCCCCCTCCCGACCTTAGCCACGTCCTGGATTTGACATCCGCCACTTGTGATGCTGAGACGCTAGCCAGTGGTCGAACCTTTTATTGCAACGGGGTTGAGGTCAAACTTCTTGATCCGAGTGAATCGACATCCTCCTGTGTCGGCAAAGCATTTGCAGTCCCCCGCGTCCCAGGTACGCAAGTGTTTGACTCGAAAATACCAAGCAGGTGAAATCGATAATCTTTGAACCAGGTCTTGTTATACTTCCATCGTTTGTTTCCCCACAGGATCAGCGACGACTAGTGCGATGGGCACTTCGTGATCATGCACGGCATCCTAACGAAACAAACCTTGATGCTCATTATATCCTACCCGACGAAGGGTTGTGGAATGCACATCTTAGCTCAGATGCACCTATGGTCAGAACACGAGCATGCACTCCAGAGTCGTCAGACACAAAATACGGATACTCTGGACCAAGGCAATTGGTCTCTAATACACCGGCTGATACCGCCAATTTTCAGTCGATGTTGCATTCACCGAAGCCTCCACCCGTGCCGTCGCCGACTGTGTCGCCAGCCTCACCCACTGCACTTATTTCAAAGTTGCGCTGGGCAAATATTGGATGGTCATACCATTGGGGTAGTAAACAGTACGACTTCACCAAGGGCAAGGGTCGTGTCGACGATGAAATCGGATCCATATGTAAGCAGGCTGTCTGCAGTATCAATTGGAAAGAAGTATTTGGCCAATCGGGCGAGGAAGGATGGGGTGACGAACGTTGGAGTACTTGGCATGAGACATATGGTATTAACCCTTGAGCTCATAATTTCGACTGGCTAACCTCAATACCTGTAGAACCTGATGCTGGCATCGTCAACTACTATCAAATCAAGGTATGATGTATGTCCGAGATAATCAAGGGGAGTCTTAATGATTCCTGCAGGACACCCTCATGGCACACGTAGATCGCTCGGAAGTTTGTGCTACGTCACCTCTAGTTTCGATATCGTCAGTTATCGAGGCTTATCGTCATTGATCATTAATGTTAAAACGTGTTTTCGCGACAGGCTGGGCAACGCCGCTATCTTCCTCATCGGTGGTCTCACCAGAGACGTGGAGCCAACAGCGATTCTTCTTCGCTCGGGTGATGTTGTGATAATGTCAGGACCTGCTTGTAGACGGGCCTATCATGGTTTGTCCGAGCCCGTCGTTTGCTTACATGAGATCTGATCCATATCCGCCAGGCGTTCCCCGTATCTTGGAGGACACTCTGCCCGATCACTTCTCCCTAAATTTGGATGGCGAAGGATTTCCGAGTTGGACACCATATGAATTATACATGCGGACAACTCGGATTAATATTAATGTCCGACAGGTCTTTCCAAAGGAGTTTGACCCTGGCCTACAAGCGGAGCATCGATGATATTTTTACATTGGTAAACCACTCCATGAACCCAGTTATTTAATGTTTGTTAATTACCCATCGCTGATTACGGATAGGGATGAAGTGCGCCTTTAAAAAAAAGAAATACTTTGACAGGGCACGAGGATGCAATGATGATGATATATTCCAAATTTATTCCAAAACTTTCAGCCAATGACAACGACAATGTTTTTCAGCACTTAAATCGATCCTTGGATCTCGATAGTGGACTTTGTACTACCTCCAAAACTCTAATTATCGGGCCCAGCGTCCCAGATTGCAGTAAGCCTATACACAACCTAGGGAGGCGTGATATTCGCCATCATTGCACAGGCTAGATACGAACCAAATGAAAAGTTACCTTGTATTTCAGCTTTCAAACAAAAGGCAAGTTCAATAACCATTCTGAGCGCGAGATATTCACTTAGATACTTACATGACAGTAAAAGTGCTGTAGCATGAAAAAACAAGAACATCTGCACCGACCGCAGGGGTGCCTTGGGTCCAACCCGTAGACATATCAGTACTCCTCTTCGTACCTATCCATACTGGTGCAATGCCTCGTAAAAGCATCCCCGGGCGAAAGTGGCCGCCAAGCGCTTACCTCCTCGGCAGCGTCTGATTGAACATGTCTCGGCGTCGTCGGTGCTGATGACTCGCTTTCCGCCTCATGTTCCTTGTCATCAAAGACCTCCTCCCCGCCTAGAATCCGTGCCAAAGCTTCCATATCGACGCGTCCCGAGCCCCGACTCACCTCCATTCTGGCGGTCTCTGGTCCACGATTTGCGTGGAGTGCGACTGTGTCGGCATCTTCCTGCCACTGGAGTCTGAACAGTGGCTTCAGGGCCTCTTGTTCCTCATGGCTTCGAAGAAGTCCTTCAAGTTCACCCGCTACAAATAGTTCATCGTCATGAATGTGCTCCGCAGACCCGCCACCTCGGCTAAGAGCTAGTAGTTGGAGACGAGAAGGAGAACGCTTCGAATCGTACGACGAAGTACTGAGGAGATGCGTCGTAAAAGGAACACTTGGCGGTGATAAAATAGGTGAAGAAGTATCAGAACGCGTTGTCGAAGCGCCCGGGTCCTCGGATACCATAGGGTTCGACAGAGTATAAGATTTCGCGGACAAAGGATCAAGCAGAAAATGATACGCATCTTCGACGCTAGATGTCTTTCGTTTTTTGCGGGGCGGGTGATGACAAAGCTCAGGAGGTTCAGTAATTGAAGATGTCTCCGAAAAAAAAGCCCCATCATCCTTATTGCTGTCTTCCTCTGTCGGATCCGCCTCAATTACGATACTAGCCTTTCCAAGTGCAGTCATTTTCTTCGTCCATATCTCCTCTTGAAATTGGATGACATCCATGATTCCCTTCGCAACAATAGAGCGCTTCGGAACTTTCGATCGCGCAGAAGCACCGCGGCCCTTCCCCTTGTATACGAACTGATCGAGCCAAGGGACCTCTCGGATCCATTCCTCGATTAAATCATAGCATGCCTTGTAACGCGATGTGACTACACCACGCGCAAAGCCAAAGCGCGATGCGAGCGCGTTGGCTAGTTCACTTAGGTGTGGCAGGGGGTTGCGCGTTTCCGCTTCAAGTGCGAGAATAAGCATCGCACAGGCGATAGGAGGGGTGGGAGACTGTAGTACGTGTGTAGCGCAAGCCTCTCGGTTGATGATACCCGATAGGGAGGTAGCAGTACGCAATACCGCATGAGACGACAACGGTGTGAGGATGGCAACAAGGTCCTGAGGTAGATGAGAAGTGGAAGACACGGTTTCAGGATGTAATAAGGACTGAAGATGAGCCCAGAGGATGGGAAGATGGACAATTGAGTCTGGTGAACTTAGGTCAAAATCCAGAAGAGATACCACGGCCACGAATGCGCGCGACATAGACAGTGGTGAGTCATCAAGGAAAAAGGCAATATCGCGGAGGGAATCCGACTTATGTGCCTCACGTAGGGCAATAGCCATGGATGCACCGGCAGCTAGCTTTGCCTTGCGTCCCCACCTGTATTTGCCTTTGGTCATAGCTTGTGTGAAAATGGCTTCTGCACGTGGGGACAAACCGGGATTTTTCAATTTCGTCAAGACAGAATTGATGAAAATGCTCATGGCGATCTGAAAAGGCGTGCGGGGTGAGTAAGTAGTTTCCAGGAAAATAAGAAAAGATTGAAACTCACAGCGTTCCTTCTGTCACGCGCTTCTTTGTGCTGCCCAGCGAGATTCCATCCATGCTTGTGAATATTTTTGAGAGGAGCGGCAGAGGAAGATAGCCATGAGCCAGGTTGAAACTGGCGGACGAAAGAGTCATGCGATTCTGTATGAGAGGCAAGGACATACTGAGCAGAGTCAGATAAAGTACCACATTTTGTGCAAATGGATGAGCAGACGTCGTCGTCCCAGACAGAAGTTCCCCCACAGTCGGGGCAGGTCATGGTAGACTAAAGATAAGGCGTGGTGTCGTTTAGGGCAACACGTGTGAGGTTGAGACCCCGAAAACCCTGTACTTATTGATATCCAGGGGTATAACGGTATCACTGCGGTTCTTTGATTCTTTGATTAGATCAACTCCGTCTGCCAACCTTCAACACCACTATACGTTTTGTAGGACATGTTCGTAAGGTTCAACCGCTCAAGGTCCTCCTTAACTCCTATTTCCCTCTCAAACAGGTCCAGTTTAGGTCGCGTTGTCCTTGCTTGTCACTCAGATGTGATCAGGGTCTCTGCCTGACATTACATGCAGTGTGAGTTTCTTGTGCTTGTGGTGCGCAAACTGCTCAACTTAGATTAGTCCCTTCCCCACTACCAGCGCCAATCTGATCCCCATTTTGCTTAAATAGCGTGCTGCCCTTTCCCGTCCTTTCTACATCGCTTACCATGTCTCCTCCTGCCAGCGAATTTGAATCCAAAGGCTCCAGTCATGTCAAGCGCAGGCTTTCAAGCGTTGGCGCTGCGGGAAAACCTGTCGTCCATGCTTACTCCTCCCTCACTGTAAGTTTCATTCAGGATCCCTATCAATGCATCATGCTGATGCTGATTGCATGTTATAAGCCCATGTGGGCGGGTATTGCTGGTGCTCTCGTGAATGGTGGACAAGGTTTTGAGATCGCAATTTCCATTCATGACTCCGTCTACAACACCGATTTCGCATCGGCCATCGTGCCTTACACTCCCAGCGATCCCACCAAGTCCGCATCTGAGATTGCGAACCACGTCCTTCAGACCATCAAAAAGTTCTCTCAGGAGCACTTGTGCAAGTTCCTTGGCGCTGGTGTTACCCTTGGTCTTTTGAAAGAGGCGAGCATCCACTATCTCATTTACCAACATCGATGCTTACATATTCGTTCAGTGTCCCAACCTCTGCACTCATTTGTGGCTTGAGACTGATATCGTCCCAATCGTCTTCAACATCAAAGCATTCCACACTGATTCTCTAACACGTCCAAACGTTAAGCACCGCATCTCCTCAACAACCGGTTCATATGTCCCCTCCGGTGCTGAGACCCCCACGGTCTATGTTGATCCATCTCCACTTTTGGACCAGAACAACAACCTCCAGTCAGGTGTCGCCACCAAACTTCCAATCCCGCGTACTCTCGATGAGCAAGCTGATTCTGCTGCCCGAAAATGCATCATGTATTTCGGCCCCAACAATAACCCCCGCCTCAGCATCGGTCCCCGCAATCAAGTTACCGTGGACGCGGCCGGCAAGATCCATCTGATCGATGATCTTGACGTTTACAGGAAAACTGTTGGACCAGGCACTTGGAATGCCGTCAACAAACTCGCGGACGAATTGCGAGAGAAGAAGGTCAAGATTGGTTTCTTCTCTTCCACTCCTCAGGGGGGTGAGTAGCTTATCGTCGATTGATATATATTTCGGATCATAATCGTGATTTTTCCTGGCGCTTGTAGGTGGAGTAGCTTTGGTGCGTACTTTTCACGGGTTCCGCTATAGTTTCACTCACGCCCATGATAGATGCGACATGCTCTCATCAGGTTCCTTACTGCTCTGGACGTTGACGTTGCATGGTACGTAACTTTGTCCCCATGATCGTGTTTCTATTGTGCCTGGATGCTGATCTTTGGCAACGACTGCTAGGTATGTGCCGAACCCATCGCCAAGCGTATTCCGCACTACGAAAAACAACCACAACATCCTGCAAGGTGTTGCTGCTCCAGACCTACGCCTCACCCAGGAGGCGAAAGATCAATTTGATGCATGGATCCTGAAAAACGGACTTAGATGGACTGCAGAGGGCGGACCCCTGGCCCCTGGCGGCGTTGACATTGCTTTCATTGGTGAGTCTGTAGTCCTCACTCTCGGGTCTAAACCGCTCATCGTTGTGCCCTTCAGACGACCCCCAGATGCCTGGTCTTATTCCGCTCATCAAAAAAGTCAGACCCGAGCTACCCATTGTCTATCGATCGCACATCGAGATCCGCAGCGATCTTGTGCATGTGAAAGGCTCTCCTCAGGAAGAAGTCTGGAAATACCTCTGGAACAACATTCAACTGTCAGATCTCTTCATCAGTCACCCAGTCAGCAAGTTCGTCCCTAGCGATGTCCCTATCGAGAAGCTCGCATTGTTGGGTGCCGCCACTGACTGGTGAGTCTACTTCAAGTTTATTGCTTCATTCGTTAATGCGCATATTTGCAAGGCTCGACGGGTTGAACAAGGACCTCCACCCATGGGACAGCCAGTTCTACATGGGCGAATTCCGGAACCTCTGTACGAAGGAGAAGATGGCCGAACTCAAATGGCCTCAGCGGGACTACGTTGTCCAAATTGCCCGCTTCGACCCATCGAAGGGTATTCCAAATGTCATCGACTCTTACGCTCGCTTCCGCACCATGCTCAAGGAGGCCGGAAGGGTTACTGAAGCGGAAGTGCCCCAGCTATTGATTTGTGGTCACGGTGCTGTCGATGACCCGGATGCCAGCATCATCTACGACCAAGTCATGAATCTCATCAACTCACCTGACTACAAGGTGTACCAGAAGGACATTATTGTGATGAGGTTGCCCCCGAGTGACCAACGTACGTAACACGTATTTGAAGTTGGCTAGGGACTAACCTTCATCCTGCACAGTTCTCGATGCTCTGATGGCTAACGCCAAGATTGCTCTACAGCTTTCCCTTCGTGAGGGCTTTGAGGTCAAAGTTTCCGAAGCCCTGCATGCCGGTATCCCTGTCGTGGCTTCCCGCACTGGTGGTATTCCTCTTCAAATCGTGCATGGCAAGTCGGGCTACCTCACAGAGGTTGGCGATAACAATGAAGTTGCCAAGTACCTCTTCAACTTGTATACCGACGAGAAGTTGTACCAGGAGATGAGTGAATACGCGCGTACACACGTCTCTGACGAAGTAGGCACCGTCGGAAACGCCGCCGCTTGGTTGTACCTCGCCGTAATGTACAATCGCGGTGTGAAGATCCAGCCTCATGGTGCTTGGCTCAACGACATGTTGAGAGAGGAGACTGGGGAGCCTTACGTTGAGGGCGAGCCTAGGCTGCCTCGTGGCGGGTTGAACATGCAAGGCTAAGGACATTGGATCACTTGCCTGTCAATGCTTTCACGAAATTGTGCCTTTGAAGACATCTTGTAGTTGTTCCTAGATCCTAGCTATGATATGGCTAGTAGATGAATGTATATCTCATAAACTGCCACCCTGTGTAGTACTTGCCGCAATTTGTAGTTTTGTTGAACGTTGGACAATGAAAGCACAAAGTACTAAGTCACGCGACAACGTGCACATAACTCCGAGTCTCCGACTCTGAAAAGTGGCAATCTTTCAACTAATGACTCTTCTCTGCTTTGTTTCCCGACAAATGTTGATTCTATAAAGGCGGATTTCCTTGTTATCTTTCTTTCTTAAACGCCAACAATTCGTTGGCCACGGCCCCTTGATTAAGACCTCGAAGATGATGGAAGTCGACACTCACTCCCCATCCCCAAGGATGACACGTTCCTTCAACTATTCACTGAAGAGGCCCCGCTCTCCTGGGTCTCCAAGCCAAGAACGCCAACCGGTGCGTAACCTCACTCGCTTCCGAGATATAACGGCTCACGATTGGCTTGCTGTATGAACAGAAACGTTCATCACTTGCTTTACAGGATACGTACCCGAGTCGACGAGCATCCTCCAGCGTCTTTTCTGCCAACCAAAGCTCGAGTAATCACCATCAGCCAAGCCCAGATGATTGGGTGAGGCAAGCCAGCGACCTCTCTATTGGACGCCCACTTAGTGTCGACCCTCTTCCTTCGCCAAGTGGCGATGTACAGGATGAGAGCATGGTAAGTGGTGTTCAAAGTATTGCTCGTGAATGTGTTTCTCCAATCATTCGATTGCTAATCACATCCCAGGCACTCGACCTAGATGAACCTCCAAAGACGAACCCCACAGTGCATGTGTTTTCGCTACCACGGCTACAACAGCCATCCCGGGCACATTCTCCAACTACTCAACTAAACGCATCACAAGCGTATATTAATTCTCAGCATCCATCTCAAATCATCGCAGGGCCAGCAGATGGACGGCCATTAACACCAAGCATAACCATGACGCACCAGCAGCCTCCTTCGATATATACGCAGCCTTGTACATCATCAGACGGATCATCAAATCAGCAGGAATTACAGTCGGAACCGCCTCAAAACCACGACTTTTTACAGACTACATCATCTGGAATGCCAATCTCATCGCCACCTTCGACCAGCCAAATTCCAGGAACAATTTCATCTTCGGGGAGAAAGCAGCGTTTTACGATGGGGCCACGTGCAGACTGCCTGAAATGCAGAATGGGCGTTAAGGGGCACTGGGTGCATTTCGACTAGACATTGGAGTAGTAACCTTGCTTAATTTTAGAGGTATTATACTTTACAGATGACACTAACTTGTGTGCAGTCTACACTACTATTGTCTTGGTCCAGCTCAGTACTTATGTACAGAATCCCGGACGAGGGAGTTGCTCAGAAATTGCATGGACTGTTTTGATTTGTTTACCGAAGCCGTTGGTTTTAAACATGTCACAACAACCTAATCTGTAACTTCAGTTTTTGGTTTTTGAAATTTTGGAATGGGATCGCTGTACGACGATGGCCACTACTCTTTCCCTATTCTGGAATTTATCATCAGCATCGAAAAAAGAACGTATCAGTTCAACAGTCAAGCTTGTTAATTCTCTTGAGAAGTTTCAAGGACAGCACGCTCCCAAGGTTTCGCCAGGCTCCGAGGATGATGAGGAAAACGTTGGTTCAACGGACGGCCTGGATGTCTTGAATGCGCATGATGTCGCGTACTCCATACGGCGGCTTATAAGAGGACTTGCCAGTCCTCGGGAAAGTAGTCGGCTCGGCTTCAGCGTTGCGCTCACCGAGGTATGAGCCTCCATCTTCGAGAAATACATTGCGAGTTTACATCTATTAGTTACTTTCCCGGCTGGACACTGTCACATCTGCTCAAGTCATCTCAATCATCGTTGATGGATCGAAGATTCAGGGGTCTATGACTGGTCAAGAAGAACGTGATATCTTGTTTGCTCGCCTCTTTGGCCTTGCCACTGTCATTCACTCTGGGCTCCTTGTACGACAGACCCCGCTGTCGACATCTCCTTCATCTGCCACGAATTCGTCGAGTCTTGAAAGCTACAAGGAGCTCGTCGATCATCTTCTTATTCTCGCGGAGAAGAAGTCCTGGTTACGAGAATGTGCTTGGTGGACCATCGGGCAGGCTATTGACGCTGTTATAAAATCTTCCGTTTCTTGGAAAGAGGAAGCTCTAGCTTCTACGCTCGAGGTTGTGTACGAGCGTGACAAGGATATCTGCACACCAGAAGCGGTCGCCATAACCTTAAAATTACAGCCTGCGATGCCCAAGCATGACTGGAAAACTACCTTAGCGCCGACATTCAAAAATTCGGACATTTTGGCCCCTGCCAATTTTGCGTCCCTCGGGCGCATATTGAAGGTTTGAAGCCACATGTCTACGGTAAGATGGGAATATTGATATTTCTCGTCTGTTTAGGAAACTCCTGGCGAGGATGAGTGGCAACAGAGTAATACGGGGACATGGAAAGCACAATTGCATTACGTATGGAATATCATTTTCGACAGCTTGCTCCCTGAGAGCGAGCCAGGACGTCGCCGGAGCGCCGTATTTCAAGAGTTCTTCCGAGTAGTAGTTGACGGTATGTTTTCTATCGCAGTTTCTTGAATTTCAATCGATGCCCTACGCAGAAACATTGTTCGGGGCGTCATCTTCTCCTGAACGGAAGTTCTGGGGTTTCCTTGTTTTCAAAAAAGCGTTACGTCGTGTGGACGGTGCCGATCTCCCTATGCTTTTCACCAAAAATTTCATGCGGTCTTGGATCAATCATCTTTCTCAGAAAGACCGTCACCTTCACAAAATTTCCCAGGATGTGGTGCGCTGGTTTTCGCCTTTTTGCTCATTTTCACATTACTGATTCCACATTAGGTCAAAGATATTCAAAACTTTGTCCAGCAGAATCCTGACCTTGGTTTTACATTGATTCTGCAGCTAACTGGGATTCACGGGAGCCAACAGTTCGACAAACTAACCAGAACGAAGACCGTAGAATCAATATTGTCGAAGATGGACGGCGACGGTATTATGAAGTACATCCAAAGTTTACTCGAACAAATGGATGAGTCTGACAAGTATGTGCAATTCCGTAGTCTCCTCGGGCTTCTCGTAACAAAAGCACAGCGATATTGTTGCAGAAGAAAACAAGAAAATTTGGATCGCAGACCAGTTTGCGGCCCTCGTTCGCAACGGCGCCATCCCAAAACGTGAAGACTGGATTCAGCTCATTCTGAATTGGTTCGCTGTGCAAGGGCTATATGTGGTCAAGAGAAAGTCTGCTAAGGGGCTCCTTGCTGCGGTATGTAGGGTTGATTTTCCGACCTATGAAACAATCAGGGTTGACATCATCGCAGCTCCATGTCACCCCCTCCAATCTTCCTTCCGAGGACTTCCGGCGGATTTGTCGCGGCAAACTCCTTGGTTGCCTCGCCGATTTGACACCACCACCCACCGCATCGCCGAAAGGTCTGAGATGATTAGCAGTTTCCTGATGATTCTGACTCAATCTGATTAGGTGACAAGGCGCCAAAGGAGGGGACTAAAGTTGATGACGAATCCTGGATATCGAAAATTTTCACTGTAGTCAATCAGCTGGACAAGGACAGCAAGCACGTCACGCCTCTATCGGAGCCAAGTCAGGAGGAGCAACTGCTACTTCAACAAGCTCACAAGATAATAGATAATCTTAGGCAGGTTCGTCGCTCCCAAACTACGTTTTATCATATTCACTGTTTTAAATCAGGTTGATGGTGAGACGAGAGAGGCAGCTAAAGGAGTAGAGCTTCTCCTGTCAGCCTCTCTGCTTCATCGTCGCTGCGCCAACTTAGACGATAATGAACCTGATGCAGGGACACTTGAGGCGAGTGTTCTTTCACATTGTGAAGAATTTCCCTGATAGCTGTCATGATTCAGACTTGCCTTGCTGCTGCTGCAACCATGTTTTCTACCGACAACAGCTCCAAAAAACGCAGAAAATCCCAAACAATTTCACAACCAGAGTCCCCCAAACCAATAGACATGCTGGTTGATGTGCTCATCGGTTTTCTGGAAAAGTCCACGTCTTACCTCCGTGCGGTTGCCAACAAGACCTTCTCGTGTATCGCTAGCGCAGCTACAGAAACTACAATAGATCTTATCGTTGCCGTCAGTAATCATTGCTTGCTTACTGGTTATACATCATTTGACTTTGTTTATGTACAGCAATTGGAGCGCCGCAATCCAGCCGATCTGGTCGCTGATGAAGAAGACGAGATAGAGAGCGCAACAAGTGAAGGCAGCGATGAGGATGCTGAATCTTCCGACGAAGACGACGAGTCTGAATTCGATGACGACGACGAAGCTGCTCTCGAACTGCGGATGAAAATTGAGGACGCACTCAAAGCAAACGGCGTCGAGGCTGCCATCGGTGATACCGATGAGGAGTCTGATGAAGAACTAGCAGATGACGAGCAAATGATGGCCATCGATGAACACCTCGCAGAAGTCTTCCGCTCTAGATCTGGTGATAGCAAGCAAAGTAAAAGTATGGCATATCATCATCGTCGACGGTCACATCAGCTTAGAATCCCACAGATGTCAATGCACAGCGAGAAGCCACTCACTTCAAGAATAGAGTCTTGGACTTGGTCGACATTTTCACGAGGAAGATGCCCCAGAGTCCTCATAACCTGCGTCTAGTGTTGCCGTTGATCGAACTCGCTACTAAGAGCGGTAACGACGAGCGCCAGCTGTCTGACAAAGCTCGTGGCATCCTCAACAACAGGCTCGCAAAGCTCAAAGACCCACTCCAGGAAGTGGACCAAGAATACGCAGAGACTATACTGGATGAGCTGCATATTAGAGCTCGGAAGGCGCACTCGTCGGATGCGCTCGCGACTCTCAGTAACTGCAGTCTTTTCATTTGCAGGGTATCAACGAACACCAGCCGCGAGAAATCTGTTCTTCGGCTGTACAGGGAGTCGATAGTGGACTTCATAACCCGCAAGGCTTCCTCTTTGAACATTACGTTTTTCAAAGACTTCATCACTCGTTATCCGGCATTAGGGTGGTGCCTCCGTGACGACATACTGGATACGTCTTCGAAAGCCATCAATGTATACAGGAAATGCCAGGCTTTCCAGCTGCTCAACGTAATTCTTACCCTATCGACCTCGGCGGTAAGAGCGTTCCCCCATTGTTATTACATTCAAGAAGACTGATGGGCCAATGATAGGGTGACCCACAAGATGTCTTATCTTTCATTCTAAAACTCCACACAGCTGTTCTCCACTTCATCGATTCAGCATGTGACGACCAAGTCTCTCTCTCGGCCGCGCAAATCAAAGACCTTTTCAAATTAGTCATGGTTGGCGTTCGTCAGGCAAGCAAGGTCGATAACAGCAATCAAAACGTGTGGGATTCAGGGCCGTGGCACGCCCTGCATGGACGGCTCGTCGCTTCGAAGCGGTTCGGTTCGTCGATAGCGGTTCTCAAGCTGTGCTCTCAAGTGGAATCGGCCTTACAAGCCCAACACGGCAGACAACACAATGTGATAGCACCAAAAAGGAAGGTTGAGGAAGTAGAAGCTGAAGGTGTCTCATCTGCTACTAAGCGGAAGAAAAAGAAGAGTGTGTCAACTAGTCAATCATAAGCTGCCGCACTGTAGTTCGAAGTTCTTCCAGTCTCATTGCATCTTGCGTTGAAAGCGCGCGAGCGATTGCACCCATAAGTTTGCGCGTCCTGTAAAAGTGTTATGCTGGAAGGAGGTGGATGGCAAGCATGCACACTGACCTGGAGCGTCGTATGCGCTGTTCAGTGACAGTCCTGCAAAGCTCAGAGCGCTCTGATGCGATACGAAGAATATCGTCCGGAAGACCTGCAAGACGACCACACTCAACGCCAAACGACTCGAGAGCAACGCCAGGGGTGAGTTGATACAAAAAAGTCACATCCCGAGTTCCATTTATTCGGGTTTCCGTTGTGTAGCTCATATGCAAATTTTGCACTTCCTCGGGGAATTTTCTTTCCAATTCTGTGGCTACTAGCGGATAATGTGTGATGAACAATGTCTTGCACTTCACGCGTTCCACTAGATGATGAAGGACAGCGTCCGCAATGGCCATCTGCGTGAATCCTGTCATACGAAAATCTGGTGAAATCAAAAATGTGAACTCACCCCATCGGCAGTGGATGTACCTCTTCCTAACTCATCAAGAATTACTAGACTTTTGTGAGTCGCCTTTTGTAGTATGTCGCTCGTTTGTGCCATCTCCACCATGAAAGTTGACCGGCCGCGAGCGAGTTCATCGGACGCTTTACGAGCATCGAAATCAATATTGACAGTGGAAACCAGAAAACAGTCTACACACCTCCCATCCTGCTCAAAACCCCGTCCAATAGGCCAAGCCTAACAACTTGAGCAGGTACGTAGGATCCAATTTGGGCCATGATTACGATGAGAGCAACCATCCGCACAGCAGAGCTTTTTCCACCCATGTTAGGTCCCGTAATGACACTGCTCCTGGGATGATCACCTCCCATGTATAACGTGTTTGGAACGAAGGGATCCGTTCGTAATGCCTCAATCATGGGATGTCGTCCTTCCACAATTTCCAGGGAATCTCCTTCGATGAACTCTGGTCGAACGTACCCTTGTTGGTGGGCCACATGTGCCAGACTCAGTAGGCAATCTGCTATAGCTAATTTATTGACCGCATCCCGCATTACCGAGTAGTGGTCTGAAGCAATGGAACTGAGGAATGATGCAAAGGCCTTGTTAGCTTCCGCATTAAGAGCTTCTTTATATCGAGATAGTTCATCAATGAACTTCTTGACCTCTGGGGTATGATAACGCCTCAGGTACTTGGTTCTGTTGGCCATAAGTGTAGAACGTCTTGCCCACCAATGTGCTTACGCAGACACCACCACCCAATTAGTGGGTACCATTCGATCTTCCGACTTCTTGATTTCAGCCAAGTACTGTATTGGATGCTCAGTACGACACCTGTTGCAGTTACATCAACACACCTCGGTGCCCGCTACAGTCTTCCACGTGAGGGACGGTTTTCGGAGAAGTTTACGGACTGAACATGCAAGTCAGGCAATGTTCTCGCTTGTAGAGGAAACTTAGTACTTGACTTCAACTCCTCATCAAGCTCCGACTTCACAGTTTCAATTAGCTTCAAATATAGGGGTTAGCAGCATGAGAGAGAGGGTAAGGGACATACAGACCAACTTATACTCGTCCAAGGCTGGAAATTGCTCCGGATCTGTCCACAACTCATCTTTCCTGCCACTGGTAGCTTTCTCGATGTCGATTGCGCCCAATAAAGTTTTTATTGGTGCTTTTAACTTCGGGAGGGAAGAAAAGATATCATTCAAGAGCTTTGAATGAAACTCCTCTGAACGTTCCGGGAATGCGCGGACAATGATTTGGAAAGCCGAAAGAAGCGATGCAAGTTCTTGACATGTGCACTGAAGCACGATTAGTATAACAAATACACTTGAAACATGAGTCTCCTACCTTCCCGTACTGGATGCGGCACAGACCCTTGGCAAGGTCAGGGAGTCTTTTCAGGACACGGCAAAGCTCCACTAGTTGTGGTGACTTGCTCGACTTGATTTCTTCCACAGCATCTATTCTCTGGTTCAGGATCCTGGTTAAATAACGGTAAACGTTGCAATTGCGAAGACCCGGGAAGTACTTACAGCTTGTTTGTCAATGGCTTGCCAATCCAATTCTTTAAAAGCCGCGCCCCAAATTTCGTGGATGTGTGATCCAAAACCGACATCAATGTACCTTGCGTAGTGAAATCAGTCTGATTCTGGTATATTTCACTGTGATTGCGCACGTCAGGGAGTGTCATCGATGTGGGATAATACTGATGCATACGAACAGGTTAGTCATGGTATTGCCGTTGAGAAGCATATGACACCTCTCGGTGAACCTTGTGAAGAACTTCACACCTAAAAACGCATCGGCAATGCTGAATGATGAGAGGTATTTAATGGATTGTGCTAAAGATATGGCAACTAGTTGCGGGAGGCCGGCGACAATAGCCAGAATTTTGTCTGAAACATCATCAACGTCCAGTTTCACAGGACACAATTGCAACACTATATCTGACCTGAGCTAAGCTCTTCGGTGCTGGCAGTAGATTTGGTCGTGTAAAAATTTGTGATAAAATCAAAAGCTTCCGAACCGCTCATTGCAGAGTTGAAATGTTCCGTCCTTATTCGTTGGTCATGAGAAGCGCTGGAGGCCGTAAGGCTGTTATCAGCACAAGCTCCCCATCTGAGGAATGATATCAGTGCTTACTTCGTAAAATGTGCCAAAACCTTTCGAGTCATTTTGGTAAGACCTTCGCCAGCGACTAGCAATTCTGCAGGCCTTGTATGAACAAGTCTTGTCTGAATACCTATGTGACAGCGTTTAAATTATGATTATGTTAAACCTACCTCGAGCTCGACGCGCATGACAGTGTCTGGGTGTTTTGTTTGTCAGTTATTCCGGCGATTACTCCATTTGTTCATACCATGAAATTCGTCCCAAATAACATCGCCGGTACTTGGTGTAATCGCAATCATGCCGATGCTAATTTCACCTTCAGCAGAGTCGTCTTTACGAGCCTCTACAAGGCACAAGAGGGGTGGTGCAGAGTATTTATCGAGGTCGTCGACAGAACCGACCTCATCGACATAGCTACACCAAAATAAGTTGTTTGATTCAGTATGCAAAAAGGTCGATCCTTACGTTGCCGCTGTGTACAATTCAGCAAGTTTGCGCTCGAACAGAGTGTTCTTGTTATCGCCCGCTTTCTTGAGGGCGGCCGTTTCTGTTTGCTCTACGATACCAACTTTGTGACCTTTGGAGAGGAGCCTGGCTCAGAATAAGATGGATTCCAGGAAATAATTAAGGTTGAGACTTACTTCCTCATATGTACTTCTTTCCTGTGAACGGGAATAGAGGCAGTGAGAAGGTTCCGCTTCATATAAGCAATAATTCCGAGCTCTCCGCTAGCAATCTATCGTGTCTGTGTTCAGCAACGTGCGAAGATAGGATGTCTGGAGAATTCACTTACTTTGGCACTTTCTTCGTGGAAATAAAACTTGTAACCTTTCTCAATCATTAGGATTGTCCCAGGATGGTCTTTAATGAATGATAAAGCCTGCATTGTCGAAACAAATAATTGAGCAAGAACATTAATGGTATGCAGCACAGCCTACCTGAACCTCGTAGGGTGTATAAGTCTCGCCACTGGGCCCGATCTCTGCGGCTGCTTTAGTCTTTCTAACCAGGGACTTCTCACACGATTTCCCCTTGCCCTTGGTGGGTTTGAGAGAAAACATTGCTCGGAGTTCAGTGAACGCAGGGTCTGAATCATTTCCATTCTGAGAACTATCATCGTCCGCGCTTGAGTTCCCCTTGTCGTCAGCGTATCCAGACTGTCGGCCTGTCCCAAGTAGAATACGTTCAAAGTCTGCTCGTGAGCGTGTTTTATGTTCTTGTATGCTCGCTGTGCCAGAATGCTCCCCTCTGGAGGAGGTGTCAAAGCGCCACTGACTTGTAGGGGACTCGGGGTGTTTCGACTTCAGTTTCTTTATCGGGGGCTGCCTTTCGACGTCAGAATCATCTAAAGTCAAGTCTATGGGAGAGTCCAAAGAAACGGGTGCACGCTTCTTCGTCGCAGGGCTCTGGACGAAAAATGAAGATATCTGGGGTTGGGTATGCCTACTGGCAGACTGTCTTTCCCGCATCCTGGTCGCGTAGCAATCTCTAAGACGGAGAGTTACGGTCGCGTCATTATTAAGTAGTGCTATTACGTCACGTGTTTGTGAAATAACCTTCAACTCGAATTTGTTGTCTTCTTGTCGGTCGTCTCTTGCTTCGTCCATGTACTTCAGACTACTTCCACGTTCAATAGCTCGTGTGAGGTTTTCGTGTGACTCGAGCGTACACTCATTCTCTAGGTCATTCGCTACTGCTTCGTTACCTCCCGATGGTACCGTGGTGTCGGAGACGAATCGTGAGCATTGCGGACTGCTGCTGTGATTATCCACTTATGCATTTTTAGGTGCTGAGGCTACCCTGAAGCGTTTTTGGGAGACAGTAGGAATTTCAAAGAGAGATAATGGACTCACTGTCACACTTGATACGCGAGCGTTGAAAACACCATCTGGCAATACTCTGCTGTTACCCAGAAACAAACGGTTAGTTGCAACACTCATTGCGAACGAATGGGAAAACCAGGAAACTCTCCTGAAACCTCATGCTCTTCCAATGGTATGAGTGCTCAACGATAATCAACTTCCTGCCATTGACCTAGCATAGACTTCCATAGCCTCACGGGCCATTGATGCCCTCCATGATGAAAAAACACGCTCAGAAGTGCGAAAAGCTCTTCTTACTTACCTCGACACTGACACAATCTGGTGCGTATTTATTTCCATAAGCCCGACTCATCTAATCACAGTTCTATAGTTTTCATCATGACGACCCACCTCCGCTGGTAGAACTCCAACAAAAGTACTGGGACCCATTGCTTGAATGGGCGAGATCTACATTTGACATTGACATACAAGTCTTTACCTCAATTTTGCTCCATTCACAATCGGCAGAAACACGAACTAAGCTCGACGCCGTCCTTGCCGAGATGGATCCCTGGGAGTTGGCTGGTGAGTACCACGAAGCTGTCATTGAAGCCAAGGGGTCCATAATGACCATTCTAGCAATGGAACGCGTGACATATGTGACAAAGTCTTTCCTGATCGCGCTTGCCCTTGTGAAGAGGCATCTCACTGTTGAAGAAGCAGCTATAGCCGCACAAGTCGAAGTGTCAAGCCAGATTCAAAGATGGGGAGAGGTTGAGGATTGTGAGTTTAGCATTGCTATCCTGAGGAGGCATTCGTCCTGCAATTGCCTCCTCGTCAAACACTTGAGGCGGTACTGATTATAGATCATTTTACAGCTCACGATGTCGATTTCCACGATGTCCGCCGACAGTTAGGGAGTGCTGCTTGTCTGCTCACGAATATATTTTAGATAATGGGAATAAATATCCACCTATCCAATTGATCATCATTTCTCCAGTATATCCATATCGACCGTGGATCGAACGTCCGTACTGTTCGTGCGGAAAACTCTCCTGTCCAAGTTAGTGGCCACCGCCTCGGCCACTTTGGCTGGCTCCGTGACGTGTCCAGACGCCTGTCTTGAGCCCTCTCTGCACTTTCTCAAAATATCGATATCATTCCTGCGAGAACGTTTGAACTTTCATTGGTATGCCGAGCTATGCCGCCTATCATCGCCAAGCTAGTGGTCTGGAGGCAGTTCACTAATGCGGTTTGAGCGCTAATTATTCTCACTGTCCTACGAGAGACCTCCAGACAGATGGTGATGAGTTCCGCATTGTGTGAAATCTCGATGCTTATCCGTCGATACCGAATAGGATGATTCTACCGCGTGTGGGCCGGATTTATTGACTGTCAGGCTGAATGACATGACGATTTAGAAGAACGGTCATTCGCTCGCAAGGCCCCCCGCATTCGTACTATCAAATTGACAATGGCGATGTCATAAAGGAGAGCAAGGTGGGGTTTTTTCATAGTCCAAGCTGACCGAAGGCTCACTGCGCTTTACATACGACTCCCTAGATAGGTGGAGGTAATCAACCTCTTGGCGATTTCTTTGATTGGACGCTGGGAGAAACTTAATTTTACAGTGAGACTAAGGCACTCCGGACTCACTATCAGGAAACTCGATCAAAAGCTTATTGATCGATCATGATCTGATCGGGACGAGATCAATGCTCCGACCCAATGGGTCCGCACAACCGCTGAGCCACTCCCCCTGTGACCGTGCTCGTGACCTAATTACCTGTGTCTTTGGTGAGATACAGCTAAGTCGATAAGTTACGGTTGCCTCACTTTTCGAAGGCATCATGCTAACAACGATATCGATATCGCACTGGCAGGTCTTGGATCCGTGCGCCCTCGTGTACCCCATTATTCACGAACAATAATATCCTGCATTGCCATCTACTGCCTCCTCGGTAATTCTCATCACTTATCAACATTGATATGGAGCTAGTGTCGCTGAAAGTTCAAAGTGCAGCGTGTCTCTTCCAGATAACTGAAATCAAAGTTTTGTATATCGATTTAGCCAGGTGTGCATTATAGTATGATGTGGACGAATAGTATCAATCATAATTTGGGTCAGCTCTGACCAGATTCCCAAGCTTGATAAACCTAGACTAGCTGAACCGAGAGCTCCGAGCCCTCCGGTCTCGACTGGGCTTGTCGGAGTTCCAAAGCAATGCTTCCTAAACCTCTCGACAGTCCATACACCTCCTGCTACTGTGAGGAAAACATATATTTCCTCGTCCGTCGGTTTCTGGAACAAGAGGAGGTAAAGGCTACATGGGACATTTTTCCTGTCATCATATCGAACGTGACCAAAACGGTGAATTGCATACAGCCGGCGAATCTGTGGACTTAGTAGTATGTGCGGAACTAAACGCCGGAGTGTAGGTTGCCCTATGGAGTCAGCTCAAGGCGCCTGCTGCAAACACTGCAGTTATCTGGGATTATCATGCCATCTTGGTTCTGCGCAGCCGATCGGGGTCTCTTTCTCGGTTGCTCAACACGACGCCGGGCATAGAAGAGGAAACTTGGATCTACGATTTCGATTCTATCTTGGAGATGCCTAGTCGTTGGGAAGGTATGTTTATTATAATAATGCGCGGGCTTCATGGACAATTTAATCCCGGATCTTGTCAAGAGTATGTTGAGAAGACCTTCCCACCAGATTCAGACATCCCATCGCAGTATCGGAGGTAAACTTGCGCGCGATTGCCCCTGTCTTTGCTTGCTATCAAACCTCTATTCATCAGTCTTTTCAGGGTTGTATCTGGGGAAGAGTATTTGGGTTATTTTGCGTCGGACAGATCTCATATGGTGGGGAACAAATACCTCCGATTTGCGTGCGACCCATTTAATGATATATCTCAGTTATCTCCCGCGGCCGACTCATCGACAGAATATATTTCTCCGCCGCCTCCTTACCCTGTCATTTGTGGACCCCTGGCTGATGCACACGGTTTCACCAACAACCTTATGACACATTTTGTTTCAATGGAGTCGACATCTAAAGGATATGGGACAGTGGTGAATCGAAAGGCGTTCGTTAGTTGGTGCTCGCACGTGTAATCATAGCGTATTGCCGTGACATGTGACATTCAGCGTGACTTGGTTCCTCAGTACCGACGTTCTCGTGCCACAAGTAACTTTGCTCAATCCTTGTTCTCTTTCATTTTCTTCATTCCGATGAATGCAGCATCATCGACGTCCGTAGTATCCAATGGCTTTTCGAGCAACGGGGTTACACCTCCTACTGGGCAGTCAGAATGCTCATTCAATGGCAGCCAGCATGAGCCAACGAATTTTGCTGTGCCTAATGGATTCTCGCAGTGAGTCGGCTGATTGATGCATCTTCCTTTCTTGTGTGCGACTTTCTGATCTTTGGGTTCACCTCTCGAACGCTTGGCAATTGTGAAATTACTCAACCTACGCAGTCCTCCGTACCAAATGCACAACGAGGAGATAGTACATCACCTCTATCATGCGGGATTTCAGACTGGTGTATGTACAGGATTATTCAATGGGACGAAACCTAATCATCACCCTTTAGAATTATGCCGACACCATACTTGTAGGCGCATTTTCATCGTCCACATCAGATTATTGTACCTAATACATATTTTCCATTTAGCATGTGCATCAAAATACCTACCGCCTTCATGCCATCATTCTTTCAAGATCGCCGTTGCTAGCGCATCTTATGTCAACCTCACCTCAGTCAGGAGCTCAGCGTGTGATATATGTACAGCTTGAACATGAGCCAGAGGTTACCCAAGAAGTACGTGTGCCATTTACTTCTTACTTCGTTCATTTCCGGCCACCGAGCGCGGGGGAGAGATAGGAAAGTCACATTTGATTCAAACTCAAGTGCGATGCAAATTTCTTATCGTGTACAACCACGGTCTTCGGAGCCCGTGCTGGGCGGAATTTCTCATCTGGAGACTGCAAGAGCTGACAGAATTTATTATTACCCCTGCAGGGCTTTGCCATAGGTATGTACAATCGTGTCCTGGTCACGTCTTTACCTTGTGTTCATTTCCGGGGGCATTTTCAGCGCTAGGATATCTATATTCATCGGTTTCGCTAAGTCTCATCCGGCCTGACAACGCACGAGGCGTACTTGCAGCTGGTTGTCTACTGGGAGGCATGGATGAATTGTGCGGTTATGCTTATGATGGATGCAGACAGTCGATCAACGTGGAGACAATCAATGAATGGCTCACGTTCATCGACACGATTCCTTCATCGCCGGATGAATCTCTCACCCCTGAGCTGTCGCTTACGTCTGTCTTCGGTCACTTTGCCCAAAGATTGCGGGATGATGTTTTTCACTTCCTCGTGGTGACACTCCCCAACGCCCTGGAAATTAATTCATCCGAGTCGGACCCATCACAAGGCCACACCGGTCGTGACACCCTGTTGCGTGTATTTTCCCTTGTGCCCTTCGACATGTTTAAATCGGCGGTCGAATCACGCGCGTTTGAAATTGGTAAATGCTGCTATCGGTGATCATCATTGTACCGAACATTTATCTTTATATTCACAGGATCTGATCAAAGTCGTTTTAAGTTTGCGAAGGATGTTATAGAGATGAGGAAGAAGGGGATTGCACGAGGGCACGGGGCAGAAGAAACGGTTGTTTTAGCATTCGGCGGAGGGCATCCTGGTGGAAGCGCCGTTCACGTCACTCGAAAGATACGAAAGCGGCCCCTATGGAAGGTCAACTCATGAAACTGAATCTTATTGGGAAAGTCGTATTACGTGACTTTTACTCTTGCAATCCTAGTTGACCTATTTTTTGCTCCTCGTTGAGGTACTCAGTGCTCACGCGCGCCAATGCTCCTGAGCGTTAGTTTGGAGTGAAAAAATATCCTTGAAATAGGCTGATTATCTATCGTGTAATCTGAAAGGCAATTGACTTGGCAACGTGCGTTATTGGCCTTCAGAACGCTCCGGAACTTGCAACTGAGCATTAATATTGGACCGGGTCGAGGACGCTCAGCGTAGCGGGCTCGCCTTCGCCGTACACGATTTATCCCGTGCATGTGCATACCGGTTATCGCCCGATATAGTAAAAAACAGGTTCCGAGAGCATACCGGATGAATATTGAATTATCCACCTCAATCCCGAAATTGGTGACGACTCCGGACCCTTTTCGGTTTTTTTAGATGAAGGATGGCATCGCCTTGCATCGCTTTATCTATGCGTGTAAGCTTCTTCCTCCTCGAAGTGCACCATGATCAAAATAATATCCAATTTCCGTGACTGAGTATCACGAGTTGCATCAACCTGGGGCTTGCAAGACTTGCTCCGGGGATATAAAGCCAGCTTCAATCCACAACTATGAAAAAATAACAACCTCTTCATTCCAATGGCACGCCCCTCCTTCGAGATTTACTTCACTGGCAGAGATGATCCTCGCGATGGCTGCATCGTCATCGGCGAGGACACTAAGCCTGTTTTTTTCGAGTTCGAAACACAATACATGTCACCCTCTACAGCGCGCACCACCGTCAGTCTCGTCTTCCAGCAGCTCTGGCAGACGTACATCTAACTTGCAAATTTTTGTTTCAGATATCTAGCAATCGTAATCCCGTGGCAGCGCTTGACTGGCTAAATGGGGGCCTCGGTGTTGCCACTATCGGTAATCGCGAAATTCCAATGTCACATATGGTCCAACAGGGATCCAGTTCATCGTAAGTTGGCATCAGTATGTCCTGTCCCAATGACTAACTCGAATTTCAGCGCTCGTAGGTTTCCTTCTGCGGACGGTCACCAGTACGAATGGCGAAAGTGTCACAATGACCCCAGGTCGTACGAGGCAAGTCCATTTCAATATTTTCAAATACCATCCGCAACATGCTGAGTCTCCAAAAGCTCTTCTCCGCACACAGCGGAAGAATCGCAAAGTTCCAGAAGCATTCCCAAGCCACGCCAATTGGTCCTTCGCATGGAACACTGCAGTATAGTTTCAGCCACGACCTTCTATTGCTCGAAGCTTTGCTCGCTCTGAATCTTAATAGGTGGCTAGATTGGACCGGGTGAGCTGTTGGTGGGAATAACAAGGAATCTGTATATGCATGTATTACTGCCTCTGTACGAATATCGCTATCTGAACACCCAATGTAACAACAAATTCTCCATGCAAGTAAGATCAGGCTGACGAGAGAAGATCAATATATCATAAACGATTATTAACTCCAGCAATCAGGGATTTCTCATCGATCCCAACATGTGTTCCAGTTTTTCTTCAACCGTCCAATGCATATCGGTGTCAGAGTGGAATGATAATGGGGTAGAGCGGTCAGGGGGTAGGTTACCAAAATTGAATGAACCGGCGTCCATTCCCTGGGAAAGTGACTCGATCAAACGACCAATATGAGTGGAGGAGCTTGGAGTTGGACAATTAGTACCGAACTTCCGCGTACTGAGCGCAGAACTGACCTATAAAAAACCTGCTCCGGCGTTAGTTTGACGTTTGATGATGATCCAAAAGTATTCACCTTAGTTTCAGGTCGGTTCTTGTTCTGGGATGGCTTTTTACGGGAAAGGAACGATGAACTACTGCCCTTTGATGTCGATCTGCCGTGTTCCTTGACAAATACTTGCAGGCCTTCAGTGTTCTCGCGCAAAGAATAATCGGATGCAAGGCTTGTTCTGCTGGCATAAACCGATTCAAGGTCGTCGTCACGCAAGCCATTCACTATTGACCTAGATAAAAGTCAGTTATTGAATGGGTGATCATGATAATCCCCGATCAGTGACGGACCAGATTGTTTCGCCATTTGCCATCTCGATCAGTTCAAGGGCGGCGCCTTCGGGATGACCTTCTTCATGAGAGCTTCCAATGTCCACCGCATCGTCAGCGGGCGCATTTGGATTTTTGCTCTCACCAGCATACATGTCGTATCTGATGGTAAAAATTAGACACGGAAAAACAGGCAAAATAATTACCCACAGAGAATCATACGCAGAGCTCGGCTTCTCTACAGGTGCAGCTGATGTTGAAGGGTGTAAAAGAGCCTCAGCTTGCGCAGTCATTGATGCGGGTAAAGGAGGTGACCGATCAGTCGAGAATCGCTTCCCTCCATTGGACTTCGGTGGCGGCGGGGTAGGTGCGCGGTCATGCACTGAGCGACCAGAGTGTGCAGACGTGGCGCTGCCCGGCCGACGATGACGCTTACCCGAAGGCTTACGCGCCATCTGACTCAAGTCGGTTTTAGATGCACGAAAGTCCGAGGGAAAGATAAGCGTTCTCCTGACAATAGCGGGATTCTCAGGAATGGCTTGATGATTGTGACTGGATTCCCCCGTTTTGCGAATGGAGAGTTTTCTCACAGTCCTATCGTCTCCTCCGCTGCTGATGCCGCCATCATCACTGAATTGTGGTTCTGGGAGAGGTGATCGAGATCGCATGGCTGAGAGGTCACCTCGTGCTACGGATGAGCTTGCCGCGGCGTTTGATGGATTCCTTGACAAAGACCAACCCGCTGTACGTGATGAAACTGAGGCGGACCTTGCTAACAGGTCATTTAATGCCGCTTGATCAAGACCGAGATTGGTAGCTGCTTCAAACAACTGTTTGACGGCAGCCGAATCATTGCCCATTGCTGACGGTGCATCAATGCTTGGCCGACCGCTACCTACGTTAGACATGGAAGTGGGAGTCGGAACGGGTGCCGATGTGGATGAAACGGTATTAACGGGAGAAGCGACCAGGCCTTGACCATGATGCGACGAAGTCGTCGGAGAAGAAGCGGTTGGAGAAGCTCGTGAAAGCCCGTTTCCGTTTTCAGGTTGAGCATCCGCTGCACGGGCTTTTCGGAAGCGAGACATGAAGCCTCTCAGGCCAGGAGAGGCTGATGCCGGGGGACTGGACATCGACGTCTGAGACTTGGCCTTGCCCAAATCTGTCGAGCTTCCGTAGGCAAAACCCTTGGTAAGAGGTAATGTCGGCCTGCGATTCAGAGAAGCCGAGGGAGGTGCGTTGTTGGGCTGGAGGTCGATGGGGAAGGGAGTGACCTCTTCACCACTCGGAGCTGGTTGTTTGATTTTCAGAGTATTACGGAGACGCCGCATCCTCTGGGTGATGTTCAGAGAGGGCTGAGGGGCGATAGGAGTAGGAGTAGGAGACTGCGGCTGCTGAGGAAGAGGAATGGTTTCTACACTGGTAGGTGCTGACACTAAATGGGGTGCAGATATTTGGCTGGGGGTAATTTTCTTCCGTGTCACAGATATGCTTGAGGCGTTGGCGTCAATAAATTTCTGACCAGAAGACGTCTTCATCAAAGCAGCAGTAGCAGCTTCGGCTTTCCGCCGAACTTCGTTTACGAGTTCGGCCTGATCCATCAATGGTCGAGGGCTTCTTACCGAAGCCGAGCGGAATGGGAGGCTATATGGTGACGCATTGGATGAGAGCTGAATATCACCTTGAGCAGGCGACGCGACTAGCTGAGGAGTTGTTTCCGATGGCACCTGAATCTGCGGTGGATCGTTGGACTGCGGTACGACCTCCACAGGTGGACTGTTGTCCTGTGGTATATCCACAGTTCCTTGCTCATCTCCGAAACCAAGGGCACGAGCTAAATCCCTATTGCGACGCGTGGTAGTAGGGGACGCCTTGATCTCTGAGGGTTCCTCTAATTCCACCTTGTTATCGGTCACGACGCCAATCGTAGGTGCGCGAGGAATGCTCCCCACGACGGAGTCAAGTAATGCATGAGCCTTGGCAGCTTGGTCAGGCGCTGGGGAGCGCCGTCCGGTGGGGGACACCTGTACCTGGGCAGGAGTAGGTTGGTTCGGCGGCGGGCTTGCGACCTGTGATAGGTCATGAGTCACGAGTAAAAACGAAGTCAGGGAAGAGGACGAACCCGGTTATCACGACCGTTCTGGGAATAGTTCGACTGTGAGGTTGATGGCCTCCGTCTCCGCAGCGAGTTGCTCCGCTCTCGAGGCTCTGTACTGCTTTCTTTTGCACGCGCAGCGCTCACCAGCTTGTCTTGAATGACCATGAAATCAGATTTGGTCAGACCTGCATACCGCCGTATGATGTCCTCAAAGTCCTCATCATCCTGCAAGCTACCTGGAGTGACGGAGCTTGATTTGTCCAGATCATGCCACCTAGACTGTTCGACATCACTAAAGAGGTCGAGAGTTACATCTTTCTTCTGCCCAGCAGACCATGAGTGGTAGCTGGATCCAGTCGACTCCAATGAAGACCGAGATGAGTTGGCCAACGCCGAAAAGGCAACAGGCTGAGCAAGCCCGAGAGAGAAATGTGAGGATGACTTAGAATGATGTTTTGGAGAGCGGACGGTAGTATGGTGGGAGAAACCCGGAGAGTCGTTTGAAGAGAATGCGGGAGAGGCGGTAGTGGACCGAGACTGAGTGGGAGTGGGGGCCCGCATACTGCGGCTCGAAAACGAAAGTGAGGATCCATAGTTGACGACACCTGAAAGGCTGGATTGGGAACGATGATCTACAGGAGCAGGACTAGTTGAACGATTCCACGCTCCAGTATTGGCCACTTGAGGGTAAATGGGACTCTCAGGAGGCACGGGCACGCGAACTGGCCGATTTGGAGATTTAGGTTTATCCGCATTAGATTGGAAGTCGGTGTCCGTGCTCAGACTGCCGTTTCTACTGTGACTAGATGAGCTACCCTGCCTGCTGTGAGTGCGGTTGGATTTAGAAGGTGTACTAGAGGGTGAATTGACATTCCAAGTGATGTTCGATGGAGTACCCGGTCGAGAAGATATGACCATGGGTCGGAAGGCCGAACCCGTCAATGGAGATACGGGCTTCCTCCTAAAGGCAGATGACACAGAGGCTTCCTGGTCAGTACTACTCGCGCTCTCACGTTGACTGTCCGACGAATATTGACCACCAGCACTACGTGACAGAAAAGAGCTTGCAGGTGGGGCCACGGACGGCGAGATAGGTCGTGGGGTGCTGCGAGATGCGTCTGAACCTCGCCGAAGTAAACTTGAAGTGAAGGTGGTGGTGATGAGCGAAGACAATCCATTCACGTTTGGGAGCGTAGGCGACATCGCACGTGGAGTTGCAGAATGCGCACGCGCATCATCAGAGTCAAATGAAGGATCACGAGGCGTCATAGGACGGGGCATGCCAGGGATGTAACCTGGAAGACGAGGGGTGGGAGAGATGGTACCCGCACGACCCAGCGGGGTTGGAGATAAGCGTTGCATCTCGGGGTCGATGTTCATCTGCTTATCAGATAATATTGCGGTTCCGCCTTCGTAGTCAATTGGTGATTGAGTCTGACATTATGGTTAGGTATCATGTAATGCATGAAGAAATCAAATTTTCTACCGAAGCTCCCGACGCTGAATCACTGGCTGGAGATGAAGCACTCGACTGCTCTACGTCACCCGACCGTGGGGCAGGATGCGCTGTTCTAGGCATGAGTATCTCATCCTCGGCCTCCTCTTCAAAGTCCCGTATGACACACTCCAGAGCAAGTTCAACGCGCTGAACGCTGACGGAACTGTTACCTGACAGGTGCGTGCTACCTTTGTTGGTGTCCCCAAGCGCCTGCGAAGGAAAATCTTCGACAGAGGATATTAAAGAGGTGGAACGAGCCAATGGAGTCTTCTCGTTGGGACTGGAAGGTACTGAAGATACAGGACCGCTGCCTTCGGGTGTTCCAGGTCTCAAACTCTCAGAGTAGTTTGACGAGGGTTTTTCTCTGAGACTATGTTCGGAGTCTGATGGTGTTATAGAAGCTGCGCCACGGCTGCTACCGCTTCTTTGCGACACAGAGCGGAGATAGCTGTACTCGCGAAACCGTCCAGATGCAAAAAGATTGTTGCTGTACCTCTTTGTTGAACGCGAACTCGGCGACGGGGATGAAGTAATAGATGAAGCTGGGTATGTAGTCGAAGAGGTCGTGGTGGATATATGGGAGGTACGCTCATGGGTGTAGTCAGATTCCATTCCCATGTCGGCGACATTAGCGCCAGAGTCGCCTTCAAGTTTACCGCTTGAAGTGGTACTGGGCACAGCATTTTTGGCACGCATCCGTCCTAGTGTCTCAAGGATCATGTCCTCTTCCTCCTCTGATATCGGGTTTGGCACACCACGGGCTCTCTGTTCTGCAAACTTGGACCTGAGATCGTCAAGCGTAAGAGGATCACCGGAGGAGGAGCGGAGAAGCGTAAAACGGCGAGTAAGACTGGGTACCTGCGTTGTGAGAAAGCCATCAAGGTTGACAAGACAAGTCTGTTACGCACTCTGGTAGTATGAGTGATGTCCGAAAGTCACTAGCAGGCGGGAGTTCTGGTAATTGAGATGTCGGTGTGAACCAGTCTTCGTCAGACGGGCGGCTCCTGGTAGGGTCGGACCTTTTGCTAAGGCACGTCAACAATAAAAGTTAAAGCGAAGAAGAAGCCGCAAACGCAGCGGCAAAATGACGAGATATATGATACGCGAATGAGACTTGTAATTGAAAGGGTAGAGAGCAGCCAGGCGGCAGACTCACCGGAAACGATGCATGTCTTTTGCTGGCAGGAACCCTCGTTTAGTACACGAGGCAGGGCGCTTGGAATATTGGATCTCGAGACTTTTCTGGGAAATGAGTGTGCAACGTGGTGAACACGAGTTGGTGTGTTTACGGGACGATCAAACCAAATATCCCTCTTTCAAACTGCACCGTCAAAAAATCCTAATGGGCCTAAGACCACAACGTAAAGAAAGATAACGGGTGAGTGGAACGATGAAGGAGGGTGTGAGTTACGTGCTTTCGCTCATCTGAGTCTTCGGCGACCCAGTGAGCGCTCTGAGACTCATGAGAGTCCAAGGAAATTGCTACCGTGGCGAAAAGCAGTGTACACTGTCTTTATTTTGAACAAGTCCATCCATCCTGTTACTCCCGCCTCCAAAGTTCATCCAGGTATTCAACGGAACAAATCATCATCATCATCATCATCATCATCATTGGATGTCCTCCACATTGATGGCAACGACTGAGGTCGCAACACCCTGCGTGCCAAGCCCTCAATCCTGACCAATATCTCCTCGCCAGCGTGTCTTCGTTCCAGGCCTCATGAACACAGATCTAACTCCCTTCGCCTCACACGAACTAGCTTCAAGTATGTAAATAATACACACGCGGGGCTTCAGGTCAGTGACACCCGCAAGATACCGAAATTCATTTACGACGACCCCTTTATCTTCCGGAGTCCCAGTCCCATTACACAAGGATGTAAAGTGAAGGGCTGCCGCAGTAAGCGGTTTGCTACACCCGAGCCTACATTGCGTGCCTGACGCCAGAAAACGATCATTAGTACAGTTCATATTGCACGAAAGAAGCCTTTTATGAAACAGGGTAAGATGGCGCTTACTTCTTCGTGAACTCCCTGGCTGTCGCTAAGAACTTTGGTTTGTCGTTCTTCAACAACTGGAAACGAAAGCAATTAGGGTGAATCAATCAAGATCATGACCTAAAATCTCACTGCAGCGATTTCAGGCTCGAAGGGATCGTCCGGGCTTGGATTGTTTACTTTCTCTTGAATAACCGCCAGCACTACAAATAGCTATCAGCCTGAACCAATCACAGGGGCATTCCCGAGGTTAGTTTCACCTGTTGATAACGTCACTGACGGCTTCCACTTGATGAGGCAAAAAGATGAAAGAGCTTGATTACACTATCCATGTGGGTGAAGAGGACGGCTGCCTCACCTCATCGCGAAGAATAGGAACGCAAATATGGCCCTCCTCGTTGATGCCGGGATGGTAAATCTTAGTTAAAAACGTGACCTAGCGATGCCGTGGATGAATTCCTACGTAAATGACACGAAACGAAACAAGAAGTATGAAGTGGAGGTTAGGAACTCAAGTGAGTAACTGATGGACATGGTGAAACGTTTCGGGGTTCGATGTGGATGGGTGTAGATTCTAGAAGATAACTCACACTCGGCGCCTTGAATGGAAAATTCATCGGGAGCTCGATCTTGAAGTGAAATATTCCGTTTCTATATGGGCTATCTGACTTATGCGCAGCAACGTGAGTGAAAGAGGAGGGGAATTGAATGCCGCTAGTGATGCTTACGGAGCCTTTCACTGAACACTTCCAAACGAGCAAGTTATCCGCTTCTGGCTCGACTGTTATTCCCTAAAGACCGCTATTCTGATGAAGATTTATCTGCGGTACAACGGGTTACATACATCAAGGGGCCTGTTTGTGATATCTTGGAGCTCCTAGACAGCATCCAGGGGCGCGAGGGTCAAGTTCAGGACTCCTCACCAAAGAGAGGAAGGGCACCTTATGGATTCGCCTGCAGATGATTGAGATCGTGAATCAGTAAATGCTTTATTGCTTCATACCTAAGAGCAGTCATCCTCTGTCTTGCTTGGAGTCACGGTGGTATTGAAGTAGAATGACAGTGACTTGACTAAAACGGAAATACCTGGATATACTACAAACTTGACCAAATCTAGCCAAGCCTTTCACCAACGCTTTCGACTGTCATCGCAAGCAATGGTGGTTGTTGCAGATTCAAGCATCGTAGACGGACCAAACGGTTCGAGGCCATCTACGCCCTCGTTAGTTCCCACAAAAAAGCGCAAGGTCGCGTCTAATCCAGAAGCATCTCCTGCACCCAACGACCCAAATAACCCAAGCACAGCAGCCAATGTTGCTTTACCCACCCGAAACGACTTCTTCTCTCGTCCTCGCCTTACAATTTCGCGCTGCCCCACCTTCCCGGATAGTTCTATAACGTTTCATACCACAGAACAGCTTGCTATGAACCGTATGGGGTTCAGGTACGTCCCAGCAGGTGTTTCGCCCCCGGGATCTGCCCTCCCATGTCGAACAATCGAAAGTCTCCCTACGAGCTACAGAGTTAGCTGGGAGGACCGCAGCTCCTTCGTAAAGGTCACTCCTGATGGTCTCGGGTTAATCGGTGAACGAGGGTTTAGGAGTGCGCGGTGTAATGCACCCGTCCGTGAGGGCAAGTGGTATATGGAGGTCCGCGTCGAGGATGGCGGAGGAGATCGCCCCACTCATGCCCCAGATATAAACATGCGCCAGGGAAGTCATGTCCGGCTTGGCTGGGCGCGACGGGAAGCACTTTTGAATGGCCCAGTTGGCTTAGATGCATATTCATATGGCTATCGTGACAACAATGGTGATAAGGTCTATCTATCGCGCCCCCGCCCTTATGGTCGTTCGTTCCGTAGTGGGGATGTTATTGGCATGTACATATCCCTTCCACCTCGATGCAAACCCGATCCCCGTGATTCTCACGACCCAGCACATATCCGACGCGAACGCATCGCTATCGAGTTCAAGGGCCAGGAGTATTTCGAAAGTCTCGAATATCCTCAGATCAAAGAGATGACTGCTCTTATGGACTTCTCCAATAAATCAAGTAATACAGCGTCTCTTCCATCTGCCTCTTCCAACAAGAAGGCTGCATCAACAAAAAACCTCCCAGAACGAGGCGCACGTCCTGGTCAGGTACCAGCAGCTCCCGTTCTCCGCCCTTTGCCAACCTTGCCAGACTCTTACATCGCGTTCTTTGTCAACGGCGAATGTCAAGGCATTGCATTCGAAGACCTTTTCGATTACCTGCCTTTGCGCACGACGCCTGCGTCGAGGAAGAAGGAAAAGGATAAGAAGCGAGCGCGTGAAGGGGCCCCTCGGGAACATAAAGAAAATCCGTTTGATGACGGGACGCTGGGGTATTACCCATTCATCTCCTTGTTCAACTACGCCCGCGTGCGCTTAAATCCTGGTCCAAATTTTGACTTTCCACCTCCCCCGGACATAGACAGTATGCTCAAGGGCACTGATCATAATGTAAATCAAGCTCAGACTTGGCGTCCCATCAACGAGCGGTACCCGGAGTTTATGAAGGAGCAGTGGGATCTGGACGATCAAGAAGAAGAAGAGGCTACATTGGAAGCGGACAAGAGAGCAGAGGTTGAAAAAATCGAGGCACAGAAGAAAGCGCAGAGGGACAAAAACAGACAGCAGAATGAAGCTCGGAAGAGGGCAAAGAAAAATGCAGAGCTACGAGGGTCTTCGGTTGCAAGCGCCCGAGCATCTACAACGGAACCTGCAGTTCCCGTTGATGACCGCCTCGAGTTGTCTGTCTTGATCGCGTCGACATCACAAACGATAGAGCGTGGAGCGGATCAGATGCACTCCCCTGCACCAACAGCTACGTCAAGTGGTGATTTTAATCACGTCCCAGAAGTGGAGAGTGGGTACAACTCTGAGGTCATCGAGGGAGATGGAGAAGAAGAGCAACACGATGGATTTGCGGCAGACGTTGATCATCACGACGACGACGATGACGATGACGAAGTGTTTAGGGAAGCCGCAAGTCCTTACCGCAAATCACGGACACAAAATAATAGCTCTTCTGTTATGGACATCGACCTGGAAGATCTACTGTAATACTTAGATCTATATTACCTCACATGTTTAATCGGACGTGAAGGATGACAAGAAACGTGAAACATGCAGAAGTAGCAGTGACCTTCACTCGCAAGAGCGCAGTGTATTTGAATCGATTGTTCGCGTGCGATGAGATTAACAGCCTCGTGGGAGGGCGTAAGGCCTAGGTAGACTGTCGGATATGAAACAAACTATCAAGACAATTCAAGTTAAAGCGGTTAATATGACACCAAACGTGATGTGGGGCTCAGGAGACGCCAGCCAATGGCTGGCAAATTTTTCCAGAAATTGGACCTCCCGAAATCATCGGCGGAGAGCAGATTTCGAACCAGGCCTTTCTCATCAGATAGATTATGTTGCATGGCGCAAATTCAATTCACTTTGATGTCCAGAATGTGAAAGGACTCCGGGGGCTGCAAGCATCGTGTCTGAGTACTGAGTGTTTGCAGGTGTTAATGACAAGGTCAAATGGGCGGCCATGTCGCTGGGTCAGGGCATTCAGCCCACCTCTCCCAAGCACGTTCACCGATGCGACACACAGCGTCTTGTCTCTGCCTTCCAAGATGGCGACGAGAATTGACGGGAGTGGCCAGGCAAGAGGTTCAACTCTGGGTATAGATGATCATAAAAGACGGCGCAACTTGAGATGATGAGCGTGCAGATCTACATATACATTCATCAGACCAGGGAGGAAACTCCCATATGAAATGGAAAAACCCACTGCCACATGGTAAGAACGAAAACGATCTGTAACAGAACTCCTTACGATGGAAAGAACCATTTTCACCAGCGATAGTCGGTTAGTTGCGAGAACAATATTAATAAAGTGCGATCATATCAAATGTGCGCTTTGTCTTACCAAAAGCCCGCTTCGGCCTTCGGCACCCTTGGCATATTTGTGCATCAAGTGACGCTCACGCATTTCCACCGATGCGATTCGAAGTGTCCGAGCCAATTGATTCCGAGAATGCCGTGCTGCCCTTGAAACTTCTTCGAGTTCTTTGGGGTGGTTCGTATTGACGCGAGATCATCCGGAGGCCTACAGTTCCCATCAATCAGTTGCGAAGCCTTACGATCATCAACCCAACAGCCAGCGTCTCCCGCATTTGAGCCAGGGCTCCAGTGCGATAAATAGGTGGATCATACTGTAAGACTGATGAGGGTTCAGGGACATCTTCCTGTATCTCTCTTCCCATTACATCGACAATACGAATTTTATCTTTCTTGAAGCACGAGGAGTGCTAATTCTAGCTGATAACAATGCACGGATTGCGTCTCCTGCGTCCATGCGCCCGCTAGCAATCAATACAGGAAGTTCGTGTATCCTATCTCGACCGAATGTGTCGATGACGGGTTTTCCTCATGGTGTTGTGGCACGAGAAGCGGGTGTAGTAAAAGGCCTAGCTGAGACCGGATCGTCTACGACATTGCCTTAAGAGGAACCTTTATTCCTTGATTTTGGGACATTCCTCGCCCGTGATGCATGACCATTATAAGAGAGTCGGGTTACGGGTGATACTTGATGTTCGACTTCAGCAGTTGACGCCTCTGATTCCGTCACATCACATCAAAGCGCACTTTGGGAATGCTCCTTTTCGTTCTGATAGACCTAACTTGGATAGAGCGTTGGATCCATTTTGAGTTGTGGAGTAGTTTGGGGTCGACATCCATGCGCAGGGGCACGTGTCTGAAGAGATTTAGCACGCAACAGAGATTGTATAAATGTATTGACATGAATGGGCCATTGCCTGCCGGGGCCTCAGGACTTTGAGCGTCGCTCGGGTTCAGAGTTGGCTCGAGGCAGAGGCGTCCATGACGATCATGCAATCGGAGCCAACTCAGTGGAGGAGGTAAGAGGTGGCGATGTCACCCTGGGAGTGTGCTGGGGTGAGGGCAGGCGTAACAGTCTACCCTCGGGGAAGTCTCGGGGTCTTCATCGTGGTGTAGTTCGGATTAGCGAAGCTATCTTCATCCACTCGCACAGGAGTGACATCTTCCCTACCTCAGGATCATTCTGAGACGGAACTAGTCAGCGGCAGCGTCTCGGGAGTAGAAGAGGGTGGCATCGTCTGCTCCCCGCCCTGAGACTCAGAGAACTTTAGAGAGGGGGCAGAATGGAACGAGGCAGCTGATATTGAGGCGGGAGCTCTGAGTTGAATATGTGAGCCTCGTTGTCTTCAAGTTAGCAGTGAGGGTGGGGGATTGTGGAGATACTGTTTGTAATGAGGTGCTGAAGACTGTGAAGTAAAGGGAATTGACACTCCAGGCTTACCATCCTCATCGTCACCGAGACTTTTCCTTTTGCTCTGTTCCCTCGCACGGTCGACATCATGGGTAATGTCCATCTCACTCATGCGGAAACCGTTTCTCCGCTGTCTTGTGAGAGGATATCTTCCGCTGGGTGAATCTGATAAATGTATTGAATAAGGCGCATAGGCGTGCTGCTGAGGTGTCGGAAAACATCGTAGAAGAAGTAGATGGTCCACGTTGTAAATATTACTGGGCCATAGCTATTCGGAAGAGGAGGAGAACTGGCATTCATTGGCATCCGAGGAATGGGCTGATTGTTCGTCGTTGTCAACAACATCGAAGACTATCGAAGAGCGCACGCGCAGAAGACCAACGATGGACGTAAGGTCCATATCGCTACCTTCGTGAGTGAGATGGGATTTTTTAAAGGCTCTGGTGTGATGGAGGGTCTCCATGATCGGATCGGCAGGCGCGCGCGTCGGCCAACAGCTTCGCGATCAACTGTTTTAGCTGTGTGGCCTGCGTGGATAGATCAGGAAATGTAGCTGGTCTTGCCAAGTACACGCTTTTTGTGACGAAGTTTGTCACCGGGTTCTGCTACGTCCAGAATTTTGTTTCTTCGGGATCTACGAATGAGTTTCTCATCATGCTTGGGGCAGCGACAGAGACTTGAGGAAATATCGTGCACGTGGGTATAATGGCATTACATCGCAATTTGAAAGGTATTGAAACAGTTCAAGTAAGACCAAAAAATTATGCGTTAGCGATACAGTTCAGCTTAAAGAATACGGAATGATGTCATAAAAGCAATGGTGAGATCTAGAAATACTAAGCGTCACGTTCCAGGAAACCACTTGGGAGGAGGACTTCGGACTGGATATCTGGGGGGTACCACGTTGGTGAACCTTTTGAATACAAACAAAGACCGATTATAAACTTACCCAACGCTGACACCAATCCCTTTCTCCATCTCGACACGAATGTCGAATTCCAACTCCTGTGTCTCAGGATCGCACGAGACCGCACACCAATTCCGTCGCCCCATTATATACTTGTTTTGGAGGCGATTGTTACCATTTGGTTCCTTCGTAAAAACAGGAAGCTACAAGAATTACCGCGTGAAATCATTTCTAGGATTTGAGGCGTACCATGGATTCATCAGTTTCTGCGTGATGCAGCGTTCTATGAGTCTTAGTCGCCAAAGTAGATACCATGGCGATCACTCCATTCGGTGGCCTTCAATTCGCTTAGCGTGCTTCATCACGCATAAAAGATGTATTACTTACGGTGTGTTGACGATTGCACCTGAAACAAGATTGAATCCCGGATTTTGAGAGGGAGTGAAAAGAACATACTTGTCACCACGTTGAGCATGTATCTATAATCGGTTTCGGGTGGAACATCAATCGTACGGTTGTTCTTTCCTCCGTTGCTGCGGACCAGTGTTTTAAGAACCCCTACGGCGGCGCAGTGGACATCGCCAGAAAGAAACGAAATACGTAAACTTTTCATCCTTGCTATTCCTTGCATCTGTTGAATGAACCAGTTGCGCTCTTTCTGCAAGGCATAACCTCGTTCAGTTGGAGCCACATGTAACGTTTGTTTTCGAACCTTGTGAGACTTCGCGGTCCAGTGGTCATTCTACCCAGACTATCAGTTACATTGGCAACGCCACGTCGTGAGAGGATGGCATACCAAATCATCCAGTAACTCAGCGTCTGCGTTAAATTTGTTCACAAAACTACTGAACCCCGCGGTTCCGCTGCGTCCAAGAGCAGTCAAGGGATTCAACTTGGAGTCTAGCGCAGTTTCAAGGAAAACCATTCGTGGATACGCAATAGGGATTCCTGTGGATCAATATGAAATGAAAGTGATGCTGCGATCCTATTGAAGGCCGTACCGAGTTGCACAACGAGATGTTTTACGTCCGGAGGTAAATATCTGATTCGTTCAAAAGCCTTTTGGTACTCAAACGCGCTGCAGACCTGGCTCCTTTTTCTCTCGGCGCTTGTAGCGGTAATGCATTAGCATTTAGGCCTCTAGACATCGTGGTGTAGTAACCACTCACCGACAGTCCAGCATGAGAATATACACATCGGGCCCCAGGTAAGACAAAAACGAATGTGACGGTAAACCAATATAAGGACCTTGAGCCCCCAAAATAAGTGACTTGAACATGTGCTTCCCTGTTCTATCGTCCAAGTTATCGTAATGAGCTACGACGATGAGGTCAGCCTATGAGAGATTTAACGCAATCTGCAACACACGATTGATGAAGCATTGAAAAAGCAAATAGAAAAAGTAGCCTCGCACTCCAATACTAAAGATGTTATGAACAAAAGAATTCTCCGATATATGAAAACTACTCACTGCTTGAACACGGGAGACTGTTGAAGCTCTTCAGGGTCTGCAGGACAACAGGGTCATGCACAGGAATAATCAACAAGCTGTATAATCACGTACAGCTCCCGAACCCATCGATCTTGAGACGCGCGAGATTAGTGAGTAACAACGGAATGGAATATAATCGTACGCACCAAATCTGCAAATGTGCATTGATTAGTCAAGAAGTCGCCGTTGCGTATATCAGTGGCTTACCGTGGTCATCTGCAGATGTCATATGAGTGTTTTATCAAAGATGTCCAATCCGCATATCTTACCACACATATTCAACATTGGACTAAGGGAAGGGGAAGGGAGGAGTCAGTCGTGAGTAACAGGGCATCTCTATAATTGTATGGCCTACGTACATCGAACTGTTAGCCCTCGCAAACGCTCCCATTCTGAAGGAGCTGCAGTAGTGATTGAAGAAAAACCGATCAATGCACGAGGCAATTTCACCAGTCAAAGGGAAATTTTTCTTCGTGGAAGGCTTTGCCAAGATCCATTCTTGTATTTCGGGCTCTCGAGTCAACCTAGCAGAGAGCGTGACTATTTAGGATTGAAGAAGTGCATAAACACATACGAGTCACAGTATAACTGATCGCCTCCTCCCACAAGGACATGAAATGGTCGCTCGACATGCTTCCGCAAGAGATCAACCCACATAGGATCATAACCACTCTTAAACCCTGGTCCTCTGAAGTCATCCGGATTTACACCAGCGCTGAAACCGTTGCACTAAGAAGAAGTGAAAAATGTGCAGCAGACAGATTGTGTCAACCTTACCGAATGGGCTGCCCAGCGCATGTTCTGATGACGAGCAGGCACGAAGAAAGACAATTGCATGCCACCATTGATATTATACTTGATGTTAATTTCATTGACACCCAGTTGTATCTGGATGGGGAAACGCCAAAACGTAAAGGTGCTGCATTTGTCTCAGCATTCAAAGATCCTTACTGCTTTATTGGCTTGTTGCACTCACCCTCCATTCCCTGCATAGACATAAATCTCCTGACCAGTTACATGCTGGGTTTGATCATCCCTCGTGTTTCCTTTTCCCTTGTAGTCGCCCGGGTATGCCTCGTCTACGGCAGGTAAGTGCGCTGGTGGTCCGGCCATTGCAGTGGTGTGAGGATCCGCGGGGTGCGGGCCAAGTTCATAAAGCGAATGAGAACTCCGCGTCTTTGAAGAAGGTCGGGCAATCTCCTCAGGATCCCACTGATATGTTAAGACTGGAAATGGCTCATAGGATGATCCTGAATCTGCGGCTAAAAAGGCAGTAGTTAGGACGCCTGATTTACCGGCCACGGGCGCAAGTGTAAACTCACTGACGATAAGAGCTGCACCTCGCCAAAGACCGTTTTCGTCAACTGTGTCGTATCGCAAAAGGGGCCCGACCATAAACTGAAGGTGGGGTTCCATTCTGGCGAGCCTCTGTGCTCTGGAGCGTTCCACTGCAGGCATCTGAGCCAAAGAGAGGCTGGAGCTACCAGACACTAACCGCTCCATAGAACTAACAGAAGTGTGCGCATTGTGGGCAAACCCTTCATTGAAATATTTTGGGGGAACAGAAGGCGGTGTATCAGGAATCGGGGATGTCGAGGGTGGTACACCAAAGCTACCAGCCTGAGCGAGCCCGCTCCCATCAGGAAGTGGATCAATATCATTTGCAGGCGGATACCTCCCGTCTGACCCTCTTTGAGGGTCAGAAAATTGACGCGCTTCCTGTGTAGCGCCAGACTCTTGTGTAAATCGCCGCTTCCAGGGGAACCTGAAGCATGAACTATTACTCGCCTTATGGGCTTTGCGCTGAGCGTGCCAGCCCACGATATCCATATTATGGGAGGATCAAGTCGTATGACGGCAAGCAGGTATTTGAACCAATCCCTAGTAGACGCTATTTGAAACAAACAGGGCAGTGCCAAGTTAACGGCATAGCACTAACGAGTCCACGTTCACTAATACTGTTCAACGTTCTGAAACACGGATCCTGTAAAATGTACATGTATACCCTAAACAAAGTAGTCCCCGAAATTAATTGTAATTGCACATAACTAGGTACGTAGAGATATGGGTAATCTGTCTAGGAGTTGGTTAGCCGGCGTGTTCCACAATTGTTGTGACCAATTTGCCGCTCTGCACCACTGTCTTCAGCATCTCGGGCATGGCCTGCTCTTCAAAGACACCATCTTCCTCCCCTTCGACTGGCAAGCTGACATTGATCGCGCTGCATTTTGCTGTAGTAATTTCAACACCAAGACACTGCTTCGAGAGGTAAATCTGCCCCGAGTCCGTTGAGTCAATCTGGATAGTAGGTGCCACTCCTGTAATTTGCAGGGCAAATGATGGAGACTTCATGATGGAGACAGAGGAAACCACAGATTCAACTAGCACGGAGGTCTTCGTGCAATTGACTGTCATATATTTTTTGAGTAAAAATATTGTTAAATCAAACCAGCAGACACTGACCCAAGGTGACGGCGTTGACCTTCCCCTTGATAATGACAGTCGTGTTCTTGCAAGCAAAGAGATTGATTACTTGGGTAATATCCGCATTTGCAACCTCTAACGCGGATTCGTTTTCTTGATATTCCTGCATGATCATTAGACGGGCCGCATCATTTGAAACCGAGACACCTACAATGACCCATTTATTGCCCTCCAATGCGAATTTGGCAGGCTTTTTGCCCATCAAAGCCTGAGGTTTAGTTGGTTTAGCAGGTTTCTTAGCAGCTGTCCATATAGTTAGGAAAAATTGGTGTGCGGAGGGCAAGACAACTCACCCGCGCCGCCACTTGCAGGGACTACGTTTCCAGCTCGCAGGGCAGGGTTCTTGTGTGTCATCTCGCTTTTGTCGACTTTACGTAGTCCCTTCGTTACGTCTGCGCCACGGTTCAAGTCCGCAAATACAGCAGCAACTCCACCAGCAGGTACTGTCGGGGAGGATGCTGATCCAGCTGGAGGTGGTGGCGGCGGCGGCGGAGGAGGACCACTGACTGGCTGTGAACGGGACGCTTTGTACTCTGAGACCGGGATGCCCTGCAGCAAGTAATCTATGATGGTTTATAATTCAATGGCACATAGATACTTACGCTGGCATTCCAAACAAGACCAGTGGTATGGAACTCCATAACATAGCGCTTCATCCCGTCAAGAATTCCATTGAATGCCCGAACCCACTCCGCGTGCCTTGGGTCCCTATAATTGACATCAGCTTAGACCATCCTAATAATATATGTCCGTCGCACTTTTCTTTAAAATCCTTGAGTATCCTGTTTGCATAGTACGTGGTACTTTCCTTTATCTCATTGACGTATGGTCCCGGTTTTGGTTCCTGCAAGCGACTGTCATTCAACAGGTATTTTGACGCGTCAAGAGCATACCACTGTGACCCATCCAACGAAAACAATCCCATCTGCGATAACAGTGAGGTGATTGAACCAGTCCCGCTCCTTTCTCGCAGCATCTTTAGCGCGAGTTACGGCTTCGATGCCTGCTTGGAGTGGCAACAGGATTTCATCGAACGCCGTTTTATCGGGCTTTCTGCATGCTGCGGCCTGGAGAATCACCGATCGCAGGGTAGCAAGTACTTTGGTGAATAAATCAACCTAAGAGACGCAAATCTTCAACACGAGAAAACAACAAAAATTCGCGAAGTATGCGACCTGCTCGTTTACTGGAGGGGGCGCGATGGCTTTATTGATCTCCAGGAAGGGTTTAAGTTTGCCCTCTATAACAATCTCATCATATGCGGTGACTGCACGTGGCAATTCTGCTGGCACCGCAATTGCGGGTGGTGGTGGTGGTGGAGGCGGCGGCGGCGGGGGTGCCGAAGCTGATGGAGTTTCAGCAACAGCTGCGCTAGTAACAGTGCTGGTACTTTGTCGTTTGAGATGTCCTGCACTCCTGGAATCTTCTACGTCTTCGAGACGCGATGTGATTGCTTCAAGCCTAATTGCACATCGATGTCAGTTCCCATAGAACTTGCTCCTACATAGTAATGATGCACACCGCTTGATGAGAGTGGCCAGTGAGTAAAGCCCTTGAGCAGATGATGACATATCGACCGAAATTGACTTTGCGACACTAGTAAGTTCCAAACACAAGAAAAGGGCTCCGGGGAGGCCAGCTGTGACCTTGCGCGATGATGTTTCAGTAGGATGTGTAAGATGGTGAGAGAGGGCTATGTTAAAACGCTGGGTGACTTCCCCACACCGGAGTATTCCGCAGCTCTGGTGGATTGTGACTTGCAATGAACATTCTATGTAGCTACATACTAAATTTTACCATCTACATAGGGTTGAACGTTCGGATTACGGTGCTTAAACAGAAGCAGCAGTCATTTCTTCATTATATATGGGCCCTAGTCATAGGGTTCATGACTTTTCCTGCGCTTCCTGGCAGTCCTTCTCTTGCGCTCGCCTTCCTCTTCGACTTCTTCCGTCGTCGACGTTCTCTTTCTTGTTGCTTCGCGCGCTGCAGTTCACCCTTTGATAGGCCAGGGTTGTGTAGTTTGTCTAGCTAAATAATTTCAATCGGAAGCATCGGCATTCGATAGGAATAATTTGAACTGGTTAGCCCATCTATGTAGGCGTGACATGTTCAGAGATACACGCCTTTTCCAGGAGTAACCGCCTAGCGAGCATGCGATTCGTTTGAAGTGATCGAGTTTCCTGACACGCTACACGAAAACCAGTGGGTTTATGAAGAAGTTGAACATTATTCTGGGTCTTATTGATAGATTGTCCACCAGGACCGCTGCCTAGATCATAAATCAATGAATATGCCAAGTAACTAAAAACAGTTCGCGTTTGATCTTTCACCCACCTCTAACAAATGATTCCTCGATGTCTCCCTCACGCAACTCCGGAATCTTCCGCTCTTTGTGAGCCCTCTTGAGAGCGGAAAAATGTTGCGGCATATTGACGCTATGCTGAGCAGCAGGTTCTATACTATAGGTTAGCTTAGTGACCAACTGCATACATTTTAACCATAGTCTGAACCTTTGCTCGCCCTTCTCTAATTTTCGTGCTCGTCTGCTAGAAGACATGGGAGGTGGGTTTTTGATACTCTCGTTTTCGCCAAGTTCAGTGTCCTTCGTGAACCGAAGGTCTGCAACACGACTTAGCGACTTCAGATGAGTCCAATCGCAGATTACATACTCCAAACATCATCTCCATCTTGAGCTCGTGTCCTGTGAGCTTGCACGACATTTCTGCGTAGCATGGTTGCAAGTTCGCGGGCGAGCTGGATTTTGTCTTGAACCAGTTTCATGTCATGCTGCATGGAGCTGTCCAAATACAATGTTTCCTTCCGCATCTTGTATCGGAATGCTGAATCGAATTCTTAAGTTTGGGAGTTATGGTCATTGAGTGTGTACAAACCTCTTTGGACGGGCTCGTCGCCTACAAATGAGTGTGAAATAGTCCATGGAAAATTGTAAGATGGCTCACCATGAAAAGTAGAAGCTGAAGCTCGTAGCAAATCACGGTACGCCGAGCGAGCACCTGCTCTGAGGGCTGGTGTAACAGACATTAATTAGTTGGATAAGCGCAAGCTGAACTCAACAAAGAGTCTTTAAGGCAACCGGGAAGTTCCGACGTCGATCACAAATTCCAAAAGGGGACCCAGCAATTAGGGCGTAAGACGCGCTCCATTTTTGGACGCGTCGCGTTCTTGCTCATACGACGAAAACATGTCTTCTCCCTGACTGCCCATAAATCGTCCAACGGACCAATAAATGAAAAATTGAGGTCCTGTAGGAAGCAGCAGCTGATAGCGCGTACTCCAGCGCGTACGAGGTGAATATATGTGCAGTCCCTTGAGCACAACTGCCATTTTCAAGGATCAATCTGCACCGCATGCTTGAGCCTTGAATTTTATGCTTTTTTCAGGTACTCATCCCCTACCATACCTAATTTCACTCACCAGACAAAATAGCGAAGTAGCGGGGCCCTCTTGCAGAGTAAATGGGGTCGATAATCGTATCTCAAATATTGACTCACGTGACTCGCGCGAATTGAGTTTGTTGACTGCTCAACGCGCCCTCGGAGTTTCAACACATCCCTCTCTCAAACCACGACCATCTCCAATCCGTTTGTTTCCGCCAGTTACTTTGGTCGCATCTGAGCATCGCAATCAGCACAAACAGCAAGAACAACACTTACAGCACTTTCACAATCGCTCGCAATATGTCCGTGAAGAAAGTTACTGCAACGAAATCGGCTGCTAAGAAAAGCAGGGCCTCTCCCACCCACCCATCTTGGGTGGATATGATCAAGGTCAGTCTGTCAATATTCTAGCGTTCTACATTCCCTCCCATACCTCTCCTTGGTCCGATGTTGAGCATCACAAAAAGGGTGAGGCGTCCGCACCCAGGGGGTAATATAAAAGGCAGGTTCCAGGGGGAAGATACGCAATTGCGGGCGACATTCATCTTTCATCTCTCAATGACTTAAAAGACCTCGTATTATGCATCTTTACATCGTGGAGGGTGCTACAAGGCACGGAATAACTTTTCTAACATGATACATCGCTAAATAGGAGTGCATTGCTGGTCATCCTGATGACGCCCGCGCTGGCGTCTCCCGTCCCCAGATCAAGAAGTGAGTTCGGATATTCCTGCTAATCCGAGGGATGTTTACAATCTTCTAGATTCGTTGAGGAGAAATACGGCCTTGCCATGGACAACGCTCAACTGAGTCATTTGAGCAAGGCCATCACCAGTGGTGCCGACAAGGGGACTTTTGTTCTCCCCAAGGGTAAGAAAATTATCGTGTAGGTCTATAACCCAGCCCTGTGTTGACGACCATTGCATAGGACCCTCTGGACGAGTGAAACTGCCCCCAAAGACTCCAAGGGCCACTGACACCTCAGCCTCTAAGGAGGTCCGTGCACCCACTGACTTGAACACGTGATGTGGTGATTGACATAGTGGGGGTAGAACAAACCCGCGAAGGTTGCACCCAAGGCAACTACCAAGGCAGTCGCTAAGGCACGTCCCGCCAAGACTGCCACTACGAAGGCTACAACCGCAAAGTCCACTACGACCAAGAAACCAGTCGCGAAAGCGAAGACGGCACCAGCAGTCAAGGCTGCCGCCGCTAAGAAACCTGCCTCTCAAACTGCGGCCAAGACTTCAGCAACGAAATCTACAGCTTCTGCTAAGGCAAAGGCAGTTCCTGCGAAAAAAACGATGGCAGGCAAGAAAGCTGCCCCTGTTAAGAAGACTACCTCAGCATCTAAACGTGGTACCGCGAAGAAGGTTGGAACATTGGCTCATTTTGTGCATTTCCCGAACCGCTCACTTTCTAAATATCTAGGCTGTGACTGGAACGAGCGCACCCGCCAAAGCGAAGGTCGCGGCCACCAAGAAGACCACCGCAAAGAAACCCGTAGCCAAAGCATCGACTTCAACAACGAGCAGGAAGAAGGTGCGCAAATGACTTTAATGCGCTGTGATTGACATGGCTTGACTTGCCTTTCGACTAGGTCGGCAAGAAATAGGTGACCCCCATCCGCCATCAATGATATACTCGCCCTCCTGATCTCACAGTACACTAAGGTGTAGAACCCAGTCTATGGCTACTCTACCTACTCTATGCACTTTCCCTTGTCCGTCTGATTGCACCTTTCTTATTTCTCGTATTTGATTTGTATTGTAATTTATTTGGGTCCTACTACCTGCCCGCCTCTCGACTATCAAATCATCAATTCTCGTGTATCCTGGGGCCAGTTGTCACGATCACGTCTTGATTCCAATTTATCACAACGTTTCACTACAATAGGATAAAATTCGAACATCACTTTAGGGTCGTGGCATAGAACTAGGGGTGCGACGTGGAAGAGGGCATTCGCCATTTGATCCGGAGATAAGCATGTAAAGTACATGAGCCACCGCAAGCCCACCGCGCATATGCCAGTAAAGACTCCGATTATTACTAAATTGGTTGTTTCACGTTCACTGCACGAAGTGGACCGTCCCCGGTGCGACTTCGAGCCTAAAGGACATGTCCAGACAGCCAAGTAGCATACAATCGCCATATTCTTACTCGCACCAGCATCAACAACTATCCCGCTCGGCTTATCCTACATTCCTCTCTTTACAAGAAACGATCAAGCTACAATTGACATGGGCGTCCAGGGGTATTCTTGAAGCCTTTCGGTGGGACGTCGTTGTGAAGACTGCTACAAGGTACATTCTCCTCACTTACATTCTCTCTATTGTGCTGCATCCTACATGCAATTCCTTGGAAACCTTACAGCGACCGTGAAATTCGCTCAAATATTCTCAAGTCGTTACTGCTCAATTCGTTATCCTTGACCTCCATCTACGCGTTCGACTTGCTTCTACAACCTCTGGTGCATAACCATCCAAGCTGGCTTCACCGAAATGTGGGATGGTTCTATCGCGTCCTTTGGCTGTTCCCGGTCGTCGGAGTATCTTACTATCTTAATGTACGTCCATTACCTGGTCTTGACGACTTGGCCAGAAATGAACCACAATCCTTTTACCAACTACTTCCATCCAGAGTTCCTGGTGCAATCTTATCGCGAAACGATCCTTTGTCCTCCAACACGGCAACCGTGCAGCACCTCAACAACCAGCTACTTATAATGGTATGCTGACCATGCTTGCGACGTCCGCATACCGTGCCGTCATGATTCTTACCTCTGTCATCGTGTCGTTGGCGTTGGGATCAATACCATTTGCCGGATCGTGGTTCAGCTTTGTGTTTATGTGTTGGGTCAATGCGTCAGTGTATCAGTTGCTAGTTGATAAGTGGCGCTTCTGACTTTCCTTCAGATATTATTGCTTCGAGTAAGTTGCCATGGCTCAGAGATGGCCGCTCCCACTGAAATACAGGCACCTCAGGTTTGTATGGGTGGCGCGTAGTTCGTCCTTGGCCCAAAGAGTGCGCCACCTAGAAGAACGATGGGCATACTACTTCGCATTTGGGCTTCCGTCTGCTGTGATCTGCACGTGCGGAAGTGGACTGGCGAATGCCGCCCTTTTTGCACTCACGTTCCCCGCCGTATGTTTCATAATATGGTTTCCTTCTTATAGTTCTGCTGCTGATTTTTACCGATGTCCAGTTCATCATCATGGCCATGCACGCACGACCCGTTCCGCAGGATCCTTACAATCCTGCGCCGTCCACGGAGTCTACCAACACCTTGCGCTTTCCTTCGCCACTCGTTCCGATTAGGATGCCGGTCTTTACAATCGTCATTTGGCTGAATGATCTCATCGTCAGAGTACTAAGTGTCGGTGGCAGCGCCGGTGTTCGACGCCAGAGAACGACAAGCGAAAGTACCGAACAGGCAGAAGAAGGGACAGGTGTTGAATTAAGGAACATCGGTCGTCCAGCGAGAGAACATTCCCCCATTGTTCAAGCAAGGAAGCTAGGAGACAGACTGCCGAGTAATGGAAAGGCACCTAGTGCCGGGAGGCGAAAGAAAGACTGACGGATTTTCATGGTCGTGATCTTACTGGAGACTTCCACTCATATACCATTAGCTAATACCACACGCAACTGTCACAATTCCATGTTTCTACAGAAGCTTTACCCATTTGATAATAATGATGAGCTCAGTGGACAATAGCTGGGTGGTACTGAAGTTTTGAGACGGGCACAGTCGTTTCCATATAATATTCAGGTCTTCACCCAAATCCTGCCCATTCGACAGAGAGATACGATACAACTTTTGTTTCATCGTTCCATTCACATAGCAAATGAGCCTTCTTTGTCCCAGTGCCAAGACGGCCATGTGCGACAATTTCCATGGGGCGAAGGGCGGCGTCCGGCGCCTCGATGACCGATGCGACAAAGTGCGAATGATAACGGAGGGGGTCACCTGATAAGATGAAATAGCGCAGATCAGCACATATTTCAAATATACTGCTGATTAACGAGAATAAACGTGCTTTCGAGGACAAGGGTGATGGAGCGAGAAAATTTACAAACAGAACGGGAGACATACCAGGGTAGACTAAGTACTCGCCACCAAATTTGATTCCTCCTCCCATGTAACAACCTTTCTCCCACAAATCGCGAAAAACGCCGCAGCGTGCGCGCTCTTGTAGGGTCGAGGGATACCGCCATATGCCAGCTTCGCGTGCCATAGTTAAGGACACATGGGGTTGTGGCGTGTACCATTCCAACTTGGATGAGGACGCGGGAACGTTGACGGTGTAAGATGCAGATGGCATTACGTTGGCGCTGTCTGGGGGTTCTCCGATGGCAGCCTGTGAAGGATCTTCAGATGCGGGATGAGGAGACGGGTGATCTTCTGCAGGAACGCTGGTAGCAGCATCGGCCCTTGCACGTGCGCGACGCTCTTCTCGTTCTCTGCGCTTGCGTTTGGCATCTTCAGACATGGCGCGGTCAGGGTAAGAAGCTTCGATGGACCCCTTTTCTTCCGTCAGAGCTATCTGTTGCCTTACATCATTGAGGCGCGCTTCTTTCCATATTTTCAGGGCTGATGAAGACGGAGCGTGGTGGGCGCTGGGGTCATCCACTAATACAGCGATTCCTAGACACAGTAATCGCCGCTGATGAATGGCTTGTATAGATTAATAAGATGACTAACCATTTTCGACGAGGAGAACAGCCTCCTCTGGCATCAGCTGGAGAGGTAATCCTAAGAATATATTCTGGGACGACAGGTGTGGAAGAGTCCCAGTCAGGATGCCACATATGTGATGATGTGAACGTAGGATGTTAATATCTGCTCGTGAAATGTTAGAAGTGGTGATATCAGATTATGATACTGGCTTGCCGTCAACATCCCACACGTAGGCTTTGAAATTTGAGACTCGAAGCAATATAGGTTGGGCCATACCTGCCCAGTTGTGCTACTGGCCAGGATCAAATAAGTAACGTAACCCCAACACATGACTCGGGGATGCTGCGGTAATTGCCGCGATGTAATTGTAAGCACCTCCCATAAAAGGAAAGAGGGTAGATAATCATCCGACGGCCGCGTCTACGCGGTCGACACTCTTGATAAGAAAGCAAAATCAAATCAATGCACACTCAATGTTTGTGAGCACTACAGCAGTCATCGCGGCAGTTACCGCAGCAGTCGCTGCCCACATGACTCTCATCACGGAATGCCGCATAGACGTGTGTTTATAAGATCATCACGATTTGTTCCTATACCCCTTCACATTTGATAGAGCATCTGAGTGAGCAACGCAGGTAATAGGTAAATATCTGATAATTGTCTTCATCGAATACTTATCCCTCAACAGGCGAGGATAGATATGGCTGCCAATGTACAAGATGTTATCATGCTCGTCGGTGATTCCCTTACTCAACTTGGATGGGAACAAGGAGGGTTCGCCCAGTTACTTGCAGGTACGCAGATCACAATCATTTTGAAGGAACTAGATTCTGAGCCTGCAACGTATAGAAAGTTACAATCGGAAGCTCGATGTTATCAATCGTGGCCTCTCGGGTTATCAAACGGATTGGGCAATTCCAATTTTCGAGCAGGTGAAAGACAATAATTGTTGCCTTTCGAAATCGTGCTCAACGTAGTCGTAGATCTTTGCCAAGCAGCATGAACAACATCACGTTCCGCAGGTCAAATTACTCACAATTTGGTATGGCGCCAACGACGCCGCGCCTGCTCCCAGCCCACAGCACGTCCCGAGAGACAGATACAAAACGAATCTAAGCCATCTCATTCAAATGGTGAAATCACCGACTTCAGCGTACTACTCCCCGGAGACTCGCATAATCTTGATTACCCCGCCACCAGTGAATTCGAAGCAATGGAACATATTCATACCTGACAGTCCACGTGTGTTCGAGACTACGAGGTCGTACGCGGCAGCTGTCAAGGAAGTAGGTGAGAAAGAGAATGTGCCCGTTGCGGACATTTGGACGCAGATGTTCGATGGTGCCGGTCGGACCGAGGAGGGATGCAGCATATACTTGAGTGATGGGCTACATCTGAACAGTGCTGGCCAGAACGTACGCCCAAACTTATTTTCTGACCAGTCAAGCTTGCTCACTTTCAAGATTGAAGATCGTCTTCAAGGCCATCATGGACATTGTGGAGCACGTATATCCCGAATTAGACCCTACGAATGAAGCACATGCGAGGATGCAAACTGTGTTTGTACCGTGCGTCCTCTTTGAATTTATTTTTGTTGCGGGACGCTGATGCATTTATGTGCAGCTGGGACCAAGTGGACGTACAGAATCCAAGGCCGTCTCTGGTGAAACGGAAAGCGCAACTTGAGTCCTGAATTGACTGAGGGCGTGAACATATTCGTTAACTTCTCTTAGAACTGTAGCATATATATTAGATCGTGTTCATGCATGTATAGTCTGATGAGAGGGAAGATTGGGAGCTGTGGGTGTGACCCGACAAAGAGTCAAGGGATGCGGCTGACTTTCATTATTCAAAACGCCGACTACAAGATTAGCTAGCGGAATGCCGCTTCGAATATATGGATGATAGATCGGATTAGCGGCTGCTCCTACATGTACATGAATACCTACGTACCCGTTTCAAAATTCTCGTTTCAAATCACAGCAATCGACCGAGCAGCACAGGTATTGGGTGAATGTTACTGTCTGCGACTTCTGTCAAATCCTGATCGATAATCTGGTCACAAGACAAGGAAATATATCATGGCCGCCAATATACAAGATGTTATTATGCTCGTCGGTGACTCCCTCACTGGACGTGGATGGGAACGAGGAGGCTTCGCGCAGTTACTTGCGGGTTTGTACTATATCACACACATTTTGGGATTTAGAAACTGAGACCGCGACATATAGAAAGATACATTCGGAAACTTGATGTTATCAACCGCGGCCTTGGAGGTTATCAAACGGATTGGGCAATTCCGGTGTGCGAGCAGGTCAAATACATGCCTTTGTCGAGGAAATAGGTGCTGAATAGATTCGTAACAGATCTTTGCCAAGCAGCATGAGCAGCATTACGCCCCGAAGATCAAGCTACTTACAATTTGGTATGGCGCCAACGACGCTGGACCTGCTCCCAACACACGATACGTCCCGAGAGACAGATACAAAGCGAATCTAAGCCATCTTATCCAAATGGTGAAATCGCCGACATCAGCTTACTACTCCCCTGAGACCCGTATAATATTGATCACCCCGCCACCAGTAAATACGAAGCAATGGAGTAAGCCTGAGAGTCCACGAGTATTTGAGACTACCAGGTCATACGCGGCAGCTGTCAAGGAAGTAGGCGAGCAAGAGAATGTGCCCGTTGCGGACATTTGGACGCAGATGTTCGACGGCGCCGGTCGAAGGGAGGAGGGATGCGAAATATACTTGACCGATGGGTTACATCTGAACAGTGATGGTTACAACGTACGCACAACCTTTGGATTCTGATGATCTGTCAAATTTGCTGACCTTCACAAAAGATTGTCTTCAAGGCCATCATCGACATCGTAGAGCGGGTGTATCCTGAAATGGATACTGCGAAGATGCAAGATGTGTTCATACCGTGCGTCCCCTCCAGAATTTCTAAGGCATTCAACGCTGATACGTTTATGAGCAGCTGGGACCAAGTGGATTTACAGAATCCAAGAGCGTCTTTAGTGAAACGGAAAGTACATCTGTAGTCATTGGAATCATGATGTATGGGTGAACATGTGTTAGTACTTGGAGCCGAAGAAGTTCCAAAACAGGATTGACAAAAGACAAAATGCACGTGACGAATATCAACATACGCCAAAGAGAGCGCAAACAATGGTTCTTTTGCCGGGGTTCTCTTGTCAGCACATACCACGAGTGCGTAGGACCGAATCAGCTACGTACGGAGGCAGGACACCTCATTCACGCAATCTTCTTGTTTTTTTTTGCCTAGTTATACCGCTTAATTCAGCGTGTCGCTGACCGTTTTAGGACAGGATCCAAATTTGTGGACCTACAATTGTCCACAACATAGCTTGCTTACGTTTCCTCTTCAGTTCAAGTTCCTTGCACTTTGAGCAACTTGTATTCTGGCTAAAGCCAAGCTGTTGTACGGTAGAGTCATCTAGCAACGATAACTCACTCTTACATTCTGTACGCACTACCTAGGTCCGGCCTCCTCCGTTAACACGTTCTTTACGTTCAAGGTGAGCAATGTTTCTTCATCGACACGCTGGCGTATAAATGAACCACGAGGGAGTTTATTTACGCGAAACTCCCGGGTGGTTCGGGTTAGTGGATGTTTCTCATTTTCTATTGATGTTTTTCTTTGTTCAGCTTGTTTCGTACTCCAAGCCACATCAGATTACTGACTTTGTCGTCGACAGCCACTGCTTTCGGTAAATCCACCGGCCGTGATCCGTTTCTTTGGGCCACACCTTCGTTCGGTATGTATTTCTTCTCACAACCAATGTTTGTGGACTGTGGATGTTGTTTACTGACTATTTCCTCCCTTCTTTGTGACTTCCCACTCTGTTGTAACATCTTGTGCTCGACCTTCTGTACGACCTCTCCAACTTCGTACGATCACTATCCGGCACTCAAACGCTGTTTATTGGATCAACTATCTGACTCGTTGTACAACAATCGTTCGCGGACCATGTCTGATCCATTCTTGAAACGACTCACAGATTATCATTCGCACAAGCTTCCGAAAAGAACTCCATTCCAACCCTCCACTACAGTTTCTCACGACATGACCTTTTTCTCAACTCTTTCTTCGGCTTCGACGCAATACCTGAAGGCGCCACTTGCTCCCTCTCGCAAGCGCAGCCAGATGCCCGATCCTAAACGTGATGACATAGACGATTTCTTGTCTTCCGATTTTGAGTTGTCGTTCGCTTCTAACATGTCTCTCAACTCTCCCCCACGTGACACAATGACGCTCGCGCAAGATCACGATGTCCCAATGGATATTTCGCCTGCATACCGCCCCATGCAGAAGGAGAACGAGAAGACGAATAGGCCTACCACGCGCCCCCGTGCATCTACTAGTGCTGCTCGCATTTTTGGTCAGGACATGAGCAACGGCAATTTCTCCAACGACTCCGTCAGTACAAAAACTGGTTCACAAGCGAATTCCAAACGAACCCAGCGCAGCGCACTTCCTATGGAGTGGATGGCTGTCTCTGAGCCTTTAAGAACCTCTAAGACAATGGACGGAAACTTGTTTGCTCCGGCGAGTGATCCTTTTGATTTGGACCAGCAGGCTCATTGCTAATATGACTGCATGCACAGCCGCCGGATCTTTCTATTTCTTTACCGTCAGATGACGCCATGGACGTTGATCCTGCCCCCGTAGTTTCCGCGCAGGACCTGTTGCCTTCTCCGCCTCTTTCAGCAGCACCCGCTGTGACTGAGTTCACCAATCTGTTTTATGGGGTTATGACCCAATCTTGCTTAGACACCCCTGGAGGGCCGCAGCCAAAAAAGCGTCGTTCTTTATCTCCGGAGACTATTTCGAGGGTTGGCCATGAACCTTCATCATCGCCTGCTCCTTCGTCACCTTCGCAGCACAAGTTGGATCGCATGGCTAATTTCTCCAAACCTGCACTCCAAGGCCTTGGAATTCCCCCTAACGCAAACAAACGAGCCCGGCGCATTGTCTTCTCAGCTTTGGTGCAACCTGGTGTTCCTTCGCCACAATCCGCATACCCTATGCTCGACTCTGACACCTCACCAGAGAAGCAGTCGACACTCGAATTGCCTCCTTCACGACGTGCCTTTTCTATGGTTCCATCCACCCTTGAACACTTTTCTGATGAGGGTTCTTCTTTCGACGGCCCTGACATGTCCTCACCCGCCCAGGCATACGCAAAGCGACAGCATGTCAAAGCTATCCGTAGACGCGATGGCACGGAGGATTTCAGACCTCTGACTGGCGCGACTGCAATGGTTCAGCGCGATATGTTTGAGAGTCCCTCTGCGAAATTTATGGCGGCGGGATTGCCAGGATTCGGGGATAACGAGACATCGGGCAAAATCTTACCATGCCACCGCGTGCGTGAGGATGGCTTGATGAGGGTTGTACCGAAAACTGTGACTACTTTTATTTGTAATCTTGGTGGCCAAGCTTAACATTCCGTTTCATTTTAGTTGGATGATCTTCTTGACGGTGCCTACAATTCCCGCATCGCGAGTTTCCACATTATCGACTGCCGCTTCGACTATGAATACACTGGTGGACATATTCCCGGCGCCGTCAACATCAATACTAATGCTGGCGTGGAAGAATTCTTACTTGGCGCACAGAAGCCTAAACCATCCGTTAGTGGCGACTCTCAGAAAAAGACTATCCTGGTTTTCCACTGTGAATTCAGCGCAAAAAGAGCGCCGACATTGTAAGCTCAAGATGACCTCGCCATTTTCCATCCTGACACTAATTTGCAATGCCCTTCAGTGCCAAACACCTCCGTGCCAAAGATCGCGCGATGAATAATCACCTGTATCCAAAGATCCACTATCCGGAGATTTACATCCTGGAAGGCGGGTACTGCGAATACTACAAACAGTGTGCTTCTCGCTGTCGGCCTCGGGGCTATGTTACCATGGACGACCCCAACTTTGCGGTTTCCCGCAAAGAGGACTTGGACCAATTCCGCAAGGGCAAATTTGGACGCACCAAGTCATACGCTTACGGCGACCTAGCTTTGAAGGTTGCAGGCATGACCCAACAGCCGTCCAAGAGGAACACAGCGCCTGCAGGTGCTCCACAGCTATTTGCTGCCGCGAATGCGGCTCGTACTCGTCGTAATGGTCTCTCGACTGTGACTGAGATTGGTAACACCACCCAGACAGACGACGAGGAGACAGACATCGGCGACAGCCCCTGCCCCCCTCCCAATAAAGGCACCATGCTGCTGTCAAAGGCGAAAAGACTGGGTCGCGTCACTATGACTCGTGCTGAAACTTTTGATGCGGCTCGCATGACTTCTTATTAATCCCCGCTCGACTTCTCCGACACTGCTCCATTTTCCTGCACGTTGAAAGTACCTTTTGGCGCGTCTACTTTTTGCATGTCCAGCGATCTCGCGATCAGCTTGATCTCTTCCCTCGGGATCAGTCTTTCCCTACCTTAACGCCCATCGAACGCCCAGAACCCCATTGCGCCTACCCATCTCGTTCAAATTTCTCTCCAACGACCCGCTCAGAAACAACATTTCGTCACGTCATGTTACCGCACGCTGATCTCAATGCTCGTTATGCTCTACGCTGCTCAGGCCTGTCCGGTATATCCCCGAACTCAGTGAAGCCTTCCCCAATACGTCCCGCCAGCATCTTCTCACTGTCACCCAAAGTTCCTATCGCCAATCATCTGACGTATTGGACACTCCATTTGTTTGACTATCGCATCAGTCACTATCCTCCGGTCGTGGCTGCTCAACTCCCCTATATTTGTTTCCATGTGCCATAGACAATTTTTCGCCGCATCTCCTTATATATGTTCAACATATCTTTCTTCTCTCTCTGATTCCATATTTGCCTCGCATCTAAGACTATCGATAGCTTATTTATGTCCTTTATGTTCTCGTCCATTTTCTTTCGCCTCCCCAGTATCTATCTGCTAGGACTCATCTCCTGGTATCTTTCGATCACCAAATGTTAAACAGTTATATATCCTTACCTCCCCACCTGTTCAGCACGACGTGGTCTTCGATTTTGTTCTTGCTGGACATGATTATCGATGAACAGTTGGCCTGTGTTCTATCCACTTTTTGTTCGATATCTTCCATTCGCATTCATCCCCACCCTGTCTTACCTCAACCTCGCAGTAGCTACTTAGAGGACGACTATATTTATAAATGGACATGTCATTGCATGGTTTCGCACCAGTGGAAGAAGCTATCGTATAAGTTTAATTGTTAGGCTTGGTTTATCATGAGTCGATGTGCTTGGCTGATAAATCGACGACTAGCAAGCTGCGTACGAGTCGCAGGGGAGCTCATTTGCTATCTATATCCTTCAAGGCTTCTGTATTTGTTTTTATATACTAATATTGCAGTAAAATGACACTCAAGTTAACACCCGCGATTGATCTTGGGACCAGTTTAAATAAGATCCGCTTGCAAGTTGGGCGAACGACGTGAACCATAGGAGGCAATCTTGCGTAAGCAGACTGTAATTGACGCAAACATTAATATCGTCAGCAAGTCCTTGATCAACTAGACGCAAGATGTTCCAACGCGATCCTCGAGCTGGCGCGTTTCTCGGCGGTGACCGTGTCTCAGGGCAAGATATACGGGATCAGAATGGTACGTGGTTTGGTGGTCGTTAGTTTTCAGCTCAAATGGTGCGTTGGATCAGTGACCGCAGCTTTGGCCATCGCAAATATCGTCAAAAGCTCTTTGGGCCCACTCGGCCTCGATAAAATGCTCGTTGATAACATCGGAGTGCGCATCTTTTACTACAGATGCAACCCTCTTTGCTTACTTTCACTAGGAAGTGACCATCTCGAATGATGGTGCAACTATCCTGTCTTTGCTGTCTGTGGAACACCCAGCTGGAAAGATTTTCGTTGATCTCGCGCAAAAGCAGGACAAGGAGGTTGGAGACGGTACAACCTCTGTGGTCATCATTGCATCCGAGCTTCTTCGACGCGCGAACGAGCTCGTAAAAGCGAAAATCCATCCGACTACGATCATCACAGGCTACCGACTTGCTTGTAGGGAGGCTGTCAAGTTTATGCAGGATCAACTTAGCATCAAAGTCGATTCTCTTGGTCGTGACGCGCTGGTCAATGCTGCGAAGACTAGCATGTCTAGCAAGATCATCGGAAAGTACGTCGTTTGGAAACTTTTGGCGATGCCTCCCCTCAAATCCCTTTGAAGTGACGATGATCTATTTGCCCCTATGGCCGTCGACGCCATGCTTGCTGTCAAGTCTATTAACTTGCGTGGTGACATCAAATATCCGGTCAAGGCTGTCAACGTGCTTAAGGCTCATGGCAAAAGTGCTAGAGAATCCATGTTCATTCAAGGTTATGCATTGAACTGCACAGTTGCTAGTCAAGGTCCACATACTTTTCTCCTTGCGTGAATTGTTCACTGAACTGAAACATTTAGCAATGAAGAAACGCGTAACAAATGCAAAAATCGCGTGTTTGGACATCAATCTTCAAAAAGCTCGCATGCAGCTGGGTGTGCAGATCCTAGTCGAAGATCCAAATCAACTAGAGGAGATCAGGAAGCGGTAGGTTTTCGAAGCACCTGTTTCATTAATCGTTATATGAATGTGCTTTTACAGCGAAGCAGAAATCACGCTGGAGCGAATCCGCAAAATTTTGGCATCTGGAGCCAACGTAGTTCTAACTACGAAGGGCATTGACGACTTGTGTTTAAAAGAGTTTGTCGAAGCTGGCGCGATGGCAGTTAGAAGGTGCAGAAAGGAGGACCTCCGACGTATCGCAAAGGCAACAGGTGGCACACTCATCTCAAGTCTCGCGAACTTGGAAGGTGAGGAGACATATGAGGCTAGCTACCTTGGTACAGCGGATGAAGTTGTCCAGGAGCGCATCTCCGACGACGAACTGATCCTCATTAAGGGCACCAAGGTGGTCAGCTCTGCATCTATCGTTCTGCGTGGAGCAAATGACTACATGCTAGATGAGATGGAGAGAGCGTTGCATGACACCCTTTCCATCATTAAACGCACTTTAGAGAGCGGGTCTGTTGTTCCTGGAGGTGGTGCGGTTGAATCTGCGCTCAGCATTTACTTAGAAAACTTTGCAACGACCTTGGTGAGTTCCATACTTGTCGGCCTTCTCCTCAATGATTCTATGATCATACATTAGGGATCGCGAGAACAACTGGCGATCGCCGAGTTCGCTGCAGCTCTGCTTTCAATCCCCAAGCAGCTTGCCGTCAACGCCGCGAAGGATTCCACAGATCTTGTCGCCAAACTGCGTGCTTACCATCATGCCGCGCAGAATGCACCTGCCGGTGATCCGAAAAAAGTGCTACTTCGGTATGGCCTAGACCTTATGAACGGAGATGTCCGTGACAATGTTGTGGCTGGTGTGCTGGAGCCTACAATGAGTAAAGTCCGGAGTTTGAAGTCGGCATATGAGGCAGCCATTTCGCTTTTGCGGATCGATGACGCTATTCAGTGCGTACCGGGTAAGCGATTGTCATTCTACCCGGAAGTCTGTCTCACTGTTCTTAACAGAGCCCAAGCCGGAAGCAGATGCACATGGCCATTAAGCAAAGACAGCGTTGCTTTGACAGTTCTACGTGTAATTCATACGCCTATAATGCTTACGTTGAAGTATGTTACGATTGTCTTTGAGAATGAAGTACTCCAATGCACATTGCAAAATGCACGTAAATGTCTACGCGATTGTCACGTGATTATTCCACGCGCGGTTTGTTTGTGGGGGAACTCGCGTTGCCACTGCTGCTTCAAAGCTTCACCTCTCCTCACCGAACTGCATTTGTAAAGCCATCTTTTTACTGCCTTTTTGGACAGACACGCTAGTCTACGGGAGACTGCATTTAATCATATTTCTCCCTGACTTATATTCTCATGCTATAGGCTTGTGCTAATGCCACTGGAAGATTCGAACGCCGTTACCAGGCCTGCATTTCTCCCACAGATCAGACAGCGTTTCCAGACCCTCATATGGACTTGTCTCGACTTCGACCTCGTCAGATCTGCAGCTTTCTATGCGGAACTTTATCTCGTCATGGACGAGAACAACCACGATGCGCGTCATCTTTATGCTACTGCACTTCTTCGATCCGGTCAGCCACATTCAGGGCTACAATTAGTCACTGGCGTTCAACAGTCGAGATGCAGTGGATGCTTGGAGATCAAGGGAAAGTGTTGTGCTGCTCTCGGTCGGCACAGGCTAGCACACGAAGCTTTTGACGCTAGTTTGCAGGATCCCACCTACACCCCGACGCGTGCGTATTCTTTGCCATATTACTGTGTTCTCTCTGAACTTTAATGCAGCTTCTATGGGCCCTCGAACCTCGCGCGCCTTTCCGGAGGAAGCCGCAACACGATGTCGATCTGGAACGATGGCAATGAAAGGCAATCTTCCTGAGCGGGCTACTCGTAGTTTCCAACAAGCTCTCGCACTCAACCCCATGTTGTGGGAGGCATTCGAGGGCTTGTGCTCTCTTGGTGACCGTCTTGAGCTTATTGTCACACCCTGCAATTAACTCATTTGACTTCATTTCTAGGTACGGCTCCTGATGTAGATGAAATATTTCCAATGCGACCTGCCCCAGTGAAACAGGGACCGCCAGAAGAGCCTCCACCAGCCAAGACCCTCTCCGGCCCGACTGCTACTGGAGTTGGGTTTTTTACGCCTGACATCACTGCCAACACCACTCTATTTCGTGGGCGCAAGAACTTCCCACAAGCGTTCCGAATGGATCCTCCACTAGATCCACGCGACTCCATGTAAAGCGGCTACGACCCTCTCATGATGCAATATGTCTGACATAGTCTTCTGCATCATTTTTAGCGCTACTAACGAACCATTCTTTCATACGGAGAATTCATTTCTTCATCCTCCACCCCGTAATTCTAAATTTGAGCCAGTAGGGCCTGGCCCGTCTCAGCCCGCCGCTCGACCGCTATCTTCGGCGGATGAGACTGGTCCCGCGCAGAAGAGACTTCGATCAACAATCCGACAAAAGAGCACTGAGACTGTCGCATCCAAGCCATCCAAGCTGACTGTGGACGAAACCTCGAAAAAGGCACGCGCACGCCCGGCCCTAAAATTTGCTAATATCTTCTCATCACCGGGTCGTCGTTCTCAGCCCGTCATATCATCCAGGACAGCTGTCGGCGGAGGAATTACGAAGAGCGAGAGAGGAAGTGCTGCTGTTGCGCCGCGGCGAAGCACGCGGCTCTTGAGTGGCACCACTAGCAAGCCTCTCAAGGTTAGTGGGTGAATTTCAAGCCTGTTTACTTGGCTGGGTTTTTGGGTTTAATATCAATCGCTGACTTATTTCTTGAAGCATCCACCTCCACGAGAACGTCGCCGACAGTTAACTACCTCGCGATCCCGATCAATAGACTCGGATGGTGAGGATGATGCCAATCTGCATGGAGAGGTTGCGTCCTCGACCTCGCCAACTTCGAACACTCAGTCACCTCCTTCTGAGACATCCCCCGCGCCAAGTAATTGGACTGCGGCGCATGAGCTTGCTGCGCAGGAGGCGTACGATTCAGAGATGGCAGACCAATACATCTATGATCTGCTCCGGCGATTTGCACGTGCTACTCGAGCTTTATCCAAATATGATTGTTACTCCTGTCTTATGGAACTCGACCAGATACCGCTTGCACACCAGCAGTCATCGTGGGTGTTGGCGATGGTAGGCCGAGCTCACTATGAACGACTTGAGTACGCATCAGTACGTAATTACCATTGATGCCGCTATAAACTTCTTTCCGTTTACGTTATTTTTATTATAGGCAGAACGAGCGTTCAGGGCAGCTCGAGCTCTTGAGCCTTATCGGTTGGGCGATATGGAAGTTTACTCAACCCTTCTATGGCACCTTCAGCAGAACGTGCAGCTTTCATATCTCGCACAAGAACTTATGAACATAAACCCACGATCTCCACAAGCGTGGATTGCAGTTGGCAATCTCTTTTCCTTACAGAAAGAGCGGTCTCAGGCACTTACATGCTTTCGGCGAGCTGCTGAAATGGATCCGTCATGCGCTTACGCGTACACCCTTAGTGGACACGAGTCGATTGATGAAGACCTGGACAAGGCTATCGGATTCTTCCAGACTGCCCTCCGTGCAGATCCGCGACACTACAATGCTTGGTAAAGTTTTTGTGACAGCATCAGGTAACTTCTGATGCTGATTGACTTCGGCGCAGGTATGGTCTCGGCACCTGCTATTTGCGGATGAGCAAAATACGCCTTGCTGAGTATCACTATCGCAAGGCGGTTGAAATTCATCCAAATAATGCCGTTTTATTAGGTTGTGTGGGCATGGTGCGTCGCTTGTTTGATATGACTATCAATGACTCCTATGACTTTTCTGACTCTAACCCTCCGTTGCTGTGGCTATCGTCTTCTCAGGCTGTCGAACGTCGGGGAGACAAGGTGGCTGCGCATTCACTATTCGATCAGGCGGTTCGCGTAGCACCAGACAATGCGCTCGTTCGTTATCGTCGAGCGAAAATCCTTATCTCCATGAAAAGATACGGTGTAAGTGAACACCTGGTTACCAGCATGATCGGGATGTTGACCTGCATTTTTTTACATAACTTTTCTCCCACGCTTGCAGGAAGCGCTGGAAGATCTACTTCAGCTTCGTGACTCATCTCCCGAGGAGTCGAACGTAGTGTTCCAGATTGCGAAAGTATATCGGCTGACGGGTGATGAGGTAAAATCGGCGCACTGGCTCGCCATAGCACGCGATACATCGCCAAAGAGTGTCAAGAAACTCAAGAAACTTATTGATGCCGTCAAGGACGAAGAAGGCAGAGATGACCAGATGGATGAAGGTTGAGGGGCCGCATCTGTCGGAACGGCGTTCATGTCGTGTACATACCTGCGAGCCTCATTGTAGGACTCGGTGCATATAACATTTTTTTCAAGATATGGATTGGCGTGGTGGCGTTATCGCAAAGAAGGTTGTTTGATCGTGTTTGTGATGTGGCAGATTATCCGCCGGGGTTGAGCCGGTAAAATGCTTCTTACCGAAGACGGTGCATCATTTTGAGTCATTGTCACGGTTCTCTATTTCAAAATTCCTATATAAGACGACCTTCGCCCCCTGCCGTCCCCACTTTTTCCTCCCCGTCCATCACCATGTCTGCATAATAAGCTCTTCGTGTTTTAAAAGAGCCCCTCTTCAACTCATCATTGCCGCGTCCCTTTAAAGAGCGCAGGCCCACCATTCTTCTGAAGTATGGTTAACAAACTTGCCCGTAAATCTAACAACGGCACCATTTTGTTCGAACCCTTCATCGTCTACCGTATACACCGGTCAAACCAGTTTCAACCCTGGTAAACTAGTTTCAGCCCGGGTATGTTGTTTACAAGTCTTTAAAAGTAGGGGAACGTGTGCTAATGGGACGCGTTAGACGCCACTCCACCATACTTCCTGGAATCCTTTGCCTCTCATATGTCAGCAGAACCAGTAGACCTTTGTACCATGGCCCGTTCCAAGCTACACTCAGCTATGGGCGGGAGCCTCCACCGCTGGGTACTGCTCAAAAACTCCGCCTATCGGCCACCTCGCGCCCCCTATGTGCCCAGCGTGGCGACCAGTTCTTCCTATTCGAAACATGTATATATTTCAAGTGATGATGGTGACAACGAGGACGACAGTGAAGAAGAGTTGGATTCGTTCATGTTCCCCGACGGTTCCAAGCTTGTGGGGGTTGGAGCCAATTCATCCGAGGCTGAGTGGCTCGACTCGCTTTTGGAATCCCTAGTCGAAGGTGGAGATGACGAGTGCGCATCGGATGTCGACGTTCGCGTTTCCATCCTACCGGTTGAAGATGATGAAGATCCCCCACTTAGCCCCTTAACATCACCAATGTCGTCGTCGGACGACCTCCTCAGCCATCAAGCATACTTCTCTCCGCCTATCGCTGTGCCATATCCTGTACCATATCCGCCATTCCATCCACCGCTCGTTCGTCCATATGAAATTGATCCCATCATTGAGTCTCCTGTTTCACCATTTCCAGCGTATGACGCTCTACCCTACTTTGACGCCGACGAATTAGACGATCTGTCTGTCCCAGAAGCTATAGAGGACACTTCCGATGACGAGTCCGACGCCCTTTCTACGCCATCCCTGGGGCGCTCGTCAGACCTTGACTTTGTGGATCCGACGTCTCTCGCTGTTCGCAGTAGGCGCCGTTCACAGCCTCATGTATACATCCGACACCCGGACTCTTATTTTGACCGTTATGCGCTCGACCCCCTTCCGTTTCCCGATGAAGATCATTCCACCTCGTATAATGCTGTCTACCATGAATGTTAGTTGTGCGTGTTTAACCTAGAAACTGCTGCTTTTTCTGCTCTATAGTAAGTCACACCAGTGTACATATGCGTCATTTTGTTCGTGTATATTACGTCTCATTTTGGGAATATGGTTATTATCTCGCTTCGGGACGTGGTTATTGTCACGGGGAATAACTTGAACCCAGAATACCCCGACGCAGCCCGGGCTTCTCACGAAATTACGCTACCGCTGTGGGAGGAACGGGATAGCGTTGAGACTAAACCTCCTAAACAGCCTATCGCGAACAGCGGGATAATGGCACCAATGACGGCGGAATGGGGTGCCTTATGTGCTGGACCGAAATGTTATTGAAAGCCGAAGAGAAGCTTTCCAACGTGGGAAAAGGATGACATTCGAGGTGCGGCACTAATGCACCATGAGAATATCAGCCCAATTCACTGTTACGATGGCATCAATCCCACCTAGACGCATCAAATTTGGAGATTCAATTTCTAGCTTAGACCGGGGGTTGCTGCGTGTAGGGAACTTCAATATCGCCCACAGTTTCAAAAATCAAAGATCAAACGTACTTGTCCGTGTAATCACTGAACCGGTTCGCGACAAATATCATGCGCCCCAGCTCCTCTTCTGTCCAATTGGCGCCAATAATGTTCTCGTACAGCTTCAGGTCACAATGAGGCATATACAGTATTGTTGGACGGTCTACCGCATGCTTTCCATCCTAGAAACAGGCACTCATAAAACACAGCCATACATATCAGATAAAAAAGACTTGCTGTGTCTGGCAAACATCGCATCCCGAAGCTCTGGAAAAGTGCCTTATCTGCATCCGTAAACACTGGATCATATACGGACACATTCGATGGACCCTATACAAAGAACCGGCGTCAGGGGAAGTAGCGTATAGAATGTAACTTACTATTTGCAAACTGTCACATAAGCTGATGAGGAAAGCAAGTTGCGCTCGAGCCTCACGCGATGTCGAGGGACTCCCCAGACCAAGGCATAACACATCGGGATATGATATATTAGTCTTCTGCAGGGCATCTTGGACCAGACCTGCTAGCAATCAACAGATGACTCAGAGGATGCGAGCCTGCTCCCCAACCTAGACAAGTGGTTATCCAGCCGTTGGATCCAATATCCGCTTTGCACCGATCTACGAGATCTATCAGCAGGGGCGGCTCGTGTCTTCCGTTCCCTCTTCGATTCTTTCGAGCGCGAGCACGGGTCACGGCTTGAGAATATACGAATGAGGCATCTTCCATTGCAGAACAAGATCTTTTGATCTGAGGCTGCGTGGCAGGGGTGGTGTGAATGATATGGAACGGCGAACAAGCGAATATGTGATGGCGGCGTCTGTTTAGATGATAAGCATCCTTACCGGCTCGTAGTAGTACAGAAGTCCGGAGCCCGCTAGCATTGATCCTGTCAGTGTTGCGCCATGGACTGGAATGATGCAAAAAAAGACGTCCTTACCGGTTTGCACAGAAGCCCGGAGATCGCTAGTAATAGTAGTTTGGCAGGAGCGCTATCACTAGATAAGATTGCAATCTGTTTACAATGGAGTCCGCCTTCTTTGTTGACAATCTAGTACTGTACGCCTAAAGTAGCACCAAAACTTTGAAAGCTGCTACAGAGTTTGCAACGCCCACAAATCATCTCCCAGATGCGTGACAATCTCGACAGCGACATCTTTATTCAGCTTCCGCATATCTTCCGTGCTCAGCTCGGTGATTCCGATCCCAACAGCATGCTCTTTTCCTTCAGCGTGCACAGCAACAGCTGTACCTTTTGGTAATGCTTCCTCAGGCGGCGGAAGGTATCCTCCAGCTGAGGTTAATCCGGGGCACATCATGGGAGCCCCCGCCAGTAGAAAGCGAATTGCGCCCCTGTCAACGCCGACTTTAGGTAGAATGGACGGATCTATAGGTGGCGTATGTGTCAACGCCATCATAAGACCCGAAAAAAGGCTTACACTGGTGAAGCAATCGAAGCGTAGGATAGAAAGGCCCATCAAAATGCTGGAAAAAGAGGGGTACGCTTTGAACGGAGTATATTGAAATGTGTTCTCTGCTTCTTGTCATGCAGACCAAGTATGTCAGACACATATTCGTCGGATTCGAGTAAGCTAGAAGGACGTACCATTTCACATGGATCAGAGTTTCTTTCTTGGGCCAGATCTCTTCGAGAGTCTCTGGTCCAATTTTCCATTGCTGAAGTACAGCAGCCCTTATCGATCGTTGTACAGAGGACTTGGGAGGCGTTTGGCCTGCAATATCTGTGGAAGGAGTAAACCTGGGTGCAATCGTAAGTGAACCGCTATGTGAATGCAAGGCTAGTATTTACTTTTTGAACATCGTGATCAAATCGTGATGGTGATGAACAAAGCTAGCTTGAACTTCCTCCACCGAGCTCAATGCACACTACCAAACATTTGTACATGCTAACCAAATGCTAACCATAGATATCATCTCTTTCCGTTCAAGAGTTCACGTCTGTATCAGATATATACTACTTTCTTGTATTGCCTGGCCTACACACTAATACATTAGATATCGAGAACTCAAGAAATCTTCGATAGCAGAATGAGTTGCTATGACAAATGATGATAAAATGAAAACCGTCCACTTCTGAGGAAAGGGAAGTGAAACGTAGTGCATGCAGGGTGAGATGGAGCGCGACTTGTGCGAGGAGCTACAGTAAATGATGGCAGAAAGGCCGGGACCTTTCACGAGATATCCTCATCCTTGTCTTCTAGCTGCGAAGGCTTGAGCATGCCAGGAATACGCATGGCCATCTCTCGTTCTGCTTGTGCCTTCATCTGTGCTTCTGCTTCCTTTTCTTCCAAAAACAGTTCGGCATTATCGCCAGAGGAGAACTCCTTGAGCTGGATGAGGAAGTCACGTAGAGCGAGTTTGAAGCGGTTGATATCGCTGTGGAACTCGCCAAGACCCGAGACGAAGACTTGAACTTGCGAGCTGCAAAAATGACTCAGAAATGCCTGCAGGAAAAGATAAAGGACACGCACTTCTGCACATGAGGGAATGCTGTCTTCAATAGGTTGGCACAATACTCCTTAAGGAAGACAGAATTTGAGACGTTAGGATCTGCCATCTGCGCAGGATCAAATAGGGGTGCCTGGATCTGGTTCGTCTCAACCAGCTGGAACATGCGTGCGAGTAGAAGACTTTGAAGTTTGAAACCACTCTTGTGGTCCGTGTCCGTGAGTACAAAGAATATGTCTTGTACGATACTCAGGAAGTACTGTTGGAAAAAGGCATTGCTGACGGCAGTCTCTGCGGCTGCAAAATTGTTGACCACCTCAAGGCACACTAGAAGAAAATGTTAGCGCGCCCTCTGCGTGTACGTGAAGTGCTCACGGTTAAGTCCGGTGTCAGCAATGTCACGCATCGTGTGCTTGATTGCCCAGATGATACTGTCCATGAAGAGCTTGAACTGTGGCGGTGGAATGCCTAGCAGAGCTGTAAAGCTGTCAGTGCAAAGTAATGATTCTAAAATCGGGAGATGTGTACCCGGGAAACAATTGAGGTTGATTGCCCGAAGGAGCTTGAAGAACCCAACGCGATGTTCTGGATACTCGGAGAAGTCTTGATTAATCATGGTCAACGTAGGCTCGAAGACTGCGTCAAGAATGGCAGGGACTTGAGGAGTCAACAAAGGCTGTGGTTGAAAGACGGGGTGGGGTGAACAAGTGCGGCATTGGACATTCTGTGCACTTACCCCGAGACGACTTGTAATGGTAGCCATCACGTTCAGCACCTCAGCATCTCGTGCAGTCGCTACATTACGGTTGTAGTCACCAAGAATTGCATCCAGTAGTGGCGGCATGAAATTCGTATTCACGGCTTCAAGATCCTCAGCCTTCTTGATATACGTCTCCATCAGTTTCAATATCTCCTTCTTAACGGTGCGCAGCTGCCGTATCTTTGGCGTCTTAGTGGCAATGGTCCCTAATGAATGGGGATGAGAAATGACACAGGATGGAATTGTGAGGGCTGAACCACGGACCTTCCCGAGCTACGGTCTCGCTGATAATGCCACTGACCGCCTTATACAGACCCAGCATGTCCAAAAAGACCCGTCCAATCTGGGGCAGGTAGAAGCTGCCGATAGATGTACAAGCAGACACGTTCGTCTTGAGGACGTTGGACAAAATCTTGATATTATCAAGGTTGCTTAGGACATCCATATTATGTGCCGCTTGAGCCATGAGCGAATCCCACTTGATAAAATCATGAGCAAGGACTTTTCTCGCTCATAAAAGAAGGGTACACACAGCGTTATTTGGTAGCTCCATCAGTTTAGCAATCAGTTTCTCCTGCTGAGGTTTGTTGGGCTGTGCGGAAATCATGTAACCGACGGCCTCGTAGAAAGTGTGTACCTGTCGAAAGAAATTAAGAGACACACTCGGACAAAATCACGCGGCATACCTGCTGAGGTGATAGGTCGACAGTGATGCGATGGAGCAGCCGCAGTATCTCGTCTACGAATGGCTCCTGTTCTCCCGATTGTTGCATGACAAAATGCCTCCTGCACTTCTGAGCAATCTTGATGAACGTGTCGCATGCCATGTCTTGAACACCTGGAGGAGTCATGCAGACGAGGTCAGAGTGACAGGACTATTGCGGCAATAGGCTTCTTGCCTTCGTGGGTCTCATGCATGAACTCGAACAACTTGTTGACTACCGTCTTGAGAAATTTCCAATGTGCCTTCAAGAAGCGCGGATACTGGCCGACGATGTACATGATATCTGAGGCGACGACAGCTTTGTTGTCTTTGCCTCGTTTGATTTCGCACAATCCTAGGAGATCCTTGATGACGGTAACAAGGAAGCGTTTTTCGGTCTCTTCATCTATAGAATGGGGGGGGAGTATAAAACAGATCCGACGGCTAAGAAAATACCACTTACTCATAGCTCCTGATATGCTTCCAATGGCCCAGCAGAGCGTGTTTAAGTTCTGCCAACTCCATTCCGAACCATCGACTTGCTTTGCAAGTTTTTCGGTCAGTATATTTTCGGTGTCCACAACGTCAAGATGCGTAAGATAGACCAGCAGCTCCCGCATCTGCTTATATAGGACAATCGTATCCGATTCCTTCATGAATTCACGAACGATTTCACCCTCGTCGTTTTCGACAATTAGAACCTGGAACCACCATTATATTGGAACCAAGAGAGGATAAGTCAACCGTACCTCCTCTGGCTTAACCATCCGCTCGATAACAACAAGTCTCAAGTTACTCAAGACGTCGCTGTAGATGTTCTTCCTCAGAGACATGCCATTGAGCATGTTTCCGCCGCCGCTCCCGAGGCTTAAGCCCATTAGTAATCCGCTCTCGCCGATAGGAAGAGCCTGGATCTCGTCGTAGAGTTCTGCCACCAGTTTCGACCAGTATTCAAGAGTGATCTTGAAAATCTCGCGCTCGTCAACCTGGGAGATTTTGACCATGTAAAGATGCGCGTTCAACAGAACATCACGGTTCGCCTCGGTCTCGACAGCACGCAAGTGGGTGGACAAGAAGTTGGAGAGGAAGAGGGCTAGGTTGAGAACAAGCTCCTGGCCGGTGTCTGATGCTGAAGCATATGCCGCAGCAATATTGGTGGAAGGAGGAATCATGCGGTTGACGGAGGTCATGACCATGGCGAACAATATGACAAATTTGGGATCGTATTCTGGACCCACGTTCAACCCAGCAATCTCCGCTAGGCATTTGAGCGTCACGTTCCTGAAATCGGGAGCTTCGAGAAACTACAAAGCAGTCAACTCAGTTCGACGAGAAGTAATGACAATCTTACGCGATTTAGGAGTGTGTCGATTATCATGGTCTCGAATATATATCCCAAAGGTATCCAATTCAAAAAACGCAGCAATGTTTCGAGAGTTGCCTTGATCAAACTTGACTTCTGAGCCTCCTCCAAGACTTCTGAACAGAGCTTGAAGATCTCGCTGAATTCACCGCACATCTGATTCTTGAGATTCTTGATCTTGGTTTGTGTCATCTGCTCGGCAGAGAAATCGAAGACTTCTTCAGAAAGCAGCCGCATTATGACCATGTTGTTCTCGCACAGGGAAAGGTTGGTTTTTGAAGACTCCACGAGTTCGGTAATGAAAGTCGGCCAATTATGTGGCCACTCCTGTTTCAAAATCTAATAGGTTTAATCAATATAACCGTGTATGTTCATGTGCGGGTATATCACTCACTTGAACGAGGGCAAGGTTCAGTTTATTGATGTATGTCTTCTCTTTCCGCATGGTGGTCTCGTCCGATGCCACCTTGACGGTGACTCCAACGACGAAATTACGGATTCCTAAACGCGACGTTAGTCACGTCAGTGGCCTGAAAGAATAACCTGCCTAGTCTCTGCCCCTCTGGTAGTGTTTTCCATCGCGTCACAATGAGCTTTTCTAGAATTTGCAAGCCGATGTACTGCGAATACGGAATCAGCAATCATGGATCCAACTTTTGTCGGGAACAGTACCTTGGACTGCGGATACGAGGATCTCTCCAAAACGTCTGGAACCCTGGTCCATGCATCAGGATGTTCTTCAAATTGTGTCAATACATGTTGAGCCATTTGTTGCTGTTCGAATGAATGTAAGTTCATCGCAAACGGGGAACAGTATTTCCGCCACTTACTTCCTGGCCAGAACCAGTATAAAATGCCATGACGACTTTATCCAGCAGGGACACATCGAACTCCCTCGAGAAATCGAGCAAGCCCTAGGTGCTAACTTGAACAACAACAAACGATGATAAAGCGCGAAGAGCTTACCTCCATGATTGCAAGAACGCAGTGCACCTAGGCTGCTACGATATGGCGGTCAAAGATGCCAGGCTCAGCCTCCGTTGAAGGCGATTATTTAAGATGATTATGAACCGCAAAGAAGGGATGTTGGGCAATGGGCACAGGGTCCTCCTCCACATCTAATCTGCTGACATAATATCGCTTCATAATCAGCTCCTGTGGCTCAAGACTTTAGCGCATCTGCCGGTTGAGAATTATTTATTAGTACGGAGGCGTATACAGACTTGGACTGCAACAATATTGGCTAATGCTGCAAGTTGTATGTAAATTTCAGCTATAATATCATGGCGAGTTCGTCGGAACCAGATGCCATCACTTCTGTCTGGTGATCAACTTCTTCGGTGCCTCTTGACGATCCAGATTCGATGTTTATCTCTAGGTAGAAATGTCATCACCAGCAGCAATACGGGTAACGCATTCGAAACATAGTAGTACTTAAATACGTTGTCAGACTCAAAGGCTGTCGTCCACTTTGACTACAACTTTGCCAGTAGCTCGTGAAGTCATGATGCGCTCATAAGCACTGAGAACGTCCTCGAATCCATACACGGAGTCCACCACCAGTTTGAGCTTGCCTTGAAATGCGGTTAACCCCAGAGAAGCCGAACACAAGAAGAATCCAGTACGATACCTTCTGCTACCAAATCGCGCAGCTTTGCAAGATCCTGTGGCTTGTGATTTACACTTACCATACTGTAATTTGACTGTCAGAGATGCACAATGATTTGGTAGCAGACTGCACTGACGTCCACTTTGCATTAACACCACCGAGGAACGATGGCCGAAGTATTTCGCAGCCCAGAGAAAGCAAATTTGCGACGCCGGTAGATCCTCCCCACGACTTCAGATCTGGCCAAGGTCCGGTCGATATGTATACCCCTTTTGGCTTCATGTAGGCATTCGAGGACTTATATAGAGCGGTGTCAGTCAAACCAACAGCGTCGAAGATGATGTCGAATTTAGGCGAAGGCGGATTTTCCATGAAATGCTCGTGAAGAGGTTTTTTAGTGTAATCGACAAACTAGCGAGGAGTCAGCAAAGAAGAACTACAAGAAAGAGCACTTACTTCATCTGCCCCCGCTTTACGACAAAATTCCTCATTTCTTGAAGAAGCACTCGTGACAACCTTGGCCCCAAGAGCTTTTGCAATATAAATAGCATACATCCCAACTGCTGAACTTCCGCCGTTGACAAACACGCTCTGGCCAGCTTGAAGGTTTCCTATATCCACTAGGGCCTGAAAAGCAGTCTCCCCGGCTAGAGGAAGACCGCAAGCCTCGATCACAGATACATTGGACGGCTTCAAGACTAGATTAGCAGCAGGAAGCTTTGTGTACTCCGTCAGCGCCCCCTGCCCAGTCTTCAACTGCAGTGCTATTCAAACACCTGGGTCAACATGGCATGCGCAAGGGAGTAGCAATACTCACTAACTGGTATGAAACCGATAACCTCGTCTCCTGCGGAGAACTCTGTGCCGTTTGCGTCCACTACCACGCCGGCGAAATCATGTTCTGGTGTGATTGGTCTCCTGGCAAGGACGTTGGGCACAGTCGACATGACCTTCCATCCTCTAATGAGATCTGAACTTATGAGTTCAATGAATATCCAGGCATGGCACCTACACCGGATTAAGTGCAGCTGCCTGAACCTTCACAAGCACTTCTCCAGGTGAAAGAGAAGGGACAACCACGTCCGTCTGAAAAACAAGAGATTCAGATGGCTTCCCCCGCTTCACAGCTCTCCAAGCTCGCTGTGTCTTCGGCAGATTGGAAGTTGGACCAGTGCTCATGGTGTCACAAACTTGAAGAACGGATGGCGCACCAGGCCTGGGATTTCGAGCATCCCTTTAAGTATGTACGCGTACGAACCACAGACTGCATGACGAGCCATGTGACGCCGACAATGCCCGATGTGGATCATTGATAATGCTTTTGGATGAATTTTAGACTCCGCGACCATTTAGATTGATCTTCAGGACATTTCGCTCAAGTCTCGCTTAGCTGCTTAGCAGACCTGTTCGTCTGTCTGTAACTTCAACCTACTACAACCAACAGCTAGAATTCAAGGTTTTCTCGGACCACTTGTTCCAAAATTGTTCTAGGTAAGTAGGAAATGCTGCGGCACTCAGGGTGTGTTGACTGTGTGACGCCAGACAATCGAAGCCCCTATCCATCTAGGACAAAACATGACCGAGCGTAGCATTTCCCCCAGCGAAATTATGTCCAGAATATCTTGCTCCGCTACAGACACTTCTGAAGATGAAGTTGTCTGGGGCGTTAGCGATGAATATTCGTCGGAAAGTAGTATAACTGGCAGCGAGGCGGACTATGTTCTGCTACCTCGTATCTCAGTAGAGGGGTCTGACCACGATTCCGGCAACAGCGCCTCGGAGGATGTGCTGTCAGTTGCATTCGATCTATTGTCAGTTGCCAACGTGGACGATGAATCGGACACGAACAAAGTCGACAAACCAAAGCGGACTTGGAAGCCGCATGATAGAGCAGTAAGGGGGGATTCATCCTCTACGAGCCCTTCTCCTCAGACCAACAGTGGAACGAGGACTCTCGATGGTTCATATGAGGATGCTGCAGCATATATCACGCAGTACGTGTTATGTTCTCACTCACTGAGAAATAATGTATTCTTATTGCGGGCAGGCACCTGGACGCTCCTGTCAAGCTGGATGATCCAAGTGCGAAGCTGCGGCTTCTGCAGGCCCTTGGTACCGAATTTGGTATTTACCAAGAGCTGCCCACCAGCATCAAATCAGCAAGAAAGCTTTTGCAAGCCAAAGTTCATGTAAACATTATAGATTATGCAGCCAAGCGGGGAAAAGACCAGGATGCATTACTCCAGATCATGCGTCCCAGCAAGAGTGCTCTACGGAGGGACATTCGGCGAAATGGCCGGAAGAAACCTTTGAAGTGGGTGAAGGAACATGGTTTGAACGTTCTCTTGATTGGCTGCAACTAACGTGCGGGGAAGTTTTATTTCTTCCACCGATTCACAATGTTGTATAGACTTGTATTGCAAGTGTAAATGGTATCAACTTGTTCCTATTGTGCTCGATAAAACTTCATTTGAGCTCGGCTCAAAAGGACAAGAACATGAATTTTACATGACTATGAGAACATATGACTAGCAAGTTCACAGTCAGCGTATTCATGCAAAGGAGTGTTAAAAGAAGGGTATAAACAGCACTGCGACAAATCGACTAGCTTAACGCGCAGAAGATTGTGGAAAGTGTGAAGAAAACCGAGCAAAATATTATGATAAAGATAGACACAGCGTCCTGCATTCCGTGACCAGATGAAACGTTTTAGGGCAAACTTAAATGCCCTCCTCAGCTGCTAACATGACGCCGATATCAACCAAAGCTTGATTCATGACCAAAAGATTCTGGGGGTTGGCGCTGTTTGGCGCAGCCACAACAGCGGTCCCAGTGGGAACAGCAATCCCACTGGCCACACCTGAGCTGTAATTGGTCGTAGAGGCCGAAGAGCTGGAAGTAGCATAACTAGAGGTGGTAGAGGTCGATGAGGTGGAAGTGGAAGTGGGAGTATATGAAGACGTGGTGGGTGTCCATGTCGTCGTTGGTGTCCAGGTCGTGGTAGGGGTCCATGTCGTCGTTGGGGTCCAAGACGTGGTAGGGTCAGGAGTCCAGGACGTAGAGGTGGTAGTAGGGGTCCAGCTGGTAGACGTAGTATCACTTCCGCTATTGAACCACCATGACCCATAGATAACACCTTCTGACTCGGATGCGAAGTAGTCGAAAAGACCGCGAGAGAAGTCGAGTCCACCATAAGGGCAGCCCATACACTAGCCGTGTTTGGGTAAGGAAACATATTGTAAAGCATAGTTGAGAACAGACCTCATCCATGATAACAGCCTGGGCTGTTTTTCCCCCATAAGAAATCGTAATTGACAAGAAGCACATTGGACCAGGATATCCACTGCCGTACTGATCGACATTTAGCGCCACGATCTAGAAGTGACACATAGCGATTAGACGAGAACGTCATATAGATAACTATACAGACGAAGTCACTGGCAACATTGGTGTCTCCACATGCACCCCTTTGAAAAAAATCGAAGTGAGGAGCGATTCGCAAATAAGGCACCGTCGTTGGGAACTCACAGGCCGACATCATAGAAGGTGAACCGAGAGTTATCGAAGGAACGTTTTTGGACATCTACATCGCCCCTGGCGCGAATGGCAAGTTCTTGGTGACGTCTGCCCCAGTGATTCCCATGAGTGCTGGCAAAACTGAAAGGAATGATTGCAAAGAGAAAACCGAGAATCGTAGTAACCCGCATTGCACAATTTCCAAGGCAGGAAGGGCACAATTTTGTTCCACGAGCGGGTGGTCTGTGGTGAATTTGAAAGAGCGTATACACAAGGGAATGACTAGCTCGTAAGAATACAGCTTTTCTGCTTGAAGTCTAAGGAAGGGAGTGGTCTATATTACAACGGCAACGGGTGAAATCTCTTCACGACCAACCACTACCTGGCTAGGACCCCAGGAACACCCTCAATATTTAACTACCAAAGCTGTCCAGCATTCAATTGCAACGCAGTGATTGGTTAACAGTATCATCGACTAGTCAACTGCCCCCCGAAAATTGGGACAGGCAATGTGATGTACGGTATTATGTGGGTATAGCAGCTGCTAGCTGAAGAATAAGTCCATTGAACTTTAACGAGCTCGAGAAATGTCCACAAAGTAGATATAGCATGTTGCCGTACTTTTGTCATAGAATCCGCAGCAGACTCTACGAATCTGAAACAGACAATATTACGTCTGAGCGACACCAAGAAATTCGCCAAGGTACACCATTGCCAGGTTGAGGTTCATGAGAACGGCGTTTCCGGTTGACGCAGGAACAACCCCAGCACTCTCCACTACAGAATTAGCAGTTGTTGTGCTTGAGGCACTGCTCGACGCCGAAGAGGACGAAGAACTAGAAGTGGTTGAGGTTGAGAAACTGGAGCTGGATGAGCTTGTGATTGTCGCCGACGTCGAGGACGGTGTAGGGCTGGGACTCGGGGTTGTCGAAGGTGGAGGCGGGGTCCAGGTTGTAGTTGGCGTTGGCGACTGCCAGACAATGGTTGGCAATATGGGTGCTTGATAGGTGGATGTAGGCGACGGTGCCGGTGCCGGAGCAGGGGCGCTACCGAAGGACCATGTACCATAGAGCACACCGCTAGAAAGCGGAGCGAAGAACTGGAAAAGGCCTTCGGAAAAATCAAGGCCACCGAAGGGGCATCCAGGACACTACTTTGAGTGTCAGACTGATCCAATTGATATCGTGATGCTCTTTACCTCGTCAACAATCTGAGCCTGAGTTGTCAGTCCGCCGATAGTAATTGTGATCGTTTGGTAGCAATTTTGACCACCTTGGTATTGCTAAAAACCATTGAATGACTATATAACGACGTGAAAATTAGATTCTCACCGCTGAATTCAGCGCAACTATCTAGAAAATCAAATTTAGTGACAAGTGATTAATTTGAAGTGACCACATACATAGTCGCCAGGTTGGTTTGTTGAACCACAAGCACCAAGACCGTCCGCATAGTAAGTGAAACGGGAATTGGGGTAGTCGCGTTTGTACATATCAACATCTCCTGACGCCCGAACTGTGAGGTCCGAATCCAGGCGCTTTACATGGCGTCGGTGGACTTGGTGAGCATTGCTGGCTGACACCGAGCACCATGATAGCGCTAATGGCAGTAACACCGACAACTGAGCAAGGAGCCTCATGGCTTAGACACCCGGTCAGCCTAGAAAACAAGTAGAGAACGTGAGGGTTGACGGGCTGGATATCTGAGAACAAAAAGAGTGACTAGTCGTTGCTGCGAAAACTTTGGACACGGAAGGTGATGGTTAGAAAGTAAACAAGAGTGAGGCGACGCTTGGAATACATATTGTACGGAGACTCTTGTTACTATCACAGTGTCACTTACCTAAAGCTTAAGCTGCATTCAGACACCCAGCTAGCCGATTGGCCTCAAAAATAGACCTAACGCCCAACAAAGGCGCCGACAGCAATATTTGGTATGCGTGAGGTTTTGTCCACGGGTATGAGTACCTTTTCAATTGCGATGCTCTTGACTATGTTTCAATTCGAGACTCAGTGGACTGGCAAAGATAGTACGACAAGTTCTAGGATTCTAGCCTTGGCTGCCTTACTACACTAAATACATTTGTAATCCAACATATGATCCCATCATTTAAGTTCCACTTGTGTGGGAGGGTCGATGAACATCGTCTATGAACAAATGAGCTTGGCATCAGAACAGTTACTTAATGTACTCACTGTCACAAATTTCAGGACCTCGTCGATGGCAAGCACGGGCAAGCTGAGGTACAAGACCATCTTCCATTCAGCCCAGTTCAACGGTGTTATTTGGAAGAGCGCCTGGGAAGAACCATTTAACTTGCCAATTCGGTGAGATAAACGCAAAGGACTGACCGTGAAGAACGGAATATACAAAATGGCAAAATGAAGTGCCATGCTGAGAGTTATTGCTCCAACAAGGAACGGGTTCTTCCATACGGGTAATCGCAACAGACTCTCATTTTCAGATAGCGAGTTCATGGCGTTGAACATCTCCACCGTGACCAGAATCGACAGGCTCATGGTTGTTGCCCGATGTGACATAACGTTCGTGAACATCTCGCACCCAATTTCCGGGAAGAGCGTGGAGCATTGGTGGAAATGCGTCTGTTAGACTCATCAGCAGGGAACGGATGATTGAGTTAGGGCAATACATACAAGTTGATGGAACGTGATCTGCGGCCCTTCTGAGTAGAAGACGAACCACCACCCATATCCGAACACGGTAGCACATCCGACGTAAATACCAACGACCATGTAACGGAAGAACAGCCATTTTCCAACAAGAGGTTCACGGCTGTTTCTTGGAGGCACCCGCATGATGGAATGATCTGGAGGGTTGAACCCAAGGGCGGTTGCAGGCAAACTGTCTGTAACGAGGTTGACCCACAGGAGTTGCACCGGAATGAGGGCCTCTGGCATTCCTAGTAGAACAGTCAAAAATATGCTGTGGTAAATTGTCAGTATCCATCCAGGACCACAGCAGTAACCCTACCTGACGACTTCGCCAATATTCGACGAGACTAGACATAGTCAGCAGGAAGGACTGAAACAAGGTGGATCGCGCTCACTTAGGTATCGGATAAATTGCTTAGTATTGTTGTATATGAGTCTACCTTCTTCAACCGCAAGCTCTATAGTTGCAAAATTGGAGTCCGCGAGCACCATATCGGCGGCCAGTTTGGCAACGTCAGTACCGCTTCCCATGGCGACACCAATATCTGCCTTTTTCAGTGCCGGGGCATCGTTTACACCATCACCAGTCTAGAAAGAGATGTCTTAGCTAACAGCAAAGATGTTAAGTACGCCGACCAACCATCGCTACAACCAGGCCGAGCCCTTGGAGGATATCAACAAGCTGGGTCTTGTGCGCGGGTTCTGTTCGAGTAAAGAGACTAGCACGTTGTACGGCCTTGACCTTCTCCTCAGGACTGAGGTCATCAAGTTCCCGGCCAGTGTAGCTCTTTCCTGTTAAGTCTTCGTTCTCGCCGAAGATCCCGATTTGCCTGCAGATCGTTTCTGCAGTGCCCTTATTGTCACCAGTGATGCAGATAACACGAATTCCAGCAGCTCTACAGTTCGCAACAGCGAGACGGACCTCCGGCCTTGGAGGATCGAGCATTCCAACCAGAGAAACGAACACCAAGTTCTGTTCAAAACGAGCATAATCGTTGGTGTTTTGACTTTGATAGTGAACAGGATCAACGTCTTGAACGTCTACGTAGGCAAGGGCCAGAGTGCGGAGACCAATGGAACCGTAAGAAACCGTTTGCGCGAGGAGTACCTTACGAAGCTCTGCCGTTAATGGGATGACCTTGCCATGTACCATGACTGAAGTACACCGGTCCAAGACAGACTCGGGGGCTCCTTTGACAAAGAGGGCACCCTTTCCATTCAGCCGTACAAGGACAGACATCATCTTGCGGTCACGTGAAAATTCCATGGTGAGTAGCTTCGGGATGGAGCGCTCATAGTACTCATTCACTACACTCGCCCTCACGGACGGCGAAAGTGTAGAGAGGGACTGGGATACTTCTTTGTCCGAGCAACCAATCTTCTCTACGAGGACTTTCAAGGCAGCTTCAGTCGGCTCCCCCACGTTACTATACGAGTCCTTGTCCTAGAAATACCAATGAGGATAGAGAACACCAATTAGCAGTGGGGTAGAGCTCACAGAATGATAGACGATTTTTGCATCATTACAGATGGCGCTAATCTCCGCGAGACGTCTGAGGGGATCAGTTTGCAAATTCACGGTCTTTCCGTTGGTTGAGGTGATCGAGCCATGTGGGGAATAAGTTGTACCTTCGACGGTATAATCTTCTGGAAGGCCGCTTTGCGCATTGATGACGAGGAACTTGAGAAGTAAAGTTGGGTGAGATGCATCTCATACTGCAGTAAATCGCATATCACCTTTGAAACACACATCTGGCTGGTAGTGAGAGTGCCTGTTTTGTCCGAACAAATGACATTGGTACATCCGAGGGTCTCCACACTTGGTAAATTCCTGACAATCGCGTTCTTCTGCGCCATCTTCTTGGTTCCTAAAGCCAAACATGCTGTAATGACGGCAGCAAGACCTTCTGGGATAGCAGCCACAGCAAGAGCCACGGCAATTTTGAAGTAATAAATAGCGCCCTTCATCGCACCGTGGTGTGCAGGATCCCAGAAGTGCCGGAAATTGACCAACCACACCAGGACACAGATTACAGTGATCACTTTGGCCAACATATCACCGAAATCGTCGAGTTTGCGTTTGAGCGGAGTCTTTTCACTGATTTGCTGCGAGATTGAATGATGGATGTGGCCAATAGCGGTTTTCTGGCCAATGAAAGTGACGATGGCTCGCGCACTGCCGTTGACTACTGTGGTACCCTAAATATACTGATGAATACCCTATTAAACGTCGAGAAGGCAAAGAGAGCGCTTACAGAGAACAACATATTTGTCATGTCCTGCTTGACAGCGCCGGTGTCGGAGACAACGTCGACCGACTTGTTCACGCTAACGCTCTCGCCAGTGAGGATAGCCTGGTCCACCCTAAAGCTGCTGGAGGAGATGGACATGATTCTGCAATCCGCTGGAATTTTGTCACCGACTGCAACTGAAACAATGTCACCTGGAACGAGTTCGGAGGCATGGATGCGGGCCAACTGGCCAGATCTGAGAACTTTAGCCTCATCTGGTGAATATTCCTTTAAGGCCTGCACGAACACAGTTGAACATTGGCGTTTAACGAGACCACACAATATAACTCACGTCTATAGCTTTCTCCGCGTTTGTTTCTTGTATTACCCCAACAGTTGCATTCGCGATAAGAATGAGCAATATGACAGTGGGTTCAACAAACGCTCCAAATAATGTGGTATCTTCAGAGTCATCTAGCAATGCCAAAACGAAGGATATAACTGCCGATGCAAGCAGGATCAACACTAGCTGGTCCTTGAACTGTTCTAGAACAAGCTCCCATAGTGGAGTCGGAGGGTCTTCTGGAAGCTCTGCAAGGAATATTAGCTCCCAAAACAAAACAAATGAACAAGGCGGACCAACCGTTCTTTCCATACACCTCTGCATGCTTGGCTGCGTGGGCTGCAGTTAGTCCGCGCGAACTGTCAACACCAAAGTGCTCTAGGACTTGCCCCGGAGTACTAGTCCAAGGATGATCCATGACCGTAACGAAGAAAAAAGATAGTACAGATGCGGGACCCAGCACCTTTAAGCACCGGAATTTGCTTTAACCTGGTTGTGCTGAGAAATTTGTGGCTGACGTGTCCGATTTGTTTGCGCAAGTTGTCGAAGAGTTGTCCATGAGGACATTGGATATGTTGGCTGTGCCAAGTCAGCTGGTTGCGAGCTGCTGAGCTCGAGTCGGAGAGTCTTTAAGATGGGCGGTATAATACTGTTCAGTGTCAATCATGTTCATTATGGTAATAAGAGGGCTGATCACACATGTAGTACGTATCAACAAGCACGCCATCGCACACAGGCGCAATTGGTTAACTTCAATATTACTTGTCAGCTCATCAGATTCTAAATTGCTTTTTTTGTGGCCCTTAGACTTTCCACCCTTACAAAACAACATGAAAGCCTAGCTAACTACGTAGCATGTACTAGCACGTACCAGTCTAGGGCCAGCTCATAAGATAACGATTTCTTTGAAATTCGGGCCGTCGACTTGCCACCAAACACAAATACAAGTAAATATACTACGGTGACCTAATTCGCAGTGAACAGCAAAGGAAGTCGCGCATACGACGGTCTCGCCGCCCAACTTCGTCTGGTCTCTGTAAACTTACCGAGACGTTATCGTCTTTGGAACTGAAGCCATGGGCAACACCAGCTCGTCATCCACACGCGGCCATCACGACGATACTGTAGACTATGGCCATCTCGCTCCTCAGGGCGTCTACACTGGGCCTAATGACTGGAATCATGGGATCGTTACCCAGTTCATTGTAGATCGCAAGCTTGCTCCTTTCTATCGACCTCTAGAAGATTACAATGAAAACTGGGACGATGAGCAGATCATGTCAGCCAGGAGGGTCCTCCCAGATTCTGACAGCGGCCACTCCGACACTACTCCCACAAGGGTTGACTCACGAGATTGCTCAAAGCCTGCTAATCAATCTAAGCGGCCCGTTGCATTGAAGGAGCCCTCTCGTTGTCCAGAGGCCGCCGTTTACAGAGGTGCTGTCGAATGCCCAATATGTTTCCTTGTGCGTTATCTCTCACGTGCGTCATGCAACAACTGAGTAATTTGTGCCTTAGTATTATCCCCCTAATATGAACCATTCAAGGTGTTGCGATCAGGCAATATGCACGGAGTGTTTTGTTCAGATAAAGAGGACCGAACCCACGGCTACACATCTCGTATCTGAACCAGCAGCATGCCCATATTGTGTACAGGAGAATTTTGGTGTGGTATATACTCCTCCTCCATGGCGTACTGGAATTGGGAGCGACGGAACGGTTCGTTCTCCTTAGACATATTCCTCACCATAACTGATGAGATTACTTCGTTGTTTGCTCGTTGCTATTCAGTCCCCACCAGTATGGGCTGAGACTTCCAAAGCCTCGCAGCAGAATTTGTCTAGCGCGGCTCACAAGCGACGCCGCAAGAGCTTTGGTCATGATAGTCCGGAAGTGGTTACGACAGGTAAATGACTCGTTCCCAATTCGCACATATACATCATGTCTTCCTGTGCATAGATCAAATACGGCCAGACTGGGAAGCTAAGCTTGCCGCTGTTCGAGCTGCGGTTACGCGCCGTGCAAATAGGCGAATAATCATGCGTCAAGTAGGGGACAGACTCATCCCAGTCGGTGTGACGAGTGGCCGTGTTCATCCACTACCGACCGGCGATGGTCAGGACGGCGGTGAAGTGGACCCTGGTGCCACCCGAAGAAGCCGGCGGCATAGAAATAATGGTCAACCGGATATCAGCCAGTTACTGGGTCAGATGGGGCTCGGTGGCCAAGATTTGGAAGAGGTATTAGCTTTGTACTCTGAAGTATATCAACTAATGTCCATTTTCAGTTAATGGTCATGGAGGCTATGCGCCTTTCACTTATGGAGCATGAAGAGCAGCAGAGAAAAGAAGAAGAGAAGCGCAAGAAAGAAGCTGCTGCTGCTGCTTCAGGGGGACATATAGAGGGAGATACTCCTGGTCGGTCGAGCGAGGATCAAACGACCACCAACACAGTAGGGAACGACGCTTCCAATAGCTTATCGGCGGCCCGGAGCTTGGAATCGGGAGAGGCCACAGCCGAAGCGAATCACGGTGGTAGTCGGGCAATGACTCCTGTAGCAGGTCAACCAACCTCTTCATCTCACTCGCAGACACCCGTTGATACCAGCGCCACCCGCAGTGACGGGACAATCTCGATCTCAGCCCAACCGCGATGCATGACACCGGGTGCTTCATTTCCGATGGTTGGTGATGGAATTATTGATTCCACGGCATCGGCAGTGCCCAATGGAGTAGTCAAGCTTTCAAGTCAGAATGCTTCCATGTATATTGACAACATGAAGCCATCCACAGGGACGCCTGGTGCGGCCTCCATATCGTCCTCCATTTCCAGCCCCAATACTCCAGGACAATCATCTTATGACGCCCTTCCATCTTCACCAGAATCGTTAATGGAAGAGCCGTTGTTGAACACGGACTTGGTTTCAGTCACGGCTGCCGCAAAGCCCGCTGGTTCCTGATCGCCAATCGTGGTGGTATTGGGGATTGGTGGGTGGTATTAGTATTTTGTCATTCATCGTTTATAGATCCTGGAGGAGCATCTTTCGTAATTCCTAATGTTTGCATACTTTCTTTGAGCTTGACATTTCAGCCCTGTTGAATACATCACCACTGTAGCTATCTGACATGTCGTTTCAATGAATTTGATTTGTTCGCCGCTAGCGGAATTGCCGCGGAAGTCGTCGACTTCGTGGAAGATCGGTGTCATGTGGGCGAAACTCGGAGATGTATATATCTTGGTGACTCATTTCATCCGCGGAGGTATGATGGTGAGATGCTTTCTCACTGTTACGGTGAAAGGGCTGCATGGGCGGGTGCAATTCTTTCTGATGACAATGTATCCTTGCCGGCATGTTCCTTCGTCTAGTTATTGGTGGTCTCACGACGGGTCTGGAGACCGAGAACGACCGTGATTGCGGATGCCGTCGAGCGGCACCGCAAACAGGACATTAACAAATGCGGCAGTGAATAACATACTGTCCAGTAATAAAGCGAGAGCCCTAACATGCAGAGAAATGTAAGCTACCGCTGATTGGCCCATATAGGTTTTCCCGCGTCTGGATCGCTCTAGTCGTATAGAAATTGGATAAGAAGGCCGTCGCGTCAGAGCGTGAAAATATACTAACCTGAGCATCGATTTGGCGTTTTATGGTTTGTTCTTGGGCGAGTCTGGCCGCACGGTTTGCATCAACCTTTCGCCGCAGATCAGGTGACATCGCCTGCGCTTATGATGAGAACACGGTTCTACTGAACACAAAATGCAAAGGCAGCTTCATAGCCCTCGGAACAAATTCGAACGGAGCAGCATGCATGTCCAATTGCGAAAAAGACGGCGAAAGAACTCACGGCATATGTCTGTTCAGGTGTAGGTACGGTCGCTACAAATCAAGAACAAAGGCAATGACATTCAATCAGGAGGAACAGGAGAGGGTCATCCAAAAAAAGTAGGCGAATCAGATGGTGAAGGCCCCCGGGTCATAGTAGAAGACGAACCGTTCATCAGAAGGTAACCCAGGCCCATCACTGGCGCAGCATTTCAAGTGCCGTGCATCATGTGCATGCAGTGAAAAACACAGTTCAAATTCGCGTCGGCAATCCCAGTTACAATCAGCTTCTGTGTTTGTCGGTTCGAGGATTATCAGAAAGACTCACGACCGCCTCCTAGTAATGTCATTCTGAACCATGGAAAACTCATTGTGTGCGAGAGATTCTTGCGATTGGTAAGTTGTCAGGTAAGGTCCGGAGGCATGGCCATGCGCAAGCACAGTATTTACTTATTTGTATCTCAGCATCATTGGCGCATCATACCTGGAACTCTTCGGAACATGGACCACCGTATTACAATACCCATCAATTCTGTATGTACTGCCTTGGTAAAACCGAGGTGGGTGTATGTGCCAACGAAACTGAAAAGTATGCAATGATAGTAGAGTTGGACGTTCTACAGTGAGTCGTGCTGGTATAAAATCGATGATGAAGGACTATGCAGAGAGATCCTATGCTAGAGAAGGAAAGCACGACAGCAGGAAACAGTGCGCGATAAATAGTGTAGAATGCAGAGAATCCGTGTACTCAGCCCTCCGCGTGCACATATGTCCGTATGACTTGTTGGCCCGTCATCTTCCTCCGCTGGGACACAAAACCCATCATATCCGCAGTGCTTCTGCGGCTTACCAATTCTATCCTTGCTAGTTCTTCCTCCCACGCACGCATTTCCACTTGTCCGACTTTCTCGAACAACAAGCTGCCTTCTGCACGACCGGCACTTTCAGGTATTGCCGAGTGGGCTCCTTCCGAGCTCACACTTGTACTGGAATGGCCAAGCCGCGGGGCTTCAACCCACTTCTGGTTGAAAACACTACGGCTACCGCGTTTGGTCGCAGGTCCACTGTATGCAGTTTCAGGGCGTAGAGGGACGGGGAGTCGATTGCTATGATCGTGAAGCGGATCATACCCTCGCGAATCGTACCCGTGTGGCGTATCCCGTGGCCCAGCAGAAGTGTGGGGTCTGCGCGTGGACTTTAGCTTGTATTTGCTCCCGGGTTGTGGGGACGATGCGGATGAAAACTTGTGCTTATGCTCAAGCGATATTTCAGGCTCATGGCCGCCTTTAGACGTGTTGGGCGCCTTTTCTGGTACTTGGGCAACTGAAGGAGGGCTACGAGGTGGTGATGGTAGTTGAGTATTTGTGTTTGGACGATCTCGCTTTGATCGTTTGGGGGACCTAGACTTGGACTGGCTTGCGGCGGAATAACGTGAAAGAGCCAATTGGCGCTGAGCCTCATTGGTTGAGACTACGATAATTTCCTTGTCGTCGAGCTCGACGGTTTCAGCGCTCGAGTTGGGGGAGGAGACGATCAACTGAAGCACAAAATTAGACAAACAACAAGAGAAAACGTGCAATATACCTTTACGCGAATAAAAAACTTGATAGAAACCATGTCGGTCTGAACAGTTTCTCCAACCGTCCATCGGCTACTGGGACTAGCATCGGGCCAAGAAAAGGTGAGTGTCTGACGCCAGGTCCCAGTGGAATCCCGAGCGAAGCGATGGGAAGATTCAAGATGAGCAAAAATATGCGTTGCTGTCCGTTCGCCTGTGTGAGTCGAAGGCGAGGCACTAGGCACGGATGATTGATGTTGTGGCAGAAGAGGCCGCGTGTCAGACACCAAGGAAGAGGATGAGGAAAAGTGGTGAAGGTCATTGGAAGATGACGCTGCAGACATGATGTCGCTGGAGTGTGCTGCGACAGACTGATGATCATGAGAGTGTGATTCTTGATTTGATATGAGGTATGAGTGTGGCGATAATGTAGGTGCTGATGATGTTGAAGTACCAGGAGATGATATTGGGAGTTCGGAGAATTGTATTCTTCTTTCAACGACGGCAGTCGCACTGCGAATGGATACAGCTGGATCGAGTGGTTGGACAGTGACTTGTAAAGAAACGATATCGAGGGGGCCAACAGGTTTGGTGGGGAGTAAAATACGATAATGGAGTGAAGGTGCTCTAGACTTGGTGCTCAAGGATGATAGATAAGATGTTGGGGGCGGGGTTACTGGAGAGGGAGGAGGGACGTTCCCTGGTAGGTCATGGCGGATCAAATAGAGATCGTAATGTTTAAGCAAGCGAGAGCCGACGCCCGGAATGGGAGCGTGATTGACGACTAAACGACGTAAGACAAGAGCGATTGAACGCCTGAAATCACATACCAGCCTCGATTCGCCAACATATTCGGTACTCTTGGAAGTAAAGAGCTGTGCTGGGTCCAGTAGTATGAAGTGGCATGGAAAGTCGGAATGGGTATTCCGTATTTCCAATCTCTGCCCAATCTTGGCCGTCTGGTTTCTTCCATAACGTGACGGAGTTTTCTACCAAGATATTTGTCTGTACTGTGCCCAAGCGACCGTGGCGAAACTCGTAACAGCGAACGAAGACTGTTATATCTTTTGCAGGGAGATGTTTTCCATCCTGCTCGATTTCAGTACGGACGACTGAGTGAACGTATATTAATACGCGATATGAATTGATGGGAAAATAGACGGACCTCCTTCAAACTTGAGGGGTGTCAAGCCGAGGTAGCCAGTGCATGGAAAGAAGCGGACACCATGGTTGCCTTTGGGGGAGACAAGGGTGAGCTTGACCATGACGGGGGAGTGGAACGAGGAGGACGAGGTTAAGGTTGAGGTTGACGGATAGCACGAACGAAAGAGTGAAAGAAAAGAGAGTGATGGAGGAGGAAAAGACGCCCAGAAGCAATTGCGATAAATAACTGGCCAATAACTGGTACCAGAATATTCATGACAGCGAGCGAGAAGCAAGAGCATCGCGACACGATCTCCCGATCTCTGATCCAGATCTGTCCTTCTCCGGCGCACCGGCATCCTATTTCCGGATTTAGGATCATCACGCCGGCTACTTGTCACGCCTGTTTGATACTAAGTTGTCACTCAGCCCTGCTGCTGCTCTTCGACGACTATCAACCATGCCTTCGTCGTTCTACATTCCTATTCTCCTTGCGGGGATGATCATTACGGTATGTTATATGTTCTTTTCAACGTGCACTAGGTCATGTTTTGTAGGGGTCAAGTAATTCGTTATGGAGCAAATGGCAGGTGTGTGTTGAACCTGAGGTTCAGAGATACGGCATTGACCACCTTCGTAGGACATGCAATGTGTTGAGAATTGTAGCGACCCTAACCCAGGAAACCATGTTCTGTACGAGCAGCCTGTATGGCAAACGTTGCAGATGTTCCGTCAGTATGTTTATTTGTACCACGTTCTACGCTAACTTAGCCGCACTAGTCGGCGAAATGCTTTGTCAGTAAATGGCAATCCGCCTATTCATATCTCACACTTTTCATGTAGGCTTTCTTCCTGTCATTTATACGTGGCTCCGTGCACGAAAGACCACTGCTCCCGTCTTTCTCGAAGAAGATGAACATCCTCCCGCTAAAATAGAGGACACCTTTGAGGAGCTACGAGGTTCCAAACTTCTTCTTTTATGGTTGCCCGCTGCTTGCGATCTTACCGGAACAACGGTCCGTCACTCTTCTTTGCCTTGCAAACAACTTGAACTTCCTTTAATTCGTAATCGATATTAACAGCTTATGAATGTCGGTCTCCTCTATACCCCCGTTTCCATTTATCAGATGACACGTGGAGCCCTCGTCCTTTTCGTCGGCACCCTTAGCGTTATCTTCTTACACCGTCGTTTATGGCTTTATCAGTACGCCCCTCGGCGCTTCTCCCGTTACACACCACTAAATCGTCTTTAGATGGGTCTCTCTCTTGACAGTCATGGCCGGCATATCTCTCGTAGGATACAGCGGTTCGCTTATCAAAGATGTCGTCCACTCCACCTTGCGTCTGTCGGGTAACGACCCTTCAGACGAACCTGAAGTCACAAAGGTCCTCGTTGGTCAGATATCCTTTCCTATTGCTTTTTATGGCAGTTTATACTCATTGTTCAAAGGCGTCTTCTTCATTCTCTTTGCCCAGGTGTTGTAAGTATTTCATCATCTCTTACTTCAGTGACTAAGATTCACTGGCATATAGTACGGCAACACAGTTTGTTGTCGAAGAGAAGATCATGGCTCGTTACTCCGTAGCACCTTTGGTTGCTGTGGGCTACGAGGGTTTATTCGGCGCTCTCACCATCGTCATGTGCATGCCCATTCTGGCTATGCCGTCAATCGCTTCTAGCTCGCCTTTCTTCGACCTTCCTAGGGGTTGGTACCAAATGGTGAACACGCCTAGTGTCCTTCGGTCAGGGATCGCCATCGCGATTAGTATCTCATTGTTTAATTACTTCGGCTTGAGTGTCACCAGGCATGTAAGCGCCACAGCGAGGAGTTTGACCGACACCTGCAGAACACTCTCAATTTGGCTAGTCAGCCTTGGACTAGGCTGGGAGAAGCTTCTTTTCCCCATTTCATTGCTCCAAGTACTCGGATTCTCTTTCCTGGTGTAAGGAAGCCTTTCATACAGTTGTTAGTAACGTGGCGCTCACAACTTTTGCATATTCTAGGTATGGCACGGTAAGTCTTCACCAGACATTCTGACCGTCATTTTGTTTCATGTGGTCTTCTAGTTCCTTTTCAATGGTCTGGTCAACCCTCCCTCTTTCCTCAACCCGCCCTTGGTCCTAGAGGAGACGGTAGGTGGTGAAGCTGAAGAAGGGGAGGCCTTGCTTTCATCACAGCATTTGGACGATACTGCTGCTCTGCCTGTTGACCTTGGTCAAAGTGGTTATGATGTTTTGCCGAATGATGTCAGAGTTCATGCACAAGGTGTCTCGTCAGCTGAAGATTGAGAATCCGCGTAGATGATGATACTTACACATAATACATATGCATTGATCCATGGAGATGCGCTAATGCCAGCCGTCACGCAATTGATGAGCACCGCCCTTTATTCAATATGCCGTTCACGGAGCCGCATGTGAACAAACTCCTGGCAGGACCATATGGTCCTCGACAGGAGACTCACATGCACAATTGAACAAAGTCAAGTCTCATGCCTTTCAAGGCTCGCGGTTCTCCGAACAAGCGACGACTTTTGATCATCATCTGAACTTCGGAAGAGGTAGCGAGGTTTCATACCGAGAACAAAGGCGGCGAATTTCGGCAATTTGCACGTCCACTCTAGATCTTCGTATCTTCTCTAATATCAGTGAGAGGGTGGACGTTGCAGGCTGGATATAGGTTGGGCTTCGAGAGATTCTTCCGCCGACACGAGGCAGATTGCTAACCTATAAGTACTCGCTGGAGTCAAGGCTTCTCGAAGGTGACGGGCGCGAACAGAAAAGTGGACCAGTTGAGCGTCGAACTACCGCTACCTTGGCAAACTCTATTACTGATTCAAAAGAGGGATCAATTGCTACGTGCATGCGGGGAAGGTGGCGCATGTACAGAACCGCCGAGCTACTAACCAGCGACTACGTGTATAAATATATATATGCCAATCTATATTCTTGGCCTAGCAGGCAGGTTTACTCCGTAGTAGAATCACCCTAATAGATGTTGTCACTGCGATAAGTATCATCTGAGCGCCTCACCGCAAATTTATTTTCATTTTGCTGCAAGATTTGTACAATTGGATGCGTGTACCGTGGATCCGAATATCGCACTATTCTTGGTTCATGTTTCAACCGCCAGCAAGATCTCGTTCATGCTGTGCCAGCTGCTAAAGTCTTTGGAGTGAGAAAATTAACTCAATGGAGGATGCTAAGGATGCTTACAAGGCAAAGCGTGTCATGGCTTGAGACGAGATGACTCTACATTAGGTCATTCGGAGGACTCGTTGTCACTGTCGCTAGTATCTAGAAGGGTCGCAGCTTCTAACTTCTCGATGTTCCAGCCGATCATCGTTTTCGTAATCGTCAGAGCTTTTAATTGCTCTGCGATGTCTAACATTATCTCGTCGCTGCGCAAAGGTCATATCAAGACATTGCCATTATATCGGAAAATTAAAATTGACGCCGCACCTAGCAGATGCTTGGATCCAAACCAAGAAGTCGTCCACCCAGATTTTGCTATACACGTAATATACTTCATGATGGTCCAAAATATGTTTCATCTCCAATATGTAACGTGTGACCATTCTTTTGCCCTTGGCCAAGATGGCCGCTACATCATTCCGACATGCATCGGCCATTGCGAAAGAGCGATAGAGAGGGAACGCGAGAGAACGCCGATAAGACGGCATCAAGGCCGAGGCGAGGTCATCGTCGGTGAACCCCGATGTGGAGATAGACAGAGGAACGCTTTCTGAAGCAATGTATCGAGGGGGATCCAGCGCTGAGAACGCAGGTACGAGTGAACAAATTGTCCATGCGCTTTCAGGGGTGGGGTCGTGCTGTGTCGTGCGCCTGTCATAGGCATATGCGAATAACAAGGTCAACAGCGTCAGATACAGGGCACGCTGTTGCGATGTTGTCGGTAAGTCTGTTAATGAACTCGGTGTCAAATATGGTATAAAACGAGGATATTACTAACATTCTTTGCGCGGCAAATTTAGCATCGTCATATTCTCGCTCTCGGTGAATATACACTCGGCATGTGCGAGCTCGCGGTCTTCCCAAGCGATAAGTTCTTGAATGTACTCATCATCCACGTAGTCTGCCCTGCAGGAGAAGGCAGATGAGTATTCGAATCCATGTCTTGTTCAGGGATCCTACATGTAATGCTCCTCGTCCCATTTCATCTCTTCATGTTGCAACCTTTTCGCTCGCCGTTCTTCTGGTAAGCAGCTTTCGGCCTCACTTCCAAGCTCATTGACATCATTTTCTGTGTGAGCAACGTGGGTGAAGTACCCTGTGTACATATCCAAGAACCCATAATATCTCTTCGTGGATAGTTGTAACGGAGATTCCGCGACAGTCTGGGGAAACTGCCAGTCATTCTCAGCCGCTGAAAATGATTTGAGGATGTTTGTTTGAAGCGTGAAAGGCATGGCACGCACCTTGCAATATGTCCCGTTGTTCAAGGGAAATCGCGCTAGTTAAATCCACGAGTTCTTCCAGTTCGCTTTGTGGTGAAGTCTCAGACTCGATGACTTCTATAGTCGGTTGTTTTGGGACCTCGACATGACGAGGAGCGAGCAGCTTTGCTAGTAGGTCCAAGTCTGGGAATTCTTGTCCCTTCGTCTCTTTAGTCAGTGTAACCGTTAAATATCCACTGCTCGGATCATAGGTTGCAGACGATTGGTCGTCCTCGAGGACCGGATGAGGAAAGTTTATACGCAGGAAATAAGGGTTTATGTGAACGGTCAACAAAGTCTCATCGATGTTGATCTCCACATCAGAGGCCTACTTCGAGGGTATCGTTGATCAGGCTTGTCATGATGAGTGCTGTGCGGACGTACTCTTACTGATGGGCAATACACGGACACTGCCACTGATTCAAGAGTTTGGGTACAGTAAAATCGTGGAGTTATCATTGTGGTGATAACTTTGAAGGCCGGCGAAAGCGACAATGATTCTTCCAGCTCCAAGTTCGGTGATAGACTAGCGAATTACACCGATTCTGGGATTTGATCCAGAGAGTGTGGATGATGAATCCAAAACAAGTTTCACTGATACCGATGAATATACATCCGAGTCATTTGCAGTACAGCAATTGTAATTCACATACTTAAACGTCGGGCTGACCGGTGAATGTCCCAGTCATTATAGCCCTCGAGATCAAAATGGACCCTCAGGTAGTCTTTACTTGCTATTCCACCAGGCTTAGACGCTGATGTTTTTTGCTTGAAGAAATTTACAGCATATCCGTCGCTCGCTGCTGTGGAACAACTCATTATTCGCGAGAAGCGAGGCAACTGCGTCCCAATATTTATTCAGCTTCCTGCGGACCTCATCACACCATGCATGGCATATCTCCGAATAGCCAAAGACTCCAAGTACAGCTTCCTGCTGGAGTCGGTCATTGCGGGGGAGAACATCGCCAGATACAGTTTCGTCGGCGCAGGTAAGGGTGCCCACCCGGTGTTACCTCCTTTTTAATGTCAATTGACGTGTGTTAGATCCACTGAAGGTCATCAAAACTGGACCGAACGAGGAGACCCAGGGAGATCCACTTTCTGCGCTACAGCGGGAGCTCGCCGTTCATCAATATGTCAAAATTCCTGAGATTCCAACCTTCACCGGAGGCGCCATCGGATATGTGTCTTATGACAGCATACAATACTTCGAGCCCAAGACTGCGCGGGAACTCAGTGATCCTTTACATATCCCGGAGTCTGTGTTTATGCTTTGCGACACCCTCCTCATATATGATCACCTATACCAGTCCATCAAGATCGTCTCTCATGTCTTCTATCCCAAAGACGCTGGCACCACGAACCTTCCATTCGTATATCAGACCGCTCAGTCAAAAATCCGCCGGCTAGCAAAAGTGCTTCTGAGTAACACAACTCCAGAAGTACTACAGCCTCCAATTACGTTAGGGAACCAAGCCGTTTCTAACGTAGGCAAGGAAGGCTACGAATTATTTGTGACCAAACTCAAGGAGCACATCATCGCCGGTGACATCATACAAGCAGTTCCATCCCAACGCCTTGCCCGTCCGACAAATTTACACCCTTTTAATGCATATAGACATCTTCGTCAAGTCAACCCTAGCCCCTACATGTTTTATTTGGATTGCGGAGAGCTACAGATAGTCGGCGCCAGTCCGGAGACTCTGTGTAAAGTGGAAGAAAACAAGGTCTACAACCATGCGATTGCTGGGACCGTCAAGAGAGGCAAGACTCCAGCAGGTCGGTCTTAATTTCCGCCAAAGGGGCAAGCTATTTGACTTCTTTTGCAGAGGATGAGAAGCTCGTCGAACAGCTCATTTCATCTGAAAAGGATCGAGCAGAACACATAATGCTTGTTGATCTCGCCAGAAACGACGTCAATCGGGTTTGCAAGCCAGAGACCGTGAAAGTCGATCATCTTATGGCGGTTCAAAAATTTAGTCACGTCATTCATTTGACGTCTCAAGTTTCGGGAATGCTGAGGGAAGATTTGACGAGGTATTTTCACCGATAGGCTCGCGTTTTCTGCACCTGCCAACAGTTTTTAACAGGTTCGATGCTTTCCGCTCCATATTCCCCGCGGGAACTGTATCGGGAGCTCCCAAGATTAAAGCCATCGAACTGGTTGCCGAACTAGAGGGGGAACGGAGGGGAGTCTATGCCGGTGCCGTCGGACGTTTCGACTTTGCAGATGACGAAATGGACACATGCATTGCCATTCGTACGATGACATTCAAGGACGGGGTCGCCTACTTGCAGGCAGGAGGAGGCATCGTTTTTGACAGCGTAGAAGAAGATGAGTATTTAGAAACCATCAACAAACTGGGGGGTAATCTACGAGCGCTGACTGATGCAGAGAGTAAGTCTTTTTGCTAAGTTATGGTGTTGCGGTTACTGAAGAATTATACAGAATACTGGAGCGAGGTTCAAGCGTCATAGTCAGAACAACGTTGTATACTGCATGTAGTAAACTATTCTCTATCAGCTATATATCGTGAGGTACCTCGTTCTTGACCACGCATGTACCGGGATTGTCGTAGCTCTTTTTGCTGTTCTTCTTTGTCTCGTAAAACCCTCCCTTCTCGTCCTGCTATGCTGAGAACACCGGCAATTAACTCTGCTGTTCGAGGGCTTTCGTCATTCGCAGGAATGGCATACATGACAACGCGAGGATCGACATTCGAGTCGACAATACCAATGGTAGGAATATGCTGTATTGCACATTCGCGGATGGCGTGGATATTTGCCATGGGGTTTAGGAAGATGACGAGGTCGGGTGTGACACGCTGCCCTTGTGCGACGTCAGACCCAAACAACTGCAGTTTGTTCGTAAGTGTGCCAGGCAGCCATCTTTCGCCAACGTGGAAAGCCTGTGGTCCAATCCTCTCCGCAGCTTTGCGCACAACAGCACGCAGATCTGGACGAGTGCCCACGAAGACAATTGTGCCATCCCTTGCAACGACAGAGCGAGTGAGGCTTGCAGCCCTCCGCAACAGTGGGAGGGTCGAGTCGAGGTCAATTATGGTGATACCGGCGCGGACGCCGTACGCGTAGGGCATAAAATTTGGATTGAGCAGAGATTTAGCGTGCCCAAAATGTGCGCCAGCAGCTATTAGTGCGGATAATGTTGCTTCAGACGGAGCGAGAGGTCGGTGCAACTGGTGGTGGGGTTGGAAGGTATTATTACGCGTCACATTAGAGCCATGCTCGCCGAATAGATCGACTACACAGGATGATAAGCAAAGGCTAGTCTCGTACGCGAAGAAAGAGTCTCACCGAGCATTTTGAAACGTATCCGGCGGTCTTGCAACAACTGCCAATCATCTGGTGACTGCAGAGGAAATGGTTGATCACTAGAAGTGAACACATTTCGCCGGTGTTGTAGAGCTGAAAGCTGGCTTCTACGCATACATCTTGTAGCAGACAACCAAGGCCTCAGACCCGCCTTGGTGGACATGTCGGAGAATGGGTTGTGCTGGTGGCAGTGCAAAATTTGACACCAATGGTCAAGTTGCTTACTTCAGCCGTGCAATCGATTTTTTTTGATTGCTCTTCTGCCCTTCACCACCATCCGGCTCATCTTTCTCTTTACTGTTTTATCTCTTTTTTAAAATGTCAATGGAAGACATATTCGACGGCGCTGTTGGCATCGATCTCGGCACTACCTACTCGTGAGTACCACAATTCGCTATCATCATCCTAATATTAACCTCATATCTTAGGTGTGTGGGTGTCTGGCAAAATGATCGAGTTGAAATCATCGCCAACGATCGTAAGTCTCTGTGTTGTACGACGAATTCGCACATTTACAGAGGGTGTGTTTTGCAGAGGGTAACCGGACAACACCTTCATATGTCGCATTCTCTGCGGAGGAGCGTCTAATTGGTGATGCCGCAAAAAATCAGGCTGCTATGAACCCCCGCAACACGGTCTTTGATGCTAAGCGTCTCATCGGCCGTCGTTATGAGTGAGTGTCTCGTGAAGTATCTTTCGATAGCCGTGATAACATGCGAAAATTAGTGATCCCGATGTCAAGAAGGTTGGTATGAGGATCTAGAACTAAAATGAGATGCTAAATATGTCACTCCAGGATATGACCCACTGGCCCTTCGAGGTCGTAGAAAAGGAGGGTTCGCCCTTGATTAAGGTTAACTACCTTGGCGAGGAGAAGCTTTTTAGCCCTCAAGAGATTTCGTCAATGGTTCTCACTAAAATGAAAGAGATCTCGGAGGCAAAACTCGGCAAGACTGTTACCAAGGCCGTCGTCACGTGAGTTATTCTTTTCGTACCGCATGGAAATTGTTCCAATACGAATGAACAGCGTCCCCGCCTACTTCAACGACTCGCAACGTCTGGCAACCAAAGATGCTGGTACCATCTCTGGTCTTGACGTTCTCCGTATCATTAACGAACCCACTGCCGCTGCCATCGCGTACGGTTTGGATCGTCAATCGAAAGCGGAGAAAAACGTTTTGATTTTCGATCTTGGTGGAGGAACTTTCGATGTCTCGTTGCTCAACATCAGCGGTGGTGTCTTCGCGGTGAAGGCCACTGCAGGTGACACTCACTTGGGTGGTGAGGATTTCGACAACACCCTCTTGGAACACTTCAAGAATGAGTTCAAGAGGAAGACAAAGCACGATATCTCTGAGGATCCTCGTGCACTCAGACGGCTCAGGAGTGCTTGCGAGCGTGCCAAGCGCACCCTCTCGAGTGTTACCCAGACTACCGTTGAGGTTGACTCGCTGTACCAGGTTAGCATGTCACGTATAGGCTCACTCAAATTTTATCTGATGCATCCGCACCTAGGGTGAAGACTTCTCTGCCAACATCACTCGTGCCCGTTTCGAGGAGATCAATGCTGCTATGTTCAAGTCGACCATCGAGCCCGTCGAGAAGGTGCTCAAGGATGCTAAGATGCCCCGTGATAAGGTCGATGATATCGTCCTCGTTGGTGGATCTACTCGTATCCCCAAGATTCAATCTCTCGTTTCGGAGTACTTCGGTGGACGCCAGTTGAACAAGTCGATCAACCCCGATGAGGCTGTTGCCTACGGTGCTGCTGTCCAGGCTGCTGTTCTCACTGGCCAGACCTCGGAAAAGACTGCAGATCTTCTTCTTCTTGACGTGGCTCCTCTCTCGCTTGGTGTTGCTATGCAGGGTGATGTCTTTGGTGTCGTCGTTCCCCGTAACACTCCCATTCCCACCAACAAGTCACGGACATTCACGACAGTTGAGGACAACCAGACGACTGTCACCTTCCCTGTGTAAGGCGCATACTCATCTACATCCTAACGTCACACTGACATTGACATCCAGGTATGAGGGTGAACGCACTCAGTGCCGTGATAACCGTCTGCTTGGTGAATTCGAGCTGACTGGTATTCCTCCCATGCCTCGTGGACAGGCCGAGCTCGTTACCACCTTCGAAGTTGATGCCAACGGTCTCCTCAAGGTCTCCGCACAAGACCGTGCTTCTGGCCGTAAGGCATCTATCAGTCAGTGACTATCTTTAATATTCTTTCTGCAACTAACACTCGTTCAGGCATCACCAACTCCGTCGGTCGTCTATCATCGGCCGAGATTGACCAGATGATCAAGGACGCTGAGCAATTCAAGCAGGCTGACAAGGAGTTCTCCTCACGTCACGAGGCCAAGTCCGACCTTGAGGCTTACATTCACCAGGTCGAGGGCACTATCACGTCGCCTGAGATCGGCATGAAGCTCAAGCGTGGTGCCAAGTCCCAGGTTGAGACTGAGCTTGCCCGTGCTCTCGAGAAGCTCGAGATTGAGGACTCGACAGCAGATGAGTTGAGGAAGTCGCAGCTTTCCATCAAGCGGGCGCTTCAAAAAGCGACTGCTGGCATCCGGTGAACGATGGTGATTATTGATGCGTAATATGCAAAGTAGCGCAGCGTAGTATTTTCATGATGTTGTGTCTGTTGTTCTTCCTGTTTTGCATACCAAAATTGGGCGTTGTGTTCGCAATGCATTTCTCTTTCCTATCGCAATCACATCATGCATGGCTCATATGAGGCAATTACGTGACAATGTGGTACGTATTTCATGAGAACGTCATGATGTAGTAACTGCTTTATGGATACGAAGCCCAACCTCGAGTACCCATAGTTCTTCGTCAGCACCATCACACAGAGCCTTATCAGCCTCTGCAAAGGCGAGAGCGCTTTTTGCTTTTTGTCGTGCAGGCAGCGTGGGGTGAAGAATGATGGTGTCATGAAGCTACAACAATGTCAGACAATTTCAGCTGCTTTAATGGACTACCAACCTGTGAGAGTATTTGTGATGCGGAGTATCCTTCTCGCATAATCCCTTTCACCCTTTTCTGGACGGCATCGAAGCCCTTCAGTTTCCTGTTTGCGGGCAAGTCATCTACATCCATGTCCTCGACGACAGAAACACCGAGCGTCCTCGCAAAATCGTTTATTACAGCAGTTGGGACAACACCTGCTATCTCCTGGATGTCGTGAGGCGTGATTGGCACTGGAGGGTTGGTGGAGGAAGATAATCGAGACGCAGATTGCAAATATGTGATGGATCGACGGAGGTCGCCACCTGAGGTCTCAATCAGGGTGGAAATGACCTCGGGACTTACGTCGATATTTTCTGCACTCGCGATGTGAGAGAGTCGGGATGAAGTAGATGTCGAGTCAAGGGGCGTGAAACGGAACTTGGAACACCGAGAAGCGAGAGGCTCGATGATTCTTGTAGCAGTCAGTGAGTGCGAGGAGAAACACGAGTGCTCTCACCTTGTCACGTAATTGCAGACAAGACAGAAGCGAGTGATCCTGGCGTAGGTCTCCATTATCCGTCGTAGTGCACCTTGCGCATCTTGCGTCATGGAATCTGCTTCGTCGAGAATGATGATTTTGTATGGCGGACAGGGATAAACGTTTCCATCTGATGCTACTGCCTGTGCACGGGGAGTTTGACGGGCAAAAGATTTGATTTTCTCTCTGACAATGCTGATGCCTCTCTCGTCTGAGGCATTGAGCTCTAGGACTCGGTTTCGAAAGTTATCGGGTCTGGCAGAGCAGTGAGTTTGGGTAAACATATGTAACGTCAGCCGCACCCAAAGAGTTGCCTAGCAAGGGCAAGAATGGTAGATGTTTTACCAGTTCCGGGAGGCCCGTAAAACAGCATGTGAGGGAGCTACTTTGCGTGAGGAAGAACCACGCCATAAATAAGAGAGGGTTGCATACATTCGTCGAAACCAATGTTTTCCGCAGTACTGCGACTGTGTGCTCTTGTGCTGAGACATCATCTATGGTCTTTGGTCGACTGCATGCATTGAGAGAAGCTTCATGTCGAGAAAAGAAAACACACTGACTACTTTTCTACCCATGGTTGGTGTGCTGGGTCTACAGAATGTTTCGAGGCCGCTGGTGTTGACTTTGCTTGAAAAAATGCCATCCTTGGAGAATTCTTGGATGTTTGTGTCTGCTTCAAGCACGCGCAAGATGAAACGCGTCGGAAACGCGTGACTGTCACGTCACGAACACGTCTCGGCAATATATTTCCCACGAGACAATCCATCCCCCGACGCGACTCTACAGCACGCGTTTTTTCGTTTCCGACTACCGCACACATGGCAGATACAGAGAAAAAAGGTATGTCTTACGCACAACTCAATCGGTTTTATAGCTGAAAGCCCTCAGATTCTTCTAGCGCATCGACATCTACTGGTGAGCACAGTCGACCAGCATTCTGTCCCGGATGCACTCACCCAGACGCGTCTTTTTGTTATATAGCAGCAAAGAAACCTCTTGTTGAGTTGAAAAATGGAAAAGTCATCTTCAAACAGAAGCCCATATCGTTTGAGAAGTCGTCAGAGGCGATGCAAGGTCTGCCCTCCTCCCATTTCGACAGTGCTAAATCCAACGCCTCTATTTCATAGAAATTGTCAAGTTTCGCGAGATGATCGAACAGCGAATTGAAAGGCAGGACCCCCCGCTTACTGCTATTCCAGATGAGCATAAACCGCTGATAGTGAAACTTGCGCAAGAGAGGTGAGCTTGTAACATAGCGACCGATGTAGGTCGTCATTGACTTCTATATCTAGTGATAAGGGAGTCACTCCGCTGGCGAAGCATATCCGCTCCGAACTTCTGCCATCTTTTGACGAGGACGACGACTCTCGACGTGAAAGCATATCAGTTGCCTTGCCTCTTCTCGTGGTAGAGCATGCCATTCAGTCACTCATGGTCAGGACCAATTATGGCTTGGACGGACCAGTAGGATACAAACTCCCTTCTGTTGTGTGCGCTTGGCGATGGGAGGTCAGAGATGACCATAGGCATTGGCTGCCCAAGTCTGCCAAAGAGAAAGCCGAGACAAGGATAGCTGAGCGTGTTCAGGCATGTATTATCTTAAATTCAGAAATTTTCTTTAATATCTCTTCAGGCCAAGATAGACCTGCTCGCAGCCTTCGAAAGCCTACCGCAGGATGAACGGAATGCTATTCTCGACCCTAAAGGTACCAACAAGCTCCCTACTAAAGACATCAATCAGCCCACTCCACCAAGCAATGCAACCGCCGAACCAGTTGATGCAGCAGAGCTCAAGGACTCATCGTCCCAGCGCGATCCGAGTGCGAGTGCCAATGAACCCGAAAACATCGAAGTATGATCTCCTCTCCCTTGCCCATGTCACTGCCCCATTAACAAACTTCGGTAGTCCGGCAGTGCAACTCCAAAAGCTCGACAGCGAAAAGCTGCAGATTCAGATAAGGCTGTAAAGGTACCCCAGCCTCCTATGTAACAATCTTCTTTAGTTGACGTTATGATTCCAGGCCAAGGAGAAGGAAGAGAAGAAAGCAGCCAAGGCCGAGAAAGAGAAGAAGCAGAAGGCGACACAGGACAAATCCCGATCTCTTATGGCTAACTTCTTCGGGAAGGCCAAGGTCCCTCCGCGCGAGTCACCTTCAAAACCCATCTGCGGGTCTTCTAATGGCGAATCGGATTTTCAGAAGACGTTTAAGCCTTTTGTCTTGAAGAAGGACGCAGAAATGGCGCCCATTAACCGGTTCTTAAAGCCTAGCAAACGAACTGGGAGAAAGCAGACCTCGGGTTTCAGCCATGCAGACGCTATCGTCATCGATGATACCCAAGCCTCGGAGACGAATAGCGATGATGTATTCGTATATCGTACGCCAGCATTCAACCATGCCGAAGCTAATGCGCAGGGTGCGTGCATCGAACTTTTCGTGTTCATATCATTGATATCATGTACAGAGCGTCTCCAGGATATTATACGGTCGTTGCGGCCACTTCAGCTCACACAACCTCATGACCGATCGAAATCCTCTTTTAAATCATTCAGCGCATGTAACACGAAAGATATATATTCCCAGCTCAATGATGCTGAGATAGCTGGGGATACATCTCAGGTTCGATACCTGTCGAACATTCTTTGGGATAGAAAGAGGCTTCCAGCGAAGGTCTTAATTTTCCATGAAGACGCTCGTCCTGGCTACTACGGTTCCTGGACAAGGAACTCGCGTATCATTGGTCCCAGATCACCTTTCGCTCGTGATCTGCTTGCCCGAGATTACGGGTACGATTCTGGAGAGGAATGGGAAGATGAAGGCACAGCGGATGCGGACAACGTCGATGACGATGACGATGATGAAGGCGAAGGCGAGGAGGGTGATTCTGATCTGGAAAGCTGGCTAGTGGATGATGATGAAATTGAAGAAGTTGTTCCGGATGACCGGGACTTGTCACCTTCACTCTTGGACATACCTCTTCCCCCTCCCAAGAGAAAAGCAGAGCCTCTTGACAAGCAGCCTGAGAAGAAGCGGAAGGTCGTAATCCCCCTCGTCCCCTATACCAAAGGGCCTCTGTGGGAGTCGGTCATAGGTCAATGTGAATATGATCCTTTCAAACCATACCGCATACAACTGTTTAATGGTACGTTCATTACGAAGTCCTCCGAACCTTTTCTGATTTGCCTGCTATAGATACGCCATATCAAGTCAACCCCTTCACTTTCATCTCAAAAACTGCCGAAGAAATTCAGCAAGCAAATTATGAGTCCAAGTTTGTGGTTCCTTCCCTACCCAATCGGATATCAGGAAGCAACAGTGTTGCGGAATCATCGGCTGCTGCTGCTCAGGCTCCAGCGAACAAGCGTGTTACCCTAGCGTCCACGCCAAAGACCACATTCCCCGATGCACATGTTCCTCTGCTCCTCAGCAAGATCACGGCTTTAGCGACGGCAAACCTCACATTTATCGTGGAAAGCATTCACCAGGAGCTTCGTGCGGACAAGGTGAAGAAGAATGCTATCGAGGCAAAGGTACGGGAGGTGGCAGAGAAGTCCAGGGAGAAGAAAATATGGGTTGTTAGCGACGGGCGACAACAACTTTAATCGACGACTCTCTCCATGGTACCTTGACCACCATTTCAAGTATTTGTAGTTTTAATCACGTCGCTTTTAGGAGGAAGTATTTAGAACCTCCTTCATATCTCATACAGTAGATTAGGGTGGTTCAAACGTTCAAGACCTGCAGCGTCAGCTGCGTGATTAGTTCTTTGTAAAAATACCATGTAAACAGAATTGGTTCAAGTGGCACTCCAGAGTCCGTTGATATCAACGCGTGACATTGAATGGATATATTATGGGCCATAAGGGAGTAGATATGGATATTACTATAACAGCATGTGTGGTACAGATATGATCATACTTGAGATTTCATCATGAAATTGCCAGCCTCCAAAGCTGACTGGCATCATCAAAATCTGACTTACTTCCATCGGACGGGAAGGAGTGGATGTCACCCGATTCGCTGCCTAAACCAGATATTAGAGCACACTCCCCAAGGGCCAACTCAAATTTAAACACTCACGAACAAGCATCTTAGTCACTAGCCCGTCCTTGTCAAGGACGGGTTCGAACCCCAACCCTCTGTAGATCTTTAGGCGCAAACTAGAGAAACAGCATAATTAATCGTCAGCTCCCACCATCGTTCTGTATAGTACTCACGCAGAGCCATCTAGCTGAATCTGGTGATCCTTGGCGGGGTCCGATTCCTCCAATGAACGCGCTTGCTCTTTCAGGGCTGCCAGTTCAGCCTCTTTGCTAGATAGAGAGCCTTCCGCGTCGCGGATAGCCTTGGCTAGAGACAGCCTGGATCCATCAAGTTCATTGAGATGGGATGCGTGCTTTTCCAGAGAGGGCACGTTTGGCGGTCGCATTGAAGATTTCTTGGCAGCTTCCAAGACGCGAGACAAGGCTTGGAAATAGGATGAAGGTCACTGGAAAGTCATGAAGGATACATGGCATACCTTTCAAATCTGCATACGCCTCTTCGTTTTCTTTCTTTCCTCGGGAATAATTGACCTTCATTTGCTCTTCAGCTGCGGTTATCGTGAGGTAATCATCTGCGGGATCAATGATGCTTGTCATCTCCCGGATTAATTTGCTGCATTGAATAGTTCAAGGTTAGGGCGTCAATGTACGTGAATCATGAGATGACGTTGCTCGCGCACATGCATTCTTGTAGCTGAGGGTCTTTTGGTTGAAGGTCCCTCGCCATCGCGTGGTGGTGTTTAACAGAGCTATTGTTGCACCACAACCGCGTCACGGTCATGTGAAAATCACGTGCAACAAGGATAATTAGGAGTCTGCTAACTTGTGCTAAGTGGTGAGTCGTGACCAGTATCTACAATACATCCCGCACTCTCGAATACCTACTTTATCTTCCAATATATAATGCTGTTGCCGTACCCCGCGACCGCACACTGCTCAACCTCGACTTTCTTCTTCCATACGTTACCAGCAAGGTCCCTCACAGAAGCTTTTCGTTGACCCAGGATAAATCGTCCGCCTTCAGGACGCTCCAAGGTGGTGGGCACAGGAAGACTGCTTCTCTTTCCGGTGCCAAGTTGATAGTCATGATTCGTTCCCCAAACGACCAGATCCCGTCCTAAGCCACCCGGGCCCCCATGGGCTTGTGTATCCAAAGTCAGCAGGACATGGCCGGTGGGGGACACCGAGATAGCGTGAGGAAGGATGGGAGACATAGACCGGCTGTTTTCGTTGTCTGCGAGGGGCTTATGAGTGCATAGAAGGTTGTGATAACGAGGTACAAACATTCCCGGAGACCGCTAACATTCTTTGCGCGGACAGGATTCCCTTGGGCGTTTGAGTACAGGTTGTTCCCTAGTCCTCCCCATTGACCATTACCACAGGTCAGAAGGTCCACATAGGCGAGGGATTCGCCATCTGTGCGTTCAGCAACGAAACATGCCAGGTCACCGCCTGCGCAATAATTTAGTTATAGACGGTGAAAGTCATAGTATTCTCACTTACCTGCAGAAATGTCAATGCATCTAGTGCGGACAGAACCGGGCACATTCCTCGACAGAACTACCTCTGTCGGCAAGATAATTGTGTCAAGAGTCATGTTCCCACCCAGTCCAATCTGGCTAGAATACGTGTGAGCAACCGGATTTGCGGGTATTGATAGGTATCTTTACCCAAACTCATTCGCTCCCCAGCCAAGCACCCTACCTGAGTCTGTCACTACAAAGCTACTGCGACCTCCAGCTGCAATCTGAGAGACCTTGATGCCTTTGAGAGAGGGGATCTCAAAGAGAGAATCTGAAAATCTTATGTGCTGGTCATCTATTCCATCAAGGTTCGCAGACGTGGAAGGCGGCACATATGACACCGCGGGGCGCGAGAAAGGAGCAGCCGTAGCGAATGGGTCAGCCACTGCCCTTGGAACAAGCTCGACAGGAACGCGAGGTGGAGAGACGGTGTGGGTGGAACTTGGAGGAGCAGGAATGTCAAACTTCCGTAGTCCAAGCTGACCATGTGTGTTTGCGTTTTTGTTCATGGGATGAACCAATGTCCGACCAGAAGATGTCAATGCCAAGAGGTGATTCCTACCCGCTGAAATGGATACGAATCTAAGTCGGAATCAGCTCATAGTCTCGGATGGCAGATTGATACAGACTGTTCACCCCAAGCGAGTTTCTCCTTGGGAGCAATCACCGTGAAGTCGATGGCGTTTCCTTCCTCTCCCCATGTCCATCCGGGTCCCCACCAGGACGTACTGGCCGGGGGTGGCTTCGGAACGGGATTTTGTTGTTGTTCTGCATTAGCCGCAATGACATATATTTTCCCCGAGGCCGATAGAGCATATATTCGAGATTCGGTGAGCTGAAGCTGGATGATGTTCTAACCAAATCATGTACTGAGTGACAATGCCTTTGTAGAGAGCAAACCGTCTTACTTGTCCACGTAGCGTCAATTTCGGTCCCTGCGGCTCTGATTTTGAAGTGGGACTCGAGCCAAAGAATCCGTCGCCCCATTGGTATACATCTCCCCTTGCATCTACACAAGCAGCATGTCGCTCATGAAGTGCCAAGTCACGTAGCGCGACGTCTTTTAGCCAGCTGGCATTTACGGGGTACTGTACCCGTTTGACTCCGGGTTCGTTTGGATTGATTACGTTGTACCTGAAAATGAGTATGCCGTCTGGTGAACATATAATTATACAACTCACTGGTTGGAACCCCACGCGACTGCACATATGCTCCCATCGTCCTCCGTGATGCCTGTGCTGGACGTAGAAACTTTCTGGATGGACTGGGATATATCTTCTGGCTTCGGCGTTATAATAGCATCGTTGTGGATAGTAGTACTAAACGAATACCAGAGTAGGCCCGCGGTGGCAGTTGCAGAAGAAGCTATTATTGCAGACCGAGCCGGTCGTGCTCTAGCTGCTTGTGCCGTATGCGAAAGATGAGAGTGCAGGCGGCGAGATCGCCATGCTTGTGCAGCCGTACGTTTGAACATTGTTGTACAAGAAACAGAAGTTAACATCTTAGACTTCAATATTCCAAGCTCATGAACTCACCCCCGTTCGGGGGGTCATAAGCACTTTACCAGCTTACCTATAGTGCTGTATTGCAACAATTGCTCTGCAAAAAACTTGTTGCAGCGTGAAGATGGATCCTTCAGCCCCACAGACAGTAGCCAAGGGTGTACTCATAACATGCGAGTCCGTCTTCCACCATGGCCATTCTCATGTTAATAAAGCTGATAATTGTCTTCCTCAGCTACTGTCTGCGGTTTGACTTCAGGGTTGTATGGCGTCCTCAAATCACAACCACCAGGCCCTCTATCGTTGTTTTCGGCTTTGAATAGTGGCATTGCATCTGCAACATTCTTCAGTATGATGTGCTTTTCTTCAGGAATTCGACAGAATTAACTGGCCCATCCAGGCATACGAGAGTACCTTGTTGGCCCTGTACTCGTCTTCTCAATGCCCGGAAAACAGTACGAACTGCGCAGACAGAGACTCAATGAAGCTACAGAAGGGGCTCCTACTGATGTTTCCCGAATAACGTGGGGTGACATCCGCTCTCGTAAAGTACTCGACTCCAGCCTTAGCGGAGCTTTGGCTGGTGGCATTCTTAACTCCTGGAAGCGTGAGTTACTCTCTTGTGCTTCTCAACAACTCTCATTCCGTTATAGGCGGAAGATCGGGAACTGTTCCTGGTCTAGCGACGGGCGCGGTGATGTGCGGGCTCTTACAATGTGCATTCAATGAGTTCGACATTCTGAGGATAACTCATGTCTCCCGAGTGGCGCACACACCGCCTGTAGCAGCTGCTATACCTGTAGCACCTGTTCCGACAGAACCCCGCCCTCCCTCCTTACCTGTGGCCGCCCTAGAACCACCCAGATCGCTCACGGACCGAATATTTGCTATGTTGGGTCATAGAATATCCGACGAGGAGTATCTGAACAGGGTGAAGACTCAAAGGGATAATCATCTCCGTAGGATCGAGCAACTTGAACGGGAACGTGACGGAAAGCGCGAGACTTGACATCTCATCGTCTTGCTACGGTTCTCGTACCGTTACACCATCCCATATTGCCACAAAACTCCCTTTCTTCCAAGCCTTTATTGCACCTTACCCATCACTCGTAATCAAGCACCCTATAGCAATGGACTTGTTGAGGCTTGTCGTTCCTTTCGCGTACTTGAGAGACACATTTGGCGTGCACCCGCAGTTCCTTGGAGGGTAACTTTCTTCAACCATGTTGATGTCAAAAGTGTGCAGATTGTGCTGAGTAGTCAACCGTGGCACTTCAGGTCTGCCACACGACTCGAATCAAATTCTCGTCGGCCATGCAGTGTGAAATATAAGGTGCGTATTCAAGCTGGATAGAAGAGCCGAGAGCAAGCAAAATAATATTGCAGTTATATCCTCTGAGATCCGCTTTACCCATAATTACAATGGGTCTCGCAAGGACGGTCGACAATAAGAACACTCTGAAACGAATGCAAACATGATAAACTACTCATCGTCTTTGGACAGGCGTATATGTATACCCATCTACTGTCCAATCTCATTCCAACTATCGAGTTATGCAGTTCCTTGATTGCGAACGGTATGGAACCACTTCAAGAAGTGAGGAACATCCTGTAAAGTTATATCAGTCTTGATTCACTGTCCGTGAAATGATGTGATGTTCACCGCAGCTATTTGACCTGGCATACTGCCCTCCGTGATGAAATTCGGGATACTTCCTCCAGGTGTACTGGACGTCGCCATTCGCCACTCTACTGTGCCGTCATCTAACTCGAGCAAGCGTTCGACGGAGACATATCGTCCCTTTGTACCTTTCTCTTCAAGCGCGGCGAGATCGTCGCCAGACAAATCAACTGGAATTGAAACCACCAGACTAGATGCCTTGTATCAGAGGACATTCAAAAGGGTTTAGAGTAGTCATACCCAGTTCTTGGAGCCGACTCGTGGAGGTGTATCGTTTGCAACACGGTGAAAACGCGTGGAGAGACAGGGGGAGGGAAAGTGTAGTACATTGTCCAGATGGTCTGAGTCTCTGAGATTCGCTTGACCAGCGTCACTTTCTTGATCGCAGAGATGAACCTTGACAAAGTATGAACGTTCACATTGTTGGAGGACGACGGTGGGAAACCCACTCCTTCTCGTTCTCAGCTTTGTTAACACCAATCTTACTCCAAAATTCATCGAACGTCGCGTCCTCCTTGGTGTGCTCGGACACTCTGCAATGCCAAGGGGCTCCGTCCCCTGGTCCCTTTGCGCGGGAAAGTGTTTGGACGGTGCCCTTTGAGAAGGTCTTGCCTACTTTCCAAGAATCGGTGGATTCTAACACTTGACGACCAAGCGCAAGGATAGTTTCCTCAGAAGCAAATTCTAAAGATTTGTTTATGGGCACCAACTAACAAACACCAGAGCGACACGTACCTGCAGGTCTAACGGGGTCGATAGAGAGTTGAGACAACATGATGGTCGGGAAGAAACCTCAGATGATGGGGACAGACGCAGCAATAGCAATGAGATCTATCATCTATATTTAAATAAAAGATGCGCTAAAAATAATATCATGTGCTATTTGAAAGCAAAAGTAAGTACTGCCGCCAATCAACGCCAGTGCAGCGCAACGGGTGTAGAAATGCGACATGACGGTTGTGTAGCCAACATCATTAAAGCGCGGGCGAATCACCACAGGGACCAAGAACAAACCCCACTCTCATGCGCTAGTTTGTGGTGATGGGCCGCTCTTAGTGAAAGCAGTCAGGTCGACGAGGCCAAAGTATCGACTGCGACCTAGCGAGGTTTCATCCCTTGGAAGCTTCTCGCCGCGATGCAGAACTACACCAATAAACTTCCGGTCTCCTCGTAGCCACTTTTGTTTGTAGAATCGTACGAAGCCCGGGGTGGTGGCATAAATAGTATGGTCGCGACCCATTCTGACCTGAGGATTTTATGAATATCGTTATACAATAGGTAGGAAGGTTACATACATTCTGCCCTGGGTGGAATTGGGTTCCTCGTTGTCGTACTATGATGTTGCCGGGAATGACGTGCTGGTCTGCATAATAGGTCTCTAGCATTGGCGAGGTGGATATACGAGGCAGAAGGACGCACCAGAAAACTTCTTGAGACCCAGGCGCTTACCCGGCGATCCTCCATGATTTCGAACCGTTCCTCCAGCACGTTTGGTGGCAGTCCGCACGGAACCTTTGTACAATGGTGGTGAAAAAACAGGTTGTCGGCAAGAAAGCATTCACGAACCAAGCAAAGAGAATGGGCTTCTTGCTGTCTCACAGCACCGAGCAAGAAAAGAAAAAGACATTACTCGCAGGTATTGCGACTGAGCTTTAGTCGAGAGTGACTAGTGAAGCCCGGTGGATGAGCGGAAGATGAACAAGCGTGAGGATAAATTAAGATCACGCGTCAAAATGTCAACTTCAATCTATGAGGCGCGCAGCAAGTACATGAATTGTGATGCAGCTAAATTTCTAACTACGGAGCCCCATCTTAAGTTTGTGTTGATCCTCTGGTATAACGAACGAGATGGAGAAAATGCAAAAAGGTCTCGTAAAGTCCCAAAATTGAGAAGATAAATCAAGAGAAAGAAATATGTGGTATATGAATTGCAAGGGAATATAAGGGTAATATATCCTGTGGAAGATGTGAGAGTACAGTTGCTAATAGTCCAGGAAAAAGAAGGGAAAAAATGAAGAATAAGGTTAATGCATATGTAAGGGGCCAGGGTCCACGTTCACCGGATGTCAAGGTCCTCGTCCTCTACAGCCCCGAGGTCGATGAATCGTGTCATTCGCTTCCTCGCGCGCCCCTCGTCGCGTATGCGTTGCGGGTCAGGACTATCGCCCCTCGAGGACGCACAGCTGCACCCGGCTAATGCAGCATGCTTCTCGCAGAACATCTGGCCGTCTACCTCCCAGTACTCCGCCAGCTGCTCCCCGCAGCCGTTCTCGAACTCACATAGAAGATGGTCTGGATGGTATCGCTTTCCTGCGTGAGTAACTGCACAGGGACCCTCTATAGGCTGGCCACACGAGACTGCGGCGCAGAGGGAGTCGTTCGCCTCATGGTAGTGGTATGCGCATAGAGGTTTGCCATCAAAAACGTAGAATTCCTTGTCTGGGAATGGTTTCTGCATGGTGACGGAATCAAAAACAAACCAAAGATGTAAAGACCACACAACTCACCTGACAATTGTGGCAATTGAAGCAATCCCTGTGATATTTGCCCTTCAGTTGACCATCGGAAGACGACACGGCCTGCTTCTCGATGGGAAGATTACACCGGCGGCACTATGATGAAACATGTTAGATGGAAAACAACCACTAACCACATGAAACATACCTTGGGAAGGTACATATTCTTCCAGCATCGTTCACACAAGACATTCCCGCCGTCCATCTGGATCCACCTCCCATCGTCGACCTTCGTATCACAGTTCACACAGATGCGGTCCTTCTTCACCTTGCCCCGTTCCCGTACTCGCGCGACTTGGCCCGTTATTCCTACACGTTCGGAATGAATGTGTGGGTGATGCGGACTCGTATAGGACCGTGCTGGTAACTTTGGCGGTCTGCTTTCCGGTGATACGGGGCCTGGTACTGTGTTGGACCGATTGGGCTTTCCAGAACCGCGACTGCCGGAGGGCCCAGCCATTGAGGCGAGCACTGAACCTGAAGCGAGGACAGAGACGGATGCACCTTCCTCAATCAGCGTTTCCATTGCACGTTCCAATGCTCCAACAGATCGTGTTGTCGTGTGGGTTGCAGCCGAAGCGCTGCGCGTGCGGATGGAGCTGGCATCGACGGTTCGCGAGGTGGATGGAGTTGGAGCAGACGAAGCTCCCGAAGCGTTCCGCGATGGCGGCTTTCGACCTGAGACAGATGGATGCCCACCTTCGACGCTTGGAAACTGGACCTTGTTCATCCCAGATGCATTTGACTTGCGTATATCGAGCGGCATTACCACAGGCGTGTCGTTGTCAGAATCATCCGCATACGCCAACCCCACTTCTGAATCAGTGTACGGGGACATGGGTTCTGTGCCACCTCTAGGACCCCTCCCCGGTTCCGCCGTATGCGTCGTATACACGCTCTCCTCGTCAGAATCGTCGCCGCTGCGGTTTACAGGTCCCTTATCAAACGTGTCGAGAAATGGTAGGTGAACGGGGACAGCTGAAAACGGTGATTGATTTACAGTTTCCCCACTGAGGTGTCTGGAGAAAGGATTGAAAATGGGCGAGGGTGATCGTGACGGAGTAACAATATGGATATCAGCAGGGGATGACGAAAGATGGGCGAGTTTCTGGTTTGGGGATGGTGAGTGGAACCGTTCCTCAGCCTTAACATGAGAAGGTTGCTCATGGGTTGGTGTTGTGTTGTGAGCAGGTGACAACGGCGACGCGGGATGAGGAGAGACAGGGGAATGAGAGTGTCCCGAGTTCGGAGAGAGTGGGGGTGTCATTGCGGCTGCAAAGACAGGATTAGTGAGTATAGATTGAATGAGAAAAGTGGAGACAAACACGATCGAACAATTACGGATAATAATATATTTAAAAAGCTTAAAAAAGCTTATGGTGCAGTCCATCGCCGCGAAATAACGATGTGGAGTAGGTGAATGATAAGTAAATATGGGACGATGGGGTGTATGCACGACATATAAAAGAAAGGTTTCAGAGGAAAGTGCTCACCTCGCAGGACATGGTTCATGGTGGTGTTGAGGTCCAGATACTTGGGAGCATTTGCTCGACGACCGTCCATCACAGGAAATGCATCCATAGCGTGAGGATGAGCAGAAACCATCGCAGCTCGTGCTACAGCTGCAAATCCCCTCCGACCAACGCCAGCCATACCAGCCGCACCCCCGCATTTCGTATCGATATTACGTTCACTGTCTGGCACTGGCGAGCGGGTTGCGGGTGGTCGTTGAGCCGCAGGGGCAGACGACGGAAAGGGAATACCCGCTGATGGAGGGAGGGCCGAAGTACTGCGGGGTGGACGAGGGACTGACGCAGGCTGCAGTGCGGGTCCTGGACCGGTAGGTATACGGTCTGGTGAAGGACGGGAAACATCAAATGAAGGACGTCGTGCGTCGGTAGGAGGTTGATGTCGAGGTACGTCAAAGGAAGGACGTCGTACATCAGTAGGAGGCTGTACGTCAAAAGAAGGGCGTCGTGTATCAAACGAAGGTCTAGGAGGAGCATCAAACGAGGGGCGAGGCTTATCCAACGATGGCCTAGGTGCAAGAGTAGAAGATGTGCGTGAACGATCAAATGACGGACGCGGAGTGAGACTCGGTGGAATAATAGAAGTGTGGGAAGGAGCATTCGAGGGCGTTCGTGTCCTGGACGGTGGGAGCGGCGCCTGCGGAATAACGGGTACATTTTCTCTTCGAGCTAACGATGCTGTTCTTGGGCGACCCATTATAGGCGCAGACGCGCTCGACAGATCATCTCCAAAGGGATTGGGGAAAGATGTCACACCAAGGGGTGATCTGTTACTAGCGCTCCCCGTATTTGAAGGAGTGCGGGTCCTGGTGGGTCCTGGAGGATTTGGTATTCGAACGGGAGCAGTGACGCGCTCTGGAGCGGATTGGGCCGGGGATCGAGCATGGGGTGTATTAGTGGAGGTTCCTCCGTTGAGAAGGATAGATTGTGGGATTGGAGGAGTAGCTGGGCTGTTGGTGCGTTTAGCACCTAGATTAAAATTTACAGTCGGGGGTATTCGCTGAAAAGGATCATGTTGGGAAGACCTGGGTGGAGGAGGAGCATGAGGGGGCGGGGTGCGAGAAGTCTGCTGTTGTAGCATTGGAGCCCTATTAGAAACAAGAATATTCTGTAACCTCTGTGGTAGAAGAGAGTTTGTTGATTTTGGAGACATGGGCGGTTTCTGAAGAGACAGTAAAGTAGGTGGAGGCTGTGGCGAACATACGTGGTCACCGAGCTCTGCGAGCGGGACTGTTTGCATGCAACTGGAGCATTTTACGGTAGGAAGAAGCTGTGAGATTCTCGGTGGTTGGTTTGGATGATCGCTAGCGATTTGTGCCATAAGAGAGCACCTCACTAGTGATGTAAACGACCAGCGGTTATTAGGAAAGTCTAGTAGTATGCACTGTTAGGAATGACATGAAAGTTTGAGAAAAGAGACCTCACTCTCGCTTGACAGTCTCTATATTGACGCTCCGACTAAGTTAGCTAGGTTTCATTCCAACTCACAAGCTGGTTATTTTGAACCCTCTTGGAACCTGCAAGAGGAGACACCTCATCAATCTAGTAGGCAGAGAAACGTGATATCATGGGACTGATCCGCCGGAAAAGGTCAAGCTTCCGTTCTTCTTCACCAAAATGGTCACTCAGGGTTGACTGACAACGTTGACAGCTTGGTATAAACTTGACTCTCTTCCCCACTGTCAAACAACCAACCAATCGTCGAGTCTGTATGGATTCAGAGCCGTTAATGCCAGTATGTGTTTTGCAACTTTGAAGGTAGCTGAACGTTGACCACGTCTACCAACAGCTCGGCCACGCCGTCACTATCGCCGATCCCACCCGTCGCCTACGAATACAAAGTTCAGCTCAGGTCACACACGCATGGAAAAGGTTACGCGTTCATGTTATTATAGTGTGGCGTGTATGTATGTCATTTCAATGTTCGCAAGTGTACAGATTACACACTAGCTTAACTACTAGCGAAAACAGGTAAAGGACGAGAGTCTATCACAATATAATAAAAAAAGCTGCTCCATACTTCGATACCGTAATGGTCATCATGCCGTGTCCATGCTAACTACGAGTCTGACTAGACTGAACCACCGAAGGTGCGTTTGCACCTATTGATCGATTTTCAACTCCAGCGACAGATGGATTGAACCGGGAGAAGAATGAGTCCCATTGACCTAACATCCAATTAAACACACCATCACGTATTTCAGAGTTGAACAGAGGACATACCCCAATCAAACATACCTCCAGGAATTCCCTCAAGGAGGCCAACATCAGCCATCGCGAACTGCTCCAGCGTATTCGACGCCTGCGGAACGTCAAGCACGTTAAGCACTTGCACGCTACTAGCCGTGTCACTCTTGACGCTATTCAACGCAGGGTTCATATTAGGGAAGCTAGCCCCATCCCCACGCGCAGCCGGAAGTGGGGTTATGGTGACCATTGATGAGCTGCGGAGTTGCGAATTCTCGTTCGCCTCTGCTAGCAGCAATCAATCAGCTTTAGCCAGCTCTATGTATTCTAGCATTCACTAACCTTCTGCTTCCTCATCAGATGACGTCACAATCGTGCCCCGAGGTACATCCTCGTAATCACCACTGCGAGCCTCACCATGCGCAACGAAGAATCCTCCACCAGGACGCGAGAGATCCTTCTTATACTCCAAGCCACTTAAAGACCGTTTACCCTTTACACCCCCCGTGGGATTTAGCAGAGGTGGTTGGTCAAGAGGAAGAGGTGGACCCTGAGTAGCCTCATACAGAAGAGCAATAATCTCGGCTGTCTGAAAAAAAAGATCAATCAATCGTTGACCAGAAATGGCATGACCACGTGGAGCGTTACCTTTCGTCGGGCAGACATGTGGTCAGGAGAAATCGAACCTTCCCATCTTCGTACGCAATCTCGGAGCTTTCTGAGCTTAGCAGCCGCTTCAGCATCTTGCCGTCTTGCCCACGTGTGATACTACAACATAATTAACACAACATTGATGAACCACATGAGCACAAACCTGGACAAGTGCGCAGGATGTTGCCGCGTAAGGGACTAGCAGCCAAACATCGTACATTCGCTCGTGAGTATCGAGCCAATCGATCGATTCGCTGGTCAGTTGAACTAAAGAAGTCCATGTCTCGACGGTTAACCCGAATTTCAAATGTGCAGGGCAAGCATAGGATATGCGCATGAAGACCCGCCAGAAAATCATGCACACTGAGCAGTACAGAAGATGCAAGAGTCCTGGGGTATTATGATTAGACCTTCATCAGAAAGCACCGAGGCCAGCCACCACGTACCCGCATCTTGAGGAGTATCAGAACCGCGATACTGTAGGTTCTCTGGGAGGTTTGTCTTCCATGACTCGAGGTCGGACAGTAGGCTATACAGCATCTCGTCCGTGGTGAACATCAGACCAGACGGGCTACAGAGAGCCGCGCGAGTGAACTCCATAGTATAAGAAAATAGGCTTGACGGACCTGTAGATGGTCTTGAGCACCCTTCCCAAAATCACGCTCAACCTGACGAGTTCGTCCATGTATAAATCATTAGGATCGCCAGACGAGGGAAGCCTAGCATCGCAGTCTTGCACATCAATCATGTACGGGTGACCATACGTCAAACTTGTCCTGCAAAGACAGTCAGCGTATGGTACAGACTCGTCATGATAGATACATACCATCGGTCGCAGATGACACATGCACCCCACAAACGTCTTCGTAGTTCAACGCTCTGTTTCACCGACTCTGCCCTGTGAAGCCCCAGGTCTTGAGCCTAATACAACGAATCAAAACCCAAAGCAATTCGACGTAAAATAAAAACCTACCATTCGGATTGCCGTACCCAACCGAATCCAGAGTGCCGAAAGAGCATTCGGAACGAATTGAGAATGGCTATCACCCATCATACTAAGAATAAGTAAGGCTTGCACGTTCGCGATGGAGGCCGTAGACAAAACATCTTCAGCTTTGATTACACCATTAACCGCATATCGAATCGAGTCAAAGACACTCTGCGGCACCTCCCTCCGTGCAGCAGCAACCAGACACATAGAATACAACAGGATTGGAGAAGGGGAAGGATTCGCCAGGAATTCTGCTTGCGATACAACAGGCAAGAGAGGAGCAATCTCTTTGAAATAAGCATTAAGGAGGTTTTGAAGGACCTCGGGTTCGAGCCGCAAATCGATGGGCTTTGGATGAGAGACTTGTTTTTCGTCCTCTGGATGGTTTTGGACGGAAATTACGCCGTCCCCGTTTTTCGATATTTCCCATGTGTGGTGATAACGTTGGTCATAAGACTCGTATATCCGAGAGGAGATAATGGGTTGTGAATGCAGAAGATGCACAGCAGCCGTCGGCCCTGAAACAAAGTTAGGACAAGGAAAAAAAAACTGCGAGGTACAATTCCAAACGAACCGAAAACTCTTCGATCTCCAGACTCGGCTTGAGGAGACGACGTATTTCGTCGAGTGTCCGTGGACTTCTCCTTTTCTTTTTCTGCGGCCTCTTCTTCCAATTTCTTTTTCTTGAAACGGGTTTCCGTTATGGGTAGGAAGAATGTACACTCAAACCCATATTGTTTGCAGTGCTGACACAGTGGAGGTTCCGACTCTGCAAGGACGTCGCATCTGACACAGAAAAAAGTCAGTGAGACAGACAAACTGAGCGAAAAAAAAAACCAACTGCACCTTATTTTGCGACTTCTGCAGCTATCACAAGCCCGCTGTGTTTTAGTGCGCTTCTTTGAATCAGACGCTGTCGGTGTGGTCGCAGTGGGAGTGCTTTGTTTTCCCGGAACATCGCTCCCTGATGGGCCTTCTTGATCCGAATCCTTCTCTACGGTTACTTTGTGACGCGAGGGCTCCAGTTTTCTTTTTCGTTTGCCAATCGCTGCAGGAGCAGAGACTGGTGCGGGCGACGGTGCGGTGGATGTTTGCGGCTGTTCTGGCACTGACGTGCTGGGGCGCGGTGCACCGTACATCATCATTTGTTGAGGATAATACGGAGCATAGCCATGTGGGGCGGGAGGATATGACGGGTGCATAGGATAATACTGAGACGAGTGACTAGCCATACTAGGGCCGCTCGCGCCATTCACAGAGGCGGTTGGTGCATAACCCCCGGAAGGGTGTTGTTGGGTGAAAGGGGATGGATTCATAGGATGATAATTGTGATTCATCATATAGTGGAGAGGAGTTGGATAGGAAGGGAGTGGTATGCCTCTAAAACGCGCAGCGTCTTGTTGATGCTGATCAGTAGAGGGCCGAGCGGCTTAACGGAGCAATACGGTATGTAAATATTAAGATCAAACATGTTAGGGCATGATTCCGTACCAGCGCTCGTAGTTTGAGAATTTTCGACTGTAGTAGTAGTGTTGTTGTTGCTCCGGCGGCCTGATGGTCGGCGGGAGTTAGAGGAGTTCGGCGCGGGGCGCGAAGATTCCGAAGAATCTGTTTGTTTCTTCTGCCGTGTCTTTCTCGACGACGGCTTTGCAGATTGTGAGTTCGGCTGCTGCGGCACTGACTGCGAGTCGTTGGCTGGGTCTCGGACAGTAGCAGGTTCCATTCGTCAACCGGTTATAACTGCTACTAGCCTGAATTGCTCCGAAATGGCATACAACCGAAGGTTATGCTTACGGTGACCAGAAAGCCGGTGACTAAATATCTGAAGAATCGGACAACTCTGTCAGTGCGTGATATCCTCCGACCGCAAATCTGTTAGCTTCGCACCTTGACTGCGTTTCAGAACACGCGCGTGAGGGGTTGACAACTTGAGATGCGAGTATGAGGGTGATGGCATGGAGTGCCGTGTCATCATGTTCAATCTCCGACACAATTTCACTCTCCGGCCAGCATGGCACCCGCCGGTCGACTGGCTCTCGATCGAACGCGGTGCTCGTCGTCCCTTTAGCTATTCTTGTACGTTACGAATATTACTCAAGACCATGCGTGAGGAGCTACGGCCGTCCACACGCTTCCACACGCTACGCTTTGTCTTGATGAACTTCTTCTGATGCCAACACCTCAAATCTGTCAACGCATAACACTGCTTTACCCTGCTTAACCTTGTCAAGGTTAGCGAGCCATACGTACATGTTGACAGCGACCACGTTCTCAAGCTGCCAGAACGTCACACGGATCCATTTTGAAACGCGTTCGTTCACGTCCAACGAACATTTCACAATGGAAGTTGCGAACCTCGCTCATATGGAGTTTCGGGCGCCCGCGGCCAAAAATCCTCCTTTCGCACCATTGATTGTTGGCTCACAACCATTGACGTATGGTGGAGGTATTGAAGAAGATATGATGGCGCCCCGCTGCACGAGGTTTCCAATGGAACCACGTCCAAGTAGAGCAGTGCAAGTCAAAAAATTGAATTGCCAGAGCTAAAAGTACCTCAATTTCAAATCGTAATAAATTATTCCGCGGCTCTTCTAGTGTCTGTCTCTTCCCACCTCGGGCCAGCATCTTCAAGACCAGGATTTATCCGCCGCTTGTCTTCAGTAGCTTGAGCATGAGCATCGAGCCATGAAAATCCTGCCGGACGGCACAACACTTCCATGAGATTGTGTCGCCATGAGCCATATGAAAACGGGTTGGGAGGAGCCGGACCTTCCACAAGAGATTTGTGCGCTTGGTTTCTAATCTGTGTATCACCGTCAGTTAAAATAAGGGATTGCCAATGTTAGCGACCCACTTGTTCAATAGTGGTAATGTTTAGCAATAATAACTGCGTCAGACGTCTCAGTAAGCGAACTACTACGTATGTGAGGAAAGTTTGCAGCTCACCCGCATGTGATAGACAAGAAGGGCCGTGACCGGCCATATAACGGTGATAGCCAACGAGAATGCCACAGCACTACCTGCGCCTTCCCTCAACGAACTGCTGAATTTAATACCATCTCGACGAGTAAGAAGGTAGAGGTGTAATGCGGATGTGCAGATTACGAGGCATAGCGTCAACACCTGGGAAATATTACTCTTGTGATGGTCAATTGAAGTTCAAAGCACTTACCCCAGACACCAGGAACGCAAAGAAAAAGGTGTAATTGCGTCGTCCAACGCAGTTATTCACCCACTGGCAATGGTGATCACACCCGTCGACACAGTTATCGCACTGCCAGAAGTTGTGTAGCGGCTCATTTATGAAGACCACGAAACCACGTACCATTTTGCAATGGCTAGATCGAGGTGGGCGATACGTTTTGCACGTTGAGCAGTATTTGATGCGTACACTAAGTGTGCATGTTCATGAAACGCAACGGCTTACCAGAGGGCAATTACTCACCTGTCATTGCGGACCTTAAGATCCCGGGGCAAAGGTTGCCTGACGGCATCATCTGAAGGTGACGTAGGAGGAAAAGGCGGATCCGGGTCTAAATTACGAGGCAAGATGCCAGGATCACGACATGCCTTTGAATTCATTGAGCGGGCAGTGGTGTTGCGAACAATTTTGATTTCGTACCGTAGTCAGCATACAGCATGCAGTCAACAAGGTCATGTACGCTCCCACTGCCGCGATAGCGGGACTTTCATTATGCCAAAACCATACACATGTTGTTCCAAACCACACGCCAGATAGACCAAGCACGAGTGTAAGGGACGCAATGAAAGCCCAAGGAGAATCGCCACCTGTAAGCAACCGGCCGCTGCAGAAGAATCGATTGCGCGATGGATGTTGCTGGTATATGCGTTGCATAGGAACACGAGGGATCGCAGAGAGCGGGGCATGATTATCGGGGGGGACTGATATAAAGACATGGTTTGGTGTTGCAGAGAATGATTGAGAATCGCTAGAAGCAATGCGAATGAGTGGCGGAGAGTGAGGTGATTTTGTTCGGTGTGGAGGGGGTGTTAAGTTATCGACAGAGGGATTACGGGGGAAGGGTGGATGCTCTTCTGCGTAAGATAAGCGGGGACTCAAAGTATGTCCGAGGCTACTAGTAGATCTCCGTATGCTATCGAAGCTAAGACCGCGGAACACGCGATCGAAGCTGTGTCGCATTCGGTTTGTACTTGTTATCTTGTAGGAAGGATCTAAATGTATGGAAGTGCGGGCGGGAGCACTGGCACTTGCAACGACCTGCTTGTTGTTGAGGGGGAGTAGAGGTTCACGACTTTGCTTTAGCCGCTTAGATAATTGACGACTTGTATCTCTTATGGAAGCAGGATCACCATAGCTCCTCAAGTCAGATTCGTGAGAGATATTGCTAGTCAAGATAGATAAAGGGTGTTGATCTGGGGGGGCCGAATGGGGAGCAGGAGGGATATCATTGGAGGTCAAGGATATGGATGATGAGGGACGAGAATGGACTGGCCTAGAAGGGCGAAAGAATGATGAGGAAGGTAGAATTCCACCTGCATGAGTTGTACTTGGAATTTGGGGTAGTTGAAAAGTGGTAACATTCGGAGGAGATGTTAAAGGATAGTCTCTTGGGCCACGAGCCGAAAAAGCTGGTTTGAAACTAGCGGCATTAGATATGGAACGATTGTGTGGAATTCCAGATTTTGAACCCAAGCTTGCGGACCTTTGAAGAGCCTGGACGCTGTCCTGAAAGCGCTGCACAGGTGCAGCGCTGAAGTTTGATGACGGGAGTGGTAAGTGAGCAGGGCGGTGCTTCTTCGGGGTATTGGAAGATATGGCGGAGGAGGATGGGGAGAAGGAAAGTGAGGCCTGCGGTGATGAAGCCATGGGGAGGTACGACATTTTATATAACAGGTGATTATCACGACCACCGTGTTATGAACTGGTGGCTCTGCAGAGTGCAACTTGGAGCAAATGTGGTCAATACTTATTTTATGTCTCTGAAGGCCACGACGCAAGGACGGTGAGCGGGAGAGAGAAAAGAAGGTGTAGAAGGTGGAGCCAGTGAGCTCGAGAAGCTCGAGAGCGTTGAGAGCGTCGTCGGTGAGTGGTGCGAGGCAACGCGCTAATTCGTGTACAATATTAGCTTTTGATTATTTTCTCACGCTTGCGCAATGACGGACGCTTTATGAGAACGGAACGGACTAGTACTTCATCTGCCTAGGACGGTCCTCACCGCGACACCTACGCACTCCCGCCCACTTCACATAGCTAATTGGTCGATCGAGTTTCTGGTGCGGGCCCTCATGACGCGCAGCAGGCTCGTGTTTAGGGGGTCGTCGTTGCGTCGGGTATGTCGCTTGTCACTGCTGTAGTCTCTCTTCTCGTGTCACAATAGCATTCAAGTGCAAGATGTTCCCCCACCATGCTTCGAGTTACGCTACCAACCCTCCAACATCAACATCGCCTCCAGCATTCCCTGCCGCGGAACAGACACTCTCATAAACCTCACCGGCCTACTGCATATGGTTGATGCGACCTTCAACCTCGTATTCAAACTAGAGAAGACAAAGAACCTGATGTGACTCCGGATGCGAGATGAGTGTCGCTTTTAGAGGAGGCTCTCAGTCGTGAGACTGGTCTTCCCCAATTCTAGGCATTGCATCGCGCTTGTATGCGATTTTCCTCGCAATGCGCCTCGGTCATCCAGCCTCGAAACGCTTGTTGAGAAAGTGAACACTGAAGATGTTGTTGGACAGGTGAGCGCTGCAGCGCTGTAGTCTCCCCTAGCCAGACCATATAGAAGGAAGACAGTCGTTCCTTCTTGATTAGCAGCGCTGAACGTTGTAACCGGTTCCTGTAATATGATCTCTAGAAAAGGCATGTTGTTCACACACTTACAGCAGTGACCACGATCGTGTCATTTGAGTTCGCCATCACTGGCCAAAGAATGAGAAACAACCAAGGCATTCCTTCGTAGCGTTCTGCTAGCATGAGCGGTATGAAACGTACTGTCTTGTTTGCCCATCTACAGCACCTCGACGCTCCCCATCATCTAGGACCAGCAATTGTCTCTGTGACCGCAGCTACAACAGAAGCCTTGGTCATCGTCTTGGTTTCGCAGCTATTCCATACAGCAGACTTAACCTCCAACCGGATTGAGCAGTGGGATGATGTCCAAAGCCTCTTGACATACGTCTACGTCAAAGCAACCAAGGCAGCCCAAGACTTGGGAAAGGTCTTACTGGATATCAACGTGGTGCTCAAACACCCTTCGGAGAGTTTCCCAACTGATTTCGGGAATGGCATGGATATGTGCTTTCGAATCCAGGGCGGTGCGTCCCTCTCATCCCCTCATCCCATACACGCCCCTCATGGCGTAAATATCAAGACCCCCCTGTGTCCCATCTTCCCGACTACATCGAGACCCTTCCCCAAGTCTTCGTTGTCCCCGACAAAGCCGTTGAAACACACAGGCAACATTCCGTGCACGTCCCTCCTAGCTGTGATACCTTCTCAACATCATACCCTGTAGTCGCTCTTGGTGGCACTTTCGATCACTTGCATGCAGGACACAAAATCCTGCTTAGCATGGCAGCATGGATAGCCAGTAGCAAGGTCATCGTCGGTGTCACAGGTATGATAATGCATTGCAACCTGTCGCTTCCGCGACTAAACTTTTCCTCGAGACGACGAGCTGTTGAAGAATAAATCGAATAAACATGTCTTGGAATCAATGGCCGTGCGCATGGAAAGAACGCGATCTTTCCTGCAGCTCTTTCGCCCTGACCTCGAATATGAAATTGTCGCAATACGGGACGTGTATGGCCCTACTGGTTGGGATCCTAATATTCAGGCGCTGGTGGTCAGTATGGAGACTCTGCCTGGGGCAGCATCAAGTGGGCATATTAACGGTTCTCTGGAATCATGCACTGACACTCCCTTGCAGTTGACAAGAAACGCGCCGCCGAGTCACTACCTCCCCTCCGCACATTCGTCATCGGTGTTATTTCTTCAGAAAGCGAAAGGCTGGATCATGAGGACATGGAGATGTTGAAGCAGGCAAAGCTGAGCAGTACATATATTAGGGACTGGATTGTGAAGAACGGTGTATAACTCGTACATAAATGTTGTAGCAACAGATCTTGCCGGTCCACGTGATTGCTCGAACGCAGCTTCCCATTTATGTCGTGTACCCTAAGGTTGCCGCTACAGTAGAGCAGGACAGTAGTCACTGCCTTAATACTGCCCAACTTCACTGCCGTCCTTTCGATGAATGATCATATTATTCCTGCTATCAGGTGGTAACATGTACCCTCTGTTTCATATCACATATCTTCTCCATGTGCTTGCCATCGCCTCCGCAACAGTCACCACCCCAAACTCGGTGGACTTCGATCTCCACAGCCAATTCAGTCTCCCTGTACACGCAAACGCCGAACATCAACACCCTCTCCTCGCTGCACATGTAACACCATTCGAAACCCCTACAATATCATTAAAGGCCCGACCAATAACTGTCTACCGACCGAAATCTCTCGATGCTCACGAGCACGCCCGGCTGCGGTCACTTCATCATGCGGAGACTGAGCCCATCGAATGGGAGAAGGTAGTAGTCTCAGGACCAGACATAGAAGACAGGCTCACCCTATCACAATTGGCACGCATGACTGCCAACGCATACCAACTACCAGGCCACAAGAACTGGTACGACCTCGATCCATCCTGGAATGTCAACGCTGTGAGTATCTCCCCACTGCTCATGTATACTCTCTAACAACCCGTCTAGAGCTTTCCGTTCGGGTGGGATAACGACGAGGACGGATTCCGCGGGCACGTTTTCGCTTCTAGAGACAATTCTACAATCGTACTTTCAATCAAGGGCACCACGCTTCAGGGAGCTACATCAAAGAAGGATAAACTTAACGATAATCTACTCTTCTCGTGCTGCTGCGCCCGCGTCGATTTCTCATGGATGTTTTCGACAGTCTGCGACTGCTATTCCTGGTCAGCCCTACACCGCCGTTGCGACGACACATGTCTGTCCACAGCTCTCATACAAGAAAGCCTCTTCTATTCCACCGGCGTCGTAAGTCGACCATCCGCGTCAGTTACTCACAAACTAATACTTTGCCACCACTCAGAAACTCGTGAAGGATCTGATATTTCTATATCCTTTCGCTGACATATGGCTCGTCGGCCATAGTCTCGGAGGAAGTCTCGCTTCTCTCCTTGGTTCTACTTTCGGATTGCCAGCAGTCGCGTTCGAGGCTCCTGGTGAGAGGATGGCAGCGAATCGTCTTCACCTCCCGCTTCCACCCCCCATCGGAGATTCTTCTCTTCCTCCAGTACCCATCACGCATGTATACCATAATGCCGATCCGATACCCCAGGGAGCCTGTAGTGGTGTTTCGTCGCCTTGCGCTCAAGCTGGGTATGCTCTTGAAACGAGATGTCATTTGGGAAAGACCATTGTCTATGATACGGTCCAGAAACTGGGGTGGCATGTTGATTTGCGTAAGCATGTCATTAAGGAAGTCATTATAGAAGTTTTGGATTTAGAAGAAGGCGGTTGGCCGGACGAAGACGGGAATGAGTGGGATGTACCTGTCGCGCGTGAAGAACAAGACTGTGTGGTTAGTGTCTTGAAAGTCTGTTTCATTGGGTTTCATCGCTCTGACACCTTGTTATAGGACTGTTTCAAATGGGAATTTGGAAATTACAAGGACAAAGACGCGGACGGCTAGCTTCTCAACGTTAACAACCGCTGTATCTATCTATCATACCTTGTATTCTTACATATTCCAGCATCTCAGGGTCATGAGCGTAAGGGAAGGGAGTCTGCCATCGAGTGTTGTATATTACTGCCATAACCATGTAGGTATACTTCCAAACCATACATCTAAACTTGCTTCCAATGGATATTTACGGGTGGTAATCCCGTCCACCAATCGTCCGTCCTTGTACGATCACCTTCTTTATGTTCCTGTCATCTCCGCAAAACAAAAAACGTTCCAGCCATTCTGTCAAGCTTTTTTTGTCCGCGCTCTGTGCAGTGACACCTTGGGTCAAGTCCCGATCAGGATTGTAGCCCCATAACGCAGGATTTCCCCTATCATCGTGGACACTGACAAGGAGAGCATCGAAGGCCTTCTTCTTCTCGAACGACCCGATGCGGTCCTGGAGACAGCAGACACCCGCCCCGCCAAGAGTGGCGAGGAATAAGAGAGCAGCGATGGTTAGTTTTTGATTGGTGAACTGTCCAGGCTGCTTCATGTCATCTTCGCCTGATGACTCCGAGTGACCCCCGCTGCATTTACATTTCTTGTCTCCGGCCTGTATAGCAAGTACCTTGGATGCGATACTGGCGTGCTGGATCTCGGTGAGTATGGATGGGGAATAGCCGCCAGCGGCATCCGTGCCCAATCCAACCTAACCGGAGGGAATATCAGTCATAGCAATTAGGCTTTCTAAGAACCGGAAAGCTGACCTTCACACCATGATCAAGTAGCATACCGACTCTCGCCATGCCGCTGCTCAAATAGAAGTTGCTCGTCGGACAATGACTCACTCCGGAACCACGTTTGGCGAGAAGCACCATTTCGTCCTCGGTGAGGTAGACGCCGTGTGCCAAAATGGTGTTGTCGCGAAGTAAATGAAACTTGTCATACGTCTCTGCGTAACTCTTGGTCTTGAAGAGGCTTTTTACCAGTGCAATCTCGGCTTTGTTCTCTGAGATGTGAGTCTGGATGGCAAGCTTTGGGTTCTTCTGCGCGACTTCACCGAGACGCGCCAAGAGCTCCTCGGTACATGAGATGGCGAAACGCGGGGTAAGGATGGGGTGTAGCAATGGCTCGCCGCAAGCAGATTTCGGTAGCTGTTCGATGTAGTTGATTAAATCCAACGTGGTATCGACAGATTCTTTGACAGATGACTCGATGTAATTAGGTGGGCAATTCTGATTCATGTTGCATTTCTGATTCAAATCAGGTTAGCGAATTTGGTGTTTCTATCCAGAACAATACGTACCCCGACAAACGCTCTTTGACCTGGGACATCGTCTCAGTAGATTGTTCGGAGGCGATGAGGGTAAACTCACCTGCGTCGTGGACAAGACTGGCTAGAACCTTGGTCGCTTCTAGATGCAAGCTACCGTAATAACAGCATGTCGTTGTCTAATTCAGCGTCAATATGATTGATTGAGCATAAGCACATTAGAATATTCGCTTACACCTGAGTTGACTATGCGCCGGATGACATCAGGATAAGCGCGTTCGGCATATTTGACGTCCTTGAACCTAGCTTCCGTTGGGAACGTGTAATTGTCGAGCCATGGCAAGAGCTCCATCTCCCCCCCGCTGATAAGACGAGCATAAGTTGAGGGACATAGATAGTTGATTCAGAAGACTTACACGCCCATGTTAGGGACTTGACAAGCATGCTACGGATATAGATGGTCAAGATGATGGGGGCTTTGATAACATGCTAGACAGACTGTATGGGTATCAACCAAGCCAGGCATGAGGAATTCCCTGTCGGCCAAACAAACGAGAGTGATGGCAGAAGGGGCACAATCGTGCTGTGCGAGAACATCGTTGAGGTTTGCTCTCTCTACATCCTCGGCGATCCATTCGATATCACCCTGTGGAGATACGCAAATTAAACATTGAGGAAGAGCACGGTAGTCTGTGACTGATTGTGGGTTAATGACTGGACCATAGTAGACGGTGGACATGGTTAATAGCAGTATGAGTGAGAGGACGTGGGTGGATGATTGTGGGGTATCATAGAGCACGAGCTAGTGTATAAGTACCGAAGATAGGGCATGAGATCCGTACATTTTGCGGTCGCAAATTACTGGTCTACCGATTCCATACCTCTTGACAAGGTATAATTCGCACTAGATATGGCAGGCAGCATGGAATTACACGAGCGTTCTGTGTCGAGCAACCTGCAGGGTATTGACGTACGAAGAGGGGGGACCGAAAAGCGTGTGTTCGATTTGGGAACGCGTGAACCGCCGTATAAACTTACACCTCCGGTCTACTGGCATTTCCGACCCGCCCCACAGCAAACTTGACATGTACAGGGAACCGAGAACTTGAGGAACTCAGGAGGCCGTCCAGTCAGGCCGAAGTCAGGCACTAGGATAGCTTCCTCTAGACCTTAAGGGTATATATGAATCAGGTACCTACAGTAGGCGTGGATGACGATGGGACTCATCGATGGTATCAGTTGACCTGGTCGATGGGACTCGAATACTACTTGTATGCTAGTCTTATCAAAAGCTCTCGCCCCATGCAAAGATATAGGACACATGATCTTTTCTTAATGGACGTGGGCGTTGATCGTAGGCTATGTGACTGACAGTCGTGTGGATGGGTCATCGAGCGCTACGAGGCGCTACGTCGGAATGATCCTTGTAGGATACTATTTCAGTGTTGACTTGACTCTGAATACAACGTCGTCTTGGAATCAGAACCATGGCGATTGCACGCGCTTCTGATCATGATAGTTCTTCCTTCCAAAAAACTTGTCTCCAGTTTATCGATGGTCGAAGCGAAAAGTCACGGTCCGATGGACAACGATGCTGAGCGGTAGCGCTGAAAGGCCGTGCAGCCCGTGCTCGGTATGAAACTTGGCGTATGTAAGAGTTGTCATGTACCTTGATGACGGCTGTCACCGAGCGCCTTCTGGTGAACCCTTTCAGATATTCACAAAAAGTACATGCATATGCATCTCCATCGTCACATTTATTATGATTTATCCGAAATTATAAAACCTGAATATTCAATTTCCCACAATCTTTGTCTTCCTCATCCTCGCTATCGTCCAGTGGGCTCTGCGGTAGGCAGCTCCTGGTCCGAAGGTCCCTCAACCGTAGTCATCACCCAATATCCCATTCAATGCCTTCCCTTCGTCGTTCTTTCTCATCCCCGTCAGTCCGCTCGAACCCATACCCAACTTCACTATCAAATGGTAGTGTAAGTAACGCTCGCCCGCGCGTTGCAGGTCATGGGTTTCGTCGTTCTTCTGACTCGGAAACGACTGAACGTAGGGTCCTTGCGGACATTGAGTGGTGGCGGGTTTCTGATGGACAGTGCGACCTTAATACGGTCCAGGACCAGGCTGAACCAGATCAGGATGTACAAGACGGCGTGTATGTCTCCGCGGGCGGCGCCATTACTCTGTCAGCCTCTGACAGTCCACAGACGCCCCCGCTGATGTTGCATGACCTTCCTCCCATAGACTTCGCCCAGGTAAGACCTTGATACTCTACCTTGATAGTAGTGGTACCTGACATCAATATCCAGTCTATTCCTATGAGTCAGTTCGCTGCACTCTCCATAGCCCCTCACTCTCCCACCAGCAGGAGACATGGGCGCAACTCCTCGTTTTCCTCCCTCGAGTCCACCCCCGAGATGCCCGAAACTCCTCTGGAGAGCATTTGCTTCAGCATGATTGATGTAGATGCTGGCTCTCATGATCTCCAACTTCCTTCCGAATTTGCGCTGCCTCCTACAAGTGTCATCTCTCGACCTTCATTCGCGCTCTTCGAAATGTGTACCTACTCTTTCGCAGACTCCCGTGACTTCGGAGGCGATGTTCATCAGTTTGCCGACGGAGCCTCCTCCTTTTCGCTCGATCAGAACATCTTTCACTGAGTGCCCGCCATTTCTCGCTCTCAAACGCCACCCGCTCCAGATCCCTCGCCGCCGCCACACCACGCCACATCTCTGCGTTCCAGTTAACCTCATTTTATCGCATCTTTTGCATACCATTCACAGTTTGTAATTTTCACCCGTATATCTCCAAAGCTTTTCAGACTGGGCAATGAGGCTTGTTTTTTTTGCCTCTCCATCGGAAAGCTGTTTCTTGCCTACTGTTCCAGAGCTTCACGATTTACGCCTAAGCAACGCCATTTACGCTCCCGCATATTTTCTCCCCTCCGTTCTCGCGCTCATAATGGCGTCAAACTCAAAAGCGCTACGTACTTGTTGCCTCCCTATCTCTCTATCTCCGTCATCATCTGTAACGACTAGACATGCATCCGTGTTCTGCTTTCCACCGATCTTGTTCCCAAAATGTTTTCCATCCAAATCCATTGGCTGTGCTTTTACGATGCGTCACGACGTTTCCCCTCACGACTTAGTGTACTTGCAGTCACTCCAGACCTTGTACATTAGATGTTTTTGATATCAGAACAAGACCCTGTCTATACCTATTGTGTGAATGTAAGTGAAACAAAACGACATGATGTCGGATCGAAAGGGCGTTCCAGTCTTTGGGTATCAACAAGCGAGGACAGCTATTGTGTGGACCCGATACTTCCAGATGTCCATATCCGGCGAGCTGCATTCCCCGGAACAAGAACCGAGACATCACTCGGTTGCTTCACGGGCGATCTGATGGATGTGTGGGTGTGACAGGTGATGACAACCCGACGGACGTACAAATAGTCTGAGATTCCGGTTGCCTATCATGATATCGTGATGGACAGCGATCCAATGCGTGACGTGATAGGTGCAAGGAATTGGGATCAGCGATACATGCCAGCAAACTTTGCGGGCCCAGACGCCCTGCTCCAGCGTGAAGTTGCGATGGGCCCGTATCTTAATGGAACATTTGGTGGTGGGGCATGCCCTAGTGAGGGCCCGTTTGATAGCGCTCGTGTGGCAGTATCTGGTGCTCTCTGAGAGGGCTGCTGTGGCCGAGCACGCGCTTTCCAAGCATTTCTTATCACCCCAGAGCGTTCGAGGAGCTGAGTTGGAATTAAGCAAGATCATTCCTGAACAGCGCGCAAATCGCTTACCGCATCCTTCTCAACTCCATCAGCAATGCTTTGGATGATATTCTCAACTACCGTCCGATAGTTGCCATTGGGTTTATCATCCCTAAAGCGCATCTTACGCCAATGGGAAACAACAGGATCCCAGTGAACCTCGACAATCCTGTCATCAATCTGTTCGCCTGATGATTTCATCCTGGCAGATTTATCAGTTGGCTGCAAAAAGTACTGGATTAAAGTTCTCACATCTCCCACTCATCATCGTCAACAAAGAGTTCATCGTAAGATTCGTATTTCGGTCGTCCCTGTTCATCGCCACAGTACACATACAGAGCGAAGAATGGTTTCGCGTGATAGTCTGGCTTCGACGGAGTACTTTTCAATGGAGGGAACCGTAACACGAGCTTGAAATCGATAGAGTTCTCGGAAGGAGGTTTCCACTTCAGTCTTAGAATCGAAATCAGCGTCGTCATCCAGCCATGGCTAACAAAACTCACATGTTTGGATCAGTACCTGTCGCATACGGCGTCTCCACGCAAGTATAGATGAGGCCGTCGTTGCCATGGTGTAGTGCGGGAATGACTACCTGGAACACTTCTTCAACACCATAGGAGAAGCTGATCTTTTTAACCTTGATACTAAGCGATGTGTCAGAACGGTCAATGTCCGGATCAGATTACTCACTCGAAGGCCTGACTAGCAGCCATGTGAGGGAATTCTTGCATCATCATTGAGAAGGGTTTAAAAAACCATTCTGTGAGACGCTATAGACCCAATTAGCACCCAGATCTGCGGGCCGAGGATATACAGTACATACACCATATCGTTTGTCCAGTGTTCGCGACATGACATTCTGCGCATCAACTACGAGGCAGTCAAACGCGAGAAAGCGCAGTGTTTCCTGAGGAAAATGTAACATTTTAACAAGAGCCTCTAACGGTATTACAAATTTTGCTCACTTTTTTGGTGCGAGGGTCTACATCAATAACGAGCTCTCCATCGACGATGGTATCTCTCAATGGTTCCTTCCGCCGTTCGTGATGAGGAAACCAGAATCCTGGAACCTCGTAATAATCATTGTGTCTGTCAATCTAGGTGACGTCAAGGGGTGTATGGAGGCGAAGAAGGGCGCGCACAAGGTAAACTGCTTGACTGCCTGACGTGAGGTCGGTTTGAAGGAAGAAAAGGACGCGAACGCCATCAGACTTCTCGCACACCCAGTAACTGGCAGAACGTGTCGGCAGACTGGTTTTCATATAGACAAGGTCTGCTACTCACTCGCGCTGTTCCAATTGTTGCAAATGTTCTGATGCAAAACTGATTGGCTGACTGCCAGGAAATCTAAGGATGAAGCAATGTCATGAGCTTCTCGACCCCGTATGTCAGCTTGTGTTAGGCACTGTACCTCTCATGATCCAGGTGGCAAAGTTTTGCTACATGACTCTTCAACCACCGTTCTTGGTCAGAGCGTGGCGGAACGACAACTCCTGGTAATGTTGGGATCCGTGGCATAAACGAGACAGAAACGAGGACAAAATTTGACTAGAAGTACGTTTAACTCTGAACCTTGCTTGAGGGTGTGCAAGGTAATACAGCATGTGGCTTTATGTAAGCACGTGCTAAGCTTTGTAGCATGCGAAACAAATGCGAAACCTCGAGTTCAGAGAAAACAATGCAAATCGAACTGCAATACGAGGATTGGTAATGACATGAAGATCGAAAAATAGCTGGTACAGTAAACTCTATAAACTGATACCTCATCGGTCCTCTGCCCATTCCTGCAGAAGATTTAGAGAATGTATGAGAAGTCAAATAAGTGGGACTTACGTTCTCTTTTTTGATTTGCGCCTGTGATTAAGTTTTAGCTGGTGATCGCAGGAAGGAAGATGAATAGAACATACCTCCTCCTCCGGAGTGAAGTCGTTGACAATGTTAAAGAGACGGCGGATTTCGTCAGGGGTCTTCCCTTTAATCATGTTGGCAACCGTTTTGCATCCAACATCGCTGCAAGGTGATTAGAGCGAGCTGTATGGGTGTTGTATTTGTGACTCACAGCAGCGACTTGATATCGAGATAATTTGCAGCGAGGATGATCTCGAACAACATCTCTTGGTCAACAGTTATGAACTTCTGGTCCCACTCGCTGATATCGGTTGTCCGCTTGCGGGTCTCATCCTGATTCTGGTCGGCGTCTCCGCTCGGCAAAGGCTCACCCCTGTGGTGTTCGCAGTACTCTACGACCTGTAAAGCAGTGGAGCGTGAGTACGTGGTTGTCTAACTCTGCAGCAAAGAAAAAAGTTGATCGATAAATATTAAAGACGCGAACCTTCTTCAGTACGCTCGAGGAAACGTTGGCCAAAGGTATAGATTGATCGGACTCTCCAACGTCTGGACAAAATCAAAATGACTCCTATGGGTGGCGGTAAAAAGAAGAGTACCTTCAAGCATGTTCTTGATAAGAACACTGCGTTCGACGACCTCCTTGTCGACTGAGAATTGGACATTATCGGAAGTGACAAGAAGAACCATGTTGACAAAGCTGGTGAAGTGGTGACTGTGGTAGCAAAGAAGACGGGTACAAAGCCTTTAATAATATTGGGGAAACCCGTGCAGCCTCCGTAGCGCTTATATAAGTCTCCCATCATTATTTATCGAGAAACTATATAAATTATTAAATCAGCAGCCTTTTGACCGTGACTAGTATTGTCCCCATCAGTCTCAGCGCTGCAGCCTGTCTGCAGCCATTGTGTTGCTATTGTATTCTATTGTGATCTACCTACGGGCGACTAGAGCGTCACGGTCTCAGCATGTCTACCATTATTGTCTTGCCCGGTCTTATGGCAAAGAAGGCCACGAAGCTTCAAAGAGTAACAAGTTGCGCCCTCTGATCCTTTCCGCTGTAATTGACGCTATCCAGGTAATATCCCTTGGTGCAACAAGTAGCCTTACTACACCAAACCTCCTAGCCAAATCAACCGCTTGACGCCATACTCCATTTTGGCATAAATGCTAGTCATCTTCTGAGCTTCAGTGAGACTGCTCTCGAGATGAGGATTGTGTGCTCAAAATATTATCAGCATATTACCCACCTGACTACATCGCGATCCATGATAACTGGTGAATTCCCCACGTCCTCGCAAGCTCGCTTGATGCTGTCTATCATCAAGTCAGCGACTTGCTTGCAAGTAGTTGCACCTGCGAGGTCATCCGCAGGCTCTGCATATCCCGTGCTGGATCCACTTCTAACTCGAGCAGGGTCCACTGGGAGCACTTTGAAAGCTGCAAAACAGATGTTTGTCGCACCAGCCGCGTTCTCCGAAACTTTGGACATAATCCCCGATAGGTTGGCAGTCTTCGTTGGCTCGCGACGTGGTAGCATGGGCTTGAGCTGAGTGGAACTACTGGCCGATACCGTTGGTGGTGACTTTACCGGGGCGTCTTCCGGACAGTTTCTGATGGAGTAACTCGTCATGCGCATACTGATTTGATCGCTGGCATGCCAGTAAACCGAAAAGCCGGCGTTCTGCACTGGATCCCTGCTTGCCTCTTCCAGAGGAGAGATGATATAAGCACCTGTCTGACAGTTAAGCTACTTGACCTCCAAAAAAAAAATAGTGACCTTTTTCAAGTCGTGCGATCGCACCCAGCGGGATACAGATATACATCTTGGCCTTCTCCAAGCTGTAGTCGTAGCTCTTCGGGGCGGTCAGCTATTGCTACAAGCCAATTTTGCGTCATTGAACGACGTACGACAATGTACAGAGCACGGGCGCTCTAATTCATGGTCAGAACAATGCTGAACATATAATAGCCCATGCTTACCAAGAGTAACACTTTCTCCTCGAATCGATCGTCAAATTTAATATTTAATTGCTCCGGGCTAAATATCGTCCACCCGGAAATCAAAGTTTCGCCTTCAGACAATACTCGAGCGACAGAAGTTGCTATAGCTTCTGCCCTGATCCTTGACAGGCGAATGAGTTCTCTAGGGTCAGTCGACTTTAGCTTGATGATGAATTCTTCGAAAACAGAGAGAGTCCTGTAGCCAAGCATGAAGTCGATGACAGCTTGACAAAACCAGTCGCTGAAAGTCGCGCTGTACATTCTAGCGAGGGAGTTTACACCATCGTTGAGCATACCCCCCAAGTCTCGCTTCCCAGTCCTAACTTATTGAGTTAATAATGAATTTAATCGAGGCTAACACGAACTGACCTGGTAAAATCGCCCTACCGACAGAAAGTCACTCACTCACGTCAAGTGTTAGAAGTGGATCAAATACTCACCTTCAAGGCAGACGTGCCAGCGCTTCGAGGAAGGAACAAGGTAAGAGAAAGCTTTCTGATATGTCGTTCTACGCTTACTATGCTCGACTGATCGCATCACCATTATTGGCCCAGACTGTGCAGCTCTTGAGGACCCTGTTATCAAAAAGAACAACGACCACTGACCATCATTAAAGATAACATCCACTCCCGATTTTCCATTTTGGGGAGGATTCAGAAGCCCCACAGCCTCAAGTTGCATGCTCATTACATGCCTTGCAAAGGCAGACTGTAGCAATTATGAGAAAGGGTCACAGCAGCTGGACCTACTGCTCACTTGGACAACGTTAGTGCGGTCCAGACAGTCGATGCAATTAACCCTGAATACACCCTTCTGTTTTGATAGAAGCATGTTGTTCGAAACCCAGAAAAACCTATTTTGCTAAGCTTGCAAAATTGAAGAAAGTCGGAGGACAGAATACTCATACCCTTGGCTTTGAAATACACGTTCGAGTTGATTGATGAGCTTGGAAATATTTTCATACCTGCTAATGATCAGGAACGCGTCATCCGTAGGTAGACGATACTGACTTCATCCCCCTCGTTTCACGGTGGAAATCAAATTCACTGTATCTGTGACAATATTGAAGCTCTCTCATCAGAGTTCGTCGTTGCGAACTTACCGAACATCCTTGGCATCCAGTTTAGTTGCATATTCGCGGTATGCGTTTGTGATCATCCCCTCCTTCCCATGTTGTTCAGCAAGATTGACGATGGTCTAAGGAAAGGTGAATGACGTGGTCATATTAGACATCAATCGTGAGCCCTACGTGTGGACCATACACAGGGACAGAGTGACGGAAATGGCGTTTGATGGCGTCCAAATTCTGCGCGGGAGTTCTTTCGGGTGCAAGGATAGGAGGTGGCTTCATACTGTAGCCTGACTGCGTCCAAAACAGCGGAACTTGGATCGTGTCATGCGATGCATCGCGTATTTATAAGACAACTGCTTACTCGAGCCTCGAATTTGCACATAGCTAAACACGTTGCTTATTCCGTTCCTCTGAGGAGACTCAAACTCGGCGAAATAGTGTAAACTGAGCTGCTCACCTGAACTCTCATGATTACTTCTGTTTCCACAAAATTAGCTACTTGAGCTTCATCGTCTACACCCCTGCGCTGATATCGCAAACCGGCCCTATCTCTGGAGCGTCGTGAGATAACGATGTAATCAATGGACTCCGCTGAATCGTCTTGCATGACGGAGGAATCTTTGGGTAGATCAAATGAGGAGATCTGAATGTATCCCTGCATTATTGGTGTCACGTAAGAGTGAAGCTGAGGAATAGATCAATCAGTTAATGTCTAACGAATAGTTGATTCAAGGCACTTACACCAGCGTCCATAAACGGCTTGGACAACCATTCGTTCCACCAAAAGTGACGGTCAACTCGTCTCCACAACGGCAATATGACAGACGGCTCGAAGAGAGCGTCCACTTTGTCGTCCAGTGGGTTGACAGTTGTGTCGTTCGGAAGAGCATTCAGTTCTGAAAGCAGCTTATTTTGAGCATGCAGCTTGGTGAATTGTTCATGTTTGTGTTGCAAAGATCTTGTAATGTCTGGGAAAAGTAATGACTTGCTGTCCGGGCGGGCTACGATGCGTGCACTCACCGAAATGCAGAGCAAAGTACATGTCGCCCTTCGTGAATTCTCTGATACATCCACGTATAATGCGTTCCTCAAGCTCAGAGTTGCGCTCTTCCGAGCTATTCGGTGGTGGCGCAGCTGCAGCTATGATGGAACTGATCACCTTGCCAGGTACTCCCTCAGCATCTTGTACTATGGAATCAAGGAATTCCGGTTCATCGAGAAGAGTCTCTTCTATGTCTGCTCCTTCGGATATGTTTGATGCGCGTGTCGATAGGCGACTCCAGAACGACATGCGGTTTGCAATTGTCGATACAGGAGAATGGGTCATCGACACATCGGAAGCAGGAGTTGAAGCACCAGATGATACGGGTGAGGCAAGTTGATCGGTGCTGTTGACTGGAAATTTCAGTTGATCGCGTGGAGTCAGGATCTTCACTCCCTCCTCGTCTGCGAATTTCACGTGAGGCCCACCCGAGGTTCCTTCATCAGGAGCCTGGATATCGTCTACATCGCTCACAAGAAGGGAGGGTCTGTTTACGGATGTGTTACGAGATACCATGCGTGCAAGGACTGATTTGGCGCGGTCCTTTACAAGGGGTATGGATACAACGCTTTTCACGCCATAGATCAAGTGTGAGTCATCGAATACTGAGCCTCGTGTGAGTCTTACTATGTTCGAAGATAGAGGTCGCTTACATTGCCCGACATCAGATCGAGATGCTAAGACCAAGAGGTATGAGGCTGACCGAAGAGTATTCAGTCTTGATGTCACCACGTGTGAGCAGAGGATGAAGTCTTGTTACCATTGAACAAGGTCATTAAACCCACAACTCCATAAACTATCACACTCTCTTTCCAATCAACAAGAGGGCTTCCGCCATCACTGGGCAGTTCTACTATGTCTGCTGTCTTGCCCCATGACACACGAACATATGACGCGGGATAAGGCAATCCCGCGCGATGGGGACGCATGAGCAGACCATCCTCTGATGCGAGCAGCGCAATGTGCTCGTGAGGATTAGGGTGTGGGACTGGAGGAACGACAAAATTTGGTTGCAGACCAGTCGTGGTTGCGGGGGGTGCTGCCGTCCGACTAGTAGCCATTGGCGGCTCAGGAGCAGAAGACCTGGCAGGGCTCGAATTCTTGGATGGCTTGGAGAATAAACGCTTCATGACTGCACAAGTCTTCTGTCATGCACGCTGTCGTTATACTTAAGGAGTACTACGTCAGGTTCCACCGTGACTACTATATCGACCCACCGTTCTAAATTAGAGCGCGTCGCAAAGGTAGGTGGCGGCCCTGTGAGTCAAATTGGAAGTTACCATAAAAAGTACATAATTGTCATATTGGGAATTGATTTCAGGGATTTTCAAAGCGCCTCATACGAATTTAAAGGTATGTGAAGAAGCTTGGAGGGTAGAGACACTGTGTTCGACTGTTACTACAGATACACATCTATACAGTAAAACATCATGCTTGTGCTGGCGCTTCAGGAGGGTTGGCTGAACTGCGTCCTTCTACACGCTGGTCATAACCGTAACCATGACCAGGTGAGCCGGCAACATCCCCTGGTCCTTCATAGTGCAGCTTCGTAATATCATAATTGCCTGAAGATGCGAGTAAATCATAGTGCACATAAAGAAATGACTTCCCACGTACCAATGAACTTCCAGCCATCCTCCTTCACGTGGTAGAGGTTACAAGTGTTACCCGAGAACGCATCTCGGTGTCCAGCAGCATAGATACTTCGCCGTCCTAATTCTTGTGCTTCCTCGTCCGTAAGATCCCACCGATATCCCTGGTCCAAAACACCATAGGCGAACGTGCTTCCCGAACCTACTGAAAACAAATCGCCTTTCAACCGCGTGCCATCAGAGTCAACGTAAAATACTGCTGGACCCTTTAAAACGAGTCAGTTGTGAATTATCCATCTGTTTACATTGGCACTGACGGTCTTGTCCCAGCCACATATCATCGTACCCTAAAGACTTGTTAGCAGACTTTGCGGGAGAGATAGCATATGAAGACTGACCATGCTCAAACCCATTCCCTTGTAACTATACACGAGGTTGCTCAAGTACTTGCTAGCAGCTGATACTGATATCCGTTCTCGGTTTCTGAGCTCATGCAATCGACAATGCATGCCAAGGTATGTTTCCCAGTATTGACAATCAGCTGAAGAGGAGGCGTCAAAGGCAATAAACACAGAGAGTTAGTTTCATACCAGCACCGCCAGCCATCGTCCCTAACAAGTAAGGGTTGATCTCAATGACCTTCTTGACTGTTCCGGATGCTAAAAGAGAATGTGTTATAAAAGCAACAATGCTGCATGATATACATACCAACGTAGCTTCCAGCGGTAGCACGCGAGTCGACAGCCACGATAACGCCGCCTTGGAATCTAAATGCAAGCGTGGTTGTTCCGTGCTGGATTTTGATTCTGCATGACGGGTCTGCGTGATCATCGGTGTGTAACCTCAGGAATGCGGCAGGCTGCGAGAATTGCACTGAATTTTTGATCGCGCTAGGGACAATAATGGTATACCTACGTCTGGGACGGATGGGACGACGAAGCCTGGTACTCCCTTGGCCAAGGTACCGAAGCCAGCCTCAGAACCCCACATTGCATCGGAGAAATCATTGTCCTCATCGATCGTTGATTTCGAAAGACCTCTTGCACTTGATCCTGAAAACCGCTGTAAGATGGAGTTCATGGTAGTTGGATAATAGCGTAGCTGACGCGGCTTATGACCGTGACGCGTCCAAATCTTGGATTGTGTGTACTGCTGTTTGGCAAGGCCTTCTGAAAATAATACAGCCAAACAAACTCAATTTCGACCTCACTACTTACTACTCGTACAGTTGTACTTGTACTTCCAGCTTCCGGACTTTCATCTTGGTTAACTATGTTTCACACAAATGGTATGACATCCATGCACCATTCGCTCTAATTTCCTCTCGATATCTCCACGAGTGCCCTACGCAAGTCGTCCTTCAGGTCCTAACATAGATGTGAATGTTCAACCAGAAGAAAATCAGTAAGCCACGCTGAGACTCACTGCCACTTCTTCTACACCAACGCTTAGGCGTACGAGAAGGGGATTTTCCTTCGGATCCGCCTGGATGCGCTGCTCTGCCAAAGACTCAACACCACCGAGACTGGTTGCCGACTGAGATACACACAGTCATCAGCGCACTCACTTCCTATTGAAAGTGTCTTACCACAAAATACTCCAGTGAGTGCGGCAGTTTCTCCGCATACTCCTTTTTTGAAAGCTTTCATTCGAATGAGAACAGAATTGTGCATCGTGCGCGTGTTTACGCACCAAGATCGAGAAACAGGCATTGAATCCACCTTCCATTTGTGCCGCAGGATTGAAACCATTGGCATCAGTCTCCTGAAGGCTAGAGTGCCAAACTTTGGTGACCACCCCACCGGGAATGCCATCGTATTCCTGACCCTGTGGAACAATGGCTCTGCTAAGCCATTGTGCGATTTCCGTGCCGCTTGCCGATTGCCTTGGGATGCGCAGATGCATCGTTCGAAGGGATCGTAATAAAAGCCAAGATTCCAGAGACCCCATCATATTCCCCATGTACACGCGGTCGTGCCAGAGCTGACAAATTAATGGGCCTCAGTTGGTTTGGGCATTCTATAACAGATACCTGCATACGTTCAGCCTCAGTCCTGACAATGATAATTCCACAGAGCAAATCTGAGTGGCCTCCGAAGTACTTGGTTCCTGTGGCGGGTCAAGATGGTATCATGTCGCGCTCGGGATGAAGGTCACTGTACCGCTGTGAAATATGCAATCTGCCCCCCATTTGAATGGGTATTGAAGAGGCGGAGGACCAAAGGTCGAATCTACCAAGAGTTTCCCTCCGACAGCATGAATCTCAGGGACAGCGCATGAGCACCCCCGCTGATAATCTGTGTCATTTTAAAACATACCTTGTCCGCGTAATATTTTATGTCTCTGGCAGGGATCTGGATCATGTTTTTTTCAAACCAAAACAACTCGAAGCTTACCTCGATTCGCCTGTAGGGTTCAAGGGGCTCTCAAGCCAGCAGAGATCTCCCTCTTGGAATTCATCCTCTAGACTGATGATCGGGGTATCATCAGACTTCCCTTTCATGTAAGTGGATATGGTGCCGTGACAGCCCATGTATCCCCCGGAAATCGCGATGCGTTTGGGTTTGAAGTGGACAAGAGCCTGTCAGACATGGTCACTTTGGTCAACCACTTCCATGCTGCATCAACCTGTTACGCCAACTCACAGAAAATGCAGCAGCCAATCCCGATGCATAGGTGATCGCATGTCCTTGCTACAAAAATAAGTCATGTTCCAATCACTTCTGAAATAAGGCCTACATTAATCTTGCTCAAGATCTGTTCCACCCTCGAAGTGACATTTTGCGAATAGCGGGAGTAGATATGTTGGTCGGAATTCAGCGTTCCAAACCCCTCAAGATCACGGTGAGGCACAGCCCTGAACGCTACATAGACGATGATTCAACTACTGTCCTGGCAAGTAGCGGAGAACTCACTCGTGGTGACAGAGATAGAAGGAGCCACTTCACTTCCTGGTCCGTGATCACCATGGACAAGTTGTGTACCGCTGAGTTGGCTTGAGGGGCTCTGGGGACTCATGCTATGTATCTAGTAGTAGCACACGAGTAATGAGATGTATATCTGGCGATAAGATGATTGCATTTATACGGTATATGAAAGTGACTCACTCTGAGTCTAAGACAGGCTTAGTACTAGTAGGTCAAGTGCTACTCCGACAGGATCGTGCTGCCCGGCGGGCCGGAGGATGGTTTACGATCTCTTGGTGAGTTTTGGAGATGAAGGATACATTACTCATATGTTATTGTATGTGGAGCTAGTGCTACTTAGCACTATGCTGTGTTGGTTTACACACATGAGATCTTACTGCGCTGTGATTGCGCTGTGATTACAATTTTCCCGACGAGCTGTTTCGACTCCTGGCATAATCCGCCACACGGTACATCAACCCTACCCAATCCTGCACCCCATTCTTCCCGATGTCTCTCAACCACTCCCTTGGATCCCCCGACTTTTCCAAATCTCCCCATCCTGACTTCAATTCCACCTTCAAATCGTATAATTCTTTCTCCCATTCTGTGACTTTGATGAGGGGGGTCCCAGACCCCGTGCACTGCGCAAATTGATACAACTCGTCTCGATAATTCCATTGATCATCCCTGTCGAATCGGAACCAGGCTTTGGCGATCTCTAGAGGTGTTGAAGCACCAGCGCGTCTGATTTTGTCGACGCGGGAAATGACATCGACTGCTTCTGCGATAGGATCTAGAGATGAAGGATCGGCAAACGCTCGCACAATCGCATGCGCTTGAGCCTCCAGGAGTGGAAACGGCACGACCCTTATGATGAGGCCCATGAAGGCGATGGACGAGATAGGATATTGAGTTTGGAGCGGAAATAAATGCTTTGCAAGGGGAAATACGTGGTACGTTGAGTTGAAAAGCTCGCCGCGAGGTAGTGGAGGGGAGTCCGGTGGTGAGCCCTTGTTGATCATGGATGTTCCCTCCAAGAAGGGGAAATGCATCTGGAATCCGGTTGCCAGAATGCAATGGTCGATATCTTCCGTAGTGCCATCGTCAAAAACTACTTGTCCGTTAGCCTTGAATTCGACAGGCCGACCTCTCCGAACGAGGTTTCCAGCATCGTTCGTCACTGCGCCGGGGACCGTGACAGCATGAACAACCACCGAGGAAACTGTACACATCTCAGCAGCGATGTCCTGACCGCTGGGTCCGCCTCCAACAACAAGTATTTTGTCCCCCAGAAAACTAGGTTTTCTATACCAAGCAGAGTGAGAGGCTTTACTATGCTTCACCCAATCTGCCAACCCAGGAACTTCTGGTATACGGGGTAAATGGTAATGTCCATTTGCGACGATCAGATGGTCATATGAAAAGTGTCCGCCATCCGAAAGGGTTACTTCCCACTGGGTTGACTCCCACCGTGCATCTAATACCGTGGTGTCGAACCTGATGAGGGACATAAGATTGAAGTGTGCAGCATACGACTCGAGATACGTTTGCACCACATGTGCTGGTGGAAACAACGGAGTCTCTGGCGGAAAGGAGTAGCTGGTATATGCCATTATAGGATGAGGCAAATTCGTGGTTAAAGAATCGTAGAGAGGCGTTATGGGAGCATTGTAGGCATCGACAATAGGCGGGGCAGGCAGCCTGGACAGGACAATGCCTCAGTAATAAATAACTTTTTTTGGAGTGAGAACTCACCATATTCCCCCAATATTTTTTCGAGTCTCATACGCGATGACGGACCATTTCCCTGACTTGAAGTAGGCTGAATCTGATATGACTTTAAGAGCAGCAAGACCTCCCGCTCCCGCTCCTATGACACAGATCCGCTTCTCACATTGCGGATTATGTCGCAGTAAGTGCAGGGGAACACCTTAAATAGAAGCCATTGAGCACAGGACGAAATTGTGGGCTGTAAAGCACAGTACTTGGCAGTATTTCCATGGACAGGTCACTTGGAGAGATCAGAACGTGCCTGACAATCAGAGTGAACGCAATCCGTGATGAACCTTCAATGGGAACAAAGATAAAAAAGAACGCAGGAACGTACCGCACGACTCCTTCCAATAAACGTGTCTAAAGCCACGCTGCAGCGCGACACGCAACTGGGAGCAATAAGTAGATTAACCGTCGGAGAACCTGCGCCGCGGAGCCACTGCTTAGAGAGGAACTTGAAGGATTAGAGACTCTGATATAGTATTGACCATTGATCACGTTCGGCCAGTGGCCTCGGTGAGGCAGTGCGAGAGTTTTCTCATCGGATCATCGACGTGTGTACACAACTTCAATTCAATGTCAGGTGGACTAATCTGTACTCTCAACTTGAGGGACCCACTGAATATTTCCAGTCGGACGTGATGTAAATGAATCATTGATGGTTCCTCAACCGCCTTCTGGACGACGTAGGTATATCCTGATAGATCGTCTGGGATGCTTAGAATGTGTAGGGATATGATTCATAGAATATTAGTAGTACAAAAGGCGAGAAGTTAACAAGCATCACGTAGTACGCTGGTCGGAAGTACTTCGGCAGAGTCGGCCCAGATACAAGCCAATAACTCTAATCACGCTCATTTTTCTAACCAGGAGGAGTGAAGGGCATGTGATGTGTCAGAGGAGCATGGCGATGGAAGAGGCAGCTTGATCAAAGAAAATCGATGCAAAACTGACCGAGCTCATACCCAACAACATTCTAGGCGCAGGACAAATTGGCGGCGCTAGAGCGGCACACGACCGATGGTTTGGACCAATCCATGACAAAAGGCAAGCAGAAAGAGACTAAAGGCTCAAGAAGAAACACAGGGCCGGACGACCTCTTGGAAGCTGGAGCAAGAATATTAACCAAGGACAGTACCCATTGCGTGCTCACTTTCAAACCGCATACATCATTGACTGTACAGAATGTGACATACGTTTTCATTTCTTCCAAGGCAGCCCTCGGACGTACATGTAATTTATGGAGATCTGCCATCGTTGCAGCGTCACGACCAGCAAGGCCAGGGAGCTGAGAAGTCAGATCCGCAATGTGAACACTGCCAGTTGAGATTCTGATGTTCTCACTACAGACACATGGTTGTTGCTTTATTTCGGTATATTCTCCCGGGCTTGCTGCCGGATTCTTCGTCTAAACATAGTCAGCTAGTGTATCAAGTGTCTTGTGATAACTTACTCGTAGGCAACCTTGTCGTTTCTTTGGGAGAGATAAACCGTGGTATTCTCACGCAATAGACGGAAGTGAAAAAGAAAACGTACTTGAACATGGTGTAGGCGTCGCTTTGCGCCGGATCGTTTACATTCGGGTCATCCAAAAGATCTTGAATGCCCAGGAGAATCTGAATGCAAGGATATCAGATTGATATTATAGATATTAATACTTCACGAACTTGTTTAATGGTGATTGCTGGTTTCCATGACTTTTCTTCGTCAAGGATGGAAAGACAGACGGTTCCTGACGGGTATACGTTCGGATGAAACAGGGGGGGCGTGAATTTACCTGTACGCCATACACTCATATTTAAGTGAATGCATGGTGTGGTTGTACGTACATTTCGGCGGTTTCGATGGATAATCTACACAGTACGATTAGTCAGTGGCGGCAACCTAGAAATACAAAAGATATATCACCTTCAGGGAAGGTCATCGTAAGCTTGAAAAGGCCACCTTCCCAAGGTGTCTGCAGGCGTAGTAATGAGTAAGTGGCGCGCACGGTTTGCCAGTATTGTGACTTACTCCGGCCTTTCCAGGAATACCCACTTCCCACTCCATGAGGTTCATGGAACCATCTGCAGCTTTCACTGGCTTCGCGTAAAATCCCTGAAATATTTTAGTTGAGCAAGCCGCACAAGATAACGAGTCCAAATGAAAGCGCGCTTCATTCAGACGCATACAAGTCACAGCCACTGGGGGGACTTACGAAGGGATGGTCCTTTCTCCATTGCTTGCGCTCCTCAGCAAGACGGGGTCTACAGATTCCAGACATGGTAGGCGAGAATTAGAGTATGGACAATCGTCAACGGGACAATGTTATGAGTCACAATAAACAGCTTCCCAAAGGAACACCTTGGAAAGAGTCGTGCTTGAAAGGGATTCGGGCGTGATCTGCTTAGTCATCCACACGCTGTTCAACTTGAACCTAGCTAGTAGCCTTATGACCATTGATCACGTTCGGTTCCAAGGACGAACCCTTCCACAGCCTTCCGCTATGTAATGTTAACCCTTGATCTAGGCAGAAAATAACGACCCTGCGCACGCCGTGACGGCGCTTCTGACGGTCACAAATATCTCAAAAACGGTTGATGACAACCTTTGAAGATGGATTATTTTGTGAAATGGCCGATCACGATAAGATGCTGAAAGTTCAATCGGCACGTGGAATCAGCGATGTGCACAGAGACTGGGCGTGATCCACCCCCTGGCAGGCCTCGACACACGCAGAAGCAAATTGGATTGTTATTGAAAGACATTCGCGGAGACCGCAAAGAGGCATGCATAAACTTATGGGGCACAATTATGATACATCTCTGATGAGTTTTTCAATAGTCTTAAAGCATGGCTCCTAAAAGAAGGTGGCACCCTGGGAGGATAAATGGTCTAAACCTTTTAAACCGTCGTAACCCTATCACTCATGTGACCCAGATCGAAGTACAAAATCATTTCTCTCAATGTGTTGACGATTCTCATGTTCCCAAAGTCTACGCCACTGTGCACCCAGCTGATGGATATAATGCGCTTCCTGCATGGAAGGTGTCACATCTATTCCCCTAGGTGGAAGTCCCTAGCTTGGGCCTAGAATGAATCTCCGGTTTAACTCTGCATTTCTCTGACGAATCAAAGGCGAAGCACTCCACCACGATGACGGCAATTGATGATTTGGTGTCATCAACATTGACAGCATCATGGAAGCGCCCGCGGATGCAGCAGTAGAGTTTCACGACCATTTTCCGAGACTTCTCACTCCTTTCGACCGTTGGCGGAGAAGATTCGGACAATGATCGTGTGATCCTTTCCAGGGATCATCCGAGAGATTACACTCCATCCGACGCGGGGCTCACAGCGATCATCGCTCATGCAGTCATTGAATCAGTATAGTGTTGTGCCTATTTGCGATGACACAAAGCTGATCTGCTGGGTATTCTCGTCGCGAGATGTATTAGACAGTTGAAGACGAATGATTGAGCTCCGGGCCTTCGATGAGCTCGGCAGTGAGCCGTGGACCTCGAGGTTCTGATATTCTCACACACGTCAAGCTCTTCACGTTTCAGCGCTCAGCCGCGAATAGCATTAATATTTGCAATGGGACTGGTACCTTGAACAGCGTGGTGGAGGTGGATGGGGTCGCCGACAGACGGTGAGAGCATACTAGTCAATGGATCATGGATAGTTGCCACCCAAGTATGCAACACTCACGATGTTCTTGCACTTACTGTATTGACAGACTCTTCCCGGCATGTTGGAGACTATACCACCCAGTTGTCTCAAAAGGAAAGTCATCTGTATCTAGACGGGGTTCACTTACTTTTGGGGCAAGGTCCGCGGAACAAGTACCCTCCTGGGCTTAGCCACGCACGCAGAAGTAAACCTCTCTCATTTGAGCAGTATATACATCCTTGTTTGGTAGTAATCTGCCACTAGTACTATCATGATTGATTCCATAAGTGGCAGGTGGCAGGCCAGAGTCTGATTAGTCAGCGAGATGCTGTTTAAGCTAAAGTTAACAAAGGGCACGCGTTAATGATAATCAGCACCATATAATCATGCAGCGCGTATTCCATGCTTTCTCCCCAGTACTTAAACATTCCCCACCCTACACAGATTAGCACTGAACTCCCCCTTGTCTTCTTGACAAGTTCGCTATCCTTGTTCGGCATTACGCCCTGCCCTGAGTCCTATCCCGAGGAGGCCCTGTCCCCCGGCGGTCTACGGCCCTGCGACACCCTTGTCCATGACGTCCCAAAAGCCACTTCACTTGCGTGAGTTGGCACTGCTGGCCACGTTCGCCTTTGCTGACGTACTCTATGTTGCAGACTTAATGAAGAGACCCAAATATGAAGATGCCCGAGGCTCCGAATCCCTAGCAGAAGCTCAGGACATGAAGCCTGCCAGGCCGAGGGCCAGGAAAGGAGGGCTTTCCCTTTTACCTACCATTAGCTTAGATGTTCTTTTCGAAGTAAGCCTCACTTCCTGCGCGTATACGTGTAGCTCAATCATGATTCATCGCGACAGATTTTCGGGTTCCTGAAACCGCTTGACCTCCTCAGTCTAGCTCGTACCTCCAAACCATTTCGGAATTTACTCATGCGAAAATCGAACGCCTTCATTTGGAGAGCCTCGCGGTCTCTTGTCCCGAACCTGCCCGACTGTCCTGCAGATTTAAGTGAGCCACAGTATGCTTGCCTTGCATTTGATCCACACTGTCACGTGGGTCATCTTCCATCATCTCCGTAAAGGAATCCTACAACATGAAACGTACAGAATTGTCGCGGAATTGGTTTCAACGTCATCTGGCAATTTCGAGTAAAATATTGTGGGCCGTGTCTGAGAATTCACACAAAGTGCGAGGTTCTGTTGCACGTTCTTACTCTAAATGACAACTCTTTTTCAGTATGGAAGCAGCATATTCGAAACCTCTCCTCACTCGACTCTGTCCAAACATTGAACTTCTCCCAACATATACATTCCGGGACTTGCGCTTACGTACGAGTACCCCATCTTTGGTGCATCGGCCCGGTTTACATTGATAACGGATAGGGTTCACGGATATGATCCAAACCTCGCAGTACGAGGCTCTCAGACTTCGGCTCAACGGCTCAAACTGCGATGAGCAAGCACTTGTCGTCGAAGAAACAAAGAAGGCCGTGCGTGCTATTCGCGAGGTGTGCCATATTTTATTCGCGGGTTTCATAATTGTAAAATGATGTGACCTTCAAGCACGCTGATGCATGCAAAGCATGGCTCTCTGAAGTCAACAGGGCCCGATCTGACGAGTTACACCAGATACGAGAGGGGCGAAAACGAGTGTAAGATCGACCGTAAGCCGATATCTATGCCTACTGACATCCAGTTCTAGTATCAGGGAGTGGTTGGAAACAGAAGGGTGGAAACCTGAGATTGATTATCATACTTGGTGGAAAATATCCAAACATCGTGCCATCAAAGATTCACGACCTCTTACTGCTCGAAGTTGGTGTAATGAATTTTTTTTGGAAGCTGTGTAAATGATTTGATCTCACACAGTTTGGAGCCGCGTCCGCCCAATTCTGACGGCATATATGTCGGAAATGCGAACCATCCACATGGAAGAAACACTCTATAATTCTCGACGCAGGATTCTTCTCCAGGCATGGATCGATTTCTTGGGTGAACCTGCATCATTTCCGAACACTGATGTTGACGTACTACCTCATGTCGCTGATGTTGCACGGTTCAAACCTTTCGATGACATCATCAAATTACCTGCCCACGTCGTAGTAGAGCGTGATACCTTTTTACCGGCTTTTGTTGCTCTTCCTAACCTTGTGAGGAACTGGCGGAGACAGGTCGATCAACAGCTCGCTGCCATCATCACGAATGGATATCCAAAGGATTACGCGCCAGCTGGAGACATCCGCCAACTTGCAACCAGCGTCTTTGTCTGCAACGCATGCGAACAGCTCTTCTTCTGGATCGATGCTGTTGCGCACAACTGCAGTCTTGATTTTCCAAGGGGTTCAAGCAAAGAAAGGAATGATTCTTTTAAGGAACAAGTGGCCCGCATCGCGTATTATTCGCTCGGTTCTTCTCCATGGTCTCCGAAATTCAGGTCCTCCACGGTACTCGCCATTCATGTCATTCGCAGTTGCTGTCAGGATCCTCGGACCGCTACGCTTGCACATATGGACAACACAAGTGCCCCGTTTTACTGCTTCGCATGCCATCCCGATGGCAAGACTGTCATGCATTGGAGGAAGGGTGTATGTTCCTTGTTTCTTGATCCCACTTTTGGTATCTGAAGCCTTTGCAGCTGGAACACAACCATTTACACAACAATCGAGATAAAGCTTCTGAAGTTGGCAAGACACGACTGCAATCGCAGCTCCTATCTGGGAGACCGCCAAGAACATATAGGTGCCTTCTATGTCGACGAAGTGTAGGCGCTGGCAGGCTTCTGCGAAGCATGACTTGCCACATCGAGGAACAGTAAGTGATACATATTTGTCTCATGATCGGGTTGGTGGCGAACATTCATATCCACAGGCATGGCATAGGCATTTTAAGTGTCCAAGAAGGAGTTCATTATGTGAAGGAGATAGATTCTATCCCAGATCCTGTTACACTGTCATGGGACAGCGGACCTGTTGTGACGACCTGGTCTGAGCAAGATCCTTACTTGTGATGTGTGCTATGTACTATTCCGGGTTACAGCAGATGCCCACATCATATGTCCAAATTACCGAAATACATACTATGTAACAGTGACAATCTGACCCCTCCCATCTTTGAGTATGACCAACTCACACTCGATTTTGTCCCCAGTATCAAGACAGATGACCTCGGTAGGATCTATGGATGAAGTCTTTATTTGGCGTTTCTCAAAGAACGAGCGGCCAAGCACGACGTCAAAGTGCGGCTCCTCGGATAAGAAGACGGGGACAGAAACGGTCTTTGACTTGCTAGCTCGTAGGTGATTCGAACTTTGTGTATTGGAAGCACCGTTGGTTTGGGTGTTATCAGTGAAATCTGCAGCTGTCTTCAAGGTGATGGGCCATTTGCCAAGGTTGACGAGGCCACTATAGCCATAGTGCCCTGGTGCTGCGTCTGCTGGAATAAACCCATGCCTCAACGCAAACTTGCGTGAGATGTAGACATGGCGGTAACCGTTCTTTAAGAGCATGCGGACTACAAAGATCTTGAATTTCAGTATGCATGCAAGACCAAGTAAGCGCCTGCCTACCATTGTCGACTGGACCGATGGTGCCTAAAACAGTACGTACACCGTTTTCGCTATGGAATCTCTCAAAATCTTTTCTGTGCTTTGCCACCCCTGAGATCTCTTCGGCGTCTGGTGAATTAGGATGAATTGCCCTAGACTTGTGTGACTTGGCGCTCCGCGCCGACCGAGGACGCGGGGAAGTTACACGTGCAGAGTCGAATAGGTAAAAGGATGGGTTGCAGTATGCGGGTGGTTCTGGGAGTTGGGCTGTGGGATCGTGGACGTGAAGCGTTGGTGTTATGTCGCTTGTAGACTGTTCGGATGTAGAGGGTGTTTTCTGCCTCCATACAAAGATGGTGTAGTCACTTTCTGTATCAGGCATTTCAACAAGGGAAGGGTGGATGCAGAGATAATAATACCATCATCCATATTCCACACGGCGTCATTCCAATTGTACTTGATCCAACCAGGACCAACGCGCTTTCCATGGAAGCCCGTGTTAGGCTTCCTTGAAAGCTTGTCATACAGTTGCTGTATAGTATCAGCTTTGACTGAGAGATGATGGATCTGATCAGCTTCATCATGACATTATTGATTAGAATGCTTACGGGAGTGGATGAGCGCGAAAGAAGATGTGGGCGTGTGGATATTGAATACAGGAGGAGAGACAGACATAATGGGACGTTAATAGAACCAGTCAATATGGAAGGATATGACGACGATGGGCGCCCTGCGCCAAGGATCCTAGCTAGGTATGTGGTGGTGCAGTACCAAGCATCATGGTATGTATCCTCCACATTTTCTCACGACTGTATGTCTTCCGATTGCCGATGGAGTTCTCGGTGCGAGTCGTTGAGCAGATGAAAAAAATCTGTGTCCTGGTGTGCCGATGAGAAATCTTCGGTCCAATGTTGGTCCAACGTTAACGTTGAACGTGTAGAGAGCATGTCAGTGGTGAAGCAAAAACAGGTTTGCAAGCTTCGGCCGACTCATTGCACCGCCACAGTAATCCCGTTTTGGTTGAACGGGGCACTTTCTCTTCAATTGTATACAACAGCGGCCTACCCTCTTGCTGGCCAGACGCCAGAAGGAAGACGCTAATGTCTTTCCTACCACGTCTTTTCAAGCCCCCAGCGGCGAATTGTAGAGCATATTCATCTTTTTTCTCGTCTAAACCAGGCGGTGGTCGATACTTCAATTCCGCAAAACCTCCCAAGCCTGTCGTTTCTTCTGGCAGAGCAAAGGTTGATAATGGCAACACTAGTGTCGCATCCAGCGACGGAACAAGCAGTAGCAGCTCTGGTAATGGGAATGCGAACGGCAAGATGAAGGTCGCAGGTGCAGATGAAAATCCATCAATTCCAACTTCGAATGCAGTCGATGCAGCACGAAATACACCTTCCATGCCATTCACATCGCCTTCCGCATTTTCAAGCCAATTCCACAACCAAGTCCATCCCACAATATCGTCACAGGATTTCAATCTCCACCAATTTTTCTCGTTGCACCGACCGCTTCTGCTCTTATCTCAGCCGCCATCCACCATCTTTGAGTCCGCGCCGCAAGACGCGCCTCTTTTTCACTCGCCAGAAGAGATGCCAAAGATTCAGTTGCAGTCGGGGCAATTTCCTACCCTCGATGAGCCGCCAGAATCTTCGTTCGAGACCGATGCTGATGCCGCGAGGCAGCTCGGACATGCATTGGTCATGAATCGCGTGGGTGGAATAGTGTCCTGGCAAGACACTTTAGCAAAGCTCGGTTTGGGTGGGGAGAGTGCAGAAGGCAGTGCAATTAATGCGAAAGAGTCTGCACAGGAGTGGGTCACTATCTACGCTGATAGCACAAAGCGTAAGAAGCGAAAGAAGATGAAGAAGCACAAGTATGTTTCATATTCCAATGTGAAGGGCGATAAACTGACTAGCCCCTCAGGTTGAAGAAGCGCCGCAGAGTCAGTCATCGCTCTGAATACTAACTTCCTTGCTAATATACCTTTGTCTTCACAGCTCACTCGCATGCAACGTCAGAATGCAAAGTAGACGATCTGAACATTTGGCCACCTGGCACGCCGTGATGTAGCCGTATTAATTTCTCAGATACATATTTTACATTCTTCTTGCACCCCTCACCCAATCATCACTTTCATGTTCAATCGTACGCCAGACGATATTTGATTTTTTGTGTGACTGAGGATAGATTCAACGGATGTGTTTCCAAACCCGAACAGCGCCCCTTCTCTGGCCCTCTCCTTCCCACTCGAACCCACCCTTCCATACCTCTTCGTAACCTTTGTTCCTGATGAGGTCCAACACGCCCGGCTCCCGTAGAAGCGCACCAAACAGTACTATATATTGTGGCCACTCATGCTGCCAGCCTAAATCCCAAGACCGTGAACTTTGTTCGACAACCTTAATTGTTTCCACGAATGTAACGTTTGGTATTGAAGAAGCGAACGGCGAAGGGAGGTACGAAGGATCCACACGCGATGGGAAATGAGTTCGCATATATTCTAAGGGCGCTTCGAAAAAGATGTCTGTCTGGTCCTTGTAGTCACTGGGATTTTGGAGCCTGAATGCAAATATCAACCCCCAGCAAAAAAATTACGGCAGTGATGATCATTTACCCCAGTGGTGGCTCACACCCAAGAGCCCACATTCTCCCGGGAGCTGCGAGTTCGGGCCGGTGAAGGTAGGCTTGCCACGGGGTAGAATGGCAGGGTGTCAAGAACCCCACGGACGCCAGGTCATCGGAAGGCAAGCTCCGCAAATACGACATGACTTTGATTTGTCCTACGCAATGGAAGAATACCACGTACACCGAGGCTGGGACGGCCAATAAGAGAATACAGAGGTCTCGAGTGCGAATCGGAAGTGAGAAAGTTCCGACAACATTGGCTACCGAATCCTTTCCCCTTTTGCGAGGAACTTTGACCTCGGCTTTCGCGCTGCGATGATACAGTTCCACGAGGGACCTTGACGCGAAGATGTGTAACATCGGCAGTAGTGGGTGGAGAAAACGCCATTCCTTATGTCCAACAAATGAGAATACCGTCAATGTCCAGAAGACACACCCCAACATTGTCTTCAATTTTTTCTCGTCGTTCTTCACTGCGAGGTGCATGCCATGCAGCACGAATGGCAAGGAGGTAGAGCAAAGGATCGGGAGGGCCTGAGACAGGTAATAATGCCAAGGGTTCGAGCCGTAAAACAAAGATATGGGCGACGCATTGACTCGCAGAAAGTTAAAGAGACTCAGCGTAGGCCTGCCATAAAAGGCTGAATCAAGCGCAAAGACTGCAAGAGTAGTCACAGCTCTGCGAAAATTTTGAGTTGCTGCTTACTTCAAGCAAAATGATCGAATACAACTAACCCAATGACACAGCAATCGCGAACGAACATGAAACCCTGACTCGGGCGGAATCCAAGACGCAGGAAGAGAAGGCCAAACATGTAGACCCAAATGATAGCATTGGTGGGTCTGATTGCGCACGCCAGCGCAGCAAACACAATGCACATGCGCATTCTAGTCCTGTTCCTTACGTATGAGGTGTCTTCACAAAATAACAGCCAGCATGGGTGACTGACGACTGCACCTGCATGGACTGTGTAAAGTCCCAAGGGTAGTAGCTTAGTGCAGCTGTTGTTAATGACGTCTCAAGGGAATTCGACATGGATCGTGAAAGTGATAACGAGTGGAACGGTGATATCAGAGAAACAAAGTACTACAGGAAATTGGCTTCAGCCGTCAATTACGCTCGAATTTGAGAAATCTCACCGCAGTTGGCGCAAACGCATCATTGAGAACTTGTTTTGTAATTTCACGGATCCCTATATCTGTGATGGCAGCCAACAAACCATGGACAATGCGCGGGCCCGCTATCTAACTCGTCGAATGAAGTAGAAGAATGGCGAAATGAGTACAGAGCTCACTAGCAATTCAGGGTATCTTGCATCAAGGCCCAGTGTTTTGACAAGCCAAAAGGGTGGTATGTTCAACGCAGGGTAGATGATGCTTCGAAGGGGTGCTGGACTAACCCATTCCCATGTGAGGTGTCCATATCCAAAAACGTAGTGATGGGCGGGTTCTAACACCTGAAAGTACTCATCCGGTTGAAAGAATCCTTGAGTGCTAAGAGCAATTGCGACACGAAGAACTAATGCCAGCAATGTCATGGGCGCTGGTCATGGACGCGACGAAACACGTCAAGTCGAGGAATTGCTTATTATGTAACGACCCCTGTATACTCGTTTATCTACAATACCAAATTCTTTCACCAATGAGCTTGCGATGTCCTTACTTTATGTGATACCTGAGTTACGTCTAGTAAAATTATTCATCGTACATCCTCTCTGCTTTGAACCTAGATATCTTTCCCTCCGGGACCCTGGCGACAGTGTCTACCGCGCTTCTAACAGAACCTCCATTTAATTCCGTCACGGTCGAGCGCATAACAGCTGGGGGGCGTTGTGGACGGCCCGTATTATTGTCAGATAAAGGCTGCTGTTTGCGCGGAAAAGAAGGCGAGTCCACGATCATAGAAGGGAAAGAGGGTGATTCAACGACCGTCGGAAGGATTGGCAATGGCGGCACATCTTCAACAACTCTTTGGTGTGGAGGGTTGGGTTTGAATTGTCGGCGCTCGATGACTTCCGAGACAGCTGGTTTAGGAGATGACACTTCTCCCACTGGCAATGGAGTGGGTGTTTTGGCAGGTTGATCTGAGGCAAGACCGCATCGCGCCATCTTGAACTTTGACGTTTTCGGGGCAGCTGGAACTAATGGCGCCGTAGCAGGCTCTTCGGCAGCTCTCGATGATACCGGGCCTTCAGAATTTTGTGTAGGTTGAGGGACGAAGCCAGGACCAGCATTATGGATGCGTCCATTGCTCAGAAGTTCTAAGACCTCTCGGACAGCCTCATCCTCACTCCCACTTTCCCCCTCCTCGCCGCCAACAAGATGATCGTTTTCAACTTTTCCCAACCGGATAGCTTCTTGCAAGGACTTTTGTCGAGAGGCCGGGATGACTGTTGGACCAAGCGAAGTAGAGGTAGACCTATCATACGCTGTAGCCATCCGATCAGCCCTGAAGCGCGACACGCTGGGTTTCGGGCGCTGATCTGGGGGAATTTCCTGTAATCGACTTGTTGAAATTGTGGAGCTGGATAAGAAGAGAAATACTGACTCCTTGGTTCCATTCTTCGTCATTATGCGTGTGCGAAGTCATCGCTTGAGCAGCCTCTGCACCAATAGCATGACGCTTCTTATAATACTCCAGGGCCACTTCTCGGTGGTGCTGAGCAGAATCCCAATCATATTCCTCTTCGAGGAGGCCCTCATCTGATTCGTCGTCGTCGTCACTGCTCGAAGTGTAGGACTCGTTTGGAATATTTCCAGCTTCATCGTGTGTCTCAGACGTCGTAGAAAGAGGTTCATCATCCGAATCACCTTCAGGCTGTATTTCCGATGGCTGGTACGAAGCTGGATGCCGCTCCACCACGTTCATTTTCATGGGATGATGCTCTGTATTTGCTCTGGTCCGAAGTGGAACTCGATCGCTGGATCGCAGTCTGGCAGGTGAGATGTCTCCCCAATTAATGGATGATCCTGCAGTTTGACTCTCCCCTGTAGCAGATGATTCATCCGGCGAACTAGGATTAGCAAAAGTGACGGTCTTCTTGGGTTTGGAGGATTCGGATTTGGGGGATTCCTTTTCAATCAGATCTTTTAGCTCTCGCTCCTCCTTTTCCCTAGCTTCTGCAAGGTTTCTCAGCAAGGCTTTGCCCATTTTCTTCTGCATCTCTTTCGCTGCTCTTAACCGCTCCATTTCTGCTTTCGCAGCCTCCTTACGTTTGCGTATATCCTCCATCCGCTTCTCCTTTTCTTCTTCTTCGTCTCTTTCCAATTGTAATCGTTCCTCTTCTTCAAGCTTGGCCAAAATGTCATCTCGTTTGCGACGACGTTGTTCCCTCTCCGAGGCAGAGAGAGATGATTCTGGTATGAGATCCGGTTCGTGAAACGGGGCCGCTGGAGAGTGAACATCAGTGGTATCCATAGCAGGTTCAGTGATGTCTATGATCGGGAGACCCTCATCGTTAAGAAGCTTTGAATACAGATCAAGAATTCAATACGTATATTAGACACAAGGTTCGAAGACGCACTTCACCCTTCTCATTCCGTTGCAAGCCTTCACCGTCACTTGCGCCTCCGAGGATCTCATCTATTTTGTTAGCGAGATTTTGGAGTTGGGAAGGCGCTAGCTTTGAAGACAGACTCGCGTCCGGTCCTTTGGGTGATAGCGAATTGAGCAGGGCCTGCAGTGCTGAAAAGCTCTCCTTCTGAGCGCATCAGAGTTATTGAAGATGTAATTACCCTCAGTATGGCTGTCGTTCATGTCCTTGGTGTGACCCGACATTTGTTCGGTCCGGGTTATGAGGTCAAGGGCTAACCTAAGATAATTTGCTCGATCAGTGGACCACTGAGGTCATGTGACTTGCACTTCTCGCAAAGATCTATTTGCACGACAAATCTCGACACCCTCGATTCTTCAAGCTTGCCTCGTGCTGGACCAATTTTATTTCCTCATCCTCCATTAGCAAACATGGTCGTCGCACACTTAGAGCAGAACACATCTGCCACCAAAAACCGCCGAAGCATGAGTAAGAAGAAAGCACGCACGGCTGCCAATACCACACAAGTTGACGGCGACGAGGAGATGTCTTCGGGGGTTGTTCTCCCTTTGAACCCAAATCACACTGCTGAAGATGACGATTTAATGATCGAAGTTGACCCTACTCCCGCCCTAGAGGCAAGCTCAGCGCCCTCTTTTCCGGCTTTGCCTGCATCTGCGACACAATCTACTCTGAAATCAGAGACAAGGCGAATTCCGATACCTCCGCATCGCATGACACCCATAAAAAAGGACTGGATAAATATTTTCAGTCCTCTCACCGAGATCCTTGGACTACAAGTCCGAATGAATGTTCAAAGGCGGTGTTTAGAAATTAGAGTGCGCATTCATCTGCCTCAGGCGTCCCTGGGGATTCTATACTTACCGAATCGCTGCAGACATCAAAAGCAACCACAGAAATCGGTGCACTGCAGAAAGGAGCTGATTTTGTGAAGGCATATACTCTTGGATTTGACGTTAACGCGAGTGTTGACTTCCAATATCTTTTTGCATTTCTAAGTTATTGGTTTACAGGATGCGATAGCACTTCTACGAATGGACGATCTTTACCTTGACTCATTCGAGATTAAAGACGTAAAAACACTTCATGGTGATCATCTTAGCAGAGCAATCGGTCGGTATACAAGCACGTATCATGTATTGCTTCGCTTAAAATCATTTCAGGACGGATAGCGGGACAGGATGGCAAAACTAAGTTCACAATCGAGAACACTAGCCGGACTCGTATTGTGCTCGCCGACACGTAAATATCGGTTCTCTTATTTCATCTTGACAGCATAATTGACGCCTTGGGTACGCAGGAAAATTCACATCATGGGTTCCTTCCAAAACATCAAAATTGCGCGCGATGCAATTGTCTCCTTAATCTTGGGCTCACCGCCCGGCAAAGTGTATGCCGGACTTAGGACTGTCAGCAGTCGTATGAAGCAGCGGGCCCTGTAACCTTTTTTTTGTGTATAAACGGATTCATATCTGAATGATCTTTGTTTTCCATCCTTCTCCAATATCATCATAGGAAGTGCGATACAACGAGGTGTACAAATCTATTGCTGGCAATACAATACAGATAAACTTTTAGCTAAATAGATAACAGGATGAGAAGCCAATATGGTCCAACAACAGTGGAAGCCAGGATATCATGTAAATTAGTCTGCGTTGTCGGCATACTTCCCCTTTTTCTTTCCCTTCGGCTTCTTCGATACATCGTGTTGGTCCACCGCAGTCATTTTCAGCAAACTGTCAATAGATATTTCAGTGATGCGAATAAAAGGGAAAAAGGGAATGCACTTGTCCCAGGCAGCTTGGTCCACAGGAGGCCCATCACCATTTCCTACCATCACCTGGAATCCGACGCTAGGAACACCGTCCACGACAACGTATATCCAACCTGGTCCTGGTGGGTACACGGCTGGCCTAGGTGGACCAGTAATCTGTAACGAATATCCATCACTGGAGAGTGAAGAGCTCAGATACACCAGACGGCTGTTCGCGTGAACAGCATGGGTTACAAAGCCAAGATCCATCAGTGCAACTAAGGTGCATGGTCATGAGGTTGGTGGCCTGAACTGAGCGGTAGCAAACGCACCTTTGATGTTTTGGGCTTGATTCGTGGAAGACGAGAGTTTGACATTCAGAATGAGGTTCTGTCCATACAGGAGAGCCTTTGGGGGGTTGTGCACGACTGGCCTGTTCCTTTTCATGTATGGGGGACTGAGCCATTCAACTCTATACTCCGTCCCATACTTCACCTCGCTCCGATCCAAGTTCGGGTTGCTCCCAGCTACCATGATATCGCCATTAGGTGTCAGTGTCGCGACCGAGTGGTACATCCTCGGAATTGTACTACTTCTCATTCCCTCGGAGGAAAAGCGTTGCCCAGCTGGGGCGGAGGGATCATACAAAACTGGCGTGAGGACCGGATGGTCTGCGTTCGACTGCCCAACCTGATCGACAACATTGCCATAGCCTGAGATTCCAGTTCCCGCGCCATTGACGATCAGAACCTCGCCAGTCGGGAGCAAGACTGCATCTGGCATGTGACGCGCCTCGGGCATCTGTTCGACCACCCACCCTGCAGCAATTCCTTGGTCTGTAAGCAGCAGGCGCGAGCACTGGGAAGACGCTGGATCTTGAGAAGATATCTCGTAACCTGGTTTCTTGTCGTCAATCGAGGAACCTCCACACAACAGGATCACTGCAGTGTAGCCATCTTCAGGAGACAAAGGAAGGAGGAGGCCAGCGCCTGCCATAGGATACGTAACTCGGCATTCGTTAGGGATTCGCGGAAGGTTCTGTTCCTGATTCGTCCGCCAGTCATATATTATCGCGTCTTGGTTAGCGGCCATGAAGATCCTGTCGTCTGGAAGTGAGAATACGATAGGGAAAAGGTTGGCATTGAGGGTGCGGACGAGGAAAGGTAGATGTATGGGCAGGCCAATCGAGTTGTGGATGGACTTTGGGGGCCAGTATTCGATAGTAGGGTTATTCACCGTCTCGTTGTTCATCCACCCGCCCTTCTTTGATCCGCCAACGATCATCGCGCTTCCGTCTGAGATTCGAATGACTGTATTATACCAGCGTGGACTAGCCATGCGGATGCGGGAGTGATTCTCATAGATTTTGCAATGAGCGGCGGAGGCTGATGGACAAGGCTCGAAGATCCGAACTGCCTGCAAGCCATCCAGGTCTCCGAAGTCTGCGGAAGACGTGTGCCCGCCGACCACAGGGTTACCCCCAACGTTGATCAGAGTTCCGTTGCTTAGAAAGGTCCCGCCGGCACAAAATGAGTTGGATTCGACTTTGAGGGGCCTAACAGCATGCGTCCGGAGGTTGTACAAGGCAGCCCATGCAGGGTGGCCCTCAATCGACACGGGATTATGTTCAACTTTGTCGATAATAAGAGCGTGAGTATCGGAGATCACAGTAAGCTGCATGGCAGATACGCCGGTTACGCCCTTTTGTTCCAGTGTCCATTGTGCCTGCGAAGCGAAAGACTGTCCTGGCCGGGTTGCTGGGCTCGCCAGGTCCTGAAGGGTCAGAGGAAGGGTCGCATGACCTTCTGTGACAACAAAGGCATCTATGTCGATAACCGGGCTCTCAACTTGTCCTTTTCCAAGGTTTCTAACCTTGATGGTGTGTTTCCCGTACGGCAGGTTAAAAGTCCAGAAGATCCGCTGCTGTTTGCGCGACACGTTGCTCCAGGTATCGATCTCCTGCACTTTTTTCCCATCGATGAACACCGCGGCGATTCCATGACTCCTGTCCAGACCACCAAACCACTCGATACCAGTGCCCATGAACGTCATCCGGGCGGCAGCTCCTTTCTCATCGGTCCAGCGCAGGGTTGTCGCGACGTACATGTTATTGAAGGAGTCAAACCAGGAGCCAGTAAAGTGAATGAGCGGAGATGATGAATCGTAGCTTTTTGCTCCTGGCGGGACGTAATAGGGCCGGAATGGACCTGGTGTGTCTGTCCCTGCAGGAGTCTGGCCGTTCCATGCGGACTCCTTGCCCCAGGCGAATGCCCAAAGCACCGGAAGCAAAAGTTGTGCACGAATAATCATACAAGAAGACAAAGGGTGTGATTTAGCAAATGTAAAGAATGTCAAGCGGTCAACAGCGTTCTCGGGTTCTTGATGAGATTGATGTGATGAACAGGTGTGACGCGACGCGACGCGCTCACGTGACGTTGAAAAATAATCCTAGTAAGTTATGTAGTGAACACTATCCTACGTCCTTGTTGGGGTTGCTACTTGAACAATCTATACTATGCATGATATGTCACAATGGAGATAATTGATCAGCGTTCCGATAACTGTATGTTGTGCGATGAGGCGTGCGATAAGGGCAAAGGAGCAGTGAGAAAGCAAAAGCATTCACGAAAGATCATTGATGAGTCCGCTGAGTCCCCAAAAGCCACAGTCCACTATAGCACTCCATCATTGTAGGCCCAAGGTTGCTTGACCTTGCCTTTCCCCTTCCCAATCATCTCTGGCTCGGACTCAGGGATACCGAACCCTCGAAGTAGTTCACCCGCGGAAACAGGTGCCTCCCACACACGTATCGTGTTATCGTCCGAACACGATGCAAACATGCGCTTGTTCCGGGGATTCCAGGCCACCGAATTCACGCTTCCCTCGCCGTGGCCTTCCAGTACCTCTAAAAGTGCACCCGTGTCACGATGCCAAACATAGACATTGCGATCTGGAAATGTTTTATGAGTACGAACTAACAAGACGCTATGAAAGCCAGCATACCTTCACTCCCACTGATGACGAAGTTGCCATCGATGCCACCAAAGCAACTACGGATGACATGGTGGCCTTGTCGTTGCCCAGTGAACTTGCGAGCAAGCCGGAACTCTTCCAAGTCCCACAGATGAATTTCCTTTGATGCATGGTCAGTGACATGGTCGCACTTGATACAAGAAAGAGGGTAGTCACATCTGGAGCATGGTTGATTAATGCATACCGAGAATCCTCGGAAATCTTCACGCTTGTGAGTTCACCCTCCATGTGAACAGATCTGTGTGCAAAGATCGATGAATAAAGACACTGAAACAAACATGCTTGGACTTGCAATTCAACCTGTCCAGTCTTGAGATCATATATGATCATCCGGTTCTCTGACGAACGTGGCACCATCGGATTACTGTTGCCATTGGATACAATAGGTGGCGATGCGTCCCGGACGTGGCCACGAGACAGTGTCCCCAGCGTTGGTGGAGGGGTGTATCCCATCCCAACAGCGACCAGGCGTCTCATGTCAGGAGTCACTGCAGCGTCAGTGACACGTATGGCTATATCATTCCATGATTCCCGTAATTCGCCCTCCATATCCTATTAAAGGCGAGGTGAGGTGTGATAGCATAGCTAACAATAAGCGTACCCATAATACGATCTTGCGATCAAGGCTGCCTGACATAAACCCTGAGCCGTCAGGTAGCCATACTAAGGCAGATACCGTCTCAGCATGATTCTCGAGTGTCTTCATCAGAACTCCAGTCTACAGCTCATGAGTGCCCCAAAAACTAGACACACGAAAATAAAACTAACCTTTGTATCCCATAGCAAAATGAGGTGATCCGCGGACGTAGACAAAATAGAGTCGTCTAATGACCAAGCCAAACAACCAACAGAATATGGGTGATCGCGCAAGATGAATTCCGCTATACAATCACGGGATGATGGTTCTGCCTCGAGCTGCGGGGTCAAAGATTAGCATGTTAGATGTTGCGGATCGGTGTAACTAACCCCGATGCGCCAGATAATAGCAGTCTTGTCTTTACTTGCGCTTGCAAGATGGGTACCATCGTGACTCCAGGCTACGTTCCACACTTCGTCTGAATGGACTTCGAGGATGGTGGTCGTTATTCGAGGGAAGGACTCCTTGTTGCACGTGTGGTCACTAAATAGTGAGAATGAAGATGGTTCCACAGGTGAGTTGTGGTAGAGGCAACGATGTCGCTGATATTCTCGCGACTGTGTGAGAAGGGTAGAAAAGCGGCGCTGGGGAATCATGATCGAAGAAGGTATATAATCTGCGTGGCAAGACGTCAATGGCTGAACAAAACATTTAGGAGTACAAAGAGATATTTCCATCAGGATCTCATACTAACGTTGTAGATCATCAAGAAGTTGTCGCCGTGATGTTCCTGACGCTCCATCCCAAGAAGCACGTCGACGCAGGTCCTCTGGATCTGAACACATCATCAAGCTGGGTAAGAGTTATCATGAATGTACCATGTGAAGATATGACAAAGAGCACACCTAGATAATACGTGGAGTTCCTCCTGTTCTGAAGACGTGCTGTACGGTGCTAAATCGTTCCGCAGTACCTGCAATGCGGCGGTGGTTTTCCGCGCCTCCAGTAGTTCAAGATATTTTTGCTTCCCAATGAGGAACCGTGTATCCTAAAAATAGAACCATCAGCGACTGAGCAAGTCCGTCATACAGGATAATAAGTATACCAGAAGAGCGTCCGTATCAGTCACTCCAAGTTGAACGAGCAAAGGTTCTGCATCAGCCCAAGCACCGCGCAGAATATGTTGCCGAAATTCCGACACCTCAGGTGCTTCTAACGAGTACCCCGACTCCGCCTCGAGAGTGGCAGCAGATTCTCTGAAGGGAACGTGATAAGGGAAGAGCATGTGAGTCAAAAATGCCGCTTACATATACCCGACGTCTCTAAGACTTTGGATAACTAATCTCACGAACTCTTCTCGATCAAGATATGGGTCGTCGTAGATGGTGGTGCCTGGCAATGACACTCGCGTGACGGACGAATTATGCTTGGCAAGGCCATTCCCCATTGATAGAGACCCGTTTGGAGTAGTGCCATTTGACACTGGGGTAGAGAAGCCATTCTCCTTATTTATTCCATTGGAATGACCAGCCTTGTCGAAGGTGACGCAAGACGGGCCAGCCTCTGGTATGGAATCATATGAAGAGGACAGATTGGAGTTATTATCGGATTCAGGAATTCGCATGGCGTTGAGAGGCGAATTAGTGACGCGAAGACTGTGATTGACAGTAAGGGAGTTTGAAGTGGAGTCCAGAGTGTTTAGACTATCGATTCTTTGTCGTTTGCGAGGCCTTGAGACCTCAGTATCTGGATATAAACAGAATGTATAGTTAGTAGACATGATCTAGACATTTTGAAACCAAAAGAAGCCGCACCTGTTGATGCAGCAGATTGCACGTCACCCACAGATTCTTCGAGCTGTGACCAGTGTCTGGCAGACGGTATCGAAGTGGTTGTATGGGCTTGTACAGCAACTGCCCTTGATTGTGTGGAAGTAGACCGGCTGTGACTCTCAATTGTTGCAGATTCCAGGCTTGGGGACAGCCCTAGGCGTGTAGGACAATTGTCCTCTGCAGTATTCAGCTGAGTAAGTGGATCAATGATGGCAAGTTGATGGTTCTGTGACTAGCTATGTCATGCAGCACTATAGTAGTGCAATTGGGAAACTAGAATATTTGTAGGAATTTCTGGATGATTTGGCAGTAACTGGTAAAGGAGGAATACCAGACGAAGACAAAGCTTAAGCTTTGATGGGTTGCTGAAGGGGACTGAGAGGGTCTGCACAGTCAGTCAGTAAGTTCCCGAAATGGAAGTCCGCCGTCGCGTGTCGAGATTCGCACCCTTTCCACAGCTTGCCATCGGCACAAGACCCACTCTGCAAACAATTATTTCTAGTAACTTTTTTTGTTCTTGCATGTGTCAAGCTCATGTTTGCTTGCTGAGGGAATGAGTTTTTGGCTTATCTTAAGTTAACTTGCGAATTACCATGAAACACGTTACATTGCCGTGTGGAGGGGGTCGGAACAGATACTTTGATAACGGCCCTTGCGGCGGCGTCACTAGAGTCACTGGGCTATCGTCACCGTCCATGCCGGAATTCTTGCCATGCCCAGAGCGAATATAGAGCAATGTTTGGTACTTAATAATGATTCCCCTCGTTCTGATGCTAACGACTAGTAAAGACAGAATGGTGAAAGTCGATGCTAAATGGTACGATGAATGCTAGTTTTAAATGTGACGACCACGAATAAGTAATGAATGGTGATGCGAAGACGAAGAATGCGTGCTGTTTCCGTAAGTTTTCTGCGACTACTACTAAGAAGTTCTGTCGTGTACTTTGATGATGCTAGATATGTTACGTATGGTCGATATAGAAGGGCAATTGCAGAGCCGGTGCGGTTTTTTTGGTGCAATGTGACGAGAAAACGATGTTGAAGCGATAGAGTTGAGTCGATCATGGTCGTAGGCAGGGCCGAGGAGGTCGTTTACTCGGGTCGTTGCTTTTGTCACGCCTGAGGTGCAAAAATATATGGGCGTGGTATGGATATCGAGAAATGAGAAGTTCCGGTTAAAGAGGACTGGCACCAACACCACGCTGGCGCTCTCGCACCCGCTCTCGCAAGCCACTCCTGCCATTCCCATAGCCAGGTGCATCGCGCGAACTTGGTCCTCCAAGTTCGTTGCGCTTGAAGCGGCCCCTGCGTTCGTGTGTCTCATCGGAATTAACAAAGGGTGTTTCCTCGAATTGCTGTATTGAAGATATCATCTTTGGAAGTGGCGATGAGTTGCGTCGTACGCTTGGACGACCCCGAGGCAACGGAGCACAGGTCCAATCAAAGACTTTTTCAACACTGCTGTAGCTATCCTGGCGTTCGCGGGGGCCGGGAACCAGGGTCTGCTGGCGTGCACGAGAACGGGAGTTGGAGCGACTCGTGTCAGGCTCACGTCGCCGCCCGCGAGGCGTCGCTTCCAGAGCATGGCGAATGCCAGAGACTGCTAGCAATGATGCTAATTTTGGTGTGGGGGGAGAAGCACGATTGACTGTGTTTCCTGAACTAGTGGAAAGTGGCGGCGAACTGTGTTGGGGAGAGCTGACCTGCAAAAGAGAAAAATATGCAGGAAGACTGGCACGGTTGCGGGTCTTTTTAAATCTGGAGGTAACAGTGAGCCTGTTGTGCTCCCGCTCCTGTTCCGAAGATTTTTCGTGAAAGGGAACGTCGCTCATAGAGTCTGCATCATCCTCAGCAGAGTAATGAGCTTGTCCAAGACCCGAGCTAGATGTAGAAGAGGTTCGACGGTGAAGAAGGGGAATGGTTGAGCGGTTATTGGTAGCCGATGGCTGGCGAGTGTAGCTAAGTCCTGAGGGCTTACACGGATGTAAGAAGCCTTGGGACCGTGCGAAGCCGTCGCCGGATACACCTGATTCTAAACCATCTCCTTCATAGGAAGCTTCGTCGTCAATGCCGACAGAAGCATAGCCTTCCTCTTCTGCATCAGTGAAGACGGACCACGAAGCCGAGGACGTGGACGAAGACGAGACAGAGTACCGGCCTCGCTTCTGAAAATTACTGCTGAGTGCGGTTCCTAATGCAGACGGCATGAGTGCTGGAACTTCGCCACCGGGGGCAAAACCGATGTATGGAGAAGAAAGGGCACTGCTGGCAGAAGAAATAGACGGAGAATTGTACATGTCCGAATTTTCGCATTCATCACTGCAATAAGCACGACTATATTTTACGAAGTCAGAAGGGGCTGTCTGGGCAAAGGGGAATGCATACCCATCATCGCGGAGGTGTTTCGAGCATGTGAGGCAGATCTCCTCGAACATGAGGCTTAGTTGGGCAACAAAGGGTACCAAGCGGTAAAGGACTAAGCTTGTTTAGTGGAGACGACAGGATTAGAGCACGCTGTTTAAAACGACGTCGGAGGGCGATGATGGGACGTAGTATGAGAAAAAGGTAAAGGAACAGAACGGCCTTAAATACGGGGAGGCGGTACGAGGAATAGAATATTTCAGAAATAATAAATTCTATTTAGATGACTCAATTCAGACAAGAACCGGAAATTCAGCTTGAGTCAAAGCGTGTGATCTCACCGAAGAGGGAACCACGTCACATTCGCACATTAGATCTCCCTGCTCCTTCTTTCATTTGTCAGCACTCGAACCTTCTCCACCCAATTGTTCTAAACCATGACCAGTTCAATTCCATCCATCCATGTTAACGTTTTCGCCCACCAAACGTGCCAAGGCAGACGTGAAATTTTTGTTGTCGCACGTTCGATTGCGCCACTTTAGCTTGTCATGCACGAGTGACGAATCCCGACACCATCGCGCGTGCTTGAAATGCGTATTTATCAATTAAGCCGAAATTTGGGGGTTGACTCAAGGTTGACCGGTATTTTTCTCGCTAGAGAACAGCATGTTTACTACCTGTAGAGGTGTGATTGTGACAAGATGTGAAAAGTGATCACTGAGTGAGTGGCCTGGCATTTCACAGAACGCGCCAAGAGGTCCCCTCAGAAGTGTCCGTGCTAATCGATTCACTGCAGTTAGACATAATGTCTGTGAGTGACGCTACCACGGGTAAGATTCATCGATTCCTCGTTCGCACGTAAAGGATGACCCAATAATGACAAGCATCGCACAGCTTCTAGAGCGTGCATCATTGACCGGTCGTACAGTCACGACCTTAAGGGTGCCGATGAGGACCAGACCAGTCGACCGTAGGTCGCTTATTCAATTCGTAATGCGTTCCGTCACGATAACCGATCTTGAAGCTTGAAGATTCACCCCCCTTTCCACCTCAGTCTGGAACTGTCTCCCAGCTGACCGATATCATATTGGAGTCAAAGCGACAGTAACGCGGACGTGATAACATCATGTACTTGTCACCGTGTCACATGTGGGTAAGTTTAGCTCAATATTGGCACGATTCAAAACATCCAGTTAGAGTGTGCTTATATTAATAGTCGTTAATATTCTTCCCAAGTTCTTCCTCGATTTTCGTTTCCCCACATTAGGATCCGAAGTACGGTTAACGGTTCGTGCGGGTCCCGTTGTCAACGTAAGGGGACAAAGAGGGGACGAAGTTTCAGTGGACAAGCACGGCAAGGCTGATCCTGGTTGATCCGGCCACAACAATGGGATCGGGGAATGGAGGACCTGTCAGGCGTGCATATTTGTGGGGACTATATACGCCACCTAAGTGGAACACTAGAATGTTCCGGCATTCCTAACATTCAATGAGGAATCTTGCAAGAATCCATAATTGCTATCCAAATTGCAATGTCCCTCCAAAAATATCAACTATCGCCATTGCGAGGTGATATAGGAACCGGAGGTGGAACTCCATCGCGACTATCACTAGTCTCACGCTCCTCCATCCGATGGGACGGTGTGGAATTCTTTTCCGTCTCAGGAGCAATACCGTTAGAGGGGTCTGCTTCTGAAAGCAGGGAATGATTGGCGTCATCGGGAAGGGGTGGGAGCACATCCTTCTCTGCCGCATCTATATCTAAGGAAGAAGATTCCTTTTGCTTCAAGTCTATTATCCCGCGGGCGCGAGAACTGCCTCGTGGAGCTGGCATCGCACTATCAAGGGTTGGGCTGCCACTTCGATGTTCTTCCACGGTGGCAGCATGGGCAGTTGCCCCCTGATGAGGGGGTGGCTGCGGGCTAGGCGTCGGAGACAAATTGACTGCGGGTAACGGCTTGTCTGGCTTGAGACTATCTTTCCGTGACAGGAGACCCTTGATTCGTTCGTTGGTACTTGCTGTGGCTCGGATGTTACCGAACGCCGACTTGCGAGGCAAAGCCTTTTCCGCGACCAGATTCTTGAGCATGCTTGTGGGCGCGCCCACGTTTTTCAGAACCGAAAATTTTTCATGAAGGTAGTGCGCATCCGCGAGCATCCTGTCAAAATCGTTACGAGGCGCAAAATAATGCACTATTTAGTTACCTGTCCTTTGCTTCTTGACTTTGCAAGTCAATCTTACTGTATTCTTCAGATAGGCGGTGATTGATCGCAGCAAAAACCTGAGACATGACATACTGTGCAGCAGATCACGAATGTGAGCGAACTTGGTTAGCACGTATAACATAAGTATCACAAACCTCCACAACTGGTGCAGTCAGGTACCTCGAGAGCACCTTGTGAAGCGTGACGGTCTCCTTGACGAGAAGTTCCATGTAATCATTGACACTTTCTCCCTGCTTTGGCCGTTCCCAATCAACGTTCTATTCACACTTGGTTTAGCTTTCAAGGTCCTACCCGCGGTGCAGATTACGGCAGAGGGCGTAAAACTTGCCTGTAAGGATTTGACATGTGCACTGGTGCGGTCGCCCATTATGGAAATCAATTTGGAATGAATTTCACTCTGATGCTCTTGGAAGTCCTACATTTAGGACATGAGTGAGATTCGCTGATGACGTGCGGCGATTCCGGACGCACCCTCTTGAGTTTATCAAATTCGATGAGCATTACTGCCTGTGTTTGACTGAGGTGACGACGGAAGGTTTCTCGTACATATGGAATGAGTGCGACCATTATGGACAGGGATTGTGATGCCAGTGCTAAAGGGCTAAAGTCAGTGGTTCCTAGGCGTCAGGGACGATAAACAGTACCTACCGAGGTGTTTTGCTGTAATATTTTTCAGGCCAGCTGACCGCATGGCTCCAGCGCCAAGGACAACTTGACAGGTTCTAGAGTTAAACGCCTTCAGGAACTCTATGACGCGACCCATCGTATCGATGTTAAGCATGGACAGATTGACAACAAGCTTAAAGTAATCGAATAACAGGCCGAGGACAGCACCTGTGGCAGAAACACAGAAGTACGGTCGTTCTTCGATTCGAAGGTACTTGGACGACGGCGCGGATCCATTCGGATTGCTTGAAGGAGTTTGGAGTGGTAAAGGATTTGGGGCTGAAGTCGAGCTATCGGTCTCTCCTACGATAAGCTCAGGGGGGTCCCGAACTGCGGAATCTACGAAGACATCTGCCATGTGCTGCAGTGCTGCAGGCACTTCCGACATCGGATTCCACAGCTCGTCTTCAACAAGCTTCGCAGATTGGCCAATTCGGGCCTGATGGAATGCCTGAAGGAAGTGCTTCGCCTAGGAGGAACATATTATTATCACATCTGATTGACTTGCTGATAGTGGGGCGTACCTGACCAAGGACCACTCCCCTCAGCCCCATGATCATCCGTCGGCATATCACTTCGCATTGCACCACGAAGCCCCACGAAGCGTTGAAAAAGGTAAGGAAGTCAGGTAGATCAAGTTGTGCATGCTGTTCGGATCGATATCCAATAACAATCGCCGCTAGCTTGTTCGAGAGGTCCGCAGTTGAAGATAGAATATCCAAGAGTTCTTCTTGGAGTGAGATGATATCTACTGATGGTTTGGGCGCTCTGTAGGATATGAACAGGAGGTATAGAAGCGTAGTGAGCGATAAGGCGGAGAAGGAGAAACGAAAAGCCATACTGCAAACTTTGTAACACTTCTATTAGTATGCCATTTTGGGCCTGGATACCCTTGATACCGTTCAGAAGACTCGAATACAGCTGCGAGAGAAGCGATAGGAACTCGGCATGCTCTTTGGAGCGAAGAAGATTTGCAAGTCCACTGAAATAAGCATAGGATAATTGATAGTAGTGCCAAGAAAGTCAACGCCTCGCTTACCTTGAGGCAGCCTTAGAATCTTTGGACTCCCCCTCACCCGTATTGAAAGACGGCAGATGCTAGAGAATCATCAACGATCATTCATCACTGAAGTGCCCAGCACATACATGCTTGATGATACCTTGCATTTCACTTGTCACAACTTCTCTCCAGGAAACTGTGGCTTCGCGAATCCCTTTGGTGCGCAAAAGGCCTTGAAGAACGGGCCGCAGCCTATCCTTTAAGGAGAGATTTACGTTACCGTTCCGCTCAGGTGCTCCATTCACTCGTTCTAGTAAGTCGAGCTTCAGCACACCGACGAGTTCCGTGGTAAGCGAGGACGCTATCTCCATCGTTAATGCACGAACGTGTGCAGGAAGAGAAGAGAAGGCGGTTAAGGAGGACAGAGGTATTGATGGAGTCTTCCTCGTCCCTTCATTTTCTGAGGAAGGGGATTCCGACATAGGTGGAAGAGGGGATATTCGTCTGTTGGTAGGGACACGGACAAGTTCTGCGCGCGCTTCCCTGCCAGAAACTGTAGGCTGCACTTCGGCAGCTGCAGGATCCCAGAGTGCATCCACGCCTTCAATAACTGTCAAAGCCTCGCCCCATTGTCCCGCTGCAACTAATCCTTTTGCAACACCAGTCATCTCTAGCACACCTCCGACCTCTTTCACACCACTACTGATAGATTCGAGATTGAGTAATTTGCATTCTGTCCTCACAATTTCTAGGCCTCGTTTGGCGCCTTTTTCATCGACCTCCCTGAGTAGCCCGCGGAGCTTCGATATTCGATCAAGACATTCTTCCGATTCTGTCTGCAGGTCTTGCAAGTTGGTTAATGCCGCAAAGAATGATGTGGACCGAAGAGAAATTTCCCGAACAAGATGTTGTTCAATAGTATCTGCGTGATGAGAGAGCTTCTCAAGAAGAGGGAGCGAATATGAGAGTGATGAAGGGTCGGTGGAATCTTCGTCTTCTTCCTGATGTGCTATGACGGCATTAAATGTCTGTGGGTCGCCAAGATTAAATTCAGCATCAAAGAACACCTGCGGGACGGAGCTAAGTGGTGTTATTAGCTTTCCTGCACGAGGCGTGCGTGGCGTAAGCGGAGTGTCCGTTGAAGTACGAGGACTGAATGATGCGTCCGGCTGTGCATGACCATCCCGACTGAGCTGCATGTTTCGCTCGAATCTCTCCCATTCTGGCGCAATAGCTCGAAGGTACGGATCAAAGTCCTTGCGTTTCACGCGCGGTAAATCAGCGGGGGGCACAGCTGGGAGGGAGGAATGGGCTTTCGGAGGGGCCTGACGTCTATGAGGGTTATTGAGAACCGTTGATATCGCTGGAAACGATGAGCATGACGCATTACGGCAATGACGTGGAAGCCTACCATTGAATCCCTGTGTTGAGCTACTCCATTCCTGTGGTAAAGCGCCGAGGGCAATATTGGCGGTTGACAGATTGGAAAGTTCAAGGCGGAAAGGTGTCGCGAAATAGTCACCTCCACGACCTTCGGTGGTCTCTGAAACGCTCCCTGGACCTCGAACGCGAGAAGATGTATCCCAGTTCAAGCGGAATGGACGTGTAACTTGTGGTATTTCTGGTAAAGCAGGTACAGGCGTGGCTGGCCTAGAGGGACTTGACGCATAATCAGACATGTTCTACACTTGCAAGCAGTGCTTGTGCAAGTTCGGTATTCGGAGATCACAGCACCCTAAACTTGAGGACGTGGCCCAAATACAAATATTGAGGAGTTAATCCAGCTCGTCTCGTCTAGTAAGGGTGGCCAGTTGTTTGCTAGCCAATGTCGTCGACGCGAACGTCGGTGAGCCAAGGTCAAGAAATCCCGCCAGCGCCAGTTACTTGCATACTTGAAGACCTGATGAATTTGGTAAGATATATGTACTATAAAAGGGTCCTTTATTAGCACACGTTTCGCCTTTGGTAGCAATCTTTCTATATAAGGTAAGGTTTATTACAAAAACATGCTTCAACGTTCCAACCTTACTTGTACTTACCACTAGTACTTTTTTCGACCATGGCATCCGTTTTCAGTCTTCCTGAACCACTCCAGAGGTTCCTCAGCAAGTTCCCCCTGCACAGTTACCCGCCAATTCCAGTCATCTCGGGACGTCCCTTGCAAAATCCTACGCTATGGATTGCACCTCCTCGAACTACGACAGTCGACCAAACCACTGACTCCAATATCCTGAGCGCAGATGTCGAGTGTCTGAAATGGCAGGCATATCTCGCTTTGCGTAAGGCCACGAACATCGCTATCCGGTGGGACATCTCTCCAGAAGGTGGAATCGATGGTCGCTTGCCTTGCCTACACACTCCTACGTTCTGGGATAATAAAAATGAGCTGTTGGCACCACGTCATATCCCTGGCTGGGTGGATGGGCTATTTGGCGGTGGGAACGATCCTCTCAATGGTTACAAGGATGAAACTCTGAAAGACGAAAGCCACGCGTGGGTCTCCTTGCTCGAGGGAGTAGTGCATGCTGCCTTGGTGTGTGCACTCTGTTTCATATAGACCACACCCTGATTGCTATTGCTAGACTCTATCAGAACATCCACAACCTCTTTTTTCTCAACTCTTCCGGACAGCTACCGCTGGGGGAAGAGCCTTAGCAGCCACTCTCAGCCCACCACCTGCTCCTCTGACTGGTTTGAGCTCGATACTGCCATCGTATGGAACGAACATTTCACTCTCATCCATTCAAGGACAGTATGCGGAGGCCATCGCTTCACTTTCGGAACGGCTTGGAACTGACACATGGTTCCTTGGCTCAGAGTAAGTTACTATTATATTTGTGAAGCCACCGGGTATACTCACTGACACGATACAGAAATCCCACTGCCTTGGATGCACTTGCATTCGCGTATCTACACTGTCTTTTGTATAGTACGGATAGCACGAGGATCGAGGTCACTCGACGCGTAAACCTTGTTGCCTGGGAGCAAAGAGTACGGACACAAGTAGAGACAGCATTTACAGTGGCCTAGTGATCTGATATTGTCGTGGATAGTAATGTATTTAAGTATTTGTTACTACCAGCATTCGACCTCCAGGACAATCAGATATCGAAAAGGTGGTTATAATTTAACCTTTCCATTGACGACCTTGTGGCCGTCGGGTTTTACTTGAAATCTTTTAGTAAGTGCAGTTATCATCTTGGTGAACCTGATGATCAGATTTATCGGCATAAATTAGTCCGCAAGAAAAGGACAACTGAAGTCTCACCAGAACCAGTTGAGGACTTGGAGCAAGACATTGCCGCCTCCGTAAATGATGAGGTACGGAGTCAAAACTTGGTCGTATACGCTATTCAAAGTCACGAAAAAGTCATACGACTGTTGCGAATGTTAATGTGATATGCAGTAGAGTCAAACAGGGACCGACCATCATTGCGCCCCAAACGCAGCGCACAGAAAAGAAGGTCGTAATAAGAGCAATGCCATTGACAAGTTGAAGAGTACTGCCTGTCTTTCCCGTCTTGTCCAAGAACCTGCAAGGGAAGCTCGTATACATCATCGTGAGCATACCCCATCACGGCTCACCAATGGATGTCCAAAAACACAGTGCTCCTGTGAACAGTATGAACAAAAGGAACCGGGTGTCTGGCCTACCACTTACAACTCCCAAAACAAGAAGCGCACTCCATAGTAAGGAACAAAGGGTGTCTAAATGGACGTGTTATGTGCCCCTTTCCATGAAGCTCTAAGATGATCATATCACGCACAAATGAAAGGCCATATATCAGAAGGCACGAAATGCCTGGGGCTGTGTCAGGAGCAAGCTTACGAAGAAACTCGTTAGACACGTACCATGGAGAACGAATCCAATGTCACTGAAATGGATGATCGATTCTAGTGTGTCCCAGATGAAGTAACTAGAGTGAAATCAGAAAAACTTGCTGGCGTTCACTGAAAGTCAGCTTACCCCGTTGCGATTGCTATTACAAAGCCTGCATCTTCATGCCAACCAAAGGCGCGATTTTGGTCAAGGCTCGAAAGATTGAGACAACGCCCGGCGAGGAATATGATTATGATAGCATGGACGAGCGATGTCACATGTATGTCCCTGCAACTGTAAACCCTTACCTGCCCAAGAAGTGTAGTGTAGTTAGCCTCACCAGTTGTTCCGCGCTCTTTTTCCCGCTTTCCCATATGAAACAGGAAAGAGCACTCCGCTCACTGCGGGTGCCAGACTATTGTGGACAGTAGAGAAGAACACGAAGGAGAGCAATATCACATCGGCAAAGTCAGATATCTTGCCAATGCCTAGTTTCTGTGCAACTGGTGCAGCAAACTCGCGAATTTGCAAGCGCACGTCTTGGATCATGGCACGGAGGGAAGTACGTAAATTAAGGTGTGAAACGCTTGAATTCGTGGCCGGCTGGCTGGTTTATTTGGCAGTGCACCATCGCTAGTCTGTTGGTTTAAAACGTTACAAGAACAAAGCGATATGACAATACTCATGGGTCCTAAGCTTTTCAGAGTGATCGATGTCTCAAGTTGTTGGCTCAGAATAATATGGTAGTAAATGGCTGAGTCATTGTCAAGGGTCTCTTCCCCAACATATATATATCACATAGATGCACTTCCAGCCGAGACAAAAACTGATAAAAACAAATAAAACACTAAGCTATGCAAAAAGTGAGATAATGAACCATGCAAAGAGAACCCTGAATGATTCGAAGCAACGAAGGAATTGCGGTTCCAAGTAATATGTATACGACTGGAGTGTGAGAATGTGCAAGCCATGAAGCATCGTCCATTTGGTTTTTGACGAGAGGATGTAGGATATGTGTAACGAGTGTGGGCGATTTCAGTGTGCGTAGGATGCGTGTGGGTTTCGCGGCAGGAAGGAGTCTGAATATCTCCTCCAGTCTCTCCGTAGCCAGAAAATGAATGGGGGTATGTCACGGTACGGGGTATATGGAGCAACATATCACATCACGATACAGGTGCAGCCTGTTTGAGGCGGTGCGTATGGGTCCTCACCCTTTCCGACGGGTCCCCACACAGACGGTACCTGAAATATATCGTATGAGCGCAAATCAAACAGGCACGCGAATTGAAATTTTGAAGCCAGTAAAGGCGCTGAAGGCGCATCAGCAATACGAACGCACCAGGTGGTCTTTTGTGGTCTTGCAGTAACGAATTAAACTGTAATACGGAGACCGAAGGTAAGATATTATGTGCCTGGCTATGGTGGGAAGAAAATGAGGCCGTACCTTGCACTAGCTTCGCTCACTCTCATTCGCGGTCGCGCTAGATCCTCTCGCAGTCGTTGGTTGTGCTCTGTGAGCCTACGAAGCTTGAGCTCCGACATAGACTGCTTGTGCGGACGAGCGTTCATGATGAAATAATGCGGAAATTGAGAACAAAGAGGTTGGCGAGGCTCAGGAAATCTGAGAGAAGGGAACCTAGTATGCGACTACGACAGTATACGGCTTATAAGCAAAGAAGTTAGCAGAATGAAAGTGAAAATAACGCACCTGCCCACCGGGCCAAGATGTACGGGGAGAGAAACGAAGAACGATAAACAGTGGGACATACCGCGTCGGAGTTCCAATCCACAGGAGGTTCCATGTTATTGCCAAGTTATTGCACACTGTAACACTTACAATCTCACAGTCAACACTCACCATGGTCCGCTTTTCATCGCCAAACGATAGGAAGTCGAACACCCGAATACGGTCCACTGTGTCGAAAGCGCTCAAGTCACGTCAGATGCCATCTACGCGTTCAGTCTTCAGGGACGTTACTGACAGCAGGACTTCAGTGATCAATATAGACAAATCGCGCGTAATGGCCCGCAATAGACTTGTTTCACCCTCTCAGAAGCTTCGGAGTCGGCATACATGCACCTGCGAAACTCATCACCAGTCTCCTAGTTTTAGATCAGACGAACCCCCTAGCTTCAGTGAATATCGCGAAGATGTCCAATTTAGCGACGTGGAAGACGCTATCCAGGGACACCAAGATCGAGACGATGAAGACGGTTCCACGGACTCTGACTGGGACGAGCATGCGACTCTGATTGCTCTCTTAGACGACGGGTATTCACTACCTTTATGACCTTCAGCGATTGCTTCGTCGCTCATCATCATCTCAGGGAGGAGGCTCCCGAATTTGCCGATGGAGTAGCTATCGTTGATCGACTCTCGCCAGCATTCCTTGCTCATCGCCGGGATACAACTGAACGGTTCAGGGATATTCTCCTTCCGGTGGTCACTCGAGTAGGAGAGGCTCACAAGTATCTTTCGCATAACAACAACCCGACTTTGTTTCGTGGAGTTGCCCTGTTTGACAAGAGCTCGAGAGCCCTCGAAGATGCTGCAAGACGCGAACACGATCAAGTTGTCCGGACGTTTGCTAGGGTGAAAGTTAGTTTGCGAAAATGGACTTCATCTCTTCGTCCAATTCAGTAATGGTATTCCAGGACACGGTCAAAGGGTTATCACTTCAGCTCCAAGTTGTATGCGCTGGAAGCGACAAGCTCCTGGATGATTATGAAAAGGCTATTAACGAAATTGGTATTTTTTCCTGGACTTCTTGAATTGTGACCCTGTTCACAGAATGATCCTTTCGCATAGTCCAACGACTTGGAGGTTACCTGAGATCGGTACCCGGGGATGGCGAAAAACTCATATGCAGAATTGACAAGACGCACAAGTCTGTCACAGCCGAAGATAATGCGAAAGCCAAAGAGAAACTCCTGCGAGGGATCCTGGACAGATACTGAGCGCGGTGTACCTTCTACTGCCCGTCATGTACCTTACCCGAACTTCCATCGTGTCATTTTACTGATTCTGTTCCCCTACAGCGGGTTCTCGCCAGTGGACTCATTGCGGATTCTCGTATTGTTTGTATGGCTTACGTTGTTAATTGTCAATCCTTTAGGCTGTTGTCCTACCGTTACTGGTGATAATTTATTGAGATTCAGACTGACAGAATTACACTAAGAAGCTCTTGTGCATTGCCTCAGCTTGGAACTGAATAGTAGAATTGATGTGCTTTTCCAGAATACGCTTCTTGATAGTTCTGCCCGGTCGCCGACTTGCTCGTCAACTTCGTTCTCCCAACTTGAACGCCCTCATGTGGCTTTGCCAGAAATCAAGGGTAATTAATTAGGAGAACAGTAGAAAAGAATTTTATGAACAAAATACCCAAATGCGGAAAATATCATTTCAAAGCTGTACTAGTCAAACCGGGTAATTGTACCGTTGCAGACTTGTCTCCCCACCGTGATCACCACACTACCCGTCTAATCCTGTGGTATCCTGCTTTCTTGACTCTGCTTAATACGACACGCGGCAAGTACTGTTATACAGCTGTCCATACAAGCTGGTGGGTACTTAGGTTCTCAACAATTCACCTCTCTCATATCTCATAGTTTTTGCTAATCAAGGACTTTTACCACACACAAATACCATAAGCATGAGCTCTCGAGGCGGAAGGCAATCAATGTCGGAGCTACGGTATCGTCGGCTGCTGGAGCACAACCAGCGCCTTCGGGAAGACTTGGCAAGGCCAAGAATCCGCGTTAGTGAAGCTGCCGCCAGGTGACATTCCGTTCTGTTGTCCTATCAAAAACCAAGCTTATTTGTTCATAGTTTAATCCGCTACTGCAAGACGACGAAAGATCACCTTGTATGTTTCCTTCATTCTACGAGTTTTGTGTTGAACTCATGACGACCGAAATTCACCCAGGTTCCGTCCGTGTGGGGTCCAGTCACCAAGGCGGACGACGTATACGGTCAACAAAAGTCTGGAGGGGGCTGCTGTTCAATACAATAGCCGGGACGGTTTTGCGAATCTTCATTCGCCCACTCGCCCATCTATATGATAGCGCCCAATACAGTTCTCGTTTATACCGCTGCATCACGATGTGGACACACTGCTTCACTGACCCCAATAGTTTTCATCTCCTACGTGTACCTATATTCAACCTTTCATTAACATGTAACAAACTCTACACTCTGCTTTCGATGTTTTGATACATTTTTTTTTGGAACCAGAGGGTTTCGAACATTAACAATCATGTTCATCGTGTCAGGAAACTACATGTCTGCTACAACTTGGCTAAGAATTGGCGAATGCCGCCTTCATTCAGGGCTCCGACAAACTGGTCAACCTTCTGGCCATCCCTGAATGCTATAACTGTCGGCAGCGCCCGCACCTGGTGAATGACAGGAATAAGAACTCCTCACGTTGATGTCGAAGAACGCGCACCTGGTACTTTGCTGCTAGGTCAAATTCTGCGTCTGTGTCCACCGTGACCAAGTCAAGCAAGCGACCGCTACCAGTTTTCACTGTTGCATCGCTGGTCAATTTTTCCAGCAGGGGTGAAATCATCTTGCAAGGATTACACCAACTATGATACACGCCTGTCAGCATATACCTAAACGCCTATAACACCCGAAGTTACGCACTCTGCATAAAAGTCAACCAGGACGACTTTATCACTTGCCGACGGGTTTAGAGCGACTTTGTCAAATGTCTGGAAATGTCAGATGCATGTAGTGCTTGTGGTTATGTTTGGCCAAGCTGGTGCTATGATACTGACAGGAGAAGGTACTTGCCTTTGCGTCAGCATTCAAATAATGCTCTTGGCATTTCAGGGAACGATGGAATTGACGCAGGCTAACAGACCGCAAACTGTGACCCGTTGTCAATGCAAAGTGCAACCGCGCGGAAGTTTTGAAAGTGGCGGATAACATCGGAGGAACGCAGAAAGTACAAGACGTTGTTAATGTCAAAACAGATCTGAATCTATTCTCACGTTCTCACGGTCGTTGTTTGTGTGGATACCTCACATTTCTGCGCCCTCTGGGCCCGGGAGGCCTGGATAGGTCAAAGTTTCATGTCGCTCGGAGTGCATTGGCAAACAGCGGTATCAGCAAGTTGTGATAGTGGCGTGATAGGGAATATTGATCGGCACAAAGCCAGGAAGCTTGCTTGTATTTACATGTATTTATATATTGTCAAGTTACATATAATAAATAAATAAGTATTTGATCCAAAGATAATCATTAATATTAATCTACTCAGCTTTGCATCTCTCTACCATGCCGGTCCGCTCACTCCCTCCCCCGACAAAAAGACGCAAGACCGCTGTGGGATCCACTTCGTTCAAGTCTATAGAAGCTCAGCTATCACTTGCCGTCGCAGAAAATGGCACTCTTAACCCACTTGCGGACCTTCTCATGCTGGCTTATGGCTCGTCAGACGCGAGGGAAATGTCCAAAGCTGTCTATAGCATTTATCGCGTATTTGTCTTGATAATATCTCGTGGCATGCTAGTCCACGGTGGTGATGATGCTGCGAAGCTTGTCCGCAAGTGGATTTGGGAGAAGTTGGATTCGTACGTCGAGCTGCTTGTGGGCTTACTGCAAGATGAAGAGCCTGCGCTGAGGGTACCTATTGCATTATTATGATTTTGCCTTGTATCCTAAACACCTTTGCTAGAAATCATCGCTGGAGATCATTTTTTCGCTTTTGAAGCATCTCTCGACCTCACAAACGAAGTCTTCCCCGACCGCACAACCACAATTTCACCTTGCACACTTCAAACACATAGTACACGGGCTTCTGCTGTGCCCCCCGTCTCCTCGGTCAAATGGAGGCAGTAAGTATAATTCCAAGACGATGTTGGACGTGAGGGAGAACTTCGTGGATGTATGGTTCAGCGTCTACGATGATATACGATGGTGTTTTTTGCGAGAAGCAACGTAAGGCCTAATGGAAAATTCATATGCAGTGCTTAAACCCGCCTTTAGAACTGTGCTCTCCAAATATTCATCTAAGGAGTACCCTCAACTGCTCGACAATCTACTCTCCATTATGGAAAAGCTGTCAACTTTTCCAACGGATTCGTCGGAGCTCAACTCGTGGTGGGTGGAAGAGCTCAGTGTAAAACCCCCAAAACATAAAAGCGCCAAGGGAGGTGCTGAAGAGGACGACGACGCAGAGTCAATGGATGAAAACGACGAGGATGACTGGCGCAAATTCTTCGATGAGGATTCCAATGCGAAAGATACGAAAAAAAACGGTGTCAAGGCCCGGACTCACACCCTGACATTCCACCAGTCTCTTTACTCCCTTCAAGCTCATCGAGCTGTATTCACGCGAACATGGCTAAACTTTCTGCCCCATCTATTATCTGTCTCCACATCCTCCAATCGAGCACTGACAACAAGAGCACTGAATATTATGCACCGTGGCGTCTTGCCACATCTCACTAGACCTGTGCTTGTCATGGATTGGATCAGTGCATGCGTGGACCTTGGTGAGGCAAACACTTATGGTATTTACCATTCTTTATTAAAGCATTCCGCTAGGAGACACCGTTGGACTTCTGGCACTCAATGCCTTGTTCACCCTCATGCGAGATTATAATCTGTAAGTGCAAATCTTCGAATGATACGCTTTGTCTCACCAGCCTTCCACGTTGTAGAGATTACCCTTCATTTTTCACCCGATTATATGCATTTCTCCATCGTGATGTTCTACACTTGAAACATCGTGCTCGGTTTTTCCGTTTAACCGAGTTGTTTTTGAGCTCTACGTAAGACCCATCTCTAGAATTTCCACTTATTGTTACTGAGACAACCCAGGCATTTGCCTGCAACTTTATTGGCATCGTTCGTCAAGAGGTTGTCCAGGTTATCGTTGAATGCTCCTCCAGCAGCTATCATCATGGTCGTTCCTTTCACGTACAACATTCTCAAGCGACATCCGGCCCTCATGGTAATGATACACAAGACCGAAGACAATCCTGGCACCGACACAGGTACTCATTCAATACATTGGCCGCCATTTAACTGATCACAATGTCAGACCCATTCATCGCCGACGAGCCAAATCCCAACTCTACCAACGCACTTGATTCTTCATTGTGGGAGCTTCACTCTCATATTCATCACTATGACTCCGCAGTGTCAACTATGGCCCGCATTTTTGCAGAGGCTTTTACCAAGCCCGGTTATTCAATGGAGGATTTCCTCGATCACACGTATGGAACGGTAAGAGACGATCCTTTGTGCTCTTGCGCGCGCGCTTACGATATTGCAGCTAATTGAAACCGAGGTTAAACGTAAAATTAAAAAGGAACCTGCGTTGGTTATGGAGCTGAGGAAAGATCTATTTCCAACGGCAGATGCAGGGAAAATGGATGATGGTGTTAGAGATGTGGTTAGCGACCTATGGGTCTTTGGGTAAACAAATATACTGCGGAATAGCCAATACTCTAGCTTGGAAATGAGATTGAGTGTTAGCATTTACAACGGCCCCAACACATTTTTCAATGACCGTCATACGATATGCACGCATTCATTGTGAAACCTCGGGCGGAGTCCATGATCAGTGTAAATAGGATCAAACATGCCAGTATTGATTCCGTCTGACGTTGAGCCTTGGGCTAAGGTCTGCTAAGGTCGAGTTGTGTTCCACTTCCACCAGCTGCAGATAGATGGATTCGATCAGAGTCTCAAAGGTGCGCTGCGCGTGGAATGCACCATAGATATGCTCAATAGTGCATGTGCAGGTGGAAAAGGTATTATGCGGCAAGTCCGGCGGGGCTCATTATGGATCTCTCCACCTCACTGCCCATCACCTTATATTTCGGTATGAGGATTCTAAGAAAGAGGAGATGTGGGCGAGTTCTACATTCCGGCTCATGACATGCTGCACTCGATAACTTGTACTGCAGGTACCTTACCCGCTGATATCTCTTGTATTGAAGCTCCCGCAAACATTGCATGGACAGAGCCCGCTAACGTTTCACACTCGGATGTTTGAAACGTTTTCGCTGTCCTTCGAGAAGGAACGGGACGCCATAGATGTATTTGAAAGTGTCAAAGAGCTGACCGTGTGTAGTAAGCGTTCAATCCCTCGATTCAAGTCACATCGATTGTTAACATTTGTTAGCCTCTGTCAACCAGTTGTATGCATTCTTCTACACCCCTAACCCGCCATTCGATGCTACGGGTGGATGGTCAATTTACTCTCCAAGAGAAGAATTCGGCCGTATGGGCGTTGGAACTCGTACGAAAGCTTGGCGATTCACTGATATCAACAAAGACTACACTGTAAGTATCAGGCTTCCCTTTCGAATTATCCAGTGTCTAAAAATCAATTCAAAGTTCTCCCCTACCTACCCGTCACGACTGGTAGTCCCGTCACGCATTAGCGACTCAACGTTGCGATACGCTTCCAAATACCGCAGCAAATGCCGAATACCTGCACTCACATACTTGCACTGGGCAAACGTTGTTAGTATCCGGGCACCTGAGATGGTACACTGTTAAATTTACCCCATTCAGGGCAGCATCACAAGATCAAGCCAGCCGATGGTGGGCATTAAGCAGAACCGCTCACTTCAAGATGAGAAACTCGTCGAAGCTGTGTTTCAGTCTCATCATTTCTCGGAATTACGCCCATCTGGACCCGTTTACGGTGCCACTAGCACAAATTTGATAGTTGACGCACGGCCGACTGCCAATGCTGTGGCCAACACAGCCAAAGGCGCAGGCACGGAAAATATGGATAACTATAAGGACGCCAAGAAGGTATATTCAGGCATAGACCACATACACGCCATGCGTGAGGCCCTTGCCAAGGTGGTGGACGTATTGCGCGAGGCTGACAACGTCGCTGCAAGCGTTACCGGCAGCCTCCCCGGTGAAGCACAACAGCTTGTTGTTGTCGACCGGCAGGCGCTGCGTCGTTCTGGATGGCTCAGACACATGTCGAATATACTGGAAGGCGCAGCCCTCATTGTTCGAAACATTCACATTAACTCGTCACATGTCCTCATCCATTGTTCAGATGGCTGGGATCGAACATCGCAGTTATCGGCTTTGGCTCAGTTATGCTTGGATCCCTATTATCGCACAATCCGGGGATTCCAGATACTCATCGAGAAAGATTGGGTATCCTTCGGGCACAAATTTTTTGACCGGTGCGGGCACCTGTCCTCCGACAAATTCTTTACCTCGCTACCGGACACTGGGGGGACGAGTACTAGCGCTGATGCGGCGCAGGCCTTCCTGGTTTCTGTCCAGAATCGATTCGCTTCCCAAAGCCACCTGAAGGAGACGAGCCCATGTTTTCACCAATTCCTGGAGTGCGTTCAGCAGCTGCAGCGTCAGTACCCTTCTCGCTTTGAGTTTAATGAGCGCTTCCTTCGCCAACTGCTATATCATCTCTATTCGTGCCAATTCGGCAACTTCTTATACAATTGTGAACGAGAACGACGAACTGGTGAAGATGGCGTTGTTCCCTCAGAGCGGGCAGCTTGTATCTGGGACTTTTTCAACTCAACATCAGAGCTGGAACAGAACAAGAACGACGCATACGATCCCTCTTTGGATGATCCCTCAAGTAGAGATCCTTCAGCTGACATGGGCGTGCTCTATCCGAATTCCAAGGATATTCGTTTTTGGCACGAGCTTTATGGCAGGACTGAAGAAGAGATGAATGGGAGGATAATTGTCTTTCAGACAAAGGAGGGCCCCGAATTTACACCCCCAAGCGATTCAGTGGAAGATGACCCTGTCAATTCAATCAGTGTTCCCGCGGGAATACCACTTCCACCGTCACCTGCCAGAACGCCAAATCTTTCGAATCCTTCTGCTGTGCCATCCAGCGTTGCGTCTGAAACGCTGACTGCGGGCCTTCGCGGACTATGGTCCTCATTACCAGATATTCCTCAGAGAACAACTACAGACAATGTCGCAGCTCCGTCCCCCACATCATTGCGGCCTTCTGGCCCTCCCCTTCGACCATCATCTCCAGGGAGCATTTCTTCATCCTTGGGTCGCACTCGGACGGCCAATTCCGCGGATGTGTTTTATAACACCGGAGTGAGATCAGTGTGGGGAAAATTATCCTCGAATGCCACCGCGGCATTCTCAGCGATGCAGGACGCTTATGATGGAGTTGCGAAGGACTTCAAGGCGTTACCGAGGCCATCAGGAGATAACGAAGATGGCCAAGGAAAATTCTCCGAGCTTCAGTCTCGTGAGCGTCTTGGAGATGGAGATCACTCTGCTTATCGTGTAACCAGCCAGGCATATCCTGCCGCCGGATCATCATATAACCCTTGGGATAGTATGAAACCGCAGAAGACTTCACATGTCCTTCCCTCCGATAATCCCTGGAGTACTACTAGGTCAAGATCGCCTAGACAAACCTCCTTGTCACAAGATCTCTTCGATGGGAAACCATTACCGCTTGACCCAACAGTCGCACATCCACCTCGTCGCCTGGAGTCAAACGACTCGTCAGAATTCCGAATATCTGGGCAGAGCCATAATATCGGTGTACCCTATCTCACGGCTGTGTCTGATGAAAGCCTTGTTATAGAACAGGAAGATCAACCTCCCTCGATAAATACAGATCCTCTTGGTGTAGGATTTTTGTAATAATTAGTTCGCTTGGCTATCAGCCGCTATCAAGCTTTCAGGACCCACGTTACATATGCTGTGAAGGCTCAATTGAACTTTTTCCCTCCATCATATCTGAAACTCATGGGAATCTGGTTATGCCACGTTTGAGTCTGCTATCTATTGTGAGGACGTAACTGTGTTGTGTTTTGACAAGTGGATGGCAGAGGATGGCGTGATGCACGGCTTATGTAAGCCATGTTGAGGCTTTAATTGTTTCTTTTCGCAATCGTTGGTCTCACCATCTTCTTTCCCTCCTTCCCAACTCCTTCCTCGTTCTTTTTCCAGCGTTTCTAATCTTTCATGGCTGCTAACGGACATGCGCGTGCTACTCTTGCACCTGGGCATATATTGTTCACCTCTGAGTCTGTAGGTGAAGGTCATCCTGGTTAGTTTCGTCAAGGTCGCAGTTTTGCCATGAATCTAATCTGTAACAGATAAAATCTGTGACCAGGTTTCGGATGCTATTGTGAATACCCACTCGATATCAATGATGGCGGGAAACAATCTGATAAGTTTCGCAGCTCGATGCTTGCCTTGAGCAAGACCCATGGTCAAAGGTTGCTTGTGAGACCGCAGCAAAGACCGGCATGATTATGGTCTTCGGAGAGATCACCACTAAAGCTCAGCTCGACTACCAAAAAATCATTCGTAACACAATCAAACAAATTGGTTACGATGACTCTTCCAAGGGTTTCGACTACAAGACCTGCAACATTCTCGTTGCCATCGAGCAGCAGTCTCCTGATATCGCTCAAGGTCTGGACCACGGCTCTCTGGAAGACCACGGTGCTGGTGACCAGGGTATCATGTTCGGTTATGCCACCGATGAGACCCCGGAATTCATGCCTTTGACTATCATGCTTGCGCACAAGCTCAACCGTGCCATGGCCGATGCTCGCCGATCAGGTCTTCTGCCCTGGTTGCGCCCTGACTCTAAGACTCAAGTCACCGTTGAGTACAAGAATGACGGTGGTGTGATGATCCCCCTGCGTGTGGACACGGTCGTTATTTCGACCCAGCACGCTGAGGAAATCTCTACCGAGGAGCTTCGCAAAGAAATTTTGAGCAAGATCGTCGCGCAGGTCATCCCCGCGAACCTGATTGATGACCGCATCGTTTACCACGTACGTTAAGTCTTACTTTCTAGCGACGCTTGCAACTAACGAGTTGGATTAGATCCAACCATCTGGCCGCTTCGTCATTGGTGGCCCTCAGGGTGATGCCGGTTTGACTGGCCGCAAGATCATTGTGGACACCTACGGTGGTTGGGGTGCACACGGTGGAGGAGCCTTCTCAGGCAAGGACTTCTCCAAGGTCGACCGTTCTGCAGCGTACACTGCTCGTTGGATCGGTACGTTCATCAGTCTTAGATCGATTGTATGGTATTTTAAATCTCGTACAGCCAAATCTCTTGTTGCTGCCGGCCTCGCTCGTCGCTGCCTTGTTCAGCTCTCATACGCTATCGGTGTTGCCGAACCCTTATCTATCCACGTTGACACGTACGGCACTGGCAAAAAGTCGATTGAGGAGCTCGTCGAGATCATCCACAAGAACTGGGATCTCCGTCCTGGTGTTATGGGTATGTCTTCTGTATCTGAAGAAGGGCAAATGACAAATGTCTTCTAGTGCGTGAGCTTGACCTCCAGAAACCCCACTACCTCAGGACCGCATCTTATGGCCACTTCGGTATGTTTTAGCGCTGTTAGGTCTAGCGCAGAAACTGATTCCCGTAAAGGTAACCCAGCATACACTTGGGAGAAGCCCAAACAGCTTAAGCTGTAATCACTCCTTTATCTCACCCGGTCCTATCAATTCTTTTCTCATCTAGCATAGGAAGTTCATCCTTCCCTAATTTATCATCCACCATCGCACGCACCTTTTTGTAGACTATTGCACACCATCGCTTTCTACTCCACAGCCGATACGCTGTCTATTATCACGACCATTACCTGCGACAAGATCCCAACTACGTTGCACATTGCTGATGCCCTACCTATATCCACTATATCCCCTCGTAGTACCGAAGAATACAATCGCGTTCAACCGCGTATTTTTCAGTGATTCTAGGAGTGATTAGCATGAGTTCAAATAAAGCTTATGGTCTGCTTATTCTCGGATGGTGTAAGTGAGGGTTTTCTGCGAGCCTGGGCTCTGTTCACAACGGTCAAGTTCAAGTAGATAAGGTCTGGGGAAGAAGGGTGATAAAGGTACTGATAAAGTTACAAGCGTGTTTCAGGGTCCCAGTCCCAGGGTGAAAATTCGTTGTTAGGTGGCGCACGTGCGTAGCTCGTACATATACGGACCGAGGTCAGATTTATCAAGGAAAATATTATCACGGCAAAGTGATGAAACACATGCATGGCAGTTTTTCGTCGGGCAGTTTTCGGCTTGTAACCAATAGTCCCTGCACGTTTATCGCGCGAACGGGCATCGCCCCAGCTTCCAAGTTTTCTTTCATTTCACCCCTGCATCGCGAGTGAGTTTGCTTCTTGATCGTCTCAGTGCTAGATCCTCTGACAGATCTCCGATTTAGTGTGCGGTATTTTAGGGCTGCTGCTCCATGATCCATCAGCGGATGCAGCACCAGAAATTAGTGAAGGTCTCTCTTTGCTACAGCACAGGGGACAGGATGCATGTGGTATCGTGACTTGTGGCCCAAAGGGCCGATTCTTTCAATGCAAAGCCAATGGTATGGTTCGGGACGTCTTTGATGAAAAGTCCATTTCCAAATTGATCGGAGGGATGGGCGTTGGCCATGGTAAGCCCTCGGGAGCAACCTGATCCTGCCAACGATTATCTGATATAGCGCATTGCAGTTCGTTATCCGACTGCTGGAAGCTCGAACCACGCTGAAGCTCAACCGTTCTACGTCAATTCACCCTATGGTATTGTATTTGCGCATGTGAGTTTGTTTCCGTGACTTGTCACTCGAGACTGAAGGTGATTAGAATGGGAACCTCATAGACGGTCCTTCGCTCCTACAATTTATGGACGCCACCGCACACAGACATATAAATACTTCGTCCGATTCCGAACTTCTACTCAACCTTTTTGCCAACAATCTCCAGCAGACAGGAAAATTTCGTATAAATGAAGACGACATCTTCAATGCCATAGGAGGTCTTATGAAGCAGTGCACAGGAGCGTATGCGTGTGTCGCGATGCTTGCTGGTTTTGGTATCATTGCGTTCCGAGATCCAAATGGCATACGACCCGTCGGGGTGGCTTCTAGAAGTAGCAACTCTGGAAAAGACTACCTTTTTGCAAGCGAGAGTATCGTTGCTGATGCTCTAGGCTTTAGCGAATGGGAGGATGTGAAGCCTGGTCGGTCCTTCTTTCTACGCCAATTGCAGTCACTGACATTGGGCGCGGTAGGCGAAGCGGTGATAATCACTCGATCAGGAGTTTCAAGGAAACGTGTTGCAGAGCATGCGACCTTCGCACCCGATATCTTTGAATTTGTCTACTTCGCTCGCCCCGATTCAGTTCTCGACGGCATCAGTGTTTACCGCAGTCGAATGGCCATGGGCGATGCGCTTGCGGTCGAAGTTGACAAGGTTTTAAAGGAACGTGGCATCACAGTGGATGTCGTCATTCCCGTTAGCGGTTTCCCCCGTTCCACGAATACTTTTCTTGACATGTTTGCAGGTTCCTGATACTTCTCGTGTTGCAGCTTTGAATCTTGCCCAAAAACTCAATTTGCCTTACCGAGAGGGCTTCATCAAGAATCGCTATGTTGGTAGGACATTCATTATGCCAGGTCAACAAATGAGGTCAGACATATTTGTTTCTGTGGATCCACGATATTGATGGTTTTTCAAAGACGAAAAAATGTCAGACGGAAACTGAACGCCATGGCCTTGGAGTTTTCTGGGAAGAACGTCCTCCTTGTTGATGGTAAGTCGTGGAACGACTGAATAATCATTAGGTCTTACCTTGACACACGGCTTCAGATTCCATCGTTCGTGGCACCACCTCAAAAGAGATTATCCAGATGGCGAAGGATGTTGGTGCAAAGAAAGTCATCGTCGCAAGCTGTGCACCACCCATACGGTAGTTCCTTCTAGCAATAAACCTCACCACATTGTTGACAAACATCTGCTAGGTACTCAAATGTCTATGGTATTGATATGCCTTCAAGGACAGAACTCGTTGCATCAGGGCGCAGCACTCAGGAGATAGCTGAGGCCATCGGTGCAGACCTTGTCGTGTTCCAGACTCTCCCAGACCTCATCGCGTCTGTACGACAATTCAACCCGTCCATTCCAACTTTCGATTGCTCCGTATTCACAGGTGAATATGTCACTGGTGGTGTCAGTGAGGAGTATCTGCATCAATTGGAAATGCTGCGTGCAGACAACGCCAAACACAAGTTGGGCACCAACTCACGGGAAGGCAAAGGTGAAGGCAGTATGGTCAATGGATTCCACGATCGGGAGAACATGGCGGCGTCTAGCGGCCCAATCAATCGCGCGGATGACACAGTTGGATTGCATAACACCTGGAATGTCAGTTGACATCCAGTTGTGTTCTTGCGTAGACTCTGAGTAGACATCTATCATTATCCCCTGTTTTATAATTTCGTCGCAGAGAAAATTCACGCGCGAAGTATCGCTATGTAGAGTGTCTCAGGGTTAGAGGGGTGTGTATCTAGTAGATGCTAATTGAATATAGATGGCTAATTGTGTGCATACGCGATATTTACAGAGAGAGTGCAACGCTACAAGCTCATACTCACTTTGTAGGGTACCTGCCAAACACAATACAAATGACTGCAGTGAGTAGCTTAGCCTGAACTCCTGGAGATTATCGGGTGTACGTATTACTTGTCTGTCCCAAAATTTAGAGCTCGAGAAGTATTTCTTTCATAGCATGAGAGAGATTGTTGAAATGCATGGGACTCACCAGTAGTGCAAGTGGATCAAGGTATGATGTAAGGAGACAAGGAAACGTGACGAGCGGGATATGATTGTTCCAGACGCAGAAGCGTAGCTACAGAGCAATGTTCCAGCACTGTTTCAATCATATCACACTGTATAACAGACTGCTTATAGCAGGAACAATGAGTTAAGTCTCAGACGATGGTGCTTGATGTCTTCGGCACGCACAATTGGTAGAGGGGACTGAATACGATGATACTATCAGCAAGAGCACACAGGCAATGCGATTGAGAACTTGCCACGCTGACAATATGAGGCCAACGCGGGCAAGCGACGAGACTGGCCCTTGATCGTCCGAGAGCAAGTGCTTGCGTGAAGTTCGCAATCTATATCCTTGTCCAAACCGCTATATTGCCCCACGGGTTTGAACTGATTTTGCATAGCCCCCTCGTTTAATTTGCCAATTTGAAATTTAATATACATGGTGCAAGGAATGTGCGCCTGGACGTGTTCGTGCCACGGGTCTGCGATCACATGGAGGCTGTAGTGCTAGGGTGATATTCAGCTCACGTACAGATGAAGAAACGAGAACCATAACCACAAGGCGGACAGTGGACGCGAGAGAGAAAGGAGCTGCTTCATTCATCCTCGTCTGACGGCTGGTCATCAACATCCAATGCTTTCTCTTGCGCATTCATTGCCCCTAGAATGTCGTCCGACTGCCCTTTTTGAGAAGCAAGTCTCTGCCCTATTGATCAGGCGTGAGCAATTGACGGTAAAGACAGGGTGGAATGGTAAGCTGACGGATGAGAGTATGGACAGCTTCTTGAGTCTTTCGCTCCAGCTTCGCAAGTTTCTTTTCCATTTCGCGCTTTAAATCCCAGTTTGGCCGTTTTGGGGCGATGTTGAACACGTCCTGAAGAACATGAGTAGCTTCAAGCGCGGGAGTTCACTGTAATTGGAATTGACATACAAGTTCTTGGGCACGCTGCCGCTCATCCTCGGCAATGATCATTTCAGCTACTCCTTCAATAGCTTTCTCAACGGTGTCTGTTGTCAGGACGTCATTTTTTGAGTGTTTCTTCAACGTCCTTGTCTCTGGGTCATAATTCCTGCTGAGAAGCACAGAATCTCTGTGGCTGGTTGAAACAATGCAACATTGAAATTTCGTTATAGCGTACCCATTTGCTGCAGTTGATATGCCCTCCTTGCGGTTTCTTAGGGCGATTAAACGCGCTTTTCGAGCGTCTGAAGCTTCCTGCAGTGACATGGTGGGGGAGGGTCTGATATATGCTTAGTCAGCGTGACCAGCAATTTCGACCTCTTCGAAATTCGCGCTTTCGGAAGTCGGGAAATGCTCCCTGGCTGGCGGCATGCGTGTCTCAAGGTCACCTTGCTGGGCTGTCAACCTGTCCGTTGGTCAATTGCAAGACACCTCAGCTCTACGACAGTATGTCTGGCTGCTACGCCCAAGTCCTTGAGGATGGAAGAGTTTCCTTGTGAAGTCATTAGGTACGACAATGACGCGCCAGTATACGTCCAGAGCTGAAGCTTATACATGTTAAATCGCGCCAGAAACTTTTCTATTATTGCGCACATCGGTAGTGTTAATCTTTCGTCTGTACGGTCTCTTCTAACTTCAACTCACAGACCATGGTAAATCGACCTTGGCAGATAGGTGGGCTTCTACGTAAAGTTGTTAAATTTCTTTACTAACAAGATATATCGCTGTAGGTTGTTAGAGGTATTATCGCTTCATCTGGCATAAACCTCGGTTCTCATGGTTTCAATTACCCAGCTCACTGGTACTATCCAAACGAAGTCAACGGGACTCAACCAGCAGGTTCTAGACAAGCTAAAAGTGGAACGCGAGCGGGGTATTACTGGTAGGTCATCTATGGATTTGCTTTTGTTGAAGATAATTTAGTTCGTGAAGTCAAGGCCCAGACAGCAAGGTATGTGACACATGTTCTGTTTTCAAAATGGCTGACCAATGAAGCTCCTCAGTATGATACACACCGTTCATGGGAAACAGCACTTGCTCAATCTCATTGACACCCCTGTAATCAAATAGTTCATAATTCGTGTTGACGAGGAACTTAGCACCATTTTGTTTCGCAGGGACATGTTGACTTTGCTTGGGAGGTTTCACGATCCTTGGCTGCGTGTCAAGGCGCTCTGCTACTGGTAGACTCCTCGCAAGGCGTTCAGGCGCAGTCGATTTCTGTCTTTCACATCGCCAAGGAACGAGGATTGAAGATCATCCCTGTCTTGACCAAGGTTAGATCTCGCTCAACTATTTAATATGGTATCATCTGACCGACTTTGCAGATAGACTTGCCCGCATCACAGCCAGAACGAATGGCCGCTCAACTCCAGTCAACTTTTGGCATTGACCCGAGCGAAATTCTCCATATATCTGCAAAAACTGGCCAAGGAGTAGAAGCAGTTCTAAGAGCTATCGTGGAACGCATACCACCTCCTTCTGGCAACATAAACTCCCCTCTCAAGGCTTTTATGTTTGACTCACTGTTCGTATATGTCTATTTTACTTCCCCTTCTGTGGTTCAAGTAGTGCTTTAGATATGATCGCTACAGGGGTGTCATTTCTCTCGTCAGCGTACAGGATGGTATCATTCAAAAAGGTTGGTTTATTTGCTGTTCACGCGTTACCCTCATCACTTAGTTGGCATGTAGGGGATAGGATTGCGTCTTGTCATACCCGAAAGAAATATGAGATCACTGAAGTCGGCGTGATGCATCCTGAAGAGGTGCCAACATCGAGTCTACAGCCTGGACAAGTTGGCTACATAGCGTGCAACATGAAAGAATCCTCTGAAGGTAGGATGACTGTCACCCTTCTCTGTTAGTCATATCCTGATCATTGCTCTCAGCTCATATCGGAGACACGCTCCATCGCGTCGGTGTGCTTGTTGAACCTATGCCTGGATTCCAGCCATCTAAGGCTATGGTTTGTTTCTAATATTGAATCTTCACTGGCGGTTCCTTATCTGGTCTAGGTCTATGCCGGTGTGTTCCCAGTGGATAGCAATGACTTCATCAAGCTCGAGGAATCTATCAAGAGGGCACGTTTTTACACTCGGATTCTTTTGCCTACTCTTACCCTTTCGTAGCTTACCCTGACGGACAGGAGCGTGACTATCCAACGCGAGTCCTCTACCGCATTGGGGCAAGGGTGTCGCCTTGGCTTCCTTGGGACATTACACATGGATGTTTTTCGACAGCGTCTTGAAGATGAATATGACGCAAACATAATAATAACTGCTCCAACTGTCCCATATAAAGGTATGTGACAACGCTAGCATCGTATTTGAGCAACACCTGAAGATCAGAAAAGTCGTATACAAGGACAAAACGATTATGATCAGCAATCCTACGGAGTTCCCAGACACATCAGACACATCTAGCAAAGTGAAACAAGTGCAAGAACCTGTCGTAAACGCGACTATCATTGTGCCTGAAGGTCAGTACTCCTTAAAATTGGCGCAAGTGATCTTGCTCATGTTTTAAATATCAGAGTACATGGGGGAGATGATGAACCTTTGCTTTGCGCACCGTGCCGAGAACCTTGACCACCGTTACCTGGATTCGGGAAGCACGTCAGAAGCGTCTGCGCGAACCATCTTGACGTGCACATTGCCCCTCAGTGAAATTGTCACAGATTTCTTTGATCAACTGAAGAGCCGGAGCTCAGGCTATGCCAGTTTTGAGTGAGCATTGCCAACATCAATAGGGACGATCACTGAAACATCCGTAGCTATGAAGATGGCGGGTACAAAGCTAGCGACCTCGCGAAGGTACGTATTGAAAGTATTTGCATCATACATCATACATTTCCCTGACATTATGTAGATGGTCTTCCTCCTCAATGGGAAACCAGTGGATGCACTCGCTCTTATAGTCCATCGATCGGCTCAACATGAAGTTGGCAGAATGTGGGTCAAGAAGCTTCGTGCGTGATGAAGTTTACCTTCCAATGTGCTGGCGCTGAAATTCATCGCAGATAAGGTGATCCCTCGTCAACTGTTCGAAGTTCCCATACAGGCTGCAATTGGCAAGAAAATTATTGCTCGCGAGACCTTATCAGCAATGCGTGCAGATGTCACCGCTGGGCTCTATGGAGGTGCATAAACAGATCTCCGAGATTCCCTGCCGCTCATGAAATTTATCGTATAGGTCACTACGAGCGCAAAATGAAACATTTGGAAAATCAAAAGGAGAGCAAGCGGAAGATGAAGCGCATTGGATCTGTTGACCTCCCCCAAGAAGCTTTCTTCGATATATTAAGCACCAAGAACAAGTGAACAGCTAGCAGTACGCTTAAGCGGAAGATAGATTGCGTCCGCAGCGCGCTTGGTCTACGTGACTCTGCTACAGTTCGTAATCCTCATCGTCATATGCCTCCTTGATAAGGCGATAGACTGACGATGGAGGGTGATCTCCACTATATAACGCGTTGAGGAGAGAATTAAACCCGCGTATAATAATTACTCACTCATTTGTAATAAATGCGTCGATCAACTCTGGTCGGACATAATCATAGAAGGGGTTGACCACATCAACCTTATCGACGAGGTTGCCTTCTTCGAATCCTAGCACACTACTTGGATCTGCGAAATCGAGCGCGCCATATTCATGATATAAATTCCATTGCGGGGTGAGTTTGAATTGTCCAGCACAAATAACAACCGGGGTACTGTGCGCTCTAGCTGCCGTGGCAGCAAGCAGTGATCCCGTTATCGCAAACATGCCACCATTGGCTAGTATTGCATGGGCGCCAAGCATGACTTTGTTGATGCGAGACATGAGTGCGTAGATAGATGAATCGGGCACAAGAACTGTTGAAATGCCAGCGGATGACAGAGATTGAGCCATATCATGTCCGCTGTATCTGTAATACAATGAGTAGGAGTCATAACAGGAAATACCAGGTACGGACGATGGTGCAGTATCCGCAACGATAACGGTATATTTCCGATAGGGTGCTGCAGCTTTAAGGAATGCTTCAACAGTACTCGACTTTCCGATGGTCAGGATTATCTCACTATCTGAAGTCAGCAACAAAGTAAATGGCCTTGGAAGAGAGAAAACTCACTCGGAATGTATATGATCTTTTGCATTTTTGGAGATATTATCGTATACTGTTTCTAGCTCATCCAGGACGTCCTGGATGGCTTCCATAAGAACAGGTTTAAGCGTTCGGGCAAATGCATCAGGATCATCCGCATCGTTCTCCTTCAACGTTCCGTGCGACTCAGTCAATGTCGTTTTTTGTGGAACATTCTGCTGCCGTGGTTGTCCCTGCAACACGAATTTTGCAATCGACAAGGAATCCTTTAATGTCGACACAACCGCAGTCCCTTGCGATGCAGTGTGATATTCCTCCCGGATATGATGTAGCACTTTCCGCACGGTGTTCCCAACCGTATGTTCTGACGATGATACAAGATGATGAGATGCCAAAACATACGGAACAGAAACAGAGGGGAACCTTTAGGTTGTGCTTCCACAAGCTTTCGTCCAACGGACCGGATAATTTCGACAAGTTGATCGATATTAGAGAATCGTGCTTTTGAGATAACCTGTCTCAGGACAAGAACGGTCTCGAGAGCAGTTTCGCGGGATCCTACAACTTGCCTGCCATTATATGTGATGTAGGGGTATGATCTGGGGTTTCAACTCACCGCCTCCGCAATCTAGATGCAAGGGTTTCAACAACTCGCTGGTTTGCGACACTCGATGGGTCAGTAGCCATAGCTTCTAGTTCTGTTCTTTGTGGACAGACGCCGGTGTGGATATCTGGGAAGTACTGGTCACTTGCAAGGATGCACTGGAAAAGACTTGCCACAGCAGAGTCGAGTCATACATACTTGCCGTAAGTGGCATGTTACACTGTACATACATCGTCTAAAATTCTGCCGTAAATTGGAAGAAGCTACTTAACCAACATCCACTCTATTTTTCTTCGCTCATACGGTTGCCAACTACACACAGAGATAATCCTATATGAGAGCCGATCAGCGAGGCTGATTTCTCATACTATGTGCCAGTCAAGCTTGTCAGCCCATTTTCCAGGGAGCAATTCCGATATCTGTTCTACATCTTTGTCGCCTCTCCCCGAGAGGCACTATATACTCTGTGAGCGCCGCGCAAATGAAGAAAGTTTTGGATACGCACAATGACGAGATCGGTATCTTTTGGCAGTGTTTTGGCAAGACGGACACCTTCCCAGATAGCATGTGATGACTCAAGAGCAGGAATGATACCCTCTAGCTGGGTGCAAAGTCGGAAGCCTCTGAGGGCCTCCTCATCCGTCGCGGCAACATACTCCGCTCTACCAGAGTCCTTGAGCCATGAATGCTCTGGCCCAACGCCGGGGTAATCAAGACCCGCGCTAACAGAATGTGTTTCGATGATCTGGCCAGCGGCCGACTGGAGAATGTATGTTCTCACACCGTGCAGTACACCAGGCTGTCCTTTCGAAAGGGTTGCACTGTGCCGATCGCCATCCAAGCCTTCACCGCCAGCCTCCACACCCACGAGCCTCACGTTCTTGTCGGGAATGAAGTCATAAAAGGTTCCAATAGCATTGCTCCCACCACCGACGCATGCAACGATGACGTCTGGGAGTTTTCCCTTGGCCTCTTTGAGCTGCGATTTGATCTCTCGCCCAATCACCTTTTGGAAGTCGCGCACAATCGTTGGGAATGGGTGTGGACCAATGCAGGAGCCGACAAGATAGTGTGTTGTAGAAAGGTTGGTCACCCAGTCGCGCATAGCTTCATTGACGGCATCCTTCAAAGTACGAGAACCTGACTCGACGGGTATAACCTAGGTGGAGGTCAATGTACGTAGGACAGCACAGGACAAAATAACAAACTTTGGCACCAAGCATGTTCATTCGGAAGACATTCAAGGCTTGGCGACGGACATCCTCTGCTCCCATGTAGACGACACACTCCATGTCAAATCGTGCACACACGGTAGCAGTTGCGACACCATGTTGACCAGCACCAGTCTCCGCGATGATGCGCGTCTTGCCTAAGCGACGAGCAAGCAGGATCTGATGAAGTGTCATTACACAAGCAAGGCATGAAAATTCAATCCTACCTGCCCGATGGCGTTGTTGATTTTGTGCGAGCCCGTATGATTCCTATAGTGTATTAGGATAATTGTGAATATTTTCGGCAAGCGACTCACAGATCTTCACGCTTTAGCCAAATCTGAGCGCCGCCAGCATGTTTCGTCAAGCTCTCTGCAAAGTAAAGCTTTGACGGGCGATTCATGTACCCGTAATAGCTCTCAAACTCCTCCCAGAACTTGGGGTCATTGATAGCCGAATTGTGAGCTTCCTCGAGTTCCACTAAACAATCGAAGAGCGCCTCAGGGACATACTGACCACCGAACTGACCAAAGCGTGCAGGAAGTAGGGCAGTTGCGGACGTCTTCAAAGCACTATTGGAAGGCGTTGAAGGTTTTGAAGCCAGCAGCGACCGCACGCGAGCAGGCTGCCCCTTCAAGCTGATCTCCAGGCAGTAGCTCTCAACATTTTGAGGTATTGAGTCGAGAGGTGCCTCCTTAATAATGCTCACGAGACGGCTACCGACAACGACACCATCTGCTCCAGCATCAGCGACAACGTCGAAATGAGCGCGCGTTGCAACACCGAAGCCGACCGCCAGTGGGACAGTCGTGTATTCTCGGATGCGTGCGATGATATCTGGGAGGGCAGCATTCATCGTCCCCAGAATAGAAGAGCCAGTTGTTCCCATCTTCACTATGGTCAGATACACATAGATTATCATCAAACGGGTCGTACCTTTGACACTACATATATGAAAGAGTCAGCAATGGACGAGAGAAATTGGATGCGATGCAAAGATGTTGATGGTGCTATGAGGGGGACATATGACATGCTGGGGATCAAAACAGATCAGTACAAAACGAGACGATCTCGATTAACATACTCTGCTTTTGTGCACTTGTCACGGAAGTTGATGGCCTCTTCAGGTGGAAGATCGACCATAATAAATCCGTTTGCACCAGCCTCACGAGCGTCTTGGATTGCCTTGTCCTCTCCATACGCGAGCATTGGATTATAATACCCTAGTGGAGATGACAGTCAATCTAGACGGTATGCACGCAGAGATGGATGCAGCATACCCATAAGAAGGACCGGTGCTTTCAATCCCTGGCTTCGAGCCTCTCGCAACATTCCAAGTACAGTGGCGTATTCAATATCATTTTTGAGAGCAACCTGTGTCGCGTCTATATCAAGTGATTGGCACATCGACAATCAAACGTACAGTATTGGTCTCTTGGATAGCTGGGCCATCTGCAATGGGGTCGGAGAAGGGAACACCAAGTTCGATTATGTCTGCCCCTCCAGATTCCATGGCCAGCAAGATAGGCACGGTGTCTTGTGTCCTTGGGTATCCTGCAGTGACGAAGGTCACTAATGCTGGTGTTCCCTGTGCAAGTCTTCAATTCGAGTACAAATTTCAGAGAAATTCAACTCACTTCCGCCTTTTTGGCATCGAATACAGCCTTGAGAGCGTCCATGGTAATGATATGTGGTAAAGGAGGCTGAAACGTAGGTGACTCGAGCGCAGGCTTCGCCTTTTAACATCCGTGATCGAGGATCTAAGCGATCACGTGACTGGGCGTCTTGATGATTCATGAAACGCCAAACCTCCTTGAAATACTTGCTCAAAATATGCATTTACGACAAATTTACGACGTTGTTTCCTATGATCAATGGATTGTGATGCACGACTAGTGACTACGGTGTCGGTCACTAGTGCTCGCGGTGTAATTCGCGGCTGGCTTCATCCTATCCTACTTAGCTTACATATGCATGGGCTTACATACGAACTTTATTTGAGCATCAGTACCATAGCGCTCCCTGCTTCCACCAAAAGATGCACTTTGATCTTAATTTCCCGGTCACTGCATCTGGACCCTCTTCTCAACCAAAGAAGAACAAAAACAAACAACCCCAGCAATCCTCGTCAACAGCTTTCACTCCTGCTCAGATAAAGGGAATCGAAGCTCGTCTGGACCTTCTTGAACATTGTCTGTTTACTTCGACCTGTGTATAGCCAGTGCTAATCGCATCGCAGTAGGATACACTGTGATTGCATTTAATCAAACGCTGAACAAGAAAATTGATCCAAAAACCCATGTCAACATTCTCGATGGACTCATTACACAGCTGAGGGCGAGGCCAGGGACGGTATTCTTGAAACGACTTACAATAGTTCTCGATAATGACAGCGAGAAAGGCTTTGGTTTGGTGAGTTAACTGCCTTCTATGGCCACGAGCTGCGTAACCATTTTGAATGCAAGACGAACGCAAACACCTCGCTTGTCGAGCCCTACGATGTGATCGCACTTCTGCCAACGACCTCCGCGACATTTTCACTAGCTTGCCTCACACACAGTCTTCCTTCACCACTAACTGCCCACATTATTTCCCTTCCTCTAACGCTCCCCCGACTGCCCTTTCAGTTGAAGCACACACTAGTCAGAACTGCCATAAAGAACGGCGCAGTTTTTGAAATCAACTATGCAGGAGCCATTGGCGGCGAAAGTGAAGCCAGTCTGTCGGCTTTCGGCGTCACTGATACAGGCGTGAGTGGCAAACGAAATTGGTGGGCTGCTGCACGAGAAGTCGTGCGGGTGACTAAGGGCAAAGCCATCGTTGTGAGTGGCGGAGTTGCCTCTGAGGCAGACTACAGAGGGCCAAAGGATATTGCAAATCTGTCAGTTTGTCACTTTTAATTATTGATCTTTTTCATGTTTTTGGTCGGCTTTCCTTTCAGGCTCACGCTGCTGGACCTGGCACAAAATCTGGCTCATGATACATCAGTTGCCGTACCTAAATCGCTCATCTTGCGTGCACGTAAGTTGTTTCATTAAAACACTTTCGTCAGCAGTCTGATGCTCCACTTCCTTTTGGAAACCTGACAGAGGCACGCAAAACCTATCGAGCTGTCCTATCAGAACCCAGGTTGGTGGTTCCGGGAGCTACCCAGGCAGCGCCTCCCACCCAACAGACCGAAGTTGGTGAGAACATGCGTGACAACGTGAATATCTCGCAATCATCGAGTCAATCATCTCCGAACCCAACCTTAACGCCGCTTCAAGCAGTCCCCCGTGATCCCCAGGGAAGCAAGAAGCGTACTTGCGACGAAGATGGTCTCGAATCTACGACAAACGGACATGTCAACAAAAAAATCAGAGAAGCTGCCAATACCAAAGGAGAGTTGCGAAGAAAAAAGAAGAAAGGGGGGAATAGAGAGAAAGCTGGTGCAGTCTAGCAATTGCCACATAATCGGTTCATATTATTCTACAGAACGTCATAGTCATCTGAGTGGTCCACGACCACCCATCATTTCTTCCTTTCCATGGCAAATGAGATGATCTGCGGTGACTACGTAGACAACTCAGGTCTTCTTCACCATCATCCATCCCACAATCCAGAGGACAAGCCAATGAGGGAGCCAGTGAAAGAATCCGAAAATACGGGACAAACCCCCAAGTGTCATATAACTTGGAGGACTAGGACTCAGCACTTTGGCAACAACACGGCGTGCAAATTCATCGGTGGGCATGCTCCCTTCGGATTGGCTGCCATTCAAGCGTTCGTACACCCGTTCGAAGTAAGGTTTGAAAATGGATGTGGAGGATAATTCAAGGGTGGCTGCCTGGTTAGCAGTGATATTCGACCGTACTTGGCCTGGTGCTACCAGCATCACTTTGACACCGAAGGGCTTGCATTCCATGGCCAGAACGTCACTGAGCGCACGAACCGCCGCCTTGGCTGCGCAGTATAATCCGTTCCATGGAGTAGGGCTATCAAGATAAGGTCAACTGCAAAATCGCATCATTCCACCGTACTCACATGTTTCCAGCAACTGACCCGATGTTGACGATAAGCCCTTGTTTGCGCTCCACCATGGAGGGTGCGACTGCCTGTGCAACCCGCAAGACAGAGAAAGTGTTGGTCTCAAAAGCCTTTCTAGCCTGGTCTAACGACACATCAAGCAACGGTCCTGCGAGAAAACGAACATATCAATCGGTTCATGGCTCGAGTCGACTTGACAAACCAATGGAAATAGCACCAGCATTGTTCACAAGGATATCGATTTTCCCCTGTTCATCCAGAATAGACTGCACGACGGATTTTACATCGTCATCGCTAGTCACATCCATGACACGCTTTTCCACCGGATGCTTGAAGCCGTCCATCTTCTCCAGTCTACGAGATGTGGCATACACGGTACATCCCTCCTCGGCAAAGCGCTCACATCTGTTATCATAAGCTCAAACTGGCTCGAGGTTATCGGAGGCAGTGGACTTACAAATAAAAGCCAATCCCGCCTCGTGAACAACCAGTCACTAGAACGACTTTTCGCGACATGAGTCTCAGATGAGGTAGTCTTCTCTAGCCAGACCTATCGAAGGAAGATAGTCGTTCCTTCGTATCAGATGAAGCATTCCACAGGTTGACTTGTGTATGTAATCCGGTAAATCCAATGGTCCAGAACTCCGTGATACCGTGATCTTGGTACATCAATACGGTCGTGTCAATAACAAATCCGACAAGTTGCTAATAACGAGGCCATCGCGGAGAAGAAGAAAGGGGATAAAGCCGATGCAGTCTAGCAATTGACGCGCATGATTGGTTCTTGGGTATTATCCTAAAGAACGTGTCTTTATCATCATAGTCATCCGAGTGATCCGCAACTGCCCACAATTTCTTTCATGGCAAATGCGATGGTACACGGTGGCTCACTGGCTACATAGATGTATCAGGTCTTCCTCCACACCATCCATGATCCAATAATCCAGAGGACAAGCCAACGAGGGAGCCAGTAGAAGAATTCGAAAAGACCCGACTTGCCCCCAAGTGACATATAACTTGGAGGGTTGGGACTCAGCACCTTTGCAACCACACGGCGTGCAAATTCATCGGTAGGCATGTTCCCTTTAGCTTGACTGCCACGCATGCGTTCGTATATCCGATCGAAGTAAGGCTCGTAGATGGACGTGGAGGATAATTCAAGGGTGGCTGCCTGGTTAGCAGTGATATTTGATTGAACCTGGCCTGGTGCTACCAACATCACTTTGACACCAAAAGGCTTGCATTCCATGGTCAGAACATCACTGAAGGCACGAACTGCCGCCTTGGCTGCACAGTATAATCCATTCCATGGAGTAGGGCTATCAAAACGGGGTCAGCTGCAAGATCGCATCATTGCACCGTGCTCACATATTTCCTACAAGTGACCCGATGTTGACGATAAGCCCTTGTTTGCGTTCCACCATGGAGGGTGCGACTGCCTGTGCAACCCGCAATGTTGAGAACGCGTTGGTCTCAAAGGCCATTCTAGCCTGATCTAAGGACACGTCAAGCAACGGTCCTGTGAGAAAACGAACATGTCAATCGGTTCACTGTAGCTCAGAAAGTTTTAACGGACCGATAGCAATAGCACCGGCATTATTCACAACGATGTCGATTTTCCCCTGCTCTTTGAGAATAGACTGTACGACGAGTTTTACATCGTCATCGCTGGTCACATCCATGGCACGCTTTTCCACTGGATACTTGAAGCCGTCCATCGTCTCTAGCCTACGAGACGTGGCATACACGGTACATAAATGCTCAGCAAAGCGCTCACATCTGTTGGTTATAAGTTGAAGTGCTCCAAATCCTCAGAGACGGTGGACTTACAAATAGAAGCCAATCCCGCCTTGTGAACAACCAGTTACTAGAACGACTTTTCGCGACATGGATCCCAAATGGCAGGCAGGGGTGTCGGCCTTCTCTCCTCTACTTACATATAAGTAGTCTCCCCTACACAGACTGAATAGAAGGAATATTTGGTAAATCTATTGGGCTGAAACTCCGTGTCCGACATATCATATCGTGATCTTGGTTGTCGTGGTCAGTTACGTATACTTCATTGTCTGAATAGGTTCCCTTTCCTCCAAGTTGCCCACAAGCGAGGAATTAAATGGGCGTGCGGCAGGGTGCATCCATCACGCAGCCGTACCGTGTACAAATAGCCCACATGTACGGTGGTCTGGCGGTAATTGAAAACTTGATTACGCGTTGTTGGGGCCGACCCTCGGTGTGCATTCAAACGGAAGTCTGCGAAGGCACAGGGCCAAAGAGGGCCAAAGGCGGCAAACCAGCTGAGGCTGTAATGCAAACCTAAGAATGACATAAATCTAAAATACAGCAAGATGTTTTAGCATCCAGAATTACAGGTGTAAACGCAACCCATCCTCTCCATCACGATGTTCAGAGCCCGGGAGGTATCCAAGTCGCGGTCATAAATCAATTTAGTTCCGTTGCGCCCCGTCAAATTTAACGATCTCGTCCACAAACCGCTCCCAGCGTTCCTCCCATTTAAACGTTGCACGCGCCTTTTCCTCGAGCGTGAGCATCGAGTACTGCATCCGAACATATCCAGTCATTACCTAGAACGGATCAGAGACAGAAATGCGCACCTGTATACTATCTCGTGCGATGTGCCCCAGCGTAAGTAGGCCAGTGATGTCGCTTGCTGCAAGGACCTGTAGATGCGAGTGCTTGAGTGACAATGAGAGAGTGAAATGAAGTGAAGCAAACCTGGAAAAAGTCAAAGCTCAAACCCATGTTCTGGAACAGTGATGGGTCATCTGAGCTCAGCGCAACTGGGACACCATGATTGATCAAGATTGGGAGAGGATGCATTGGCATCGATGCTGTCAGTCTCTACTCGAGCCTCACGCAATCAGTGTCCAGACAGGATGAGATGGAAGGGAGGCCAACGCACCAAAATCTCATTTGAAATCGGGCAGACCTCCAGCGCTACACCGCGCTCCCTACATATCGACATCAGCTTCGGGTGTTTCACAAGTGAGAACCCGTGTCCGATCCGCTTCGTCCCCAGCAGCAGTGCGTCGTACAGATTGTCATCTGCCATGGACCCATCACCAAGGGTTTCGCCCGCGTGAAATATGAACGGGATATGGTGGTGTTCGGGGAGTCCTTGTGAGCTTTGTAGGGTGCTGAAAGAAAGAAGCTGGGGGAGGTAGTCTTTGAGTGGGCGAAGAATATTTTCGTCCCCGACGAGGTCAAAACCTTTGGGAGTTGGTTGTTGGTTATGCCACGATGCAAAAGAAAGGTGAAGAAAAATTTGAAACATACCGGCGATGATATCAGGGAAAAGCTTCTTCATCTCTATACAGTCGTTGAGATACCACTCCAGCTCCTCAGGTTCGCAGTTCCGGATGACCGTGTATATGATCTATTGGCTTATAGGCCTTGAGACCCGACTCAAAAGATAATAAGCACCTTAGCACCGACAAACTCGTCGTCTCTTCCTTGTGCTCGTAGATCCCCATGGATTTCGCCCAGGACGTCCAGGAACATGCTCAGCCACTCTTTGTGTGGGACATTGTGCTCCCCGTCAGGACCAATCATGAACCTACCAGTATCCCGATCAAAAACCAAAAGCACGAGAGCAAGACTTACTTTGGGCTGAAGTTGATACGCGCCTCTATATAAGATACACCATCTGTAATGGTGTCCTCGAAGAATTGCCGGATGTATGCGCGCCAAATTGGGGCAAAGTATACCAAGGTCTGTGTACATCGATGAGTGTTGAATCTACCAACCCCCAAATATGGGTGCTTACACCTGTGAGCCTAGCAGCGCTACGGAATTTGTCCCATATCTTTGAGGGAATGATGAATGCATTCTTTTGCCTGACAAGATACAAAGTGGCACACCCTGATGTTATTATTATGCGTGACATATGCCTCGCCTGGGTTGATTGAGAGACAACTTGCGACCCAGCGGTCGAAGCCTTCTGTGCCACCCAAGGCAGCATCAAACTGCTCACGCGCACGGCGAAGGGGTATCCACTGGCCCGGTTTATAGGTCGGTAGACACAACGAGATGCACTGTGGAACGAAGCCGGGTGGGAGAGGACGAAATTCAATGTTGACAGATTTGATGGAGGCAGGCGTGACCTGTGCTGTTGCGCAAATATGGATTGAGGGGTGCTGCAAGGCAAGCGCAAGCAGGGTAGTGCTATTGACGGTAAGATCAAGATGTACGTGCAGCAGCGCGCCTTTGGGCATCTGTGATTTGACGCGTCATCAAAATAATGCGCCTAGCGGTGACTGAGATTTCTAAGTACCGAGAGATGGACGAACCTTGGTAATGATATTGAAGAGCTGGGTCTTAAGGATGATGTCCTTTCCTACGTAGTAAACTATCAGCTCACACTTTATATGTCAAGGACTTAAGTATACCAGTGAGGAACTCCATTCCCGGGAACGGATGAGGAACCTCGTCATGCTCTACTGCCCAGATCGACCTTGCCTCCTCCTCGCGAATGCGGCGTAAGATCACGTCTGCCTGTCGCGATTTTTCAGAGAAGCGCTCTCCATTGACCACATCAATGCGAAGAGCTCGATCATCTGCAATAAGCTGAGCTCGTTTGCTGTGGTACTCAAGAAGAGACATCGCAGATGTGGGTATCTGCTAGTTACGTAGCGGTGGGCTGAGCGTTGAATCGCTGTATAGTACCAAGAAGATAAGAATGACCAGGTAGGATCATGCTTATAGTCGGCGATGATCGATCACGTGAGTTGACAATGCTCACTTTGCACGTGACAAAGTCATTCTGAATTCAAGTCCTGGACGACGCTGTGCACGTTCTATAGCCACTCAACCACATCCTATCTGTCTACCAATCTAATGTCCTCGGGCGATGAAATGAGTAAATTTGGTCTTCATATCCTAGCTCAACTTAAACTGACGAGCGCACGTGAACATAGACGCATGGAAGACTACGACGCGTCCAAAGCCCCGTAAGAAGCAGCGCACCGTGTCCCCACAGCCGTCTACGTCTAAGCAACCAAGTAATAGCAGACTAATAACAGAATCATCCCCTTCCTGCCCTTCCTCTTCAGACGATATCGAGCTCATCGATCCGCCACCTAATCCACATCCGAGTACGGCCCGTTCACAGAAAAAGAAGGGACAGGGCAAGGCATCCGAAAGTCGCCCTAACGGTAAGGTCCCAGATAGCCGGTCAAAGTCTAAGCAAGAAAGTCAGCCAAGGGGGAAAGCACCAGAGAGTCAAGCAAAGGCAAAAGACAGTCACGTCAAACCAAAACTCGTCAAGCCTCCTGCCAAGAAGCTTCCCTTTCCAGATCCCATCACCGAAGACCCCTCAAACCATAGCGACCCAGAGCACGAGCATGAGAAACCACCCCTGAGCCCACGTATTCACAAGGAGCTTGAGCGGTGGCAGGCAAAGACAAAACATGTGCGTTTCATACCCTCCATTATTTGAATGGTAATGCTCATAAATCGATTAGTTGGAGCACCAGCGCGACAAACTCTCGCAGCAGCTCGAGGAACTCTTCCAGGTCCGCAAAACAGATGCTGAACAGGCTCTTGATGACCTTACGGCTCTATATGATAGTCGTTCAAAAAGTGAGTGCTACCAACTGGACGACATTCCAGCTCAATTGAGTCCTGTGCCTCTTCCTGCACTAAAACCATCCCTTCAGCACAAGAATCCATCATATCAGCCCTCCAGGCACAATTAGCTTCCCAGTCGCCCTTCTTCCGTTCATCTGAACTTCATTCCAATCCTCCGTCCAGGTCGACACACCCACCCCCCAATTCAAGCACTTCAAGCATTCCTCACTTCCTCACTCGCGCTACAGCTGATGCCGAACAGCGCTCGATGCAGGATGAGCTAGCACGCATGCGGGACGAACTCGTAGCTAAGGACGCAGTTGTCGAGGAGCGTGAAAGGCGAATTGCCGAGCTTCAGCAGAGTGGTATGTCTTTTTGCCGGATCTGAGTTGGTAGGTTCTTCCCGTGGTGACGCTCAATCGTTTGTGTATGCGCAGTGAAAGACATCCGTGTTGAACTTGATGCCGAGATTGCGCGCTCAAAGGAGCTTCTCGAGCGAAAACCACACCCCCACACCAAGACCTTCTCCACAGACACCGACCCAAAACACACCGCAGCCATCCGTTTCTATGAGGATTTTTCAAACCTCTTGGTCTTGAACATCAAATGGGAGCCGCGCGAGGGTGTGGAAGATGACATCTTGCATACGTGTGTTTATACACATGTCGCGACCGTGAAAGATGAAAACGATGGGTGGGAGCATGTCGAGAGGTGTAAGTTTTGTTCCTCTTTTTCGCCCTCCTTCCATGTGTGCCTACTGAAATCGATCCCCGACAATCAGCAATATCCTTCTCCCTCCGTGCCTACACCGAGTTGTCAGAGTCCGAAGACCCGGAAATGGACCGGCGCGTCAAATATACCCCTCTCGAGCTTGACAAACTGAGCGATGATTTCAAGGAACGCCTTGGCTTCCTTGCAAGCGGGTTTACGTTCCCGCACAAACAGGCTGCGCTATTTTTGGGGAGCATGGCGCGCCAGATGGAGACTGCCTTTGAGAGCGAGGTGGGCGAAGTAAGTGCGGTTGACGAACATGAGGAGAGGAGAGAGGAAATCCTTGTGGATGATCTTTAGTGTTGCGAGGAACGGGTATGCAGCGCAAAATATGGTGAGCCTCGGGTTCACAGATGCATCGATGTTTCTGAGTCGTTTGGTTTATGTACACTTTATATTACCCCTACGGCGATACCCGTCATGTATACTGACATTGCCATACATCAGCGTGTACGCTGTCATTACATTGGTTTTTGTAGATTCCTGATGACGACCACCTAGGAGGGCGTAAGTCATTTGACATGTGTTGCCATCAGATCGCTCGGTGCATTCATGTCCATCCCATTTCTTGAGTCCTAAACTACAAGGGAAATGGGAAGTCTTGTGACACAGAATCAAGAGATTCGTTTGGTACCGAAGGTAGCTTGAAGAACCCATGCGAAAAGCAATCCTTCTTGCCAAGTCACCTGGTCTTCTGGTCCCCTATGTTCTCGAGCCAAGTAGAGAACATGGTCATGGTTCCCCACAATGATGGGCGATCTTGTTACCCCGGACTGGTCCACAGACGGTAAAGAATTGAAGTTCCTGACTGTCCACCATGTTTATGGATGATATCGAGTTAGTCAGATTGGCCAGGACGTGCTTACCGCCCTACATGATAGACTCAAGGGCACCACAAAACCTGAGGCACATTATCGAATGCTAGGGCATGGGCTAACATAGTTGGAACGGAGCTCGCCTCCGTCAACTCTCCAGAATCACAGAGCCATAGCATGTCGTTCTGTGCTTGCAGGAAGGTCGGGTCCAAGCACCACTATGCCAACTTGCGCTTGTTGATATCCAGTGAAACACACAGTAAGAAGGAAAGATGTCTAAGTAATATTCAAAGCAATAGCAGTGACGGTATCGCGGAGTTTAAAATTTAAAGGATCAATGATTCAAGAAATCCACTGTCAGTTCAAAGAAAATTGACGCCATAGCTGCAATGGCCCGACCACCTCCTAGTGATCCTGTTTCAAGCGACGATGACGCTCCAGAAGCTGTTTCTCACTCTATTTCCAAACGAAATGCTAAGCGGGAGGAGAAAACCCTTCGTGACTTCGAGGCAGAAGAAAACGCGCGGAAGAAAACACACAACCGGGAGAGAGATCGGAAATTGAAGGAGCGAGCGGTTGTTACACGTCTGGGGAAGCCTTCAGATAATGCAGTACGGAAGGGAAAGCAGAAAGCTCCAAGGGAATCTAATGTTGAAAGTGACGGGTCCTCCGCTCAAGAGGACGAGACGCTTGAGGATAACACGTTGGAAATGCGAATGCGCCGCGCAATGGAGGATGCTGCTGCTGAGATAGGTGATGGAGAGGACGAGGACGGGGACGGTGAGCTAGGAAATCTGACAGACGAAGAAATGGATGGAGGATCAGACGACAGTGGAATGGACGAAGAGATGGCAGAGTTTGATGCTGAAAGCAGAGAAGAGGAGGAAGAGGAGGTAATGAATGGTAGCGAAGATGAATCATCTGACGAAGACCGGCCTCCCTTGAGGAAGTCGTCGACCAAGGGACAATATCTGGAAGATTCGCTTTTCGCGTCTGCATTTGCTTCGCAAAACGCGCATGCAGTGGCAGATATTACTGCAACCAAGTCACTACCAAAAGCGCAAATATCAAGGAAACGGCAGCGACAGCCATTCTCGCGCGCCAAAGACCTTCTTGTGGGGTGCGCACGTCAGTCGCTCTATTGTGAACTTCCTGACCGGTCCCCTACAGAACTCGTACTATCCGTACCCTACCCAATTCACTTGGATCCAGAGCCCGTTCAACAGCTCACACCATCCCATCACAAAAAATACGCAAATTTATCAATCAAAGCCTTGCTGTCAGAGGTCGGATGGCGTCTGCTAAAGCAAAAGCACGAGGATGGGAGAGACGGCCAGGTGAGTTGTGGTCTAATTTTGCTTTCACTCATGCGAACCAAAATTTAGCGAATGTCGGCGTAATGAAGTGGACTGGAGCGCCTTCTGGTTTTGTTCGCGATAAGCAATAATAATTTACACCTGCGAGTTCCGACGATAAAATTCAAAGACGAATCCTGGATGGTGATCGGTTAGGGCACCAGCTGCATTCGGAAATCGCTCGGGGTCGAATGCTGATGAAAGGGGATGTCGTTCCTTCACCCTGAGGTGGAAGACTTCTGATGAGAGTCATCACGACCTGCACTCCTTTTTTTTTAGACAAGCGATGTGTATTAGCAGCCACTGACTAAAGTCTAGTTCTACGCATACGCGCTATAGCGGGGCCCCGGTCCGAGGAGAAATGCATTTACGCACTCCCGCTATCTGCGGGGTGTGTGGGACTCTTTACTACAGCTGGAGGCCTTGACCATAGAGGGCCTGGGTGATATGACACCCACTAAAACCTCGAGGGCGATTGCCCAGTTATTTGGGATTTGCGTGTCTGTTTTGGTCACGTCTTTCCATGTTTGTGTAACGAGTTTTGTGAATTTGTTGGTACGGGTTTTTTCGTGCGGATATTCTGTCTAAGTGTGATCTGTTATATATTGATTATGTTGTTCCAGCGTTTCATTATGTCGATGCCGAAAGTTGTATGTGTCGAGCCATTTATCATTCGTCGCATCTCATGATCCATGTATTAGGTATGTTGATTCCGATATGAGTATTTGGAGTAGTCTTCAATGATGCACCTTTCAGGGCGAAACTTTCCATCTTGCCCCTGTTCATCGACGTTTTGTAGTTTGATATGTAGGTTGCCGCAGCCTAGTATGGTGCCTATTGTGAGTTGGGGCCATGCTACGTAGCCATTTCCCATATTGTTGTTTGAGCATTGTTCTGCAAATCTCACAACGTCTAGGTTACACATAGCCGCTCTTCTCTGTTTCACTTTTTTTGTGGCTATTGCTTGTGATATTGACAATAATTTTGTGCCTTGCAGGTTTCATTCAGTGGTATTTTTAGGTCAATTATGTCCTCAGTGGGCTTGTTGGCGCCTTCCATTGGAGAGATTGTCTTTTTTGAGCTTTGTTTTGCGGTTGTACTTGGGGTTGAGTTTTTCCAGGATCTCTTTCACTGTCATTGCACGTTTATGGGGGTTTTAGCACCTTCTGTTACAATCTCGTTTGCAGTGTTTGCATGCACAGTTTTGCGGGGGAAGTGGCATTTAGCGTTGGCTTCGTGCGGACCTCGCTGTAGGCTTATACTACAAGGGTCCCGGTACAAGTTTAGTGTACGAACAACCATTTTGCCGAATGCACACCTCTTGCGGTGGGTCGTCAAAACTTGATGCACCGGCTAGCCATAGCGTACAGGATGACGGTAAGACATCAAACTAGTGCCAACATCATCAAAGTGTGTGTTTTGGGCCCAACGCGTTGAAAGGGCTGAAGCTCTCGATGCGGCTCAGCTGGTCGAGCGACTCGCTAGCCTGGAGCCTGGAAGACTGTAGGCTAGAACTTGAAGCTTGAAGCCCTCGGATCCAGGCTCCGGCCGTGCTGCCACTAGTACTGCTGCGTCAACGTTTCAACAAGCGCACTCCGATTTGGTAGCCGTTCTTCGTTCCCATCATTGTATCGCAAGTACTGCTATTACTTTTACGTTCGAGCTGGACGAAATATTATCACCATTTGGACTTCCGTCATGATATGGAAAGCTCCATCATGATCTTCCGATTCGTGACAGTACTTGACCATGTAAATAATAGACACGTCCACTGTCCGCCTTCTTCCCTTCCCATATTTTCATTTTGCTGTCATTATGAAGGCCCCGTACCATCGCTGTCGGACCTGTTCACGGGCTGAGTGTTGATCCAGGCCACTTCCTCTGTTCCTTTACATGTGCTGTTGAAAATTCCTGTACCACTGGCACCGTCGGTACATTTCGACCTCTTACCTAACCAACTATGGCACTGCCAGCCAGCCAATCGCTTATGTGCAAGTACAGGAGAACGGCTGCCTTCCTTCGACCGGTCTACAGGTACAAGAATTACCGAGTAGTGCGGTGCTGCATTATCTCCAACGCAGCCTGATTTCAACGGTTGGTCTTCGCTGTTCTTCCATGCATCCTTTTCCACTGGATTACTGAAGGCCTTTTCATAGACGCCTTGGCCCTTGGTATACAATGCCTTCTTTTGTCTTCGATGTATTTGTTGTTTATTTTCCACTTGCTTTTCCATCGCACAGCGTCCCAACAGCAATATAAATATAACCTCTACGGGCCATGCAGTGTGGCATTGAGGGCACGCCACTCGGTCTGGATGGATTACTGCTACCGGCCAGTGTGGCAAGCGAGAGTTATTACAATAGTTCACTACTGGACCCTCCACACTCACCTACGCCACAAGGGAAATCGTTTATAAAGCCATCGAATTCATGGAAACCACCATATCCCAATTCTTCCCCAATGTCTTCCTCAATACTTGCTGCTTACTTACAGAGACGCGAGGAGCTTATCGCATCGGATCGCGCGTTGCGAATTGACCATTCTCGTACGAAATACACCCCGACTGAGCTAAAGGCAGATGGAGTCGTGCGCTCCATCCGTGCTAAAGAAGCTGTCGATGTTTGGGGAGGTAAACACGAAGGTGTCCCTCACCCATACCCAGGGATGGAGTTCCTGAATGGTACGATGCTCGTCGTATCACACCTTGCCCTTCCTCTCACATCTGCGTACAGCCAAGGATATTATTTTAAAGACAGAACTCTTCAAAATAGTGTCAAAAGTAAGCATAGCAAATAACCGTACTTCCCGTCACCGATCATCTTGGCCGCGGCTTCCCTATAGATGCCAAAGGGCGGGCTATTGCATGTGCATCAGAACGCCTCGGTAGAGGCCAGAGTGTTGCTTGATCTGGCACTGGGTCATCCCGCGATACATATTCGCACTTCCAAGTCGGGCCCGTTGAATGCGTCCTCTCTCGAAACTGTGTTGCCCGATATCCGGCCGATTCCTGTGGAACTGTATCCTTCCGCTGACGCAATTGGCATCACTGATGCTTCATACACTAATGGCTGGGTTCCGATCAAGAGGGCACGAGAGCTGTTCGATCCTGCACTAGGCGGCCCCACTGGGTTTGATAAGTGGGTACTTAGTGCCTTTATGATCAACCCCAGTGATGCGTTTGAGACGTACAATACGCCGACGAAAGTGAGCTCTATATTCGACCTGCTGAACATATCCTTAATACGAGGGACTCGCAGATCTGGATGAAGTTTGCGAGTACCTTTCATGTGACCGATGTGAGCCGGTGGCGTGCTGAAAGTCAAGATATGGGCCTGTACTGATGAACCTTAGCCCATCATCCGATTCGTGCCGATTCAAAAGGAATATTTGCGGATGAGCATTCGCTCTTCGATCGACGATGGCATCTCGTACATGGAGTTACGAACTAATTTTTACACGAAGTGAGTCGGAAGGACATACAGTCGTGATCGAGATACCTGACATTTCGTCAGTTACATACTTGCAGAGGACGCGAAGACCAAGCTTGATTTACGTGAACTACTCTTGATATTCCGAGAGGTCTCGGACGAAATAAAAGCGGAAATGAAGGCGAAAGGTCGGGAAGATGAGTTCGCCGGATTGAAGGTCAGCTTGGTCTCGGTTGAAGCGCTACTCAAGCTCTGACTGATTCTTTTTCCTAGATTATCTATAATACCCTGAGAATGGTTTCACCCGATCAATTGGCAGTAGCACTGGATCAGTGCAGCCAACTCAAGCAGGAATTCCCAGACCTTATTGCTGGCAAGTTTTGTTGGAAGTCAGCGAACCCAGCTCTGATAGTTTTATCTGCCAGGATTTGATCTCGTGGGCCACGAAGATGGGGCGGAGTGCAAACCGCTGATTGATTACGCAGAGCAGCTTCTGAATTTCGCCGAGCAGCATCCAGATATCCCATTTATCTTTCATGCTGGTGAAACTCTAGGCGATGGCAATGCAGCGGACATGAACCTGTATGATGCTATTCTGCTTGGAACAAGGCGTATCGGACACGGGTTAGGTGCATTGTAAAATATAAAGCGCTCGCTAACTTATTATTGCACAGTTTCTCGCTAGCTAAGCATCCTAAATTAATGGAAATCTGTCGAGAGAAGAAAATAGCAATTGAAGTCTGCCCTATATCGTGAGTGACTCGTACAAGCAGACACTTCCAGTTTATCTCAATCATTCAATAGAAATGAAGTGCTGGTAGGGTTTTCTATATACTGCCTTCGAGCCTACGTTGACTTATCAAATGATAGCGTCTTACCTCATCGATGCTTATGCACCCCCTCCCAATAATCATGAACCAAGGCATTCCGGTGGTATTGTCCTCTGACGATCCTGCGATGTTCAATAGTATGGGGTTGTCCTTTGATTTCTTCCAGGTGACCTCTTCCTTGTTTGTCTGTTATTGGAACAACACTCATCGATCGTTTACAGGTACTAGTAGCAAGTGAACTTACGGGACTCCTTGCTCTTGGCGAAATGGCCCGTGACAGCATTACTGTGAGTCCTGCTCTTGTGCTTGTCTCTTGCATTGTGTAATATTTTCTGGGTAGTATTCCATGCTTGATGAAGAGAGTAAGAAGGCAGCTATGGATGCATGGCAAAGACGGTGGACCAAATTTATAGAAGAGGTCGCGAAGATAGAGGTCGCGAAGATGTTTCCATGAAACTTTGGCTCTCGGATTCAAAGAAATACCCAAACATAGATCAGAGGATGTAGTATATATACGTGAACTTGTCAAAAACTGTGCAAATCCTGTCTGATGATGATAACTTAGGGGCTGCATTTCCAACCTCAACCTAGCAATCAGTGCAGATACTACTTATCATCGTGCCCTCGCGAACGTAATATCCTAACATATTGAACCCTTACCGTTTTGCCGGTCTCATATAATCATCCGCTGGTCCAGGGGCTGCATAACACTTATTTCAGCGGTAAAGCGCCAGTCAATGGTGGCATATCTAGCATTCCGAATGCCATCACCATACGTCCATCACGTTTGCCGCTCACCAACCCTGAACATGATCATACTGTCTCGAGTGATCCCAGTTGGCGGCCGTCAATCGATTCTGCTTGTATTTTTTCGTGGAGAGTAATTAGGATGAAAACGCTGGTGGCAGCGTCTCACTTTATTTTGAAGGGTGGTTTTACAGTTGCAGCCTTCACTGCAGTGGTATACGATTGAGGTGAGAAAAATAATACACATCGAAGACACCTGTGTATGCATCCAAGGCCAAAAAGTCGGCACTGCACTAACAATTCTTATAGTGAGAGTCTCACTATCGGCATCAACATACTACATAGGCATGTCCTCACAGTTGCTCTGGTCTGTCACGTTTCTTCTGAACCTCGACCACCTGTCCGATGCTCCGTAGCCTGGAATATGGCTCCGTTTTGAGTTTTGTCGTGTCAAAATGGATTTGAATGAGATAATAGGATTTAGCAAACCGATGACTTTGTACAGGAATTAGCCGTCCACTGGCACGGCCGGAACTGTTCTTGCGACTAGCCCTAACTTGCCCAAGTCCCTCTAGGTCCATCTGCGCTTGATACTGCATTTGAGTTGCGGATCAAATACCTGATGGCCGGTCCATCTATGACGCTTGCCTCAAATGGAATAGTTGCGCGCAGTGATAGGCTGTTGCAGCCTCCTCGCGGATCTTGGTCGAAAGTCTGAGTCATTCGGTCACCGGCTCTTCTCTGAAATCCTGGAATTCGTAACAAGTGTGCCCGCAGTGGAACCCAATTCCCTTGACAAGGGCTAGTCCATAACGAAACCCTACGCTAGGAGCAGTGCCTGCCTGCCCGGACTCTGAACAATATTGAGAAGTCAACGTGAATGCAGAACGTCAGGGATGGTACTTGTTCAAAGGTGTGCAAGTGTGCAACACCTAATTCCGGAAGGCCAGAAAGCGTACGTGTGTGATACCTTCCACTGGCATATCGGCGTAGCGCATTGAAGCCCGGAGTCCTGAATGGCGTGTTCCTTCTAGGAATTTTTTATTCTGAGTCGAACTGTCGTCCCCTTTCCTACTATGTCTGAGCGCAAGCAAGTAGTGGGGGAAGGACAGCGGCTGTGCAGAAGTGTAACATGCAAATTGCTTTCATTTTATCTGCTTGCTTCACTGAAACTCATTAAACCGCAGGGCTCCGTGGATCATATGAAGGGGCAAGTGGGCATTCCCTGGAGTAAGTCACAACATCTGCAAAAACGCGTGTCATTTACTGATTACTCGGGAAAGGCGACCTTTACAAGATACTCCGTTCGACATCCAGTTGCTACATATAGGAGATACACCAAAAATAATGCAACAACCGTGATATCTGTCTTGCTCCGCAATGAGAATATCAGAACATCAACTTTTCGATCGCAATCTTGACATTGCGGATCTGGCTTTGCAGCTCCCTGGCCTCGCTGGTTGTGACGCTGGCAGCGATGACAGGCCTGGACACATTGCATGCACGTCCGAGGGCTGCCTTGGAAGGAATGAACACGTATGGAACATTCTGTATAGCCAAAATTTAGCGATCAGTTGCGTGTGTAGCTTGAGAGAGAGCATGCCTTTTCCTCGCAAAGAAGGGGAAGGTGCAAAAGAATTTCGAGAGGCTCAGTATCCGCGGTAAGCACGATGAACTCTGCCACACCGCGGTTAAGGGTCTTGGTCGCTGTAAAGGTGGATGTCAGACACAGGGAGGAGTGGAAAGGGAGTTATGACGTTGCTCACCTTCATTGGCACCTTTTTTTAGTTGTTTGTACTGACCGGCCTGTTGGACCAAGTCCAAGATCTACGAAAATATGATATCAATCGTTTATGAGAGTTTGAAAATACTTACGGAGTTGGTTAGGCCCTCATCTGCAAGTGGCCATGCTTTTCCGCGTGCTTCAGCCATTGTGACCTCACGTTGGATTGATCCTTGGTCAAAAGAAAGTTTGTCGAGGATGGTCTGCAGAAATTTGGAAGTTGGTGTGTTGTGGCTGTGGTGTATTGGTATGTTTGTCGTTGAAGAAACCCAAGCCAACGTATACACTACGGGGTCGTTTCTTGTGTCGTAGAACCTTTTGCTCTACAGGAGACCGTCCGTTGTCGCCAACAATACTTTGCTTGTCGTATAAAACTATTTGGGAGGTAAGTCAATTTCATTACTATTCAATCCGTCTCCAACTCGCAATCCGTCTTCCTCACCACGTCCACTCGTCCCCCATCAGACATTTCAAACCACACTACCATACGATACCACTATCAAGCCCATCACTCCAGAATCCCGTCCTCCTAACCAAAAAGATTTTTGAACTGAATTTCGAAAATGGCAGAAGCTGACTACAATCGAAAGAGGTCCCGCTCCCCCTCTGACTCTGACGAGAAGAAGCATCACAAGCGTGCTAACACAGGCGCTACGGCTCACGCGGATGACTCACGAGTTGACAAGCACCAGGGTTCTGGTTCAACAACCGCTACGTCTATGACTCGCGATGTGAACATGACGGAAACTCCCGCATCCGTAGCAGATACTGCTGCGTCTACTCCTTCTCCAAAGGAAACTTCATCCGACAATCGACGCGACGAGTCCCGCACTCGCTCTGAAGAAGGCGGAAAATCAACTACCATGTCTGCTCCACCCTCCTCGTCCTCAGCTGCCGCCCCTCCCTCAGCCATGATTCACATGCGTTGCTTAATCGTCACACAGGACGCGTCAATCATCATTGGGAAGGGCGGTTCGCATGTCAATGAGATCAGAGACAAGAGTGGAGCTCGTGTCATGGTCTCTGAGAGCATTCCCGGTAACCCTGAGAGAATTCTCAATGTTAGCGGGCCGCTTGATGCTGTATCCAAGGTGAGCTCCAGACATCGTATTTTCTTTTCTTTTTGTTCATCATAACAAACCCACAGGCGTTTGGTCTGATTGTACGACGGATAAACGACGAACCTTTCGATGTACCTTCAGTTCCTGGAAGTCGTGCAGTGACAATCAAGTTCATGATTCCAAACTCGCGTATGGGGTCTGTGATAGGGAAACAAGGTTCGAAAATCAAGGAGATCCAGGATGCCAGCGGAGCACGGCTGAATGCAAGCGAGGGTATGCTCCCTGGTTCGACCGAGGTACTGTACAAGAATTCATTGCAAGGCAGCAACTAATCGTTTTGCTTGAATGTAGCGAGTTCTGAGTGTTGCAGGTGTTGCCGATGCTATTCATATAGCAACCTACTACATCGGCAATATCCTCATTGAAGCGCAAGAGCGTATGCCTTCTTCGTCCAGCCACTCTAGTTACCGCCCTTCCAGCTACTCTCGGCGACCTCCGTACACTGGCTCATCATATGTGCCAGGGTATGCGAACGCGTCGCAACCTTATGGTGCCCCACCGCCCCCTAATCCACCGCAGCAGCTGCAAACGCAGCAAATATACATTCCCAACGATTTGGTGGGATGTATCATCGGCAAGGGGGGTAGCAAAATCAATGAAATCCGTCATATGAGCGCTAGTCAAATCAAAATCATGGAACCAGGTGCCGGGCTCAACGGTGCTCCAGCACCTCCAGGTAACGAAAACGAACGTTTGGTTGTTATAACTGGGCAACCTGCAAACATTCAGATGGCAGTACAATTGCTGTATCACGTACGTTGCTCCCATCTAAATCATGTCGAATTTCCTCACGCGCGAGTTGTTTAGCGGTTGGAACAAGAGAAGCAGAAGCAGCTACGAACATCCACTTCATCCTCTTCTTGAGCTCGCACTGCGGCCCTTGGACTCATGCACTGATACTTTGTTTTCGTTGGTCGACAAACCTTCAAGCATGCTTGCTGTGCTCTCTTTTCCTTTTTGATATTCTGGCTGTGAAAAGAACGACGTTTTCACAACGCAGATATGTACATTAGTTGCCTTGTCTTTGGTCCTTGGTTAAGCATTTTTTTTCTGCTTGCCGCTGGTGTTGTTATGACCTAACATTGACCTAACAAGTATTTAATGGTTTTTTTTTCTAGTCCTGTTGTCCTGCTTTCTGGTATTTACGGTGCGATAGTTACGTAAATCAAGACCTAGCTTAGTGAAAATATTGCTCTTGAATCCATACCAGACATGGCCCCACTACTTGCAGCTCAAAAAGCCCATGCCGCGAAGCTCGATGCCAAAGGCAAAGGCAAACGAAAAGCGGACGATGTCGATGTCGACGATGACGACGTTCAGCAACCGAAACAGAAGAGGAACAAACAGCGCGTACTACTACTCTCCTCTCGGGGTGTCACCCACCGCATGAGACATCTTATGAATGATCTTGAGGCTCTGCTACCTCATGTAAAGAAAGGTAAGGTGTTTGTTTTGTTGACAAATTCATTAGTTCTCAATGGGATCTCTCAGATTCCAAACTTGATTCGAAATCACAGCTGCATCTCTTGCCTGAGATAGCAGACCTGAACAATTGCAATAATACGCTCTACTTTGAGGCAAGGAGACACGAAGACCTGTACATGTGGGCTACGAAAACACCAAATGGGCCCAGCATTAAATTGCACGTTCAAAACGTGCATACGATGGATGAACTGAAGATGACAGGAAACTGTTTAAAAGGAAGCAGAGGAATCCTCAGCTTTGACAAAGCATTTGATGAAACGGAGTGGGGCAAGCTTACCAAAGAGGTTTTCACGCATGTTCGTTCATGGATTATGGCTGAAGGGCAATCACTGACGCGTGACCACTTCCCGTTCACCATGTAGATTTTTGGCGTTCCCCCGCTGGCCCGGAAAGCTAAGCCGTTCATCGACCACGTTTTAACATTTTCTATTCTCGATAACAAAATCTGGTTCCGCAACTTCCAAGTACGCTGGACCCTTCAATTCATTGTCAGGTGTTGACTCCGTTTCTTCCACGTAGATAATGGAAAAGGATCCGTTGCAGCCAAACGGCCCTCCTCAAACATCTCTCGTGGAGATTGGCCCCCGATTTGTGATGACGCCCATCCGTATCTTTGAAGGAGCCTTTGGTGGCGCAACTGTTTATTCCAATCCTGGTTCGTACACTGGAGAAAATGTGGTTGTTCTTGCTCACGAATTCACTCCACAAATAGAATTTGTTACGCCTGCATCTGTGCGCTCAATAGCCAGGCATGCTAGAGGTGACAAATACCGTCAACGGAAGGAAGCTCAGGAGGAGACATCGAAGAGAAAAGTGCTTCGTAAGAGGGAGGAAGATGTACTGGCAGTGTCTAAGGTGTTCGCGTAGACGCCTACGCGTGTCATTGACGCACAATCGTACTGAGTGGTAAGCACACCAACTTGGCGTGCTTATAGGGTATCTCTGGATGATTATCTACGTGTTTTTGTAGCCGTTACACACGTTTTCTCGCCTTTGCGATGACCTGCATGCATGTGCTTAACATTTATGCGACAGACGCATGAAGATTTTTCGCTTCTTCCTGCTTTTGGAGCATTTTTCTTTATACGGCTTGCTTTGTGCTCTCTAGCGCTCTGGCACCAGGCCCCAGGAGCGCTTCTCCATTGTCTTTCACTTCGGGAGGTGCACAGCCACCGAGTATATCTCGTGGTTACTTTTGTGCGCTCACAAAGGCAACAACCGGTTTACGAAACAAAGAAATTTTTTGGCTGAGCAAACGTTCCCGCCTGGCCAGGCCAGCGTGCCTTGACCAATATGAGGTGATGCCGAAGCTCAGCCGTTCCACACGCCAGGCCATGCGCCTTTTGTTCTGCCTTTAGAAGCTCAGGCTGGACTATACGTGGGTGCGTGTAACCGAGTGGTAAGCAGTCCTATAACCTATATAACGATGTCCATCGCTTAGCGAAAAGACTATTATTTTCCTGGCTCCAGCCGCTGATACTTCCACTCTCTTATAGGTATTCCTTGCTACTGTCTTGTAGACAGTCACTATGCCTGTGTCAATAGACATTGTTCCGTTTTCGGATTCTTTAGAATTACATGGAGAATCGGACTTTTCGTAAGCTAGAGCTGAAGTCAAACGTATCGCTGCTAATAGACCTCGCTAGATCTGCCTTTTCTCTGGCAGGCCATGTGTCCGTTTCACTCAGTTCACCTTTGCTTATGTTCCAGCGCCGGCGGAGCACAACGCGTGCTTTGCTGCAGTCGCTCACCGTCACATTCGAGGGACAATCCGAAGTAATCACCCCAGACATTGGGTATGCCCCTCTGCGTCTCTGCTCCATCACTCGCGAGCTTGTAAATGGTGAACCCGTCGACCTCTCTAACGAAGGGCACGAAGATTCAGATAAGCCCTGTTCTTGGAATGTCACTTTTGACATCCCTGTTCCTGGCTGGTTGCCGACCACGTCTACATACGGGGATCACGGCGCAGTTGAAGCTGGGACGCGCTACGCATTGTATGCTACCGCAACTTTTATCTATCCCGAGGATGGCAGCTCCTCTATTTTCAGCAGCTTTTGTTCACCTTTCGGCTGTCGCACTCACACCATTAATGCGCCAATGTGTCCAGTCACTCTCGCTCGTTTTGCCGAGGTTCCTTCTGCCCCTTCGTCTTCTTCTTCTACCTCTGTTTTCCCTATGTCATTGTTCATCGTCGATGCACAATCAGGGCAAGATGGAACAGAAACAAACGCAAAAACAATTCCTCCTGAAATTTTGAAGAAGATCCAGGTCGTTGCGTCCATTCCAAACGCAATAACAATGGATGAAACATCCGTCCCCCTCATTCTGCGTTTACAAGGCAGTGAATTGGACTGCTCTCAGCGAGAGCGCCTTCGAATAACTGATTTCACTGTCGATGTTGAACAGATTGAAACGTACAGGTGTGCTGCATTATTGTTAATCCACTACGTGGTGCTAACGACACGTCTATCTAGGAGTACTACTTCTCTTGATTACGTAGCTCGATATATGGTCCCACCCAGGGCACAACAACCTCCTTGTTGCCCCCTTCGGAATGCACATTCTGTGCATACACTCTATGATGTCGGCCTTCTCATGATTCCATATCCTTCCAAGTCCAGCTCGACCCGTTCATTTTCCCTCTTCGATCCCTCGAATTCTGGGACGTACATTATCTCTGGTGACGGTCGTATCTTCTCGCATGACTCTCCAGAGGGCGATGCGACCACTCGTTCTCCATCAGAGAACTGGTATGTGCTCGAGACAGATGTGCCTTTGGCACAGAAGCCCTATCAATTGGATTGGGCTGGGCCCCGAATCCGTCGTATCTCTGAAAATAGCCCTCTTTTCACTGTGTGCCATATGATGCACGTCGGGCTCCGGTGTGTCTACGAACAACCTGACGGCGAGGTTGTGTGTGAACGCCTCCATTTTTCACTGCCCATGCAGCTTGTGCGGGTAGCTGCCCCGCTGACTTCGCCCGCCACTGATTGCACCGTTGACGGTCCAGTCGAACTCCAGAAAAGCGCTTCATACAGCCAGAATCTTCCCGCATACTCTCAGCTCTTCTATTCGAATGGAGAACGCAAGATCGATTACTCAACTCCTCTCCCACTTTACGAACCCCCACAATCGGCTTCGTCATCTTCATTTACCCTTGATCAAAGTGACGATCATCGAAAATCAATCTCATAATTTTCTGAATTGCATGCGCACCAACACTCGTACTCCAAACCAAAGACATCAATATCGTCATGTATAATGGGACATTTGGTCCACCGCACATTCCTTTCTTTCGATCCGCTGTCGTGCTGCTCTTTCGTCCTGTTTTCATTCGCGTTGATCTAGCCCGCATACCAATCGTTCCTCGTACCTCGCAACCAATCTCGAAAAGAATTATATCACCTCAACTTGTTATTCCGTACATCATGTAACAAACATACACTGCAGTAATGGAGTCTCGTCATTGTCACTATGAATTCTGATCCTAGTCCTCAATCCTAGGCAACGCCTGGTGTCACTGCGATCTTCTCTAACACTTGCCAGTGTTGTACTGGTCCTTCGCACCGGACGATCCACACTTCCGTGCCTTCAAAGCCCGAGAGCCTCACACCCCCTTCCTCGGAGTCTCCACAGCGAAGACCAACGGTGTCTGCATCGTCTGTCTCTGAGTCCTCAATGACCGTGACACCCCGCAGTTCATCAGCGGCCTTATTCCGCTCTGCATGCCCGTCTTCATCTGCAATATAACTGATGGACATGTGCGGAAATGCTGGGGCTGAAGGCGATGCTCCATCCCTGTCAAGCGCGGCCATAATATGTTCATGCAGCGCGACGAGTTCGGTCGTCTTCTTCACAGATATGAAGACAGACCTAAAATAATGATCGCCGACTTCAAGCTTCTGGAACTTGACTGGGATTGGGCGCAAAATTGATGGTAGGGACCGTAGGATTGTGTCCTGCGTTGCTTTTCCTGAGCTTGCCAGTGTGATATGAGGGGTGATCTCTGGATAGGAAGCAGCGGATACTGATCGTGTCTCAGGCTGCTTTGGCAACACCCTTTGGATAAGTTGCAGGTGGGTGGGATTGGGCACCAGCCAGAGCGAGAGACCTGCCAGTGATGTAGCCTTGTTTTGTCAAAAGCGCAACAACGAATGCGATATGAACTTGCCCATCCAGATCCAAAATTGTATCGCTGAAAAAAATTTCCTTGGGCAATCAGAAGAGCAGAATCAGCGGGCAGCTGCAGAATCATCCATGTTTGGATCAGACTCCCGGCAGGCGACGATCATGTCTCACGTCCTCGAATTTCAGCACATAGCAGTGTCCGCAGGAAAACGAATTGCACATTGTATGTACGTGCTGCGAGCACGAGTAATATTTCTTGGACACAAAATTTGCACAGAATACGAATAAAAGTACAATTGTAAGACAAACACAGCACCAGTGATCAGAATCCTTGCCAATTATCACATTACCACATTACACAAAGCAGACCGTTGCAAGACCTGAACGTTGAACCTTAATCAGTGGAGCCACGAGATCCCAAGCTCACCCAGCTGCTTTCCACCGTAGATGCATCGCCATCGCCAGAATTGCTCTCGAAGTCAGCCTCTGAGCCTGTCTCATGTCCATTTATATCTTCAGGCTCTGAAAGAGGCTCAGCCTGCTCAGGTGCCGGCACAGCTGCCTCCGAAGGTGACGGACGTAGAGCCAAGGACGTTCTGCTCACTGTCAAGGAAGACGGTGGTAGAGCTACAGGAACCACGGCAGAGGATGGAACACTGCGAGCCGCCTTTATGACCGTGGGTGGCTGGGCAGGAGGCACAGGCAAGAGCCAATTGCGGACGCCGACCAATATGTGGGGCAGACTCAGCAATCCGTCTAGCAGCATGCTAGGGAGGAATGACGCAAACGTGTATGTCCCTGCTGCATAGAAAGCAATTTTTAACTCATATATATGTGAAGAGGACGGGAAAACAACGAACCACCAGCACCAACAGCAAATCGGTCGCCACGAATCCAATCTCTAATTTTCTCGTACCCAACACCAACGCGGATACCGCCGATCGTTTTACTCGCCATCTTGGTCTTCGTTCCGGAACTGACGACGCCAAGTATATTATTCACGAGGACAGAAACGTCCTCTGGACTGCGAGATTGTCCCATGCTAGTTTCTCCGAGTGCAATGAATGCTTGACCATAGGTTGCTTTCTCTGAGAGGGTCCAATCGTTCATTGCATGTGGATTTGCAAGACCGGAGACGGAGGGTTCACCAACAACGCCCACATCAACAGCAACAATGCGGATAGAGCTCATGCCTTGTCCTACAGCAACCTCACGGCGTAAGACGTCCAATGCACGAAGAGTGGCAGCTGCGCTCATGGCACTGACTCCGCCGAAAGGCAGTCCAACACGTGCATCAGCAGCGGGGAGACACACAATGATGGACTTGCGGTCACGCGCACGCTGGGAATCCGCGCGGAGTAATGGTAGGAGTGCTTGAAGTGCTTGAAGGGGTGCAAAGTGCGTCGAGAGAAGATGCGGAAGATATGTACTCCGTAAAGATAGCTGTTCAATGGGGGTTGGTGCCGTATGAATAGAGGGGATCGGCAGTGTGAGTAGAGATATTATGGAGTGGATAAGGGGATGATAAGGGGTGGCTGCATATGGGTCACCAGCTGCTGTGATTGGAAAACGTCGGGACAAAGTAGATGCAAGCGACCGAAGGAAGATCGGGATCGTGCCAGGCTAAATGGGCATTGGTTAGATATACTTGGAGCAGGGATAAGCAACTACACACCTCATTGGGGTCAAGGACCAGAGCTCGGACATATCCATGCCCTTTGCTTTCAATGCTACCGACAGCTTCCGGTGTGGAAACGCTAGTGATAACGATGTACCCCTTCTGCTCAAGTTCGATGATAAGAGGGAGACCCAGAGGGTGATCACCGCCCAACACGACTAGGAAGATATCAACAATGGCAAGGCAATCCAAATGAGTAGAAGTGCTTACCAACAACCTGCCGTTTCTCGGGAGTGACAGTAGTCGACCTAATTCTTCTTTTATGGGCGTGCGTCATACGGAAGGTAGTGTAGCCAGCAAGTAGGCCAGCTCCGAGAGCTGTTACTGCTATTCCAGAGCTCTTGAATGGATGTTCTATGATCCAATCACCAGCCTTCTCTATGAGAGTCCTCGGGGGTGGAGGTGGAGGCGGGGGTGGAGGAACCTCGAATGCCCCAAGACCGGGGACATGGATGGCAGGGAATGAAGGAAGACCGGGTGGCCCAAAGCGAGAGATATCAACCCAAAGACGGTGAACGGCCTCTCGGACGTTTGGAAGACCAGGCGAGGCGGCCGCCAGAGAATCTGACAGATAGCGTTCGAGAGACTGAAAGTATTCCTCGACTTGGTCGATTGAAGGAACCATTGGTTGAAATTTGGCAGGAAAAGAGCGTAGAGATCACAGACAATGCCCCGCGCACGAAATGCAAACCCTTTGAGAGCTGGCAGAGTCACTTATTGCTGATTCGTATCGATATCTCAGATTCTGCCTCGTGGCTAAGTATAGGGTCTACCGGACATTGCGCACCGCAACTGGAAATGTCATCATTATCAACAACCGTCAAGCCAATATTACTTTGAATATTTTTATTCTATCAGGCAATCTCAATCTCAAATAAATAGTATACCACCGAAGGCTGTCCACCACCACCCCCGATAAAGTGCACCCCAACCTTCCTCCTGAATTATCAGCCTCATGCAATTGATGAGTCCAGTGTATTCTTCACAAGTTCTGAGTCTGAGGGGCAACGATGATATGATGACCCCGAAACATATCAACGAGATAACTTACCTGACAGGTTTGACAGAATAATCTTGCTCGTCTTCATCCGGCGGTGTATCCAGAAGAAGTGTGACTTGCGTCGAATTGGTTTGGATAGACAGTCGAACTATCATAACTTCCAATGGAGTAAGCACCAGAGCATTAAGGACCACCGATAAAACGATGGCCACGACCAAGAGAGGAATGTAAGGCTTCATATCCTCCCAGTTCCCAAAATGCTCCAAAAATAGTTTGACTTTGACGAATAAAAGGTTGCGTGTCATAATGGTGCCTACGATGTATAGCGCCCATGAAGTGCAGGCCGCGAGCAAGCCTGGGATCATAAAGATGCGATAAGGGTGCCTTCTTTCTGCCGGGGAGAGCAATACATCAAGCGCTCGTCCCAAGGACAATGAAGGGAGGTTTTCCCGAGTTGTTACAGCTCTTTGGATGCTGTTTTCAGCCCACGGAAATGAGTACTTCAGAGAACGCACCGGTTGACAAAGACGACCTCGATCACAGTTGCGATAATTTTGACGAAAGAAGCAATGGCAACGATGAGAAGGGTACTCGCGTAAATCTCTCCGAGTCCGAAGTGAAAAAATCCAACGACCACAACGGATGGGGTAGATATTTGCTCCCAGAACAGTATGAAACCAAGGGTAGGGACTGTATTAAGATTAGAAGTCTGAAGATGATTAATGCTTGAGGGACTCACGAATTCCTTTGTACAACCCGTCAATTCCCTGAGTAATAGAAAGGAAGCGCAGAGAGTCAGTGTCCAAGCACCCCGATGTAAATTTGCACAGACCTCTTCCGCGTTGACTCGTTTCAACATGCCCAGCAATGAGCGAGGCTGGGAGCCGCGTTGTACGACGTCGACCGAGGGCAATTCGGAGACAGGCTGGGCCTTGGGAGTGAAGTTCGCCCGGCATCTTATCAGTGCTCCCTTTAGTGGAAACACCAATGTCGCAAAAAAGAGTCTCCAGATCATTGCGCTGCAATGTCAACAGTGGGTGGACTCGTGAGGGGAGGGAGGCAAAATTGTTGGTGGTAATAGGTCACCGTGGTATCCAAGTATTATTCCATATTGTTTTTATGCCAGTCCACAATAACTTTCTCAAATTTTGACAAATCGGCCGCCGCCTTAGACTGCAAGGAACGGATCGTGATTGGTTGTACCACGTCGCCTAGGCCTGTTCATCAAGGCAGGCACTGTACATGTGACACCTGCCCCCTGAAGATGGCTAAATATCCTAGGCTATCAAAATTCACGTTCTCAGTACAGTCAAAGGTTGGTTCAGAGAAAACATGGTACCATTGGCAGTGGTGGTGGAGAAACAAATTTCAGCTTGCCTGACTAAATATTGTCTGGTTATGCGGGAGTCACTGGCAAGGACAAGGTAGATGTAGAGCAGGTTGTAGGGGGAAAAAATATACGACGCCAGCAGGATTTGAACCTGCGCTCGGAAACCGAAACAGATTTCTAATCTGTCGCCATAACCACTCGGCCATAGCGCCTTATAATAACGCATTTGGTTTTCATCCAAGAGCATATTTTCCTATAGCAATTTATTTTGATTTCAACAGTCACTCTCAGAACATTGTACCGGTCATTTGCAACCAGCCAGCAAGCTGAATATCTTCCATATCACTTGCCGCCCAGACATTATTGGTCGACGAGCTGCGGATCCATCCTGCTTGAGATATACTACAGCCCGAACATACTGCTCCATCCCCACCATCTTCGGCGAGCGCATCAGTAGAAGCTGTAAAACAGGATTTGTCCTCTTTGTAGGTCCTCTGCAAACACTGCAGACGCCAAGGATAAATTTGCGAGGCACTACAGAGCGATATCGCGCTAGCGGAGGAGCACACACAGAGTGCACAACGACAGACTTCACGCACGCCGATTGAGAATGCAAGGCGTTATGGACTGGCATCGCCAAAAGCATATGCGGATATAGTGATAATTTTGGGTGCTCTATTCCACGTGAATAGCAGACTGGAGTAAGTACAATGAGCACGAAGCGCCTTAGTTACCACTAATCTCCTTGGCAAGCTGCTCAGCCTTGGACTTGACGTCCTCGATCGTACCAGCCTGTTCAGCACGTCAGCGGGCATCATGGCGGACTTGAAGATGTTGTACGTACCATGTAGAATGCAGACTCAGGGAGGTTGTCATGTGTTCCAGCAAGGATCTCCTTGAAGGAGCGAATAGTATCTTTCAAAGGCACAAGCTTGCCTTCGTAACCGGTGAAGACCTGTGCGACCTGGAAGGGTTGGGACATGAAACGTTGGATCTTGCGAGCACGCTCGACCTGCTCTGCTGTCAGCGTCCAGTTCTATGTCAGGTTGAATGCGCACTAACCGTCAACTTGTCCTCTTCCGACAATTCGTCCATACCCAGAATGGCGATAATATCCTGGAGAGACTTGTAGTCCTGGAGGATCTTCTGGACAGCGGTAGCAACCTCGTAGTGCTCCTGACCAACGATACGGGGGTCGAGCATACGTGATTTGGAATCAAGGGGGTCGACAGCGGGATAGATACCAAGCTCGGCAATACCACGTGATAACACAGTGGTGGCGTCCAAGTGAGCGAAGGTGGTGGCAGGAGCGGGATCAGTCAAGTCATCGGCAGGCACGTAGACAGCCTGTACGGAAGTGATTGAACCCTTCTTGGTGGTAGTGATACGTTCTTGCCTATACTCAAGGTCAATTTGATATGATAGTGAGCACATAAACGAACATACATGCCACCCATGTCAGTGGAGAGCGTGGGTTGATAACCGACGGCAGAGGGAATACGACCAAGTAGGGCGGACACCTCAGAACCAGCTTGGGTAAAGCGGAAAATGTTGTCGATGAAGAGCAACACATCCTGACCTTCCTCGTCACGGAAGTACTCGGCGATAGTGAGGCCAGTAAGAGCCACACGGGCACGGGCACCAGGGGGCTCGTTCATTTGACCGAAGACAAGAGCTACCTTGGAGTCACCCTCGAGGTTGATGACACCAGTTTCAATCATTTCGTGGTACAAATCGTTGCCCTCACGAGTACGCTCACCGACACCTATCCAAAAAAAACATAGTGAGGTCATGATGCGACACAAAGTTTGAAGGTAAACTAACCGCAGAAAATGGAAAAACCACCGTGAGCTTTGGCAACGTTGTTGATGAGTTCCTGGATCAAGACAGTCTTGCCGACACCAGCACCACCGAATAGACCGATCTTGCCACCACGGGCGTAAGGAGCAAGCAGGTCAACGACCTTGATACCAGTTTCCAAAACCTCAGCGGTCGTTGACTGGTCGACGAAGGGAGGAGGATCGGCGTGAATTGGGGAGAGCTTGACGCCCTTAATGGGACCACGCTCGTCGATGGGTTCACCAATGACGTTCATGATACGGCCAAGAGTTGCGGTACCCACAGGAATACAAATGGGAGCACCTGTGTCGACAACCACTTGACCACGGACAAGACCCTCAGTACCGTCCATAGCAATGGTACGAACGGAGTTCTCGCCAAGATGTGATGCAACCTCGAGGACGAGGCGGCCACCGTGGAAGTCCTGGACCTCCAGGGCATTGAGAATTGGAGGGAGAGCATCGGTCTCGAACTGAACATCGACGACTGCACCAATGACTGTTTTTACAGTGCCAACGGCTCCCTTCGCCTCAGTTGCATATGTACGAGCTATGACCCCCGGATAGAATAAAAGACGAGAAACAACCAATAAGACACGGTCAGTGAGAGAAACTATCATTCGCAGACTGCCAACTAACCGGGTTGGGGTGCTGAGGTGCGGGAAGGACGAACGGCTGAGTTTTGTTTTGACGCGGAGGAAGGAACAGCGACGCGCAACAACGAAGGAGTTGCGGTTGCAATGAACCGAGAGTTCTTTGCACTGTTGACTGCTCTCCATGAGATGCGAGTGACGCCGCGAGTGGTAAGCATTGCGGGGAACGACGATGAGACGAAGACGACGACGAACGGAATGTAAGATTTGGGTCCAAGAAATACCCGCGGCAATTTACGAAATTACACCATCCGAGAATTACCGATTCAGGATTCACGTCAAAGAACACACCCAACCCAGCTGGCCACTATACGCGATGAGCGACTAGCTAGCGAAGAGAAAGCTGGCTGTGTCACACCTGTTCACGAAATTGATGCAAACGTTGCAATCATGGACGTACTTCCTTGACTATCAGACTCTGGCAGGGCTCAAATTTCAAACTCGAACTTCAGTTTTTGCTCTTTCTCTAGATTGTCGTGGTGGTCCTGCAGGTTCAGAATGCCCCCGAATTCTGGTATGGATGCCAAAGAGGCTATAAGGTGCAATGAATTCACTTTGGTGACCTTCGAGCACAAGCGCATCTCGACGGCTGAGGATATCGAGGCCACAACCACGCAGGTCATTCGACCTGGCCTTCATTTCGATCGGAATCGAACTAATACCATTCGATAAGTGCATCCAAATTATCTGTGTATCAAAAGCAGGTTTGACTTTGCTATCAGTCTATCTCCTGCAACTGCTACCTGCGCATATATAGGAGTTTGTCAGTCATGGGACTCGCGTGTGTATCCAGCGGTGTTGACATTTCAACATCGACAAGTCACTCTCATTAGTCATCGCATTCCATATCCGTTTGATACCTTTATCTTTACTGTTTCCCATTGTTTGTACCTCAGCGGTTTATCCACAACGCTGAGGTATGTTTAGTATTCGTCGTGCACGCCGCATCATTCTTACTTTATTCTGTCTCTAGCTTTGTGTCAGGTACATTGATAATATAGCGGTTTATCCACAACGCTGAGCTTTGTGTCAGTTTTTACAGGTTATGAGCCCCGGCTTAATCTAAGCCACACACCGGAAACTCAACACATAACTTGCTCTCGCGCTGCACGCCGCTCACTAAATCCACTCTATCCAACGACGGTATCGTCATGGGCAAACACGACCACATTCCCGAGCTGCTCGGTACGGAAAATTATGTTGGTTGGGCTACCAAGATGCAGTATGCGCTCGCATGCGAGGATTACTGGTGCCATATCAACACAAAGTCTGAACCTGGGGATCTTCTCGGTTTTCCTTCACATATTCCAACGCCTGTCGACATCAATGCCCCCACGGACGCTGAAACAGCGAAGATGCGTGAATGGCTGCTCAAGGACATGAAGGCCAAGGAGCTCATTACACGGCGGCTCAGTCCGTCTGTCTCATCTCTCATTCCTCGCGCGCATACAGTCACCGCGAGAAAAGCCTGGCAGATCCTACAGGAGCACTTTAATCGCACCGACATGAGCGCGCAATACCTCCTCAGGCAACAAGTTCAGGCACTTCGCATGAAAGACTCAGCGGACGCCACATCCTATGTCTCACAGCACGCCGTTTTCCGAGAACGTCTATCCGACGCTGGTGCACCTTGGGGTGAAACTGACGCAATTTACCATATGCTTATGGGTTTACCTCAGACCGCCCTCTGGCAACAGTTTAAGTCTCTGTTAGAGCAGCGCATGCACGATGAGTCGATGTCCGCCACATCAACCCCAACATTCACCTTCGAGAGCTGTGTATCCCGGATCACATCAGAGGCTGCACGTCACGTGGTAACTCAACAAGTCCATTCATCCCGCCCTGGCTCTGAATATGCAAACGTTGCAAGTACCACTCCCCAAAACGGCATCAACCAAATCACAGGCCTTCGCATGCACAAACACAACCCTCTCGGGGTTTTCTGCACGACGCCGGGTTGTAACAAAGGGGACCATGACCATGCGCACTGCTATGGTAAAGGAGGCGGAATGGAGGGTCAAGCGCCATGGATGAGGAACAAGAAGCCGAAAGAGACTACAGCAGTCGCTGCCGCTGTCACTACGCCACCTTTACCATCGACCACGTCTTCAGCAATTGCTGCGGCAGCCATCACATCCCTCATGGACGATATGTCGTTTGCATCCATCACTGACATCACAGACGAAGTCACGTGCTCTATCAATCTTCCCTTCACCACGATCTTCGATTCCGGCACAACAGTCACTTTGGTGAAAGATAGAAGGAACTTCCACACATACTCAGATGCAGACACCATCCCGGTCCACACCGCAAATCATGGCATCC